ACGCTATCCTGGCAGCACGAGAGCACCGGCGACAAGGTCAAGCTCGACTACCGTGGCGTCATTAGCACGACGCTCGACGAGGCCGAATGCAAGCCCGTTCCGCCGTTCAAGCGTCAGTACTAAGCTCGCTCTTCCCCCTCCGCAGTCCCAGCCGCGTTGAAATCGATGTTTTGATACGTTTGACATTGCCGTGATATGATTGTGCGAACTGATGTGAGCAGCGACCGAGGAGGAATCGAGAGGAGTCACTCGCACGAGGATCATCCTGATCGCGACGACAAAGAATGGATGAAGCATACGCTATCCTGGCAGCACGAGAGCACCGGCGACAAGGTCAAGCTCGACTACCGTGGTGAGATCAAGGCTTTGCGACCTGAATATGAGATGCGACCGAGATGGTGGCGGCGGTGTCAGCGAGCGCGTAAAAAAACGGTTTCCACACCTGAAATAGTCGATGTAACAATTTGAGAATTTCCTTGCTTGGAAGAAAGTCTTCTGCTGTCTGTGTGCACGCGGGCAGACTGAGCTGACTGACGTGTTGGATTCGTGCACGGGTCTCAACCGAAAAGTGTTCACAGCTGCCTCCTCTCGACGCAATCACCTTCGCTAACCTCCTCATCGACATCGTCACATCTGCTGCGCATCCTCTCGCCAGCATGATGACACCGCAGAGGGGCTCCGTGGCCGCTTCCGCAGCCTCGTCCCGATCCCAAACGCCAGCCGGTCATCGTCGGTCTGCACACATTGCGACCGACTTTTCGTCGCCGCATTCACCGCTTCGCAACGTGTCGATCGATTCGGACCCGTACTCTCGGCAAGCAGCTGTTGCGAGCCTGCAGACGCACAAGCTGCACCTCGTGCTGTCCGAGATCACCTCTGTCGCCTCCGCCCTGCGCAAAGCGACTCGCTGGAATGCGTCCACGTCGGCTGCACTTGCTCGACTCACGTCTTACAGCTACTCGACCGCTCAAGTCCCTCCGACCGTCACCGCACAGCAGGCGCCAACCGCTCAAGGCAATCTCGAGCAAGATGTCGCATCACCCCGCGCCGCATCCAGTGCTCGCATCGCCTTGAGGGGCATGCAGCGGGAGGCTACCAACGATACGGACTCCAGCTCGTCAGCCGCTGCAACTAGATTGGGTCTGTCCCTGGGCATCACCGCCAAGTCGGATGATCCCGTCCGGCTGCTGGTCGGCTTCGCGACGCTCAAGGCTCAACTGCGCACTTGCACCAACTTTTCCACCTTCCCGCTTCCGGCGCTATTGGCACCCTTCCTCCGGGTCGTTCTTTCTCCTCGCACTTCGGCTCCTGTCACCTCCGCCGCACTGCAGGCTGTGCACAAGTTTCTCGTCCACGGCGTCGTCTCCTTGTCAGCACCTGATGCCAGGATCGCTGTAGCGGAGATCGCACACGCGACCAGCCACTGTCGCTTCGAAGCCTCGGAAGCCACTACGGACGAGCTGGTGCTGGTCCGCATCCTCTCGGTGATGCGCGAGATCATCTGCGAGCCGATCGAGCCTGGTTCTGCCGGCTTCGTACAGACCTCTGACCCCTCAAGGCAGATCCGCACGCTTGCCGACTGCCTCGGCGACGACAGCATCTGTGAGATGATGGAGACCGGCTTGTCGATGTGTTGCCAGACCCGCCTCTCTGATGTCTTGCGCCGCACTGCAGAGCTGTCAATGACTGCGATGGTCCGCACTCTGTTCAGCCGTCTCTCGCTCGTTCCTCCGTCCGCAGACGAGTTCTTTGCTGCCGGTGCAGACGGCGCAGCAGCGGAACCGGAACATGCGACGCTGGCAGCCGAACCCATTGGCGAGGATGCCGACCTCGACGAGAAGAAGCGCCGCAGGATGACAATGCCCGATCCCACCAGCAACGTCTTCCCTGCTGCTGCAGCGCAGGTACTGGAGCAGCTTCGCGAGATGGGCGAAGAAGAGGACAAGGAGGAAGCAGCAGCAGCCGCGGTCTCTGAGAAGGCAACCGACGCCGCTCAAACAGACTTGCAAGACGAAAAGGCTTCCTCGACAGGCGCTGCGGGCGCAGATGAGGCACAGCTTCCCACTGGAAGTGACATCCTGGTAGATGATGCTGCGCCAGATGCAGGAACCGAGGCACCTGCACCGACGTCGATTCAAATAGAGCCATTCGGACTTCCAGCCATCCTCGAGGTGTGTCGCGTCATCATCTCGCTACTCGATCCCGACAGTCTCCAGCACACCAACACCATGCGCAGGCTCGGCATGTCGATGCTGATCTCGATCCTCGAGACTGCTGGCCGCTCCATCGGCGACTTCCCCTCCTTGCGTGCTCTCATGCAGGACACCGCCTGCAAGCATCTTTTCACGCTGGCTCGCAGTGAGGACCCCATTCCGCTGTCGCTCAGCCTGCGCGCACTATCCACGATGTTCGAGACCATGCGCGAGCACCTCAAGCTGCAGCACGAGCTCTTCCTCAACTACCTGATGGACCGCCTCGCTCCCACATTCCCGCTTCCGCTCGAGCCTTGGAGCGACAGGGCATTCGATAGCCTCGTCAAGCGTGCTAATGCTGCCGAAGCTGTTGCACGCTCAGGCGTTCCCGCCTTCCACGCTGCAGCTGTGCAAGTGCAGCCACCACCACCTTCAGCGCCGCCGGCGCCTCCGCTGCCAAAGGGTTCGGATCGTGCTCCTGCCACCGGAGAGGCTCGCGAGCTCTATCTCGAGACCTTTGCGCTCCTCTTCCGCAACTTCGACTCGGAGCGCTCCGCCGAGTATCTCGTCGACCTCTACGTCAACTACGATTGCTACACGGACTGCGAGAACATGTTCGAGCGCGTGCTGCTGTTCTTGTGCCGGAGCATCCATGCCGCCAACCCGCAAAGCCCGTCACAGCAGGATCCTGTACAGATGTTCGCTCTCGATGCCCTGCTCTCCTTCATCGCAGCCATCGCAGACCGCAACGAAACGTCGCAAGTTGGCGCTGCGGGACAAAATGTCGTCCTTCCCGGCGGTATGTCTTCACAAGCTCTGGCAGCCCAGAAGGCGAAGAAGGCTACAATCCTGGACGGTGCGAGCCGTTTCAATGCCAAGCCCAAGGACGGCTTGGCCTTCCTCGAGAAGGAAGGTTTGCTCGATTACGGCGATGACAGCCTTTCAAGAGAAGAGCGCATCGCTCGATTCCTGAAGGAGTGTCCTCGTCTCGACAAGAAGCTCGTCGGCGACTACATTGGGCGCCCCGACAACATTAAAGTGCTCGAAGCTTTCGTGGGATTGTTCGACTTCAAGGACAAGCCCATCGCCGAGGCGTTGCGCGAGATGCTGGAGAGCTTCCGTCTGCCTGGTGAATCACAGCAGATCGAGCGCATCACGCAAACTTTTGCTTCGACCTACTTCTCAGCCAAGCACGAGGGCATCGCTACTGAAGACGCCGTCTTCATCCTCGCCTACTCGGTCATCATGCTCAATACGGATCAGCACAACCCGCAGAACAAGCGTCGCATGACAGTGGAAGACTACCGTAAGAACCTCCGCGGCGTCAATGGTGGCGAGGACTTTGCTCCTGAGCTCACCGGTGCCATCTACGAGAGCATCCGCAAGCGCGAAATCGTCATGCCCGAAGAGCACGCTGGCCAGCTCGGCTTCGAGTACGCTTGGAAGGAACTGCTGAGACGCTCGCGCACCGCTGGCACCCTGGTCGCCAGCAACACCACCGCCTTCGATCGCGACATGTTCCGTGCGAGCTGGAAACCCATTCTCTCGAGCGTCGCCTTTGCCTTTTCTACCTTCACCGACGAGTACCTTGTGGAGCGAGCCATCTCGGGCATCCGTCAGTGTGCGATCCTCGCGTCAGGATACGGTCTCATCGAAGTCTTTGACTTTATGGTGCACACGTTGGCTAGCGCCACATGCCTGCTGGACAGCTCAGTACCCCAGACGTTGACGAGCAACCCGACAGTCGAGGTGGAGAACCAGCAGGTCACCGTCAGCCCGCTCTCGACTCGCTTCGGTGTCAACTTCAAGGGTCAATTGGCGGCCGTCGTCCTGTTCACCATCGCCAACGACAACGTCGATGCCATTCGCACGGGCTGGTCCGACTTGTTCGAGATCTTCAAGAATCTCTTTGCTCACGGCATGCTGCCGGCGTCTATGGTGCAGATGGAGGACCTTGCCGATGGACCCGTCCCGATCCCGACCAAGGCAAAGAAGGCGCCCGGTCCTTCGCCGCAGGATTTACGCGCGCAGGGAGGCGGACTCTTCAGCACGCTCTCGTCGTACCTGCTGTCCCCGAACTCGAACACTAACGAGCCTGCACCGTACGAAGCTACACCGGAAGACATCGAGGCCACCTTAAGCTCCGTAGACTGCATCGCATCCTGCCGGCTCGAGGATCTATGGACTCAGGTGCTCCGTCTGGGACCCGAGTCGCATCTGTGCGCCGTCCACTATCTTCGCTTCTTGCTCGAAGCGCTCACGGTCGAGAAGGTGCTGTACCGCGAGTCGATGACCGCTGGCAACACGGATGGAACCTCGACGCCCAACAGCACCAACCACGGTGGCGACTCCGCCGCCAACGGAAAGGACTCGAGCAAGCCGCACGGAGCTTCCGCTTCCTTGGGCGGGTCCAAGTCGCACGATCTGCTGGCCGGAAGCTTGCCGCTGAGCTACGATCCACGTGCCTCCTTCCTTCTCGAGCTCTTGATCCAGATCGTCGCTTCCTCGCCTCAAATGCTCGTCAACGAGACGTGGCCGTGGATTATGGACCACATCACCGCCGTGATCCGCAACGCCAAGGCGTACCATCCCATGACGGTCGAGCGGGAAGTCGCGACCCTGTTGCGTGTGCTCAACCTCGGGGCAGGAGAAGAATCCCTTCGCGATCAGGTCTTCATCGCGTTGGACCTGCTGCGCGATTTGCCGGTGGAGATCCGCATCTCGGGATCCAAGCAGCTGCTCGCTGGACTCATGCGCATTCTCGCCACGCATCCGCACTTGGTCCGATCGCACACGGAGTGGGGACTCGTCTTTGCGCTCATTGCGGACAGCGCCAACACGCGCAATGCTGATTCGGCGCATTTGGCCTTCGAGGCGGTCAGAGCATCCGTGGTGGATTCTGCATCGCAAGACAATGGGTCGAAATTGTCGCAAGACAACTTCCTGCCTGTCGTGTCGCAGCTGGTCGACTTTGCTCACGGAGCCGACACTACGGCGTGGCGTAACTCGATCATGCGCGAATCCTCGCAACGCCGTGCCACGCTGACGGAGAAGAAGGAGATGGCCGAAGCTGAAAAGGTACAACAGGAGCGGGGCGTGCCAGCAGTGGAGCTGCTCGAGTCGCTCAAAGGCGAGATCCCGCGTCTGATCTCTGCCGAGACTAGCGCTGGCTCGATCGATGAGGTGTGGAGCAAGTACTGGCTGGCTCTGCTGACCGGACTCGCGCGGCAGTGGATCAACCCGTACCCTCCCGTCCGTTTCGCCGCCGTGACGCTCCTACAGCGAGCGCTGTTCTCCCCTGAGCTCGTGTCCAGCACCCACACGGCACCGTCCAGCACATCGCTCATCCGCGTCGTCTTCTCAGCAACGCTCTTCCCGCTCATCGAAGACCTGCTCAAGCCGCAGGTCTACCAGATCGACCCGCCCTCGGCAGCCAACAAGAACGGCGGGATGCTCGAGATCCGCATCCGGGCGTCCGCCTTGATATGCAAGACGTTCCTGCACCTCATGCCGTCCCTCTCTTCGGGAGGTGACGAGTTCCAGCGTCTCTGGTTGGACGTGCTCGATCTCATGGATCGCATGATCAACTCTACGGGTGGCAATGCGGGGCGGCGCAACCCGCTCACAGAGGCGATACCGGAGAACCTCAAGAACGTGCTTCTCGTCATGGCCACGTCCCAGCTGCTCTCGCCGACTGAGGAGGGCGTGCAGAAGCAGCTGTTCGATCTCACGCACGATAGATTGCAGCGGTTCCTGCCGGGGTTGGTGGAGGAGGTGTTTGCGCTGTCGGCACCGCAGGAGACAGCAGCGGAAGAACAGGTGGAGTCGAAGAAGTCCAGGGAATCGCAGCCAGAGTCGGCGGAATGAATGTACTTTTGCGCAATAGAGCATTCCGAAGATCTACACAATAACTGGCGTTAGCAGCTGCAGTGACATGGCCGGACTCAAGTAACCTCTGAGCACATTCTTCCGGCGTGCCTTGTAGGCCGCCGACGCGGGTGATCTTTGGTGCAAGCACGAATCAGTGCAGCACCAGGATCAACCGGGTTGCTTTGCAGGCCGCCGACGTGGTTGATTCTTGGTGCGAGCATCAATGAGTGCAACACCAAGGCCCGTTGGGCCACTGGATTGGTTGCGGCAACACCAAGCTCCACTACTTGAAGAAGTTGGCCAAGCCCGAGCATCAGTGTGGGTGACTCAAAGGTGCCCCGCCGACCTGACGCCTGCCTGTGGTGTTTTCTCATCTGCTCCATGGCGCTCCGCGATCGTCGAACAAGCCACCAATGCACATGTGGACATATCACATGTGGAGACCCTTCGCCTTCATAGATCCATGAAGGCGAAGGGATCTATAAAGGCGAAGGGTCTCCATATGTGATAAGTCCACATGTGCATTGGGGCTTTGTTCGACGGTGGAAGGTATGGTCGCAGGGAGCGTCAAAGCGGGCGCTCCGAGCGACATGCGATCCAAGGAGCGACTTTCTCGACCTCCTGATCTTCCAGAGAGGAACGAAGGTCGATTGCGAAGGTGGCAATTGCAGTCCATATGTTGCCAGTGGAAGCGAACGTCGGATGACCGGGTCAATCAAGTGCTGCTCCGACCAACCCCGAGGCTCGTCGCTGCGTCGACCACTGCTCCACCCGCACAGAGCGAGGAGACAGCTGGCGACACAAAACTTCAACCTTATGGGTTTTGTCACGACTGGACATCAGAAATTCGTTCAATCCACAACCTCGGCATTCACATCATGCCACCTGGGGCATCTGGTGACCCACCTGCAGGTAGGAGGGCGAGGGCAAAGCATCAGCAAGCGTGAGGCCATGACGATCGCCTTCAAGACAGATCAAAACCACGCCACGCATCTACGGCCTCACCGCTCAGCAGAGCATGCACACAGCGACGCCTTTGTCCTTTCGTTGCCCATCGCCCTCAAGTGGTCTGTGATGCACTTCTTGAGGCACTGTTGAAAGTGGCGGTGTCACTTGCCGATAGTGATGGCGCCTTCCAACCAGAGCTGGGGCCCATGCCACATCGTCGTCTTGACAGGTCGCACCGTTGCGCCACACGTGGGTCTGACTCTCGTTGATCAGCCAATCGAAAGCCTCGACGAAGCTCGGCTTGTCCAGCGACGTGCACCCCGGCCAGCTTGGCAGTACAGCCCGACGACGGCTGATCGAGACCGACTCCTCGACCAAACTACCGTTCCCCCACAGCTCGGCTCTCTCTTGACCGGAAGCGGGGCTTTGCGAGCGCCTTACTTGTCTTCTCCCACCGTAATCCGGGGCGATCACAGCTGCCAAACCCGCACACCCTTCCATGCATGAATCGCAGTGGGTCTGCAACACAGTCGCGTGGTGAAATCGATGGATTACATTGGCATCAAAGATCAACGATGACAGGTGCACCCTCGCCCTCGTCCGCCTCGAGGTCGGCATGCACCTCGGCCTCCTCGTCGAGCTGGTGGTCGAGTTGCCAACCGAACGCGGTGGCGGTGGTATGGGAGAGAGCGCGCCATGTTTGCACGAGAGCTTGGCGCTGCTCCTCCTCCTTTGTGGTGCCGGTGGATGCGGCGGCGGAGAGCGAGCGGGCGATGTTGACACGAAGCGCGTCGAGGTGTGCAAGCAGCGTTTGCTCTTCCTTACCCTCTTGAGTCGACCAAAAGTCTATCGGTAGGAGAACCAGCTGAGCTCGCAATGTGCTCATGAAGGCGATGTGCGGTGTTAGGTCGGTCGGCGTTGTCGAGGGGTGAAGCTCGAATGCGGATTGCGCACCCATGAGCGACGACGAGCGGCAGAACACAGCCACGAGATCGAACCACTGCTGCCACGCGTAGCCGTTGCCGGCCGCTATGAAGATGATGAAAGTCAGCTCGAGCTCGCACAGCAGCGCTGACCATTCGTTGTTCGCTTCCAAGGAGGGTGGGATGATGCCGGTTGAGCTTCGACGGGCTACGTCGCGCAGGAGCCAGCTCTTGTCCTGGCTCCAGCGGGTGATATCGGATCCTGTCGAGTGAGGTGGCCAGCTACGACGCAGGTCGAATGGAGTGAAGTGCAAAGCCTCGTCGTCTGCATCCTCGGTGGAGTCGGGGTTGGAGCGCTTCTTGCTGGTCTGGGCGGGATCGCCCTCGTCCGTCTCGTCACCGTCGGCCAGAACTTCGAATCGTTCCGCTTCAGGTCTCGACTTGCCCCAGACGACCTTTCCGTGTTCTCTCCTGCCAGAATTCCCGCTTTGCTGCAGCACTGTCTCCTCCTTTCCGTCTGCGGCTTGTGCAGGTCCGGCGGCCAGGCTGTCCGTGATCGAATCTCCTTCGCTGTCCACGCCGAGCACCTTTGCTACTACCTGCCGCCCAACGTGCCCGCCATGTTCACTGAGATGTCGTGTCGCCGCACGCCAAGAGTCCCCTGCTGTAGTCGGGTATGGAAGTAGCCGCTCTTCGACGCTACCGCGCACGTCCGGGGTGACAATCGTAGCCACCCGACTGGCAGACGGGTCGATGGTGCGGCTGACACGCCGACGGGTGGATCGGCCGGATCCTGACACTGCGAGACGCTGCTGCCCTCGGTCGAGCTCTCGAGCCACCACTTCGCCTTCGTCAAAGTACCGCAGGAGCAAGTTTCGTACAGCGCCTGTGGACGGGCCGGGCGTGTCGTCGCTTGAAGTCGTCGCGATGCTCCACGAAACGCAGTGCCAGCCGGCGGGAAGGTTCTTGATGCCTGTAAATTGCTCGTTGTTCAGATACGCATCTTGCTGAGCGTCGAGTGCAAGCTGTGTGCGCCCAGGCAGGCCTTTAAGTAGCAGCGTGGCCGTTGCGCTTGACATCTTGACTCCGAGGTCCGTTGAAGAGCAAGATGTGGCAAGAAGGGAGGACCCTGAAAGGTTCGGGAAGATCTCCACATGTCCGAAATCCGACCCGCTTCGTGTCAGGGTCCTGGGACGTTTCATCTTGCATTCCAACACACCAACACAAAATCAAACGACGATGGCATCGTCTCCCTGACACGAGCATGGCGTCGTCAAGCAAGCTTGCTTCGGTGCCGGACGCCGAGCTGGACGCCTACATCGCCGACCTCATCGTACGCAAGTCCAAGACGAGGCACACCGGCGACTCCGTTCCAGACGACGTGGAGAGCAGCAGCGCACCGTCTCGCGTGCCGAACACAAACAAGCGGTTCTTGACATCGGTGATCCGCAATGTCGAGGGGCACAATCAGGCGCTGCTGCGGCAGCAGGAGCGAGAGGTCGAAAGAGAGGCTCGTCGTGCCAAGCGCGAGCACGCAGGTGAGTCGTCCAGACTGCGGGGCTGGTCGGACGACGAGCGCAGTCCGAGCAGCTCGTCAACCAAGCCGCAAGGCGAGGATGGCCCGTCGAGCAAGATGGATCGGTATTTTGACGAGGCGCCCTCGGAAGGCGCGAGAACATCAAACCCACAACAGAGGGGCGAACGGAACCGCGCACCTCGGTCAGAACCAAGCCGAGACCCGGGGCGGCATTCAGATCGACATGACAAGGATCGAGACAAGCGGCACAGCTCGAAATCGAGCTCAGGTAGGCATCACGAGCGTAGCCATCACTCGAGTTCGCGCTCACATCGAAGCACACACAGGGAGCGCGACAATCATGACGACCACAGCGCAGGAAGGCGAAGCAAACGGCGCGAAGAAGGAACACGGTCAAAGTCAGAGCGGAAGGAGAGCAGCGGTCGGTCAAGGAAAAGGAGCGCATCTCCTCCGCCGCCCAAGAAGGTCCGTGAATGGGATCGTGGTAAGTACTCACTTGCCTTCTGATACAATACACATTCAATTGCAACCCATTGATACCCGCTGCCTCGCTGTTGGTGCGATGAGAAACGATCTATTGCGATGCGATGTGAAGCCTCCTACTCAGTAGTCGCGTGGGGGAAACTGGTTGAGCGCCCGCAACGCATCCAGTACCTCCTCTAACCTCTGCCCGTCCACCTTGATCTTGGGCCCCCAGCCTAGCACGCGCTTGATCTTGGTCCCGTCCAACGCGATCGACTGGTTGGCCAGGAGCTCGGTATCGAGCCAGCCGCTCAGAACATCCTGAATGCCTGTCTCCTTGACAATACCCTCGATAGCATTGACGTGCTTTTCGTTGATGTCCTCTGCGACGCTCTGCAGGTTGAGTCGCGCCCAGGCGTTGACCAGGGGATTGACGAATCCGGCTTCGATGCCATACGTCTCCCTGATGATGTTGATCAGCGTTCCCTGGTTGAAGTCAGTATCGTCGACGAGGTGGAATAAAGGTGCTCGCGGTGTTTCTGTGCGGGAACAGCAGTCCGAGACTTTCTCGCGCAAGGTGTCTTGCAACTTGTCCTTCATGCGTACTGGCGGAAGGGATTCGCCGGCGAGGTCGTCTGCAGAGGAGCGCGAGCGCGAGGCGACCCAGGAAGCAATCGCCCACATCGCGGGGCACCAGTCTTCAACGTGGATGGTGTGCAGACGCAAATCGGGCCCCCACAGAAATTTGAGCGGCTCCTTGAGGTGACGATACAGGAAGCCGAAGGCAAACCGCGACGGGATAGAGCCAGAGAGGACATAGGGCCCAACGACCTCGGCGGACCGCGTGATGGCTAGTGGCAGATCGGGCACGCTCGCAGCCGCCCTCTCGGCCTCGTACCACCAGTAGGCGCGCGCCGTCTTGGGCTTGACCACATCCGACTCCTTGATGGGCGCAGCGTTGACGTCGACGGTGAGGAAGGTGATGGTATCACGGACGTGCGCCTTCACGTTCCTGCGTGCCGACTCGGCGGCAACCGAGCGAGCCAGCTTGGCAGTTCGTTCCATCAGCACCTCCTCGGGCAGCTCCGGTTGGCCAATCCCCTCGCCGGTGAAGTCAAAGACCATGTCGTATGAGCCGCCGTTCGGAATGTCGTACGTCTTGGAGAGATTCGACTCGACATTGAGGTTGACTTGACGGTACTCGACGCGAGGATCTTGGAGAACGGTCCAGAAATCGGGCTCGACGTAGGTGGTGCTGGTGCCATTGGACACGAGGTACTTGTCGGCGAGACGGACGTGGCTGATTTTGACGCCGGACCTGTCGGCATCTTTGCTCGGGTCGATGAGCCATTTGAGCAATGGGCGCGAGTGATGCTTGGTACCGCCCAGGATGAGCACCGACACCTCGGCAGGGAGTGCGGTCGACATGACAGTTCTGTAGTGCAATGCCCGATCTACAGCAAAGAAGCCGGTTTGAGACGAGTGTCCAACTTGCTGAGTTGCAGTATGGTGTTGTACGGGCACGGCGGGGAGCGATGGATGCTTGTTGGTAAGATGTGTAGATTCGCGGCCAGATCCGTTGGTTGCAGGACAAGGTTGCCGGACAAAGGGTCTAAGGCTCGGCTAGGTTGCAGCAAGGCGTTGGTCACCGGCCATTTCACCGTAGGCGAGCTTCCAGGCTCTCGGCACACTCTGACCTGCATACCAGGGCAGCCGACAAAGTGGCTCACACGCAGGCACGAGCTCGATAGGCCATTTGGATCTTGACAGGCACCAGACAAGGGCCTGGATGTGCTGTCAACAAAGGACGCACATGCGTTCAAGCGTCAATTCGCATCATAATTGGTTGCAACCCAAGGAAAGTGGCGTGAGCGTGGATACTGAGCCGTCATTGGCCGATTAAGTTACGCCCGGTCTTGAGCATGAATGCCAAGGACATGTGAACAACGTTGCTCAAGCCACAGCATCATTCGCGGAACGGACCGGTGCGACATGCCGAAGGCGTCACGAAGACCCCGATATTGGGTTTGATCGCCGAAGCAGGGTGAGCGATCCGAAAAAGAGTTCCGATCCGATGGGACATGTCAAGTTCTGCATCAGGCATCCCTCAGGCTCGCTGAACGTAGAATTTGCGCCTCCTAGCCTCTGTTCGCCGCCTGGTCATCGACCAGGTACACAGCTGCAGCCGTCATGATTCCCGCCGTCCCTAAATTGCTAGACTGGACCTTCGTATAGCGTCAGGCACGACACGAGCTCAGAGAGATGTGGATGTTGATGTCGGTGCATCGTTTCGGGCGGTCCTGGCCATACACCCTGGCCACTGTCGAGGCCTCCCGCTCAAGGTCCTCGGCTCGCAGGTCTCAATGTAGGCACAGGATAGCCTCGTTCGTCTTAAATATGAAAGCTTTCAGAGCATTCGCTCCGTTCTGATCGTCATCTTCCACTCCTTCTTACCCCTTGTCCTTCTCTTTTGAGGCCGGTCCTCTCGTCTCGCGTCGTCACTGTCCTTTCTACTCCCTCTTTCTCCTTCTGACGTCGAAGCGCACCCTTACATTTGGCCTAGTGCCTTCTTCTCGCAAGGTCTGACATCGCTCTGACCGGCTCAGAGCTCACAGCTCCCCCCACACTCCTTCCAGACGTTCTTGAAAACCATGAGGCTGCTTCCCAGAGACACCAGCCTGAACGCTGTTGCCAGCGCTCTTTCGCTGGCCGCGGCCAACTACAAACCCGTCCCACAGCTATCATCCGCAAATAAGGGTACGGATATCGCCAACATGAGTACGAGCGATGCTTCCCAAGCTCAGGGCAGAAATTCAACCTCGTATCAGGTGCAGAGCACTTTGACCGCCAACAACTGGACCGCGACACACAACACTTCCAACTGGGGCGTTCCTTCAACCCTCTTTGTCCCGGTCGAGTCGCACAATAAGACCTCAGTAGACGCTGAAGTGACAAGCAAGCTAGCTTCGTCGAGAAAGGTCGGCCCTGGTGGCTGTCCCTTCTCCGACGGCTACACGCCAACCGGCGGCTGGGACGCGCTCCCACCCCCCACATTCCCCGCCTTCGACCCCGTCCGAGCAACCATTATGCGCTACCGTCAGCAGCAGGGTGTCAACCTCGGCGCGTGGTTCGTCCAGGAAGGCTGGATGGAACCGCGCTTCATGTCGTGCGCGCTCCACAGCAAGCAATCCGAATACGACCTTCTTCGCGGCTTCGGCACCTCCCAAACCGGTCTCACTTCGGCACGTGCCTACATGGAGGAGCACTGGGATACGTGGATCACAGAGGATGATTTTGCGCAGCTGGCCAAAATAGGGATCAACACGGTGCGTCTTCCCATCGGATACTGGTCCGCCGGGCCGTACTTTACGCATCACAGTCCGTTCGAGAGGTACGGAGAGGTGTACGAGCTAAGCTGGCGCTACGTGGCGCGGGCGATCAACTGGGCTGCCAAGTACGATATTGGTGTGCTTGTCGATCTGCACGGCGCGTATGGTTCGCAAAATGGTCAGCCGCACTCTGGGCTGGACAGTGGCAAGATCGAGTGGTACGAGCCATTCAACCAGGCACTCACCACAGAACTCCTCGTCTGGCTGGCAAAGGAGATCTCGGATGTCACCAACGTCATTGGCATTCAACTGCTCAACGAGCCCCAGAACCGCGAGTCCTACTGGCGCTGGCTACCCACCGCGATGGACGCCATGCGTGCCGCCTCCCCATCTGCAAAACACATCCCACTCTACTTTCACGACGCATTCAACCTCGCCAAGGGCGCAGCATTCGTCTCGACCCGCAACGACTTTGTCGTCTCGGACCACCACGCGTACTACGTCTACACACCCGCCGATCAGGCTTTGTCTGTCCAAGGCCACATCGAGAAGCTCGACACGTCCATCACGGACAAGTTCACGCGCCAGTCCAAGGTGGCGCGTGGCAATTTGGTCGTGGGCGAGTGGTCCTGCGCCCTCGCCGAGAGCTCGATCAGGAACAGCAAGAACCGTCAGCAGGATCAGAGGGAATTCTGTCGGACTCAACAGGAGGTCTGGCAGACAAAGACGGCAGGGTGGACGTTTTGGTCGTACAAGATGGAGGGGTGTGCGCAGAACGATGGATGGTGTTTTAGGAGCGCCAGGAAGAAGTTCTTGCGGAACGACTTTTCGGCTTGGGGCAGTGAGCTTTCTTCGGCGCTCCTCGGAGCGGTGAGCAACATCACGAGTGACGTGCTTGGTTCGCTCTCACCCCTGCTCGACGAGATCAGCCGCATCCGCCTCCCCACCAGCAGCTCGTCCTTCAAGTCGCTCTTCGCTATCGACGGGATCGATGGCGACGACGGCGAAGTGGGTCCGCACGGCTTTGCTCACTCGCTCTACACACCCACCCCTTCTTCTCAGCCAAAACAAGCTGAGCGCGGCGTCGGAGGCTACACATCGCTCGCAAGGCGTCAAGTGCAGCTGGATCGCTGTGCGACTCAAGTGGCACATCGCGCCTTCTCAGACGGCTTCTACACTTCGCGCATCCTCGCGTCCTCCACCACCTCGCCTTCGCGTCTCGGCTTCGCCACCCAGTACCAGCAAGACACGTTCCAGTCGTACGTCGATGCGGGCATCTTCAAACGCAGTGAACAGTCGGCGTACAATGCGCAGTTCAGCGCCGGTATCAAGGCGGCTGAAAAGGCGATCGAGGCCATTGTCGCCAGCTACGCGCGCAAGGCCTAGCGCGAACTTCATTCTAAGGACACAGTAGAGACGGTATATGGATTGCAATGCTTAATATGTGAATGGCTCAAGGTGACAGCGTGAGACGGAGCCCGAATCAACGGCCTCGCGACGGCTGCTTGTACTTGCCCTCCTTGACGTTCTCCATGTCGCCCAAGGTCACCTGGACGCCCTGCATGGTCTTCGCGATGGCTTGCGTCGCCCCTCTGGCGCCCTTCAGGATCGCGATGGGGACCGCTTTGACTACAGGTCTTCCGCTCCCACCTCCCGAAGTTCCGCCACTTGTCGCTCCAGCGGCTCCTGAGGGATCAGGCTCATACACCTCCATCGGAATGGCCAGAATCGTCTGAGCTGCAGAAGTCAGCCCCTCGGTCAGCCCAGAGTAGGCCTGCGAAAGCGCATCGCGCATGTTGTCCGGCTGAGAGGCGTACCTGCTGACGAGATTGTCTGCCTGCACGCCGGCCTCAGACGTCATCGACTCGACCATGATGCTCTCGCTCAACGACTCGTAGCTCTCGCCAGAGCTGTCCGGTCCGACAGCACGCGCTGTAAGCGCGGTGGGCATTTCGCCGCCCAGAATGTGTTCCGCCTGCTCCAGGATGACCTGTGTCCCCGTCGCCAGCCTTGCGCCCAATTTGACCGCTTCCAGCGCCGTGCTCTTGGCAAAGCTCGTCGCGCCTCTCTGTACACCTCGCAGGACTCTTCCGTCCTTGTGATACTGCTCGATGGGCAGCAGCACGAGATCGGCCAGTCCAGCACCGACATTGACGAGACTGCGAATCGGTCCCAGTCCCGACAGGAAGTCAGCCAGCTGGTTCGCCTTGACGTCCGGCGTCCAGATGTCGTTGAGTGTATCGAACAGGCGTGCCCATCCGTTGATGCCACGCAGCGTGATGTGACGCAGCACCATCTCGGACCCTTCAAAGTGGAAGAAGTTCATCAGCTCGATGGTCTTACCCTGACGCAGCAGATTGTAGTCGACCCGCTTGGGCTTGTAGTCGAGCTTGATCTTGATCGGAAGCACCTCGGCGAACTGGACGAATGGCAGCGGTGGACCAGTGGACGACGCAGACGGCGCCGGCTCTTTCTGACCTGGTACCTTGAACATGAAGTACTTCTTCAGGAAATCGAGTGCATCTTGATCGACGTGAAGACGAAGAGGTGCGATCTTGGCTCGCATTCGCACCTCTGGCGCTTCCGCCGCGTGGTCGCCATCCAGCGTCCCACCCTGTGGACGGACGTGAACAATTTCGACCTTGGCCATCTTGCCTTCTGCGTCGTGGCGCAAAGCAGCGTTCTGGTCCTGCATCTCGGTGAGAAAGGTGCGCCAGGTCGACGTCTTGATGTTGTCGATGATCTCGACTCTTCGAGCATTGACAGCGAGACGAGAGACCACGTGGCCGGATTGCGAAGGATCCGCCTTGTCGTATTCTACATCGAGCCCGCGGAAGTTGAAATCGATCATGGAGCGCTGCGATCGCTGCAGCTTGTTGTGAGAAGCGTTGGTGGCAGGAGGGCCTTTGCTGCTTCTTGAGGCTGTTTGCTGGCCGCGCCGCGCGTTGGGGAGCGCCTGCCACGACGCAGTGGCGTCGCTGTCGGCTGTCGATACCGCGTCCGACGGATCGCCTAGCTCATCTTCGACGGCTTGCATCATCGCATCAGCGTCCATTTCTGCAGGGATGGTGGGCAAGCTCATGTGGATCGAGTCCAGAAGATGACTAGTGGCCGCTTCCACGCTGTCATCTGGCACTTGGCCTTCTGCCAGCAACTGCTTGATCTTCTGCAGACGCTTGCGTACTAGCTTGGCTTCCTGCTGGACCGCTTTTCGAGTCGAAGCCCAGTCATATCCGGCGTGAAGACGCACCGACAGGTCAAAGTTGCTGACCCGCACCCGCAACGAGCTTGCTGTCGTGCCCAAGGCAGAGTCGACTTGCGGTCGCAGATCTGGGTCGGTAAAGTATTCTTGCACGGGGCAAATGCCTTTGGGATCGAGCAGACGTATCGTGACGTCTTCATCGGCAAAGAGGACGGTGTCGGTGCGAGGAGAGAGGAGCGATAGCGAAGCGACCGACTCGCCACCAAAGAACTCGTCCGAGTCGAGCGTCGTCTCGACGATCTCGGGGTGGTATCGACCCTCACCCTTTGCTCCCAGGAAAGCAGCGTCGGAGGGCACATCATCGTCGACGAGATCAGCGCCGACGGCCAGAGGTGCTGCGAGGTGGTAGGCATCATCTTCGATGCCTGACAGGAGGTCAGCCATCCTGTCCGGATCTTGTGCCGCCATTGACGACAGCTTTGCTGCGGTCTGCCTAGCCCCGGCAGCATCGTGAGAGCTCAGCTCGGTGTCGGCCGATGACGCAAGGCTACCATCTTGTCGGGTGGGTGGCGCGGCTGGGACTTTCGATGCGGGACCTTGACTTGCCGTCATGGCACCAACGACAGCGGACACGACGTCCAACGTATCAGCTGTGGCTTGAAGCTTTGCTCGAAGCTTGGTGATCTTGACATCGATTTCAGGGCGCGTGAGCGTGTTGAGATGGACGCTGCCCTTGCTTTCAGGGATGTGCAGCAGGCGTGCGTAATTGCGGCGTGTCCAATGCTCAGCGGCCGATTTGGCAGCGGTTGCGCGACTTGATGCGCTTCCAGAGAGCTCCCCTTCGGCTGCATAGAGGTCGAGATCGCCGATCGCAAGCTTGATGGAGGTCTTTGGCGCGTGTGATGTCAGCTTGGTCTTGATAGAGAGCTCTCCGATCGCCACGGCTGCACGGGAGGTGGTGGTGGGAGGTGCGACCAAGACGGAACAATCCCTTGCCTTGAAGCTGATGCGAGTCACTTCGTTCGGTTCCACATTTTCAAACACACCAGCCGGTGCTTTCAAGAACCGCTTGATCCGGGGGACAAGCTCTGGGTCAAAGCTGGGCGACAGCGTCACCGACGACAGCGTCAGGTCGACGTTTTGCTCGCGATAGCTTGTGCAGGGTTCGGCGTATGCTTCAAGCACGAGGAGCAACATGTTGTCGTGCCTCCGGTCGTCCAGGCTTGCTTCCATCGTTCGATACGCAAGGCGAGAACTTAAGACCTCCTCCGCAGCGCTACCAGATTCCGCGCGGAGTTGCATCTGAGGGACGCGCATCTCGATACGAGTGATGTTTCGGGCCTTGTCGCTGTCGAAGGAGAGCCTGAAGTCCGACGCTGTGAGCAAAAGGCTCTTGGGCGATTCCGCAGGTTCTTGGCCTGGAAGATGGGCGCCTGGCGCCAAATGCGGGAGCCACAAACGGATGGAAGCTTCGCTGATGATGACAAGCAGGGACGAGTTCCTCGTGCTGGCTCGAGCCGTCTCGGTTGAGTCGGTGCTGGACGACATGACGGACATACCCGCACGGCTGCCAAAGAATCGACTGCCAAGGATCTTAAGATCTTCCGCGTCGAGCGTGTCGGAATCGGTCAGTTTGTCGGATGTCCAGAGATGGATCGATTGCGTCAAGTCGTCGGCCATATATTGAAGAGAATCCAGCTGTGATTTGCCCAACTCGAGCTTGACAGATGGTATCGAGACGCTACAGCGGTCTTCGGCTTCTTGTTCGGACGATCCGAAGCTTGGACCGGCAGACGTCTCTGCGATGCGCGAAATTTGAACTCGAGGCAGCAATCGTGTACGAGGGCTGACAGACGGTCCGGACGCCTCTGTGTCGTCCTGAATGGCTTCGATCATGGCCAGGACCAGCGCACGGGACTGCGATGGCAAGGCCAGGTACGCAGAAATCGACTCCACGCTGCATTGACTGGTCACGGTCGGCTCTCCGTTCCGTCCGCCTTCACCGAGCGGTGGTGCGAATCGAATCGCGTTGCTCCTCTTTTGCTTCTCGGCGAGACCTGATCTCACGTCGAGACGCTGCATTTGCAACACCAAGATCCCAGACCTTCTGGCGAGCCCACCCATCCGGGTGGCGCCAAGTTGTCTTCCGGCGAGCGCAGCAGCGTCATACGAGACTTGCGGTGTCCTAACATCGATGCGAACGAAGCTGATCTTGACGTCGAGCTTGTACGGGCTCTTGTTACCTGTGAAGCTTTTTGTGGATGGATCGTCCAGCAAGCTATCGGTCGAAGCCTGAATCGTGGCGACACTGGCTGCAAGGGTAGCCATGGAACCTGACATGTCGTACTCTGCCTCTATCGTCTCTTTGAGAGCGGCGATCTGTGCCGTTGCAAATCTGCGTAGAGCTGGCATGAGGCGTGTGAAAAGTGACACATCCAGAAAGACGTGTACTGGAGCTACTGTCGCATTGACATGCCCTTGTTCGCCATCCGCGTGCGGAAGCAGAGCAGAGACGGCAATACTGGGCGAAGAAGCTTCGACCGTGTTGCCTGGAGCCTGCGATCTCGCTTTGAGCTTCCAGCCGCGGTCTCCATACGCATTGCGGACATATGGGCTCTGTGCAGAGGACGAATAGGTTGAGCGCGTCTCGGCTGTCTTGAACCGCGCAGCCTTGGCGGAGTTTGGGGGATCGCTTGCGGATACATCAGGACGATGAGGTGCCGAGCCACTGTAACGCCAATCAAAGACGTCGACAGTGCTGCTTGCATAGTCGTGCTGAGGTCGCTTTGCAGATGCACTGCTCGGCGCGACAGACTGAGCCAAGTTTGAATCCAGAATCAGAACAGGAAGTACCCGGGATGCTCCGGGCGGACATTGCTGGTACAGGTCCGGCGCGAGGTGCTCGAAGAGACCTAGGTCGTCGGCTGAAATTTGGACCTGCGGCTGGTCTGGTCTCGACTTGTCGTCGGTGGTGACGTTGGTGAATTGAGCAAGGAGCTTGTCACATCGCAAGCGAATATGGCCGAAATCGGGGTGTGAGCGAGAAGGACGAGCCCAGAACGTCTCGAGAGAAGGCTGGCTGCGTTGAAGCACTGCAGGGTCATCGTAGCCGATGATGAGATTGAGACTGCTTACGCGACAGCTCAGTACGAGGCTTCTTTGTAGTCGGAAGGAAGATGAAGGGCTTCTCGGCTGTGTTGCTGCTCGTCGATCGCCTGGCAAAGCGTCTTTCTGCGGTGGAGCATGTCCGAGACTACCAAGCAGCACCATGAGAAGGCTGATATGATCGATGAAGACGACGGCACCGGCGTTGCCGACCTGCACGTCCACGTCGGTCATGACGCGGACGAGCCGCTGAATCGTGCGGCTCGAGGACTCGTCGGACGAGCCTACTTCATGACGCTCCTTGGTGGTCTTGTACGTGATGACAACGGGCTCTGTCCCAAGACTGAAGAGCATGTGCGGCGCATTTGTGACAGGATGAGAGGCGCCAGCCTTGGCAGACCGATGTGACGGACTTCGTTGAGCGGATGCAGGCGCTTCCTGGAAGGCTGATCCGCCTATCGCGCTCTCGTACAGACTTGCGGATGACTCTTGCAGAGAGGCGATCGATTGCGACATGTCCTGGAGATCCGAGCGGGAAGCTGAAAGCGTCTCGTCAGCAGAGTCGTCGGAAGACGAGGAGGAGTCCGTATCTCGGGACGTGGCTTGCTTTCGATAGTCTTGCATCCAGACCTGGAAACCTTGGAGCTCGAGCGTCCTTCTGGTCTCGCTGTACCGACACCGCTGCGGAGACTCTATCGTAGCTGATGCAGCGTCATTGGAGCGGTCGGCATCGGTGTCTTGACCCGCCTGCTCCGTGCGAAGGTTGGAGCTCTGGACGGTAGCACTGTGAAGCTTGAGAGAGAGGTCGACTGCATCTGACAAAAAATGCACTTGCACTCGTTCGATGGCAACTTTCAATCGCGTCAAAAGGGCTTCTACGTAGGTGGCAATGAGCGAGCCCTTGTCCTCCGCCGACTCCCTTTGGTCCTGTCTGAGCTCCTCCGGGTCGAGAGACTCGTGAATCGACTGCTCGATCTCTTGCGCCTCGTCATCCTCGACGAACAGCTGACTTGCTGCGCTCGCAAAGGATGCGGATAGGTCCTGATTGGCATTGGAGCTATGCTCAGCACTCCTAGATCGGGGCTTGACAGACACCGACACATCAGAGACGGTGATGGAGAGCTCGCCGCTCCAGAAGTTGGGAACGGGAAGTTGAATGAGGATGCGTCCGATCTGGCCTTCGACGAACGCTATTGGCAGGGAAGAAAGGCGTCGATTGATAGCTTCAGCGTCGAGTCGAACATTGTGAATCTCAATACGACCGCTGCCGATGCCTGCGTCTATTTGAGCGAGGTCGAGCTGGCCGCCGTCGACGAGATGTCCGAGGGTCCTTTTCAAGAGGTAGGAAAGGATGCGCTTCTGGAGGTTGGCCGAGAGAGAGAACGGCGAGACGGACGCGAGGTTCCAGCCGGTCAGAAAGGACGGCAAAAAGTAGGATGCCATTTTGTGTCGGTATGATATGGTCCCTTGAGCGGAGTGTCGGCCGCAATGCGAGCGCTATCAGCGAAGATTGCTCATCCTCCGGTCGACAAGGTGGCAGTGGTGATAGGCAGCTTGCCGCCTCACCACAACGCGGACAATTCGTAGAGGCCCGACCGACGAGACCAAAGGATGTTGGCTTGTCAAATTGCTGCTCTTTGACGCCCGCGCGAGCAAACAGGATGATAAGTATGGATCAAGCTGGTCGATGGAAAGGTGAACAGCACCTTGAGGACCGGCCAAGTTGCGATTCAGGGTCCAAGCGATTGACACACACACATGCTTGCTGCGCCATCAATATGGCGCAAAATTCAAGAGTGTTAGGCTTTGGTAAGGTTAACACTAATTTGCTGTGAAAAAAGTTAACGCGTCGCGCGAGTCCGCTGTTGCAGAGGATCGAGGCTCGTGCGCAGACCCTGAAGGGCTGAAGCTCCCACTCGATACAGGTCGATCGACTGCAACGCCTATTGATGCATACTGCGGAATGAGAGGCGTGCTGTGCTGCTTGAGGTTCTGGGTCTGGCTGTGTGCAGGGAAGGGCTTTCCCTCGAGTGGTGGGGCAAACTCTGTTGGCGTAGTCTTGCCGAGATGGCCGTGAGCTCGTGTCTGAATTTCTTGATCTGTTGTTCTGAAAGTGGAAAGGGGCAGCCTAAATTTCGAGACATGGGCGGAACCACAATCGGGCAAAGTCATCCTCAGTCAAAGCCTTGACGCTGACCATTCCTCTATCGGATGCTTCCATCAGGTCGAGATCAGACGAGCTTTCCTTCTATCACCTCTACCGCGAAGCGTTCGCTCACGACCACACCAAGCATGCAGACGAGCCGGCATGCAGACGTGTCTTGAGGTGAAACCTTATCCACTCCGTCTCGGCGCGCAACCTTGGCAGCTTTTTCCCACGCTCGACGAAGAGCCTCAGCCTCACAACCGAATGACAACGGAGGTCTTCCGTGCATCAGCTTGAGCACCACTCAGCCAAGTGGGCTCAATGTCGACAAATCCAAGACATCTGCAAGCTCGCGAACTTCTACCTGATCAGTCGACAAGTCTTCAGCAAGCACCTCACTCCAGACTGAGCCCTGCAGCCGGCAAAACGACCGTAGTCAAGTCGAATTCCTTCGATGCGATCCGCTTCTCACTGAATTCCAACTTCGGATCGTCAGTGCGCCCTGCCTTCCCTTCGGTCACGGACCGAAGTGGGTCTGGCATCCCAACACCGCCCTATAGCGAAACTACAAGTAGCGCGAGTGGAAGCGTGGGACGTGCCCGAAAGGACCCGAGCGACGCCTCCTCCTCTCACAGTCACATCTCCGCCCAGAGAAGCCTTCGTCCGCCCGTCACAGATCACACCACTTTGACATCGTCCCGCTCTCCCTCCGCTGCCTCCTCTTCCAACACGGGCAGTGACACGGTAGGCGCGACAAGCCCTCGGCAGCCCGAAGAGGCGAGGTTTCACTCGAGCCGATCCACGGCTCTGCCTGAGGGAGTCATGGCTGCCGATGCAGAAGCGGCTTTACCGCCAAACGGTAGGATGTCGCTAAGTCAACGCGATGCAGGGGCGGGCGATTCGAGCGACTCTCCATCTGCTCTGCGCCCTTCTTCGTCCATGTCCTCGCATACCAGCTCGCCAGGCGAGAGACGAAAGCGTCGAAGCGAGATGCACGAACGCGATGTCACCCAGATACGATCCGAATCACGACTAGGCCTCGGCAACGCCGACGACGATGACGAACTTCATGATTCATACGAACGCGAGCAGCATGCTTTCCCACGCACCGCTCAGCACAAGTACTCTCCACGCAAATCCACCACTCTTTCCATCGCATCGCATCGCTACGACGAGAACGATGCCACTGACAGCAATGAGCCATCTCTACATCAGCGCGCCAGCGTTAGAGGTGTTGGTACAAGCTCGCCTCCCACACCTACCTCAACCAGATCGCCACGCTACACGGGCGGCGATGAGATGCCATCGGGTTCCATGAGACGGCTTTCCAGGACCGTGGGCCAGGCTTCCAGTCGCGCTGCTTTGGATGCACGCCCGGCCTCCTCTGCAGGTCGCAGCCCGATGCCTTCCGAGTTTCGTCTGCCAGGCAAGGAAATTCGCCGCGCCTACCGTGCCGCGCATCAGCGAACCGCCAGCGACTCGGACGGGAGCGACGCAGAGAAACCCGTCACCTCGAAAACCGCCACTCCAGTCCTCGGCGACAAAGCAGAGCTTCGCAGCCCGCCTTCCACTCGGCGTGAGAGCCTTGACGAGATCCAGGAGGAAGGCGCTCTGGACAAGCCAACGGGAGCGCGTTCGCCAAAACATCGACGCGCGTTCAATGCTTCCGAGTCAGCCGCATCGGCAACCACTACCGAAGGGAACCCAGCGCGAATGGACTACGAAGGTCGTCTCGGCACCCAAGGCAGCCGAATCTCTGTCGACTCGTCGTCTGTGCAGAAGTACCTTGCAAGAGGCTCGCAGCACAGCACGCCGTCCAGCTCCGCACGCCGCAGCACACTACAGTCGTCTGATGTTGGCTCGCCCAGCGAGGACGCACGAGCCCGCAAGATTTCGACCACGTCTTCCAATCGATCTCAGAAATCGTCCAGTAGTGCTTCCGAACTTCATCGCGCTGCTTCGCGCGTCAGTATGCGCAACAAGCACGGATCCGACCTCTTCTCCACCGACACGGCTCCTTCCAGCTCCGCGAGCGCGGCGCCCTACAGCCCGTCCGTCCGAACCGAAACCTCTTACTCGTCCAACAACTCGTCGGAGCGTTCGCGAGCTTATCTCGACCAGCCTCGTCGCGTGGACGATGTGGGCTTGGATAGCCTTCGGAGTCAGATTCAGGATCTGAGGGTTGGGCGCGCAGAGTCAGAGGCCGATCGGCGTCGTGCTACGCCCATGTCGCTGCGCACTCAGGCTTATTTAGCCTCTAAACGCTCGTCGTTGGATCTTAACTCGCCTCACCTCGGCTCGGTGCGTGCCCAGTCCGTCATAGGTCTGCAAAGGACGACGAACGACCCTTTCCGCGCGCTACAGATGCCTCAGTATCCTTCCACAGATCCTCAGCGATCTCGGTTCGATCGCAGCTTGCCCGTTGTGGATCCAGACAACTCGTCAGACGCCGTTCGTCGAATCCAAGACCTCGTCAGGCTTCGCGGCGGAGCCAACGCGCAGCCAGTGGCATCTGCAAGAAGTGCCACATCTCTGGGCATGGCAACGGATTCGTTTGCTGCCAGCGCCACCCCAGCCCAGCACGGATGGGCCACAGTAAATACTGAAGAGCCAGCGCCCATCCGTAACCTCGCCGTCCGCCTGGCGCAGTATGAAGCATTGTACTCGAAAGCACCCTCTGCCGATGCGAGCCCTGCTGGCTCCACGGCTGGCTCAACAGGACCCCATACCGCACGCACCGTGGAACTCCTGAGCGCAATTGTCCGGGGCACGTCGACCATGTGGGCAGAGTTGGCATCGATGCATCCCATCGCCACCGAAGGACACCTCATGGGCCGCCCGGGCGATGCATTCACCGAGGCATTTGGCCAGCTCGACGAAGGTTTCGCCTTCGTCAACAAGCTGGTGCTGGAGCAAGCGCGAGCCATGCAAGACTTGATGTTCCTTCTCGATCGCACAGAGAAGGAAAGGCAGGCGCAATTCAACCAGGCTCTGGTGGACATGGGTCGCTCGCCAAGACCTTTCTCCCGCATCGGTACTCCGACCGCGGCTGCACAGTCAACCAATGGCATTGAAGCAGGGACAAGCGCGGAGCGCAACGCCCATGCACTCCGCCGAGCAACGTCAACGGTCCGCAGTGGATCCAGCTTGGCCAAGGATTCGCCTTCCCCCTTCACTCGAACTGCGCGCGGTGCTGGCAGCAGCGCCGAAAGGAGCGGCACACTCACCGCCTCTCAGCTTCGATCGATGACCTCGTTGGGCTACACAAACAACCACGCTCGCTCGGCATCGGAATTCTCGCCTTCGTCCGCAGCTGCGCAGCGTCGGCTCGACCGGGCGTCCGTCAGCTCACCACGTGAAGCATCCACCGACTCACCCTTGTCTTCTCGCCGCCGGGTGTTCCCCACCACCGAGACTGTCGGTGGAGATAGTGGCGTTTCGAGTGGAGCCGACGTCGAGGTGATCCGACCTCCGACAGGCTTGACACCCCGTCGACCGCGACTCAGCAACCCATCCGTCTCGAACGCCACTGCGTCTCTGGGGCCGTTTACCGCCTCGGCCGCGCCCAGCGTCTTTGCATCCAGCCCCGAGGGCAGCCTTCACAACGGCACCGGTGGCGAGCAAATGGATAGCGAGGGCAGCACTGTTGGCGAACACGGTCGATTCATCGGCGAGGTAGACGAGTTCGGTCGGGTTGCCGCACCCGCAGAGATGACACGCGGCTCATCGCGCAGTCAGCGCACGGTACGAGGACCGCGGGTGATCGACACCCTCGCTTCGCAGCTCGACACCCTTCGAGGCGACGAAGTTCCCGTGGACTCCGCTGACCGAGCAAGCAGACGACACACGATGGGCTTTCATGGTGAGCCAACCGACCTCTTGCGCTCCCCACCCAAGCCAGCCAAGGCGACCCCACCCCCGCGCCCACCACGTCACATCCAGCGCCCTTCGGAGGAGTACATCTCGTCCCCTGAACGACGCCACTCCAGGCGGGAGCAGTCCACGCCGACCACCCCTCAGACGGGAGACGTCGTGACCCCCCGCCAGCCGAGTCGGGCCAGCACGAGCATCGAGGAGGAAGCAGGCGGCGCCTCGGCCATGGTCAGAAGTCTAGGTCGGACCGCCGCCCGCCGCGTCAGCCGCGTGCTCGGTTCCGGTCAGTGAGGCTCTCTCAAATGTGATTTCCACACACGCAATAGTCCCCAATGTATGAGTGCCGTCAGCGCACGAATGTATCATGTCATGAAATGACAAATTGTATTGCTGCCATTCGCCATTTGTGCGTGTTGCTCTGATCTGTGTGCGTCTTTGCTAGAAGAACCCACTGCGATCCGTCGAAGGGCGTCTGACGGGCGAAGCCGGCCTAGCTTCACCGATGCTCAAGTTCCGCTCGAACTCTGCCTCCACCGGGCTAGCAACATAGTCATCCGTGTGTGCGGTAGTGCCACCATACACATCCTCCACCACCTCGGGCAAGCTCGGCGAGGGCGGCGGCTCCTCATTCCGCCTAGCCAAGCCCGCCAATGACCGCCGACTGCTTACGGACGAAGCCGAATTCTGTCTCCCCTTGACCATGCGTTTGGACCGCACGAGCTTGCTGTCCGCCGTGGTGGGCGAGGGGAGCGCGTCGTCCGTCAGCGTATACTTGCGGACTGCTATCTGGTCTTGAGAGGTGGGCGAGTCGGTCGTGTTGAAGTGCTCCGAGGCCGGCGTGCCCGGCTGAGAGGCGTCGAGCTTGTGGACGTTCAACGGCTCCTCGGAGACCACGTTTTCGCCCAGCGCCGCATCCGCTCCATCGACAATATTGGTCGTCTGGCTGCTACGGTTCGACATGAGGTTGCCCAGCACCGACTCTGACATGGACGCCGTGCGTGAATCGATCGTCGAGCTCGACGTGCGTTGTCGATTGGAAGCGCGCGGGCGCGAGATGCTCGACGTCGTCTGCACCAGCGGCACGTCGGACGAGCTGGCTACATGGCCAAATTCGGGTCGTTCGGCATCGGTGGATTTGGTGGCTCGCGCGAAGGCGCCTGCTGACACCGTTCCGTCTTTCGTCACCGAGCCCTGTAGCGTGCTGCTGAGCGCAATGCGGGCGTCGGTATTGGCAGCCGGACGAGGAGGCAGAACAGCCGCTGAGCTTTGCCCTGTCAGACTCGGCAGCGGCGGCACAGCACCAGCCTCCGACAGCCCGGGCATGCTCAGATCCGCAAAGTCGGCCACGGAGCTGCGCCGGCTATCGGCGACCGAGGCCGCTCGCGACGATCTCCCGCTGACGCTCCCCGCTACGCTGTTGCCGTCCTGATGACTGTTCCCGCGGCTCATGCTGTGCGCCATTGGCCCCGACGAGACCTTCCTACTCGGCTCGTCGGCCGCACGCAGATTCGGACTGTGACTCCCCTCGCGAGGCGGCCTCGCCGACTGCGATAGAAGCAGCGGCTTCGGCCCTGCCGAACGGGTGCTGCTCGGACTGGCCGACTCCTCGCGGAAGCGTTGCGGCAAAATGCCCATGCGTGCAGCCGCTCGCATGCTGGGCAGAGGGAAGGAGGATGCGCTTTCGCTACCCCTTCGCTCGCGGCTATCGTCCCCGGTGACAGAGCTTGATGGCGAAGTGCCACGGCCGTTGGGCGCCATGCTGATGCGTTTGCCAAACGTGTCGACATACTCCATTCGGCCTGCCGGGCTGTCGGAGACGTTGGGCAGGGGAAAGTCGGGCATTGTGTCTCGCGACCAACGGGTGATGTCTGGTGTGCGGGGTGAGCCCCAACCCGCTGCATGCGGCTGACTCTCGCTGGCGTTTCGCTTGGACCGGGTGAAGAAGCCTGCGCTGACAGAGCCCAGCGAAGCGAAGCGGGACTCCGAGCCGGTCGGGCTCGTCGGGAAGCCTCGGCCGAGCGAGCCATACATCTGATGCGGAGAACCCGACGCCTCGGGGGTCGACTCGCGGCTGCCTCGATCACCAAAGCGGGCCATGGTTCTCGCCGTAAAGTTCGTGCTAGCTTTGGAGAGGTTGGCGGCAGCATCGCTCGCCTGGACTGCCTCGGCGTATTTAGCCAAGAAGCCGCTGAAGGTGCCCTTCGATGACATGGACGTGTCAGAGGAAGCTCCGTCGGCAGTGCTGGCGATCGAGACGTCGCCGTCTTCGGTGAAAGGTTCGCTGGGCCGCGGTCGAGCTCTGGACACGAGCCAGCCTCCTTTCGTCACTGGCGGCGTTGCATCTGGAAGCTCCTTGACGGGCGTAGACGGCGAAGGTGATTCTTGTCGTGGACCCGTCCAATCGCGCCAAGCCTGCGCCGCTCTGGCTTTGACAGCAGCCAATCGAGGATTGATCTCTTCGTCATCGTCGTCGCTGACGTCGGGTGGTCCATCGCCGGTCAGATCAGCAGCCAGGCGTCTTTGTCGAACGAGGGTAGCTGCTTCCACAACTGGACTGATGTCGCCTTCCGGATAGTTCTGCAGGACTCGCATGCCGTAAGAAAAGGCCTCGCTCTCAAGGTCGAAGTCATCAATGCTGTGCGGCAGACGATCCTGAATCTGCAGCATCATGGAAGCGCAGACGTCGATGAGGAACTCGATTTTGGCCGAGCCCGCCATGTCCGCCGATTCCTGCTCTGCGAGCAACGCGTCCCAGATTCGCAGCACGGATGGCAAGGACAGCTCCGTGCTGAGAAGGCACGCAAGCCATCGAAGCGAGTAGTAAGGCAAACGCGGATCTAGAGACGCGGACTTGAGGTTGCGCCACAATGGTGGATCAAGCCATTTGATGCGGAGACTGAAGCGACGGAGGGCACCTGCCATGCCGGAGTGGGAGGGTTGACGTTCGGCCGAAGCAACGCTGCGACTTTGCTGTTCGATGCGCTCAAAGTCGTAGAGCTCTCGCATCTCGCCGATCAATGCAGAAAAGCACCAGAAGGCATCAGCCTCTGCATGTGTGGTGAGATCTGCGAGGTCGACGTCGTTATCCCAAACCTTGTACGCTGAGCCGTCTGAGTCGGCTGTGATGTTCTGGAGAGAGCTGCTGGGTGTGATGCCGATGCTAGCCGTGGGTGGGTACTGGGCTGAGCCAAAGACGTAGAGCAAGGTGAAGAGGACCTCGTTCATGCCCTGGACGTAGCCGATGCTGGGGTTGAGAAGGGCGAAGAGGTAGAGAACACGGAGGAGCGAATGCCAGTTGCGCTGGGTGGGAATGCTGGATGGATGCTGCGCGGACGACTCTGGCACGCCATCGGTGTCTTCGGAACTTTGTGCGCTGTGACCGCGAGCGCTAGCAAAATCGTCCATAGCTTCATTGGCAGAAGCAAAGGAGTGCTGCGAGGATTCGCGTGACATGCCACCGGGAGAGGGCGGCGACAAGAGTATTGGTGGACTCTTGATGGGCTCGTCGAGAAAGTCGGATGGTTCGTGAGGTGCTCCGATTCCTTGTTCCAGCAGCGGGAGGTCGGTGCTTGGCTGCACATGTAGGATCTGAGGCGGCTGCCGTGAGCCGCTGGCTATGCTGGTGGAGGCGATGCGCTCGATGTGGAGCTGTTGAGCGTAGTCATGGCTGATGGCTGCAAGGCGGTTCAGGACATGATCCCGTGTTTCGAGCCTTCGTACTGGTATCTGGGTTGGTATTGACGGCTCAGCGTCGTTTGGAGGAAGAGGAGCGATGGGACACGAGGCGCTGGGTCTTGGTGGAGCTTGATAGAAGGCAAAGCCATTCTTACGCGAGCGAACGAGATCCTTATAGATCTGGTCAAGGAGGCGATCTTGATGAGTGACTTGATCCGAAGGGATTGGTTCATCGGAAGAAGGAAGAGAAGGAGAGAGATCGTTGACGAATTGGTAGTATTCTCTGCGCCTCTTTGCCAGTGTCGAGGACCACTCCTTCTTTTCTGGCGGTAGGTAGCCGAGGAGCACCTTCCAAGCTTGAGCTCTGAGCCAACTGGGAGAATCTGGAAGACCGCCGCGAAGAGTGAAGTGGCGCAGACTGTAGAGGTCTGCGGTGGTGTGGCCTGGCAGCATGTCGTTGGGATCGAGGAGCTGCAAAAGCGAGCGATCTCGATCCGCGGCAGCAGCCGAAGCTGCGTTGCCACGACGGGCCTGCGGAGAGCTCATGATGTCGTGCGTTGCTTCCCTTGAGTTGCCGCCGTCATGTGTGCCTGACTGTGACGAGTCGATCGAGCTCGACGGCGCTGCCGCTACTGAAGCACTTTGTGCACGGGCCGGTCAAGGCGCGGGTATGGTCGGATTGGAAGCCGCACTAGCCAAGCGATTGCAAGTGAGCTCAGTCGAAAGCGCAACACAAGCTGAGCGATGTGACTGTGATAAGAAGAGTGTGTGTGTCGGGGAGACCGAGAGCTTCCAGTGGTGATGAGTATTGGAAGTGACGATGTGAGAACAACACAAAGAACGTGAATCGATCCTTCGGAATCACGCCGAATTAAGATTTCCACCTCAAGCCGAACCAGACTCGCGTGAAGCAACGATCTTCGGATCGACCGAACAGCCGCGAGGCTCCTTGAGGCAGTGAATCTCACCATGTCTCATCGACACGGTCTTGCAGCTTGCAGAAGTGTCGTGCATGCTTTCGAAAAGAGCAAGCGACCCTCTGATCGATGAACATTCGGCTGCACAGCGTCAAATCTGGCAGATGAGCTTCTCATTTTCAAGACATGTGAGACAGATGCAGGTCATGCAGAAGATCAAAAGTCGTGCGTGAGACAAATGCTTGAGTTGTGGCAGCGTCGTATAACTAGCCTAGAAGAGCTGCTTCGGCGCTGGCCAGAGCTGTCAAGATCAAAGCTTGCACCTCGACACGCACTCACGTCGTATCAATTCGGGCTCCGCTGCATCATCTCGCACAATGGTACGCATCGGTTCGTGCTTCTCGTCAGGCACTGGCTCTTATGCTTGGGACATGAGTCTGTTGACATACTCAGCGATGCACTGTGAATTACTGCGGTGTTGCTGCGATGGGCACTCGTAGTCATCGCGAACACCGCCAAGCTCATACAGTCGGTGGAAGCCTGAGCAGGATCTTCTACCGGAGGAGAAGAGAAACAAGGGTCCAGCACGGACTGCTCTCAGCTTTTTGTGTCAAGAGAAGCCTGGTCAGGGGCTGTGACAGCTGAAATGAATCACCTCGGGCCTTGCCTCTGCTTTGTATTTCGAATTTGTATTTCACCGCCAACTTTCAAGCTTGCCAAGCACAGCCAATTTCAAGCCCTCTCAGCCGGCTGCCAGATCCCGTGGAGAGCTCCAGCCACGACCTCGCGACTCGACAACACACACACACACACAGGTGACAGATAGCTTTGACTCTTGACGCGTGCCTCCCGTGGGCTCTAAATTTTGGTACAGCAGCCTGGCTTCGCAGGGTTGCATGACAAAAATCAAGGCAGCAGCCAGGCAGCCGAGCCAGGTGACAGAGCAAGCTTCACTGACGAGAGGAATATCTCCGAGGCCGCTTTGACCTGGCTTCTCGACACCATCGTCCATCTCTCTCTCTTCAACTCGACCTCTCTAGCACGCTCGTGGATTCGTCGCAACCTCCGTCTCATTCTCGTCCCGTATTTGCTAGACCAGCCGTACCTCCAAACACCAGACGTCCTTTCACCGCACCGCACCGCGGTCAACTTACGAGCACTTAGAAGTGCACCCTCTCAGCCACCATGGCCATCTTCAAAAGGAAAACTCGCGCCACCGACGCAGGTCCTGACGCACGAAATGGTTCGACCGATGATGCAGACAGCGACGCCGCCTCCGCCAAGGGTCTGCGCAAGTATGCCCAACGCAAGCCTGCCAACACTGCATTCAAACAGCAGCGCCTGAAAGCGTGGCAGCCCATCCTCACGCCTCGAACCGTCCTGCCCGCCTTCTTCCTCGTCGCCATCATCTTTGCCCCCATCGGCGCCGTGCTCTACTACTTTGCTGAGCAGGTCAACGAGTTCACGCTCGACTATACACAGTGCTCCACCGCGCCCGCCGCGCCAGAACAGGCGCAAATCCCTTCCAACAAGTACGACTACCAGCTGCACAACAAGAACACGAGCAACTTCCAGCCCCCGACCTGGTCGTGGAATGCCGATTCGAGGACTTGCAACTTGTACTTCAGTGTCCCCTCCAGGCTTGAATCGAGCGTGTTCCTCTACTACAAGCTCACCAACTACTACCAGAACCACCGTCGCTACGTCAAGTCGATAGACTCGAGCCAACTCGATGGCGATGCGGTAGCGTACAACACCATTTCCGGCGGTACATGCAAGCCTGTCGACGTGGATCCTACGACACGCAAAATCATCTACCCGTGCGGTCTCATCGCCAACTCTGTTTTCAACGACACTTTCGGTGATCCCGTCCTGCTCAACGTGGCCGGTTCCAACGCTGCGAACCAGACCTACGTCATGAGCGAGAAGAACATCATCTGGCCTGGCGAGAAGAACAAGTACTCGCGCACCAAGTACACCGCCGAGCAGATCATCCCGCCTCCTTACTGGCAGGGCGCAACAGGCGAGTTCGGCTTCCCCAACGGCTACACGGAGGGCAACATCTTCGACCCGAGCGATAATGAGCACTTTATGGTCTGGATGCGCATCGCCGGCTTGCCCACATTTAGGAAGCTCTACAAGAGGAACGACAACGACGCGATGGAGCCCGGAAGGTATCTCTTGGAGGTCGTGGATAACTATCCGGTCGCCATGTTCGATGGCACTAAGAGCGTGGTGTTCAGCACCTCCAGCTGGGTCGGTGGCAGGAACCCATTCTTGGGTCTGTCGTTCATTGCGGTCGCCGCACTGTCCGTGCTGCTCGGGCTGGTGTTCACCGCGAGACACTTGATCAAGCCAAGGAAGCTGGGTGACATGAGCTACCTGTCCTGGAACCAGCCCGAGACCAAGTGATCCGAGAACCTTTCATCTGTTTGTCGACGCTTCTGTTTGATCAGCTTGTCAATGCATTGTTTCGTTCGGATGTCTAGGATGACTGTGGTGGGAGTGAACAGGAATCGGCTGCTGATCCGTCGAGAACGAGCACGCAGGCTACGACGATGTCGACACCTTGCATCATTGCACACGAGATAATTATCACGGATGTCAGCAACCGCCCAGCTGCCTACGCCAGTCAGACTCCTGCCTGACTCGAGGCAGGATCCTGGCTAGCATGGACAAGTGGGCAGCGTCGGACATCCCCGTGACGATCATCTCGTCAAAATGATGCAGGGCATCAACATCACGTAGCCTGCGTGCCGATCCTCCCAGTGCATGACGGTCGGGTCACGCTCCGTCTGCCGCCCCCTTCCCCTCGCTATCCTTCCAATTCGGCATGAGCTCGTTTGACGGCACGCCCTATGGGTGGAGGATCTTCTGTGCCACCTCGTCACCCGCCACGGGCAGCCTCACTCCCTCCACCATCGAGCTCTTCACCGGGTCAACCAGTCCCAGCTGCACCAACGCATTCGCCTGATCCCAATACAGACTCTCGTAAGCCAGCTTGTCCCCTCTCAAATTGACTATCCCCACCATCGGTATCCTGAGCCTCTTGCCCGTGGGCGGCACACCCGGCAAAAAGTAATCGATCATCGTCGTATGTGTGCAGGTGAAGACCATCTCGTCGATGATCCTGTCCACCCCTACGGTGCGCGATAGGCCGATCAGCTGCGTGTCCGGGGGGCTGACGGTTGTGAAATGGTGCTCGTAGAACCGGTGTAGCTGGGTGAAGCCAGAGCCGCCGGTCAAGCAGGCGACGTGGTTGACGTAGGGCTCAGAGACCATGGTGGACATGGTGGCGGCGGCGTCGCGAGTAGCGAACTCGTAGTAGGTGTGGCGGTCCCATAGCTGTTCGAGCGGGAAACGGGGACCCATGGCGGACTTAAGGGTTGTGAGGGTGCGAGTGTACGATAGAGCTGCGGCAGAACGGTGGGCTTCCGTGAGGGAGAAGGACGACGGGAAAGCGTAGTCCTTCGTGTTGGAGGAGAAGGGGAATGCACACGCCCACTGCGAGGGCTCTCCTTCGTGTTCCACCGAGTATGTGAAGACGGATAGGGATTTTGGTCTGATCGGACCTACGGAGGCGGTTAGGCTGCCCAGCTCAGGATGGAAGGGTAGCGCATCGTGCGAGATGTCTCCCCGCTTCGCCGCTTCGACGAGCCTTCCAATCAACGGAGACACTTCCGCGAGGTGGAGAAGCAGCGGATAGTCGGAGCGCTGAGCAGCGGCGAGGGCTTGCGACTGCGTCAGCTGAGGGCCGTAGGCGACGTGCGCTGACAGCCCTCCTTTTTTGGATGTTTCGTTGTGCAGCTTCGACGGAAGATCGACATCTCGTTCTGGCAGACCGAGCGTGATGAGCGCCGTATACCTGTTCCACCCGCCGGCATGGCCGTCGATGAGGTGGAGGAGATTAAGTGCCACGGACCAGCCGTCTGTGTCTGGCGTATCTTCGTTATGGGCCGTTGGCCGGCGTCGAAGCGCTTCGATCGAGGCCGAACTCGGAGTAGCATCGACCAGCACCACCTGGTAACCCTCTTCGGAAAGGTTGACGGCGAGACCCTGCGTACCAGCATGCCATGGCCCGAGTAGCAGCACGGTGGGCGCTCGCCCTGGGATCCTTGCCGGATCCACCGCACTTTCGTAGACTTTGAACTGGATCTTGCTGGACATGGTGGTGGGTGAGTCGGGTCTCGAGGTGAGGTGGAAGCGTGAAGAAAGGAAGGCGCAATGGGTGCTGCGCAGAGCTCATTAAGGATGCTTCGGAAGCGCTCCCGCATGCACGTCTCCACACTGACATCACTCTTAAGAGTCACAAAAATTAAGGTTTCTCCAGGGTTGCGCGGGTGCTCTGCCGCGGGTTCAACGCGGGCAAAGCCGATGCCCTCGCACTCTTTCCTATCACAATCGCACGCTTGTCACGAATCTCACGATCCTCTCAGACTCGATCGGAGACGCCGCAAGCGTGTTAGGACACGACTTGAATGACTGAAGTAGATCAAGCAGTCTTCGCCATCTATTGAAATGTGATTCTACAAGGACCGCGTGCGGACTCTACTGCGACTCCTTGGCAGCCTCGTCTCGCAGCAATCGACGCAGGATCTTGCCCGATGGACTGTGTCAATTCGCAAAATGAAAAGGTGGGTCAGTCTCTGCAGCTCGCACGGTGCGTCTGGCACTGTTGGGCGTGAGCACGTACCTCTTGGGAATCTCATCCAGGATCTTGACGCCGCCGCGCAATCGCTTGTGGTTAGCGACCTTCTTTGCGGTCCATTCGATGATGTCCTTGATCGCGGCCTCCGCGTTCTCGCTCTTGTCCTTGAGCACCACGTATGCGCGTGGCAACTCCGTTGCCTGCTCGTTGCTGTGGATGCCAATGACAGCTACATCTGCGACCTTGGGGTGGGACAACAATGTTGCCTCCAACTCAGCAGGGGCCACCTGGAAGCCCTTGTACTTGATGAGCTCCTTCTTGCGGTCCACGATCCAGAAGAAGTTGTCCTTCATGATGGCAACATCGCCTGTCTTGAACCAGCCATCTGGTGTGATGCAGTCCTCGGTGGCAGCCTTGTTGTTGAGGTAGCCCTTCATGATGGTTGGTCCACGGACCCAGAACTCGCCCGGCTTGCCGTTTTCGCCCTGCTCGTGGCCGACGTCGTTGCCATCCTCGTCGACCAGTCTGCCCTCTACGCCAGCAAGGAGTCGACCACAGCTTCCCATGTGGTCGTGGTACTCGTCTGGACGGGCAAACGTTGCCGTCGGCGAAGTCTCGGAGAGGCCCCATCCCTGAGTCACCTTGAGCCCCGGGTGCGCCGCCTCCACCTCCAAACTGAGCTCCGTACCCAGCGGTGCCGCGCCCGACATGACCCACTGCAGACTCTTGAGGTTGTACTCCTTGGCACGAGGGTCCTTGGCCAGCAGCACCAGGATCGGCGGGACCACATATGCGATGTTGCACTTAAACTTCTGCACCGCCGAGCAGAAGACGTCCAGGTCGAACTTGGGAACGACGACAGACTCGGCACCTATGAATAAGCCCTTACAGATCGTTTTGGCTAAGCCGAAGATATGAAAACAGGGCAGGACGGCAAGGTATCTGTCGTTGGGCCCAATGGCGTCTCCGAAAGTCTTGGCGATGGCGGTGGTGACTGCGGTCATGTTGCCGTGCACGAGCTGGACGCCCTTTGGCTTGCCGGAGGTGCCGCTCGAGTAGACGATAAAGACGTCTTCGGTGCGGTCGTCGACGACCTTGTGCGTCTCGAGGCGGTCGTCTCCCATCAGTGTGCGCGCATCGAGCTCTCCCTTGTCGCCCTTCTTGAGGCTGTCCCCGTCGTCCAAGATCCAGAGGCGGTTCTGACCGTTCTTTGACTTGAGACCGTAGTTGGCCATCTCGAGGCCCTCTCGCGCCGTGCTGAGCACACTCTGGTGGCAGAAAATGTACTCCATCTGCGAGTCGTGCAGAGGGTGACCGATCTCCTCAGGGCCATAAGCTGGGTTCATGGGGACGAGCACGACACCGGCACAGAGACCGGCGTGGACGATCCATGGGTAGGCAGTGCTGTTGGGCGAGATGATGCCGATCCTCGAACCTGGCTGGAGGCCGAGCTTGTGACGCAGAGCGTGGGCAAGTCGTCGCGAGTCGTCCTGGAGCTGCTTGCGCGTGATCTTCTTGCCATCGAGTCGGATATAGGCGGGCTTGTTCTCGTCGACCTTGTTGGGGTTGCTGTAGAGGAAGTCGAAGAGGTTGCCTCGCTGCACGCGCGGCGGCGCCGGCTCGAGCGACTTGAGGATCTGAGGTGCCATCGTGAAGCGTCTTTGATGGGATGCGGATGGATGGTGGTTGAGGATGGAGGAGGGGCCCGAGTGCCTTTTAATGAAGAAGCAGGGCGATAAGGCGGGGAAAGGGTCACAGCGGCGTGGAACAAATCAAATTCACGTTGTGGGGCCTCCGCGACCTCTCAGAATTTAGCCGTCGGTCCACGGCTTTGGTGACACACGACCACCGTTGATGGACGGCTCGCTCGACTGACTTCGCGGACTTTCAACCAATCGCCCGACTACCATGACCCTTCTGCATGTCACTGCGGACTTGGGCGGTGCTTTCGAGGGCTGCGAAAGTTTGCGCTGCTGGATGATGCACACCGACCGGCAACCGGTTGCAAAAGTAGCCTGAAATTGAGATCCGCTTGTGCCGGTCTGGCGCGCGCAAAGGTCTGCCGACCGGGCCGACAATTTTTCGCGCCTCCCTTCTACATGTTAGAGCTTGGTTCGTTGGGATCTTCGCAGCAGAACGACGATCCTTCCCGTCTTGGCCTCAGTCGGTGTTGGTGGCAGAGCTTCGAGTGAGAGGTGAATGGCTCGTACGAGCTGGACGCCGGCCCGACGATAAGGAACGCCCCTTGTCTTGCAGCGCCGATCCGAATTGGCACAGGAGGAGAACCGGGACGGCTTCGAGGCTGCCGCATGTCTCGGCGGCAGTCACGCTTGCAAGAGGCGACAAACAAACGCCGCGTCGTGCCTTGATCTGGAAGAACTTTGGCTAGATTAGCCGTGACAGAGGCCGTCTTGGTGAGACTTGACCCTTGAGCCGTCCAATCTTTGTCTGGATGACGGCGTCGTGTCTGACCTCCTTGGCACAGTATGAGGGTGCCCGCGCGTTTCTGGTACATCCGCGAAGTGTATCGCTGTTGTTGCCATGTGTCCATCGCTTCTGCTCCCAGCAGCTGTCTTTTTGACGCCCCAATTTTGACCCTGCCTTTTTCGAATTGGTAGTTGAGATAGTCATCACGGATCGTCGCCCTCTCCTTTGTAGCAAGCTCTCGGACTCGAGCGACTCATGCGCCCGTCCGACGTGTGCCAACGCCGCCCAGGCTCACAGCCAAGCCGCGCCTGTCGATTGCAAGTCTCAGACATAAAATCGGCAGAGCCGCAGGATGATTATATCAGCAATCGTCAGCCGCCAGAAGCGACGAGGCACAGCAAGGAGTTTGCCGAGGCGAGTCCTATTTCGACTGGCAGCAGTCGAGCTGAGATTCTCGACCGTCTAGGCGATAGTCATGCGCATGCATGGCCGAGACCACCACTGTTTCAAGACGACAAAGACGCCGGGGCTCCAACCTGCACGGACAACGCAGCTGCCGTCTACTGCACAGTAGATCTCAGAAGATTGCAAAGCGCTCTGTTGTGCGCGCCGGCAAGGACGAGAGCGTGGACAATGCCGGACTAGCGAGGGTCGGACGCACGCTGCATGCAAAAGAAGGTTGCGTATCGATCCGAGGTTGGCGAGTTCGGTGAGCTGGAATGGGCTCTCCAGCGCGGGTGGACACTGACTCTGGCGTCGTTGCTGAATGCTGTGGAAGCAGGGTTCGCCTGTCAGCTCGGCACCTGCACGCCGCTGCACGCTGCACGCTTCCGAATTGCTTCTGCCCCGAGAGTGTCGATGCGAAGTGCTCCAGAGCGTGTCGTTCCGTGATACCTCGCCTCGTGCCACATCCTTCTGAATTCATTGGACGGTGAAAGACCGCCTTCACTATCTTGTCGACGTCTCGACAGCGAAGACCGACGTGTCGAGCCATCACATGGGAGAGCTCGTCGCCAAGCTGGCCAAGGCTTGGCCAGCAGGGCGCAGTCGGAGTTCGTTTTGCCGAATCACGAGAGCCAAAAGACAATAGAGCGAGGCGTGTCAGTCAGTCAGTCAGTCAGAGTCAGGGTTCAGCTGGAACAAACAGTCGCGTCGAGAAAACGTGAATTTTAGGCTCGAGAGTTTCTTCTGGTGTGTTGCTCTTTTGGCTCGTCAGACGACCAAGACCCTTGGCAGCGCAGAGCGCAGAGCAGAGCTGCGGAAAAGGTGGTGCATGCACGGCTCAACTGCGGCCCCGCTCGCTCGCACGCATGCTGCTGCCGCCTCCGTCTTGTATCTGCTGAGCCCCTTCGCCTGGCAGCCCGCATTTGCGCTTGATGTCCTGTTGCTAGCCGAGTCGACGTCAAAAGGGTCTCACCTGCCTAAGCGCCAACCTGCGTGCGAGAGAGCTGCAACTCGATTGGTTCGAGGGCGTAGCGAAACTGAGCCTGCCAAAATCAAGGTGCGAGCGCCATGTGCATGCGCGTTGTGTGCGTGGGTTGCGTGTGGTGCGTGTGCAAGTGTTGGTCTGGCGTGGCCCATTTCATTTCTACCGGATTCGCTGCTCTGCATCCCACTCTTTCCTGATCACATCGTCCCTCCATTGCTGCATCTCATCTCATTCCCCTTCTGCATCATCACCATCCTCGCGGTAAGCTTCGCATCTCTTCCTAAGATCACATCGACGGATCGATAGCCCGGACATCAGCCTCGGAGCAAGCCGTGCGCAACCCGAACTTGACAAAGCACCTGGATCGGATGCGAGCCGACTGCTCTCAGACACCCGCGCGCGCTTTGGCTGATCTCAAGCCTGCGCTCAGCCTTGACCACGTCTCAATCATCGTAGAGCGTGATCGGCAGTAGCATCTGGCTCAGTCCGCTGACCTCACCGACATTGGCTTGGCCCTCGCTCCGTCGTAGTAGCGCTCGTCAGCATGCCGCTCCCATCGCATCAAGCCGGCCAGCATGCCGCCTCGTCGCAGCAAAAGCATCAACACGATCCCTATACCCAGCAACATGCTCACCAATACCACTCCCACCAGCAATCGCAGCATCAGACACACCAAGACAAGCAGCCGTCACAACCAATAGGTCGCAGTCAATCCACCTTCAATTTCCTCCTTAGCAAAGCAAAAGCTCCTTTCTCCTCCTCAGCGAGCTCCTCCAACCTCAATGCGTCCACTTCTATGTCGTCGCTCTCGGCAGCGCAGCAGGATGATCCTTTCGATGACACTACCAACCACCTCTCTTACCATCGACAGCTGCAACAGGAGCACACCTTCCCTCATGCTCCTCCCAGCTCTGCACAGTCTCGCAGGACACCCAGCGGCAACCTCGAAAAGACGCCACGCGCCGTGCAGCACCACCATCAACACACCGATTCGAATGCTTCTTCACATCCCAGCTGGTCAGCAGCTCCTCCTCGTCCGAGCTACGCGGAGGATGCCCACGGCGGTGGGGCTGTGTCCAGTCCCACCAAGCGAGGTTTCTTTGGCGGCATCGGCCGAGACCGCAAATCTTCTGTGGCATCCATCAAGCAGCCCGTCCCTCAAAAGAACTTCTCCCACAGCCCCTTATCCAAAGGACAACGGACAGAACCTTCCATCAGCAGCAGCAACTACTCGCAGTACAGCCGAAGTCAGTCCGATCTGCACGCCCGCACTGACCTTTCTTCTCCTCACGATAGTACTGTCGAGCTGCCGCGCGTGCCCGCTCTATATCAGCAGCAGCAGCAATCAGCACCGGTGTCTGCCGACCCCAATCGCTACCTGCGCTCGCCCAGTCCTGCACTCCAGTTCTCGAGGAGCGTCGACAACCTCAGCTTGGCTGAGCAGTCCGTTGCGCCGCTTTCCACTTCAGCGGGCTATGACGGCAGCAATCCGACCTCCACCACGGCCTCATCAGCAGCACCATCTGCGACCTGGGGTGAACACGGCGTGCCTGGTGCTCAGCCATACTGGCGACCTAGCGATATGGGCACCCTTGCAACGCCCTCTCAGCAGCCCAATGCTCCGTCTCCACGCTTCAAAGTCGGACACAACAAGCTCGACTCGGTCGCATCGCATCTGCAACCCTCCACGACCTCTGTTCAGACATCGCCTAACAACTGGAACAGCATGTCTCCTCCTCAGATCAGCTACATGCAATCAACGGCAGGCCAACGGACCGATTTCAAGCACGCGCGCAAGCTTTCCAAGCTCACAGGCAAGGACATGGGTCGTGCAGCGGTGGGTGCAAGCCTGGCAGCATCGCTCGGACTCACGAACCTTGGTGCTTCCGCTGCCTCCTCGAATCAGTCGTCGATGGAAAGCGCATCAGAGCCCGTACCACTTCCCGCAGGCGCCGTCTTCCAGGCCTTTGTCAACCGCAACGCTAACATCAGCCTCACACTTGCTCAGCTCAGTGGCCATGATCACGGCAAAGGCAAAGACAAGGAAAAGGATGTCTCCAAGGGCTGGAAACCGTATCGTGTCGTGCTGCAGGACGGCCGAGTCTATTTCTACAAACCGCCCAGCAACGTCTCGGACGAAGTCAAGGCGCTTTTCCCTACTGGCATCGTTCGCAATGTGCCCGGCACCGCTTCCGCCTCCCAGTCGGGTCTCAACGTCGACGTGCTCATGAGGAGTGGCCTGAGCAAGCAGGATCTCCTCTCGGCCACCTCGAGCAGCACAGAGCTCACTTCGCCACTGTCATCCCCCGGTCTCCGGCCACGACCTCCAGCCGCGCGATCGAACAGCAATAAGTCCGGTGGTGCTGCGTCCGCCGAGCTACCTTTGACGCCAGTAACGCCCTCTGCTGGCCCGGCGATGGCAGAAGCAGTCATCGCCGGACACCGAGCCTGGATCAAGTCCGGAAAGCATCCCGACCTGGTCTTGGTCGATGCCATCGATGCGCCCCAGAGCTGGGCGGAACGCATTCAGAGCGGCAGCATTGCGGCATTGGCCCACGAATTCGTTCAGGCCACGCAACTGCCTGCAGCGAACGAGCAAGCGCGAGCTGCCAGCGTGAGGCGATCCGTCGCATCGCCTTTCTTTGACCACGTCAAGCAAAGCGGGACTAGCGACATACTCGCAGAGGCTTTTGTGGTCGCCGTGTTTGTGTCCGTCACGACCGGAGAAACAGCCGCGCAGCCACTGTCGAAGCAGTCTGTCCAATTCATCTCGGAAGTGCACGCATGCGCAGAAGCGCTGCTCAGCAACGCTAAGGAGGACTCGACCAACTCTACGTCCGCGATCAAATCGCGATTGGCCACGTTGCTGGACGTCGCTGTGCGAGCTGGCATCGCTCAGACGTCAGAGGGTCTCGAAGCCGTTCAACGTCTCGCCCATCTGATTCAGCTTGAAAGAGACGAGCTATCGACAAAGGTGACGACATCGGAAGCGCCCATCCTCAACGCCGATGCCTTGAAAGCCCGGGAGGCCATCGACTGGGTCAGCTTAGCGGCCGACAAGGACATGAACGATACGCGCGACGATCTGCGGAAATTACGTAGCACACTCGCCATCTCGGACGATCTCTTGCTCCGACTGGAACCGCTCGAGATTGCACAACAAATTCAACACTTCCATGCTGATGCTCTGCGTCGCTTGATTGGCCCGAGCATCACGCTATGCGAATTGCTCGGGGCTGCCAGGGCCGAAAGCCAGCTCGTTGGCGCGCTGAGCTTCGACTCGTTGTCTCCACATCCAATCACGACCTTGGCCCTCGGACATCTCCTCAGCTCAAACGCAGGCAGCACTGAAACAGCGAATGCAGCTCAAAATGGGGCTCGCCACCGCGCTTCCGTGCTCCGTCATTGGATTGCCATTGCCTCTTACCTCCTCACGCTGGGCGACGTTGCAGGCTGGATGGCCGTCAGCACCGCATTGTGCTCCCGCGCAGTGACCCGCCTAGAACAGACATGGCGCTACCTGGCCGAGGGGGACCGCGTGCTGGTGGCGGAAGAGTGGGCACCTATCCTCTCCAGCATCTCTTGGACGGAAGGTCTGGCGGCCAATGTCCGAGCCCGCTTTGTCGGCGATGGAGCAGAGTGTTTTGTCACGTTGCCAGACGGCAAGAGAACGCTCGCGATTCCTTTCCTCGGCAACGCCCTCTATCGCACATTGCGCCCCTCGCTTGTTGTTGTGTCGACCCCAACCGAAGGTGACCAGCTCCCAATCTCGAGCAGAGCGGATGCCGCGATCGGTCTGTGGACATCGGTCAACGAATGGCGCGCTGCTTGGCAGCAACCCGCCGTTGAATCGAGCATGGGCGTCGATGCGCACTCGGAACCCTTGGCAGAGTACCAGGCGACCTTGCAGTTGCTGTTCCGAGACGCGGCTCAGAGCTCCACGCCCACTTTCAACAACATGGAGCGTTCGTTCGAGCTCGAGCCTAAGGCGCTCGGCAATCTCGATGTTCGCGAAAGGCAATCGCTGCCTTTCAACGCCAACCCTAGCTTGCCACTCGTCCCGCTGCTGTTCCCCCAGCCCCTGCCACTTCTCTCCTTGCTCGATGGCGCTCAAATCAAGGCCGAACTTTCACGTCGCGACGATCAGCGCATCCACCTCTCGAAGGACCCGCAGACCACCATCCCTTCGCGATCCCTTGCTCGTCGCAGCCTGGCGGAGTCACCGCTCCTCCGGTCTTCGGCCTTTTCGCCCTCTCTCGGTGGTCGCTCCAGTCGCACCGATGCGTTCAGCGGCGTAGTGGAATGGTCTACCATCGCTCCCGTGCCGACTCGGGAAGACCAAGGCGGCAACGACATCAAGATCGGAACCGAATTGATTCTTCGCGCCGTGCAAGAGGCCAATCTGTCGCTTCCCAACTCTCCGATGACTGGCAAGCGATTCTCGCAAGACTTTGGTCGCCACTCACGACCGCTCTCTCAGATGTCGAAGCGATCCAGCTTGCCCGCGTCCAATCGCAGTTCGGTCGTCGACATTTTGGTGCCCGTCCAGGTGGTCGTCAAAGCGGCGACGCTCGATCGCATGATTGATCTGCTCGTCATGGGTGTCCGACACGTCACAGTGCCCCCTTGTCCTTCCGTCAGCGATGGCGGCGAGCCGCTCGCTGCCCCGGCACGAAAGACCAAGCTGGTTATGGACATGGACTCATTCCGCAGTACATTCCTGGCCACATTCCGAAGTCTCTGCTCGCCCCCGGAGCTGCTCGAACAGCTGCGAAAGCGATTCTCCGCCGCGGTTACAGCAAGCAAAGAGCTAGCGGGCGCCGACGAGTTTCGCACGTCAAGCCAGTTCCCCTCGTGGATCCCACTCACTCCAGCAGGCAGCCAGGCAGAGCCGACAGACTGGGACATGGTGTACCGCATCCGTCTGGGCGTCGTGATGACGTTGCGGCTGTGGATCGATCGTTTCCCGCAGGACTTTGTCGACGATGACGTGCTCTATCAGCTTGCATGGAGCTTCCTTCGTCACCCGGGCATGGAAGTCATCGCGGAAGATCCTGATCAGCAAAATATCGTCAACGCCCTGGCACAGCTCCGAAGCATGTTTGGTGCTCGGGTCATGGGAGCCAACGCTAGGCAGGAGGAGCGGAGCTACGCCGCTGGCCAGCCCGTGCATGTCGCCAGCGACGAGAACCAGCCCAAGTTCGACTTTGACCGCGCCAACGCGGCCGAGCTGGTCGAGTATCTCGAGTCGATCGCCACCGTCTTCTTCGACAAAATCGTCGATCGCGACCTGCTCGTCGTGAGCGAGATCTTTGAGAAGCAGGCGAGCCATCCCGCCGCCTGGTACACCGTCAAGTCGACCGCTGCCGGCCCTAGCGATGAGGACAAGCCCGTCACCAACATGTACACGATGCTCGACGTCCTCAAGGCGAGCAGCGGCAGCACGACCGCAGGGAGCGGCAACGCCGTAGCCTTGCAGCAGAAGCTTCCATCAGCTGTCCGAGATGCCCTAGCAGCTCAAAGCCTATTCCGGGGCTGGATCGCCATTCACATTATTGAGTCGGGCATTGGCCTCGAGCGACGTCAGGAGAGACTGTCCAAGCTTCTCGACGCTCTCTGGATCTGCAGATCGCGCATGCTGAAGCTGAGGACGGACGAGAATGCAAGCTCCACCGGCAACGCGAACGGCGTGACAGAGGCGGCCCTACCCTTCCGCGAGCCCACCATCGGTTCTTTCGTCGAATCGGCCATCGTCAACACACTTGGCTCATCGGAGTCGCGTATCTTCTTGCGAGCTTGGCAGGGCGTTGCGGCGGCCCGAGGAGGCAAGGGGGACGGTCTCGACGATCTCATGCCCAAGCATGTCACCCCGGAGATGCGCTCAGCCGCCGAGCTTTCCGGCACGCCCGACATTGGCTGGATTCTTGCCTGCCTCGCTGAGGCTGCCACCAAGGTCCCGAGTGCGCAGACTTCAGCAGGAGATGTCGAGCTCGTCGATTTCGACAAGCGCCGCACTCTGTGGGCCTTGATTGATGGCGCTGTACGAGTGCGGCCGCCTTGCACCGTCCCTGGCCTCGTCGACCTGGCCGGAGCTCGACTGCGACTGATGCAGAGCGCACTCACCCGAGTCATTTGGGATCGTCGAGCGTTCCGCGAGGATGCCGCCAACGAGATGCGCAACGCGCCGCCGGTTCGGTCCGACGCCAAGCTGCGTCCGAGTAGCTCCAGCAAAGCGCTCACGGGCCTCTCCAAGCAGCAGCAGGAGAAGCTTCGTCGTGATCGAGCGGCTTTGGAGATGCTCGAATCGATGCCGCTGCGTCCTCCGATCACGAGTCGTGTGTCGAGCATGCCGTCGAGCAATTCGCGCCCATCGACTGCCACCTCGCCTGCGTCTAGCTCCTTGCCATTGCCTGCGGAGAAGGCGATCATGACGCAGGCGCCGCCGCCTGACAAGGCTACCATTCGCGCCCGCCGAATGACAGCGCTCTTCAAGGGCGCCGTACGCCCGCTCATCTCGGTGGACAAGCCAGACACGCCGGCCAAGTCGGTCCCGGAGCTGATGCGTCTGACTCCGCTGCAGAAGCCTTCGATCATCGCTGGCCTCGGCGGTGCTCGCGTCTCGATCTGGAACAACGCGCAGCGCTCGTTTGTGTTCCACCTAACTTCGCAGGAAGGCGCCAAGTATCTGTTGCAGACGAGCAATGCTGCAGAGCTGGCGGAGTGGGTCAGCCATATCGAGAAGGCTTCAAAGGAGTACGCCATCTCAAGTCCGGTCGATGCACGCAAGGGATCGATCCCGTCCAAGAGCAAGTCGGCGCTTGCACCCCTCTACGGACGTCCTCTGGTAGAGCTCGTCGAGCGCGAAGGTCATTCTGTGCCTACGGCGGTGGAGCGGATGTTTGCCGAGATCGAGGCCCGAGGCTTGCGTGAGCAAGGCATCTATCGAATCTCGGGTTCCAAGAGTGCCGTCGAGAACCTGCGTCGCGCGTTTGATCAGCAGCCGGCAGAATCGGTCGACCTGTCTACCGGCGAGTTCAGCGACATCCACACCATCTGCGGCGCCGTCAAGTCCTGGCTGCGCGATCTGCCCGAGCCGCTCATCACCTTTGACTCGTATGACGAGCTCATCGCCACCAACGCCATGGAAAACGACGACCGACTCTACGCCATGCGTGACATCATCTGGAAGATGCCCAAGTATCACTTCGACGTTCTGCGTCGCACGGCAGAGCATCTGGCGCGCGTTGTCGAGGAGGGCGAGGTCAACAAGATGCTTGCGCACAATGTCGCGCTCGTCTTTGGCACTTCGCTGCTGAATCCACCGCCCGGACCGTCGCAGGTTGCGATCGGCTTTGGCAATTTGGGCAAGGCTGCCAATGTGGTCAAGACCATTGTCACGATGCACGAGTGGCTGTTTGAGCCCGAGCCCGAGCCCGAGCCCGAGCCGGAGCCGGAGCTGGAGCCGGAGCTCGAGGCGGAGGCTGGGTCCGAGCCCGAGGTGCAGACACAGGCCTATCTAGAGCCTGTAGGGGACAGGGAAGTTCTGGGCGTCGAGAGCGGAAGCAGCGCAGAAGCATTGGTGCAGGGCACCGATGGAGATGCCTACCTCACGCCCTTGGATGCGAGCCGCGCTCGCGGAGCGTCTTTATCGTCGGGCGAGGGATCGCTTCCCGACCACATTGTTAACTCGACGACTTTGGGCGTGGCGACGCAGCATCAGGCAAGCGGTTCCATCGGTGACGAGGCTGAAGAGGACGAGCCGCTAGCCGAGCTCCCTGTACGATCTCGTCGCGGAGGTCGAGGCAGGCCACTCACCATCGTCGGTCTGGACGGACTATCGGCTTTCGGTGGCGCTCAGGACGTCGCAAAGGTCCTTGAAAGCGGCGAGCCATCTTCAGCAAAGACCACGACCGACGATGCAGAGGCATTGTCGAGCCAGGCCGACGCTTTTGCCGACACCCAGCTGGAGAACGAGATCTCCGCCGATTCTCAATCAACGAGAGCCACCCCTCGCATCGTCCTGTCGGAGAGCGTCGACAGCGAGGACTACGCGCAGCTCGACGACTCGCACAGCGCTGGCGACATCTCGAGCGACCTCATCACCGTTGCTGACGAGGCACAGGCAGAAGCTTCAGCGACGGAGGACGATGATGACACGAGCGAAGGCCTGGCGATTGCTTCGGAACGACCCCGCAAGGCGCGCAGCCCGAACCGCGACAGCGTGTTCAAGTCCTACTCGATCTACGCCGACTGCTTCGACAGCATGAAGCTCGGAAGCCAGCCGTCGGCGGCGAGCATGATCAAGCGCCAGTCGATGCTGGTGGGCCAGCCTGTCGAACATGCGGGCGAGGCCGAGAAGGTGCAGAGTGCATAGATGCGTCGAAGAAGGTTCACTCTGCTGTATGAAAAACTCATTGCATTGTTCCATCATCTCAATCATACCCAGATCGCTTTCGCATTCCCCTCAGCGCAGTCATGTGAAACGAGCACAACGTCCGACATCAGCAAAAGCATGTGCATTCGTATCATCTCGGGAGCAAGCTCTGTCGAGCACTATCTTTGCGTTTGAGCCCGGGTCTGTCCTCCTCATCGTCCGATCCGACGCCGAGATCGAGCACGAACGGCGGAGTTGCCTTGTTTGCATCGGGTGTGTCCCTGTACGGCGAGCCGCTCCTTTCCCTCCCCTCCCCTCCTCCTGCGCCGTTGCGCCTCTCTGCGGCCTGTTCCCGTTCGATCTGATCCAGGACCTTGCTCGTCTCGCGCCAGACAAACCAGCTGGTCGCCACACCCACCGCACCACCTACGGCGATGTAGACCACATTCAGCGCCTTCGCTGTCCCGTCCAGCTGCGCGCGCTGATCACGGTCCATGAGCACGAACATGCGCGTTCCGAGCCAGACATGGAGGAAGAGCTTGGGCGTGATGAGCGCTGTAGCGGCGATAAAGTGGCGATATGGAACAGCGTCCAGTAGGCTTGCGAAGAAGAGATTCGAGTAGGCGAAGGGAAAAGGGCAGAACCTGATCAGGATGGCCATGCTGAGTCCTCTACTTCGGACGGCGGTGGTGAGCGCTGCGTATTTGGGATCGTCCAGCGCGGAAGAGATCCAGGAGACTCGTTTGGCGTGGTGCGTGATTGCCCATCTGAGCACGACGAACGACACACTGGCCCCCAACAGGCAGGCGACACTCGCCAGTGCCCAAGCATAGAACAGATTCCCATTCAGCTCTCCATGATCTGCGTTGGCGGGGGAATGAACCCCCCATCCCAAACCGAAGAGCGTGATGCACGTGCCGTACCCGATCAGCGGCGGAAAGGAGACGATCACCACCAAAGCGATCAGAAGCGCAGCACCAAACGTCTGACTCCCAAACCAAATGGCAAGCTTCGCCGTCGTATCAAACATCACTTCGGGTCCGATGTATAGGACGACCCCGAGGATGAGGAACTTGATGCCTACGACGAGGTAGAGGATGTACCGTTGCTCGGGTGGGAGTGAGAGGAAGCCGGACCACGCGCGTGACATGTAGGAGTGACCGCGATGGTAGAGTGCGCGCCACCGAGAGGAGGAAGAGGCCTCACGTCGGACGTAGCGCCCGCGGTGTGTGGGCGACGTCGGCATCGTGGCGGAGGCGCGAATGCGTTACCACCTAGAAGACGTCCTGATCGAGTCGGGTGGCGACCGCTTCAGCGCCGCGGCCCAGGTGCACGACGATCGAGCGCGCAGCAGAAGGTTGCCCGGTGTTGGCGATACGAAGCAGTGAAGCCGCCAAAGAACGACCAAAAGCACCCGAAAGAGACGGAGGACGTGTGTGTTGGTAGGCGCGCGGGAAGATCGATCCGAGGCGAGGAGGAGATGCTCTCCGCGTTGCTGACACCGCTTGGACCCTGAAGTTGACCGCCTTGTTTTGGCACTGCCTCGGCTACTATTGATTTTTACACCCCACTCCGTAGATGTGCTGCGCCCGATCTTGCGTATCGCTGGCTGTCGCGGTGAGGACGGGAGGGCATTGCTTGAATCTCTCGTCATTGGGAGTGGAGTTGCAATCGTGGACAGCGATTCATACTGCCAAGTGTGTGGGTTCCAGCCGATAAGTGGGCGCCCGAGGTTGGAAAGGCGGGCTTTGATCACGGCCACCCGATGCAGTGGGTCGCGTTGAGTAGCAGCGCGCGCGTTTTCCAGAAAAAGTGACAGAGACCAACACTCCGCAACCTGATCTTCCTTCCGCCTCATCATCGTCATCCCCTCATCCACGATGGCGTCCGTCGCATCCTCCTCGATAGGCAGCATTGCCAGTACTTCGCTAAGCACATCCTCGTATACGCGCGGCAACACTCTCACCGACCTCGAGCTGGCTTCCACCACCCTGGAATCCCTGACCATCGTTCCTCTCACCTCGATCGACCGCGTCCGACTCCTCTCTGGCATCTACGGGCCCTTCCGACCACCTACGCCCGTCTCCGTCCCGCTATGGGTAGCTCTACACCTCAAGAAGCGCAAAAAGGCCATCCTCGTCCCACCCACCTGGCTCACCGTGGACGCCCTCACCGAATCCCTGAAGCACGAAACCACCCAACCAGGCTTCGCACCTCTCCCGCACCACTGGATCGGCGTCTCGCAAGCCCTCCTCTCCGGCGCAGCCGACGACATTCCCAACTCCTCCCGCGTCCGATCCTTGCTCAAAGACATCCGCGAGGCGCGTCAAAGTAAGATCCTCTCCGGCGTAGCCATGGTCAATTCGGTCCACCTGCAGATGCACAACATCAGCGCACACGAGGTCGCCGAATTGCGCGGGTTCTTCGGGACTGCGTTTAGCCATTTGAAAGCGCTCAGAGCGCCGAGCGAGGTGGAAGCCGAGGGGAAGAGACAGAGCGAACTGGGAGCGAGGAATCGGTGGATGTTGATGCCTGATCTGCCGGATAGGTTGGATGGGTGGAGCGCAGGAGAAAGGTCAAGGAGCGGAGGAGGGGAGGACGAATCGATGAGGACGGATGGCACGGATGAGAGTCGGTATGCGGGTCCAGGGGTCAGAGCGCAGCCACGACAGTCGAACGTTTCGGACTCGGGGTATCACTCGGGCCCGCTGGGTCGATCGAAGTCCCCGGCGGATCTACCACAGGAACGACAGCCACAGCGGGCGCCTCAGTACGACGCCAACCGCCCGCCCAGGTTCGCAGTCGACGAAGACGAGGACGAAGATTCATAGACCCGCAAAACAAATTCGTTGCGACATATGCTGGTTGTGACACTGAATTACGAGGAGCGGTTAGTCGCTCTCCTCCTCCGCAGGCACAGCCCGATACACCTCCCTCTCCGCCTCACCGCCGACATCGCTCAGACTGACACCGGCCATCTCGGGCAGCTGCCAGTAGGTGAACGCCCAACTGAGCGCAGCCACCACGCTGAACAGCCCAAAACATCCTTGCGGACGAATCCACTTGACCATGTGCAGGAATGTCGATGAGATCAACAGATTCGTGCTCCAGTTTGTGGCTGTTGCTAGGCCAGCGCCGACGCCGCGTACTTGACCGGAGAAAATTTCGGACTGGATGAGCCATGGTACGATGCCCAGGCCGAGCGCATAGGACAGCGTGAAGAGGATCATAAAGGCGAGTGTCAGGTAGGGCCATGCTGAGGTAGGAGTGGTGGTGGTGGTGGTGGTGGTGGTGGTGGGAGGACCGCCGGTAATAGGGCCCAGATCGATCTGACTGAACCCGATTGCGACGAGGGAGAGGAAGAATGTCATGGCTGCGGTGGTGTAGAGCAGCAGCTTGCGACGTCCCCAGATGTCGATGTATCTCATGGCGATGAGGGTGCCGACGAAGTTGGCGATCGCAATGCCGACAGCGGCTGCGTTCGGATTGAGCACGAAGCCAGCCATAAGCAATAACCGCCCCGAAAAATACATGAGACTGTTGAATCCCACGAGCTGTTGAGCTGCTTGGAGAGTACAGCAGATGATCAGCGGTCTCCTATGATGGTGGAGAAGCAGACTAAGCTTGCTCTTGACCTCAGTGGTCGTTTGGCGTGCCGAGGAGGTGAGCTGTGCTGGCGCTGCAGCTACTCTGCCTAATGTTGCTTGGAGATCGTTTGATCCGCTCCGGGGTTGCTGCTCTGCCTGACGGTCGGCAGCGTGTGCGGAATCGGGATCGACTGCATCGCGTTGTGTCGTGCCTTCCATGCTGCGTGCTATCCGCTCAATCTCGTTGTCGATGGCCCGCACGCTGGCTCGCGGATAGATACGCTGCAGCACGTGTCGAGCTCGGATGATGCGGCCTCGTGCAACCAGCCAGCGTGGGGACTCGTCCAGATAGATCATGCCGATCAACTGGAAGATAGCAGGTACTCCACCAGCCAAGACCATCCATCTCCATCCATGAGGAAGATTGTAGAATGCAGCGTCAATGAGGTATGCGATCACCTGACCACCGGTGATGAGGAGACTATTGATGCCGATGATTCTCCCGCGCACCTTGGTCGGTGCGATTTCCGCCAGATAGGTGGGCACCACCATGCTTGCCATTCCAACGCCAAGTCCCACCAGTACCCTTCCAAGAACGAGCTCTCTGACAACTTGCGACGCTGCTTGCTCCATTGCGCCCAGGAGGAACAGAATCCCTGCGCCTACCATGACTTTCTTGCGACCAAGCCAGTCGGCCATCCTGCCAGCAACTATCGAGCCGAGAATCGCTCCTACAGTCGTGGCGCTGACTATGAGCTCCTGCTCGCCCTCACTTAGGTCGTGGCCGAGATCGGCATGAATCGCAACCAACATACCGCTTGCGATGCCCGTGTCCCACCCAAATTGCAGCCCTAGCAGGCAGGCTACACCGGCGAGCCGCGCGAGGTAGCTGGCCGAACTGAGCTCCGAGTCGTCCAGCGGGCGGAGATCGTCGTGATCATCATCATCGTCTTCGTTGTCTGTGGAGGAGCGTAGCGGGTTGAAGCGGTCCAGGTCGGCGAGCTGATTTGTCTTCTTGCCATTCGAGACACCATTTGAGGCCGCGGCTGAATCCACAGCCGCGCTGGCTGGATCTGTCATCTTCGTCGCGCCGACTCCTCTCGCTCCTCCGTACTCTCTGTGCGAGGATGCGCGGTCTATCCTGTCGTCTGCGGTAGAGAAGGTGTCTAATTCTAGTTCCGAGTCGGAAGAGGTCGGTGAGGAGATGCGGAACGAGGGCAGTGATGACGGGCCCTCTCGCCGTTTGTTGTTCGATGTCGTTGCTGTAATCTTGAAAGGTCTACTGTGTGCGTGAGAGCCAGGGAAGTCGCTTCAAGTGCAGATGATTCGTGCAGTCCAGGTCAGCCCAAAGAGCTCCTTCTGATGTCGGAAAGGGAACGGATGCCGTGATATGCTGGTAGAAGGTGAGCACGAAGGGTGCACGTCACATCACATCTTGGACCCTTCTTTTTTGGCCTTTCAACCTCCACACCGACACTGAGCCCTTTGACATCCCACACGCGACCCCCACGCTAAAGTCAGGCTACGCCCCCTGAAAGCCTATGTTCTGACATACAGTCCTTCGCAACGCCTTTGCTCCTAGGCCATCGCCTTTGCTCGTCATCAGGGAGCACGCTGATCGTCGCCTGCGCATTGAAGCCTTTCAGCAAGCGACAGGGTTCAATCCGCTCATGTACTTCAGTTCTCGGCTGTTGCTCGGGGCAGCTTTTGTCCTGAACCCGAATGCTGCGGCTGTAGGCATTGCCATCGCCAACTTCATCGGTACCCTCAGCGCTCAGACCCTCCGTCATTGCTCTACGCATGCAGGTGCTCAGTACGATTGACAGCTCATTGTTCCCACCTGAATGAGCTTGGGCCCCTCCCACGAGCGCCACGAGGCCTCCTCGTCGACTACTCACACCATCTTTCCAAAATATTCAATCACCATTTCTCGGCCATTTCCTCATCAATCTTGCTTCAAATCGTCGGAGCGTATTTCTCTCGTTGCTGTGCATCCGTAAAGACCCAAAAAAAGCAATTCCGCCTCCAAAAAGAGGCGATGGCGGGACTCGAACCCGCAGCCTTAGAGTTATTTCAAACAACCGAGTCGAACTCGACACTTGAATCCATTTTTTTAGAAGCTCTATGCGCTAGCCATTGCGCCACAACGCCGAAGGTTGCCAGGGCCAAGCGGCCGATGTAAATATATAGTGACAAAGTTGTGAGCAAATTTTCTAAGGAAGTCACTACAAAAAGCTGACTCCCCTGATCCACACATCAGACAATGAGGCGATTCGATGGTATTGCTGCATCGACAGCGTGCCGAGGCATGTGCCTATGAGGTGTCTACTTGCGACCGAACCAGCCGCCGAGCCAACCTTTCTTCTGAGCAGCAGCTTCAGCAGCCTCGTCCTCCTCGTCCTCTTCATTGCCGGGGTCGTAGGCCATTGAGAACTCGCCTTCCTCTTCTTCGTCCTCGTCGTCCTCGTCGACCTCATCATCTTCGAAGTGCTCAGCTTCGTCATCGGCCTGCTGCACCGGCTCCGCTTTCTTAGCCGCAGCCGGCTGAACTCGAGCCGCCTCCTTTGCCTTGGCGGGAGCTTTGACAGTCTTGGCCTGCGGCTTGGCGGCGACAGGAGTGTAACCGGCCTGCTGCTCCTGCTCGTACTCGGCCTTGACATCCTCCGGCACTCGCTCGGCCTCTTGCAGCGAGACAGGGTCGAAGTCGATATACTTTCGAGCGAGCTCCTTCAGCGCCTGACCAGCACGCGAGTCGGACATGGCCGAACCAGCCTTGCCCTTGCCCTGCTTGCCCTTGTCCTGTCGCTGCGCCTTCAGCAGCGATTTCTGCACGCCGCGCTTGAGTCTGGCGAGCACCTCGTCCGAGTGGTCAAAGACGGCATCGGATCCACCGCTCGACTTGAGACGCGGCGGGAAGTCGGCATCCTCCTCCTCGACGTCCTCGGCCAGATCGGCAGCCTGACGAGCTTGACGAATGTACAGCTGAGCGCGGGTGAGCAGCAGCACCGCTTCGGCGTGGGCGCCAGACAGCGAAAAGGCACGGGCGAGATGACGCAAAATCTCGCTGCGGAACCAAGCCGCCTTGGCCTCAACCAGACTGGAAACGTCCGGCTCGGACTCGATCAGGGCAATCGAGCCCATAGCGACCAGGCTCGTCTCGGCAGCGTCGAGCAGCCTGGCGAGCGAAGGCACAGCTCGAGCACCACGACGCTTGGACTTTTGCGCAGCGATGGCGCGAGCTCGGTTCTCTCGCGCCAGAGCCTGACGAGTGCGCAGCTTCCGGGTGCCGCTCCTGGCTGGCTTGCGCGCATGCGAGCGTCCACCCGTGCGTGGCATCTTGGCACGCGATCCGGGTGGGTTCTTGTGCGGGTTGGCCTTCTTGTGGGCAATCTTTTCGTCGAGCTTCTGCTGCTTGCCCTTGCTTCTTTTGCTGCGCTTGGACGTCACAGAGCCGGCTGAGCGACTGTCCTTGCCCTTGAGACGCGCTTCGACGCTGGACATGGCACGCTTCTCACGCTTCTCGGCACGTCGCTCGACTTCGGCAACCAGACGCAGGTTGCGCCAGACGCGAAGAGCAAGCAGACGGTAGAAGATGAAGTCGTGAGCGGTCTGCAGATCTTTGCTAGCCGTCTCGTATCGAGCCGAGTGGCTCTTGGCAAGCGCCTCGGCGTTGTCCTCGACCAGCTTGCGGGCGACATCTTCGGCATCGGTGAAAGCACTGAGAGCGCGGTCGAAGGGGTCAAGCTCGGTGCGTCCGCCCTTGCCCAGTCGTGCGGTCGAAGTGGTAGCGTTGCGGGCGCCATCAGCAGACGATTCGCCCTGGGCGATCTCGCGCTTCTTGGCTTTGCGCTGAGCGTGCGAGAGGCGTACACGCTTGCCTTCTTCCTTCTTGGCTGGCGCAGCTTTGCGTTGGGCAGCAGCCCGAGCGTCAGCGTCCCGATCGCTGACAGCCTCAACCATGACCGAGTCTCGGAGAGCCGCCTCCTCGGCTTGAGCCGCAACGATAGTGTCGAGCAGTTCTGGGTTGCGGACGGGGATCTCGTGTCGGTGCCAGCTGAGGGAGAGTGCTTGCTTCTGTCCACCACCTGCTTTGGCCTTGGCGGAGGCTAGCTCCTGTTCAAGCTGAGCGTACTCGGGAAGCACCTTCTGGCAAACCTCAGTTGTAGCGATGGAGGTGGCGATCTTGTCCATATCTTGCTCGGAATCGCCGAGCTGGTAAGCCGAGTATCGCATCTGAGCCTCGCCTGCATCGACAAAGCTGTTAGCCAGCGCCTCGGCACGGCTAGTGGGGCTGTTGGTAGCGATGGTGTTGAGCAGCTTGCGGCTGGCAGAGAGCAGCTCGAGGGCCTTTTCCCACTGAGATCGGTCGAAGGCGGTGGTTGCTTTGGTGATCAGCAGGTAGGCAGCGGTCTCGGCACGAGAGTAAACGTCGAATCGAGCAGACAGGGCCTGGATGAGCTTGTGGAGAGATTCGGACCATTGTTCGGCACGTCGGTGCCTCGAGATGCCGCGTTTGCGCAGCTGAGGGTCGGCTTCCTCGTCGAAGGCGTCGTTGCGCAGCTCCTGTGAGTAAGCCCAGGCGCGCTCGGCTTCGAACAGGAGGAGATGAGCAGGACGAGCATCGGCGACTTGGGCGACATCGAGCTTCTTAGCGGTGAAGACGTTTCCGTGGCCCTTTGCATCGGCTCTTTGCGCTGCAGCCTGTTGCGCCTTCTTGGGCTTCTTGCCTCGAGGACCTTTGGCTCCCTTTGATTTCTTGCCATCTGCCTTGTGTGAGGCGTCCGCATGGGTCACAGACAGGAGCTCTCGCAGTCGATGCACCTTGGAGGCGCAGTATCGTCGGTAGCGAGCATAGTCCTGCTGTCGCAGACCGTGCTCGTTTCGAGCCTCGCTGATGAGCTGAAGGAGGGGAAAAGCGATTGGTTCGCCTCCCGCCTCAGAGGCTTGTTCGCGGTTGGCGAAGTCGATCTCCATGGTGTGGGTCTGGGAGCTCAGCTACGTTCACGATGGTGATGAAGGAGAAGAGCGAGTGCTGGAGGTGCGTGAGCGTTGGACCTGCTCGGCTGACCTTCTCTCAATTCGGAGCCGATTTGCCAGATCTGTGCGTTATTTGTGAAAAATGTGCTTTGTGAAGGCCTGACATTTTAAGAAAACCCCTCGGTGGTCTGCAAGCACTTTTGTGCACAAGCTCTGCTGACAGGCGGCAAGGGTCCAGGCGAAGGACACATGTCAATCCACAGCCGGCGTTCAATCGCCCCTGTTGCGCCAAGCTCCATCGCATCGAATCTGATCCAGATCAGCGAGCGACGCCCGATAGCAGTTGCAGATTCGTCTTCACTCGGCCGTTGACCGTCGAAGCGACGAAGAGATGCCGAGATGGGCGGCCAGTTCCCCACACAACCTTGTTCGCTACTGGCGGCAAGGCGAGGCAGGTAGGACAAGGCTAGGGTCGTGGCAGCTGAGCGGGCGGCGAATTCTGAACGAACACGTTCTTCTTAGCACGGGCCACAAATGTCCAGCTGCCGAGCGAACGTGCTGTTCTTTTCAAAAAAAAAGTTGAAATGCACGAACAACGCCCTCGTGTCACACTGCGCCTCGCTCAACCCTATTCCGCTGTCGTGGGTCGGATATCAGAAGGGACATCAGACAAGCTGCTGCCACCGTGCCCTTGTCATATTGCCCTTGTGAAGCTCACAGGGGGACTTATTTGACATTGACCGGCTGATCAAAGGTCAGCGTCAAGCGGACGAGGTATAGTCAGGCAAGGTCTTATCCCAGCTGCTCGACCAAGCGGCAGGCGGCTCACTGATGCAGATCTCGACCCCAGAACCCACAAAGCAAGAAGAAGGACCCCCTTGCCTGCATGATTGTGACAAGCGACAGCCAGTCCGTAGCCGACTCGCGCCTGCGAGCAATTTAGACCCCACCGCACGTTCCATCCTCGTACAGCTTGGCTCTTGGTCGCCGCTCCTCCCATTACCGGGCAACCGCTGGCCAATCGAGCCCTCCCCATGGCTGAATGCCAGCTACATTCCTTTCAGCTGGCAGGAAAAGCTTGCAGCGATGGGAGAAAGTGATCACGCTCTGGGGACTGATGTCTGCACAGCTCTCTCGCTCGCTTGAGGTCTTTGCCGCCTCGCGAAGGAGACGATGGGCTACAGCTGCAGATGTGCTCGGATCGGCCCAGCTCTCGAGACAAACTCGGGCTGCGACGACGCTGAGAAGGCACGCAGATCAACGCGGACCGGCAACACTGCACGACAGGAAGAATCGGACAGACTGGCTTGTGCGTGCAGCTTCTTTGTTGAGTAGCTAGGCATTCAACCCGAAGCTTAATTTGGTGTCGGCAAAGTTCTTCTGACGGGGTCCACGTCGTGCATACTTCATGTGCGACACAAGTGTTGCTCTCCCAGCCCGGCACATGAACAGCGAAGCCGTGTCGTCCGACGAGCTCTTGTTGCTTGCTTTCAACGAGCTTCATGTGCCTGAGCTGTGCAGCCTTCACTCACGCCCATCCCGCCTCCTGGGCTTCAAAGACAAGACACGCCACGCCCACCGCTTTCTGCCGAGATCCTCCTCTCCTTAAGAAGATCGAGCGTCCGGCGTTGCCCCTCTCCACCAACCACCACCACCACTTCATCGTGTCTGTCCCGTCTCCCTGGACCGTGTTCAACCCAACCTTCCCCTCCTCATCACCGCTCAACGCTGCGATACATCCCTCTCCGCCCCCGCGAACAGCAGCTCTGACTCGCCTCCCAGTATCACCTGTGCAGTCACTGCGCTCTGAGCGTTGCAAACCTCATTAGCCTCGGTCTCTCCCTTGCTCCACACTTTCAGCCCTTCCGAAGTATCGACGGTGCTTGAAGATGTTCAACTTCGTCGAGCAGCGTGTGGCTGCTACGCCGTTGGCCCACATCTACTCCTACGCTCCTGCCTCGCTTGTCAACTCGCTCGCTGTAGCCGCTGCCTTTGTCACTCTTGTTGGTCTCGCCGCTACTGTCAGCCAGAAGGTCCGTGACATCCTCGTCTTCAGCTACACTTGCTTCCTCCAGCCCCTCGGCAAGACTTCAAACCAGGCCGAGCGCCTCGACAAGTTCTACCAAAACCAAGCTTCCGGTAAGTCACACACCACTCTGCCCTGACAAAGGCTGCTATTTGAACATACAGGAGCCGCCTGCTGACCTCGCTTCTTCAACTCTCGGCAGTCTACGATGCGACCCGCTCCGGTCTTCTCAAGGGCCGAACCACCATGCTCAAGCTGTGTGCCGCCCAGCTTCGTGATATGCAGGCCACGAATCCCGGAAAGCCCCTTATCTGGGTCGACATTGGCGGTGGAACCGGCTGGAACATCGAACAGATGAACGAGCACTTTCCCATCGACCAGCTCGCCCAGGTCTACCTCATCGACCTGTGTGAGCCTCTTCTCGAGGTCGCCCGCAAGCGTTTCGCCGCCAAAGGCTTCAAGAACGTTCAAGTGCTGTGCCAGGACGCTAGCCAGTTCAACATGCCTGGTCTCGCTGCCGGTCAGAAGGTCGATCTCTTCACCTGCAGCTACTCCATCTCGATGATTCCTCCCTTCTACGCCGTCCTGGACCGCATCAACGACTTCCTCGACCCCGTCACCGGTGTCTTTGGTGTCGTTGACTTCTACGTCTCTGGCAAGAGCGCTCCTACCAGCAAGAGCCCTATGATCGGTGGTGACACCCGTCGCCAGTGCGGCTGGCTCAGCCGATGGTTCTGGAGCATGTGGTTCTCCCTCGATCACATCGAGCTGCACCCTGCCCGCCGTGACTACCTCGAGCACAAGTTTGGCACCATCAAGTGCTACAACGGTCGCAACAACTTCATCATCCCTCTGATTGTTCGCATTCCTTACTACATCTGGCTCGGTGTCTCGCGCGAGCGTGACACTACCAAGGCGATCCAGGCTTTCGAGGTCGAGTCGGGCAACCGCGTGGTCGTGCCGCCTTCCTTTCCCGAGCTTGCCTATCTCCACGACGACGAGATCTCCTCCAAAGGTCGCACTGCCATCGCTACCGGCATCGACGCTTGTGAGGACGCCAGCAGCCGTTTCGAGCCCACCCGTCGGTTTCTCCGCCGCAGGGTCTCGGAAGCGACCAACGAGAGCGATGCCGACTCGGACCGCCCTCTGAAGCTCGACCTCGGCCCGCACATCCCTCTCAGCTCGTTCCACTACCAGAAGCGACAGTGGCGTCTTCCCTTCGTCGACAACGAGTTCAGTGACATGTTCCGCACCTGGATCTACGGCTTCACGTGGGAGGACCCTTACGTTGACATGCAGCACATCAACCTCGGTCGGGACGACTCGATCCTGTGCATCACCTCTGCCGGTGACAACGCGCTGCACTACGCTGTGGCTGGCAAGCCACGCCGCATCCACGCGGTCGACATGAACCCCTGCCAGGGTCATCTGCTCGAACTCAAGCTCGCCTGCATCGCTTCCTTGACGTATGACGAGATGTGGGCCATGTTCGGTGAAGGGCGTATCGACAACTTCCGCGAGCTGCTCGATTCCAAGATCTCGCCCTACCTCTCCTCGCACGCCTACCAGTTCTGGCGCCTCAACACGCGCGCCTTTGAGACGGCGTTCTACTTCCGCGGCTACTCCGGCCACGCGCTGCGTCTGGCCAAGTACGCCTTCACCATCACCGGTGTCCGACGCTGGGTGGCCAAGATGTGCACCGCCAACTCGGTCGAGGAACAGCAGGATGTGTGGAACAAGAAGCTCCGCTCGACGTTGATCAACAAACCCCTCATCCGCCTGTTCCTCTCCAACCCCGCTTTCCTCTGGAACGCTCTGGGCGTGCCAATGAACCAGTACCAGATCTTCCTCAACGAAGGAGTATCCGCGGAACAGTTTGCCATCGACACCCTCGACTCGATCCCCAGTCGCAGTCTCATCAAGAACGACAACTACCACTACCAGCTCTGCCTCATGCACAAGTACACCAAGCAATCCTGCCCGCTCTATCTCAAGCCGGATGGATTTGCGGCCCTCAAGAAGCAGGCGCTGGAGGAAGGACTCGACTCGTTCCGCCTGCACACGGATTCAATCGTCAACGTGCTGCGTGGCTTCGAAGATGGCGCGCTGACGAGGGCCATTACGATGGACCACATGGACTGGTTCGATCCCGTCCCCGAAAGTCAACCCGCTCCGACGATCAAACAGGCCCGCAAGGACGAAGACAAGACCGTGTCCGACCTCGACCGCGAGATCTGCGAGCTCTCGCGGGTCGTCAGGAAGGGTGGCATGGTGTTTTACAGAAGCGCAGCGAAGAGACCCTGGTACAACCAGAGGTTCGAAAAGATGGGCTTCCGGGTCGAGCCTGTTCACATTAGGGAGACGGGCAAGCCGATTGACAACGTTAACATGTATGCTAGCTTCTACAAGGCTACTCGTCTCTAGAGGTGGAAGATATAGAGAATCGGCTCATGTTCACACAGCAGCAATGAATGGACTCGTATACCACTAGATGCTTTCATTGCGATGATATAAACTTTCTCGACTCTGGATTGCTGACGACGCATCTCGTTACACATCTGTGTTAGCATCTGCAATTCGCGATCGAACTAGACGATCCTTTGCCATCTCAACCCCTCTATGTAGGCATCCTTGAAGGTGCGGGCTTCGTCCATGTCGATTCCCGATTCATACCCCCGTTTGCGGACATTCTCCTCGATGACTTCCTTTCAAAGGCTTCGAGGTCGGCGGCTACTTCCTCATCGACGACTTTCTTCTCGGTGGCTTCGTCCGTGGCCAGTCAATGCGTGCGCATCGAATCGATAGCTGAAACGAATCTAATTTGCGTCAAGCTGCCTGGCGGTGATCTCGAAGAACATCTTAAAACGCAGCGCATCAGCAGCGTCTTGATCGACTAGCCACTCTTGCTGGCTGAAGTCGGCGGAAGACAAGTATGCCGTGCAGAGCTGCCTGACTGCTTGCGCCGCAAATACCCCACCGTCGTATGCGTTCGTCTGCTGAGGGAAGCGATCGTCGACATGTTCCACCCACGACTGCGATCCAGCCAGATCCTGGCTCGGGCTCTGCAGCTGGCCTTGCCATGTACTGAAGTGCTTCAGCTCCCCTTCCAGCAGCTTCCGTCCCACGCTGAACGCTTTCTTCGAAGCCTCTGGGGTGCGCCGGGAATCGAAATAGTCCATTCGGCTGTGCTTGGTGTCGATGGCGAGGATAGACCAGTGTTTTTTGAAGAGCTGCATTGGCAGCAGGAGAAGCTCCGGTGCTGTCTGACCTGATGAGATCATTGAAGATTCCTGTGGCAGGCCCATCTTGGGAGCAACTTCGTCATAGTCGAGCATTGTGAGCGCGTCGACGAGGGCGGTATCGAGAATCTTGTAGCGATCCGAAGTGTGAGTCCGGGAGACGAGCCCGAAATAGGCGTCCATCACGGCGTAGGATACGATCCTTCCTGGACCCAAGGTGCTGATGTCCCGACCGTACAGATCCTGACCGCATACCTTTTGAGGCTCATTGAGATAAGCCACTGAGTCGATGACCGACTTGTGAAACGATGAGAGAACAAATGGTTTCTGCCCCTGAGTCTTGGCGTGGGCAGTCAACCTTTCCTGATGCTTGCTTGCCGCCTTCACGATGAGTTGCTTTTGCTCGTGCTTGTTGATGTCGCGTCTCGAAATTTCGCCGTAAGATGGCAGCCAGGGGACGGGACCGCTAGGACCAGCCTCGAGCCAGGTAGGACCTTCCGTCAGGCCCCGAAGTAGCTCCCACTGGAATTTGGGATCCTCATCTCGGTGTCTCTTAGGTTTCAGCCAACTCTCTCGAGCTCGACGAAAGTGCCAGCGAAGCATCACATTGATTGCCGTGTGGATGAGTTCGTCGTGTCGTCTTTCTTGTTCTTGGGCGTCTCGATCGTCTTTAGGGGAGTCGCGAAGGTGGCAGCTGATCCCGAGCTGAGGTGTAAAGTCCATCCATGTCTTCAGCAAACGATGTGACTTGAGGATGTTGTAACTCAGCACAAGATGCTGTGGCCGGATGTCGTTGAAAGAGGCTTTGATCGTCCGCCCACCGGAAGCCGCGAGCTCGAGGGCCATTGTAGCGATGAAGGCCGTTGAGAAGGCCTCGTCGACCTGTTGATACTGGCACTGGTAGAAACCTAGGCGGCTGATTACGGTTGGGATGACGTGTGTCGGTGACTTGATAGTCTCGTTTGTTGCGCCTGCAGTCGTTCTGGTCAACGCTTTGGCGAAGATCTTCGAAATGTCTGCATCGTCGGAATGGTATGGCCACGTGTCAGCAATGAAGTTGACGTCAAGCGAGGATGCTGGATGGAAGACTTGGCCTATAGCTCCGTGTTTGGTCTGAAGCTTCTCACTGAGAGCGGCGATGCGCTCAGTGAGGTCCTTCTTCGGCATCGTGAGCTGGTTGCAGAGGCGCGGACCGTCCGTGTGCGGGCATGAAGGTGCGGACCAGAGCAATGTGTGGACAGTCGGGCTGAGAAGAGGTCAAGACTGCATGGGGGAGGGAAGGAGGACGCGAAGTGAGCGGAAGGAGATCATAATGCTTGCAGAGAAGGGAGTTGAGGGCGGAACATGCTTGGCGACCCGCACAATCGAAGAACTCAGCCTTCCCACTTTGCCTGGAAGCTTTGCGCAGTGCTCAGCTCAGTCACAGACAGCACGCCGTCGCCAAGAGTTCATCTGTCATTCACCTCATCACAACCTTATTTTCATGCAGGAGATCTAGTCGTGCTGTGCGATGTGATTGTTCGAGACAGTGCTGCTAAGGCTCTACAAGGTGCCGATAGAAAGCGTTGACCACGCCCGGGTGGCTCCGCACTAAACCGCGCCAATTTACCCACCCAAACGGCTCGTCGGCCTTGGCAAAGAGATCGCCCTTTGGTACGTCACTCACAATCTCGCCCGCATTCCGCTTCGCTTCCGCCTTCTTCCATGCCTCGACCAGCTCTTTGCTGAAGCTGCCCGAGTCGAGCGGCTGCAGATACGTGTTCATCGCCGGAGAGCTGAAGAAGGCGACCGAATACCGATCCTGCTTTCCGGACGGATTTGAGACCACCCTATGTGTGGCAGCTTGGACGATGCCGTTGGTGAGAAATTCGACTTGCTGGCCGAAGTTGACGACGATCGAGCCGTCAACGTGTGGGATACTGAGCCATTCGCCCGAGAAGTCCTGCCCCTCCAGCCCTCCGACCTCTGCTGAGGGGGCGAGGAGCGTCAGCCAACCGCTGTCCTTATGCGCCCCGACTCCTTGTGTGCTTGACGAGTCCAAGCGTGTGATGCCATCTACGACATCGCCTGTGGGATAGCGGATTGTCTTCATCCTCGCATAAGGCAGCGGACCCAGCTTATCGAGCTCATGGTCATCCCTCTGCTTCATCCGCGTCTCGCCCGTCAGGAACTGCGATAGATCCCCTTCCTCGACCCCCAGAGACAGCTCGATTGCCCTCGTCAACTGGTTTGACACCTCCTCCGCCGTTGCGAACCAGTCCAGCACCGTCTCCTTATGCCCCTGGCAAACCTCATCGCTCAAGAACTGGTTCGGCCCGTACAGGTTCAAGAACGGATGCCTCTCCCGCAAACCTTCGTCCTCCACCGCCTCGACTTCCGGCGCATAGTCCACCTGGTCCCGCAGATCCTGTTTCGACTGCGTCCGCTCGTCGCCGAACTTGCAGTACCCCCGAAAATGCCTGCTTTGATCCATGTCGATCGTCATGCGCTGCTCGAGAGGGAGGGCAAAGAAGCGGGAGACCAGAGAGAACATGGCGTCTCGCTTTTCGGACAATGGCGTGTTGTGCAGGTAGAAGAAGCCGATTCCCACCATGGCCTGCCGCAGCGAGGCAACGAACTGTTGTGAGGACGACGAGGTTGGGTTAGCGGCGTCCCAGAGCGAGTAGTCGAGATGGTAGTCGGAGAACGACGAGAGCGACTGTTGGGTAGAGCCGCTCGACGCATTCTTGCCGGAAGATGCGGAAGTAGTTGGTGCCGTAGCCGTTGCGGTCGGCGCCATGTTGAGTGACGATAGAGAGGAGGCGATGGTGGTGAGAAGCGAAGCAGATGTCTACCCCGCACTTTGACCGACGTGCAACAGATAAGGCGGCGTGCGAATTTACGGATTTCGCGCGGCCCAGTCAAGTAGCGCACCAGCCAAATTCCAAAGACGTGCTCTCCTGCAGGGTTTGCGTCACACACCCTCTCCCGCAGACACACTCTGTAAACATCGACAGGATTCGAGGTGGTCTCAAGACGACCACATTGACAGCAATTGGAAGTGGAGCAACGCCAGATCCTCGACACAGCAAAGCAAATGCCATTGCCGTGATCGTCTTTCCTGAGCCTGGCTCGTCTGCTACAATACCCCCGGCGGACGGAGCGCTCTTCTGAGGATCTCGCGAAGCTCCCAAGGTCTTCCGAAGGAACCACAGCATCCAATGGAGCAGCTTCTCAGTCATGGCAAAGGGCTGCGCCATGGATCCCTTGCCATCTCGATTCAATGCGTGTCGTCGGAAGTCCAGGGTGCACAGGTCAAAGGGCTCCTTCCGCATCGCCTGCTCACACAGCTGATGGTCCCGCCCCTTCACGGGAATCCTGGCGGACCTGTTCTTGTGGGATATAGGCCAAGAGTCTCAGGCATTCCTCGCTTGTGTTGTTCAGGTCTAGACCTTCAGAGAGCCTGTCGAGCTCATTGTCTCCATAGTCCTGGAGCGAGTCGTGGGCTTGAGACTCTCCTGGCACATCTCGCAGCTGCAGCGAGAAGTCGTCGCTCTCAACAGGGAGTGTGAGTGGCGAGAGCAGCTTTGTAAGGGGGCGCGGCATGCGTATGTACAGTAGCATCATGGTACAAGTGAGCTGCCCGTGGGAGCAATCGCAAAGCGTGAGCCTGTCCGAGGAGTCACAGCAGCATGCGAGTGGATCGAAGTCGACGTCGTTCCAAGCTCACACAGTCGGCCGCGCGGGTGGCCCCGCCAAATGAGTTTGACCCGCCCTGCCAGTACGATCGCTTTTCCATTCTGACCGGCAAGCCAAAAGAAAGCCCCAACACCGCTTCCGCTCTGAGTTGTCTGCAAACATGCTACATGGTGGGCCATCCTGGATTTGAACAGTCCAAAAGGTACCCGGATTGCTTCTGATGGCTCGACAAAGGAGATGGGCTGTTTCACAGCCGATTGGTGAGAGCTGCGGGCTGCGGGCTGCGCAGAATCGCTAGAACGCTGTCATTGAGATTTACCGAGCGTTGAACCAAGCTTTGTCTCCAGCGCAGAGCTCGAAATGAAGTGCCCCACCTGCTCAGTGCAGCTTCGCGTTCTTCGCGCTGCGGCGAGAACTCTGTGGGTGGGCATATCCGCAGAAGCTGCGCAGATGAAGTTGCTCGGACCAAATTGCTCGGAACGTGTGACTATGAGAGGACGAGAAGCCTCTCAGTGCGGGAAAGATCTGGCTGAGGCAGCGAAAGACAATTTGCAGCGTGCGCTTGTTCGCTGCAGTGGGCCTGCTAAAGCTTTCTCAGTGACTGCGCAACTAGCTTCCGATCGGAGCGTTACGTATATAGTCAGGCTTGAGATTGCACTGCCTCCATCCGAGGTTCAGTGCGTCTCTTCGATTCACTTCTTGCCTGCTGCCGTCCGACTCGACTTTCTCAACACAACTTTCGCAAAACTCCAACGCCTGTCGTCACCATGTTGAAGCCGATTCCGATCCCCACCACCAAGACAGACGAGACCGACAGGATAGTCTACCACGACACGACCATCGACGGCCGACGCTGCATCGTCAAGCGCAACAAGTCCCATAGCGAGTTTGCGATCGATCCGAACACGCACGAGGTTGTCGCGTTCGCCAACCTGCCTAACTGCATCCGCAACGAGAAGGCTGCTATGGACTTCGTGCGTGCCAACACTTGCATTCCGGTACCTGAGGTGCTGTTCTATCTCGACGAGGGCGATCGCGTCCTTCTCGGCGTTGAGGTAGTTGAGGGCATCAAGATGGACGAGATTCAGGACGAGAGGGACAGAGCTAAGGTGATCGAGCAGCTGGACGGCTTTGTGGAGCAGCTGGCACAGCACCGCTCGCCCAAAATCAAGGGCTTCGCTGCCAAGGCCTGCTTCTCACTCGCCCTCACCGACAACCTGCCCCGTTGTTCGCTCAAATTCGTCGAAGATCACGACCAGGGCTATCCGCTCTGCCATGGTGACCTCCACCAGTCCAACATCATCGTCGACCCCGAGACTAAGAAGGCCAAGGCGGTGCTGGACTGGGAGTACTGCGGATACTATCCAGATGAGTGCGAGCCTCGCAGATACAAGGCGGGTGTCAAGGACGTCGTCTGCCCAGACGGATCCATCGTCAAATACCGCAAGTGGGGCGAGAAGGCCTTTGAGGCGCTCAAGAAGTACACGGTTGACAGCGACGATGACGAGTGGTTGGCCCGCCGTGCTGACAGACACCTTTCGTGGGTGCCTGCTGAGTGGAGCCCTTCAGCGCTTGCTCTTCTATCCCCAAGATGTCTCGTTCACTGTGCGCGCAAATTGAAGAAGGCGCACCCTCCTCGCTCTCCTTCGCTCTCCTTTCTCCAACTCAAAGTCTTGAGTCTCAAACAGCCAGCGTGCGGGCGACTTCGGTTATGCAAAGTGAATGCGATTCGATCGACGAATGAGTAAGAGACGGATTGTTCATACAGATTGGAGCATTTTGCTTTTTGTGCGACCCTTCCAGGACCGCGTTGTGGCGTTCGGAAAAATCATTTTGGCTCGCCCTCGGCCGCGCCGCGCCACCACTGAGGCAGACACGAGTATGGTTCGCGATCGAACGACTGCTTTGGATCGCAGTTGCAACGCCCGGTGTCATGATACTTCTTGGTGTTGGTGGGACAGTGGTTCCACGGGTTGTGGTAATAGCCAATATCGTCAAAGTGGTGCAGTCGAGTTTTGTCCAACATCAAAGCGACCGCGAGCGAATGCACCGGAGCGTCTCCCCATCGCTCGTAAAAAAAGCCACCCGACTTGTCGAGGGTTTCAAAGTACTCTAGGTACTCTTTAGACCGCCAGAATCTGAGATCGCCTACCTCATAGTTACTCCAGAAGTGACACAAATTCCAGCCAGGATCGAAGCCTTTGTTGGGTTCGTCGGTGAGAAAGTGGAAGCCGTTGTTCTTGGCGAGGTAGTCGGGATGAGCGGCGAAGAATTTTTTGGTGGTGTCGTACAAAGTGGGCACGGTGTCGTAATATTCGTGGAGCGCCATGGTGAATCCGTAGGTTTTGTTGTTCATCTGCATGAAGACGAAGGGATCATAGTCGATGTCGCAGTAGAGCTTGATGCCAGGTTCGACACGCCAGTAGTACTCGAGGTCGAGGGTGAGCGGGTGTCGGAAGAAGAAGCCGGACTGGTAACGACACATGTGTCGGTAGCTCTCAGAGGAGCCATAAATGATATCCTTCATCTTAACGCGGGTCTCGGCAGCCTTGTTCTGGTCGATGAAGTCAGGGTAGCCCCAGTGCTCCTTTGGGATCAGGCCGAAGCGGCATTCGCTGCGGGTCATTTGTTTGACACCACGCTTGAACTCGTCGGTAAATGGCTCGTTGTTGAGGAAGATCCAAGGGTAGCCGTATTTGCGGTTGAACTTCTCCTCTACGTCTCGCATGGACTCGCGCATGCTCTGAAGCTCTGCGTTGCGGACGAGAACGATGAAGCCGGCTTTGGCGCGAGGAGCTTGGTTGGCCATCTGTGGAACGAAAGTAGGAGGGTAGAGGTTGCCGTCGTCTCCTACCTGGCCCCACTTGGCGAGCTCTTCGACGGTGGAGGGTGTGCCGGGGTTGTGGGTGTACATGTCGGCTACCGAGGTGGGGAGAGGCATGGAGGGAGCGCCATTGTTGACGCCCTTTTGCCATGGGCCGGAGAGCGCGTTCCAGCCATTGTAGACATTGTGAGCGCCCTCTGTGGAGAAAGAGAGGTAGGTGGAGAAGGTGAGAACGAAGAGGAAGACGGTGACCAGTACGACGAGCCTCTGTGGGCGCCGAAAGAGCGAATCGAGAATGCCCGACGCCATGATGTCCTTGAGCGCGCAGGCGATCTGCTAGGCGCTGCCGCCGAGAGGCAGGTTGCTGTTAGCGGAGCCTCGCTTGGCCTTTTACGTGCGAGGGAGCGGTCAACCGGGTGTAATGCGTGTGTTGAGAATGTGATGGAGTGGCACAATGGAAGAGCCGATGAGGACCGGTAGATGCTCTTCTGTGATTTTGTGAAGCGAGTGGCGCGTAGAACCCCGAGAGGTCGGAAGAACACCCGTTGATAACAGACAAGCGTGACTGTCAAAACCGTTGTGGATGGTTGTCGAGAGTGAAGAGGCAAGGTCAGATGGACGGAAGGGCTCCCATTGTTCAAGAGGCAGAGAGGAAAGACTGTTCAGAATTGCCAAGATGCCGAGAGTCAATGTGAAGCTGCAGAGCGTCAGCGCCAAAAAAGAAGCACTGCATGATCAAGTCACACAGCTTCTGATGCGGCACAGCATCGTGCCGCGAGGTAAGCTTCCGCCAAGCCGACGCCCGTTTATGCATTTCACAAAATCACTCAACTCTCGCTTGAGCCACCGACAAGTCACAGGGTTTCCGGTTTGACGCCGACAGGAAGAAACGCAAAAAAAGAAGGGTCCTTTGGGCGGCGTCTTTCCGAAGTGACGCGTGCAAGGACCACACAGGCTGGCTGCAACACGCGACAAATCACTCGCTCTTCTCAGTCTGTCACCTGAACCCTATCTTGACCTGATCATTCGGCATCACTTCCGACTCGACTCGCTATCACAATACCAGCACGCCGACAGCGACCACATGACCGTTGTCGAGGCGGCACTTTGAGCCTCGGCATGGTTCCCACGGTCGAGCCTATGCTCTGAAGCACTCCACGCCTGCACCAAGGACCTCAATGCCTTCGGTAGAGGTGCTCATCCCCGTCGATGGCGGTGCGCGGGCCGGTCCATCTTCAGCCTCGCCTTCGCCAGCCAGACGACGGCAGGAACATGCGCATCCACAGTCAACTACGGCTCCGTCACGGTCGTCCTCGCCCTCGAAGCCGATGGCCTCCGCCTCCACACCAACTGTTCACGTCGCATTGCCACCTCCTTGTCCAGCACTCAGACGACCTCTAGTCCCATCGTCGTCATCACCCTCCATCCCTTCGTCGTCAAGACTGCCCCAGATCTCGAGCTCGTTCGCGTCCGCATCCTCTATCAGCTCCAAGTCCCAGCCATCGCTGAGCAGGACCGCAAGTCGCAACAGCCATCATGGCCGGCCCATTGACTTTGCCAACCCTTTCGGCGAGGACGACCAAAGCGACGTCTTCGTGTCAAGCAAGCGCTCTGCTCCGTCTGGCCAGGAGTTCTACTCGTGTCGATGGCGTCTTCGCGACAAGAAAGGCGTTCTCGACCCCAACGGCCATCAATATTGCAACGCGCAGCTCATGACGCCCGATCTCTTAGCACGTCATGCTCTCACCCAGCACGTCGAGACGTGTCAAGAGTCTGCTGTGCAAGTTCCTCAACGAAAGATCGCCTGCAAATGGGACGGCTGCTTCAATCGACATTACTACCCGGCGGACCTCGCAGGCCACCTCGTGCACGATCACCTTGCGAAACAGCTAGGACTCAAGTACTCCTGCATCGCTCTGCAGTGCCAAATCAAGACCGTGCTCACTTCCTTTGAGGCACTTGATCGTCATCATGCGATCTATCACACCGGATCAATGATGCCTGGCCAGCTCCGCCCGATCTGGACACCAAAGTCCCAGTCGAAGCCAAAGCTCGTACGGAAGCAAGCCGAGCTGCTAGCCGCACTACGCAAGCTCGATCTTACCCCACCGTTGCCTCAAATTACAGTAGCAGACACCGCCCATCCCAAAGTCCCTCCATTGGACGAGGAGGCCCGCAAGAATCGCGACATCGCCTTCAAGGAAAGGTACTTTGATCCGCTAACTCTGCGTTCCGGCGAAGGTCAAGAAGGTCAACCGTGGACACGTTTGCACAGAAGGCTCGAGAAGGCCAAGGAGACAGACGACACCGAGCAAGCGGTGTACGAGGCCATCTTTCGAGCCACGACCTATGGTCAGTCCGACCTCGATCGACTTTGTCCGGTCGAGGTTGAGATCGTAGGCGAGCCCACGCTCAGAGCCATCGAGGAAGGCATCGAGCGAGCTCAACTATACCGCGTTGGCCCCGCAACTTCCCGGACCCGATCGATGCTGCCCTTACCTCCTAAACGCAATTGCGAGGTCGTGCTTCCAGAGAGCGCACCGTCCGATCTGATGGAGACAATCTGCCCTGAATCGCTTGCATCGATACGAGCCGAGATGGACTTCGACGACTCGCTGGACAAACAGCGACGCTGGGCGGATAAAGTGCTACGCAGGGTTGCACCAACCTCCAACACCCCTGCCATCTCGACCGAAGATCCTGAACTGGACTCTGACCCGGGTGACGAAGCTGCATCCACGGACCGGGCGGAACCTTTGCTGTTCGTTCCGTATCATCCGGCGTCACGGTGTCGATTTCCACTCGCCGAGGATGATGGTGAAGCCGAGACGCCTCGGGCCGTTCGACTTTCACCAGAAGCGCATCCTCAGCATGGTTGGTCAGGTGACCACACGTCCGCCGTCCCAAGTTCAGCCAGCTCGCCCCGCACGATCCCGCACAGCTCGCCTTTGGCACCAGTGTCGCGTTCCGGGCCTCTCGAATCAGCCGCCCAGCCAACGAGAACAGCGAAAAGGGAAAGAGAAGACGACACATCGAGTCTGCTCAACGGTCATCGACCAGCCGTCAGAATCAAGCTCGAAGACATTATTGACCTGACCATCTCGAGTGACGACGAACCAGATGTTCCTCCTGCTGAAGGGCCAGCCCGAACGCCGACACGACCAACGCCGCCGGTGCCATTCAACTCGGCCTTTGTCGAGCTCGAGCCAAACACCTACATGGAAAGCAGTCCGCGCCTACGCCGCACTGCACCAGCCATTAAAGCCGAGCCTCGCCGCGGGTCTGCTCCGACAGAGCTTAGCGGAAAAGCGGCTCGACAACGATCGAGGTCGGGTCGATACCTTCCGCACACTGGTCATCTTCCAACGTAGATCCTCAAAACCTCATCCACGTTGTACAACAATCCCATACAGTCATGATCACCAGCGCGCAGATGTCGTGTACAAGGATTGAGCGAATGCAAGGTGCTTGGCCAGAAAATTTCAGAATGTTACACCGACATATCTAAGACCCCATTCTCCGGAAACCGAGTGGAGAACCCTGAACCTTTTTTCCTTTTTTGCTTTCTTCCAAAAATTTTGGTGAGCTCCTTCTGAGAACCTTGCAGAGCTGCTGATCGTGCTCAGCCTCAACCATACATCACCATCATCACATTGAGATCCTTCGTCTTTGTACCGTCAGCGGCGCTTGTGACGACGATACAAAGGTGGAAATACATCCACAACAGCCAGAATGGTGCGCTCGTACCTTCGCCACGAGCCCACATCCGCCTTTGGCCTCATCTGCTCCGCCTCGGCCAACTCGATCCTCGACCCCGACTCCAAAACAGCATTCGTGCCTGCGCTTGAAGATGTCCTCGTCTGGGATGTCCGCAGAGGCGCACTCCTCGCCACCTGGCACGAGATCGGCCATCGCTCCAAAGTCACCGCTCTCGCTAGGTCACCCAGCGATCCCGACACCTTTGCCGTAGGCTACGAGGATGGAAGCATTCGCCTGTGGTCTGCCCAGACCAATTCGACCTCGGTCACCTTCAACGGCCACAAAAAGGCTGTCGTCGCTCTCACTTTCGACGCTCAAGGTCTGCGGGTCGCCAGTGCCAGTCTCGACACCGACATTATCCTCTGGGACCTTGTAGCAGAGACTGGTCTCTATCGACTTCGTGGCCACCGCGACGCCGTCACCGCCATCGCCTTCGTGCAGCTTCCATCGACACTGGTCAACCCAGACGAGCCGTCGTCCTCGACTGCTGTACTCGCCGAGTCGGACGCAGCCGGCTACCTGCTCAGCACCTCCAAAGATGGCCTCATGAAGCTGTGGGACCTTTCGCTGCAGCACTGCGTGGAAACAGTGGTTCACGGCTCGAACGAGATTTGGAGCTTGGGCGTCTCGCAGGATGTGCCACTGGCCATGCAGGTGTCCACACGAGGAAAGCAGGCCGACGAAGATGACGAAGAGTCGGCTGACCGCAACGCTGTTGCTGACGGTGGCGCTCTCGTACTCACCGGAAGCGCCGATGGGGACATGCGAGTGTGGGAAATCTCAGCAGAGGCTTTGTCACGAGGTTTGCAGACGGTATCGAGCGCAGATGGGCCAGCGAACGGCTCTTCCGACAAGTTTATCACGCCCAAGGGCTCGATCCCGCTATCTGGCAAACACCGCGTCACCCAAATCGAGTTCTGTGGCGTGCCAAAACGCCAGACCAGCACAGCATCCGCCACAGCAGCGCACGGGCAAGGCTACATCGCCGTCTCGAGCACCGACAAAGCTGTGCAGGTGTTCCGACTGCGTTCAACCGAAGAGATGGCCAAGAAGCTAGAGCGCCGAAGGAAACGCAACAAGGAGAAGGCCGAGAAGAAGCGCGCGAAGGAAGGCGCCTCTTCGACGGCAGCGGATACCACCGCTGACGTTCCAGATCAGGTCACCTGGGCGGACCGCATCGAAGCCTACACCAATGTTCGTCCCGCTGCGGGCAAGCTCAAGAGCTTCTCGCTTGTCACGCCTCGCTCGAGCTCAGCAGCAGCCAACAAATTCGGTCTCAGCGTCCTATGTGGGCTGTCCACCAACGCGCTCGAGATCTACAGCGTGCCCGCACCGCCGCGCTCGAAAGCGGAAAAGGCCAATCCGATCGAGCCCGTCCTCGCCAGCGCGCTCGAGTCTCCTGGCCACCGCTCCGATATCCGCGCCGTCGCACTTTCGTCCGATGACACGCTGCTTGCCTCCGCCTGTGGAGCCGGACAGCTCAAGATCTGGAATGTCAACACAGGTCGCTGCATCCGCACGCTTCCATGTGGCTACGCATTGTCCGTGGCATGGCTGCCAGGCGACCAGCACGTCTTGGTCGGCTGCAAAGACGGTACGCTGCGCAGCTTTGACGTTCGCGCAGGTATCGCTGTCGAGACGCTCGAAGCGCACCAAGGCCCCCTGTGGAGCGTAGCCGTACAACCCGATGGTCTCGGCTGCGTCTCGGCGAGCGCCGACAAAGAAGTCAAGTTTTGGGAGTTCGAGATGCAAGTTCCCGAAGACGACAGTGATGACGAAGACACCCCTTCGAACGCCGACGCAAACGGCTCCAAAGCGCAAGCGCCACCACAGCTCGCCCTGGTCCACGTACGAACGCTCAAGATGACCGACGACGTTCTCTGTGCGCGCTTCTCGCCCAACGGAAAGCTTCTTGCGCTCTCGCTCCTCGACAACACCGTCAAAGTGTTCTTCGCCGACACGCTCAAGTTCTTCCTCTCGCTCTACGGCCACAAGCTCCCCGTGCTCGCCCTCGACATCTCGGGCGACAGCAAGCTCTGCGTCACCGTCTCCGCCGACAAGAACGTCAAGCTCTGGGGTCTCGATTTCGGTGATTGCCACAAGAGCATCTTTGCGCACAACGAGAGTATCATGGGCGTCTGCTTCGAGCGCGGGCAGCAGGGTGGTGGGCTGATGGGCGGCAGGCAGGGCAACTCGCACCATTTCTGGACCGTCGGTAAGGACGGACTGGTCAAGCACTGGGACGGGGACAACTTCCAGATGATCCAGCAGTTGGAGGGACATCATGGTGAGGTGTGGGCGGTTGCGCCTGGTCACGCGGGCAAAATGGTTGTCACGGCGGGCGCAGACCGATCGATCCGGACGTGGGAGAAGACGGACGAGCCGCTGTTCTTGGAAGAAGAGCGGGAGCGCGAGATGGAGCGCGCCTTTGAGAACGCCGGCCAGACTCGACAGGATGAAGAGCTGGCCATCGGCTCGCTTGCTGATGGCGCCGATCCGGACGCGCAAGGTGCATCCAGCGGGCCTGAAGCGACCGCCGTCTCCAAGACGACCTCTGAGACGATGATGGCGGGTGAGCGACTCATCGAAGCGCTCGAGACGGGCGATGCCGATATCGCCGCCCGCACCGCTGCTCGCGCCAACGGCGAAGCCGAACCCGCCTACCATGCCCTCATCACGGCCGAATTCGACTCTGGTTCCCGTCACCGCTCGCCCGTGGACGAAGACATCTCGGCGCAGAAGTACGTTTTGCGTGTGGTGGAGAAAATCCTACCAGCGCAGCTCGACGATGCACTCCTCGTCCTGCCCTTCGACAAGGTTCTCTCGCTGTTGCGCTACCTGGACTACTGGGCGAGGAAGGAGTGGAACATTCCCCTCGTGTCGCGGGTGCTCTTTTTCCTCCTCCGCACGCACCACAGCCAGATCGTCGCGAACCGCGTAATGCGTCCGACGTTGCTGGATCTCAAGAGCCACCTCCGCCAGGCACTGGCAAGGCAGAAGGCCACGATCGGGTTCAATCTCGCCGCGCTCAAGTTCATCAAGGCGCAGCATGTGGCGCAGAAGACGAGCGAGGTGTACGAGCGCGAAGGCCTGGATGTGGACGAGGACAAGGTCAGGCAGAAGGTCGAGGCGAATGCGGCGAGGAAGAGGAAGCTTCGTGTGGCTTGACGGCTCATATAACACCCTTTGTACGTTGGTCACCAGTCCAATTTCAACCCTTGAATGGCTCATTGCTCATGCTCATCTGTCAGAGTTCTGGAAATGACACCGCAGACTGCGGCCCTGCTCTGATCGGCTTTGAGATGAGTCAAATTCAGCTCGAGACGCTGCAAGGCTCTGTTCTACAGTGGTAGTACATTGTAACGATCGAAAGTTAAAAAGGGCTCGCCTTCCCCAGGCAGGCCCACTGAACCACGAAAGAACGAGAAAAGAAATCGAAATGGACACAGAGGAGTCTCACGACTCGTCGTTCTCCGACTTGTCGGTCGAGCGAACGTTGGACTGGGCTGCCATCTTCTTGGACGAGCCTGTCAGACCTAGCGAGATCCTCTTGATGCCGAGACTGCCAGTGGCGTTCTTGCCGTCTTTGGCGGCCGATCGGGGGGAGCTGCTGCCGGGCTCCTGCTTTGGTGAAGAGGGCGTGTCGTCCGAGCGGGCCGTCTTCGAGCGTTTCGGTGAAGGAGATCGCGAGCCGTCGCGCTTTTCGCTACCACCGCCAAAGGTGTTGCTGATCGAGTTGGCCATGCTGCGAATGAATCCTCCAGGTTGCTGCGATGTCGTGGACTCGTCATCGCCAGGTGGTGAGCGGGATTGCGCTGCAGTCTTGCCCTTGCTCTTCGGCGTGCGGGCGGGCTTTCGCTTCGACAGGCGCGACAGTTGGTCGTCTGCATCGTCCTCGTCTTCGTTCCTGCGACGCTTCTCAGGCACCTTGACGAGCGACGAAGGCGACGAGGGTCCAGGTGAGGAGCCGGCCGCCTTGGTCTTCTTGGCGCCAACTTGGGCGACCGTCGTCTCTTCTTCGTCCTCATCGTCATCACCGTACGGGACCAGGCCGACGCCGTCACGACTAGCCTCCTTGTCGTCATCGTCTGCTTGGAAGTAGCTCTCCTCTTCCGCATCGGCTGCTGCGATGCCGACCTGTCCACGTCCAGCCTCGCTCTGCTGCCGCGATTTGTCCTCGACTTCGCTGGACCGTTGTGCTGCATCGCCAGCTTCTTGCTGCGGCAATGGCTCTTGGTTCTTCTCCCACTGGCTGACGAGCAAAGAAAAGCACGGCGCTGTATGAGGCAGTTCCGCGAGATGACGCATGCGCGCACCATGACGATCCATGCAATGACTGATCAAAGTCTTCATGTTTTCCCGCCTCATGTGCTCGAAGAAGTCGAGGCAGGCCGAGGCCACGAGGTTGTTGCGGTCGCCTTCGGCCTCGATCAGACCGAGAATCGTCGAGAAGAGCTCGATCTTGATGAAGTGCCGATTGGTGAACTGATTGTTGCTCGCCAGGCAGTACTTGAAGAAGCGCAATGCCGAAAGACGGAGGAATTTCTCCCGCGAATGCAGGAGCGAGCCGACCTTTTTCGAGATCTCCGAGGTAAGCACAAAGTACTGGCTTCGGAACGAGTGGTGCGCAATCATGTGGCAGAGCAGATCGCAAATGTGACCATAGAGTGCCGAGCGATGACGAGCCTGCGAAGGAAGCTTCTCGCCTTTTGACAGCACCCGAAAGTCCGGAAGCGTGTTGAAGGGCGAAGAAAGTCGGCCGATCTCAGCCTCGTAGATCCACGTCAGGAACCGATCTGGATCGGCCTTGGCCTTGTTGAGCCCCTGCACCGACAGCACCTGTGCTTGCGTCGCCATCGGCCCACCGTCAGAAGCCACGTCGAAGATGATGCGCATCGCCTCGGCGATCTGCGTCTTGAGACCGGGGTCGCGCTCGTTGTGGAGCATGTCAATCATCATACTGACCAGCGGACGTGCATTCTGCTCCACCTGCGACACAACATGCGCGCGCACGCTATTCGCGTCGTACTCGATGATGGTCATGAGAATCTCGGCGGCCGCGTTGCGCGCTGTCTGATCTAGGCGTTCAAGCGCAAACTGCAAGACGTTGAGAAGGCCCCAGTCAGTGAGGGTGCGATAGAGCGAGATGCGGGCCGGCAGCTGGATGAGCTTGCCCATGGCACAGAGCTGTTGAAGGAATAGGACACCTTCTGCGCGCCTTTCTTCTGGTTCGTCCGGACTCATGAGCATGCGGAAGAGCTCGCTGAGGAAGACGTCATTCTGACAGCAGTAGTTGACGATGTCGTTTTGATGGAAGAAGATGAACGAGTTGAGTATCGACACGGTGGGATCATCGACCACTCGAGCGAGTATGACGTCGCGAAGGTAGAGCAGGCGGTATGTCTGGTGGATCTTGGCAACGATCATGGCATCGCCGATATCGACGACTTGCTTGAAGCGCGCTCGTTGTGTGAGATGGTCGCGGTAGTTGGCCTTCAGCCGCGGAAACTCGGGATCGTATTCGAGCATGCCAACCACCCCGAGGAAGACGTCGTCCTGCAAGATGTACTCGAACAGGAAGCTGTCATTGAGTAGAAGGATGGTCTGCATGACGGTGCAAAGCATATGCAGCGAATCCAAGGCCTCGAGTTCCTCGACGGTGTGGAAGAAGGGCACCAGCTTGCGAATGTAGTGCGATTCCATGAGCCAGGCAGTGAGCTTTTCGCGCAGCAAGGGTCCGCGGGCCGTGGTGTCTTTGACTATGGCATCGATCTTTTCCAGGTTGGCGAGACTTGGCTCAGGAAGGCCCTTGTATTCGCCCAATATGTTGAGGAGCGGCTCCTGGCTGGACGCTGATGCGGACATGCCGAGTACGCCTGTTGGTGAATGTGGATTCGGTGTTGTCGGCGGCGAATCCGTGAGGGCCTCCTCGGCGAGCCCCATAAAATGCTTTTGTACCTCGGTGAGGAATTCCCAGACCTCGTTGCAGCCTTCTGCCTCCTGGAAGCTGAGCGCCATATCGACACCGGTGGGTTCTGTCCATACTACGAGAGTATCTTGTTGACGCTGGTAGACTTCCTCTTTGACGACCTTGCTAGCTAGAAGTATGTCCTCGGACTCGAGGTTTTCGCTGACCACCACCACGAACTGGCATGGCTGCGGTTGAGCCTTAGACGCTCCTGCTTCGCCATTCACCCCGCCCAATATTGGCTCGTTCTCGTCGACATCTGCCTCTGCTGGGACGTCGATGCCCTCGAGGAATTGACACTTTTCTTCTCTCCGCGCCACGAGGAGGGCTTCGTCGACCGTCTCGTCGTACACACCAGCGCAGTAGCCTGTTCCTCGGTCAAACCATGTCTCGCCTTTGAGCTCGTACACCTTGACGCGCCGAGCAGAGCCGCATTGATGGTAGTTGCCGCGAGATACGGTGGAGGTGAGTGTGAGCGCTTCGTTGGAGGACGCGGAGAGATCGCCGGAAGCATCTTCCTCTAATGGGATGGCGTTGCTGTTGAGCATGGATGGGAGGGGCGCATTGATGGTGGCGCGATACTCGTCGCCGGCCTCCATGATGGTATCCGTGGGTGCGTCGGCCTGATGCAATGGAGCAGCGACAGCTGCATATGGATCTGTGTCTAATGTGAGCACCTCGTCCGGGATGTCAGGAAGGTTGGCGGTGGTGAAGGATTGCGGCGCTGGCTCGGAGGTGACGGACGTCATCTCGGTGTCGATGTTCAAAGGCACGAGAGGCACTACTGATGAAGAGACGGATGGATCGACGTTTGCATTGATGTCGGCGGATGCCAATGCAGCTTCTGCCGGCGCGCTAGCGGGCGTAGTGTCTGCGTCGGTGGACGAGGATGCACCGGCGTTCGGGACCGGGACGATGCCATTCTGTGAGGGTGCATCACCCGACGCGGACGCGAGAGGACCGTCGTCGATCGCCATAGCATGCCCTTGGCCTTTCAGGCTCGAAAAGGAGGCGTGTCTACGCGCTTGTACATGCGAGAGATGGAAAGGTTGGGCCAGGGTCGCTCGTAGGAACAATCAAGACCACGAATCCATCAGCGCTCTGTGTGAGGCAAAATAGCGGCGTGCAGGAATGCGACAAGGCGAGCGTGCTTGAGTAGGAGGACTCTTGATCCTCGTGGAAGCTGAGCTGCTCAGTGAGCTTTGGCGTCGAAGTGCGGAAGAGCCTGCGGTACGAGGCGCTGCAATCACGAAGGACAACCGGGAGATATGTACAAGTCGAGGTTCGTGATCTGAAGCTTGGCAGATTGCAAAGAGTCTATGCAGTATGCTGCGCAAGCGTGTTGTCGTGAGTGGTGAAGAAGAGTCAGGTGCAAGTCGTGGCTGAGGATGATGACAATGATGAGCGATCTGCGATGCGATGCGATGAGAATGGACCCTGACCGATTTGGCGATGAAAAAGGGCAGCTCGACGCGCTTTTCCTCTCTCGCCTCTGTGCCACTCACTCTTCTCGCTTCACTGGTACAGGCGAGCTGCGTGGAACTCCCGCGTCACGGTCACAAGGCTGCTGGTCAAGACTAGCGTCATCAAAAAAGACTCAGGGCCCGCTGCGACTCTGTTCAGCCTAAATTCTCAATTGGCTGGCTGCTGCGCGCTTCTTTTCCTGCCTGCACGCCCACGCACCCAGCCTATAGATTCACGCCCCAGCTTCGTGACTTCATCTGAACCGTCCCCACTCGCCGTTGTTGCAACAGCCAAACACTTTGTGCCATTTCATTCCATTGCAGCTTGAGAGCTAGCGTCATCGTCAAGGAGTCATACAAGGCTGTAGTCATGATCTCAATCTCAGCTGCGAAAAGACAGCTACAGCTTTGCAGACCGCCTCTGCACCGACGAGCTGGAAGGTATCTGGAGCGCCTCTTCCACCAGCTGCGAGCGCAATTTTCAACGAGGGGGAGGTGTGCGTCAGTAATCGAGAGATCCGTTCCAGCCTTGTTTGAGCGTGTGCTTACCTGTTTGGCGTCCAGCGCAGCGCCCCATGAAGCCTGATAACCGGCTCCGCCATAACTGACAATTCAAGAGCAACAGAAGGTCAGCAAGTCCGCTCAATGCGGATAGCTCAAACACTCTTACAGCGTACTCACCCGTAGTTGTAGACGACCTTGACACCATCTACATCGTCCATGGCCCTATCGAGCCGCGGCCCACCCCTCCTCGCCGGTCTCAGCCCGACATTGACGCCGACCACCTGGACGTCTTCCGCTCTCGGTCTTGTCAAACCCGCGCTCTTCTTCGGATCAGCCAGTTGCGGGACGAGGCCGAGGCATCTCTCCAGAATCCTCTTCGTCGTGTCTGGTCTTGGATTCGGGTCCCAATCATCGACGATGCGCGTGCCGCCACAGACGACTGTCCCATCGCCACGTGGGATGACGTAGACCTCCCTCCCGCCTTGTGCGCGGACGATGGAGTAGCCTGGCAGCTTGTGTGGCGGCTTGTCGTTCCAGCTGGGTGCGTCGGCGGACAGCCAGGGCGCATGCACGACTACTACTTGTCCTCGCTGCGGGTGCACGGCCTCGTCCTTGATGCCTTCAATGAAGCGCGCGCCCAGGCCAGGACTCGCGACCAGTGCGTCTACTTTGCCTGCTTGCCTCCAGGTCGCAATGTCTTTGCACACGACTTGACTGGATGCCGGAGACGTAGCGAGCTGAACAGCCTGTCGCAGCGACTTGGCTTCCGCCACCACCAGTCGCCCTCCAAGCTCGAGAAAGCAATGCAGCAACCATCTGTGATAGACGGGAACATTGATGTCGATTGTTGAGAAGGTGCAGCCGTGACTGAGTCCGCCTTTCAAGCTGAATTGCGGTAGCGGCTTAAAGTCTGGGTACCAGTCGAGCACTCCTTCGTATGGTGGCCGTGCGGCGATCTGGGGTCCGTCTGCTTTCTCGTATAGCTCGGTCTGATGCACCCAGACTAGCGGTTCTGCTTGCTTTTCCGCATCGTTTGATGTTTGTGCCGGTGGTACAGGTAGTACTGACGATGATGAAAGTCCTGAGGTGACCGCAGCTTTCTTTGACCAAGGCTTCTCCCGAGCGAGCAGGCTCATGCGTTCAAAGGTGATCTTGTCGTACCGCAGCTCGCGCTCTGACTTGGCATCGCTGACGTGATGACCACCCGCCCATAGGCTCGCATATTCTGCAGAAGGCTTCTTGCTCGAGGACTGTCCTGCCCCGCCGCTATCTTCGTCCAGATTCGGAACCTCCTTTGAGACGATTGTGACAAACGAGCGCGATCCTCGTCCGGTCTGCGGCTGATCTTCCAGGATGGCGAGCGCCGTCGAGAGGCCGATGACGCCGCAGCCCAAGATGGCGATGTGATGCAATGAGCTCGCCATGTCTGTTGCTCTGTCGTGGCTGCAGGGGAGAAAGAGGTCTGGAGCGATCAAGGATTGAGCGTGCTGGTGATGCTAGCATGCCAAGATCTCGACGGTGCTCTTGCGGTGTTTGAGTTTAGACGTTGCAGTCCTCCACAAAGCTTTAAGAACGCCGAAAAAAGCGCCGCGCCGCCTGGAACATGTGCATCTGAACCCTTTCGCCTTCTACACTTTGCATCTCACGCCCATCTCCACAGCATAGCAGCAACGGAAAGAGATACACCGCAAGATGTCGGCAACAAGACCGGATCCAGTGACGCCTTTTGCGCTGGCTACGCCGCTGTTCAACAAGCTCGCGGGAAAGCGGGTGATCCTGGCTAGCTCGAGCCCGCGGCGAAAGGACATCTTGGCGTCGGTGGTGAGTTGCTCTTCGTAACCAAAGATGTTCCAGACTTGGCATAGAGGGTCGAGAATAAAGCTGACATGTCCTGCGTCCGTTTCATTCGGTGTTCATAGGGTCTCGTTCCGGAGATCGTGCCAAGCACCTTCGAGGAGAACCTGCCAAAGACCGATTTCATCGGCGAAGCGGTGTACGAGTATCCCGTTCAGACCGGGTCCAAGAAGGTCAGTTTCACAGGCGACATATCTCATTGAAGCAGATTGGCAGCATGCTGATAGGAATCGAGCTGTTTCATCCTGTATCTGGCCTCTAACAGGCGCTCGAAGTGTACCAGCGACTGGTGGTAAGTTCAACAGTCCCATCGCGAGAAGACTAGGAAGAGCAAGACGACTCATCCTGGCTACATTTGTGTCCATGCTACGATAGACAGAGAACCCGGAAGACCCGCCAGACTTTGTCATCTCCGCCGATACAGTGGTGGTCAAAGACGAAGTAATCATGGAGAAGCCAAAGGACCAGCAGGACAATCTTCGCATGCTCGCGGACCTCAACGGCAGCTCGGTAAGTCGATCGCCTTCCTCTTGCCGGACACGTCGAATTCGGGACTGACTTGCTTCTTTGACTGCAGTGCGAGGTTGTCACAGGCGTCACCGTGGTATGGCCGATCATCAAGGCGCCAGGGTTTGCAATGAGGTACGTCGCTCTCTTTGGCAGACTTGCTGTACCAGCGCAAAGGGCTGCTCGCTGACTCGCCTTCTCGCTGATGCAACCAAACAGATCTCTGTGCGAGAAGACGTTCGTCCACTTCGCAGACAACCCGTATTACATGCTCAAGGCGTACGTCGACTCGCAAGAGGGCATTGACCGCGCTGGCGGCTTTGCAATTCAGGTGAGTACCATCCCTCAAGGCCTGCCTTCTCTTTCAGCTCACTTTCGGAAGCTGACTGCCTCCATCTCATCCGTGCACTCGACCTCCTCTGCAAATAGGGCCGCGGCTCGCTGCTGGTCAGGTCGATCGAGGGAGACTACAATAACGTCGTCGGCTTCCCCCTGTACGCCTTCAGCGCGTACCTCCACGATCTGCTGGAGAACGACGAGCTGGACATCGTCGAGGACGATGACTGAGCCCCTCTCTCCAGCCTCGGTGCCCTCGGCTTCAGCCGCAATGCCAATGCTTCAGACCTGCTGAGGTGATCAATTTGTGTGCGCTGTGTGCCTGCCTGCCTACCCTTGCTTCCTGCTTGTCCCTTCGTGTCCAGTTGTGAGAGACCAATCGGTGCGCACAAATGCCGGGGGCACGATTGAGAGACTGGGAATTCGTATTCGACTAGGCACATGAGATCGAGCCAAACGCGGAGAGCATGTGTTGGTGCACGTTTAGGATGCCTGACGCTTCTTGCCCTGTTGTGTCAAGGTAGCAAAGATGAATAAGATTATTTTGTTAGTCTCGAGGAAGCAGGCGATGAGCTCCTGCGCAATGTAACTATACGTACGACAGCCATGTTGTAGAAGCCGACGGTGGTGCCGTACATGCCGACGCCGAAGAGGGTCATGAAGAGACCCATGTAGAGCTTGGAGCGAGGCAGGCGCTGGAAGACAGGTCGGGGGTCGGCCTGGAGAGCGCGCTGGCGCTGAGGCACGGTGTTCCTGTTGATCGAGCAGCATCAAAGCAACTCAGTCAGTGTTCTGCATCCTTTCCATTGATGTTCCTTGGCACATCGTGCTGGATCCAGCTCGACCATCGATGCGTCTGTGTGACCATCTGGACGCTGCAAAGTGTCCGAAATCGGTGCAAGTCGAGTCGAATGCTGCATGATGCTGAGAGATCGCTACTCACTTGCGGTAAACGAGGGCGTCCATTGTGATGTTGTAGGATCGAGGATGTGAAGGATAACGACGACGAGGGTGGGCTCGATAGTGACGAAGGTCCAAATGAGAATCTGCCCGCTGAATCGCAGCGTTCGCTTCCGAAATTCAGCGCTCGACGCTTTGGCAGCGAGGGTTGAGCCGGAAGAAGACTGACTCGTGCGAATCGAGACGCAAAAATATCAGCTTGGTTGGATGAAGCGGCGTAACATTCCAGTAATTTGTTGGAGCGTCAAGACATCATCGGAGTTGAAGAGCGCTGCATGACCTTCTTCCAAAGAAGCAGGTCGTTCTTCGATGCAAACAGACTTGACCGTTGAGATGGCCGGCCAAGCCTGTGGGAACATCGGAGGTCTGAAGAACGAGCTAAATTTGGCAACTGCCTCCCTCGCTGACTGAGCAAGCATCTCCAACTTGCTGAGGATCCATCGGTGTGTCCGTCAACAGTCAACAGTCATAATCACAACAAGCGAGCGTGACACGCCAAACTCCCGACTCGAGGGCCACAGGAACGTCTCGAACGTCCGCCCACCTTGGATCAACATGAAAGCGGCTTCTCCAAACCGAGATGTGCATTGGCGGGTCCATGCTCACCTCATCAGCATCATCCTACAGCGGCTGCGGATCGCCGGAAGGCAGAAAAAAAGAGGGGTAAACAAATCCAAGATCCAGCTGCAAGCCTGAAGATCGCGGTGTTGCACAGGCACAGCAAACGGGAGATGATTCGCCGTGCATGAAGAAAATCGTCCACAGCCGCGCCTTCTTCAATTTCAGGGTTCGACCTTGACTCTGTGGCCGCTAAGCGAGGGGAAAATCCTGAAACTGAAAGGAGGTCGATCTTGTGATCTCGCCCTGCTGTGCTGTGTTGACGCTGCAAGTCCGACGTCAACTCAGGGTCCTGTCGAACTCTTTTGCTCGCTTCTTTGGAGCGCAGCTTGTGCCTCTCCAGGCGGGCCGTAGCTGCCTCTGAGCAATAGAAGGGAGCGAACTTCTTGGCAATGAGCCGCCGCTGCTTTCTACGCCGCAGGGTGCCAGATCTATTTCGAGGGCACCGCCGTGTGACAGCTCGCCATGGCTGCGATCTGCTCAGGTTCGCGGGCTTGAGGCTCCGCTTCAAGTCGGCTGCTCTTCCCCTTGACCCTTGCCTGGTGAGACTACATATACACTGCTACCTCTGCTTGATCATCCGACTGCGCCCCTCGTTCTCGTCTTCAGCTACGCCCTTGTCCCCACGCCGTCCATTGTCGTCACGCCTCCATAGACGACTCCTGGGACGACTCTCGAAGCATATAGAGGTCCATACACGACGCATACAAGGCTGTCTCATCAGCGCTTTAAGACCAGCATACATCAGCACAGCATAGACAGACTCCTAGAAAGCTTCCCGTCCCCGCACGCGTACAGACCAACATGACGAAAAGAGGTAACATCGTTGCAGCCGCAGCGGCGGCGGCGGCCGTCATTGCCACCGCCGGTCCATCCATGGCAGCAACACCAGGAGGAAGCGAGATCGTCGGCTCCTCTTCGGTCTCCGGTATGATGATGTTCAATAGCGCTCCTGGCAAGGTCGTCATCCTCGACAAAACCGAAGGAAATGCCGCTCGCATCAATGGACACCCCGCCTGGGGTGAGGAGTGGGACACCCAATCGAGGTCTTCACGCCTGATGAATGTCGTCACCAACACCTTCTGCGCAGGCGGAATGTCGCTTGGCAATGGAACATGGGCCGTCTTTGGTGGCAATGAGAACGTCGGCCCAGGAGGCAATTCGACCACGCCACGATTTAGCACCACAGCACCCTACTACGACGGAGACGGTGGAGCGGCTGCTCGATTCTACTCGCCCAACTCGGCAGACAATGCGGACTGGGATGACGGCAACCACTACATGAAGAGGCGCAGATGGTATCCCACTGTCGAAGCGCTCGGCGACGGCACGCTCTGGGTTGGTGGCGGTGAGGACTATGGTGGATACGTGGCCGACGAAGGTCAGAACCAACCCAACTTCGAATACTGGCCATCAAGAGGAGACGCCATCAACATGGACTTCCTCACCCAGACCTTGCCTATGAATCTGTATCCCTTGGCGTGGACCATGGCTTCAGGCTATCTCTTTGTTCAGGCAGGTCAAGATGCGATCCTCTACAATCTGGACTCCAACACGGTCGCCAAAGGTCTCCCCTCCACCACTGGGCCCATGAAGGTCTACCCGGCGTCGGCAGGCGTGGCCATGCTGCCCATGACGCCCGCCAACAACTACACTCAGGAGGTGCTCTTCTGCGGCGGTGTGCAACGACCGCTGAACGAGTGGGGCAACGGTGCTGGCCCTCTGTACAACCCTCTCAACACTCCGGCGAGCAAAGTGTGCGAACGCATCACACCCGAGGCGGACAACCCGACGTGGGAGCAGGACGACGATCTGATCAACGGCCGGTCGATGGGCACCTTTGTCTACCTGCCCGACGGAAAGCTGTGGTTCGGACAGGGAGTGCGTATGGGCACCGGCGGCTATTCGGGTCAACCCTATAACAAGAATATCGGTATCTCGTTGGGTGACCAGCCCGATTTCCAGCCCATGGTCTACGATCCCACCGCTGCCCGAGGCTCGCGCTGGTCGATTGCCGGATTGAGCCAGATGCAGGTGCAGAGGATGTACCATTCCACGGCCATCTTGCTTGAGGATGGGTCCATCCTCACGGCGGGCTCGAACCCGAACGCGGACGTTACGTTCAACAACACAGCCAACTACACCAACACAGAGTACCGCCTGGAGCAGTGGTATCCGCTCTGGTACAACCAAGCCAGGCCTACGCAGCTCAATGTGACCCAGATCGCGTACGGTGGAGGCTCGTTCGAGGTCCCTCTTTCGAGCTCGGATCTGTCGAACAACATCACCAACATCAAGAACGCGAAGGTGGTCATCATCCGCTCGGGTTTCGCTACGCATGGTGTCAACTTTGGACAGCGCTACATGGAGCTCAACTCCACCTACACGGCCAACCAGAATGGGAGCGTGTCCGGTACGCTGCATGTGTCCAACATGCCGCCCAACTCGAACATCTTCCAGCCTGGTCCGGCGATGGCCTTCTTGGTGGTCAACGGTGTGCCTTCGATGGGACAGCATGTGATGATTGGCACAGGCCAGCTGGGCGACCAGAACATCGTGGCCGCGACGGAGCTTCCGGCATCGCAGGATCCACCTGTGCCCAAGAGCAGCACTGGCAACTCCAAGGGCAACGGATCCGGGTCCAGCGGTTCCAACTCGGGCCAGTCGAGCGGTGCTGCGGCCCTGTCGACAGGCTCAGCTGCTGTCGTGACGATGATCGTCGCTCTTGTCGCTGTGGTCTTGTCTGCTTGACCCTGAGGATAGGAACGATTGCCTTACAAGGACAATGAAGCCTCTGATTCCACCTTCTCGCTTCCGCAAACTTCGCACATGACAAGGCGGTGTTGCTTGTACTTTTACTTGACTGCCCAACTATACCTTACGACGTTCGCCCCCTGCTCGTGTGAGAATGACTGGAAGCAGTCGATGAGGAAGTTGACTTCGGCTCCGTCGCTTTGGGTCTCGGCAACAGCTGACTGTGTCCAGGTATGCTCTACGCCACGCGCGGCGCCTTGGACGCGACCATGTCGAACGGGGAAGCCGGAGCGCGACCTCGTGGCGGCCGGAGTGCGAAAGAGGGGGCAGAAAGTGCACAGCTCGGCAAAGGCCATCTCAAGGCACGGACAGCGAGGGCCAAGCGTGCCGTTGATGGCGGTGTTGCAAAAGAGCTCTTCATGCTCCGCTGCTGTCATGCTTGGCGTGTCGAAGAACCAGTCCAGAGGAGAGCTCAAAGGACAGCGACGCGTAAAGTGTGCGAGGTCAAACGCCAGCACCTCTCTCATGCACGTCTATCGAATTTTCCCACCGTCCCCGCTACTGACCTGGCCCCCTTTGTGGGCGGCCACTGCCTTTCTTCTCATCTCGGGCAGTGGCTGTGCGACTCACCGACAGCGCCCCTCTCATCTCTGACTTAAGCTGACAACGGCTGATCTCGATGTAGTAAACATAGCAACATGCTCTGGAACGGAGCAGAGCTGAACCTTAAGAAGCAGAACCATGGGGCCAAATGAGACACGACAGACATTCCAGAGTTTGTTTGACGTGAGATCGCGTTGCGTCTGCCGAGAAACGCGGCATGGCCATCGAAGGGTCCAAGTCAAGCGAAATTCAAATCGCTCTCCGACTGTGCATGTTTCACTTGAGAGAGTGATGGCTGCACAGACACCGACTCGCGTCCTTCGCATCGGAGACGGGCCAGCCCACAGTCAAGTGAAATTGCAACGGGAGCACGCGGCTCAATCAATCAAACGCAAGCGCCACAAAGTCATCTTGAGCAGAGCAGCGCACTGAAGTTCGCCGTGCTGTTTGGCAGTTACGAGCAAGCTGGAGTCGAAGCTCTCGTCACGTCGGTGGTTGCTTGCTTGAGCAAAAGCGTCGTAAGAGGCGCTGTCAAAGGATTTGGCCCGCGTTGTGCCACCCCTTTTTTCTGTGTGTCCGTCGGGCAGTCCGACCTCAGATCCGAGCTGCATTGTGACAGCTTCAAAGACGCTTTCCCGTTCGCCCAAAGATTCCCTGGCAGCTGGTGTCCTCGTACGCTCTGCTGTAGCTATTGACACGACCATCAAGCATTCCCTTCCGTCTTGCTCATCACCATGACCGTCGACCCTTCCGCCTTGCTCGCACCGTCATCTTGATGCAACAACGGCGCCTGCTAATCTGGCCACCGGTAGCCAACATCTCCTGAATCCGGTGAACCGTACCGAATCGCCGGTCCTCATTGCTCCCACCTCGTCGTCTCATCTATCGCTGTACAGCACCACGCCTTCGATTACGGAACAATCGGAACAGGGGCCTATCATCCCACTCAACACAACGAAACCTTCATTTCCATCGATCAGCGAACACTCATGGCGGATCATCAGATTGCATAGCTTGATCTTCCCACGCCTGCGTTTGCGTCTTGACCGTCTCGATCGCGGATCATCCGCTACCCAGGGACAATGACCTCGCACTTGGCCAGCAAGGAGCTCCCGCCTCCGCCGCTGCGCATTAACAAGCAGCGTACTATGCACAGTCCACATCAGCAAGATGCTATGATTCAACATGCGACACAAGCAACCGGGCCCTCCGATCCATCGGCTAGCGGCCCGTCGCACCTCGGTGTTCCCTCTCAGAACGGCGATGCATCAGTCACAGCATCACGCACGCCAAGCGGGCGGTTCCGTATCCGTGTCCCATCCTTCTCCAAACAGGCAAGGAGCTCAGATGCAGGGCAGAATGGTGCTACTGTGCACAACGCGTCTCACACTGCCTCCATGGCGCAAGTTCAAGACAAAGTCTGGCAGCCACGATGGGCACCAAAGCTCAAACGCACCAATCCTTCCAAATCTGTCACCACCTACTCGCCTATCTTGGATCATCAAATGCCTGCTTTTGCACCCTTCGTTGCCTCACCTCCACCGGCGGTGCAGCTCGACGACGCTGGATTCGGTCGGCCTTTCAGCACCACGGGCCTCTTTGACCTCGCCGACGCCCGCTTCTCGTTCCTCGACATGAGGATGATGGACAACGACAGCGATTCCGATAGCTCAGACTCGCTCGTCGTTCCCGTCCGTGCACCCCAACCGCCAGTCATCTGCGAACCGCCAGAGAGGCAGAATGCACAGGACAACGCGCCAGCGGAGACGACGGCAGCAGCCAACTCTGCTCCCCTCGAGCTGGCGACGGGATCCGCCTTGGTGGAGCACGTGTCAGCGCGCGAGATGCTCAGGGTCCCGCCGGCCTCGATGATGCCCATGACCCAGGACTCGCAAGCAGCACGCTTATCACTGATGACCGCTTCGCCAGCGCTTGCATCGCTCATCAGCTCCTTCCCATCACCACTCACACGTGATTCAAACGCAGCCCCTTCCTCGTCCGACTTGGACCCCATGCAGTCAGTGGACAGCGACGCTTCCAAGTCACGCCCCGCTATGCCCAAGGAGAACAGCTGGGATGGAGGCGAACGATGGGAGTTCCAAGCCGCCCGGCACAACGCTATGTCGTCGGGACACGACTCAGCCGGAACGCCCTATCTCGATATGGAGGATGAAGATGAGGCAGAGCTACTCGAGGCCACGTTGGCGCAACCTCAAAGCGCCGCCGTGCGGTCTGCGCTCGGCTTATCTTCAGTCTCGCCGCCTAAGACGCGGGTCATTCGCAATCCGCCGCCTCGTCCTGCGCCATCCATGGCCCTCCCCGAATTGCCTGCTCCGTCAAGCTCTGCCGGACACAGCGATGCGCGCCAGCACACGCCCACCAGCAGTGTACAACTTGATGCGCAGCGCACAGACAGTCAGCCTGGCTCGGCATCTTCCTCCAAACAGAAGACGCAGAGACCGCTCATCCTGCCCACATTGCGCTCCTCGTCGAGCGTCGACCGCTTGTCTGCCATGGGTTCGGCCCATGCCTCGCCCTCGGCAGAGCACAAGCTCGCCAAAATAGCCAACGGCCACAACCTCAAGCCCTTGACCCTACCGGGCGATGCTTCGACCGAAGAGCTGTCCAAGTCGCTCGACATCTCCCGCGACACGGTCAAGCAGATGCTCGATACCACCCAGCACGTGTGGCGCAACCATTTGCTCGGCTCATCCGCATTCAACGGAGATGCGCCTCGTTCGACGAGCGCCCTCGAACGCCTCCCGAGGTCCAGCTCAAGCCCTATGCTCTCGACCATGTTCGTGAATCAGGGCTCGTCAGACAGCTTTGTGACGGCCGAGGATTCGTCCAAGGGAAGCGTGGCCAAGTCGGTTGCTGGCAGGAACAGTGATCGCTCTTCATTGCTTGGCCTCCCCTACATTTCTTCGACCAAACCTTCCTTCGATTTCCAAAGCCCCGGCTGGGCCGTATCAAAGAACGGCGCAGATGCGGTGCGCACTTCTACAAACGACTCGCAGGCGGAACGTGCCAGGAAACGCAGCACTTTCCTCGGTCGAAGCAGCGACGAGGGTTCGACGGCCAGCTACAACTTCTCTCGTCCAATTCGCCGCGATGCGAACGGTATTGAAGCGGGTATGAGTACAAGTGTCAGCATGCCTTCACTTGCTGCAGCCAGAGAAGCTCCAAAACCACCGGCTGTTCTTCAAAGTCCGCTGCTGCTCAAAGGCGAATCCGAGGCTACCGGCTTTGCCCAAATTGCCGTCGACGACGAGCAAGAGGTGCTGGCGGACTCCAGCTCGGAAACCTACCAGCCGTTTGCTCCATCGCGGATGATGTCTACCCCTGTTGTCGGCCCCAGCATGGACGCAAAGGAACCCGCTATCGATCTGACTGGCGCGAATCTGCACAAGGCGATGCCTGAATTGCCAGCGCAAGGCAAGAATGCATCTCCTAGGCCGCGTCGCAACTCAGATACCGTCTTGAATGCATTTGCGCCTGAATTTGGCAAGCGAGCACCGGGCGAGCTTCACGCTTGGAGCGTATGCATCGACCAGGACGGCGTTCCTGCTATTCGTCCATCGGCTTCTGCTTTTCATCGCCCCAACTGCTCCCTCGCAGGCAAGAGCAACGCAACTTGGCAGTGTGGCTGCCGAGCCTCCATCAGCGGCGATCCCAATTTGGCGATGTCACCGCGCGCGAATGGAGTCGGTGCCCAAAACCTTGCCCCGATGGGCCAGTCCTCGCCCGGCCGCAGTCGGTCGCTGAGCGCAGGCCAGATCATGGACCCCGTCCGCCAAGCGCAACTTTGGAGCCAGGTCGAGCAACACAAGGACCTCATTCGCAAGCACGAGGATAAGATTGCAGATTTGCAGGAACAGGTCAAGAGGATGTCAACTGAGATCGCCTCGGCGCGGCCATCCTTTTCTTCTACTTTTCCTACTCCGGAGCTGTTGTCGACACCGAACTTCCCAGCTCCTCCGAATAGGACCCACACCATCGCGAGAAAGCCGCTGCCTACGATCGTTTCTCCAGAGTCGGAGACACCTCCCGTGCCTGCCAAGTCGCCAGTCATCGAGCCCCTACCAAGGATGACTGCTGCTCATACGGCCCTGTCGTCCAGATCGACCTCGACGCTGCCCGACCCGCCCCGCACGCTCCGAGGTCGCATTGCATCTCTGTCAAAGATGAATGTTGCTTGGAAGGACGAGAACGTCGCTCCGGCCCAGACTGCCGAGCTGGGACATCCCTCGCGCTTGCGAGCCTCTTCGTCGACGTCGAGCTTGAACAAGGTGTTTCGCTTTCCTTGGTCGCGCTCGTCGGACAAGGTGAATGCCGCCTTCCCGGAGCCTACACCGTTCCCGTTGGGCGAGCGCAATCACACTAAGGCAGCATCGGTGTCCGCCTCGTTCTCGCGCAACAAGTCTCGACCCAGCGTGCGGATGCTGTCCGTCGACGAACAGAGACCTTTGCCCGCTCCTCCTCTTTCGGAGGCCTCGCTGTTGGGCAAGGACAAGCGATACCCGCCTAGCTCGCGCAAGTTTTCCTATGAGATGCTGCACGGGCCTGCGTTCGAGACGGGCGCTGGTTCGCGACACTTCCGCGGTCGATCTGGCAGCTCCAAGTCGTCATCATTCGGCACGAGCATCTTCTCATCGAACGAGGGACCGGAAATGCAAGAGTCCTCCCGCTTTGCTAGCTTCGCAAAGCTGGGGCGACGATGGGACTCGATCTCGTCGCGTGGCACCAACACCTCTGCTCGCAACAGCTCGGAAGTCAGCTCGCAGCCAACGAGCGCCTCGTTAGGGTCCATGAAAGGGTTCCCGACGCTGTCAGCATCCGAATCTGCACCTTTGGCAGGGGCCAAGTTGATGGCTTCTCTACCGCGCGATCTGGACAAGGGTCTGCGACGATCCAAGACGCCTCCACCGCGACGAAGCTCTTTGCTGCGCAGGTCGTTGGAGAACGCGCCCATCAAGCGAGCGCCTATTCCTAGCGAGTTCTTGCAGGCCAAAGACCCGGTGATGGCGCCGATCTCGGAACAGAGCGAGATGGGCAGCCCCGCATCGACACGGGCGGCGAGGAACGCAGATGTGGAGATGAGCCCGGCCAGCGTGATCGCATCGCCGCAGGTAGGAGAGGGAAGGATGAGCATGAGCGAGAGGTACAGGTTGCAGGGCCTGACCGTGCCTGCTCCGTTGGCGTTGTCGTCTTCGCTCACGTCGCCGATGCTGGGTTCTTTGACGGAGCCCACTTCAGCTGGCAAAGCGTCTGTTTCTCCTCGGTCAGGAAAGTCGCCACTCCCGGTGGCTTTCTCTCACGGCACCCTTACGGTGGCACGACCTCCCTCGCTCGCTAGCTAGAGCTGAAGAGGCAGAGAGGCTCAAAACGGTCTCTCATTGTATTCTGTGACTTTCGTGTATAGTAATGCCACAGTAGCATGCAGACACCACGACCACACTGCGTTTTGTTCTGTGCTGCTACTCCGTTGGCAGCCGGCGGTTGAGGCCAGCTCAAGCAATCTGGATGACGTTCTCGTTCAAGTCGATGGGAGCAGCGTTGGTCGCAGGTGTCGACACGACGCCGCAAGAGCGTGTGCCAGCGGTCTGGGCCAGCCCGGCTGTTCGAAGTTGAATTTTGGAAAGCCGAAAGGCGTGGCCTGCGAGAAGTTGAAGTTTTCAAGTCTAGGGAATACAAAAACGGCTGCACGCAGGTTTAACTTTTATATTGAATTTTAGAGGGTTCGGTGACGCCGTTGCCTGCTTCGAAAGCTGCTGCTGCTCAGGAGCCTGTTCCCCGCGACCCCTTTTTTGGTCCCGCCAGGCTGCAGGCTGCAGCTGCTTCAATTCTGATGCCTGGTGGTTGGTCTTTTCTCTCTTTGTTCTCGAAATTGAGTGAGCAAGCAAAAGTGGGCTCTGACCACCCTTCAAAAAGTCACACTGCGCGCGCCGCTGATCGCCTGCTGGTGCTGTGTCTGAGTGAGTGTCTGATGCGCGCCCGTTCCAACTCCACCTCTGTGATTCACGCAACCCTCGCTTGCCGTTGAAGCTTTTGCCAAAAGGACGCGCTCTCGACATCGACATCAACCCTTCAGCATCATCGCCGTCGTCGTCGCCATTACACCCAGGAGACACGCTCGCTCTTCTCCGCATCCTTTGTACTCGTCGGTCTCCGCTCCGTCCCTACGCTCTTACCATCTCCATATTCGCATTCAGCTTACCGCGCATCGACCGGAAGCTCAGTCAGCCAGAACTTGGCGTTGCGCACTCAGCTCGCACATCAGTCTATCTGCACTTTTGCTCGGAACTCGCCTTCGCAACGGTCACGCCGCTTCTTCCGGCTCGCTCACTCAGTCCATCGGATCCGTTGATCAGGTCGGTGCGCACAGCGAAACGCGCGTGCATTCGATTCAGCAAGTCCATATAACCACTCTGGACTCCGATCCAACGCACTCTCGACAGTGGCTCGCATCGGTAACATCATCGACACGCAGAAAAGTCGTCTGACGCAATAAACTATGGGTAACATCTGCAGTTGCTGCGGATGTGGCTCCTCCCGCAATGCCAACTACGAGCCTCTCTTGCTCGACAATGAGCGAGATGCCGTAGCAGACCTGCTTCAATACCTCGAGAGTAAGTTCAACCCTGCCTTTGCATGCCGCCGCGCATTGCTATGCCCAATAGTGGCGTCCGAAGGCTTTACCGCATCATCTCGTCTCAACCTTCGGCTGATCTTGTCCTCTCATCCCCTCTGCCACTGCCTGCTTCTCTTGTTTCGACCACGCTAGACCGCTCCGAGACCAACTTCTTTACCGGCGACCCTCTGCGAGCATTATCGACACTTTCCTTCAGCGACAATGTGGACCTGCAGAGGAGTGCAGCGCTTGCGTTCGCCGAGATCACGGAAAAGGAAGTGCGTGAGGTTGGTCGAGACACGCTCGAGCCCATCATGTTCCTCCTGCAGAGCCACGATGTCGAAGTGCAACGAGCCGCCAGCGCCGCTCTTGGCAACCTCGCCGTCAACGCTGAGAACAAGCTTCTCATCGTCAAGCTCGGTGGTCTTGAACCTCTGATCCGCCAAATGCTCAGCCCCAACGTCGAAGTGCAGTGCAACGCTGTCGGGTGCATCACCAACCTCGCCACTCACGACGACAACAAGACCAAAATCGCAAAGTCTGGCGCCTTGGTGCCTCTCACCCGTCTCGCTCGCTCCAAGGACATGCGTGTGCAGCGCAACGCGACCGGCGCCCTGCTTAACATGACACATAGCGATGAGAACCGTCAGCAGCTGGTCAACGCTGGTGCGATTCCCGTTCTCGTTGGTCTACTTGGAAGCTCGGACACCGACGTTCAGTACTACTGCACTACCGCCCTCAGCAACATTGCCGTCGACGCTGCCAACCGTAAAAAGCTCGCTCAAACGGAGCCCCGACTCGTTCAGAACCTGATTGGCTTGATGGAGAGCAGCTCGCTCAAGGTGCAGTGCCAGTCGGCGCTGGCGCTTCGTAACCTCGCCTCGGACGAAAAGTACCAGATCGAGATCGTGCGCTCCAACGGCTTGCCTCCTCTCCTGCGATTGTTGCGGTCCTCGTTCCTGCCTCTCATCCTGTCCGCCGCTGCATGCGTGCGAAATGTTTCGATCCACCCTGCCAACGAATCACCCATCATCGACGCCGGCTTCTTGCACCCGCTCATCGACCTGCTCAGCCACGAGGACAACGAAGAGATCCAATGCCACGCCATCTCGACGCTTCGCAACCTCGCCGCTTCGAGCGAACGCAACAAGACCGCGATTGTCGAAGCCGGCGCTGTGGAACGCATCAAGGAGCTGGTGCTCAACGTGCCGCTCTCCGTTCAAAGCGAGATGACCGCCTGCGCAGCCGTGCTTGCGCTTTCGGAGGACCTCAAGCCGCAGCTGCTCGAGATGGGCATCTGCGAGGTGCTCATCCCGCTCACTGCCTCGCCGTCCGTCGAAGTGCAGGGCAACTCTGCAGCGGCACTCGGCAATCTTTCCTCGAAATCGGACGACTATGCGCCCTTCAACGCCGTGTGGTCGACCCCTGAAGGCGGACTGCACGGCTACCTCATTCGCTTCCTCGAGTCGCAGGACTCGACGTTCCAGCACATTGCCGTGTGGACCATCGTTCAGTTGCTTGAGTCGGGCGATGCGCAGCTCGAGGAGTCGATCCGGGCGTCGGATCAGCTGCTGCCCTTGATCCAGCAGCTCGCCTCGCTCTCGGCGGATCAGAGCGCCGAGGAGGAGAGGACCGAGGGTGGTGGTAGCGACGATGGGACCAGTGCGGAGGGCGAGATCAGTTCGCTGGCTAGGAGGATCCAGGAGATGATCCTGGAACCTCAGCAGTAACAACCTGAGCCGAGATACCCTTTTACCAGCCCGCTGTTGCACGATCAAAAGTCAAAGCACGCACAATCCTATCACCATCTATCTTGTCGGGGAGATCAGCCGCTCAGCCGACCTCGGTCCTCCCGCCCGTCATTCATTCGACACTGTTTACCTTCATCTCGTCATCCATAGCCCCGCTGTTCTATTCGCCTTTTTGTCGTGTCATTTCAACGAACAAAACATGTCTTTCTTTTATCACTTGTCGGGCTTGCGTGTGAGTGTGTGGTTGCCTTGTACTCGGCATCGAGTGTCAGCATCATTGAGCGTGAGCGAAGGATGGCGGCCATGCGAGCGGGGGCACTGGCCCACCTTGATTTCAGGCTTGCAGCAAACAAAGGTGCCACACTCTGTTGGGATAACACCGCCACGTATGATCGCAACAATGCCACGGAAGCGGTCGAAGTTGAGCGACAGCCAGGCCAGCCGATCTTTGCCCTTCTAGCTTGTCAGGACATCGATGGGAAGGGCAGAAGAACAATCGGATGGCTCAGTGTCTACAAGGTCTTGTGCCTCTCATTTCAAGCTTGTCGGGGTCAATGCTGCAATCTCCGACCGCGCACGCACATCACGCTTTACACGAGACGCAGAGGGGGTGGGGGAACGTTCGTACTGAGCTCGACATCGACGTTGGGTGCGATTTGACGAATGGGCTCCACCACTTGTCTCTGTGCCATCTCACACGCTCTCAAATGGTGCGCCGCGGCACATGGTCGGCTCGTTTGTGCCATTCAACTCTCGGCCCTCGTCTCGGTCCATCGCTCACCAATTCTTTCACCTTTGCGCTCGGTCCCTCACACTGACATTCGCTGTCATCGTCGGAAAACTACTTGTATTGCTACCACCACCCAAGAACGAGACGATTTAGGGGTCGACCGAGTAGTTGATCATCTTGTTGTGGAAGAAGCTCTTGCTGCCGTCTCCCCAGGGGAAGGCCTTCTTGCGGATGTTGTTGTACTCGTAGAAGGTGCGCTCGGGGGGCTGCTCGTCGTTGTCGTGGAACTCGTGCACCATGTGGTCGTAGTGGTGCTTCTCGATGCCGTAGATGTACACGGCCAGAACGATCGCTGCCGAATCCAATGGAGAAGGGTGAATACGATGTCAGAACATGCGACGCGCGAGTGGGTTCGGAGGAAAGCGAAGGGACGGAGAGACAGAAAGATGGGAACAAGAGATGCGGGGTGCAACTTACAACCAGGAATGCACACGTAGAGCGAGACCTTGCGCCAGAGGTCGGCGGACTCTGTCGGCGATCAATGCGAAGGATTGGCGAGAGCGGATGGTTAGTATCACGGACTTCGTGGCTGACTCTCATTCGGTCTGCTGCGGTGTGGGCGGATTCGTCGTCTGCTTCCCATGTCGAGATGCGTTTGCTCTATCTCTTTCGACGACCTGCTCGACTTCCAGCAACGCTCAAAGCGATTCCTCGGGGTCAAAGGCGCGCTGCTCGCGACCCTGGGCTGATGTTCATCCCGTCATGTCCTGCCTACAGCCATGAGATCCGATCGAACGATCATGTTGCGTCCTCCGCCCTCAGGAAGCAGCCCCCAAATAGTCCGCCTCTGCGAAAGGTACTCACTGCCAGCGTGCTCCTTGTGGTGCATCCTCTCGGCGAGGAACTCGTTCTCGCCGGCGGCGGTTGCGAGTCTGCGCACGGCGCCGGTCTGAACGCGGGCGGTGGTGGTGGTGAGGCTGCGGCCGAACAGGCCGGCTGCGAATCGGGAGGCCATCTTTGCTGTTGCTTCGAGGTGAGGGAGATGTGGGGAAGGAGAGAGATAGATATATTGCAGAGAGAGAGAGAGATGGTTCACCTTGTCTGCAGCGATCGCTCTCGCTTCCGAATTCACAGAGAAAGCGGCTCTGCCACTGGGGCTGCGTCCGGCCAATCCCGCACACGTGACTGAGCCAATTTTACACAGCAACCAAAAATGAGGTCTAACACTCATCTGATTTCTTCTCGAAGATCATCACCATGCAGAACCTCCATCCTTGGTGTCCGGACGCAACTGCTACGTCAACCTCACAGATAAGGCAAGAGGCTCTCGGGGGTGCTCTCTCACAGACAATTTTGCAAACGCGAGAGAAAGAAACAAGAGCATGGGCTGATCCGCCAAAGTATCGTGTCTGATATTGTATCGTCGATTCAAGGTTGAGGCTGTTTTGAGCTATTCATCGTCATCGTCGCCGCCAGAGCCTCCATCGTAATCGCCTCCATCCGCTCCATCTCCACCATCGTCATTGCGTCTTCGTTGCTTCTTCTTATCGTTCCTCACCGGGATCTTGATGCCCTGCGACGCCAACTTGCGGGAGAGCGGTGTTGGGTCCAGCATCCCTGGGAAGCGTCGTGGCGAATAGACGGTAAACGGATCCGTATAGGTCTCTGCCAGCGCCTCGGCGACACCCGTGCCGACGCGCCCGCTGACCTCGAGGTTGACAAACATGAGCTTGATGCGGTAGACGCCCTCGGTGCGAACGGAGATGTCCTGGAAGACGAAAAAGATGCACCACTTGTCCTGCTCGTCCTTGAGCACCGAGGCGCTGGCGACGGCGGCGCCGACGAGATTGCGCGTGTACGATTCGGCCTGACCCTGCTGTGCGAAGGGGCCGCCGCCTCCCATCTGAAGACCGGATGCAAAGGCTGCGGGTCGCATGTTGCCGTCCGGCGAATGGATGCCATCCGGCGGCCCGCCAGAGCGGTAGTCGCCATCGGGTCCACCCATACCATCGCCGGCGAAATTGCCAAACGATGGACCCGAGCGAGGCTGCCCGTACTCGTCCGTCGCGTACCCGCCAGGTCCACCCATTTGCTGCTGCTGCGAAGGGTGGACGGGGAGCGAAGAGGCGTGGTGATGCACAAGGATGTTTCGCGGTGCCAGCATGAGGTCGTCCGGATGACACAGATCCGTAGCCAGCAGGAAGAGCGATGTGTTGACATCCAGGGGGCTCACCTCTTCGCCCGATGCCTCGTCGGTGATGACGAGCTTGACGATGAGCGTCGGGCTGAGCGGACGTCGGTCCTTGTCGCCAAAACCACACATTCGCGCGCGGCTCGGGTGCTGGACGACGACGAGACGATACCTCTTACCGTTCTCGACGCGGGAGAACCCATCCAGATTGGGTCGCTCGCTGGTCGTGGGTCGGGGCCCAAACTCGTCCACAGCACCACGTGGAGGAGCGGTAGCAGCAGGAGCTACAGCACCGTATGCATGCTCCGCCTCGGAGGGATACTGAGGCCGTGAAGCGGGAGCACCATAGGCGCGCTCCTGTTCTTCGCGTGCCTTCATCATCTCGAGCTCGTGTTGATACTGTCGCTCTTGCGAGCTGTTATGAGCGCTTCCTCCTCCCCTCTGGAATTGAGCTCGCTCCACGTCGCGCGGATATGAATCGTAGCCTGGACGCTGACGGTACGAGTCTGAATACTCGTCGTGCGCCGTGTGAGGTCTGCGTCTCTCTTCCGGTGCGTAGCCGTAGTCGGCACGATCCCTGGGCTGCTGCGAAGGATGCTGTTGGGAAGGATACGAGGGACCAGCACCATTGCCGCTGGCCAAACCAGCGTCGCGTTCGTCGGATTCGGATCGGGACATGATGGACTGGTGGGCTGGGGCTGTCTTTTCTAGACTCTGTCCCCTTTCCTGGTTTTGCTTATCAAAGTGGGGTGCGTCGCCTGCACGCCACCTCCTTGCTTTGTGCTTGGACTGTGTGGGTCAAAGGCGACGCCTGCACCGTGCGGACGGTGTGTTGACCGGTGAACGGGGAGTTTGAAGGCGCCGAACAATGATGCAAGTCGGAGCGGTGGGAGGGTGGCACGTCCGGGACTGCGCTGCAGTATAGGTGAGAAGAGGAGATGGGATGCAATGAAACGGGAGTTGCTTGTCAGTCAACAGGGCTCTCTTCTTGGCGACATAAGCACGCATTACACATCTTGGAGTTCACCATCTGCTCAGTAGCCAATGAGGAGAACAGATTGCGAGAGGAAGGCTGCACGCCGTCCGGTGGATCAGGGCGCCAAAGAGCGCGAGACAGTGAATCATTTGTCTCCACCTGTCTCGAGGGTGGGCGGACTCGGAGGTGGTGATGAACGCGTTGCCGAGTCGATGCTTGACAACAGCTGAGGACCTCGCCAGTCACAGGCGAAGGGGACAGTCACCACGCAATGACAGACGCCAGGCTCGGAGTAGTGAGGAATCAGTGGAGCGTGGCTACGCCCCTCGCATTGTCGACTATTGGAGCAGCCTGAATGGAGCGGGCACTTACAGTATAAGCCAACCGGATGTGGACCGAAACAGGATCGATCTCGGTATGTTGGGGCCGAGCTGAGCCGCGATGTGCTTATCGAGAAAGGATCCAGAATGACCAGTGATGTGACGGTCAAAAGAGCAGGGATGCGGATGTGCCGTCTCGTGGTTTCTACAGCGATGCTGGTCAGAACTCGAGCGCAGATGTGATACGGAAGCTGCTGACGGAGCTTGGCGTTGAGAGTCGATGACAAAGAAGTGACTCGGTCTTGGGCGTATCAATACAATCGGCAACGCAAAGGTGCAGATATAATGTCGTGCTTGGTCGAGGATACCGTCCGTGAGGCTAACAGGAGCCCAGATTTGGGCAGGTGGTGCAGGGGCAGGGGTCCGCGAATAGACAGGCTCTTGATCGTGCTGGAGAGAATGTCGAATGACACGGCCTCGATATGATACAGATGTCGTAGAGTAGCTCGGGGGCTTCTTTCCGGTCTGAGAAGATGGTGCGAGCAAGAAGGGGAGCTGGCGGGTCTTTCGAGAAGGAACGTCGAGAAAGACGGACAGAAACGAGTGCGAGAACCGTGGTCTAGGCGAGCAGGTCGTAGTTGGAGGTCGTAAAAGAAGCGGGCAGGTCGGGCATGGACAAGGTCAAGGGCAACAAAGGAGTTGGATCATGTGGACGGAAGGGGAGCAGCAGCGAAAAAGCGGCGGCAGAACCTCCACTACTCGCGGTACCTCGACCCAAGTACCATGGCAAAGAGATGGGCGCAACCGTAACAGCACAGGTTTGAATTGGTTCGCCGTTTGTCCATGCGCCTCAGCTGATCCACGCCCGGGATGTTGCAAGGCGACGAGAAGCAGGGCAATGCGGACCAAGTCGACTAACATCATCAGGAGGCCGGATCCTATCCCGCTTCGCTACGGGAAGGAGGAGAAACAGAGAGAAATGAGCTGAGTCTCACCTCCAGCCCGTCAGACGGAGCAAAAGCGCTGGTTGGCTGGGTAGGCACCGCACCGGAGAAACATGCACCTACGTAGAGCGACCCAAACAGCGAGAGACGGGGGAAGGATCGACAGAGGGAAACACTGCTTCAAATGTCGCCGGGGGGCGGAGAAGAGCGACCCGGGGCAGATAGAGATCATCCGGTTGGGTTCATGCAGGTGCAAAGGCTGACTTGCATGTGCAGTTCCAGAAACCTGAAACCCGTCGACCACGAACACGGCGGCTGCACGTCAAGAGTTGTCATCGCTTAGCTGAGCCATTTCAGAGCGAGCAATGCGGCCAGCCAGCCAGCAAGCGAGCCAGCGCTCACATACTAGTGTCGAAAGCTTGGACGCATTCTGGACGGCGAGTCCAAGCGACGCAGAGCAAGAGAGAAACCAGAAGGGGAGAGCGGGATGCGAAATGCAGCACCAGCGGCGGCGACAGCGGCGGCTGCAGACCCACACGCAGCTTGCACCGCATCCACCTGCATGGAAGAAAGTTTCTTGAGAAGCCGCTAAGGGGGTCCAGAACTCGGGTCCAATTCGCCCAAGCCACCCACGCACTCACACAAGACACCCTTTCTCATTTTCATATGGGTCTCATCTGGCCCACCTTCTTCATTTCGGGCTTGCAGCAAACAAAGGTGCCACACTCTGTTGGCATAACACCACCACGTATGATCGCAACAATGCCACGGAAGCGGTCGAAATTGAGCGACAGCCGGGCCAGCCGATCTTTGCCCTTCTAGCTTGTCAGGACATCGATGGGAAGGCCAGAAGAACAATCGGATGGCTCAGTGTCTACAAGGGCTTGTGCCTCTCATTTTTCAAGAATGGACTGCAGGGGTCACGTCTGTCTAGACTCTGTTGACGGACAAATTTAAAGCTCAATGTGGGATCTGGCTTCGAATCTGCACCGAATGATCTTGTCGGACCGCGAAAGGGCCGAAAAAATCGTTGGCACTCGATCAGCTGGCGTTGCTTTCGGATTCCCTCGAAGGCTGCCTTTCATTGCAGGCCAGTACGATGACAGCTTAGACTCACCGCAGGGGATCAAGCTGAGTTGCAGCATGTCTCTGCCGAACCAATCCTCCTCAGCATGTGATAATGGAGGAGCCGACGGAGGAGCCGACAGGCCAAGCCTCGGCCAATTGGTTGTTTTCCCATGACGGACCACTTCGGCTGCGTATCATGTGCTACACCTTTCTGCGCTTGCGCGGGTTTGCGACGGGAGACGACCAAACTCTTGGCCTTTCAATCAGACCTTGCAAGCTTGACCGGTCCCTCCCAGATACCATCGGTCACCTCGAAAGGCTCGCATCGGGACGGACATCCGGTGCGCGTCGTGGAACACGCAGGCCTTTGCAACAGAGATCCCAACGCTAGGTCGGCATCATCGTCATCGAGCGGAAGCGTCGGTCAATATTAAGGACCGGTCAAGGTACGAGCACGACCTTCACCTTCAAATGACGACAGTAGGAGTCGCAATGCGATTGCTTGGTTCCTGATGGGTCGCCTCGCCGCAAAAGCCTCTGGACGTGGCATGAAGCATCCGAGTGAATATTATACGATCGCAGACAGTTCCGAACCGAACGCGGCTTGTAGCAGAGTTGGAAGCAATGTCAACCTTGGAGACGGTGACGCAAACGCGGTTGGGCGCGCAAACGGTGGCTCGACTCAGTCAACAAGACCAAGCCATGCCTATCGTTCGACGGCCAAGCCTTTCGTCGGGCAGCTTGAAACGATTCTCCCACGCCTCCCCGACTGGTTCATGGGTTCATGGGAGAGTCGTGATCAGCGAATTTTCATGGCAGGCTTCTCACCGAGAAGGCCGACACCGCTCTTTGTCGGTGCAAAGATTAACCGAGTCGATCGAGGTGGTCCTATTTTCGTCACGCGTGTCTCGAGATGTGCCGGATGTTGGGGGCAAGGTGGCAAGTGTTGAGCATTCCGCTGCCAGGTCGTCCTAACCGAATCGCATCATGCGAAAGATCAAAATGTCATGCCGGCTGAGGCGTTGGAAGCGAACAGATTGAAAGCTACATTAGGTTGTCTGCCGAGAGACTCGCTTGGACAAGCGTGCTGACAACTCAGTCGGAAGGAGAAAGCGCAGACTTCGCTTACCTGGGAGTCCCGCGCACAAGAAAGTGATTGGGGAGAGTGGTGCGTACGAGCGCTTGCCGTCTCGTCCGATTCGCAGCTCGACGGTACGTACGAGACATAAGCTCTGAGCTCGTCCAGCCGAACCCAGCATCAGACACTGCTTGCGACCGCTTATCACGAGCTTCCTAGCTCTCACTTTGACCCGTGGGGCAGCAAGAGGTAGCCTTGTCAAGACGATGCGATGCTGGCTGCACAATCTCATGCAGCTTCGGGAGGCATGCGAGACTGAAGCGTCTTCGATTTTATGTGACAGAACCTCGATTCGAGGCAGCCATCTGGGTCGAATCGGATCTCGGATCGGCACTGAGCAAATTTCGATGCAGACAGGGTCCACAAGTTCATGATCATCCTTCCTGTCCACGAAATATGGTCAAAGAGCTCAGACCTTGACGTCTCAAGACCACCACCATTGTGCCTGTCGCGCTTACAGCATCAATCGGACCATTCGGCTCGCAGCATACGAAGCGATCGGGTCGACTCCGATGCGAGTCTCGTCAAGATGAACGATGACTACGCAGGGGCAAGCGGATCCAGCTCCACGAGCGTAGCACATCAGTTGTTGCGAGCGGCGCTGGATACCGAAAAGGTCTCCAACTCGCAAGTTTCGCAATACTATCGAGAGCGACTCCAAGATCGTCGCATTCAAATCACCAATCTTGACCGCGCTCGTCCCAAGACAGGCGGCAACGATGCCGACGCTCGGATGCGCGCCGAGCGCAAGCTGATCAAACGCAAGAGGAGAGTCAAGAGCGAACTGTCCCAGCTCAAGCGGCTTCGCATCGCGGCCGGTCGATCGGCAAAGCACCGAGATGCGCAAGAGGATGTGTCTTCGCCTACATATACGCACCCAAAAGAGGATGTGTCGGATCCCGACGCCAAAGAGCTGGTCAAAGGCAAGCAGCGTCTTTTGGCAGACGCCAACAAGCAGCTCAGACGCGTGCAATCCGCACCACAACCTCCGTCAAACGAAGCGAAAAGGCTCAGTCGATCCGCACGCAAACCTCTCAGCCGCGCTCAACGCAAACGCATGGGTCTGGAACAAGTCGATGCCAACATCAGCTATGAGCTTGTCCAGCCTCTGCACGACATGTGGCGCTCCTACATCCAGCAGTTGCTCAACATTGTCGCCATGAACGGCAAGGGTCAGCTCGTAGCAAATCCGCAGTTCGATCCGAAGAATCTCACCACCATGTCATCTGGCACCGTGAGCGCTGTTCAAGCCTCGCTCATCAAGGCCGACCTGTGCGGAGCAGAAATCGAGGTGGTCCGTGCTGCCAACCCGTCTCTCGTCTCTCAGCATGGCCTCGTCGTCAAGGAGACCGAGCACACCATCATCATCGCTGTCCCTCCATCAGGGACAGAGAAATCCGCACACAGGACGTCACGCCATGCAACTCGCACTATACCCAAACACAATGCCGTCTTTGCAGTCAAGGTGCCTCTCGCCTCTATCGATTCAGCGTCAGACCCAGGCCATCTCCGCTTCGAGCTTCACGGCAATCACATGATGCACACACTACCATCAAGAGCAACGCGCAAGTACAAGGCTCGACCGACCATCGACTTCTGAACGCACTTCGTAATGTAGCCTTCAGCTCGTCATCACCAACATCGACTCGGCAACCAGCATCAGCAATAATTGAAACCATATTTGCATAACGAAGCACGATCATCATACGCTGATACAGAGCGACACGATTTGAAAGGAAGACGAGCCTAGTCAGGGATTTGCGAGATGTCATCGACGGTGATCTCCTCGCGAGCGTTCATCCTACGTCGGAAGCTAGCCGAGGCCTTGTAGACGCCTTTCCTGAGGCGATTGATAGAACCCAGCGGCTTGTGCTCGACCAACCCATGCCACACATCGAGCCGATTGTGATCCTCCCAGAAGCTCACCCTCTTCGGCGGGAACGACTCCTGCGCTGGCAATGTGATTCTAGCCACGGTTACATAGGGGTACTTCTGCTGGTCCCACTCCACACGCACGTCTTCGACCGGTTGCTCGTCGAGGTTCTCGAGGAACTGCACCTGGAAGTCGTACGTTGCGTCGTTGCTCTTGAAGTACTCCTGCAGCCAATCGCGGTGGACGGTGGTGCCCTTATCGTTCTCGCCGACCGTCTTGTCCGCGAGCGCCTTCTGCGCATCGGAGGTGGGGAGGATGCGGTACTTGACCACGTGGTCCCCGTACCGAATCGCCGCCTGGCTGTACTGCCTCTGGGCGGCAAGGTGGACGTTTGGAGCGACGTTTCGAGCGTTCTGGATCTTGAAGTCGTCGCGCTTGCGGAGGTCGGCATCGAGGCCCTTGCCGTCGGCTCCGTGGAGAAGACGCAGAGCGATGATATCGCGACACGTTCGTGCGTTGCCCAGCTCGAGGAAGGCGCACGAGTTGAACTCAAAGTCCTGCGTCTCTGGATCCTTCATGTCCTTGCGCAGCTTGGGACCTTTTGCGCCGAACACCTTGAGACCTACACCGCGGGGTTGCGGGATGCGGTCGTCGATCAGATCTGTGGTCTCCGTCGAGTAGCGCATGGCAACGGGGAATGTGGACCCGGGTTGCTTGAACAGCCCTTGGTAGAGGTGCGAGTCAAGACCCTCGAGGACCGACATGGTGCCTTTGACAATGCCTTGCGTCTTGACATGTGTGCCGGAGAAGGCGTGACGGTGACACTCCCAAACGGCGGTTTGGGCCGTGTTGATCTGCTTCTCGACCTCGTGGATCAGCTGGTCCTCTTCTGGACCTGCGCCCTTTTCTACGTTGGGGTCGTCCCATCGGATGAACGTTCGAGTCATTGTTGTGGTGGCACTTGGGTCACAGGGGTTTGATGGTGTGCAGGTGATCGCTTCAGGACTGGGCTCAGGAAGAATGCCGCTCAGAGAGGTGGGGGTATATATCCATCACCACACCAACCTGTCGGCAAATGCATCTTTCAGGGCCCCTTCGGTGCATGGAAGCATCTGCTCCGAGTCAAACCAGATGCCGGAGGCGACCCTGGATGGTCGTTGCAGCGCGCCAAACCCGAGTGTCTGTTCTCGGGCTTCGAGGCTACCCCACAAAAGGCGCCAAGGGGGACAGGCGACACGACCATGTGATGCGAAAGACCGGAAGGCCGACGGAAGGAGGCGAAAAGAAAGCCCGCCTCTGGAGCGTGCGCGATTAAGCTTCTCACACCATCAACCCCCGCATCGATCCTTCTTTGTCGCCCCTCTCAGTCACATGCGCATGATTCCTAGCCTCCTTTTGTCGTGACAGGCTGTAGAGCGTCGGAGGAATGAATGGTTCAGGATCTTGCTCAATCACGGAAGGGACGGCGAACGAAGTGACCTTCTCGCTTAAATTTGTGTTTTGTGTCTGTCAAAGCGGTCAGGTGGAATGCCGAGTGGCCGGAGGTCATTTCATGCCAACCATTGCGCACCTCCTGCCTCTTGTTTCTTTCGTTCCATCATCTATGTGTGTGCTGAAAGCGCTGAGTCATGACTTCATGGTGTGCAGCGTCGACCGACGCTTGAGCTCCAGCCAGGGTGAGATAATGCTCAAGGGCAGGGCGCTTGGTACGGAGGAGGCGTGCGGACGGCAAGCAAAAGTCGTCGGCGAACGTCACAAGACCCTTGCATTCCTTTTCCCGCAGCTTTACCCGTGCTCGTCAACAGCAGCTCGTTCGCCGTCCGCTGCGCTGCTGATCCCGCGGAAGTACGGTCTTCAGCGGTCAAGAGCCGTCTCGCCTGATCCAAGGCTGATCGGTGGTTGAAGAAGAGAGCACATCGCCGATTCAGACCGCACGGCTTGACACGCCTGCCTCGCTCACAGGTTACGTCCGGTGCCGACCTGCGTCGTCAACGCAGCGAATTTCCAATCTCTCACAGACAGACAGACAGACAGACAGACAGACAGACAGACAGACAGACAGACAGACAGACACACAGACAGACAGACAGACACACAGACAAGCGGATGTATCGGACGTGAAACTAGTCTGCTCCTCACATCCATCCTCCTTCAAGGCGGTGGAGAGGAGACATCGACTGTGGATTGAAGCGACTTCTAAGAACGAGCGAAACTAAAAGAAGGAGCGATTTCGAGAGAACGAGGATGCGAGTATGGTATGGTGATGCAGATGCGGAGGATGAGGAGATCAAAGCACGAGGGCGAGGGCAGCGGCGATGGCGCCCAGGCCGACGGTGGATGCGCCAGCGACGAGGCTCGATGCGCCCGAGGTCGACGACGAGCCCTTGTTGGTGGCGCCGACGGTGCCGGTGGACGAGCCGCCCGAGCTGCCGCTGCCAGAGCTGCCGGAGCCCGAGCTGCTGGAACCAGCGCCGGTGGCGGCGGCGGCCGAGCCAGACGAGCTTCCGCTGGCCCTCGCCGCCGAAGCGGCCTGCGAAGCCCTAGCACCCTGTCCGCTGCCCGCAAGATCAGCGAAGGCGCTCGTGTCCGGTGCGTTGCGGCTGCCACGTCGGGCGTCCGAGTGCACCACATTGATCGCCTGTCGCGTGGGCAGAATGCTATCCACGCGCTGCTTGGGCGTGGTGAGGTTCCACTGGTTCTGGTAGTACGGCAGCCCTTGCAGCTCGGGGACGGCGCCGACGATCCAGTTGTTTGCCTTGAGTGCGCGGTGGTACGTCTGGAACGCCTCGATCGCCTGGTCGGTCGTCTCGTGCTCGAGCGAGATGAAGCCCGTGCGGTTGTTCGTGTCCGCCCAGCTGACCATCTCCCGAGTGACGCTCTGCGAGGTCGCGCCGATACCAGTCGTGCACGTCTGCAGCTGCGCAGTGCCAGAGCCCTGGCGCAAGCACCAGTCGTCCGCATCCTTGTTCCACATGACCGTCTGCAGACCGAGCACCTCGGTAGCGATGGCACGCACACGAGCGTCAACATCGCCCTCAGGGGGACGCCAGTACATGGGAACGGAGCCAGTCAGATCGTAGATGATCTGCATGGTCCAACCGAGGTCGCCAAGGACCTGGAGGTCGTTCTTGTTGGTTTGAAGGGTGTGCGACCAAGTGTGGACACCAAGGTGCATGGGTGGGTCCGACTTGACGTAAAGGTCCATCGCGTCGGGGTTCCATACGATGGCACTGCCGATGAGGAAGTGCGTGGCCGTCTGACGCTGTGCCGAGAGGTAGTCGATGAGGAGGTGCGACTGAGGAGTGGGACCGTCGTCAAAGGTGATCGAAACGTAGTTGTCGGGAGCAAGCCAGATGTCGCCCGTGTCGCACTTCTGGACGGTCCACGAGCAGACGTTGGTCATGTCGGTGCCCGCCGGGTAGGCCGTGGCGCGGGTGACGGGATCAGTGACGGAAAGGGGGATGTTGGGGATGAGACCAGCGGCCTTTTTCTGGTTGTAGCGGTCGATCCAAGCCTGGGGAAGCGAGCTGGCGGGAGGAGGGTCGGAACCGGCAGGAGGGTAAGGCATGCCGTTCTTGGAGACGCTGGCGAGCTGACGCTTGGTGATGCTGTGGTGCTGCTCGTCGCCTCGTTTCTGGAAGAGGTCACCAGCACGGTGCTCTGAAGGGTGGACGAGGCCACGCTGATGACGGGTGGCAGCAGAGACCATAGGGGCAGCCAGAGCCATGGCCCCGACGGCAACGGCGGTGAAACGCATGATGACGGTTGACTGTCGCTGGCGATTCAAGTCGGTAGTGGGGAGGAGAGGGGAGGGGGAAGAATCGCGACCTCAAAACCAAGGCGCTGCAAAGGGTCGTCTATAAGAGGAAACGGGGAGGGGAGAGCAGTAAAGACTGTGGGTGGCAGCTGATACAGACTCGACTGCCAAGAAGCGGGTTGCCAAACAAACACGAGCGAGGAGAAAGGGACGGACGGAGGAGTGCCGAAGAGGGTGATGGATGGAGGAAGAGGGGAAGGAAGGAGGGAGGCAGGGAGAGGAGCAACAAGTACTAGCAATCGGAGGAGCATGTACCTTTCGATTCACTTGCTTCATTCAAGGACGCCGGGACCCCTTTGACCCTCGTTTGCTCGTTGTCACAACCGACTGGAAGAGGAAACGAGCAACAGAGCCAGAGGATGCAAGTGGGCGGGTGGGGTCCAATTCATCTCGAATGCACAAGTGAATTAGGGGGTGGCTGCTGTGTCAATGGTGTGGGAGTGTCACGGAAGGGCCGGTGAAGGTCAACCTCGACCTGCACATGGGCACGGGCGGGGTGTCATCTCGAGCAAATTCAGACAATCTAGGCTCGCAGATCCCTTCGGATACGAGCCGATCAGTCACGGACTGCCACGACCCAGTGCACCTCGCCTACTGGCTTCGGTACCACCGAACGGTTCCCACGCCATGGATCAAAAGATCAAAACACACCGAAACTTTGACACAGCCATTCGGAGGAGCAGCCGAGGGAGATCATCATCAGGAGGAGGAGGGAGGAGCAGCTGAGACGATGGCCTGAGGAGCGCTTCTAGTGTGTATGCTTCGAAAACGCCAAGACATGCTCGGACGGACACAATAAGTTACCGCAGGCAGGACAATGACAAGCCGAGGCCTTGCAAAGGAGCACCATGACTGTCATCACCTGCGTGCCAAGCCTCTCGAAGAACATGACACGCACATGCACTTGCATGATGCTGGCGTCGATGTGCCAGTTCCGCAGCCGTGGTGTGTTGTCTGACGCTGCTCATGCTGCTCGGCTGAGATTTCCTGGTCCGCCAGGCCAAATTTGAGAGTGTGTTGTGCTGGCACGCCCTGCATGGGACGGAATAGTGACACCGACGCGTGTCGGCTTCCTGTGTTTTTCTTTGCTGGCGCGTTACCTGACTGCAGATGATTCCACCCCTGGCTCGGAGATGCTGCAGGAGTTCGAGTCCAGCTGCTGCACATGCAAACCAGAAAGAGGACCCTGCCAAGCCTCGAGCATCTGATAGAAGTCATCTTCAATTGCGATCTGCGCTCGGTCGAGCTGTGACAAAGGGTCACCTCGACAGCGATAGCAAGTGTAAACATCGGGACCAAAGCGAAGCGAAACGGCGGGAGGCGTGTTTTGGTTGCGATAAGCGAACGGCTTCCCTTCCATGGAAGAAGCGACGCAGATCCGGGCTCACGGGCTTGGCGAACATGAAAATCCGCGGTACGAAACTGCGAAAGGAAAAATTGAGATTTGAAACCGACACAGGGGACATCCGAGGGTCAGAAGAGACAGGAGAGGAGAGAGCGAGCGAGAACAGTTTCCCGGTCACGCCGAGCCCAACGGGATCCCGCGTCGGCTGTGCCAAGTCTCGTACTACTCCCATTGTTCGATACCATGCCCAAATGGCTCGTTCAAGCTCCGTCTTCCGTGCGTTTGGCACCGCTAGCCGACCCAACTGCATCGAGATCCGCAGCTTGAGAGTCAGCTTTGCAGCTCGGAAATCTGCGACGGGATCGGGTTGGACTGTCGACACTGCCTAAACAAGCTCGCGATTCCGAGTCGCAGACGCGAGCGGTAGCTGACGACGTCATTGCTGCTTCCATGGCGGAAGATCACAGCTGGTTCTGATGCTGGAGGCGCGACAAAGCTGTGGCTGCTGCCGCGTCTGACGGTGCACCAGTACGTGGCATCAGCAGACAGTCACGACGAGCAACCGTTTGGACGCCGCGACCCGATCTGCATTGACACCCTGTTTTGGTTGGAAGGCGGCTCCATACTCTGCGGGGAAGAGGATCGGGTACTGGTTGGTCACGAGATACACAGATATGATGGAAGATGTCGACAAAGGCGTTAAAATCTCACTGGTGACGCCCTGTTCCAGCGATATAATTGCCTTTACACTTAAGCCAAACATCTGCGGCCATAGAACCTTGAAAGCACCGCATCCCGTCCGATCTGCGAAGTTAAGCAAGGTATCGCCTAGTCAGTACTGCGGTGGGGGACCACGCGGGAATCCTAGGTGCTGCAGTTCTTTCTTTTGCCTTTTTTTTGCGCCCTTTTTGGGACCCTTTTGGACAGCGTCTTTTCTCGAGGCCGACTTTTCAAAAGGACTTCAAACCGGTCCATCAACTGCGCTGTGACAGAGACCATCAGGCTCAACGGCTCAGCGATGAGATCGACAGCACTACTCGCGAGGATTATCGGCGGTTCACAGAGCAAGTACATAACGATGTACGCAGGACGCCGTGCGGGTATCAACATGACTGCGGCATGCGCATTGGAGTAATTGCATTCATACTGTGCTTCTGTCACAAGGCCTGATGTTCAGCTGCTTGCAGCGGCAGATTGTGAGAATCGGAAGTGGAGGTTTCTGCCGGTCGCATGGCCGACTTGGCAAGTCCAAGGAAGTCATCTGCTGCTTCCGACGTGGGGCTCACACCGGTGCCGCCAAGGGACGATGGCGATGGCTGGCTTGATGCGAGCTGTGCGCCGCTTCCAAGACGATCCGCGCTGACCTCGCCCTGTCGGAACGCTTTCGCCGCCTCGAGGTATGCATCGCCCGAAGTAAATGTCTGGTCGGTGCGCTTGACCCTGGCCGCCTTTGTCTGCTGCACATCTGCAGCGTTGGCGGCATCGCCGCTCGCCATGCCTCCTGCTGCCCATGCCGCCCACGACTCGAGCGCCTTCTCCTCCTTCTCGAATCCTCGCTGTGTCTCGGTCTTGCCCAAGTCGGCGCCGTAGTACTTTGCTTCGAGGATTGCGTAGCGCGTGGCATGCTCGCGCTCGGCTTTGAGGCCATGGTAGGACGAGAGCGTGTTGTGGTAGGCTTGCGACAGGGACAGACCGCCTTCACGGTGTGCTGCGAGTGTACATGCGACAAAGTCTTCCACGCTCGGATTGCGGCCATACGAACGGAGTCGTTTCGGGTCGCCATGGACTCTCGTTTCGCTGCCCACCTGCTCGCTCATCTCGACGAGCGTCTTGGGTCGATACGCCTCCCATGGGTGATCGCGGAAGAACTGCTGTCGAATCTTGTCCTCGTCGTAGACGATCGGTTTCGGGGTAAGCTTGGGTGTCAAGGACCTCGACTTCTTTTTCGAGTTGGTGGTATCACGGCCGTACTTTTGGTTCGAAGTCGTCGCTTTGGAGGAGGAACCAGGCTGGATAGGCTGAGTCCGGAGCTTAGCCCGCAAATGAGCTGGAAGGTCCTCATTTGGACGCTGGACCGGGTGTCGAGCAGGCACCGAGACCGGGGGATGGTTGTTCACCGCCTCGAGCCATGCGGGAGGCTGCTTGAGGAAGCCGGCTTCGAGCAACCGCGAGACGGTCTGCGGGACCTGCGATGGGATCTTTCGAGGCATGGTACTAAGCTTGCGGTAGCTGTCGTCGATGCAAAGCTGATTTGAAGAGGATGGGGCGTGCAAGGACGGAACCTAGCGGAAAGGAAGCAATCGCAAATGCAAGTTGGGCAAAAAGTGTCAAGCTGCTCTGCTGACCTTTCTTCTTGACACTGCACGTGATGTGGGCCCACTCAGACCGGAGCTTCAGTCGTGCGATAAAAATTACAACGCGTAAAGGAGCCACGAGAGCGCGGCAACCGAGACAGGGGCTTCTGAGAAAAACACTTTGAACCCTTTGACACAGACAGCGGGGGGCACAGCTGAGCCAGCTGCAAGGTGGAGGCACAGAGGTCTTTCTACACCAACCCAAGACTAGAGTCCATACGTTGCTTGTAGATCTCGCTCTTGACGGTCGTTAGGTCTTGAGATGTGCTCTGTTTGGCTCAAAGGAAAGTCAGGGCCAGGATGCACAAGCTTGTTACAAAGTCACAGATGCTTGGAGGGTCCAGACTGGCTAGCTTTGGACAGAGGCCGAGCTCGAATTGCCAAATTGCCGAGAACAACACTTTTTGGCCAAGGTTGGCTGCAGTTGACAAACAGAGCGTCACCAACAACCTTATGGTCACATCTGCGTCGCAACGAGCCTACCTTCTTGCTACGGTCACAGTCAGGTGTAGCATGGAAGGAAAGACAACATCAGTCAGACTTGCCGACTTTCTTGTCGGGGCTCAACCGAAGAGATCGTGTGCCTGCGTTGCATCGTGAGTAAATTCAAAGTTAAGCTGAAAGCGTGCATCTTTCCACTGCGCGGAGTTGTCAGCGTGTTGCTCTGGGCTTCTGGTGACCAGCGCTATGCTTTTTCATCACCATCATCCCATCCCGACCACAGCTTCTCTCGGACCAATACTCACGTTCTCACGCACACACACATCGAGTCTAAAGCCAAGCCCCACTATCTCTTGTTCCACCCGGTCTGGCGATCCGAGCACCGCAGGCGGCCCAGCATTTCCAGCGCGCGTGCCAACCAACACGACTTACTCAAATTACGATGGTGCCTCCTGCAAGTTCTCGATAGACGTCCTCTCTGTCTTCTCAGTCTTTTTATACCCAGCTGTAGAGAACAGCAAATAACATATCACGTCACGATGGCAGGCCGAGAGCTGCTGCAGGTCCTCTTGCCCGGCAACGCCGCCATCTTGTCGGCCTCCGTCCCCTCGGCGGCTTCGACATCGATACAGGATCTCATCGTCGCCCTCCTCACAGATCTCACCAACAACAAACAACTCAAAGCGGCATTCGGGTCCCATTTCCAGCCCTGGGCATCAGCCACTTCGAACGACTTTGAGAGCTCCGAGAAATGGCTCATCGATCCTCACGGACAGCTCTGGGCGCTCCAGGCGGTGCAGGCAACCGAGCCAAACTACGAATGGAAAGAGGAGGAGCTCCGAGCCATCAATGACGGCATTGTCCCATTGCAAACGGGCGTCTTTGGCTTCCTTCGCAGCCTTGCCGAGGGTCCAAAGCCGTCAGACGAGGACGGCGCTCCCCTTCCTGTGGCCGACCTGTCTTCACCGACAGCCTTCTCCGACTTTCTGCTCTCGTCCCATCTACACACGCCACGCCTACGACTAGTCTGCGGTGCTGCAGGTCTCAGAGTTCGCCTTCGCTTCGGCCACGTTCCGGAAATCTACGATGGCTGGGATCAGAGAACCTTCTTCCTCCCTGCCGACGCGAAGAGTCCAGAAGCGGCCGGAGTCGGCTCCCTCGTGACGGAAGTCGTCGAAGCTGTCTGCGAAGAGTTCGGCATTCGTAGGGTCGTGCTTCAGGGTAGCAAGTCGGCTCGTGTCGTATACGCCCTCTGTCCACTGCCAGCGACACCAGCGTCAGCACCAGCACCTATGCCACCACCTTCTCCGCTACCGGACAACGCCTCTTTACCGCAATTGCTCAGCAGCATGGATACGTCGGATCCCGGCCTCATGTTCACCATCAGCGCCAGTTGGCTCAACAAACTTGGCACGGTCGCCCAAGGCTTCTCGAAGCACGCTCGTCGTCAGGGCTCCAATGGCGTCCCTTTGGCGCCAGCTCCCTCCGCAGCGCCTGGCCAGCCCGCTCGATCGCCTTCTCCCACGAAACAGTCGGCCGTCAAGACAGGCGTGCTTGGCCTATGGGGCTCGGCTAGTGTGAGCAAAGCCACTGCTGCTCTTCTTCCTGCCGCCTTCTCGCCCGCCGCCAAGAATGCCTCGCGCTCGACGGGCGATGCGGATCTTGACGCTCTCTCCGTGGAGCTCACCTCCGCACGCTTGAATGCCGAAGAAGATGAGGATGATGCGGGTGGTACGCTCCGAGGAAGCAAACCAACGACGCCTGCTCGACACAACAATTCGTTGCCAGCAGACGAGTCGCAAAGACAAGCACGAGGATCTGCAGAGGTAGAAGGCTCTTCTGAAGCTCCAGAACATGTTGGAAAAGGTCGACGCCATCACGGTCCACTAGCGACGGCTCGACTGAGCAGGATGTTCGAGGGCTGGATGGGAGGCGGTGGCGAGCCAACCTCTCCCTCATCGTCGAGCTTGCGTCACAATGCCATGGACGAACCCGAAACGCCCACAGCCTCGAACATCGGTCGGGTTCACGGCACCGTTGGCAGGAGCGGCAAGACATTCAGCGTTAGCGGGCCGCTCGAGCTCGACAGCGACACCAGCAACGTGTCACGCTCGTCTTCGATTGTTTATCTTCCCTCACCAGCCTCCGAAGACCTCCACAGCCCCGAGGAGCTGGCAGCCAGATTCGACAAGCTAATGAACGATCTTGGCATCAAAGGGACAAGCCGTACAGCCATGCTAGCCCTTCCCGACGATCGCAAGCGCTTCCTCATCAGCCAAAATGAAGCAGCCAGGACGTCGACGCCTTCCAAATCGCGCAACGCCATGTCTCCGCAACTGAGCGACAAACCGGCGTCGCCTACCCTCAGCAATAGCTCGGACACAGTAGGGCGAAGCGTTGGTCTTCCTTCTGGGTGGTCCAACCGCTTCAGCATTTCCAGCATCACCAACTGGGCCACAGGGGACGCCAATAGCTCTGGCGCAGGCTCCGCAAAGGAAGACGAGGGCGATGCCAGTCCCCGCGTGAGCCTTTCTGGCGATGCTTCCAGTCAGGGTAGCACTAGCACTCGCCCGACGACGATGATCTCCGAGACCGGCTCGTTCGGATCCGTCGACTCGAGGCCACACAGCAACGGCGATCACACCAACACGCTTCGAGCACACCACACCGGCAGCAGCGCCGGCGTCACCGCAAGTCTGTTCAGCAACTGGTGGGGAGGTGGAAGCACGATCGCAGGCGTCAACGCAAGTCAGGATCCAGGAGGCGGCGACGAGTGCAACGCGGCGATGGGTCACGTCACCAGATTGAAGGATGGCAAGCTGAGCCGAAAGGACCTCTTCAAACACCTGCTCTCGCTGCGTGTCACGCTCAGCAGCGCCAAACTCTCTTGGATCGACAGCTTCCTCCACTGCGACGGACTTGGGGCTCTGGAACGCATCATGCAGCACGAGACAGAGGGCATTGTCAGCAGCCTCATTGTCCATCGCACCAAGCAAGTCGAGCGCAAGGACATGTCGGATGCCATCCTGCTCGAGGCGGTCAAGTGTCTCCGAACGCTCATGAACATCGAGCTCGGCTTCGAAAAGGTGTTGGAGCAGTCCAATCTGGTCAACTACATTGCCTTTGCCCTCCGCTCTCCCTCGTACAAGCTGCGTCTTCAGGTCGCCGATGTGCTCGCCGCCTTGTGCGTGCTTTCGCTCGACGACGGCCATCGCATGGTCTGCGGCGCTCTCTCGGAGCTCAAGATTGCCACGGGCGAGCGCTTTCGGTTTGCGTTCTTGGTCGACGATCTCAAGCCGGACTCGTCGGAGGATGCACTCAACGATGCATGGAACGCAGGTCTCAAAGACGCAAATGCGGATGAAGCCATCGAGTGGGAATACAGAGCTGCCGCCATGGTCCTTGTGAACGCCATCACCAACAGCCCAGAGGACCTCGAGGAAAGGGTCTCGCTGCGTGACGAGTTCGCCCGTCGAGGCCTCAACGAAGTGCTCGTATCGCTCCGCTACGTCGATCCACCAGAGAGCTTGGCGACGCAGATTCAAGTGTACGTCGAAGAAAAGCAAGAGGATCAAGACGAGCTGCACGACCGCGCTCTGCACCTGTCCGATCGCGACCGCGAGCGTGATACCGATGTCATGTCCGACCTCGGCGAGGCCGGCGAAATCCTTCGCAGGTCTCAGGACGCGCACGAGGACCTCTATCCTATCATGATCTCCATCTTGCGTCACACCTCGAGCATCCTCGATCGCGACATTGACCATCAGTTCAAGACGGATCTTCTGTTCGTGGTGGACAAGTATGTCGAACAATCAGCTGACGTCGCCGACTTTGACGAAGGCTGGAGGAGTTTCATGCGCTCTTACCTTGCCAACATCCAGCACCTGGTCGGGAAACAGGCCATGATCAAGGCCAACGCCAACAGAATCAGCGACACGAGCACCGTTCCGAGCAGCTTCATCGAGGAGCTCGAGGGTCTGCGTGCCAAGGTCGAGGAGCTCAGCGACGATAAAGCCAAGCTGAGCACCAGGCTCAACGAGCAGACTGCCGAGGTCATCACGCTCCGAAGCTTACCGGGGGCTGCCGCACTGCGCAAGGATTCGGCCGAAGATGACGCAGCCTCCTCGGGTTTGCCATCGTCGCAGCCCAAGCGCGGCGATAAAGAGAGCTTCGCCGGTGTCATTCATCGGTTAGTTGCGAAGGAGAAGCAGGTCATCGAGCTGCAAGCCGAGCTCGACCGTCTTTCCTCCGCTGCACGACCCGAGGAGCGCACCGATGGAGATGATCGAGCCAAGAAGGAGCGTCTGGAACGGAACCGTCAATGGACCAACCTGATGGACGAGATTGCGCGTCACAAGGAGCAACTCGCCGGTGCAGAAGCCAACGCCGAAGCGAAGGAGCGCGAGATCAAGTATCTCAAGCGTGCTCTCGAGACAGTCTACGGACGTTTCCAGAGCGGCATGGCGCAAGCTCAAGAAGAAGCAGAGGCGAAGGACCACGGAGAAGAAGCGTCCAAGAGCGCCACATCGGCCGGCAACTCGGAGATGGAAGCCGACATGATGGCACGTCGCACGATCGAGGCGCTGAGCAAGAAGGATGTCGAGATCTCGGAGCTCCGTGCGGACGTGGCCAAGCTTCAGGAGAAGGCGCTTCAGTCGATGGAAGCCGCCAAGTCGACGAAAGAGATGGAGGCACTGCAGATCCAGCTCGGTGAGAAGGACAACCACATCACCAAGCTCGGAGACGAAATGGCCAAGTTGCAAGCATTGCTGCTTCAGCTTCAGATCCAACCTGCTGGCTCTGGAACGAGCTCTGCCGGTGCTGCACCGAATCATCGTCAAGCATCAAGGCCGCCCGGCGCACCTGCGCCTCCCCATACAGGATCTGCTGCCCTCGGGACCACGCCGTCGCCGCGTTTGCAGATGGTCGCCGAAAGCCAGAGCGTGTCTGCCGGCGATGCTCCTCCTCCTCCTCCTCCACCTCCGCCGCCGCCTGCGCCGCCGGCTGCTGCCGGGCTCGCTGCAGGTGCCTCAGGAAGCGTCAGTCTGGACGGACCTCCTCCACCGCCTCCTCCTCCGCCGCCGCCTCCGGGACCTGGCATGCCTTCCACCACAGCGGCGACAAGTTCAGGAGCTCCTCCTCCTCCACCGCCGCCATCGCCACCGCCGCCCGTGCAGGCAGGTGCGACTGCGGGCGCGTTCGTAGCTGGGCCGCCGCCACCACCACCGCCGCCTCCCCCTGGTGTTGCAGCTGGTATGCCGCCACCGCCTCCTCCCCCGCCTTCCAACGCCCGTCCGATTCCGCCACCTCCGCCTAGCGCACTCAACACACCCAAACCTCCTACTTTGCCTCCTCTCCCGAAGAAGAAGCGCAAAGCCCTGTTCTGGAACAAATTACCAGCTCATTCGCTATCGAGCACCGTCTGGAGCGATCTTCCTAAAACATCTGTCGACGTGACAGGCGAGATCGATCGTCTGGACGAGCTCTTTGCCATCGGAAGCAAGCCAGTCGCTGCGGTGCCCGATGCCAAACAAGCGGGCCAAAAGGCAAAGCCGACCACATTGCTCAATCTCACGCGGGCGCAAAACGTCTCGATCGTCCTGACCAGGATCAGGATGCCATTCGCCGAGATGCGAGCCGCGATCTTGCAATGCGACGAGTCCAAGCTCAGCATCGACCACCTCAAGAGCATCAACAAGTGCCTTCCTACGACGGATGAGCTCGGGCTTGTGCGCGACTACGATGGCGACATCGGCACGCTCAGCAAGGCGGATCAGTTCTTCAAGGAGATGCTCGGCATTCCACGACTATCGGAGCGCCTAGCTTGCATGGTATACATGCGGACGTTCGAGTTGGATCTGGAGGAGATCAAGCCGGACCTGCGCATCCTCAAGCACGCTGTTGACGAGATCAACGGAAGCGCCAAGTTCAAATCGGTGCTTCACACGGTGCTGACGATCGGCAACGTGCTCAACTCTTCGACGTTCCGAGGCGAGGCGGCGGGTTTCCAACTGAGCGATCTGCTCAAGTTGAGGGACACGAAGCCATCTCAGCCGACACCGGCGACGCCCACCCTGCTGCACTACCTGGTCCGCGTGCTCAACAAGACCGACAAGACGCTGGTCGGCTTCTTGGACGACTGCTCGCACGTCGAAGCTGCCGCACGACTCTCGACCACGTCGGTCATGGCTTCCATCGCGGCCCTCATTACTGGCCACGTGACGATCAAACGAGAGATGACAGTACTACAGAACGTCGGCATCTCTTCGCAGAGCGACCGCTTCGTCGACGTCACAGACGAGTTCCTTCGCCAGACGAGCCCGCAACTCAAAGCGCTCCAGCTGGTAGAAAGGACAGTCTCGGCCAATCTCAGCAAGCTGCTGACCTACTTTGGCGAGGATCCGAGCCAGACCAAGCCCGAAGACTTTTTCGGGCTGGTGAGCAGCTTTGGACAGGCGCTGATGCGGGCAGAGGAAGACACGCTGCAGGCGGATCGAAAGGCGGAGTTGGAGGCGCAGAAGAAGCAGAAGGGCTTGATGGGCAAGGGCAGATTTGGGACGCGTGTTGCGCAGTTTGGTCCCGAAGTGCGAGGGCCGCTGGCTGGTGTCGCCGCCGCCGCCGGCGGGGCGGGTACACAGTCGACTTCGGCTGCAGAGACGCTCGATTCGCCCATCAGCGACGTCACGCCTACCGCATCGCGCTTCCAGTCTTCAGACAGTGGCAGTGGCGGAACGCTTCGGGCGGATCAATCACCCGCGATCTCCGTCCCGGCCGACGCAGCCCGCCGCTCCTACCGCGGCAGAGGTCAGCTGGACGAAGCGATCAAAGAGCTGCGCGCCGGCGCGGCGGGTCGCAAGCTCGCCAACGTCTTTGCCAACCGCGACGCCTCTCCCTCACCCACCAAGCCGTCCTCCCGCATCTTTGCCCGCCCTCCCCCGCTCGAGATTGACACAACCGCCGAGGAGGAGGGGGACCAGATGCAGACGCTCGAAGCTGGCACCATTGGCAGAAGTCGATTCTCACCTGCGACGCTGAGGAACGGTACGGGCAGGGATAGTATCTATGGTACGCTGTCAGGTAATCCTAACGGCACGCTGAGCGGGAGGAAGAGTTTGAGGGTCAAGCAGGGTGGGGCGAGACGGCCGTTGAGTCGGGTGTTTTTGACGGGAGATCGGGTGGAGCGGGACGATTGATTGGACAGCGGATGTGGAACGACACGGATGAACTTTGATGATTTCACGCAGGGATGTAATGATACTCATGACCAGAACTTGAGCTTCCGACTGCGTTGATGAAGAAGCGCCAACAATCAGCACCATCCTCAGGCAGAGATCACGGGATGCTAGAGATCAAATCTATATCATTTGCCAACAACTTGTGTCCGACCACTCAGGCCTTCTTCGTGCTAGGTACCATGGTGACGACCTCCTCTGCGCTGGTGGGATGAATAGCGCATGTCTCCTGGAAATCCTTGACCGTAGCGCCCATCTTGACCGCCACCGCGAAGCCTTGCAACATCTCATCCGCTCCCAAACCCACAATATGAAGTCCTACCACCTTCTCCCCTGGACCCACGACCATCTTGAACGCGCTCGGTGCCTTTTCTTCCAACATACCGTAGTACATGCTGACAAACTTGGACGTGTGAACCTTGACGTTGTCCTTGCCGAATTTTTCGATCGCCTCGGGTTCGCTGAGGCCGACAGTGCCCGATGTGGGGTGGGAGAAGATGACGGTGGGGATGTTGTCGTAGTCCATATGGTCGTCCTTCAGGCTTGGGTGGCCGTAGAGACGGTTGCTGAGCTTTCGACCCGCAGCGATGGCCACTGGGGTCAGCAAGGCTTTGCCCTGAATGTCGCCGATCGCAAAGAGGTTGGATACGTTGGTCTCCTGGTACTTGTCAACGATGATGTTGCCGCCCTTGTCGAGTTCGACGCCGGCGGTGTCGAGTCCGAGGTTGTCCGTGTTGGGTCGACGACCGATGGCCCACAGCAGGCAGTCGGCTTCGATGGTCGAGCCTTGGTCCGTGTGGATCGTCAACGGTCCTCCCTTGGTGCCTTCGACCTTGGTGATGTTCGTCTGCTTGTGCACGTTGAGCCCGGTCTTGGACATGTACTCCTGGAGCGTCTCGGAGATGATGGGGTCGAACGGACGGAGGAAGGTGTCGCGGCGGATGAGCAGGTGCGTCTCCGAACCCAGAGTGTTGAACACGCCGGCGAGCTCGACGGCGATGTAACCGGCTCCGACGACGACCACGCGCTTGGGTTGCTCGCGCAACGCAAAGAAGCCGTCCGAGTCGACACCCAGGGAGGCACCGGGAATCTTGTCGTCCGAGGGAATGATCGGTCGTCCACCCGTAGCGATCACAATTCGGTCACCGGTCACCTTGTGCGTTCCAGCCGTGAACTTGCCGTCCTCACCACGCATCGTCACCTCGACCTCGTTCTTGCCCGTGAGCTTTCCGTGTCCCGACAGATACTCGACGCCATCCTTGTCGAGGTTTCGATCGTAGATGCCGTTGAGCTTGCGAACGTAGGCGTCTCGCTTCTCGGCAAAGTAGTTCCACGCGAACGCGGGTACCTTGGGCTTGTTGACCACGTCGCCGAAACCGTACTCGGGCGCCTCCTTGAGGTGCTCGGCGATGTCGGCGGCGTGCCACATGAGCTTTTTGGGTACACAGCCGACGTTGACGCACGTACCGCCCAGTCGACCGTCCTCCTCGATGACGACGACCTTCTTGCCGTAGGCAGCGGCACGGCGCGAAACACCCATGGCGCCCGATCCACCGCCGATGACGACCATGTCATAGTGCGTAGAGGACGGCTTGGCAACGGGAGGCATGCTGACAGAGGAGCTGGTGGAAAAGTGCGTGGTGGTTTGCTGGAGACGAGAGGCGGCAGCAGCGACGGGCGTGCGGGCGGAGGGCGTCAGCTTGAGGAGCGGCGATCGCGGGATGGTGGGGAGAAGAGCTGTCGAGGCGCGCAGCACTCGTAGCGATGTGTTGGCGGCGAGCGGCGGTATCTTGGAGAGATTGCTGCAGAGAAACAGCAATGCAGATGTAGGAAGAGGAAGGAAAGAGAGAGGGGGGGTTGAGGAGCAAGGAAGAGAAGATGAATGCCGGATTGCACTCAGCTTTTTGGCGTGGGTCCGAAGCACGAGCCAATTTTCAGCGCAGGCGATCCCAAAGGAAAAGATCTACTGAGCCAAGATACGGTAAGCAGGGTCTGCGGACTTTAGCACCCTTCTCCAATTCGCGAACAGAAGCGCGGCGCTGACGTCTTTTGCTTCCGCACAGCCGAACGAACATGCCGATGGCGTCTTTGCAGATGTCACTTCATTCAACGGCGATCTCCACACAACACAGCCGAGCAGGTCGTTTCGATTCGGGGTCCTCAGGGTCCCGCTGGTCGGTGTCTCAGTGCAGATGTCACGATGTGGTAAAGCCATCCTCTTCCTTGCGGGTATATGGTACATCGGTCGTGACAGGAGAGGGAAGCAATGAAGTGCGAATGCAGGCTACTACTTTTTCTTGCTCCGCTTCAACCACCTCGGCAGCTTCATCTTGCTCTTGATCGAGCTGGACTGGGTCGAGACGGTGCGTGTGCTGCTGCTGGATGGGAACGTCATGGACGTCGAGGTCTGCATGGACGTGTCTGCAGACCCGGTCGCGTCCCTCATGACGGGCAGGAGAGCAGCCGAGTTCGGGTCTTGTCGAGAGTTGCGCGCGACGGGACTGCCTGCTTCATCCGAGAAGACGTTGGGTCCTCTTGCTTCGCCGTCGCCGCACCTGGCTGAAGAGGTGTCACCGCTGCCACCGCCACCGCCTCCAAAGATGTTGAGCGTCGACAGCGTGCCACCTGAGGCTCGCCTCTCGGGCAGCGCTGCCCGCGCAAGCCGCAGACGTGCCTCCTTACGCGCAACAGCTCGGTTCGGTGTAATGTCGATGATATCGTCTGGATCGCTACCTTCTGCCTCCTCGTCGCCCTCTTCATCCCGCCCATCAGCGTCCTCGTCTTCGATGGCCTCTGAGTGTCGATGAGGACCGCCGAGCTCGGCGGCGCCGGGTGATTTTGAGTAGATGCCCGAGCGAGCGGACGCGCTTCGACTCATGCCCTGCGCTGATGTGGTGGATGCGACTGGTGAGCGTGTGCTTCGGATGCTTGCTTGGGAGTGTGTCGCTGAGGGTTGGTGTACATGCGAGGGGCCTTGCGGTGTTCTCGGCTCGTTGAGAGTGCTGCCGTAGCCTTGGGGCGTGGACGAAGTGGCCCCTAGCAAAGGCTGATCGCTTCCGTCCGTCGGCTTCCTCGACAGAGTCGAAATGGGCGAGGCAAGCTGCGGTCTCGTTTGAGTCTCCGAATCCTGGACGGCGTGACCATTGACAGCTGTGCTCCTCTCGACATTTCGTGCCGTCTCTTCCTCTGTCTCTTCCCCATCGTCGGAAGGATACAGACTTTGCGCATCCGCTCCACGTTGATAGTGCGGATCGTCCGCCAGACCTCTGGCCCATCGTTTCGCTTCAGCAGGATTGCCGCCGGGCGGAACTTTGACGCCAACCACAGCGATGAACAGCACCCACTCGATGACTGTGAACGCCATTTCTGCGCCGACAAGGATGGACATGGTCGGCTTGAAGTGCTTCACTGCGTGTGGCCAGCGCCATTGGTCCGGGGATACCAAGCTTGACCAGAAGGGGGGCGGCGTCGCGAGAATGTCCGGCTTGCCTCTCGCCTGGAAGAGAAGATTAGCGATGGAGACGTAGAACAGCGTGCTGAGGATGCTGATGGCAGCTACAGTCACACCGAGCTGACGAATATGTTTGCTAAAACCGACCATGGCATAAGCTAAGGCGCGAGTCATGGAGAAGGCAATGACCAAGAGCACAATCTTGCGGCGCTGCCATGCCGCCTCGTCTAGCTGAGGAGCCGGGACGAAGGATGAGCTGGATATGACGGGATCTTGGGTTGGTGGATGACCAGGTCGCCTTGCGTCCGAGTCATTGTGCTTTGCTTCTTGGCGCAGAACGAGAACACCAAGAGTGAAGGCGAGCGCAATATCGAGAGCAGCTACGAAAGGCAGGAGGAAGAAGAGCCTTGGCCTGGAGCGTGGAGGATATTCGAGAGGTACCGGTGCAGACTCGTCAAGGGGCGCTGAGGAGGAGACGAGGATGTAGGAGCCGGCCCTGCGAGGCGATGGGCGTGTATCGGACGACATGGTGTCTAGGGATCTTCACAAGGCGGAAAGCGCTACAAGGTCGCTATGTGGTGGCCATAGCTTGGTAGCGGTCGGTGGGCGTAGCGTCGGCGCGGACGATGGGATCAGGGATGGTGAGGGGCGTGATGAGAGTAGCGAGACGGGAGAGCAACCAGAGCTTATCGGAGTCTCTATTGCTGGCAAGCCTCAAAGGACCCCTTTTTAGCAACGCAACCAACACCCACGGCCTTCTCACGCGCTCTCCGCTGCACGGCGCCTAAAAGAGGGTGCAGGGTCCAGCCGAGTTGACCGCTGGAATCGTGACGGCCTCACCGAAACATGACAGAGTCTCTCTCTGGTCAGTCACATCCTATTCCCACGCTGTTTGTGCTTGGTCATGGATTGCTGATGTGAGCACCTTTGAAGCCGATGCAGATCCAAAACTGCTCTCTCGACTCTTTGCGGCTGGCTTCCATCTTTTCCGCCTTGACAAAGTGGAACTGCGTTTCGAGCACCTCTTTGCGGAAGAGGTCGGCTTCGTGAGACATAAAGTACTTCATCACCAGCACCGATGACTTGGACGCCATCCATGTCGGTGACTTTCGCTCTCCAGCCTGCGGCACGCGATGATCCCGCTTGAGCGTACGCATGGCGAAGCTCTGTTGAATCGAGACCACCAGAAGACGAGTCAGCATTAGCACCAGTGAGACGGCCTTCAAGGAGCGAGTGGGGGAGGCTCACTCACCGTTGCCGCCCTGCAGAGCTCCAGAGATGCCTCGGTGTCGACAATGGGATTGCCAGTCGTGTTGGCTGTGGCGAAAGAGAAGGCAGCGTCAGTGCCTACGATCAGCAGACTTCCCCTCGAGCCCATCCATACTCACCCATCATATCGCTCACTACGACATCAACATATCCTTCCGTCTCCGTCGAGGCGACATTCTGGCTCTGGCTGCTGAGCGTGGCATCTTGCACCATCTTCCTCAGCTTGTCCTGCATTGCCACATCGAGGAAGTCGCCCCGAATGGAATTGACTCCGTCGATATCGACCACTGGCAGCAGATCGAACGCAAAGACTGGCATCCCAGCGTTGGGCTTCCTACGAGTGCGCTCGACGATGGCCTGACTCCACCCGCCGGGTGCAGCTCCCAGGTCTACAATCACACGCCCGGGCCGCAAGAACTTGTATCGATCGTCCAGCTGCAACAGCTTGAATGCAGACCGGGCGACGTAGCCGCTCGCAGATGCTGCAATATCGTCTTGCTCGTCATAGTCTTGCTTTCCAGGCTTCGATGGTCGAGCACGCTGCTTGACGAAGACATCGTTCTTCTGCCTTTGCATGTATCGGCTTGAAGAGCCACCGCGTTTCGAGGATGCATGGCGGACCGTTTGAAGCGATGGCTCGAGGGGCCGGCATCGCGGCACTCGCGCGATTGATGGCCGAGCACCGCCACTGCGACCGAGCAAGGACGATGCTCGGGCTAGCATGCCTATCTGACAAGCTTCGTCATAGATCTCAAGGTCTGGAAGATATACACGCTCGGTCAAGTTGAAGCCGACGAAAAGGAATCCGAGCACAGCCCACCCTGCCAAAAAACTCAACCGCCGGCCAACTCGAAAGCAAAGACTGCTTGCTACACGCACGTGGAGCCAACGTTTAAACTTTATCGTTCTCAGACATCAACCTCCCCTTCTCTGCAGTCGGTGTCTACTATCGTGACGACCTCTTGCTTACACAGGAAGCAATGTCACGCCTCACCTCTTGACCATCACCACCATCCTCAAGCGACTCGCATCGTCCGGCCAGGGTACGGTCCTTCACGATGGAAGATCCCATCCTCATCAGCAAGCGTGCTGAAAGTGCGGGTCAAGTCACCGTCGACAGCACCCGTACCTCCCTCAACGGCTTTGGCGTCTTTGCCATCATCGTCTTCGCCGTCGTCTCTCTTATTGTCATTCACCCGATACGCATTCCGATACCCGCTCCGATTGCAAGCTTCCTTCGACAAAACGGTCGCAAGATCTGGCTGGCATTGGCAGGACCACCCGACGCTGACGAGCAAGAGAAGGATGCAGTCGAACGCGAGCTCGGCCAGGACGAGCGTAACGATCGACGACCGATGCATCTCACCATCGACCACGTCTCCGCACCTGTGATCGGCGTGATCGTTCTGCTCGCAACGACGACTATTGGTGGAGAACAGGTCAGGCAGGGCATCGTGGGCGAAGACGGCATCGAGCCATACGATGTCTTGGCGCTCTTCATCTCCCTTGCCTACATTGCCATCAGCCTCGACGCTACAGGCCTACTTCGCTTCCTCGCCTTTCTCATCTGTCTCAAGGCTGGTCGAAAGGGCAAAGAGGCAAAGGGGAAGACGCTCTATCTGCTCCTCTACTTTTTCTTCTGGGGCGCCGGCGTGCTGGTCGGTAATGATCCCGTCATTCTTTCAGGAACCGCCTTCTTGGTCTACTTCACCCGCGTAGCTGGTATCAGCCCACCGGACGCCTGGATCTGGGCCGAGTTCGTTGCCGCTAATATCTCCTCTGCTGTGCTGGTCAGTTCCAATCCTACGAACCTGGTCATCGCTACCGGATTCGATGTCAACTTCATCACCTACACCGCCTACATGGTGCTGCCTGCTTTCGGCTCTGCTGTAGGAGGACTTTGTGCGATGATGATCTATTTCAGGAATCGAGAAGACGGGGGGAAGTCTAAGGACGAAGACGAAGCGGGAGGCGAAAAGTCCACGATAAGAAAGATCGCAGAGAGCGTCCCCGTCATCGGGAGCCGTATCCGCAATCAAGCGGAGGGTGCTCAGATCCGACAACGCTCCTCGGCGCCGCTCGAAACCATCGGCAATGGCGCTGCCGCTACTCCGGATCGTCCATACGCCAACAACACCGCCAATGGCACGACACCAGCATCTGAAACCAATTCCATCGCACCCATTGCCCCGAAAAAGAAACGCAAGCAGCCGCTCATCTACATCCCCGAGACCATCATCCGACCGGACGTCGACCCCCGCGCTGCGCTCGTGGACAAGACGGGCGCCATCTTTGGCAGCATTGTCATGGCGGCTACGCTAGCGACGCTGGTGGGCACCTCAGTCATCGGCGGAGTCAAAGTGTTCGAAGTTGCGGTACCAGGAGCGGTGTTGTGCTTTGTCAGAGACGGCGTGGCGGACTGGCTGAGATGGCGCAAGTCGCGGCTAGAGAAGAGCAAGCCGGAGGAGGCGGGCGAAGGGTCAGTGGACAGTGGAGTCGCGCCACAAGCTGGAAACGAGGACAACGCGAACGGCACAGTCGATGTCAAATCCAAGCAAGCTGCCAAGGAGGTAGAGGAGATCGAACTCAAGACGCTGCCCGCTGCTGCGGACGGTAGCGCCTCTCGTGCTGAGCCCTCGTCTTCCTCCTCCACGGCCACTGCAACGGCTCCTGCCCCCGCACGCAGTCGCAACCTTCTCCGGCGACTCATTCACTTCCACCACCGCCTCACAGTCATCTTCCCCACCGTAACCATCGTGCTGTCCCGCTTGCCCTTCCCGCTCCTCCCCTTTGCGTTCAGCATGTTCATCCTCGTCCAAGCCCTGGCGCACGTTGGGTTCATCAACATCCTCTCCTCGGGTCTCGGCCGCGTCTGCTCTTCCGGCTACGTCCCCACCGCCTTCTTCATCTCGTTCCTCGGCATTGTCCTCTGCAACATCGGAGGCACCAACATCGGCGCCACCATCCTCCTCACCAAATCGGTGCGGTCGCCCTACTTCGCAGCCAGGATAGCACATCTGTCGACCAACGATCAGCAGTTGATCGAGAAGGTCGCCCAGTACTCGATTGCGTTCGGAAGCAATGTCGGCGCGCTGGGCGGCACGTTTGCGGCCAGTCTTGCGGGATTGCTGTGGTTGGGCGGGCTGAAACAGGGAGGAATCAGGGTCAGGGCGGGACAGTTCTTGAGATGGTGCGCTGTGGTTGTGGGGCCGAGTACCGTCATCGGGATCGCGATCATTGTTGCTGAAGTCAGATACTTTCATGTCAGCGCTTAGGCACGTATCAATTGAGATCGCATATAGAAGCACACACACACGAGCACCACTGACAGTGATATGTACTTGAGAAGAGTTGCATGACGTCGAACTACAGATAGTGCCTGAGCGAATACAGCAGCACCTTTCCTCTGGTGTTTCCAATCGCCACATACTGCCCACCCGCGCTAAAGTCGACGCTGCTAACGCTACCCAGCGGTGTACCGCTGGTCGGCCAGTTGCTAAACACCCGCATCGAAGGGAAGTGCACCAGCCTCAACGCGTCCTTCTTACTCCTCGATGCAACCGCCAGGATCTGCCCATCCGCATTCCATCGCATCGTCGTAGTAGCGGTAACGAGATTCTCGACCGTCTTGACAGGATCAAGATTGCCGCCGGGAACCTTTCCGAAGGTCGCACCGACCTCCTCGCCCGCCATCGAGCTAGGGAGGAAGTCCGAGGTGTAGCTCTCCTGAGGTCGCTTGTAGACGTTGACGATACCACCATCGCTGCCGACAGTCCAGAACTTGCCGTTGGGCGAAACCTCCAACCCTTTGGCACCGAATGAACCGGGATCGTGCCAGATGGATGAACAGCCTACTTCCATCCCCGTGTTCCTGATGTCCCAGAGATGGACGCTGCCCTCGGTCGACATGGTGAGCAGCTCGACGTCCTTGCCCGTTCCGGTTACGCCGATGCCTGTCCCGCGATCACCCAGCACCGACGCGGCATCCCAGGTGAAACCCGCCAGAGGGGAGTTCATGCGCACACCACCGATGCGCGTTCCACCCGCAGCACCACTCCTTCCCCAATCCAGCAGATGCACCGCTCCCCTCCGCCCGCCGATCGCCAACAACCGGTTCCCCTCCTCCATCGTGTGCGGTTGGAACTTCGCATCGCTCAACCTCAACTCTGCCTCCTCCTCCGTCTGCCCTCCCGATCCACGCCAGGGGACCGACCGAACCACCCGGCCAGCTTGCAGATCGTACGCGTACAAGAAAGGTCGGTTGCCCGCAATCAATGCGGATGCTCCGGAAGGGTGGAAGCTCGCATGCTGGATCGGCAGGTCGGGGACGTGAATTGTCTGGACGAGCGGATTGGCGTGGCCGTCGATCTGGAACAGTCGCACGCGGCGATCGCGACTGGCTGTCATGAGGACGGAGGCGCGCGGGCTGGGATGGAATCGAACCATCTCGATGCCCGGCAGGCTCTCCGAAGCGGCGATAGCGGTAGCAGACTGCGAGTCGTTGGCGTTCCTCAGACGATCCAATTCGATCTCCCCTGCACGCAGCTTACCTCTTGCCTTGGGAGACCCTCCATAACCCTCAACCAGCCCCGTGTCGCTGCGCAGCAGATCGTGAATCGACCTAGACGCATCCTCGTTCGTAATCACCGCATCCGCTTCCACCTCCTCAGGCGCGGGCAACGAAGTCAATCGGAAGGCTGCCCACCCAGGCCTTGGATGAAGCTTCTCGAACTGCGCCCGCAGACGCAGCTCGTATTCGAGCCCGGAGATGTGCTTTTCGCCAACCTCTTCGCGAAGACGTCGAAGACGGGCGACGCCGACGCGCGAGCCGTTGGCGGCGAGGTTGGTGTTCCGCGTAAGGTCGATGGTGAGTGCGGCGTCGTCTGGGTCTGTCCAGACGCAGCGTTTGGTGCGTTTGGGTTTGGGGAGGGAAGGCTGACTGGGACCGGCGGAGGCGTCGGCGATGCGAGAGATGAGGATGTCGTCGTCGTCGCTGTCGCTGTGCGAGAAAGAGGTGGAGGGATCGGGTTGGTTGTCGAGCAGCTGACCATCGTCGTCGTTTCCAGCTGTGTCGACCATGAAGAGGTCCCCGTCTGCTACGCCCGGGTCTGCGTCGTCCTCGTCATCGCTGGTGGCCGGGAGAGCATCTTCGCCCGTGGCGCGGGCCGCCGACGTCGAGGGCTGGGAGAGCAGCGAGGAAGAGCCACCAAAGATGAGCTTTTCGAGGTCCAGCTCGTTGGCCGCCGGCGGTGGGGGCGCACGCTTCTTTCGACTGCCTGGAAGGGCGTTCGAGTTGTCGCCTAGGACGGCTTGCTCTTGTCGACCGGCGTCGAGGTCGGTCTGTTTGGTCAAGGCATCGTTCCTCGACCTCTTGCGTTGCTTGGCCATGATTGCGAGCGGCTGAGTTGTGGGATGTGATGATGAGAACGGAGATGCTCTTCAAGGAGTGTGCTTAGAAGCTCCACCTGCAAGCTCAAAAGTGAATCCCAAAACTTTCGAAAAAGTCACTTTTCTTCTTGAGTGTCCTGCATTACAGCAGCATGACAAAGCAATGCCGGCTGATTAGAAATGCGCCTCATCAGCTTGAACCGGCAGCAGCCGGCGTTTCTGAAATTTTAAGCTAAAATATCACGAGACGGAGCGAGAAAAGCCCGGTTAGACTCCACAAAGGCTCTTTTCAACCGAGCACATCACTTTCTTCGCAGCTGGCGTAGTTGAGGCCGCAAGGGAGACCCTGTCGAAGAGGTCGTGGCAACACTCGCGTGAGCTCACTCAGCTCTGACTCTTCTCACCATCATCGGCTTCACCCGCCTCTCGACAGGATTAACGCAACAGACCATCGGCTCGCAGCAGCAGAGAGAGCTCATAATCATGGCGCCAGTGCAAGATCTCAACACCGAGGCGGTGGCAACCTCCGCCCGCAAGAGCATAGACCATCAGAGCTCGGCACCATCATGGAGCGATGGATCTTCGTGCCCAGTGCCACATGCAAAGTCGCACCCGCTCCCTCCTGGTCACCCTCCCGTGCCTGATGCTCCCGCGTCGACTCTCTTTCCGCCGACCGACTCTCGCTGCATCTTCTACCGCTCACCAGAGGATCTCGCGCAGACACCCCCGCTCTCTCGTTCAACATCGTCCTCGATGCTTTCGTCGTCGACTGCGAACACGCTGCCATCGCTCCACGAGCTTGCCGTCACCCATAGCGCCTCGGCGCACGAGTTCAACAAGGCCCAGATCCTCGACCAGCAAAGGAAAGAGGCCAACATCAACCCCTTGCACTCCGATCGCGAAAGCCAGCTCGGTCTCGATCCCTCTTGCACCCTCGTCCTTGCTAGTCGCAACAGCCAGCTTGCGCTCGTACAGAGCTCGCATGTCAGCGCCATGCTCGAGGCGCGCTTCGGCAGGTCATCGCCGCTCTTCCGATCGCAAGTCGAGCAACTCGACAGCACACTAGCATCAAGCCAAGATGGCTCCTCGCCAGAAGCTTCTTCTTCGAAGAGCCGTCTGCAGAAAGTGGGCGATGAGCACTCCAGCACCGATCTCGACTTCCTCCGCAACTTGCTCGAAGGCTTCCACATCGCGCCCAAGACAGCCTTGCGGCCACATGCTTTCCCCGTCACATCCATGTCGACCGCAGGTGATCAGAACCTGCGATCGCCACTCTACGTCATTGGCGGTGAAGGCAAGGCGATCTGGACAAAAGAGCTCGAGGTGGCGCTTGAGCAAGGTGCCGTCGACGCCATCGTTCACTGTCTCAAAGACGTGCCCACTGCATTGCCCAAGGGTCTCGAGCTGGCTGCCGTTCTCGAGCGCGAGGACCCCCGAGACGCCCTGGTCGTCAAAGCTGGTCTGCCGTACAAGGTGCTCGACGAGCTTCCCGTCGGGTCCGTCATTGGCACTTCTTCTGTACGCCGAGTAGCCCAGCTGCGACGACGATACCCGCACCTGGTCTTCAGCGATGTTCGCGGCAACATCAACACCCGTCTCGCAAAGCTGGATGCACCCAACGGTCCATACACGGCCCTGATCCTTGCTGCGGCCGGTCTGATCCGTCTCAATCTTCACTCGCGCGTCACCGCCTTTCTCAGCTCGCCCGTATTGCTGCACTCGGTCGGACAAGGTTCACTGGCGATCGAAGTGCGCACGCCACCCGAGGGTGCCGATCCCACCACCAACAGGGATGCACGCATTCGCGAGTTGATCCGCTCCATCGGCGACTGGCGTGCGACGTTCCGTGCTGAAGCAGAACGAGCTCTGCTGAGGGAGCTCGAGGGTGGCTGTTCCATCCCAGTGGGGGTCGAGACACGCTTCGATGATCACGATCAGGTGGAAGGGCAGCGCAGCGAGGCCATCGAACTCGTCGATGACTTTGTCACACAGGGCGATGCAGGTGCCAAGGCGGATCTGCCCAACGGTGGCGTGCCGCTCATCAAGGACGGTCACACCATCCCTGCCAGTCAGCTGTCTGGTGACGGCGAGACTGTCCGCTCGCCACCGCAGCGTCCACCGCTCGAATCCCTCGCCACAGGCGTACAAGAGATGGAAGCGGCCAAAGCCAGAGCGAAACACCCTCCCGTAGCAACCAACGCTGCCACCCTCGCCGAAAAGATCGTATCAACATCGTACAGCATCGTGGACCGCTCGACACCCGCTCCAGAAGGCCGCATGCTTCACATCGACGCCATCGTCGTCTCCCTCGACGGCAGCCAAGAGTCGCGCTATTCCGCCTCCAAGCACTGTACCACCATCGAAGACGCCCGAGCGCTCGGCATCCACGTCGCGCACGAGCTCGCACACAAAAAGGGTGCTCGAGCTATCCTGGAGGAGGTCGAACGACATCGAAAGATGGCGGAAGAAGCGGATCGACGTCGACGCGAGGAGGCCAAGAAGCGAAAAGCGATGGGTCTGCCTGGTGGCGAGACCAACACGAACGGTGTAGCTTCCGTCGGCGAACAGGGCGACCTGAATGCGCTGAAGAAGTCAAGGGATGGATGGATGCGCGGTCAGACAGAGATCAGTCTCAATGCGGAATTGGAGAAGCTGCGGGATCAGCATGCGACAGGGACAGGAGGACTCGCGGATAAGGATTGCGATTCGCAGGAAATGGATCGAAGGGGTCTGCCGAGAGATGATGGGCAGGCAAAGGCTTGGGAGGTGTGATCTGTCTGAAGCTGTACTTTTACCAAACACTGTACTCATCACTCATCGGAAGCTCTCGGACTGTTCGATCGTCTGGCATGCCTGAGTCTGCTCAATACCTGATCTGATCGTGATTCCCCTTCAACCTCGAGGCCCTTCACCAGCAATGGCGACCGACGACAGCACCTGCCAGATTTTTTCTCGGGTTCAATAATGTTAGAGTCGACTTGTGTGCAGGACTACTCTCGACCAAAAAGGCAAAAGCGCAGCGCTTTGGTCCGGGTTGCGGACAGCTGAAAAATTTGAGAATTTTTTGAGCTTCAGACCGTGCATTCGAGATTTTTTCTTCTCTCCTCCAGACAGCGGCTGAGCCTCCCTCACAGAACCCTGTTCGAGCGACATCCTTCGTCCCAACTCCAACCTCATCCCTCCTACTTCTCAGCCCAACTGTACACGCGACATCTCGCCACAAGCTTCTTCACAACACCTTTGACGAAGGAAGCTCGCACACGAGTGGCTGATAATGTCGAGCTCCATGTCCTCGGCTAGCTCCTCGAGCTCACGCTCGTCCTTCGAGGGGCCCTCCACCCCACCCGACACAGTTCACTCGCTACCCAACTCGCTCAAAGCGGCACGACAGGAAGCCGGCATCGATGCAGAAGAGCCGATCTGGAAGAAGCGACACACTTTCTTCCCGCTCGAGCGTCAAGAGCGCTACTCGGCTCCAACAGACAAGGGCTTCGTTGCGCCGGAGCTGACCGAGCTCGTCGCACCAAACATCGAGTCGTTCAATGCACTCTGGGCGGAAGACCCCTCGCTGGACCCGCCAGCATCCGCAGCAGTGTCTGGGTTCGTCAACGAGGGAGTCGGCTTGCTCGAAAAGAGTCTGCGCCGTTTGCCGCCAAGAATTGTCTTCGATGGACAGGGAGATGCGAATGGTGGTTTCGGCAACAGGATCACTCTGCGCATGGACAGCGTCAACCTGTCCAAGCCGCTCGTCAACGAACGCGCCAAGGGCGTGCGCGAACGTAGGGTCTTCCCCACCGAGGCGAGGGAGAGGCTCTTCACCTACACAGGAAAGCTCACTGCACGACTCTGCTGGAGCGTCAACGGCGACCCGGAACAGAGCGACATCGTCGCGTTGGGCAACTGCCCCGTCCTCGTCCGATCCAATCGATGCAACCTGCGTGGCATGTCATCCAGAGAGCTCGTAGCTCACCACGAAGAAGCCAACGAGTTCGGCGGCTACTTCCTGGTCAACGGTAACGAGCGTCTCATCCGATACCTCATCGTCGCCAAGGCCAACAGTCCACAAGCCATCGAACGACCCAGTTTCGAGAAGCGTGGTCCAAGCTACTCGAACAAGGCCATCGTCATCCGATGTCTGCACAAGGAGGACCTCATCAGCGTCACCAACGCCGTCCACTACCTTCACAACGGTGGTCTGACACTGCGATTCAGCTGGAGGAAGCAGGAGTACATGGTACCTGTGGTCATGGTGCTCAAGGCGCTCGTCGACGCTACGGACAAGGAGATCTTCGCTTCGATTGTTCAGGGCGACTTCGAAAACACTTTCCTCACGGACCGTGTCGAGCTGCTGCTGCGCAACTTCAAGCAGTACAGCCTCTGGTCGGGTCACCAGTGTCTCGAGTACCTCGGATCCAAGTTCCGCGTCGTCCTGGGCTGTCCCGAGGACTGGACCGATGCGCAGGTCGGAAGCGAGCTCATCCACCGCATCTTCCTCGTCCACCTCGACAGTCCTCGTGAAAAGTTCAAGATGCTCATCTTCATGATTCAGAAGCTCTACTCGCTCGTCGCCGGCGAGTCGTGCGCTGACAATGCCGATTCGCCGCAGCACCACGAGATCCTCATGCCTGGTTTCCTGGTCGGTCAAATCATCAAGGAGCGTGTCGACGAGGCGGTCGGCAACATCCGTGCTCAGATCGCAAGGGACGTCCGCATGAAGATCAAAGGTCTCGACTTTTACGACACCCGCTACATCAAGAAGACCGTCTCCAAGGTCAACATCGACATTGGCGTCAAGATTGCTTCGTTCCTCGCCACGGGTAATCTGTCGTCGCCCTCCGGTCTGGATTTGCAGCAGACATCCGGTTTCACCATCATGGCTGAGAAGCTCAACTTCGCGCGATACCTCGCTCATTTCCGTTCGGTCCATCGTGGTGCTTTCTTCGCCGAGCTCAAGACGACGTCGGTTAGGAAGCTGCTCCCGGAAGCGTGGGGTTTCTTGTGTCCCGTACACACGCCAGACGGTTCGCCATGTGGTCTGCTTAACCACTTTTCGCATACGTGCAGGATGACCACCCGTCAGCCGGACGTGTCGCACATCCACGCGCTGCTGTCCGGCCTTGGCATGACGGAAGCTGCCTTCGCTGTCGGTGCTGTTGGCGCTGCTAGTCAGAAGAACGCCAATGCGCACGAGAGTGTCGTTGTGGTCCAGCTCGACGGTTCCATCCTCGGCTACACCACCCCATCGCTCGCCAAGCACATGGCCACTGCGCTGCGAATCTGGAAGACCGAGGGCCTGCACCACGTCCCTCTCGACCTCGAGATTGGCTTCGTCCCCACATCTCGAGCAGGCCAGTACCCTGGTCTCTACCTCTTCTCGAGCCGTGCTCGTATGATGCGACCCGTGCGGCTCATCCACAACAACAAGATCGACATGGTCGGCCCCTTTGAGCAAGTCTACCTCGACATTGCCTGCGACCCTCAAGAGGTCGTGCCCGGTGTGTCGACCCACGTCGAGCTTGCCCCCACGTCGATCCTCTCCGTGTTGGCCAACCTCACGCCTTTCTCGGACTACAACCAGTCCCCAAGAAACTGTTACCAGGCTCAGATGATGAAGCAAACGATGGGTACCGCCTCGACCGCCGTGAGCAGGAGGACGGACAACAAGCTGTACCGCATCCAGACACCGCAAACACCCGTGGTGCGACCGGAGCTCTACAACAAGTACGGCTTCGACGACTACCCCAACGGCACCAACGCCATCGTTGCGGTCATCTCGTACACCGGCTACGACATGGAAGACGCCATGATTCTCAACAAGAGTGCGCACGAGCGCGGGTTCGGCTACGGCACCGTCTACAAGTCCGAGACCATCGACCTGCGCGACCTCAAGGGCAAGTCGAGCTCGAGCGTGCCCACCCTCCACTTCGGGTTCGCGCCTGGCTCGCGTGCCACTGAAGCGCAGCGCGCCATCCTCGACCAGGACGGTCTGCCCTACGTCGGCCAGAAGGTGTTGGCGGGTGAGCCCATCTGCGCCTACTGGGACGAGGTGAGCGGCAAGACCATGTTCAAGAAGTTCAAGGGTGACGAGTACGCCTACGTCGACACGGTGCGTCTTCTCGGCTCGGACGCTGGTTCTGGTGGAGGCGACAGCGAGTGTCAGAAGGTGCAGATCATGTTGCGCATCACGCGTGCGCCCGTCATCGGCGACAAGTTCAGTTCGCGTCACGGTCAGAAGGGTGTATGCTCGCAGAAGTGGCCCGCGGCCGACATGCCGTTCTCCGAAAGCGGAATGCAGCCCGATTGCATCATCAACCCTCACGCCTTCCCGTCACGAATGACGATTGGAATGCTGATCGAGTCGATCGCCGGCAAAGCAGGCGCGATGCACGGTATCGCCCAGGACTCAACACCGTTCACCTTCAGCGAGGACTACACGCCCACCGAGTTCTTCGGCGAACAGCTCAAGGCGGCGGGGTACAATCACGTCGGTAACGAGCCGATGTACTCCGGTATCACGGGACAGGAGCTTCGGGCGGACATCTATCTGGGGGTGGTGTACTACCAACGTTTGCGTCACATGGTGAACGACAAGTTCCAGGTGCGAACGACGGGTCCCGTGCACGCGTTGACGCGCCAGCCGATCAAGGGACGAAAGCGTGCTGGTGGTATCCGTTTCGGTGAGATGGAACGCGATGCGTTGTTGGCGCACGGAACGTCGTACATGCTGCAGGATCGACTGATGAACTGCTCGGACTACTCGACGTCGTACGTCTGTCGCACGTGTGGGTCGCTCTTGTCGGTGGGTTTCGACACGTCGTCTTCGACTACGGGCAACGGTGCTGGTGGTGCCATTTCGACGATTGACGTGACGACGCAAGGATCGACGCCCATTCTGGGACCCAATGGAGAATTCTGCCGCGTTTGCAGGGCCGAGGATGACGTCCGTCGCCAACAGGGCCTCGAACCGCTCCGTGGCAAGCGACAACCCATCGGTGGCGTCGAGGCCCACGTCAGCATCCCGCACAGCAACGTCATCAACAATGTCACCGGCGGCGATCTCGACGTGGTTGCCGTGCCATATGTGCTCAAGTACCTCGTCGCCGAGCTCGCGGCGATGGGCATCAAGATGAGCTTTGGTGTCTCGCCCTAGATTCTTTCTTCATTGATAGCGATTCATATTCGTAGCAATTTGTTCACATTGTCAGAGTGAGCGTGCGTTTGGCCGAATCTGCATATGGTGTTGGTGTTGTGTCAGTCGCATAAGAGCCTCTGATCAGCCGGACGAGACCATGCCACTCTGAGGTTTTGTCCACTTCATTGCAATGTTAGAGCTACATACGTAGCTTTCAATCTTTCAAAATTAGCTCAGCGCTCGGATGCGAGCGTGGTGGACACGAGGAAGCGTTGTGCTGGCTGTAAATTTAGAGCTCGTTTTTGCTGCACGTCGACGCGATGCGGCCTGGCTCGATCGGACCGTCGCATCGGAAGGCGCCTGCTCGTCTGTCACGGCCGCCTGACTAGACGCGAACGGCCTGCTAGCTCTCTCTGCCCCCCTCGCTTTGTTTGTCGAGGGTGATCGAGCCATCCCGAGGATTCGGTTCCATATAGTGAGGTCACGGACTCCGAACTTGTCGTTTAGCAAAGCACCGACCACCTCAGGCATGCACGAGGTCCGTGTTGGTGATGTCAATTGTCATGCGGCGAATGCACATTCACTAATCTTTTCTTCTCAACCAGTGCATTGTGCCCGAAAGAGGCGAATCAGCTTGCTGTGTCAAGCCAGGCCTCAGAGTCTTGTGCCGATCACCCCTTGAGCCTAGGGCAAAAGGCGTCAGAATGGTTGGTGAGCCGAGCTTCGGCGTCTCTTTGAGCCTCGTTTGGCGGCTGCAGCGGTGACTGTGATTGCCGCCGACTTTTGGTTGTTTGCTTCTTCTCGTTGCTTCCGTGACCAATTTCCCGCTCTTTTTCCTTCGCCTCGCCTCGAGTGCCAAGCTGCGGCTTTCGCCTCGTGACAGTCTGTCTGTACCATTGAACCGAGGTCCCTTTCCGTTCAGACCTTTCCATCTGCTCCGTCCTGACTCCCTGCGCTGTCCTCTGTCAGGTGTAAGGGGACCGTCTCGGCCTCCTTTTATCGTCGCATTGGGCCAAGTCGAGTGTGAAGCTGAGAGCAAGACGCCCTTTTCGGAGAAGCTGTTAGATCCTCGCCAACGCAGACCCAACGGTGCAACTCAGATTCAAATCTTTTTCTCCCATTTTTCCGCCGCCCTTCTCAGCAGCCAGTTTGGCATTAAGTGCGCGATCGCCAGAGCCTCTGCCCTGGTGCTGAGTGACGATGTCGCTGAGGGACGGACTGAGGCTCCTGACTGGCGAATTTCTGACTGCTCATCTCACATTCGAGACTCAGCAAGCAGGCAAGCAGGCCCGCTGAGCGAACAGTCACCCGAGTCAGTTCATCGATTCATCTCATCCTCATCATCATCGACTCGAAACCCATAGACACTACGTCGTCTCGACATCTTCGGCGTTGTCGCAGTTCCTTCTCTGCACAACAGCTCCTGTCTACCCTTTCGTGGACTTCCGTAGAATCGCCAGATCGCCACTGTCGACGACCATCTAGCAAACATCCGTCTTCGCATTCGCGCTCCTTCTTTCTCCCATCTCACCCTCTCGCCACCTTCGTCGCTCATCCGACCAAGTCTCGGTCGTCTCCAGCTCCAGCACACAGCATTCGATTGCCACCCCTATCATACTCTTGCTTAGCTGGCACACACGCTCCGTGGGCTGAGTCCAAGCTTCAGTACAGACTTGGACTTTCAGCATCCCTCGACCGCATTCACATTTGACGATCGTCGCCCAGCACCTCGTCCTTCTCATTCGTATCAGTCAGCTTCTGGCTCGTACTCGCACACATTCTTGGCAGTGATCCGTCTCCTTTGACTTCGATTCGACATCGACCAATCGAGGCTGACTCAGCTACCATCTTCGTCCGTCACTTCGCTCTGTCGCTATTGTTGCTTCATTCACCTTGACGGTGGACAGTCTTGATTCTGCTTCATCTCGCTCGTCTTGCATAATCACCACCTCGCTGCTCAAGCTAAGAGCCTACCACAAAAATGGACGGTTCCAGCTCCTCGGCGTCACCCAGCGCCTCGCACGGTGGCACTTCCACGCTGGGCTCTGAAGTCGGCCGCAGCGTCCTCATTTGCTTGCTCCGTCTCGACCTGCGCATTCACGACAACCCTCTGTTCTACTATGCACACCAGACGCCCAAGCCCATTGTCTCGACCGCAGAAAAGACGGTCGACCTTAGCAAACTCGAAGATGAAGCTCTCCTCGGCTCGACCGCCGATTACCTCCTTCCCGTCTTCGTCTTTGACGAACGAGAGATGGAGCTCAGCGGCCTGCCCGGCTACAACAGGAAGGGCCCAGAAGCCCGAACCAGAGAGTACGGTTTCTGGAAGACCGGTGGCTTCCGAACTCGTTTCGTCTCGGAGTCTGTTTACGATGTTCGTTCGCGCCTTCGTAATGTCGGTTCCGACTTGCTCATTCGCTTCGGCTTCCCAGAAGATGTCGTCTCCAACCTTGTCAAGGGCTTTCAAGCCGAAGGCACACACGTCGAAGGCGTGTGGCTTCAGAAGGAGATGACGTACCCAGAGATCGATGTCGAGAACGCCATCGTGGAAAAGCTCCAGGGCAGTGGCGTTCCCGTGCAGTTCGTTCACGGCAAGACGCTCATCCACCCCTCCGACCTTCCCTTCGAAAGCAGCGAGACCCCGGATGTCTTTACGCCTTTCCGCAAGAAGGTCGAGGCGTTGGGCACCAAGATGGTCCGCCCCGTCAAGCACTCGCCCGCCAAGTTCAAGACGTTCCCTCCCAATGTGCCATCCACTCCCGACTACGCCCTCGACGTGTCGTACGAGGTCGATGTCGATGGTCTCGCACCTCGTGCCCTCGAGACCAAGGACAAGCAGGAAGGCGAGGTCTCGTTCCACGACATTCTCCGCTTCCTTCTTACACCGCTCAACGACTCGCAATTGCCACCGACACTCGAAGCGAGCGCCTTGCTACAACAACGACACCCCGCCTCGGCCTTCCCTCTGCGCGGTGGCGAGTCTTCAGCACTGGATCGTCTCGACTGGTACTTCGTTCGAGGCAAGTCGGCCGACTCGTCCCGATGGGGCAAGGCCGACCCCCCACCCGCCGCCCGCTACAAGCAGACGCGAAACAACCTCATCGGTCACGCCTACAGCACAAAGATGTCGCCCTTCCTCGCCTACGGCAGTATTTCGCCACGTCAGATCTGGGAGGCCCTCGACGAGCACGAAAAGAAGTTTGGCGAGGACCAAAACACCTATTGGGTGCGCTTCGAGCTGCTGTGGCGCGACTACTTTTTCTTTGTCGCCGAGAAGTTCGGCCATCTGCTGTACGATCTGGGCGGCTTCGAGCGTGCCACCGATCCTCGGCAGGCGGCCAAAAAGATGGAGGAAGGTTGGTGGCGCAAGTGGAACCCGCTCAAGGATGGACCGGAGCACGAGATGACGCGTCTCCTCGAAGGTCGAACCGGTATCCCTTTCATCGACGCCAACATCCTCGAGCTGCGCGAATCGGGGTTCATGTCGAATCGCGGTCGACAGAACGTCGCGAGCTTCCTCTCCAAGGACCTCGGGTACGATTGGCGCATCGGCGCCGAGTTCTTCCAATCCCATCTGATCGACTACGACCCGACGTCCAACTACGGCAACTGGCAGTACGTCGCCGGTGTCGGCAACGACCCGCGCGCCTCTCGGCAGTTTAACACCATCAAGCAGGCGAAAGACTACGACTCGCATGGCGATTATGTCAAGATGTGGATCCCGGCGCTGCGCAACCTGCACGCGGACTACGTGCACACTCCGTGGCTGCTGACCACCGAAGAACGCCGACGGTATGGACTCAAGACGACCAAGATGGACGTGACCATCGACGGATATCCCGCACAACCGCTGTTCGAGCACGAGGGTTGGCAGCGCCACTACGAGCGCAAGCAGGGCGTTGGATCGAAGATGCACGGTAATCCGCAGGAGAAGGTGAAAGACGGGAAAGTTCCACGACGTCATCGACCGAGTTATCGCGTGTCAGCGGCGACGTATGGGGCGTTGACGGATGGGTCGCATGTGGATCAGCTGTCTGCGTCTGCGGGCACGCTCTATAGTGGGTACGACGGGAGTGGATCGCGGAACGTGATCCCGCCTCTGAGGGGGGCGAGTGGGTCGATTGGCCCAGGGTACAACGCCCGCCCGCAGAACTTCCCCAACGTGGCCGGGTTGAACATCGGTGGTGGGGGTGAGAGGTCCGGATCGCCGTTTGGAACCAGCCCGAGTGGTCAGGCGCAAAAGTATGCGCGAACTACAGCAAGCGGTGTACCCACCAACCTGCCCGCACCTGTCGGCCGAGCACCGGGGAACGCATTCGACTTTGGCCCCGGTAGAACGGGCAGCGCGTCCAGTTTGGACCTGCCCAACGGCCGACGACGGGATCAACAGGCCAACGGGTTCACGGATCCGATCTCGCAATTTGCCAGTCCGGGCAATGGTCATGGTGGCAACGGAAACGGGGTACCCAGCGGCAACGGAGGGAATGGTCATGCACCACAGGCAGTGTCCAAAGCGGACCTCGAGACGAGCTGGCGTCGCGGCTCCAAGTAGACGATTCGCCTGAAAATCATCATGGTACCACTTTGCCCTGGACTGTCGTGCTTCGTGGACTTGTGAGTTTGTGAGGCTCGACGCATTGAGATGCCGGGGGTGGAGGAATGGGTCTGTGGTGGCGGACGTCCTGAGCCGACACTCCACCTCGGCGCCCTTGACGCCAACTTGCTCAAAAGATCCATGTCGAAGTCACTCCGACCATCTCGCTCAGGAGGTCGCTCTTCACCACACCGTCACCCCGGTTCAGAAACGCTGCTTGGCAGCGCCGACTCACTTCCAGACTGTTCTCAATCAAGTGTGCCTCTGAGATCAAATGCATTTGCAACTCCATTCCATCGATGCGGGCTCAGCCCCTCCCATCGATCAAATCCCTCGCACTCCTCACCGCCTCCTCCTTCTGCCTCTCTCTCAGAATCTCAACCTTCCTCTCGTGCAGATCCAACAGACTCGCTGCGGTCCTGAACTTGTCGAGCAACCGAATGACGTGTCGCGCCTCGCGCATCTCGGCCAACCCGCTGCTGATCGCCTCCATCGTGTCGTGGTGTGCGTACCAGGGGGAGAAGCTGTCCGACTTCGGGGCGAGGTCTCGCGCGAGGGGGAGTTTTGCGCTCGGATCGATGTAGAATGCGCTTGGTTCGATGCGGGGCTCGTCGGATTCGAGGTCCGAATCGGCTTCTTCGGAGATGGACGGCCGGTCGAAGGGTAGCTCAACGTAGGGGTCGTCTTCTGTTCGACCTTCGTGTCGGCGTTTGGGCGGGGAGGAGGGGCCGCCCGTCGTATCCGGTCCGTGGGCTGATGCGGGATCCAGAACGCTATCTGCCGGCAACGGGTCGAAAGAAGCCAAGTCGTCCTCCGCTGACACATCTTCGTCGATCGGACGAACGCCAACCCTGTCCGCCTCAGCTTCGACCGCTGCATCTGCGCTCGCCTTGGTCTGCTTGTCCGCACTCAGCTGCGAGCGCATCCAAGCGTTCGGTGGATCACGATAGAGCACATGCTCGACGACCGAAAGAGCCTCCTCGAGCTGCCCACCTCGAGCCATCGAAATGACCAGATGATTCCAGTTGTCCGAGTCGAATCCGAACCCATCGTTTTTGGCCCGCGTCCAGATCTTGGCCACCTCCTCGTGCCGACCCGCGGCGGAGAGGAGGTCGATCATGATCGAGACCGGAAGACAGATCATGTTGCGGCTGCTAGCGTCTTGTCGACGCTGAGCTGAGGTTTGAACGGCCCTGGCGCCCGATGCGACATTCACATCGTCGGACCGGCTGTAGGCGTAAACCCGGCGACTCTTGCTGCGAGACGCTTCCAGCGCGGTAGCGTAGATCTGCTCGAACAGTTGCAGTGCGGCGTCGATATCGCCCGCCCTTCGATACGCATCGAGAAGCGGCGTCAGCGCGGGTACGGATAAGCGATGGAGATGGCGTGCCATGGTCTTGAGCGTGCTTTCGACCTTTTCGGGCTCGCCTCGACGAGCTTGGGCCACCATCAGCACCGTATACAGCGTCTCGAACGGCGCGCTGTCCTTGGCCGCCAGCCTTGTGCCGCTAGCCAAGCTCTTCTCCGCCTTTTGCATCTGGGCCAGTTCCGTGCGAGTCGCCGAGGCATTCCATGACGTCGGCCGGAACGTCTTTTTGGCCTCGTCGGCGATCAGCTGCGAAACGAGGTTGCATGCCAGATCGTAGTTGGCCTCGTTCTCGCTCAGCGCATAGCTGTGGACCATGATACCCCAAGTGATGGCGCTGGGGGCGAGCTTCCGACTTTGCATCTCGTCAAAGTAGTCTTTGGCCTCCTGGTGATCGCCGAGACGAAGATAGCCGTGGATCATGATGGTGAAGTGGTAGATGTTGGCGCCTTGACCCGCACCTGCTCCAGCGATGTCCGGCAGGACCGCCTCGGCTTCCGAAAACACCTCTTCGGCAACGTCCATGAGACCAGCGTCGCACGCGCTTTGCAGCATCAGCGCGTAGGTGTTGGCGTTGGGGACTAGTCGCAGCTTTCGTACACTGTCAACGAACTTCATCACCTTCTGAACGGGCAGGGAACTGAGCACGTACGCCTTGAGGATGATGTTGCACACCTCAATGGTAGGGCGAAGTCGAACATCGCCGTGGTTCTGCATCCACGCAAAGAGGCGGATGGCGACTTCGTACAGCCCAGACTCGACGAAACAGTTGAGCAAGGCGGCGTACGTGATGCGGTCCGGGATCTTGCCAGCTGCAATCATGGCACGAAGCGCGTGGGCAGCCGAGTCGGGATCGCGGCGCAAGGTGAAGCCATGGATGAGGATGGTATAGGTGTACTTGTCCGGCTGAGCACCAAACTCCTTCATTTGGTCGAAGATGGCGAGGGCGGCGTCGATGTTGGTCCTGCGCACGTGCATGTCGATGACAAGATTGAAGTCGGACGATCTGGGCGTCACACCTCTTTCGATCGCCTGCGTCAGGTACGATTCGGCTAGATCGACGTCATCGGCGCGATTGCAGGCCTTGAGGAGAAGGCCATACGCGTGGCCGTCCAGGGGTCGTTTGCCTTTGGCGCACTCGTCTTGGTGACGAGCTTCAAAGTCGTGATGTTCAGCCAGCCGGTCATGCAGGGTGTGCAGGTCCCCGCGGGACGCGGCGAGCTCGATCATGACGGTTCGTGCAAAGGCATCGTGATTGGGAAGGTTGCGCCTCTTGAGGTGAGCCAGAAGCAGCGTGACTCGATCGGCTCGGTTGTGCTTGGCCCAGCCGATGGTCACTGTTCGCAAAAGTTGGGGCGATGCTAGACGATGGTCTTCGGATTTGGAGTTGGTGATGCGGTGGAAGAGCGCCTCGAGACGTGCCGACGGTGCCTGACCGCCGCTTCCTTGTATGATGCGGTCAAGGATCATGGGCGACACGGGCACGCCCCGAGACCACAAATCGTCATAGAACTCGAGAGCCTTTTCCGAGCTCTTGCGGAGCACAGATCGAAGCAAAACGCCACAACCCTGCACGAAGCCTGGCTGTTCCGCATCGCGGCCCTGTTGCAATTCGTCGAGGAGACGATGCGGGTCCTTTGCCTGGGACAGACAGTGCAGGAAGGAGGTTCGAGCGTTCTTGAAAGCACTGTGCGAAAGCAGAAAGGCGTGCGGCGAATCGATGAACCAATCGAGGCAATCCTTGATGGGGTCGCTGGATTCCGTGGTGCTGAGCAGGCCATCCTGTGGCTCTGCCAGCTTGCTGTTGTCCTGAGAGAGTTTCGGCTTGAATCCGACAATCTTGGGGAGCTCCTGTGGGTTGATGCGGCAGTTGATCTGAAAGTCGACCGAATCCATGACGGTAAGCATAGCGAGGTGAATCGGAGACAGACAGTCGCTCTGTGCTTGTGCATCGGTCTGATACTTGTAGATGTCAGGTCGACAGCGTAGCAGTGCCTCATCCATGAGTTTGAGAGCTGCGATGGGCTGAGACTGGAGAGCGACGGACAAGGGCTCGAGCAAGGCGACTCCAAAGTTGGAATGCCTCAATATCGATGGTGGTGCCTGGCCCTGAGAGGTCTGCCTCTGAGCGAGAAGAAGTTGGCAATCTTGAGCGATGGCGTGAAGGCGTCGGCCGTAGAGGTAGCGCAATGCCTTGATCGTAGGCACGTGGACCTGATTGGTACTGAACAGATGGACGGCGATGGCTAGCCAGTTTGCGATCGCGACGCGTGTGGCGAGAGGGAGCGCTTCTTTGTGCGCATGCTCCTGATACATGTGCCAGAGATCCTGAGCTGCACGTCTGCGAAGGCTGAGACCGCCCGCAGAGCTTCTTTGCTGCCATCCTTCCGTGAATTGGGCCCTCAGCTCTCCGATGACCTTATGGACGCGACGATCCAATTGAAGGTCTTCGGCTCGGGCTGCTTTGCGAGGCTGCCATGAAGCGACCCAGTGCTTCGGTCGGTCATGAAGTACATTCGATGGAGTGCCGAATAATGTTGATGTCTGTGAAACATGCTGCCGATGTTTCTTGGCTTGTGAAGAGTAGACGGGAGGCGACAGAGGCGACTGCTGGCCGTGGTTGATATGCGAGTCTGGGTCCTCGCTGACAGCAGCTGCAGCCGATGCGTGTTGTCGACGTGATGTCAGAGACGTTGGGTGATTGGATGCTATCCTATGAATTGCGGGTCTAGTGGTGTTATCCGGCAAGAAGGGCTGCCGCGACCGATTGCGAGGCGAGAAGCCTTGCTTCGCTCGACTAGAAGCTAGGACTGATACTGCGGGAGGCTGAGAGCTGCAACGCGGTGCCGGGAAAGCAGAGGCTGCGGCAATGCGACGGGGCTTGGTCGAGCAAGTGGCGTTGGCCGGACCTACCACACCATCGAACCTATCGATGTCAGCAGCTAAGCGACATATACGACGGGCCAGGGCGAGCAGACCAAGCAGGCTGTCGCTCTGCGAGGAGCTCGCCCGCACGAGGGCTGGGGGTAGTGGTGGCGGCCTCATGCAGGTGCTCTACTTCGGATCGAAGTGAGGCGCCGCCCTCACGCACTAGCACCCTCGGCGGCTGGAATGGAACGGGTCGAGTCGTAATGATTTGGTCGTCATGCGAGGGATGAAGTACGCGAAGCCATTGGGAAATGCTTGCTGATTACTAGGGCGATGAAAGGACCGAGCCGCCCAGACTGCCTTGAAGCTGTCGAAGCCAGAGAGAAGAGCAGTCGTTGTCTAGGACTTGGGTTGCGCAGCAGTGAGCGTGCTGAGGTGACTTCTTGCGCGGCTTTATAATATGACTAGCCTGCTCAAGCTTGGCTGAGCTGGAGTGTGATGTGATGAGAAGGTGCGAATGTGACGAGCTGAAAGGGAAGGAAGCAAGCATGTCATTTCTGAAAGTGTTGCTCAGTGTCCAAAAAAGCTCAAGAAATAACGTCAGCCAAGCGGTTCTTCCGATTTGCTGCCTGCACTTTTTTAGGAAGAGCCGAAACAGAGGTCGCAAGACCCGTTTCGGTCCCTTTTTCTCCACTTCTCGCCCCTTTCTCGCCCGACAAGCCTCTAGGAGCGGATGTCGGAAATTGAACACGCCTCAAGACCCTTACTTTTGGAGAGGGCTGCTCGCTCTTCTTGACCTTCCCATCATCCACCCATCTCCGCACATCATGTCGAACAAACGGGTCCGAGGACTAGCCATTCATCGGCCAATCCTCTACGGATCGACCTCGACACCCCTCACACCTGCAGAGAAGCTAGCAGCGCCACCAGACCACACGCACAAGTGGACCGTCGCGGTTCGCAGTGCAGCCTCCCTCCCTCTCCCTTCGCTCTCTGCCATCTCAGGCGCGCCAAACAATGCCAACTTCGAACAGGGCTCCGAGATCGGCGCAGTCAATGCTGCAGCTGGGTCTGCGACACCATCGACTACCCCGGCAGCAGCAGGCTCATCTGCCACCATCTCGACACGCGGGCGCGACCAGGAACACGACTACCACAAGATGGTCGGCAACAAGGACGACATCTCCCACTACATCAAGCGCGTTCAGTTCAAGCTGCACGACACATATCCGCAGCCAACACGGAATGTCGATCGTTTCCCGTTCCATGTGACCGAGACAGGTTGGGGAGAGTTTGAGATTCAGATCAAAATCTTCTTTGTCCCCGAGGCCAACGAGAAGCCTTTGACGCTGTTTCACCATCTCAAGCTGCATCCTTGGTTGCAGAATGTGGCTGCTGTCGAGGCGGAACCGGCACCGCCAGCGATACCACCATCGATGCCGCCAGCCGACACCTTGGATCCGGCGGACACCTCGATGGAGGCAGGCGACGACGGCGAGCAGAACGCTGCTGCTTCGACAAGCTCAAACGAGCCAAAGCAGGAGCCCGAGACAGACAGCATGGACGTCGACACCATTACTGCTCCGACAGCTCCGACAGAAGCCACGACAACTCCAGCCGCAGCTGTAAACACAAACGACGCATCGACCACCGACGCGCCCAAACCCGCGCTCCCCCCCGTCGTCCACTCATGGCAGTACGACGAGATCGTCTTCCCTGAACCGATGGAGCCCTTCTACGACATCCTCTCCACACACCCTCCGACGCCCCTCCCCGTCGTGTCCGCACTAGCCTTCGCCGACCCCGCGGCATACCGCTCCTACCTGTACGCCAAAGCGGACGCAGCCAAGAACCCGACCACCTCGGCCCCACCGCCGATCCCCCCGCACCCACTGCACACGCCCACGGGCTACCTATTCGACGCGCTCTCGCTCGAGGCGCAGAACGCCGAAGCCGACCGCATCGACCTCGCGCGTGTCGCAGCGATTCGAGAACTGGAAAAGGGCCGCGAGCAGCTGATTCGGGCGGAGAAGTCGCTCAAAGAGGCCCGAAATCGCATTGCCAGTCTCAACAACGCCGCTCTCACTCAGACCAGCTCCACCGTTCAGTCCACATCGTAGTCTTTGTATCGAAATGTATTTGTATCGTTCTGATCTTATGAGTGGGTGGGAACCTGACAACCAACAAAGCTGCTGTATATGGGTAGAGGATCGTTTTCGTGGCCCTTCTCGCCGAATTCGGCGCGGAGAAACTGATCAAAGACGTAAGGCACCCAGTCGACGCCGTTGACGATGCACGTGGCTGTGTAGGCCGAGAGAAAGGTGCCATCGCTCGCCGTGGTTGCGCCGCCCGTGCAGCCGGTTCGGTATTTGACGTGCTTCAGAGGGTCACCGTCGTCGTCTCGGCCCTTTCGCGAGGCCTGCTTGACTGTGGAGGTGAACGGAGGGGTGGATTTGAGTTGGCGAATGTGTTTCGAGCGCATGTCGTCCCGAAAGCGAGCGCAGAAGACGGTAAAGGCGGGACAGAGGGCCGAGGCTGGAGGACCGGGTGGACCAACGGCAAAGGTGCACGCCGAAACGAGCGCGCCCGAATCGCGCGGGTACGGAGGCAGCGTCCCGCTCCATTGCGGCGATGCTGCTGAGTCTGGGTGGTTGAGCTGGTCGGCCGCCGACAGCACCAGCTGCGCCAATGCTAGGATCGAGCTTGGCAGCTTCATCGTCACACTCTGCGAATGGAGAGATGGTGTTGGTGGTCGTAACCACACCCTCACACAACTCCAATTCACATGTACTAAGTTACGTATCATCTGACAAGCAACAGGAGCTCGCTGTCATAGCCGGCTCGGCGTGACAAGTCCGCCAAGGCGTGCGTCAACGGCGCAGTGCTGAAACCCTGTCTGTGGGAAAAAAGGCTCAGGGTCCGCATGGCTCGGCGTCCTCGCGTCGGGCTTGGAAACGGAAATCCCAGGCTGTCGAGCATGCACGTCGGCAAGTTTGTAGCGCAGGAACCGAGCTGTTTGTGGCTGACGGCATCTGCTGGGTGCATCTTCGCGAGCCATCATCAGGTAGCAGCGACGACTGGTGTCAAGCACGGTACACAAGTCTTTGTTCCTGATCGCACTCTCATCACTCATGAGATCATCTTCAGAGATGAGGTGTCGATCAAGTCTTTGATGCATTGTCCAACCTTCACGCACTCGGTCCATATGCCTTTCCAGCAAGCATCAATCCCAAGCTCTTCACCGTGAAGCCCTCCAAAATGTCCTTGGTCATGACCTGCTTCTGCAATATGCTGTCCAAAAACAAGGACCCGGGTCCCAACAGCACTGTGAACATCCACACCCTCCTCGCAAACGCTATCGCCTTCCTGTGCTTCTTCCATCCTGTCGGCAGAGCATCGAGTACGGCTCTCTCGAGCAAAATCCCAAGCCCCTGGCTGACAAAGAACGTCACCATGCCCACATCGATCATCCCAGCTAGCAACGTGGGCAGGCTAAGCTTCGCGGTGGGACTCACGCGAAGTCGGGCGAACATAATCGAATGCTGCACGCCGGACCAGAAGAAGACGTAGAGCGTCTGCAATGCGGGTTGGCGGGAGAACGGCATGATCGAGGCCATGTTGAGGTAGTCCCGCTGCGAAGTGGCGTGCCAGCTTCGCGCCCACAGACGCGCGATGCTGGGCGACGTCAAAGGCCGCTCGAAGGAGGAGAGGAAGCAGGTTGCCGGTGTTGGTCTCCAGAAGAGCAGAACGATGCTCTCGAGGAAGCCCGGGGCGAGGAAGATCGCGCCTCCCACCGAAGCAACCGCGATGATGCCGGTCAGAAAGGGCAGCTCGGTGATGCTCGATGGGGTTCCTAGCAGGACAAAGTGCTTCTTGGTAAAAGTCGATGGCAAGATCGCGTGCCAGAAGGCGTGAGATCGTGGTGAGTCCACGGGCACGTAGAGGCCTAGGACCGAGATGAGTTCCGACGTCGGAGCAGACAGAGCGTACAGCCATCGGAAAGATACCCACATCGCAAGGGTCTGCAGCAGGCCTGTCCAGAGCGGCATCTCTGGCTGCCCGAATCGTCGAACAGGCGCATGGATCGGAATATCCTCAGGCCGACACCAATGGACGTTGAGGTGGCGCGACCATTCGTTCAAGCCCTTTTTAGACCACTCCAGCGCTCTTCCTTGCTTGGGCAGGAGAAGACTGGTACCTGGACGTCTTAATAGGAGCACGTCAATGCCGTAGACCAACCGACCCCACGACCAGAGCTTCGGAAAGTCGACCTCCTTCCACTCGTACTGGGTGTAGCCCATTTGTATCTCGTACACGGGACGCTGGGCGTTCTTGACGAAGGGCCGGATGGGTCGAGGACCTCCCTTGGAGTAGACGAGGCAGATCTCGACGATCTTGCACATGAGCGTCCAGGTGACGGTGGGGATGGCCAAGTCACGCAGCGGATTGCCGCAAGTGATTCGACGGTCGAATGCGAGCGGTATTGAGACGGATGCCAGCGCTGGGAAAGATGCGAGGCGAATGAGACGCCATGTTGGCGATCGAGATGGCAGAGTGAGGCAGAGAAAGAAGAGCCATAGGACGCAGAAGAGGATGCTGGGTATGGCAGGTCGAAAGTTGGGCTCCCAGCTCGCTTGGAGGGGTCCGCGAGGTGGAGGCACCACTGCCTTGCCAAACACCATCGCAGCGGACGTCTCACGGATTGGGCGAGGTATCTAGAGATGGGAGTCAGGAAGGAAGAATGATGGGAGACACATCACTCGCACGTTGTAGCGGAGGGGACTTGTCTAATAGCTGCAGGCTAGGCGGTTGACAGCCGTTAGCAGGTGGAATGACATCAGAAGCGTGCAACTCAGCTTTGATTTTTTGGTTCTTCTGAACGCGTGACATCAAAGGGTTCAGGCTGTGTTGCAGGTGATGAACCGAAGGTGGGACCGATCCTCATCGTCCACTCAGACTGTTCCTCTGAAAGCACAGGTCTCGGAAGGTTCTCATTCCTAGACTGCTCTTCGGCAGGTCCAACTCGATAGCCGACTGGCTTATCTTCCGAGGATCGAGTCCAGCCACTAATCACGAGCTCGGACCCACAGGAGCCAAGTCTTTGCTCAAAGGAGGCGGCACGAATGGGACCAGGTGAGGGTGTCACGCGGTAGCTTCCGCTTGAGCCTGCCATTCGAAGATCGGGTCATATCATCCGCGGCCTTGACTCACACATCGCATCAAAGAAAATCTGACGTTGTGCTTGAATCGATCACTCTCGGCCTCCGAAGTTGTTGCGCTTCGAACCGGCAACATTGAGCGCTCGGCAACAGAGTTGGTCGATGTCGATCCGAGACAGCAACGATGGCCCCCTCAAACGTTCTATGACAGGCTCAAGTCAGAAGCGCAGATGCGGTAGAGGGTTGCGGTGACTGAGTTGAGAGAGTGATATGCGTAAAGATACAAGTACAATTGTGGGTCGAAAGACGGCGGGGTCGACTGGGCTTATGGAGCTTGTTGCCGAGCGATGCTTTTTGAGACGGTCGTAGGGCTGGAACCGTGACTGCGAATCAGATGACCTTGGGAGCCAAACTCGCGATCTTACCCCACCCTGCCGCACGGAGCTCGTTGGCAACGACACCATTGACTCGGGTCCCCAGCGGCTCTTTCTTGTTGTTGAGGAGCACGCAAGCATTGTCGTCGAATCGGATGACCCGGCCGTCCGGCCTCGTCATCTCCTTCTTGGTACGCACGATTACGGCATGTCGGACGTCGCCTCTTCGCACCTTCTGTGTACTTGCTTGACCTGGAGTGTTGGAGATGGGCCGTGCCTTTTGTACGACAACAACGATCTCGTCACCGACCCGACCGAGGCCCTGTGTTGTCTTGTTTCGCAGTACATTGACACACTCTGCAATAAGGCCTCCCGAGTTGTCGATGATGGCCATGCGCGCTTTGAGGCCCAACATGCTGACGTTGAAGCGGCCTGTGTGAGGTAGGTAGCGGGCGAGGGTGCGCGAGAGTTGTGATCGGATTGGATATGCTTCTTTGAAAGTGCGTTCCGTGATAGAGTCGAAGACCAGGTATGTGATGGAGCAGAGCTGATCGTGATCTGTCTCTGCTTTGTTCGAGCTGAAGCTGGATATAAAGAGCTTGTCGTCGTCGTCGTGTGAAGTTGATACGAAGAGATGAACAAGTGATTCACGAACAAGCGAAAAAAAGTCAAAACGTCTCGGAACCGTTCGCACAGTAATTGCCTGGAGAAAGAGTGAATCGGGTTGCCCGATCTGGACAATGTTCGGATACGCGCCTTCGGACTCCGGTGACGGGACCGTAGTTTACGAGAGGCTGAGAGAGGCATCGCCCAACAAGACAATCTCGCATTCCTTTCCGCATCAACATGCCCTCGACATAAGATAGAAGCGCTGCGAGAAGCTCACATTAACTCTGCTCAAAGAGATTTCGGCAATGCCCAGGACAGGCTCCGCAGCGCTTGAGCAGCGTCTTATTTGATTTGTGTCGCTGCTATTGACGGAAAAACGATTACTCGTAGCAGCGGCGCGCTCGCCTAATCGGAGCTGCAACTGTCGTGAGAGTTGCAGTCCCGCTCGCAACCCCCACCAGAATGGGCCAAACCACACAAACAATACAATGGATGCCGACTCTTCGTTTGAACGATGCACCGCCGCGATCGCATATCGCCAGCGAAGAGACAAACAATGATGAAGGCACGTCCCTTGATGAGCATCAGGCTCGCCCTCGAGATGAATCACAGCCGTCTTGTCTGGAAAAAGTCGCCCACAATCACGAGATCGAGTTTGCATGCCTCTCCCCACCTTTTTCGAATCGATTCGTAAGGGTGGTCGGAGCGGGGTGATCTTGAAGCGCTGCGCCGACCGTTCCAAAGGCACTCGAATGGTGATGCTCTTGGCGTCTCGGCAAAGGCGCTAAGGGGGTGGGATGCTCGATCGGTCACATTCACCAAGAGGTGACTTGAATGACCGAGGCCGACCCCTCTAGTATGCCCCTTGTGACACACCCGCACCTGTCAGCCAATCTTCGCTCAGCTATTGTCATCCGAAATGTTCAGCTGGCGCGTCGCATGGCAAGAGCCAAGCCTGCCGAAGATGTCACCGTAGTCGGATTGCGAATGGTCCGACTAATGTTGTCGATGGGATGAGGATGATACGAACACGATGACCGGGAACCTGGGGCCAAGCTACCGTTTCAAGCCCGCTCTTCTTGGCTGTCGGAGCAGGTGATGGTAAGGCGAAAGAAGCCAGAGCGGAGAAGCAATCGACGGAATTCCATTGTGATGATGATATGATACCGAATCGCGGCTGCTTGCTGAGAGATCTCAACAAGATGAACAGCTGTTCAGGACTGAGACAAGTCAGTCTGACTGATGGACGATCCGATCCGAAAGCTGTTCCCGCGCCATGACTCTCTAACTATTGTCACGAGGTCGGACGCAATCCGCCTTGGCCCACTTTGAAGGTCGGTCATCGGCGCCGATCCGATGCATCGGTTGGATGGTAGAGTCCACTAGCATCCTCGGGAAGGAGCCAACGATCGAGCAGCCGACGGGAGGACATCTCCTCTGGCTATCCCACCCACCAGCAAACGCTGTCTCGCCAAGCCGCAGCGGCTAAAAGGTCGGGTCGATGCGGCTGGAGAACCTCGAAACAAGCGGCACGACCGGCTCCCCTCGGTCTTGCCATGTTTGTGATGCAGCCGCGGCGGCTGAGCGGCTGGTTCGAATCCCAAAGTGAATTTAAAAGTCAAAAAAGCCACTTTTTTGTCGTAGGGCGTTTCTCCGCCCTCTGCAGAGCTGCAGGCAAAGACAAGGTGTGGAGATGGAACCAATCTTTTTCTTTTTCTTTTCCTCTTCTTGTTGAGCGCTTTCAGACAGTTCAACGCGAGAGCGTCGAAAGGGAGCTAGCTTCTTTAGCTTGCCTGCTCGCTCGCTCGCTCGCTCGCTCGCTTTGGACCGCTTGTGCAGCAGGAGGCTCGCTTGCTCCGTTGACCGCATCGCCTGTTCTCCAAGCGATCCTTAGCTTGCCATCAAACAGCCTTGCCTTCGACTGCACATGAGCTACCAATGGTAGACTGTGTCGGCTCCGTCGCTCCAGCATCTTCGGCACGGGTGCAACCAAGTCCAGTGTTGCAGAGGGCCACACTGCTCAATCCTTCCTGTACATGTGCATGCACACACCTACCTGCCCAACCTCAGCATCACCAACACAAGACTCCATCTCACACTGTCGCGCCCCTCGTCCAACAGCTCCGACCCATCCTCGTCTGCAATCGCGAATTGACTGTCCAGCTCGGCATTCGCTCACCTGCCACAGCCTCAGCATTCACCGTCTCCATCACCCACCATCCCAAAGCTTCTTGCATACATTCGACCTTCGACTCGGCTTTTCACTTGCCCAGAAACAGCGTTACTCGCTCTGATCTGCCCCACCTCATTTCGCACTCCAACAAGCTTTCGATCCTCGATTGTCCCTTTCAGCATATGAAGTTTTGAGAGTGCTGGTCCCTTCCATACCTCTGGCGATGCACCACGATTCGTAGTTGGCCGCCTCTGCTTTCGCGCTTCCGCCCGCCTTCCCCACCAGGAGCGCTACCTCGATTGCCCTCACACGTCTTTCCGCACTCTGCTGCGCGCTTCCACTCACCGCATCTCTCACCAAACGGCATCACAGTCCATCAGAGCTTTGATTACCTCCACTGTCCTGCATCTGTCATCGGGCGCAGTCTTTCGTCTTTCGTCAGCACCGGTCACCAACAGCAGATCTCGTCTCACTCGCTTGACCAATCACTCAAGGACCTCCTTGGTCCTCGCCAACCTCTCCGACAGCTTTCCTCGCTTTTGCCCTGGCCTTGTCACTTCCGCCTACCCGCATAACAGCGACTTGCATCTTCCACCATGCCGGCCAAACGTTCCTACGATGATGTCGACCAGAACGGCTCCAGACCTTCCTCTCCGGACACACAGGATTCGATACTTAACAAGAATGCGACACCGCCGACACAGCCTTCCAACATCAGCGCAAGAGCCCAAGGCAAGCAGCGCCGCCTCAGCTTCGTCGAGGAGAATGGGGACTATGCCTCGGCATCCACATCCTCGCGGCCACGTGCCCTTCCTAGCACATCGACCGCTCGTTTCGTTCCAGGTCTGCAGACATTCGTCGGAGGATTGCAAATGTCCCAAGATTCCTCGGTGCCGCAAGCAGAGGATACAGCGGTACAACAACGGCGACCTTCTGCATCCCGAAGGTCGCTCGATTCACCGGACGCCATGCAGCCTCTCATGATGAGTCGCAATGCCGATGGAGAGCGCCGAGCCAGTCAGGCCATCGAACGTCGTCGATCAGAGGCAACTCTTGCGGTCGCTCGTCGGGAGTCGCTCGTGGCTCAAGAGGCACAGCTCGTGCCTGGCGTATCCCCTGGTTGGCACGTTGAAGCTCACGGTCGTCAGGCCATGGAATTGCAAGACGGCATCCGCTCCCAAGACGAGGATGGCTGGACACCGCTCGAAGCGTTCCCGGCCTCGACGCGTCAGGGAAAGCTAGCTGTCAAACGTGCCAAGTTGCGGCGACGGCTGCAGCAACAGCGACACGAGCCATCGCACAATCGACCTCACCATGCTCAGGACGAAAAGGATCCCACCTCTTGGCCTGCATCGTCGCACGCTTCGATACCCACCATCTCGGTTGAGACCGCGTCGAGCAAGGCATGCACCACCATCCATCCCCCTTTGCCCCCCTCAGTCGCATGGTTGGACGTCGAGATGAAAGATGACATGCCCAGCCATCTTTCGGTCCTCATGCAGACGTCATCGTCTCCGGATGACCCTCATTGGGCCTTGGCGTCAACTTCAGCGTCCCCTCTGTCATCATCTTCCGCTGCCACGACGCTCTCTACGCCGACGTCATTCCCAGAGCAATCAACCGAAACTGCAAACGCTCCGTCCTCTGCCCACGAAGCTTACTCGCTTTCGGACTTCGAGGTCATCGACACCCTGGGGACGGGTACCTATGGACGAGTGCTACTCGTACGTCTCAAAGACCGAGACGTCATGGATCGCTCGGCCTACTTCGCGCTCAAGGTGCTGGCTAAGACCGCTGTTGTCCAGCTCAAGCAAGTCGCGCACCTCAACAGCGAACGCAGCATTCTGACCAAGGTGGACCACCCTTTCCTTGTCAACATGATCGCCTCGTTCCAGGACAGCAGGAACTGCTACATGTTGATGGACTACGTCGTCGGGGGAGAGATCTTTTCCTACTTGCGCCGAGCCGGTCGATTCTCGGCAGACGTCGCACGCTTCTACATCTCGACCATCGTGCTGGCCATCGAGTATCTGCACGACAAAAAGATCGTCTACCGAGACCTGAAACCAGAGAATCTTCTGATCGACTCGAACGGCTATACCAAGATCACCGACTTTGGCTTTGCCAAGGAGGTCGAAGATCGTACCTGGACACTCTGCGGGACGCCCGAGTACCTGGCGCCAGAAATCATCCAAAGCAGTGGTCATGGGACGGCGGTCGACTGGTGGTCGTTGGGCATCTTGCTCTTCGAGATGCTGGCTGGCTATCCGCCTTTCTACGATCCCAACCAACTCGCGATGTACGACAAGATCGTGGTAGGCAAGCTGGTCTTCCCTGACGAAATCGACTCTGTCTCGCGCGACCTCATCTCTGGTCTACTCACTGCGGATCGCAGCAGGCGGCTTGGCAATCTTCGTGGCGGTGCCACCGATATCAAGAATCATCCGTGGTTCTCCGGTGTCGACTGGAAGGCGTTGCAAGAAGGCCGCATCCCTCCTCCCATCGTGCCTTATTTGGGACGTCCAGGCGACACGTCCAACTTCAGCGCGTACCCGCCAGCGAGGCCGAGTACTATGCCTGGTCTCTTCGGTACTGATCGAGGTCATTATGACCCTCGTGACGATCTCTTCCCCGACTTTTGATTCTCCATCGCCTTCCAAGCTGGCCGCCGGATGCGTCATACTTCCTTTCTTGCCCGTGTCCATCATCTCTTCATCTCGTTCGCATTCACTGCCACTCGCATTCTGCATCTTCGTACCAATCTCTTCGTTCCGACCCACGACAAGAACTCTGTCTCACTACTACTATTTCTCTATTTCTATTACTCTGCCGGCCGTCTAATATAAGCTAGTCTCTGTTCCTCTGTTCATCTAGCGTGGTCGTGTGCGTTGGTGTAGATGTGCGGTTGATGCTGTTGCTAAGCCGGTTCTTCGTATTAGAGCTGCTTTGGGTGGTCGAATGAAGTTTTCCATGCTCTGAGCAAGCACCGGCCTTATTCCCGCGGCTGAGAAGTGGAGCAAGAAGAAACCTAAAAAAGTGGGTGTTCTTGCGATAAATTTTGTATCCAACACCGGCTTTCCTCCGAACCTTCTGCCATCATCACTCACCTTTCTCACGCAACGGGAGAGCCGACCCGCTATTGACAAGGAGACGCTTCCGAGAGACTGCAGATCAACAATGCGAAACCTTTCCATACTGTCACATCGGGCGATACCGCTGCCATCGGAGATTCCGCTCAGAATCGAAGCCACCGCGACCGACCTCGACGATGGCTCAGTCTACGCAATCGCTACTTGCCGCGCCTCTTCCTCTTCCGCCGACGTCACCCTCAGATTCCTGGAAGCAAGCAAAGACGGCGATGGCTTCGCGCAATTCAACTCTCTGCTCGTGCCCGGCCGCCTCCAACCATTGCCGGGCTCTTCGACAGCCGTCGCTTCTGCATCAGGTCGAAGCGCTAAGGACGTAATCGACCTTCACTACCTCTCGGACGGGGGCCAGGAGGCAAGCGGCAAGCCGGCGCTCTGCACCATCTCAGCTGGCGGCGACTTGCTTCTTCTGCCCATCTCCAATGGATACGAGCTACAAGGGGAGGCGCCACCAACAGAGCCATCCGTGGTGGGGACTATCGAGCAAGGAATAGGAGCTGCGTGCTGGAGTCCAGATGACGAGCTGCTGGTCATTGTCACATCGGAGACGCCGGAGAACAGCTCCTCGACTGGTAGAAGAGAAGGCGAGAAGGTGCTTCTGATGACCCGGGATTTTGAAGTGCTCTCCGAGGTCAGCCTCCGCACAGACAGCTTTGGCGAGGATGAGGCGGTCGACGTCGGCTGGGGAAGCAAAGCCACACAGTTCCACGGGTCAGAAGGCAAAGCTGCAGCGGCTGCAGCGGCCGCCTCTGCTGCCGCGGCTAAGGCGAGCAAGACTGATACAAGAGGACCCAGGTTACCAGACGACGACGGTGCACCACGCATCAGCTGGCGCGGTGACGGCACTTTCTTCGCGATCAGCTCGCTCGAGCCCTTCCACACCTCTGCAGCTGATGGTAGCGCGGCAAACACAACATGGCACAGGATCATCCGTGTGTACTCGCGAACAGGCGCATTGTCTGCCACATCGGATCCGTCGGTGAGAGGTATCTCCCAGACTCTCGCTTTTCGTCCTATTGGCAACCTCATCGCAAGCACGCAACGATTCGGTCCGTCAGGCATCGAAGGGCAAATGTGGAGCCAGGGCAGGAAAGGACGTCACGATGTCGTCTTTTTCGAACGCAACGGTCTCCGTCATGGCGAATTCAGCCTGCGGGAGGAATCCGCTTCTCAGCCGGAAGGTTTGCAGTTGGGATGGAATGATTCGCAGAAGGAGAACTCCTGGACGAGAACGCACTACGTGCGAGAGCTAGCGTGGAACGCTGACGGCTCAGCACTCGCGGTGTGGCTCACCCGATTGGATGCCGCATCAGAACAAGGAGGTTCTGCCCACGACGTCGTTCAGATCTTCACAACGGGCAACAACCACTGGTACCTCAAGCAAGAGTTCGTAGCTCCAGTCGGTGACGGCGGCGTCGAGCAAGTCAGATGGCATTCCGAGGACCCATTGCAGCTGTCAATAGCCCATTCGAACCGCATCGAGCAGCGAGTGTTCACACACGAAACCGTGGCTTCGACCGGTCGGCCCCCCGTCGACGTCGCCTGCGTTGCTGTAGCCGACGGTGCTGCAACTTCGTTGACCCCGTTCCGCATGCAGAACGTGCCACCGCCGATGGCCTCCCTCAGCCTCCTCACGCCTCCTGCTGACCCGTCGATACGCGCAAGTGCAGCAGGAGCCGTTACTGTGCCTTGCCACACGGCTTGGTCGCAGGCTTCAGGTCGCTCGGTCGACGATGCCGTGGGCCTCCTGGCAGCCCTCTACCCGAATGGCTGCATTCAGGTGTGGCGTTTCGACTGGGGCGTTCTCGGCAGCGAGCTCAAGGTAGGAGGGAGGCCCGTAGCTGAACCGAGGCTGATTGCGACGGCGCAGCTTGCCGTCCCACAAAACGAGGGTTCGAGCGCCTATCAGATCGCCATCGCAAGCTGGGCCACACCTTCGCTTGCGGAATGTGAAGCAAGCAAGATCTCGGTTGCCATCCTCAGCTCCACATCACAGGGTGCACAGGTTGATCGCATAGACCTGGTTCAAGGCAAAGTCGGGGAGCCCTACCAGGCTCAGACACACGCTGCTGTCTCAGTTCCTGGGCATGGCAAGAAGAGAGTCGTGTCGGATCCGTTTGTTCCAGTCTCGACCTCGCCGCCCCGGTTCTACCTCGAAAACGAGGACGGTGCCGTCCATCTTGTCGGCGGGAATGACTTGCAGCTCGTGACCAAGCTCGAGCGCTTCTGCTCCGACCTTCGCATCCTTGCGAGCGGTACGTCCGGCCAGCAGAGCAAGGTGATCGGTCTCGCCTCAAACGGTCGACTGCTCGCCGAAAGTCAGGTCATCGCCAAAGATGCCACCTCCTTCACACTCGTCGGCAGCTTCCTGGTCTGGACCAACACATCGCACGAAGCGCGCTTCCTACCCCTCACATCACTGCAGTGGACGATGACCGACGCGGGACGTGACACATCCGAAGCGGTCGACCTCGGCAGGCGGGTGGAGCGCGGCAGTCGTATCGTCACCGCCGTCCCCTCGTCCATGTCGCTCATCCTCCAGATGCCTAGAGGCAACCTCGAGACGATCTACCCACGACCGTTGGTGCTCGAAGTGGTGCGACGCAACATCCACGCACGACGCTTCGGTGCAGCCTTCCGCATCTGCCGCACGCACCGAATGGACGTCAACATCCTCTGCGACCACAATCCCTCGTCATTCATGGCCAACGTAGCGTCGTTCGTGGAGCAGGTGGCCGACGTGGACTATCTCAACCTCTTCCTCTCCGGCCTGCGCGATGAGGACGTCACTACGACGCTGTACAAGCCTCTCACCTCCGCCTCCACCACCACCACCACCTCTGCAGTTGGCAAGGTGAACCGCGTCTGCGACGCCATCCGTTCCGTCCTCCTCGGGCTCGACCAGCGAAAGTACATCCAATCCATCCTCACAACGCACGTGCGCAAGCAGCCAGCCGACTACGAGTCCGCCCTCACCCTCCTCCTCCACCTCAAAGAGACAGACCCCGAGGTAACAGAAGACGCAGTGAAATACATCGTCTTCCTCGCCGATGCGGACAAGCTGTTCGACGTCGCCCTGGGCATGTACGATTTCACGCTGACGCTCATGATCGCGCAGCACACGCGGAAGGATCCACGGGAATACCTGCCGTTCTTGCGCGAGCTGCGGAGCCTTACCCCGCGCGAGTACCAGCGATTCCGCATTGACGATCACCTGTTCCGCCGGCCCAAGGCGCTAGGGTGGCTCGTTCAGGCAGGGCCAGAACATCACAAGCAGGCATTGGAGTATACGGACAAGCACAAGCTGTACCACGAGGCGCTGGACCTGTACTCCCCCGAGGGAGGGTCTCGATTGAGGGACGCGTACGATCTGTTTGGCGAATATCTGCTCACGCGACGCAAGTACGAGGATGCCGGGTCGGCATTTCAGCTTGCCCACCGGGGGCGCAAGGCGATGGATGCGTATCGACAGAGTCTGAATTGGGCCGAGGCGATCCGGTTGGCGTTTGTGGAGAAGTTGTCGCCGGGGGAGATTGTGACCTTGGCGAAAGGGTTGGTGGATGAGCTAGAGAGTTCGCGTCGGTTTGTCGAGGCGGCGAGGTTGTGTTTGGACTACACGCGGGATGTTGAGTCTGCGGTCTCGCTCTTGTGCCGGGGGAACGAGTTTGCGGAGGCTAGACGGGTGCTTACCACCTACGCCAGGGTGGATCTCGTCGAGGTCACACTCCATCCACTGCTCGTAGAAGCGGCGACGACTCTAGAGGATGATATCGGGGAGATGTCCGACCAGCTCACCAAGCAGATCGACCGGATTGGGGAGCTCCGCCTCAAACGCGCACAAGCTCCCGAGGGCGATTTCGGGGAAGACGATCCGGCACTGGAAAACGTCGATATCATGTCGGACACGTCGACGCAGATGACGCAGTTCACGCGCTACACGCGCGCCACAACCATCGCCACCCAGTCCTCGCTCGCCACATTCAGCACCCGGTCAGGGAGCAGGAAGAAGGAGGCCAAGCTGCGGAAGAAGGCGGAGCGCGCCAAAGCCGGTGGTAAGAAGGGGACGGTGTTCGAGGAGGACTATCTGTACGAGAGCGTTCAGAAGTTGATCAAGGATCGACTTGGTGCGGCGCAGAAGGAGGTGGGGAAGGTGTTGCCGCAGCTGTTCTGCGCAGGATCGAGCGCGGTGAGGGCTCGGGCAGCGGAGGTGAGCCAGGCACTGGTTGAGTTCGAGAAGCGAGCAAATGAGGCGGTGGACAAGCTGTGGGGATGGAGTAAGGAGGATGACGATGCGCGCTTCGACGAGCTGGTCCGGTTCGAGCAGGACATCCTGGGCGGCAAGGTGGGCGAGAATCCCATGGCGGCTGCGATGGCATTTAGAACAATCGCGAACCGACGTGTGCCAAGGCCTAAGTTGGAGGTGGCGGACCACAAGTGGCGCCTTGTACTGCTCGATCGGGCTGCCGAGTAGATTCACACTCTCAATGTCACAGTTTGTGAAACGCAGTTGCATCTGCTGATGATGTGGATTACAGTGTAGCGACGACGGGATGAACGACCGCATTCTCGTCCAACCAGTCCATGTAGTTCTTCAAAAAGTCGTCCGGGAGATCCTTTGCGTTGCCGACGGTTTCCGCATCGCCAATCACGACGAGCTGGCGTTTCGCTCGAGTCATGGCGACATTCAATCGCTTCTTTTGGGCCAAGAATCCGACTTCTCCCTCGGCATTGCTCCTGACGAGGCTGATAATGACCACGTCCTTCTCACGACCTTGCATCGAGTCGATGGTTCCCAGTTCGATCTCGTCCGCGTTGACCACCTCCTCGCCCTTACCACTCGCGGCAGGGATGGTGAAGCGATGGCTCCGGACGGTGGCGTGCAGCAACGCAACTTGCGCCGAGTAGGGAGTTAGGATCGTCACCTGCCCCGGCGCCACGCCTTTGCTAAACAGCTCTTCGAGGTGACGTACGACCAGATCCGCCTCGTGCACGTTGGATTTCGAGTCGGCCAACAGGGCCCCTTCTTCGGCTGAGGGAGTGGTCTCGTAGAACTCACACCCGGACGTGTCGTACAGCACCACGGGCGCCAACAGCTCCTCCTCGTCCTCCGTTGGTGGGGAAGAGAGATGCCGTGAGACACTGGCCAGGTCGCTGAGACGGATCGAGGCGCAAGAGGTATGCGCAACGAGCTGAGACTCATACAGCTCGGCGTTGGGGAAGGACATGATCGGTGTAGACATGCGGTACTGGATCGAGAGAAGAGATTTGATGCCCGGTCCGTAGAGGCCGAGTTGTCGCGAGAAGAGGGTTGTTTCGAGCGAGCGGGGGGGTCGGAGGCGGGTCCTTGGGGCGGTGGAGAGGGTGGCGGTAGAGAATTTCGAGGCGAGGTCTGTTTCGTCGGCGTCGTCGTCGGTGTCGTCCGTCTTTGCATCACCGACAACATCGTCCGTTGTGGTGTCTGCCTGTGAGGTGGTTTGAGCGGCGTCCTTGCCCGCTTTGTCGCCGTGCTTGCCCGCGCCATTTGACTTGCTCCTCCCTTTTCCCTTACCCTTTCCACGCGGTGCGCTGACGGTCGACTTGACCGTAGGCGGCAGCTGCAAATGATCTCCCGCCAACACCAACCTCCCACCCTCCCTCGCCTTCAACACCGCAATCCAGCACGCCACCTCCAACGCCTGGCACGCCTCATCGATCACCACCCAATCGAACTCCCTTCCCGCCAACTGTCTCCCGCCCGCCCCATGACACGTCGTCAACACGATCTGCGCCCTATCCAGCACGCTCCGCTGCACCTGCCTGTCGCGTCGCCGATACTCCTTGCGCAGCTCGCGCACCTCTTCCCACCGTTTCCTCCGGTCCGATCCGCGAATTTTGGGTTTGCCTTTAGTCGATCTGTTCCCGCCTGGCGGCGGCGGTTTGAGCTCCGACATGATGTCCTCGATCTCGCGGCTGATGTCTTTGACGAGCTGCGCTTCGGATGATTGCGCACATTGAGCGTCGAGTGTGGCGCCTTGGAGAGATGCGACGACCCGGGCGGGATGGCCGAGCCGCGTGACGCCAACAGATTTTTTCTTGAACACTTCGCGATGCTCCGGCGCCCCAACGAGTCGCTCGAGGATGTTGTCCACGGCCAGGTTGGATGCGCCACAGACGAGGACTCGAACGGGATTGGAATCGACGGCTCCAAGGTTGGATGCAACGATCTGCATGATGAGCTCGACGATGGCCGTCGTTTTGCCGGTACCGGGCGGACCGTGGATGAGCGAGAAGTGGTTTGCTGACAGGGCACGTTGGATTGCGGACAGCTGGGTGTCGTTCAGCTTCGGGTTGAATGGTGGTAGTGGCAGGTCAATGTTGCGCCATGCAGGCGGAGTGAGGCCGAAGAGGCTGCGTGTGAGGCTTGTTGCCGTCGTTGAGGCGGAGGTTTGCGGCGTCTCGTCTTCGTCTGAAGTATCACCCTTTGCGGTCGACGAAGCAGTCAGGGGAACTCCCAGCGACTTTGCCAGCTTCGCGAGCGTCAGCTCCATGCGATCGAATGTGGTCTCATTCGCCACCTTGACCAGACGTATCCTCTCGGGCAGCTCCAGCTCGCCTCCTGAGACCTTGGCGTTCTCGCCTGTCCTCGCATCGCGCTTGTCCTGCCCCTCTGCCTTTTCTCTCGACTTGCCTTTCCCATCACTGATCGCGAGCACGATCCGCGTCTCACTCGTCCGGAACACCACGCCCTGCACCAAACCTCCTTCGTTCGTGGCGGACGGGTCCGCGCTGTTGTCGAGGATCGCCGCCAGATCGCCCGAGCGGAACGAGTGGGGTGGGAAGTTGGGACTTGCATGGTGCGCAGACGGCCGTTCGAGCTCCACCAGCAGCTTGGCTCCTACACCGATGCGTATCGAGGCGACACACAGACCGAGCAGTGCTAGGCCGTGCTTCTCGAGGATCTTGGGCGCCGTTTTGGAGAGGAGCAGCTTTGATTGGGACTGTTCTTCTGTGCGTTCGTCCGCGAGGAGGCGGGATTGCGTCTGAAACCATCGCTGTAGAAGTTCTTGAGAGGGCGGCTCGGGCTGCCGCAGCGGAGTGGGCGACATGCTGTCGGAGGGAGCGCTAGGCGAAGCAAGACCGGCTTAGCTTCCCTGATGGTGTTGGAGAATCAAGGTGCGGGAGTGTGGAAGGTCTTCCAAAAAATTATTATAAAGTTGCAGGCGCAGCAGGTGGAGGCTCGAGCTCAAGAAGCATGGCGTGTGCGCTCTTTGAAACAAACCTCATTATGGCTTTCCCATCCTACTTTATAGCATCACAGCTGACAGTGTCACACTTGCATCCCCACGAAACTCACTGCATGGCTCTCTCAGTCGCTGAGCAGGCGTGTAGGAAGATGACTGATGATATTGCGGTGGGAGGCTCGACCAACTAATCCTTCTTCTTCTCGGCTTTCGCGTCGTCCTTCTTCGCATCCTCTCCAGCCTCCTTGCTGCCTGCCGCAGTGCCATTGGTGAGCGTGTTTGATGCCTCCTCCTCGCCCTTCTCGTTCTCGCGTCGGTTGTCGATCAAGCCATGCAGAGCAATGACGGCACGGATGAGACTCGACAGATATACGACAAGCAGTCGATCGTTGTTGTCCACCGCAAACGACTTGGCTGCTTCGCTGTTCTTGTCCAGATCTGGGAGCAAGTTGAAGATGTCCTGCAGATCATAGATGATCTGATGGTTGACCGGAAGCTTGCCCTCCACCACGGCTTGCAGGTAGTCACGAATCTCGAGCAGCCGCGACTGCAATCCTCGCAGACTGGACAGCTGGCTCGCAACGCGCGTCGAGAGTGTCCCCACCGCCGTCGTATCGCGAATGTCACGCAGCAGGTGCTCTACGCCGATCTCCTCCGCCTCCTCTGCCTCGATGGTGCTGGGGACGTGCATGAACGTCTTCTGCGTCGCTGTGCCGTCGTCCTTGATCTCCTCCACCGCAAAGTAGGCGTCGGTCGGGATGCCCACGTCGCGCTGCCTCGGGTTGACGATGACCATCACCGGTCGTGGGATGAAGCGCTTCATCAGCTCGTTGATCTCCAGATCCGAAGAACGCAGTCGCGGCCCCGTGTGATACCACCCCACCATCTTCTCGCGTGCGTTGACCTTTTTGAACATCTCCATCATCCCGGAGATGTAGTCGTGATCCAAGAACCACGTCTTAGCATCCCTCTCGTCCTCTTCGAAGGGTACTGCAAAGGAGTTGGCGACGTTGATGGTTTTGCCATTGTTGAGCTCCTGGCCGAGCAACACACCGACAACTCGCTTGCGCGAACCTGACGCAGATCTCGAAGCATGGTCTGTGACGGAGAGAAGCACTAGCGGGTGGATGATGACATTTGTGCTCGAGAGACTGATTGTCTGTTGTGCGCAGGGAAATACAGCGTTGTCAGCAAATCGTCGTTAGGGAGGCTGAAGCTTGCGAGGATCGCTGGAGTGAACTTACCTCTTGTGTTGTGGCTGGCATCCTTGCAGAAAATGTATCCGGTACTATGGCGCTGTTGGTGGAGTCGGACTGATCTCTTGATTCCTGTGACTGTAGACGTGGTTTGCAGCGATGCGGTTTGCAGTGTTGCGGGAGATGACAATCTGGAAGGATGGTGTTGAGCGAGAAGTGTTGAACTCTCGACTCCACTTTGTCAAGGGACGACGCGCATGCCCGATCACGCTCGCGGCTGGGCCAGCGCTGTTAAGCTCGCGTTGCTTTTCTCGGATTTCGGGCGCCGTTTCCTCCACACCAAAAAGTCGCCGCGAAGCTGTTCCTCCTCGCCGACTTGTACGAGCCTAGTTAGCAGACACCGTTCGAACGATCCTCTCCAGAAGCTGCCTCAAGTCCATAGTCGGCCGAAGGCGACGTCATAGCGCGATGATGCCGCCAGGGATACGAGCTGCTCTCCCATTGCGGAGCTCGGTGCTGCTATGTTTGAGACATGGCCCTGGACGTGCAGCACCTAGCTCCTCATATCGTGGCACTGCCACCGACGGCCTCAGACACTTTAACTCGAACCCGAGTACGAACGACTCAGAAACAAGCATCAGAAAGCTTTCTGATGATCCACACTTCCTCACAAGGCGACTTGCCGACGAACTGCAACTCCCCCTCTTCGCTGCTTCCGGACAACAATTACGTCTGCTCGAAGACCCGTGCGACTTCTACGAGACGCTGAAACAAAAGATCAGTCAGGCAAAGGAGCGCATCTTCCTCGCCTCGCTGTACATCGGCAAAGAAGAGACGGAGCTCATCGAGCACCTCCAGACAGCACTACGCAACAATCCAGCACTGCAGCTTACAATTCTGGTCGATGCACTCAGAGGGACCAGGGAAGCTGCTCCGACACCCTCCTGTGCGAGTCTTGTGTCAAGACTGCATGCCGAATTCTCAGATCGAGTCAGCATACGTCTCTACCATACACCAAACCTCAAAGGATGGATGAAGAAGATTGTCGGGAAGCGCTTCAACGAAGGATGGGGATTGCAGCACATGAAGATCTATGGATTCGACAATGATGTCGTGCTCAGCGGCGCCAACCTCAGCCGTGACTATTTCACGAATCGACGAGATCGCTACCTGCTGATCGAAGATCACATGGAGGTGGCCAATTACCTAGACTCGCTCGTGCACCTCGTCGGGCAGTTCAGCTTCAAGCTGGAGACATCATCACCGCGGAGTGTTTCTGCTGACAGCACCTCGAGTCCAGACTGGAGGCTAGTCTGGGACGGCGGTCAAGACACTCTGACCTCAGCAAGCGACCGACCGCAGATGCAGCCCTTCACAGAATCTGGCTGGACAGACGAGGCAACCATTGCGGTCAAGGAATTCACGAGGCAGTGGCAGAGTCAGTCAACGAATAGGGTGAGCAGTCAGACGGAGGCCGACACCTTGCTGCTGCCCTTGCTCCAGATGGGTCCTCTCGACATCAGGCAAGAGACCCGCGCGATACCGCAGATACTCGACATGGCCCTCCAAACGCGGACCGCTCAGGGACAGCCGCCAACACTAGCGCTCACGTCCGGCTACTTTTCCCTGTACAAGCCGTACAAGTCGCTCATCCTCCAAGCAAAAGCGGCGTCGAGCGCCGTTGTCAAGATCATTTGCGCATCGCCAGAAGCGAACGGCTTCTTCCAATCGAAAGGTGTTTCGGGCTGGATACCCGAAGCGTACACGTGGTACGAGTGTCAGTTCTGGAAAGCGCTGAGGCGTGCTAAGAGGCTGCTGGGACAGGATGGACGTAAAGCGGAAGATGGGGGAGTCGAGATCCGCGAGTGGAAGAAAGATGGCTGGACGTATCACGCGAAAGGGATATGGTACTACCCACCCTCGCCAGAAGGAGCAACGGAACAGCCGGCGCCGACCATGGTCCATGTTGGCTCAAGCAATTATGGATCGCGGTCGGCGGATCTGGATCTCGAGTCCACTTTTCTGATCTCAACCCAATCGCAGGAGCTCTCGCAAAGGTTCGGGGAAGAGTTTGCGACCTTGGAACGGGATGCGAACGATGCTGTCGACAAGAATCTCTTCGAGAGGCCAGACAGGAAGGTCCGAAGACGAGTCAAGATCGCGTCGTGGATCCTCAAGGGGATGCTCTGAAGGCGTCTTGCTCCCGCCATCCTCTTCCATCGCGCAAAGCACAAGACTCGCACTTGAGCTTGATCTGCAATGATACCCGTCGGCACCTCAGCTGACCCTCCATCCCATGTTGAAGCGCTGTGTGGCGATTGTTGCCGTCTATAGTCTGTGATGCACGTTGTTCTGAGGCCTCGGAAATCGGAAGACGCGCCGCCTGCAGGGTCGCAGGAAGAAATTGAAGGTCAGTGCAGCGAGTCATTCCAAGCTTTCATGCTTTATCATCTTCTCAGCAACCACCATCCACACCATCGAAACCAGGCACAATGGCGACTGCTACCTCCACAGGCAACTTTGAGGCACGAAGCGCGACGGTCTCGCGCGTGACCAACGAGACCAAGATCGAGGTCTCTCTCTCGCTGGATACGCACCCTACGTTCGCGCCACAGACCATCAACGTCAAGACCGGCATTGGGTTCCTCGACCACGTAAGTCGCACCCTCATCATCTCATTCCAATGATTCCTTGACTGACGCAGCTCCTCTCTCTTCTTTCGTGATGTTCGCTGCAGATGCTGCACGCACTCGCCAAGCACGGCGGCATGTCCCTGACCCTGGCCTGCGACGGAGATCTGTGGATTGACGACCACCACACAGCCGAAGACTGCGCTCTCGCCCTCGGAGCCGCGTTCAAGAAAGCCCTTGGGCCCGTCAAAGGCATCAAGCGCTACGGCACCGGTCATGCGCCTCTCGACGAGGCCCTCAGTCGCGCCGTGATCGACATCAGCTCCCGTCCCTACTGCGTCGCCGAACTCGGTCTGAAGCGCGAGAAGATCGGCGATCTCAGCTGCGAGATGATCCCGCACGTCTTCCACAGCTTTGCCATGGAGGCAGGAGTCACCCTGCACGTGGACTGTTTGAGGGGAGACAACGATCATCATAGGAGCGAGAGCGCGTTCAAGGCGCTCGCGCTGGCGATCAAGGAGGCGGTCAGCAGGACCGGGACGGATGACGTGCCGAGTACCAAGGGTGAGTACACAGTTGCGCTCGATGCGAAGTACGCCAGGACGTTGCTGGCTCCGTTACGGCCCTGCGGTGAGAATGTGCGCACTGACTCTCTCGTCTCTAATCTGTGTTTGCACGCTACGATGCTACAGGTGTCCTTTGAGCTCCTTCGCCTCGGTACTGACCCAACTCATAGAGCAGCAATGCGATTCTATCTTACATAAGTGCTTGTGAGATGGTTACTTTTTACCACTGTGCTGAACGAGCATTCCAAGGAACTCTGAATCGTCGCAGGGTACCATGTGAGGCTATCATCTGCTCACGGCGACAGCCGAGTTTGAATCGGCCCGATTCATCGTGTTCTCTTTGGTAAAATCTCGATTCGTAATCCCATCGGAATTGGTTGGATGAACGGGCGGAATGGCAAGGCGGTTCGGACCGATGAAGAGCATAGGCCGAAGCTAACCGAAACACTTTTACACTCAAAGGTGGCTTGGCTTGGGAGTTTTACGGCCTTTGCATTGCAAACGCCTTGCGATGCACCGCAGAGCCGCTTCCTGTAACACCTGAGATGGAATGGGGCTGGCCCTCAGCTGTGATGGCTTGCGCTGTCGGTGGTTGGAGGTTGCCGATCGATGCGATGCGACAAAGTGGCGCTCGGGGGATCGTCGGACTCCGTGACGGCGAGGAAGTTTCTGGATGTCGTCGTTGGTCTAGCAAAGCCTAGCGTGGTGGCTTGCAGCATGCCGGCTTCTCATGATGACGGCGTTTGGTGGGTCGGCCTCGTTCGGCTTGTGTCTCGCGCTGATAGTGTTGTTGCCAAGCAGCTCGATACGGGGCTTTGGACGTCGGCGAATGCTCGACGAAGCGCTTTCAAGGTCGGCCGAGCGTCGGATCGACGATGTTGATTTCCGCACAATGCGAAGACGTCGTCCAACGGTGCATCGCCAGACCCTGATCAGCTGGTCGAGGCGGAGCGTCAAATTCGGGTCGGCTTTTTCCAGCATGCAGCGTGCATGGCATGCCTGCTCGACCCCTCCACGCCGACACAAAGTGCCACCACAATCCAGATAGAAGATCCACGTTGGGACGTCGAACATCTCGGGGCCTGCATTGTTCAAAAAGGCCAATGCCGAAGGTGTTGTTCGGTCTCCCATGAAATATCTAGACGAAACGTGGCTGAGACGCATCCGCTGCACGCTTGTCCTTGCCGAATGTGCTATGATCCGCTCCGAGCCGGAGAGACTGATCCCATGCTCAAGGGGCTCCTTTCACAGGCAATCACATGTTTGCGATGGGTGCAGCTGCCGCTCGCGGGCAGATGCTATTGGTAGCTCACATAGCAAACGCATGATAGCTTTCCCTTCGCTTGGTCCACCGCACGCGAGACTTGACCGAGAATCCACGCCACTACGCTGCCGAAGCTGATTCATGTCGGCAAACAAGCAGAGATGAAGAGCGAGATGGCCGACGAGCGACCCGAGAAGTCGGTTGTGGGCGAGCACGACTAGCAGAGACAGTCTCACGGGGCAATGCAGACACCAGTGTCGTGCAACTTAGGGTGACACTGTCAAAAAGGAAGCAGCAACAGCTGACATTGGATCTTCGAGGTGAGCACCGATGCGAGCCAAGCCCTGGCTTGGTTGAGAATCGGGGCAGTGGGTCGGGGCTCGCAACGAATAGCCGTCTCGAGGCCAAGACCAACTTGATGCAGGGTGCAGTATCCGCCTTCGCCTGCGACGCGACCTGCAAGCTGACTCCCCTGGATAGGGCTAAACACTCACTAGCGTGTGTCCAGCATCATCGGATCGTCGGTCAACTCGATTCGGCTCCTGATCTGGCTGTTGCTACAGGTGCCGACACAGGCTGCTACCGAGAGAGTAGCGACCGCCCGTTGTCAACGCCAACAAAGCCAGCTGGATCGGCAAATGTGCCTTCTCGTACCAAGACGTCTTGGCGATCACAAAGGGTCACTTTGTCAAGCGAGCCAAAGAGAAATAAAGCTGCCTCGCCAAAACCTCCGCCAAGGGCATAGGTAAGGCGATGAGGTTTGTAGTGCGAAACAAGGCTCAGCTGGGTCAAGGGTAAGGCGAAGTGGTTTGACTTGTGCGGATCTCGAGCCCCGTTGCTGTCGATGGCAGTCTTTCAGGTCGAGACCTTACACGTGTAAGGGGCAACAAGCACAGCCTTGCCCTTGGCACACGATGCGGGCCAGGCATCTGTCATGCCGGTACTATTGACTCACAGGCGGGGGTCATAACTGCTTCCGTATTTGAGTGACAGCTGTTGATACCAGAAATCACACCACAAGCATCTTGGCAATCACTTTGTGTCACTGCGCTATCAAGGCGACAAGCCTCTCTGCGCTGCGGTCTTACTGCGCAGGATCTGCTCTGCAATACCACGCTCGGGATTGGACGATCCACTTTGACAGCCGCAGGGCCGCAGCGGCTTGCATCCCTGGACTGGGCTTGACGAGACCACCCAGAACCAGAACGCCACAAGGCAACACTAGACCGAAATGCTTCCGCGGCAGGAGAGGCTTTTCTCGGTCCGCCGCGGCCGGCATGGCTTGCATGCAATGATACCACAATGCAGCGTGATCGACCGACAGACAATAGCGACCACGATCGAAACCGACGGCGTAACCATCAGCATCGAAGTCGCCTTTTGTTGCAAATCAGGAAGGTGAAAAGACGGATCTCAGTCGACGGATGGCATGTCCTCCTTGGCATTGTGCTGGCTCAAAGAAGCCGGATGCACCCGCTCCACGATGTGCATGCATGTGCAGGTCATTCAGGAACAGTCCTGCGATGACATTGTCTCTTGCCGCCGAGACTGTCGTTGTGCACCCTGCGTGTCGGCGCCGGAAAGGGCCGAATCACAGACAACGGGCTGCTCTACCGCTTGGCAAGACCAAATTCAGGAACAGAGATCGAAGGGGGAGAAGGAGCTTCGAAACGGACGTGGAATGCTGTGCTGAGTTTCACAAAAGGGACGGAAGCCACATTAGCCGGTCTGCTATCCGGCGCGCTCTTGCGCCCAAGATCGAGAATCTAGGGTCAACTCACGAGGATCATGATGATGCGATGGCGGAATCAGAGATGTCTCACCTGGCCGCGGCCGCATAGAGAGGAGGAGGCAGGGCAGCGGATCGAGATTTCGCTCGAAAAGCATTCACACTCCGTCACTCAGGAACGCAATCGGCGGACTCGAAACCTTTTTTTTCTTTCGCACTTGAGCCTGTCAAATGTCGAAGCCCAACAGGCGCTCCGACGTGCAAGGCTAGTGTCACCACACACTCACACCATACGAGCCTGGCCTTGTCTCGTGTTACGCTAGCAAAGGACACCACATAGCAAGCCCAGTGTGGCTGCCTTGGAATGCCGCTGCCTGTGTCATGGCTGTTGCTGTCTGTGGAACGCCGTCTTTGTGGCGTGAAGGGAGTGGGCTGGTCGTGGTAGGATGGTGATCAGCACCTTGACGAGGAGCGGCCGAATTGAAAGTCAGGAACGCGGTTGGCACAAAAATAAAATAAAAATATCAAAAAGGATGGCTCGCTGAGCTTGACGATGGTGATGATGATGAGGACGAGGCCTCCAAGCCACCAAATTTCGACACAAGATTTCCTACGCCCACGGAGGTCTGATCTGAAATTTCATCAAACGCTCACGCCTCTCCGCGCTCTCAAGGTTCCTGCTCCGACATCTGGATCAGTACATCCCACATCGTCATGGTCTCATGTAGCATATGCGTGCTCAAACCGCCACGCTCTACAGCCCAAAGGTCGTAATCTGAACGAATTCGGCGCGCAAGAGGATCGTTTGTCGTTGTCATAAAGCGATCGCCCACCTGCCTATTGCGGCTGGTTGGTAAGGCTGGAATTTCAATATGAAGTCACGGTTCGTCTCAGATGCAGCCCCGGGCTTGACCGAGCGACGTCAAGGGTCTTGCTTTGCCCTTAGGGCCTCGATGCTCGCCCTCCAGCCTCTCTGATTCACTTATGCACCATGCCAACTAAGCGACGCCGATGGAGCAGGCTCGGCATGGAGCCAAGCGCCCGACCCAGGAAGAGGCAGCGCCAGACGGCGGCCTGGTGCAAAATCACGATACATCAATCAACAGACGTGCAAGCACAAGACTTGATCTTCTTGATTGCTGGTCCGCCTGAAGCAGGAGCGGGCTCGTCAAGCAGTGCCGACCGTGACAGGAAAAAGGAGGAGGAGAGATTTTCTTGCTGCAGGGCGGCAAGCGCTTCCAAGTGCGACTCTGATTTCAAGGCATGCGAGACCCTGGCTGCCCTTTCCAGGCCCGGCAGTGGATACCGAGCCACACTCTTCAACTGCCCACACACATCATCCGATAAGTCACCGGTGCCACAGAAGGCTTCTGGGTCTTACTTCTCGTCTGCGAGCAACTGGCTCATCGGTGCGCCTTCGTACGGCGTCGTGGCTGTGGTGGCAGTCCTCCATCCAGCCTCCTCCTCAACGACCGCCCTCCTTCATGGGTTGACCCTCGAGCTAATTTGCAATTTGCAGAGCGACAAGCTAAGGAACAAAGCAACAATCCAGACCCCGACCTGGTGTCATTCTCATCGCCTCGTCTCCCTCCTCCTATGCACGGCTTGTCTCTCTCGGAGCTGCATCGCCCTGACTGTCCTGTGCAAAATACAGTAGGTCGCTTGGTCGCTCGACCGCTTGCTCCCTCTAGTCATCTGCGCCTGTCACCATGATTTCGAAGCTGTCTCACTTCTCCGGGAGCCTCCGCCTGTCGCCTGAGATGGTATCTCACCTGAGCCTTCCACCCCCGACACTGCAAGATGGAATGTTTTCGTCACCGTGTCTGCATGATACGACACTATACTGGGCCTGGCCTGGGTTCGTTTTGGTTCTGCAGCTGCTCTTGCCGCACTGCCATTGTCCTCTCGAGTCCCGGCAGGGTTCCGCTTGAGACCCGCCTCCCCTTCGCTTTCTCCCTGGGTGCCACAGCAAGCGCCGCACAAGTTCAGCATGCTGGTGGTGGGCTTTGTGGTATGAGCTGACTTCTGGTTTCAGGTCAAGCTCCCCTCTCTTCACTCGATTTCAGTCCGCCTAGAGCTCCGTTCATCATTGGACACTAGCGTCGTGCGGCCAATTTGCCGCTCCCCTTCTCTCCTGCGTCTTGCTCTCATACAATTTGAGCTCGAGCCCTAGCTCCGCTCTACCCAGCCATGCACTACACCTGCATCTGAATCTGCATCAACCTAGCTCACAGAGCGTCAAGCGCCGCCCCTCCCTTCCCTGTATCGTGGCATCATTGTTTGCTTGCTCGCCTACTCGCCACGCCAAGCTAATTCCTGGAGAGGGGTGATTGACGCTGCATTCTTATTGTCGCCTCGTTCGCTTCCTCCCCTACGGGTCCCATTCCAACCTCATGGACGGTCTGGCCTCCGCCGTGTCTCGCCTGCCCCTCTGCCCTCTCGCCCTAGCTGTCCGTACCCAGAATACGCTGCATTGTCTCGCTCGCCCTCTGCCGTAGGCCAATCTCGCGCAGGCACCCCTGCCGCCAGGTCGCAGTCCTTCGCTGCAACACGGCGTTGCCGTTCCGCCAACACCTTTCTCTTGCCTTCCTCAAGACTATTACTACCAACCGTCGTCACGACTTTCTTCCCTTCTCTCCATCATCCCTTTCGACCACCGTTGCCAGTTCCTCCTCAGCATTGTGTTTCCGTCCCTTGCCAACTCCATACCGACGCTACTGCTGCAACGCATTCCAGTCCCATCGACACTTGATCTCCTTGTTCGGCCTCGATACCAGATCGATAAGCAGCCGACCCTAAATAGCCGTCGAAAGTGACGTCCGACATCCTCACGGCCCAACATCCTTGTTCAGCTTGACCGCAGTCACTGGGCATTCGACTCTGTGCGACACCTACCACCCTAAAAGACCACCTCTTACAGCTCGATCGAAGCCGCATACTAGCTCGCTCTTCGCCCAGCAGTCACAGCCTGATTGATACGAGCTTCCGACCTCCCATGTCAGAGTCTTCTGCGACGCCTCGTTCAGCTGCCAACACTGCTGCGTCGCTCCTGCCCTCTTGGCCTGAACCGCCTCGACCGGCGTACGCACTAGCCCCTATCCCGGCCTACAGCTCTCGGTCCATCTCACGGTCTAGCTCGCTACGCTCCGCCTCTTCTGCCTCGCAGCGCTCCCCGTTTCACGGAAGGTCTTCTCCTTACCCTTCATCTCGACCTGCGCGTTCCGAACTGCACGAGATGCATTCATCACAGAGCGCGTCGACGTCACACGAGGCTGAGCTGTACCGCACACGCCAGGCGCTGCAGTCGCAAGTCGGGCTGCGACAGCCGACCTCAGCCTCACGTCAGGCACCTTTGCAGTCACGCACCATGTCGAGCAGCTCGCATTCCCGCACGTCGACCACAGCCACCAACTCTCAATCTTCGAGCAGGGAAGCGCAGCACAAGGTGTATCTGCTCAACTGCAAGCACTGCGGCAACTTTCTCAGCGATCGCGGAATGAAGGCGGTGCTTCTGCTCAAGCCCAACATCACGCTCTACAGCACCGACATTGTGCCCTCGACCTGCGGTCCTTTCTTTGCCGGCTCTCACTTCCACGGTGGAGTCGACTCGAACGAGCCGCCTGTGGAGCGAACGTGCGAGTGCCTGACGCAGAGCATCGGCTGCTACGGCTGCGGTGCTCAGGTGGGCTACAACATCATTTCGCCATGTGCACGCTGCACGAGTAGCGTCATGAAACACTCGAGGAGCTCTAACGGCCACCGCACGGTGCTTCACTGCTCCGAGATTGCGGTCCGAGAGCGCCGTTACATCCCCGGTGAGCCAGGGGTCCGCGCACAGCCGGTGCCCCCTGTTCACCTCACGGCAAGCCCTGCGCAGGCTCACGCTGATGCGCTGCTCGACGTGCCGCTCAGCCAATCGTTGCAGACGAACCTGTTTCGACACAGCAACGAGTCGCGCCGAGATGTCTACCGGATGCAGACTGGTTACGAGGAAGACGATCTCGAGGCCGAAAAGGCCGAGATGAACGCTGCTCTTCACTACCACTCTTCGCAACAGTATGTCCACCGTGATGGTCGGCTGTCGAGCTACCCTCCTGCGCACGACATGACTGGTGCTTCGAGCAGGGCCTCTTCGTCGCCAGCCTCGTCCTCCACTGCTTCGAAAGGAGGTCGTGTGCTTCGAAGGGGCGACACTCTCTATTGGGCTGACTTGATCGCCGGCGGCGAGCGAGCTCAACCGTTTGATCCCGATCCGATCCTCGAGAGGCCCATCGTCGGCAGGTAATCGAAACGTTTCCTTGCCCGCAGCAAGAGCTTTCAATAGCTCCAGCAGCAACACCCTGCATGTCTCTCTTGCACACCACTTCGGTCCATCTCTTCGTCGTTCTTGCTTCTAGTCCTGACGCTCCACGCTTCACAATCGCCCATGCATCTCCTTTACTACTTCTCGCACTATCATCCCTCACGAGCTTCTCTAATCCGCTACGTAGCATACGCTCGAGCCTGCTCTCTTCATCCTCATTCGCCGTAGAGCGGCCGAGCTTATCCACTGGGCCCTCGCTATCTTTACTCGCTTGCATGTCGTCCCCTATGCATATCATGTCCTTGCTAATCAATCATAGATGTCCTTCTCCGTTCTTCTTGGTCGAGTCTGTCCGCGTCACTGCGGAGAGTCTGGAGGCGTCGCCTGGGGTGATGGGCTTAAGCGAAGGGGCAGACCCTGCATCAGCCTGCAGCACACTCGTCTGGCGCTGTCAAATTCCAGGAGAAAGAGAAATGCCAGCCTTTGTGTGACAAGCTCAGGAGCAAAGAACGCCTCGCCCCTTTTTGGTGGAGGCATTTTGAAGCGGAGACTGGACTGCAACCGCACTCTTTTTAAATCCAAAATGCCGTCCCAACTCGGAAGAAGAGGCGCGTGCTCGTGAGCTCGTGTGGGCGTTGCAAAGTGTTGGTGTAAGACTTGGGCGCTTGTGATCCTAGAGAGTAGCCATCCAGACGGACTGAGCCATCCTCATCCCTTTGCATCTTTCGACATCAGCACTCTCCAGTCACGCCCCGTACTGCTCCGGAGCCGCAGGCAGGAATCGGATAGGCCAGGCTCAGCTTCCTCTCCAACTTCCCACGTCAGCATCGCTACCGCCTCTTCACGTCCAAAGACGCCTGGCTACTACCGCCAACCACACCATCATACCATGCAGAATCACATCTACGAGCTCGGCCTGCTTGGCGGCCGATGCTCTGACATCCGCATCAGGGCGTTCGGTCGCATCTATCATCTGCACCGTCTCGTCCTCATCCAGTCCGGCTTCTTCCGCGCCATGCTCTGCGGCGGCTACGCAGAAGATCTCGCAGCTGCTTCTGCCGCAGCCACGCTCAGCAAGGGCAACAGTCACAGCACCTCTTCGGCCCACGCAACGGGATCAACATCGAAAGACGCAGACAACGATGTGGTGCAGCTGCACTTTGACGATCCCAACATCAGCAGAGCCGCTTTCGAGTACAGCATCGCACGGCTCTATGGCGACGGTCCCAAGCTGGTGCTGCCTTTCTGGTCGACTCCTTCATCAGATCACCCCTTCACGCCGGCGCTGAGCATGCGACTATCGCAATCGAACGACTTGAAGATGGCCAACCTGCTGATCGACAAGCGCTCTCATCCAGCTACGCCAAGATTCCTGCTCTCGCTCTTGGCCACATCCATCTACCTCAACATTCCGAGCGTCACGGCACAAGCACTCACCCTCGTACTGTGCTCGATGACTCCCTTCACCGTGACGCAATACCTTCGCTTCGCCATCGGATGCGGTATCGAAGGCACGGATCTGAACAGATCCGCGTCGGACGAGATGCGACATGATCTTGACGAGTGGGATTGGGAACTCGAAGGTCCTGCACGAACGCTCGAGGAGATCGCTCGCCTGGATCCCACATCGAGCACATCGCCACAACTTCACTCCGAGCGGCAATTCCGGAGCTACGCTGCGGGCACCTCAGACGATCTTTCCTCCGCCTTCGCCAACAAGCTCCACGTAGCGCCCTCTGCTCAAGGAATGAGGCGAGGGTCGTCCGCTTCGCCTGAAAGGAAGACCTCGCGAGGTCAATTGGCCCATGGTGCAGAGATGACCTCGACTCCATCTCGTTCCAACATCACGACCCGCGATGACACGCGCAGCGCTCAGAAGACCGCAGGGTTCCGAGAACCCGAGCCTGCAGGACTTGGCATGGTTGCGACAGGCAGCATCACGCCACAGTATCATTACGGAACCACAGCAGACAAGATCGGAGAGGCCTGCGTCTGCTGGTACGCACGCTGGGGCTTCAACATCTTTGAGCTCGAGAGCTCGATGGAGCGCGAACGCGTCATCGAGATCGAGACCTGGATCAGCATGTGCCGGGAGGACCGCGACCTAGCACGACTGACGCTGCTGCGCGACCGTCTTCACACTGGTGATGTCGATCTCCTGCACACGTCCATGCTTCCTCGCGGTCGCATGCCGGATTCCGAAGAGCGCATGCCGTCGCCGCGACTACGCGTGTGGTCGTATCCATCGATGCCCAGCGCTTGGGTGCGCGCCGTTATTTCATCAGACGGCTTCTACGTGCCCTCGGAGCTGCACCGGTACGAGTTCGCCAAGAAAGTCGTCGAGTTTCGGCGCAAGCAGAAGGCTCTTATCACTGTCCTTGACCGTCTCATCGACGAGTGGATGCGCGAGGACGAGGAGGAGATTTTGCGGAAAGCCACAGCTGCACCTGACTCGAACAAGAAGACGGGTGCGGCTCCGAAGGCTTCGACCTCCAGCGCAGCGTCGTCGGACATCGGCGACGGCTTCGGCTTCAAAGCTTTCCGCCGCACCACCTCCTCCGTGGACGGAGACAGCGACATGGACCCTGCTAGCACGCCCCTGCAAGAAGCATGGGATGACGGTGTTGAATCGACTGCATTCTCGGCAACGCTCGATGAAGACGAAGCAGAGTACGAAGAGCTCTTCTCCTCCGGTATCTACTACTCGCACATGCCTTTTCAGGCGCTCAACAAGATCAGCGCAGACATCTCGCCGTCTACCGGGCGGTCGTATACCCCTCTCAGCGTCCTCCAAGCTGCCTTGTGGGTGAGCAACGAGCTCAAGACACACATCCTGTCAAGCCAGGATCCGCTTCAAAGGCGTGAAAGTTCAGCGACCCTGCACGATCCAGAGACGGCGAGTCAGGCTGCCTCAGCCGAGCAGGGAGACTCGTCGGATCCAGAGGCCGACGGTTCGGGCGAATTGGGTGTCTCGAGCTCCATCGTACACTTCCGCGACGCTTTTGAGTCGACCCTCCCGTCAGCTGGACGCTTCTCACGCAGCCGATCGGGGACGCCCGGCTACAAGGCGGACGATTCCGATGCTACGCTAAGCTTTGGATCGACGTCCGGGCTGGGAGGTCTCGCAGCTAGCCCGCTGATGCTCGGTACCTCCGGCGGCGGGAAAGCAGCTTTGCTGGATAAGAGGTTCTATCTTGTACCATCTGACGACACTGTCCGATTTGGCGACAGTCTGACTTCCGTGGTCGGATCGGTCGTCCCGTCCAGCTCAGCTGCATCACGCGCCACTGGCTCTGATGACGAACGCAGTCGCCCATCTGCCGCATTTGCAGATGACCCTCTGGGGCCCTCTGGCATCGCTGCCATCCAGATCCCACGCACGCTCCCCATCCCAGCCGTGATGCACCACGACCCATCTCACCCATCCACCCACCGCCGCGACCGATCTCACTTCTACGGCATCGCCAACGACGTTGCCACTGGTCGCGAACTCGGCTCTTACGCGTCCGACCTCCTTACTCAACCCCCCTCCCCCTCTTCCGCCCTCTTCGACCATCCCCCCACCCGCCGCTCGGTCGGCGGCGAGGACCCCGACTCCTTCGCCGAAACCTCCTCTCTCTCCTCCACCTCCTCCGACCCACCCGAGCGCTGGACCGGCTACGAACCGATGCGTGTCGGCGTCGAGTTTTTCGGCATCGACAAGCTGCACGAAAAGCAACGGCTCTACTCGCCGACGTTCTTCTACGCGGGCAGTGTGTGGAATCTGTACGTGCAGGTGGTGAAGAAGGTGAAGGGTGTGCAGTTGGGGGTGTATTTGCATCGGCAGAGTATGCGGGAGGATTTGCCGCTGAGCAGTGCGCCCGATGCAGAAGAGGTGATGGCGAGGGGGGATTCGACGCCGAGGGGTGGGAGTTTTTTCGATGCGTCGTTTGCTTCGCCCGTCTCCGGTGGGGGTGTGGGGAGCACGCTGACGTTGCCTCACGGTACCACCACCACGCGTCTAGCCACCGACCCGGACATCACAGAGCTCTACCCAGGAGGACCCACCGTTCGCCCGACATCAGCACCCGCGATCCCCTACCGCGACCCCCGCCCCCACCTCCGCGCCTACTTCTCCATCCACTGCCCCTCCCCCCTCGGCAATGCACTCACCAAATTCAGCTCCGGTCCGGACAAGTTTACGGTGAGCCAGAGCTGGGGTTGGAAATCCTCCTCGCTGCTAGGAACGGTTTGGTTGGATGGGGGTGAGTTGGACGGTGGGAAAGCGGGGTTGTGCTATCGATTTCGGTGCGTTTGCTCTATTGGACTGGTGTAGCGCCTTCACTGCTGGCTCGTGGGGTAAACATCTTTGCATTGATCGAGAAAAAGCATCTTGGATTCTGTTTGTGGTGTGTGTGGGATGGTACAGTGCGAGCGAGACATTGAGAATGGAGCACATTGGCCCGAGGTGCGGTGCAGCATCAAGAAGGGTATGGGTCTGGGGAAAGAAAGAGGGTGGAGTTTCTACACATCAAACACGTTGAGCACGTCGGCCTCGTTCCACGCCTCATCCTTGTCGTTGTCCGCGGCCTTCTTTCGGATCTTGAAGTACTCGCTTCCGTCCTCTCCGCCGTAGACCCATTCGGGGGCGTCTTTGGATTTGTGGAACCACTTGGGCTTGTGCGAGTCGCCGCTCTCCTCGAGCTTCTTGCGACGCGATCGTTGGGCTTCCTCGAGCTTCTTCTTGAGGTCTTCGGCCTTGTCCACTTCGCCTTCCTCAAAGGCCCGTTGATCGGGTCGCAAGCGCGAGTCGGTCGGCGGAAGAATGTCCTTGATGTCATCCGTGATCTCGTTGAGCGACATGGCGAAATGGGTGAAACCGTAGTAGTCTTCGGCATCGCGCGGCATCTCGTTAGCCTCCCACAGCATTTGGTAGTTGTCCTTGTCCTTCTGACGAGAGAAATTGTCCGACCACTTGCCCTTGAGAGAGGTAACATTCGAGTCATTAGCGTCGTATACTTTGCCTTCGACGCCGTTGCGCGAGCCGGAGCCGCCCCACATGGTGCCCTCCTTGAACTCGATCACGGCGCGTTGGCCGGACGACTCGTTGGTCACCGTGAGCTCGCCGACGTGCTCGAGGTACTTGTTGCCCGCCAGCAGGTTGCGCATGAACGAAGAGGGCTTGTTGATCGAAAAGACGTCGCCGTCGCCGAACTCGATTCGGATGGCACCCTCGGGGATGAGCTCGAGCGATTTGCCCCAGAACTTGTTCTTGACCGCAGACCAGCCTTGCGCCTTCCAACCTTTACCTTCGGCGTAGAACGCGACGATGGGCGGCTGGTGCACCACCTTCTCGGCGAGGAACTTGAGGTTCTTGTCCTCGCGCACGCACTCGAAGGTTTCACCGAGGAGCGGGTTGAACGGCTTGCGGCTGTTGCGCAGCTTGGTGCTCGCATAGCCCGAGACGGCAAAGGCGCCGACAAGGCTGATTCGGTCGACCCAATCCTCAGACTTGGCCGCTCGCGTGAGCAGGTCGCTGGCGTATTCGTACTCTTCCGCCGCCGCCTGCAGCAGGGAGAGCGGGCAGTTGAACGAGACGGGGAACGAAATGGTGGACAGATCCTTGCCGACGTTCTTCTTGAGCATGCTGAAGAGCGAGACTTCGTCGCCCGAGACCTTGGCGGGGAGCTGCTTGCGGTACTGCACAGACTTGCCGCCGCCACCGCCGACTTCCGAGATGGTGTTGGTGTCGTCCGTGTCGGCGGAGGACTCGTCCGCCTCGGAGTCGGAGCCGCCCTCGGCATCACTGCTCTCGGAGCGCGAGGTGTTGCCATCGTCGTTGCCGGCGCCGTCGTCGTCCATGAAGAGCTCCTCGCCGTGGCTGTCGGCGTCGTAGAAGACAGCCGAGTCGGTGCCTGTCGTAGCAAACGACGAGCCAGACATGCGCTTGCTACGGTTGGCGCCGCCAAAGATGTTGGAGATGCTAGAGTCGGCCGACATGGAACGCATGGTTCCGGAACTCTGATCGACACGCGGGATCTTGGACTCCATGGCAGATTTGAGCTCCTCGAACTCGACGACGAGGTTTTCGGCGGCAATGTGGAATGCAGCGATGTCGTCGTCGTCGCTGGACTTGGCGCCTACCGCATTGAGGACGGCACCGGTGTAATTGGTGGATTTGCCCTTGAGCGCAGCCGAGCGTTTCTCGAGGTCCTTGACCAGGGCGGCGCTCTGGTCGAGGTGAGTCCAAACCTGGCTGAGGTCGACCGCCTGCATGTCGTTGCCGTTGGAGACGTACAGCTTCTGCAAGCTGCCGGCGGCGCGGTCGGGGATGAAGGAGCGGAGGTGCTTGCGCCACGACTCAAAGTCTTGCGGCGAGAGGGCTTTCAGGTGGAAGACACTCGAGCCGGAATCGACGTGAATGGTGCCGTGACGCATGCTGGAGGTGACAGAGGCGTGGGGGATTTCGATGGCATCTCGAGTAGCCTTTTCGGGGCTGATTGCGTAGGTGAGGATGCCTTCGTTTGTAAGCACGAGGAAACGCTTTGCGTAGCCCTGCATCTTCTTGCGCTTCTTCTTGAGGATCCATCCCGAGTAGACGACCTCGAGCTCGTCGATCTTGCGGTTCTCAACGGGGAAGCCGCGGTGAGCGTTTTTGCCGCCCATGGTTGTTACCTTGGGAGATGGCACTCAAGCTTGTCAAAGCAGTGAGAGAGATGATAGACCGCTTGCTGCGCTCGTTCTCGGCGCTCCGTCTGGGCGTGTGACCGCACTAGATCTTTCGGTGGTAAAGCTGGAGGCGGGAGCGGACAGAGGCGCGGTGAAGGTGAAGAGTCAAGAAGATCGGCGTGATGAGCGAGGACAGAAACGCACGGTCCTGGCTGGGTCTGTCGCAGTGGCCAGGCGTGTGATGGTGAAGGAGGAGGGGAGATGTGTGTGTGACTCTGTAGAACAAAGGTGACAATATGAAGCACAGGATTGGGCTGCAAGAGGGGGCAGCTGCATCAAGTAGCAGCGGCAGCGATGCAAGTCGCAAACCCTCGCACAGTTGCGGTTCAGTATTCACGATCCGGGCTCCAGTTCCCGCCTACTTTGCCGTTCGGTTCATATTCTCACAACGCACGACGCTAAATCCAAACGAGGGCAGGCGTGGGGAAAAAGAACGGCTTCACCAGCCGAACGCTTCACACTCAGCAGCAGGCAGCGGCAGCAGCGGAGAAGGATCGACATTTGTGTGTGTGTGTGCGGGGCACAGTGACGAGGCTTCCTTCATTCCGTGATTCCGCGAGCCAGACGAGTTGCAAACCTCTGCCAAATTCCAGCCTCCTCGCCGTCTCCGCGGCTCCAGGAGGAGGCTTTTTCATTTGGGACGCAGTCATGTGGACCCGTCCGTTTGCTCACTCTGACCTTCTTCCCACGGTATCGAGTTCCGCTTTGCTGATGACGACAAACACACAACGTTCGCTAGCGGATGGTCGCGATGCTTCTACCGGCTAATACGAGTTTCCCCACATCCCGAACAAGCTTGTTAGCTCGGACTGGCTCGTCATGATCCGGTGCCTGACGTCAAGCTACCACATCGGTTGCGGGGGAGCATCATGCGGATAGCGGCAAGCGACTTGTTACAGGCGAATGGTGACGTTCTGACTGGGCCGAAGAGTGCTACGCTCGGGCCCGTTTTGGCTGTCCCCAGCCTCCACCTTTGCCTTTCACGCTCGCGGAAGGAAGCGCGGGTCAAAATGGATTTTCAACGACAGCAGCCGCAAGCGAAGAAGCAAAAGAGAGGTGTGTTCCAGACTCAGCTCGCAGCTTAAATTGGTTTCGGAGAGCCGTCGGGTTGCACGCGGTCCTGATATCGGGTGCCGATAGAGGACGTATCGAGCAGATTCCATGAGGTTGCTCCGTATCATGCCCATTCTAGTCGGTCGACACCAAGATGACTCGGCACGGTCCATCTGCTATCCTTCTGGTGCGTCGAAAGGGGAGCTGGGATCGATGCGTGTCGAACAGCCATCACCTGAACCTCTTCTGCGTCCGTCGTGAGGCCGCGCACCTTGAAGCTGCTCACCATCTCGGCGAGTCTGGCCGTATCTTCGGCAGGGATGACATCTCGAGGTGGCCTTGTCCAGGCGTCGTCACCGTGGATCTGACCGAGGCTCTGAATCCATTCTGCTGTGCTAGCAAGGCTCACCTGTACTTTCCAGCCGTCTTCGACTTCCTCGCTTGTGACCTTGTCCTGAGAACTACGTTCGAGAAGAGCCCGACACTTGCACGCCAGCGTAGCGAAGCACATGAGGCTTCCCGCTGCGTAGTCGAGCGCTTGCACTGGCAATGCTTTCGGCTCCACCTCTGCTCCGTACTTCTCCTGACCCTGGTGCTGATTGAAACTGACGCTTTCCAGGAAGTTCATCCCGCAAGCCGTCTGCGTGAGCGAGTCGTATGCCTTATGATTCCTCCACGGCCCCGTGAAGCCAAACGCGCACAGCTCCGCGTATACAATCCCAGGTCGGATCGTTTGGAGATTTTCGGCGCTGAGACCGCGCTGGGCAAGTCCTCCGGGGCGATAGGCTTGCGAGAATACATCTGCCTGTTCCAAAAGCCTCCTCAGCGGCTTGGGCAAAGTGGACAAAGGACTGCCGCTGAGAATGTCGATCAAGCCAGTGCGCTTGCCTCGCGCGGTATCGAGCTCTCGCAGTGGAAGGTTGGGCAGATAAGGACTGCTGAGGAGGAGCACGTCCGCACCGTGCGCTGCGAGCGTTCGAGTCGAGATGGGTCCTGCGATGACTCGGGACATGTCGACCACTTTCAGTCTGCCGCCTTCTTGGCTTTTCGCAGTCCTGGCCTTCGACGGACCGGTCGACCTGATGCGAGAGATGCGGAACGCACTTCCTTCATTCTCGTCCATCCACGTCTTGACGGCTGTTCCCATCCCGGACGCCTCCCACTCTTGTCTGCTGCGGTAGGCTGTCACGCACAGCCTCCGCTTTTGGGCCTTCTTCTCCAACTCGAATGCATTCCACTCCAGCAGCTCCCTCTGCACGTCCTCCCTCGACACTTGAGAGAACACTTCATCGTGGAGTCTCGGGTCGTTCCGATTTGCTGTGCCCGGGGCAAGTCCGAGCAGCTGCAGCACGCCCAGCTTGTGATGCGGAAAGTTGGTGTGGAGCCGGACCACCCCGGGGACGCTGCGGTTTGGGTCGGGTTGGGTGCGGTATAGACCGGCTAAGGCGTCCCAGTCTGCCACTGCATGCGCATCGATGTTGAGCAACTTTCGCCCATGATCACTGTCTGCCGGTATTGACCCGTCGAGAATCTTCTCCGCTGTCTCTTCGGCGCCCTGATGAAGACGCAACCAGCCGACGTATTCCGCGATAGCCTGCTGCGCATCCACCTCGACCCTCTCCAGTACCAGCCCTTCCAGCCCCTTTCCCGCTTGCAAAGAGCACCGTAGCCGTTCAGCAAGCGCAATGGCCGCGCAGCATCCCTGTGCTACCGCCGTCAGCTGGAAGGACGACCGCACCGCCTGGCCGCACTCAGCCGGATCGTTGGAGAGGACAAGGTTGCCTGCAGCCAGTGTAGTTTCGAGTACCGAAGAGGGCAGTCGAGCCTGCGACCAGAGCGCGCGCACTATCGAGAGCGATGAACTGGGACTGCCTGAGGCCATCTTGACAGCATTCGAGTGGAGGGAGGGTGACACGATGGTGCGTGGAGAGGAAGAAGAGACAGGGGTACATGTCGGGAAGGGAAAACGCTTTCCGCCGGTCGAGAAAATTCGCCGAGAAAACCGCCGACCACGTCCGAGATCATCAGTCGAACAGTGTGTATGCTAAAGCCGGGAAATGGCATACGATCGATTGCGAGCGGAGAGACTATTGTACAGATTGCGGGGGAACAAACTTGCGAAACGTGTGCGATATCAATTCGAGTGACGGACGAGGGACGAGGATAGATGGAGAGTATGTACCAGGATGAACTGAGATCGGTGCCGTCTCACCCTTACACCCGAGCACGAGAGCGCGTGCGAGAAGCGACGCCCTCCACCGCACGCTGTGGGCTCTCTACGTTGTGTGTGCTCGAAGCCGCGGTGCTGCTTCGTCCACGCGCAGCCGAAGCCTTTCGCTGGTTCGATGATGCTTTGCGAGCACCCTGTACGGGCGACGTTGCGGAAGAAGGCGGTTGACGAGATCGGATCTTCTTGCCTGAAGCCGAAACGGATTCTGCCATCGTTTCGTCGCCGTCGATCTGCTGCGAGGCGTCGTCTTCCGCATCGGCGAGCAGGCTAAGGCGGCCGCCCGTGCCGCGTTTGCGAGACGCAGTGGTGGTGGAGGTGGCGGTAGTGGTTGCGACAGGGCTCGAGGCAGCCGATGCGAGACGAGACGACGAGCGTGTCTTTGTGGGCACCGCGTCGACACTGTATGCCCGTTCAGGAAGAGCGGGAGCCACGGCTTTGGAGGCGAGGAAGTTGGCGTCCGGGACGCGATTCTCTTTGTTGGGTGTCGAAGGAGCTTCTTGGTGGACAGGACCTCGCGCCGGGCTCGCGAACGGGCTGACGCCAGCATCGACTACGTCGGAGCTGAACGAAGCCTGGTCCTGTGACGGCGGAGTGTCGGAACTCGGAGCCGGGTCCTCGTAGACAGTCCAATCGGCCAACGGCCTCGCCACCACACCCAGGAAGAGTCCCGACTTGATGAGCGTCAAGCTGTCGACGGGTTGCTTCGAGGTCAAATCTGTCAGATCGCCGAGTGCGGCCGCTGAAGTGCGTCGCTCAGAGAGAGAGTCGGATCGCAGACGCGTCTGGGCCAAGGCGAAGTCGGGAGCGATCTGCCCAGCACCAGCAAAGTAGTCCGTCATCTTGCGTGGACTCGGGCTGGCCATGGGACCAGCGCCAGCTTCCTCGTGCGCGATGGCGATTTCGGTGGGCGAGACTCGATGCTTCTTCTTTGGCAAGCTTTGTAGGAGGGGATTCGACACTGAGCGAGATGGTCCTTCTGCTGGAGTGATATCATCAGAGCCGACATGCCGGGGTCGATGCAGGCTCTCAGAACGCGCGACCATGGGCGAGAGTGCCTCCGTCCTGGACCGGGAGGGCGTCATGAGTGCTTCTGTGGGCTGCGACTGGCGAGATGCGAGACGTCGAGGCTCGGACATCCTCTGCGTCGATGGACTCGGCTCGACGCGGTGAGCTGGCTTTGGTCCAGAAGTGTGAGGCGGGCGATGCTGCCTGAGGTTGAGGGGAGTAGTGCTGGCGCCTTTGGGAGTGGATGGTCTGCTTGTCGAGTGGTGGGACAGGTTCTTGACGTTGTGCGGTGAGAAGCGCGATGTTGCGGAAGCAGAGCGCGACAGGGCTGGACTTGCCTCGAGAGCGTCGTCTAGACCAGCTTGCTTGGAGGGACCATCGCCAAAGAGTCGTCGAGGCAGAACCGACATATCGGCATCGGTCATGTTCTCGTTCTGATCGGTCGAAAGGTGTGGAGAGGATTGCGAAACGACGGAGCCTTCTCGAACAAGACGATGATTCTGCAGCACAGCTTGTTTGTGGGGAGAGACGGAGATAGAATTCCTTCGGCTGGTCGACGCGGAAGGCGAACGCGAACGAGAGCGGGAGGGTGTCTTGAGGTGATGGTCGGGTGAAGGATTCGGAGAGCAGGCCAAGGATTGCGTGACGAACTGATGAAGCGGCAGCTCTGAGAGCGGAGCCCTTGAGCTATTTAAGGTCTGCATTGGTGAAGCTATGACTTGACTTGACTGGCAAATACTGCGATTGTGTGAGGAGGGATGACCGATCGAAAGACTAAGGGGCTCAGTGTGCCTTAAGAGGTCTGTGCTGGCGTGCTGATAAGGATCGGACAAAGTAAAGGGTACTGCTTGTGCTGCTCGTCAGGCGTAAACGAGGTGAGGCACGCGGAATTGGTGGGACCGCTGTCGGTCTGTGCGGGAAGTCGCGTCACGCGTGTCAGAGATGGGTGGCCCCGCAGAGAATAACAATCGAGGCTCGAATGGATGCAAAGAAGGGATTGTGCAGGGTGATGCAGGTCGGAAGCGTGAAGAAAGGAACGGATGATGGTGGATGGAAAGGAAGAAGCGGGATGAAGGTGATGAAAGGGGAAGTGGGGTCTGGCAATCTCAGCTGCACTTGGCTGCACGATTAGGTTTCGGGCTGAGTCTCTCGAAAAAAGAGAAATGCGGTGCTGCGTTGCGTTCCTTTTTTAGTGTTGGTCTCCTCGTGTCAGCGAGTGGGAAATCGGCTGACTGAGATGGCGCCGCTGTTGAGATGGCAGACCTTAAAGCAGCATGTCCCGTCGACTTGGCAAAGCGCCGATCCTCAAGAGTGATATCGTAGAGTCGGCGCAATTAGTCAACTTAGTCGATCCCGTCAAAGCTTTGCGGCTGGGCGCTGTTTGGAGCAACGGCTGAAGACTCCGACCCAGTTGCCCAAATCGAGATGGTTGTCATCATTTTGTTCCTGCGCGTCAAGCTCTAGCTCGGTCGTTACACTTAGGAGCGAAGGATGCTCCCACGGTCCATGTTACGAAGATATAGTCGTCCAACAAAGCATCGAAGTCTTGTAGAGAGTCAGACTACGTGACAGCTACCTTCTTGTTCAGGTCCAGATGTTCACCTTGCCCGCCAATCAACCGCAGATGCCGTCGATACGGGACAAGGACAGGCCTGGATGAAGCTGCAGTCTAGCAGTCAGCGATCCTCCCATCATCAGCACAGCCTTCGAGCTTTGTCATGACGTACACTGATCCATATGCCAAGGAAGATCGTCTCTTGCGATCCATGCGACACGAAAAGGGCAAAGACCTTGGCAGGTCGTCTCGAAATGGATTGCCAAAAAGAGACTTGGTGTTGCTCTCTGGGCTCTCTGCCTTTCAGGACCGTGTCCGAGCGTGCAGCGTCACGTGGATTTTTGCGCGGGCTCATCTATGTGAGATCGTTTTGGCAGCACACTCCTAATCAAACAAATGGTCCGCCGACTGAGACGTGTGGGGTTTGGTGGCGTGAGGCTTGGGTTCTGCTGCAACGTTTGCTTCGTGGTTGGCGGTTTCGAACTCGCATCCATGTGTTCGGCGCTGCGCCCAATCCTGCAGAAGCGAGATCATCTTGGCCTCTCTCCATGTTTGAGATCTTGTTGTTGACCTGGGCTCGTCGTCGATTTCAGACATTGTCCGACGTTGCTCTTCAGCGCAGAAGACGTGACTGTGAGCACTTTTGACAGCCTTACATCTGCCATCCAAACCGACGATGTTGCAAAGAATGATTCGGCAGAGCAGGTGAGTGAGCCTGCTCGGGATCAGCGGATGGGTGCTGAGCAGCCTGAACCTAAAATCCAGGTGATTGCGGAGCCGTCTGATTGATTCACGTTCCGCCATTCGAGGTGACGACAGAAGTGCATTTCCAAGCAGCAGCAGCCGCCTCGCCCAATCCGCGCCCAATCCGCTCTGGGAGATTTTCGTTTGGCCGCTGCAGCGTCACGGCCCAGTTTGAACGTGAGAGAGCCGTCTGGCTGCAAAGGTGGAGAAAAGGCGAATTTGGAGTGCATCATCTGCAGCGCTTAGCCGAATCCCTCTCGTCATTTCACACTTTGGTTTCTACTTGAAGCTTTGTGCGGGTGCCTGAGCGCAGCTACTCTAAGCCTGGACTTTCTTCTTCGTGACTGTGGAGAAGGCAGCCGTGCGTGCGTGATACGGGCCAATCAGTGCATATCCACAATCTGGGGATTCACAATCAGCCTGTCCCTTCTCGAGCTGAGCGGATGGTTTTCAAAGAGTCCATTCGTGTCGCACCTTCATCTTCTACCTTGACCACCATCTCCATAGATTCGACCGTCCGAGAGAATCTGTCTGCAGAAACTCACTTCCACGACCGAGGCCCAACCCATCCACAACTGGTCATCAAGCAGCTCCGCTACAGCAATAACGATCTCCTTGTCACGAGAATCGATCCGATAGAAACTTGCGAAACAAGGGCCCACTGAAAGCTGCCCATCTACGCATCCACGCACAGCCATGTCGGACAAGTTTCGCCTTCACCCCGAGCCGGGAACAGAGCGCACGGCTATCTTCAACCCCATTCGTGCCGTCTACAAGACGGTCCGAGATGGAGGCTTCGGTTCGGCTCTGCTCATTCCGCACATTGTCCTCCCCATCTACGGTATCTACGTGATCTCCCACCGATCTAGCTACTGGTCTCCCGAATACGAAAAGGGCCTTGCCTTTGCCATCGCCTTAATCCAAGGCGTCTCCTTTGGCACTGCCATCGCGCTTTCGCTCGTCCGCTACAGCCCCGCAGGCAAAGCCATCAAGGGTCGACGCATCGAAAAGACGGCCACCCGCGAAGAGGCCTCGAAACAGTACCGTCTCGAGGTCACGCTCCGTCTCGCCGCGTACCTCTTCCTTGGTACCATCCTGTGGGAGTATCTCGTTCACTCCAAGTACTCGCCCGTAGCCAGTAAAGAGGCGCGCCAGACCACCTCTGGCTTCCTGACCGCGACCGGCGCGCTGCGCAGATTCTTGAACGAAGAGAGCCTCATGCATGAGGCTGGCGAGGGGCGCGCGGGTGTCGCAGGCGTGGGCCTCAACTTTGACGTCAAGGAAAACATCAAGAACCTTCGTGACGCTATCGAAAAGGGTCCCCGCATCAGGGTGCCCATCCCTGCACCTAAGAAGAGCATCTTCTTCGAGAAGATCGAGGAGACCCGCGAGAGGCTCCTTAACGGACGCGACCCCGGTCTCGACATTAAGTGGAACTTTTGGAAGTGAAGCGGCGAGCGTTTGCGGTTCTGCTTCGAGTCTCTCGCGACACCTATCGGGAACCCGAGCTAGCTCGCCTCGAGCTTCCGCCTGCCGACATCTCAAGCATACCCCCCAATCATATCGGAACCCCTCGGAATGCGATACCCACCCTTATCAATCACGTCCTCTCTCGGAGCGCAACATGCTCCACCACCTCGCGGCAAAACGCTGCGACGCAACGCTCAATCTAATACTCGAATCGGCATGTATGTAAAGTCATGGAATATATCATCGACAAGCCTGATCCAATCTGTGCGGTCATCAGCTGTTGAACAGTCTAGAATGGAGCTGGTCGTGACGAGCCTGGACGATTTCGCCCAGCGGGAACGTGGTTGCTGGCGCAGAAGGATGCGTCCAGAATCCCTTCTCGCTGTCTGACGCTTTCTTGTGGATGTGTGTGCTGAGAACGTCTTGCTCCTCCGGCCAGTCCCACGCCCAACCCTGGTTCGGATCGTCGTCGTCCACGGGGATGAGTTGACCCTTTCGGGCCCGAATGGCCTGTATCCTTGGTCGTAAGGCGCTTGTTGAGGACTGCATCGTTGGTGTGGTGCGAAAGGGCTTCCCTTTAGTTCTTGATAACGTCGTCGCTGTGGTGCATATCGGGCTGCTCGAGGCTTCACCTATGCTATAGGGCTCGATTACAGTTGGTTCCCGCTTGTTATCGTCATTGTCGATCTGCATTTCGTCCTCTTTCACTTTCGCATCTTGTCCGACTTTTCTCTTGTCCGACTTCTCTGTCGTCTCCGCCGCACCAACATCCAAACACCCCTCCCGCTCCATCTCGCGCATCACGCCCTCCACGACACCTCGCATCTGAAAGCGCATCACCTGATGGGCCAGATACGGTCCTAGCGTATTCAACCTGATCGAGCTGCTGAACAGGCTTCTGGCTTGCAAGAACAAATGCAGATACACCGCCTTCTTGAGGCCTATCCCCAGACACGCGGCGAAGACGGCCCAGCATATCGGCAGATGACCATGAACCTGACGCGTCGAGCGACGAATGTCCAGTTTGAACTTGTCTACTAGTCGAGCTGCTGCTTCGAACTTCGCCTCGTCCGCCGGGTGCTGGAGGGATGAAGGGGAACCAGAGAAGGGTTGGCGATCGAGCCCGATAGGCCGCGCAAAGGCCTTGCTGTACAATGTGAGCAGCGCGATTCCTTGAGCTTTTGATGCTCGCCGTGCGACATGGTTGAGTAGCAGACTGTGGTATCCGTCGTCGAGACTTGCTATTGCCTCCAGACACTCGGCCATCTGCGCCTCTTTCTCTACGCCCGCACGACCCAGGTACGATTGGACGAGAGTGTGCACCCGCGCAAGGAACGGAAAGCTCGAACGGGCATAGCTGTGCAGTGTCGACTGAGCAAAGCTGAGCGTGGCCGAGGAGAGTTGTGCTTGCGAAGGCGCTACGTTCCGAGATGCGGGGATAGACGAGCGGGTGAGCGAGGGGGTTGGGCGGGAGTTGTGCAGAAGGCCGTGCGCGTGGAAGGATTCCAAACCCGAGGACGCTACGAAGCCGCCCGTGGGGAGGTTTGAGTCGGAGAGCAGAAGAAGGAGGTACGTCTCGAGATCGTCGTCCGGGCTGCTCGAGGATGAGGCCTCAGTGGTCGACTGCATCGCCTCGGATGTGGTGGTGATGAGAAGATGTGAGGAGGAGGTTGGACCCTGAACCCGATCCAGACCGATAAGGTTGCCCTCGTCGCGTCTTTTCCGTGATACCTTTTTCTTCTCGACTTTCCTTCAGATGTCACAACGCCTCTCGCTACGCCTGTCAGCATGAATTAGCCGAAAAGTATAGCCGGCGGACCAGCCGTCCGGCTTCGTCCTCCCACTCTCCTTCTACCTCGCCTCCCTCTGCTCTTCCATCACTCTCAACATGACCTCGACAGCACGCACACCAGCCGCTCGGCTACGAGAGCTCCTCGCAGGTCCCTCTATTGTCACCGCCCCCGGTGTGTTTGATGGCATCTCGGCGCGACTGGCGCTCAAAGCGGGTCATGTCGCGCTCTATCAAACTGGCGCAGGCACATCTGCATCACGTCTCGCTCGAGCCGACTTGGGCTTCTTGGGCATGTCAGACATGGTTTCCGCTGCTGGCGTGTCCATCACTGCGGATCCGACGCTCATGACGCCCGTCATTGCCGATGCGGATACGGGCTTCGGCGCCGCCCCTCAAGTCGTGAGTTCCCTCGCCCACCCACCACCTCCTCGTTTCCACGGAACAGTGCTGACAGAGCTTCGTTGGACTATCACAGGCACGGACGGTCACAGAGTACCATCGGGCAGGAATAGCCGCACTGCACGTCGAAGACCAGGTGCAGGCCAAACGATGCGGTCATTTGGATTCGAAACAGATTGTCTCTCGCGCTGACTTTATCGCTCGAGTCACCGCGGCGGTCAACGCACGTAACGCCCTCCCCTGCCCTCCGCAGGATCGGATCCTGATCATCGCCCGAACCGACGCACTTGCCGTGCTGGGCCTGGACGAGGCGATCGAGCGACTGCGACTCGCACACGCCGCAGGAGCAGAGATGGGCTTCTTGGAAGGCATGCGCTCGAATGAAGAGGTGGAGCAGGCGATGAAGGAGTTACAGGGTTTGCCGATGCTAGCCAACTGTGTCACGGGCGGGAAGAGTCCGTTGTGGACAGCAAAGGAGGCGGAAGCGTTGGGGTTCAAGCTGGCCATCTTTCCGTGTGCTGGGATGTTCCCTGCTGCCAAAGCGTTGTTGGCGAGCTACAGCCATTTGATGGACAAGGGCATCGGGATCGAGGCGGAAAGGGGAGAGGGGAGGATGGTCGATTTGGGCGGAGCGGATCCGATGGGGCTGAGGAACTTCTTCGCTGATATGGGGTTGGAGCATGAGGTGGGGGTGGATAGGGCTGCCGCGAATGGGGCTGGGTTGGGCGACGTTTAGTGAGATGTCAGTGGGAGGGATGATCACGGAGCAGGCGAGAAGAATACGAGGAAGTTGCGCGATTGGACCCATCGTTCGTTGGTATACAGGGTCATGCGAACGCGTTCTATCATAAAAGTCGTGAATGTCATGTGCTGGCTAGGCACGAGTCTTTGGCGGTGCTTTGGAAGCGCGCAATCCGACAACATCGCAGTAGATGGCGACTAGGAAGAGCACTGTAGCGACGACAGAGCATGCAATAGCGCCGTTGTACAGGTTACACCAGCCACTGCCTGTTCCAGCGGGGCACTTCTTGCCCACTACGAGGGCCATCACGGCTGCCGTGCCCCACAGCAGACACAGCACGACGTCCCAGCCGCAATCCCATTTGAGGCTTTTGCGTGCTACGTGCCAGCGGGCTTGCATCTTCATGGTGGCCAGAGCGTCCGACTGGCGTCGCTTCTTTGCTCGACGTTTCTTGCGTCGACGCGCATCTCCTGGAAGCGTCTCGGCATCAGAGTCGCTCTCGGTATCAGTGTCGTCGGTGCGCTTTCCGAGGAGAGTCGAATCGACAATGATGTTAACCGAAGGGCCGGGGTGCATCTTGTTCTTCTTGCCTGCTTTGCCTCCGCCATTTCCAGAAGTCATGACTGGGATGACCATACCATTTTGAGCACCAACACCCATTGCTCCAGCGCCAGCCGGATCGCGTCCGGAGCAACAGCATGGCTTGAACGCGAAGAGCCACAGGCACACAAGCGTCGAGATAACCGAAACGCCGTACAGCACGAAGGAGGGAAAAGTACCAGATGGGGGCGCTTTGTCGGCTGGTCGGATAAGGATGAAGCCGCCGATGCCCATCCCTGCTGCTCCTAGCGAGACGAGACACTGCAACCATCGCGTGGCGATACGGAGCTTGTGACGTGGAAGAACGAGTCGCCCTTTTGCGTTGACACCGCCTATTGGCACCTCCTCCGGCTCTTCTTCCTCGTCGTCCGCGCTTCCGTCGCCTCTGCCCTTGCGCGACACTTTGGGTCCGAACTGTTTCTCCAACATGCGGATGCGTTCTTCCTTGACTTGATCGTTCGTAGGTGTGCGATCGTATGGGTAGGGTCCATAGGGGCTGGGCGGTGACTGAGGGCCGTAGCGACCATTGCTGAACGACTCGCTCTCCCACCCGCTCTGGCCAGAGCCTGGCGGCACCATGGTGTACGCATGACCATCAGCCGAGAGGTGGCCGCCGTACCATGCGTGAGACCAACTCGGAAAGCCTGGTAGAGAGTCACCGATACGTCCACCGTGTTGGGCGTCTTGCGGGTGTGCAGAAGTCCCAGGCAGGTGGTGTGCTGCGTTGACGTTGAAGATGTTGGGCGGCTCTGAAGCTGGCGGGCTGACCGAAGGATGCGTGGGCGCTGTCGAGTAGGCGGGAAGGCTGTGACGCGACCGCCCGCCTAAAGTCTGTCTCGAGGCTATCGACGGCGCTCCGTAGCTCGGTGCATTGTAGCCTTCATACATGGGCTCATATGCTCCTGAGGCGGGTGGTGCCACGTAGAAGCCGCCGTCGTAGTGTGTCGGGTCAAGACTGCCCGGCATGATGGGCATCGAGACGTATCGACCGACGTACTGAAGCTGGTCCGCGTAGAAGTCGTACCGGGCAGGAGCCTCGGAAGGAGCAGCGTGCGGTCCCCACCTTTGCTCCTGCGCAGCCTGGTTGGCAGCAGCGATCTCTCCCAGATCGCGCTCTTCATACTCGTCCGATTCACCCTGAGCGTGGCATGGTGGCATAGACAGAGGGCTGAGAGGCTGCTTGCCGTAGGATGACCGAGAGCTGCCAGCCTGAGACGAAGGTCGACAACTTTCGAAGCTGGCCTGTCGTGGATGCTGCTGCTTTTGATGGTGTGGAGACGAAGGTGAGACCGGAGGATAGGATGGGTAGCAGCTGCCGGCCGCTTGGTCCGCCAGATGTGCTTGCGAGAGCATTGTGGCTGCAAGCGAGGCCTGGCAGCCTCAACTGCTATATGTGCCCTATGCCCACGAGGGTCACCGATGCCTTGTGGGCGAGCTAGACGGACAGGAGGCTAGTTCTTCATCAGTATGTTGCGAGCCTTCCTGATGGTGGTCAGCAGACGAGCCAAGCCTGAAACCTGACGCAGGTGTGCGACGTCGTTATGATGAGCGAAGCTGAAAGACGATGCGGAAGGTCATAAGGTCAGCGGAAGGTCATAAGGTCAGGGAACGTGCCTGGACTGAGGGTGATGCTGTGTCAGGTATGGTAGCCAGGAGCAAGGCTGCGGAGCGGACATACCGAAGAAGGGAAACAGGGTTCAGTCGGGGCTCGTCCGTTGCCCCCACATAAGCCCTGAGCAGGTGAAGCGGCAGGGACCCGGCTTGATGCAAGGTCGTTCTCACGCCACGCTGATGCTTATGCTTGGACCGCTTGATGATCCATTGTCACGTAGAGAGGCGGCCTTGGCGTAGATGAGCGCTGCACCGACTGCAAGATGGGTAAAGCTCAGAGCTGGACCTCAGCCGCTCCCATATTCGACTTCGGCGGCCCCAGTGGTGCATACAAAGGAAGCAGCCGAGCACGATGAAAAGATGAACAATCAGCCCCTGAGTCTTCCTGCCATGCCTTCGTCTGCCAGGTTGACAAGTGTTGGTCTCTCAACGCAGCCAAGATGTCACCTCGCTTGGCTTTTCTCCGCTGCAAGGACCCCTGTCTGGCTGTGGCCTCTTCAATTTTTCGAGAAATGAAATTTCAGAGAGTGCTTCTGCTGCCCCAATTTTCATTGCGCCTCCTGTGCTAACGCCGACTCAGGGGCTGCTCGCCCAAATAAGGTGTGCAGGTTCTCGGCTCTGCTTCCATCTATTGCAGACAGTGACAGACGCCAAGACGTCGTATCCACAGAAATGAGTAGCCTGCTCCACAGTCGTCGATGGCCGACAAATGCTAGATCCTGAGGCGGAATCGCGGGCTGGCCATCCTTTCCACAGGACCACGGCTGATCTGGCTTGGGTGACGAAGCTGTGAGATTCGTGTGCTCTGCAGATCTCTCCGACCGGCCTGAACATGCGATCGGATCGTGTCCGTGGCTGGTCGCAACTGCTCAGTCAATGCAACGATTCCTCTGGGCGGTAGACCGCCGACGTCGAATTCCGCTGTTCGCTGGCTCGTATCCTTTGCCTGTCCTGTTCCTTGAGAGTGCGCGGATCCTTCCGAGAAGCCGATGGTGAGCATAGTGTCAACGGGGCGCTCTGTCACCGTCGGCAGATGGCTCATTTGCTGCAAGACTTGTGCTTCGGCAGCTCGTGGCGAGTCGCGCTAGCGTTTTGCGGCTTCCTTGCGGAGGTTCTCGACGATCGCCTGTGGTGTCGAACATGGGAAGAAGGAAGATCTGAGCATCAGTCAAGCCGCCACTTACCTTCGCATCCTCCACCGGCACAGGAGCACTTACAGCAACAGCTTCAGCATTGACGCCACTTTCGATCAGCTCTACGCAGGCGCGCAGTTGTTCTCGTGAGAGACCGGTGTTGAGCAGTTGCGAAAGGTCATGGAGGACTGGCGCCGATAAGGTGAGCAATCGAACTGTCAGTCGATTGTGATCGTATATGCTTGCTCACGATGAGCACTTACTATCCATGGTTTCCTGACTCGCGACGTTGCGTTGATCCTCCATGTCGAATGAATGGCAGAGTTGTAGCAGCGATGATGGATGGTGGTGATCAAGAAGTGAGACAGACAGCCGTGCGCATTCTGAAAAGTGTTGGTCTTTTGGCCTCGTTTACGCGTCAGCCTCACGCGTGCCCTTCTCCGTCAGCCAAATTTTGACTTTGGCCGCCAAGCCTCTCTTCGGAAAAGTCACAGACGGTGATTTTGTGGAGATTCGGGCTGAGTTCATTCGTTGAAGCCCATCATCGACGAGGCGAGAGCTGCTTCCTCCTCTGTCACAGCATCTTTCTTACCAACACACACTTTCAGCGATCGCGGTTGCCACCCGAACCTCGTATCAGAGTGCAGGACGGGAATGCTAGCGCTCCCAGCAGCTCGCAACAGCAATCATGCCAGCCGCCACCGAGGCGCGTGTCAATGATGCGCTCGGCGCTCTGCTCCGCAAGGTGGTCGGCTCCAACGATGCTGGCAGTTCTTCAGCAGAGTACAGGTCGAGCAACGGCCATGTCAACGGCGACTCCTCTGCCGCACTCGTAGCAGCCTCTCAGTTCCTCGCAGACGGTCTCCACCGAGGCGCAGCGAAGTTGAACGGGCAAAACATCGTCCGAGACGGATCTCACAGCGAAGAAGAGATTGCGCATGCTCTCAATCGCCTTCTCATATCGGGCGTCATCACACCACTCATCGATGCACCTTCGTCCAGCCGGAGTCATGCCGAGGCCCACAATGCGGGAGCTGGCATCGGGATCCGTCAAGCCCTCGACACCTTGTCCCGCACGTTGAGCGCATCGCCCAAGTACCTCGAGCACCTCTTCGAATCCAACGACCGTGCTTGTGCCACGGCGTCGACAAGCGCCGTGACCCTCGACATGACCAACACCACTTTCGACGTCTGGGCCACTCCTCGTCTACTTTGTGCAGCTGCCTCGATGCTGTCCGCCAGCCGCTCTTCCAGAGCCACAAGAGAACCTGAATACGCACAGCACTCCAAGGATCTCTCTCACCAACTCCTCGATCACCTGCAAAAGCTTCTCTCCGTATCCGCCGAGACGGTCGGTCAGGTCGATAATGTCCGCTACATTCTCGCCGAATGCTTGCGCGCTTCCGTACACGCGCTTGCACAGACAGGTCAGACCTCCTTCAGCGCCAATGCACGCCTCCCGGACTTTGTCGTTCCGAATCCAGACCACTCAGTATCGCTTCCGAGCATCCCGCACGATGCGTCTCAGGTCATCTCCTTCTATCGCTCTCCGCTTTCTGATCCCTCCTTCCGCCTCACTTCGCGCAAAGACCGTCCTAAACCCGCTGGGAGCGGTTTTGCCGCCCTTTCGTCATTACAACGGGACGCCGCGCTCACTTTCTCACTAGGCGCCAAGACTGCGGGAACGGAAGATGCGGACAGGAAAGGCATCATCGCCGATCGCGCCAGTGGGCTCTTCCTCACATCGATCGACCTGTGTCTCAGGCTCGCCCAAGAGTTTCCAACCTACTTTATCGACGTCGCAGACTATGCCGTGCTTCTATTCGTCGAGCACCTGCAGCACAGATGGACGTGTGCCAAGCAAAGGCAACCGAAGCCAGCTCTGCACACACCTCTCGCTCCTGACGCTTACAAGATCGTCAGCAGCCATGCTGCATTTCTCGCTGAATCCTACCCAAGCAGCCTCGTGAGGGTAATGCAGGTAGCTGCAGAGCACATGTCGTCTCTCGCCGACATCCTCGATCACGTTGACGTCGATGATGGCGAGCACCTTCATGTGGCGCATGCTTTGATCTCCATCGGATCTTGCTTCAGCGCATATGCTCTTCAAGTGCCGGACTCAAGACAAGAAGAGCTCGCAGCCGTCCTGGAACCTTATCAAAATCTCCTCACGGGTCAGCTGCGACTCAGAGGCCCATCGATCGCCGATTCGCCGGACTTGATACAGCGATCTGCTGTCGTGTGCTTCGTGTCGACGCTGGCGTCTCTGGTCGTCGCAAGCGGACGTCGTTTCGAGGCGCCATTCTTGGCTGATCTCCATTCGCAGATGGCCTCATTGCTGGAGGACGTTGCCCAGAAACCGCAAGAATTTGCTCGCTTGCAGGGCACGACCGCACTCGACGATCTTCGGCAGCTGCATAGCCTGTTGCGAGACCGCATGGATGCCCGCGCTCGGGCACAAGCAGGAACGGATCAGGTTCGAGCTCGCATCGACAACTTCAAGAGACGAAGGCTCGACCATTCCGACAACTTGGCTAAGACCATGAACGTGATCGATGCCTTGCTTCCGCTCGATGCTACTACCACAGAATCATCTGAGCAGTCGCACGAGATCTCGCGGAGACGTCTCATCTCGCGAACGTGTCTTCACACAGTCCTTAAGGGCGAGGCGATGGATGTACATGCGTCCCAAGCCACATGCATCTGCGAGCGTCACCCCAGAGGGGAAATAGCAGAGCTGGAGACCGCCCTTGCCAATGCCGAGCAACACGAGCCGGATCCTTCTGCCGTTGCTGCACTGTGGAAAGACGTCCACAACGCTGTCAAGACATCACGCCTCTTGTCATCCCGCATCATCGATATGTTGCGCCGCTGCGTTGCCCATTCTTCAGTCTCAAAGCCACTCCCGTTCAATGGCGACAAGAACGTCTTCAATATCATTGCGCATTCTCTGCGCTCGAAAGCTCGCAGCTGTCGTCTCGCTGCCAATGAGCTAGCAGTTGCTTACCAGAAACGCCTGCTGCTGCAGCGGGACACCAGCATCGAAGAGGAATGGATCGTCCGCTTCCTTCATATCCCTAGAATCTACGAAGACCTTCTCGCCGATGTCAGCCAATCTTCCTGCCACGAGACCGCCCTTGTTGGGCTCGGCCAGCTCTTCGAGATGCCCGTCGAAAGCTGTCAGGAGATCTGCTTGCTGACGCTCATCCTGCACCTGGGCCACGCAAATCCATTCATCAAGGCATGCGCTTACACGCAAATCGTGCAGATCGCCGCTGCACATCGGTGCACGACGTTCCAGTTGGTGCAAAAGCACTTCGAAAGGGTCTCGACATCCATCGTCGAGCGCTTCATCTCGATGCCAGATCTATGGACGAGCTTCTTGAGCCTGATCAAGATGAACCAAGCCACCTTCTTCAATCTGACGAAAGAGTACACGCTGCCCCACCTCATCACGATGATCTGCTCTGGAGACAGTACGGCCGAGATCGGAACCAAGATGATCGAGCTGATCGCTCGCGCCCTCGGCACGGATGTTCCTCGACTCTGTCACGACAACATCACGCCCATCTTTCGGTCATTCTTCATGCGCTCCGCATCATTGCGAGACCTAGGCCTCTCCACCCTGGTGCAGCTGATCGGTGTCGATGCAGCAAGTCTCAAGGTGCTTTTGCGCAGTCGTCAGTCGGACGTCGTCGGATATCTTGTTGTCAAGCTCGGCAATCGTGCGGCCCGCAAGGAAGCCTACGCAGGTCTCGAGTTCATCATCGAGACGATCAACGGAACGTCTGCGGCGGCCAGGACAAGAGACCCAGAGCTGCTCAAATCTAAAGTCGCTGGCTTTCTCAAAGGCGAGATTCTCGCTATCCTCACCTGGATCAATCAAGAGCTATCAGGAGAGCATGGTAGGAGGACGGCCACCGATCTCGCGTTCGCATTGCATAGCATTGGTGCCCTCGTCGAGATCATTGGTCCGCCCATCAGCGCAGTCACACCACAGATCATGGCTACGCTCAACAGTCACCTTCAGCCCGACTCGGTCAGCCTCGCCACGCTGGAAAGCTGGAAGATCTTTATCACAACACTGCGCTTCGACGACATTGGTCCCTTTGTGGGGCAAACCGCTGCAGCTTTGCTGTCGGCTTGGGACCGTTTCAACCCTGAACGGAAGAGGATAGCCATTTCCATCCTTCACTACCTCATTCTCGAGAACGCGGCGTATCTCAAGAACTTCATCGACGACATTCCGAGTCTGGACCGTCTCGACGCTGAGATCCCCGAAATCTGCCGCGGCTTGCGCGGTGTCAGGGAGACGTGGAACAACGATCGACGATTCCGAAACATCCTGGATCGGTCATCGCACGAGAACACCTCCATCTGCAACGAGTCACTGCGAGAGCTGCAGACCTTCCTCACCGAGGAGCGCGTCTACATCGAAGCGCTCACATCCGGTGACTCGTTCAGTCCGCTCGTCGGACAGTGCATTCGAACATTGATGCATGTTGCTGCGCGTAGCGATGTGCAGGATACCGACATCCGGGACTTGTGCTTCCGCTGCTTCGGGCTGATCGGCGCCGTCGATCCAGACCGTATCGAGCATGCCGTTGAAGAACCTGTCAAGATCGTCCTGGACAATTTCGAAAATCAAGAAGAAGCGATTGACTTTTCGATTCACCTCATTCGCGATCTACTGGTTCCCGCCTTCCGAGCTGCTACGGACACGACGCAGCAGAACGGCCTGGCCTACGCCATCCAAGAGCTTCTCAAGGTGGCTGGCTTTAACAGCGCCATCCTCACCACAGGCTCGAATGCACGTACGGTGGGCATCAAGACGCGACAACGCCTTGCCGACTTGCCGCAAGACGTGGTCGACACGATCACTCCGCTGCTCGACTCGAGATACGGCGCGCAGGTGGGAAAGCCCAGCATGCGCGAAACTCCGATCTACACGCATTCGCGCTCGTACGGCGACTGGCTGCAGAGCTGGACGAGTCGACTCATCACCAAGACGGTGGAGCGATGCGACTCTTCTGCGGCTGCTGCCCTCGCCGGAGGCGGCGCGAACAAGAGCGCCGCTGGCGTTGCCTCGACCATCTTTGCTGTATTCCGAGTCGCCATCCGGTCGCATGACGTGGGCATCGCACGGCATCTGCTTCCCCATCTCGTACTGCACACCATCATTTCGGGCGACGACATCGACCGAGAGGCTTGTGTCGACGAAATTCAGACTGTCCTCCGTGACCAGGTCGAGAGTGAGACCAAGTACGAGGCCGAGCGGAAGCTCTTGACCGCACAGACGCTGTTCACCATCATGGATCACGTCGGAATATGGATGCGACGCAAGCGTCAAGAGCTTGCGCGTACTTCTCGTCGACCCAGGCTCGCTACAGGCGGTGGCGAGGAAACGCTTGCTGTCGTTGAGTCGATCATGCATCGCATCTCCCAGGAGCTTCTGGCCCAGGCATCGCTGCAGTGCAACGCATACTCACGCGCGCTCCTCAACTTCGAGTTGCGTGTCCGAGCGATGCGGTCCGAAGGCAAAGACGACCACGACCTGCAAGGCTACTACGAGAACATGCACAGGATCTACGCTCACCTGGATGAGCCCGACGGGATGGAGGGCATCTCGACGAGGGTCATCTCGCCTTCCCTCGAACACCAGATTCGTGAACACGAAAGCACGGGTCGATGGACGTCGGCACAAAGCTGTTGGGAAGTGGAGCTGCAACAGCGGCCTCACGATCCGGAGCTCCATCTTGGCTTGCTGCGCTGCCTGCGGAATTTGGGCCACTACGACACCATGCGCACGCACATTCGCGGAGCCCTCAGTGCCCACCCTGAATGGGAGGACCTCCTGGATGCGTTCAGGGTCGAGGGCGCCTGCATTCTTGGCGATTGGAAAGAGGTGGAAGCTCGCACCCAACGAAGTCAGGCCAAGAGCCCAGAGCACTCGATCGGACGAGCTCTCCTGGCTATGCGTCAGAACGACACCGAGGTTTTTGGCAAAGTGCTCGTGCAGGCGCGTCAAGATCTTGGTAAGCCGCTCGTCGCTGCCGGCAAGGCATCGTATCCAGGCGTCTACGGCTCGGTGCTTCACCTTCATATGCTCCAAGAGCTCGAGATGATTCGCTTGCATGCGCGAACACATGCTGGCGAACGAGTCGGTGCGCTGACGAGGGCCATCGCGTCTGATACGGTCTCCGACCTGAATCGATCGCTGGCCGCACGCCTGAACGCGACGCTTCCTTCCTTCCGGATGCAAGAGCCTCTCCTCAGCTTGCGGAGGACCGCTTTTGCTGCGATGCCTTCGTCGCTCGGATCTGGCAAGGAGGTCGGACAGGCGTGGATCGCCACCTCAAAGATCGCTCGTCGCGCCGGTCACATGCAGACCGCGTACTCTGCGACGCTGCAAGCGACGCAGAATCAGGCCACCTTTGCCTTTGTGCAGAGAGTGAAGCTGCTCGCAAAGGAGGAACAGACGCACGCTGCCATCCGCGACTTGGTCAATTCGCTCAACACGCTGACGAGCACCTTCAAGCCGGGTCAGATCGGCGACATGTCCAAGATCGGCCTCATCGAGCTGCAACAGACGGATGCAGAAGGTCGCACATTGCGCATCGATCGTGCGACGTATGCAAAAGCCTGTCTGCTGCGAGCGCGCCTTCAAGACTCGACCTTCCGCTACACCGCCAACGAGGTGCTGGACCGATACAAGGAAGCAACCAAGGAGCAGAACGACTCGGAAAAGATGTGGTACCATCTCGGCCACTTTCAGGACACGCACGAGGGTCTCTTGCCCAACATGACGATGCAACGCTACAACGTCTGTCGGTCGTTCCTGCGCTCGGCTCAGGTCGGCACCAAATTCTTCTACCGAACTTTGCCTCGCGTCTTGACCATCTGGATGGACCTGGCCGCTGACGAAAAAATTCTCACCCATGGCAAAAAGGGCAGCAGCAGTGATGCTGAGCTCGCGCAGAAGGTGGACGCCTTCACGCAGCTCAACAGCCTGATGAAGAAGTTCAGCCGACGACTCAAGCCTTTCCAGTGGCTCGCCGTGTTCCCGCAGCTGGTCGCGCGTATCGTGCAAAAGAACGATGACGCTTGGTTGGTGCTGCAGGACATGATCCTCCAGGTGCTCCTGGCGTATCCTCAGCAGGCCATGTGGTCGATGGTGGCAGGAGCCAGCTCCAAAGACCCGGAACGCAAGCGACGCTACACCGAGATGATCCATCGACTGAGCTCCAAAGGCGGCTCGAGCCACAAGGAAGTGGTCAAGGTGGTGTCGTCCTCCCAACGCCTCGCAAAGGAGCTTCTGCGGCTGTGTGACTACAGTGTTGGCAAGAACGAGACGGTGCTCAGCATGGAAAAGCTGTTCCCCGGTTTGCTGGAAGTGGCCAACACGTCGGAACTGCTGCTACCGCTGCAGAGCTCAATGACGGTGCTGCTCCCCTCCAATCACCTGATCTCGGAGGAGCATCGACCGTTCCCTTCGAATCTGCCGACCATCAGGACCTTCGAGGATACGATCGAGGTGATGAACAGTCTGCAGAAGCCACGCAAGATGATGATCATCGGCAACGACGGCAACCGGTACCCGTTCCTGTGCAAACCCAAGGACGACCTGCGCAAGGACGCGCGACTGATGGAGTTCGACTCCATGATCAACAAGTTGCTGCAGAGCCAGCCGGAGTCGCGTAAGAGGAAGCTGTACGTGCGGACGTACGCGGTGCTCATCCTCAACGAGGAGCACGGTCTGATCGAATGGGTGCCTCACACGGTGGGCTTCCGACATATTCTGACCAAGCTGTACAATGGCAAGGGCATGCAGATCTACACTTCCGAGGTCAAGACGAGCATGGACGAAGCGCGCGTGTCGCCGGACCCGAGGACGACCGAGAAGATCTTTCAAGACAAGGTCTTGTCCCGATTCGCACCCGTCTTCCACGAATGGTTTCTCGCCACGTTCCCGGACCCGACAGCATGGCTTCAAGCACGATCCGCCTACGCACGGACGGCGGCAGTCATGTCGATGGTGGGCTTCGTGCTGGGACTCGGAGATCGTCACGGCGAGAACATTCTGTTCGACTCGAACAGCGGCGACACGGTGCATGTGGATCTGAACTGCCTGTTCGACAAGGGGCAGCGCTTCGAGATTCCGGAACGAGTGCCGTTCCGACTGACGCAGAACATGGTGGACGCGATGGGCGTCACAGGCTGCGACGGCGTATTCCGCAAGAGCGCCGAGATCACGATGAGTATTCTGCGAGACAATCGCGACTCGCTGATGAGCGTGCTCGAGGCCATGGTGCACGACCCTCTAGGCGAATGGAGCGTTCCAGAAGATCGGCATCGATCCAAGACGTCGGCCAAGCGACACGATGCACGTGGGGAAGATCCACGTGTGGTGGAAGCGCGTCGAGCGCTGGATCCGGTCGCCAACAAACTCGACGGACGGCTGTACCGACTTGGATCACGCGAGCCGAGTCCACCCTACTCGACCAACAACCTGGTGGACGCACTGATCAAAGAAGCCACCAGCTCGGTCAACCTGGCCAAGATGTACATCGGATGGAGCAGCTGGCTCTGAATGACAGCACTTTTGAAGAAGACTTATTCTTAGCCTCACTGTGACTCTGAAAGAAGCTATGTCGAGGATCGACCGTGCATGAGTCTCGACCTGGAAACAGCTTTCTGTGACGCCACGATTCTGCCAAATCCATCGTAAGTTCGGGTGAGCCAGTCGAGAGGCCAAGGCGGCGTGCAGGCTCTAGCATTGTCACGATCGATAGCGGAGTCGACGTGTATGCGAGCTGCACTGCGGTCGAGCTCCGATCTGCACCGGCGATCCTGTCATGTGCAGGACGTGTGAGCTGCATTGCGCGGATCTGCGCGGCGGTCAGCCTAACGATGACATTTGTCGCGACTGGTAAAGACGTGGGGCCTCTTCCGACAACTGATGTGAGAAGAGCTCGAGTTCTCTGCTCGGAGATGGGCAGGCTGCTTTTAGAACAGTCAAGACGACGGACGCGTGCCGAACGTGGCGACGGCCCATGTGAGTTTGTTTGATCTCTGGCAGATCGATTAAGCCACCTCGGAAAATTCACCGACAAAATCGCAGAACCCTTGTTTTCGGCTCGACCGCGCGCACTGACTCCTTCCGACCGGACCGAAGGCGATGATGACAGTCATCTTTTCCTTGAACAGCACGCTACATGTCGGCATGCTTCCGACGTTCGTGATTGGCCGACTGGGAAGCTCGAATTTGTGGGGCGCCACGCTTTGCGACTTGGAAGCTTGCACATGACTCGCTGTTGCTGCATGCGACGAGAGTTCGGAACCTTGCGCCTCTGCTGACTTCACTCGGGTGCGATCCGAGCTTAACAGACATGCTAGGAGTCGTGCGACGGTAGCCTGTGCTTCGCTCCAAGCCTGCGCCTGCCGTCAACACTTGAGCTCAATCATCGACTCCACTGTAAGAACCTTCGACTTCGATACACTCTATCAGCCAGGAGAAGCATAGAAAATTCAGCCTGAAGTTCGAAAGAAGATCGACCTCACTCCGGTACATTTTCCGGCGTTGACCCCACTTGGAATTCCACAACAGCACATCACAACACGCAAGGTGGGGGAAGAGCCCGCGAGAAAGGGGTTTTCCTTTGTTTTTGGCCCTTTTTCGGCTTTTTCCCTTTATTTCTTGGGGGCGAGAGTGCGTGCGAAGCTGCAGACTGCGCATTTGAGCTGCATTTGCGGACGGTCCGATTTGATCGCCTGCATCTCTGTGCATGTTTCGTCGTTGGGTGGCGCCAGAAGATTTTGGACGGGCCATGCGCTCGCTTGAGGCTGCTGATTGCTGAGCATGACCTTCTGATCAGCATCACGACCTCGATTTGTGTCACACTCCTCACCTTTCGCCATCGCCATATTCGACCTTGATCACATTGTCGCCTTCCATCTGTCCGTAGAGCATTCCGACCCTTTTAGCGACCTATCATTCACATACCGGTCGACGCTTCGATTCCACCGTGTCCATCATTCTCCCTGGCTCATCCGTCACCTTGTTCTTCGACGCACTCACCGACCATCTCCTTGCCTCGGCTTCCTCTACTACCTTCGTTAGGCGCCCATCTATTGCCAAAGCGCAACCCACCTTCATAACTCCGCATCTTGAATGCAATAGCCAACATCTGCATCTGCGTCGCTTGCTCTGCAACAATCCCACAGCCACAACAACAGAGCTCGTCTGCATCTTGTCTGCCGATTCTCTCGACATCGGTGTCTAGCAGATGAGTTTTCCGTCACAATCAAGCCGCTCCAACAATGCATTCGTCACCCTCCTAACATCGGACCACTACCTGCCAGGCGCTCTCGTCTTGGCAGAGTCTCTTCGTATCAGTCATGGCATCTCCAAGAAGGGCAAACAGAGGGCGGCCACTTCCACCTCGTCAGCAGCAGCTGGTTTTCAGGTGGTCGCGCTCATCACCCCAGACACCCTCTCGGTCCAGTCCATCAAAGCCTTGCGACGAAGCGGCTTGTTCGATTGGATCGTCGGCGTAGAACCCATAGGCTTCCGCCAGATCCTCGCTACCTCAAACACCGCCGATGCCGCCTCCCTCATGCCCGCAACGCTCGACTCGGATCTCAACACCAAGATCGAAGAAATGGAACGCAATCTTGGTCTTCTCGGTCGACCTGATCTTACCAACACGCTCACCAAACTGCACGCTTGGAGGCTCGGCCGCGATTCGGCACACCTCGTCACCTACAGCGCCTCTTCCGTTCGAGGCCCCACCCAGATATGGACAGGTTTTGACAAGATCGTATTCCTGGACGCAGATGCATTGGTGCTTCGTCGCATCGACCATCTGTTCCAACTCGGCAGCAATGTGCACTTCGCAGCAGCACCTGATACCGGCTGGCCAGATGCTTTCAACAGCGGTGTCATGATGCTGAGGCCATCCACCAAAACTTTTGAAGCCATCCGATCATTCGCTCGGACGACTGGCTCGTGGGACGGCGCCGATCAAGGTCTGCTCAATGATTTCTTCGGCCCAGAGGATGGCATGGACGATGACACCAGCAATGCTGGCGCTGCATCGGCTCCTGGTGGCGGCTGGAAGAGGCTCAGCTTCCGCTACAATGTCACCAGCCACGGAGGCTACACCTTCGCGCCCGCATACCAACGCTACGGACAGTCGATCAACATCGTTCACTTCATCGGTCAGAACAAGCCCTGGAATCGACCGGGTCCCTCCGGCACTGCTCAGCCCAATCCGCTCGTGGCACCGCGCGACCTCGACAGCCATCCCATCACACCCGATCAACCCGACTATCTGCTTGCGTTGTGGCACAGCGCTTTTGCATCCCTCTATCCTTCATCGGGCTCTGCATCACCAGACAGCGAGATTGAGATCCTGCACACGGAACGCGGCGTCGAGGTGGTCGAGCGTCGCAAGTTCACCGTGCCCACTTTCCATGCCGTTTGGGACGCAGAGGAGCGCGAGGAGGACTCCGCCTTTTCCGGTCAGGAAAGCGTCCGCGCTTTCGGTGGCGCGGCGGCACAGAGAAGACCGCCGGTCTGCGAAGCTGCGTACGTCAGTCTGCCTCTCGACGGAAGAACTTCACTGATCGCACCCGTGCCCGACGTAGCTCGCTCGCCGTCTCCCCCCACCCCGACGCAAGAAAGCATCGACGCCGCAGCGCGAAGCAAGGAGGGCTCCAATGGCGCAGCTGAACCCGGACCTGTGTCTGCTCCTGTTGCCATCCCCAGTCGTCCAAGTGCGGACAACCGAGACGACAGCGATGACTCTCCACACTACTCGCCGCCGAAGTTGTCGTGGAATCCGGCTCACGAGCCTCCTCCCACCGGCTCGGACGCCTCTCTTCACCAGATGCGTATCCCCATCGACAGTTTCTACTCCAACATCTGGGATTCTGGCGCACGAACGCCACGCACACTCGCCGAGCAGAAGGCCGCCTTCTTTGTGCCCCAAAACGCCTCGAAGGAAACCGGCGGTCACTCTCAAGGCGGGCCTGGATATATTCCCGCACAGCTCCGACGTGATCATGTCTTTGACAATCTGGGATCACACCAACCAGATCCGAGCAAAGTCAAACCGATCTTCCCATGGGAGTCGAGCCAGCAAAAGTCAGGCGCACCTGCACGTGTATTCCCAGACGAGCCTCGTCGTCCTTCTCCTCCGTCGTCCGGGAACACATCTTACTCACAAGCCAACCCGCGTCCGGCACCCCCTGCGCCAGCACCAGTACAGCGCGCTCGAGGCCTGCCCGCGAATCTGTCCTTCGTCAACGCGTGGGATCAGGCAGGGGCCATTGGCAGCTTCGCCGATGCCTGGAATCGACACACGCATCCACCAAAGTCGCCTCACAGGCGCAGATCTCAGGCCCCTGGAGCGAGTCCCAGAGGATCCAGCCCGAGGGAGACTGGCACTTCCCGAACTCCGGACGATCGCAGGAAGAACGGCCGAGGAGCCGGTGGAGTGCAACGCGTCGATTCACCAACGAACCTGTCCCGTCCTCAGTCCGGGATCGTGTCGGAACGCAGGTCAAGCTTGCAGGAAGCAGATGATGTGCGCGAGGGGGAAGCATCCGACAGCAGGGATGGCGACGACGAGTCTTCTTCTGGCGAAGAGGACTCTGGCAAGGAAGAAACATTGCGGGTCGCCCCTTCGCGTGGCGAGACGCCTTCGCCCGTCAACTCGCGTCAAGCAGCCAGACCGCGCGAAGGGCCAGGTCGAGGTTACATGAGAAAAGCGGAGAATTCGATGCACGCTCAGATGCATGCGACGCCGCGAAGCCCGAGGATGACGTCTCGCGTGCTCTCCTACACGTCGACGGCGACCGAAGGCGAGGGCGGGGGCGGCGGTAGATTCTCCTCCTCGTCAAGCAGCGCATCCAATTCGACGGTAAGAGGCGAAGGTGCAGCAGCGGCGAGGCAGAGAGCTAGGGACCGACTGAAGCCAGATGGATGGATCTCGACAGGATCTGCTGGATCTGGAATGGGCTCTCCTCCTTCTGGTTACCCTTCCGCTTCCGCGCTTCGTGGCATTCCCGAAGGCGCCTCTGCAAGACCCGCCTATGTGCCATCCAACGTCAATGTGCCCGGGCGAAGACGCGAGACCAATTCGTCCAACGAATCGCAGTCCGGCGAGTCGGGTACCAATTCACCCACCGCCCTGCTTAGCCCTGCACTCGGCACGGCCGGCGCCACGATGCCATTCGCCATCAGCGGTGCCTTCACACATCCTCGCAATATCGCATCGTCATCACAGACGCTGCGCGAAAGGGGTCCCGTTCAACATCCGACAGTCTTGGATGAGCCGTTCAGTTCTAGCCCGGTTCAGTCGAGGGCAGAGCTCTCGCAGCAAGCGAGGGCGCATCAACAAGCCAAGTACGGTGCTCAAGGCAGGGGTAATCGACCCTACTGAGAGGCGGAAGGAAAACGAATGTACATCGTAGAGCAAAACACGACATTTGCGACGTTCCTGGGTTTGTCTGCGCTAGCGATTCACGGGAGAATGCGTTGAGAGCATGAGTATGAGCTGGTTCAAATTGCATCGGTGGGTATGAACATTTGATGCTGCTGGACTGCCTTAGTGCTTCTCGCTGTAGAAGAAGGAGCAAAGGGAGCTTGTCAGTGTTTGAGTCCTTAGCTAGCAATCTGCATCGAGCAAAGTGAACTTACGAATCGAAGATGGGCTTGTTGGCCGTTGCTGCACCTGTGGGCGCGGTCGTTGACCCTGTTGGCACTGCACCCGCAGCCGGACCCGGCGCCGCAGCCTGAGCGCCCGACAGATCGTATCCAGCGACCGGCGCTGCCTGTCCAGGCTCGCCTGTGGGCACGTACGACTGCTGCGGCACGCCGCTCTCGTCCATCATCTCTGCCGCCTCGACGACCTCGTACATGGCGCTCGCCGCTTCCGGTGCGGGTACCTTTCCCATCAGCAGATCCACCGCTGGGATCGGTTGACCGTAGAAGTCCTTGTTCGTCTCCTTGCGTTCGACGAGCACGGTTCCCTCCAGTGAAATGCCCGCGAAGAGACCCTTAGATCTCGAGTACGTGAAAAGCGGAGCTGGGTCGCGGATGGCGATGCGGATATCACCACCGGTACCGATGGGTCCTGCAGCAGCGGAGAGCGTGCCACCGATCGTAAGGTTCCCTGCGTACGCAAACGCCTTTACGGCCTCGTCGCTGTTCATGACGACGACAAATTCGGTCAGATCAGCGCCAATCTGCAAGCCGAATCCCACAGCACCAGTACCGATGCAGCTTGGGGCGGACCAGCTCCCATCCGGCAAACGGGCGATGACGACGCCGCTACCGATCTTGCCCGACCACACAAAGCCGGCCTTGATCACGCTGAATACGGCCAGACCTTTGGCCTGCTGGAGCACGGCTTTGGGGATCGAGTTGAGCGCTGAGTCGGGATGATCTGGGTCGGCGAGGAAGGCCTGCAGGATCGTCGCCGCCCGCTCACACTCTTTAGGCAACGAAAAGCCTGCTCGGGCGGTAGCCGCCTGCTCGTTGATCGCCTTGCCCGTCTGTTGGGCAAAGGCGTTGGCTTGCACTCCCGCTTTCTGCGCTGCTGTGCGGAACTTGTCCAGGAACGACATGTTGGAGGATGTCAGATGTCTCGGAAATGGGGGAAATGGGTGAGAGGAATGATGGATGGTGTTTGTTGGAGAAAAGCGAGGCTGTGATGTTTCAGACGTTGCTGGTGATGACGCTGCTGCGCGTGTTGAAAGTGGAGAGAAGACGGATGGTCCTGACAAGCCACGCACAGCCTGTTCTCGTAGAAATTCCGACATTTCTCAAGAGACTGACAGGCAAGCATCCATATTTTGGAAAGCACGCTGGTCCAGCTGGAGGCTCCGACAAGCGCGCACGGCCGCCAACAGCCACGACCCTGAATCACTCGATTGCAAGTGTGACTTTAGAGCTTTCACCTCCTATAACTTCATCAACGGCCAAGCCGATGGCATGCTATTGTCACCACCACTCCCTCATCTCGCTCTCAATTCTAACGACGCTTTCAATCGTCGGTCCTTGTATCCGAGCCGCTGACTTAGAACAGTCGGAGCAGCCGATGTCAGCCTCTTGATTGCCTGATCCTCTTACTCATCCTGGGAGCGGTCTGCCGCAAAGCACCCAGCGCGGTCTGATCCATCATGGCGACTCAGGCTTCCACTTCGCAGCTCAATGTCAACGGCAACGGAGCGGGCGCCGCCGGAGCCAACAAGACAAAGGAGCTCTTCAACGCCGCCCTCCAAGCTCGACACCCGACCAACGCCTACATCGCCCACCTCAAGATCTGGGAGGATGTAGCTCAAGACGGAGCCCCCGTCGAGGCTTCAACAGCTGCAGGCGCAACCAAAAAGGCAAGATACCTCATTCTAGCGGTACAAAAGGATACGGGCAAGGTCACCATCAACAAGGCCAAACGTAACGCCAACGGCAGCTTCAGCATCGGCAAGGATTGGGATCTCAACACACTGCGAGAGGTCAACGTCATCCAGCCGGACGTCTTCAGCATCACCCTCAGCCGACCCTATCAATGGCAAACGCAACAGCCTGCAGAGCAGCAGCTCTTCTTGCAAAGCTTGGTAAAGGTCTATCGCAAATACACTCAGGACAATGGACCGAGGTTGGTGGGTATCGATGTGCCGACCTCGTCCAGTTCAGCGAGTCTTTCTGTCGCCGACGCTGCTAGTAGCCGTCCTTCGTCGGGATATCATATCGATGACTCGCCGCTTGCGTCGATCAATGGATCCACTTCCGCCGCGTCCGCGCTTCCTGCTTCAACTCCATCGACATTGGCACCAAGAGCATCGCCTGTCCGACGCATGTCGAATGACGGAAGTCCGGCTCGCAACTCCGAAAGCTCGAGCATTTATGAGAGCCCTACCAAGAGCAAACGTTCAGGCGGACTCCAGTCCAGCCCTCTGAAACGACCTGCACAGCTTCCACCTCAATCCTCAAATGAATCGCTGCCATCCACAGCGAGGCTTGCGATACCGAGGCAGGCTCCTCCACGCAAGAGCAGCGGCGATTCCATCTCCATCAAGAGCGGTAGCAGCGGAGGTCTAGCGGGCGGTGGAGGAGACGCTCGAGCGCGACTAAGCTCCATCGAGCCGATCCGAGGCGGTGCTGCTTACGAGCGCATGCTTCTGGCTGGCACGGGGCTCACTGGCGTCACGGAAGTCGACGACGACGACGAGCAGGCAGAAGACGAAGATCCATACGGAGGTGCTGTTCTCACAGACAAGGATGCCGTACCGGACACGTCGACGGCATCGAAGCGTGCTACGCTGGGACGACCAGCCGTCGCTCGCATCGAGACGCAGCTGAGCGAAAGGAGCAGGGGCGCCGACGAAGCGGATCTAGACGAGGACGAAAATCAGACTCTGGTGGCAGTGGAAGAGATCCTCGAGGGTCTGGAATGGCGCAACGCAGGCGCCAACGGCTACGGTATCGCCTCGGGCAAAGGTACCGCCGACGTCATCGAGGCTCGTCTTCTGGATGAGCTGTCGGCACTCGAGTCGGCCAACATCCACGCCATCATCGAGTCCGACGACCGCGTCGCCCTCGTCGTCAAGCACATGGAAGAGGCGCTCGCCGATCTCGACATGATGGATAGCATGATCGCCGGCTTCAAGGTGCAGCTCAATTCTCGATTGGACGATGTCTCGCACATCGAGTCGCAGAACCGAGGTCTGCAAGTCCAGACGTCGAACCAACGTACGCTCATGGCTGAGATCGAGAACCTCATCAACACCATCAACGTTGACGATGATGTGATAAACACGCTCAGCGCAGGACGGCTAGAGAACGCAGATGGAGTTGCTCAGCTCGAGTCGGCCGCGGCATCGCTCTACAAGTCGATGCTGCAAGCGCGTACGGACGGCGACGATGGTGGAGCTGACATGGCCGCTGCAGCCGAGAAGCTCGCCGAGTACGAAGCCATCTCGTCTCGATTCTGCAAGCGCGTCCTTGAGTACCTCAACATCACCTTCAACGTCGAGACGCAGCGTCTGCTTTCAGATCCTGCGCGTCAAAAGGCACTGCAACCACCACACCCGTCGTTGCCAGACCATGCTTCCATGGAAGAGGTGCTGGGTCAGTACTGCGGCCTGCTGCTATACATGAAGGAAGTGTCCGCGCAAACCTTCTCGCGCGTCTCTGCAGCCTACTTTACCTCTGTCAGCGAATGCTACCGCAACGAGATGCAGCAGCTCTCCGTAGCCTACCGCCGGCAGCTGCGCAAGGCAAGCGACGAAGACATCACCGAGTCTAGCTTTATTGCTCCGAGCTCGACCAGTGCGGCTACCTCGGCCATCCGCAGCGGCACCATCCGTCGCGGACAACGCGAGAAGACCATGCGTGGCGTCAAAGACCGCACGGACATCTCCGGTCAAGATGGTCTGCAACGCATCCTGTCATGCATCTTCCCCGTGCTACTGCGCGAGCAGAGCTTCATCTCGGACTTTTTGCATATCAACGACAACAACATCACGTTTGCGGACTACATGGCGCTGGAACCGTACTTCCGGCGTCGGGCGGCGGGCATGTTCACAGGCGCATCCGGCCCGTTGCGCGAGATGAAGGGCGCGATGGACCTCATTTTCGGGTTTGTCGCCAACGAGTTGCAGGCGTTCACGGACGACGCTCTGTCTAAGGACCGCATGTCGATCGTCGGCCTCCTCGCCACGCTCGACCGGAGCATCGTCGAGGCGGAAGAAGTTAGCTGCGAATCCCTCCAAAAAGTGCTTGCCAAGCTGCAGCTGCGTCTGGCCTCCAAACTGGAGCAGTTCGTAGGGGAGCAGATCAAGGGCATCGAAGCGACCAAGTTGACGGTGAAGAAGCGCAAAGGCGTGGTGCACTTCATGCGCGTGTTCCCCGTGTTTGTCGATCGCGTCGAGGCGCAACTGATCAATACCGAGACGCTGCCGATCCGCACCGCCGTCGACGGCTACTACATCCAGATCTGCGGCGCCATGTTCGATGCTCTGCAAACCATCTCTCGCGTCGAGACGGGTGCCGCCGGAGGGGATGAAGACAAAGGCCAGCTCAACCACCTCGTGATCCTCATCGAGAACATGTACTATTTCATCTCTGAGATCAACAAGGGCTCTCGCACGCGCGGGGCATCCAGCTCTGCACTCACTGCCCTCGTCAAACGGGCCGAGACGATCTACAACGACTCCTTGGGCAGCTATACGCAGTTTGTCCTGCGCCGCTCCCTTGCCCGACTCATGGACTTTTCGGATGGCATCGGCACACTGCTCCGCTCGACACCCGCGAAAGAAGTCTCGCTCCACGCCGCATACAGTAAAAGCGCATTCAAGAAGCTCGTCAAGGACCACACGGCCAAGGACACGCGCAAGGCGGTCGAGGCGCTCAGCAAGCGAGTCGCCAAGCATTTCGACGACGATGAGGCGCAGGAGCAGAGCGCGGGCGAAGCCGAGGTGCTTAGCAGGGTGTGGGCGAGTTGCGAACAGGGCTACGTAAGGGAGTTTGAAAGGGGCATGCGGTTGGGTCAGGACTGCTATCCGGATATGGGAGTGAGTTTTGAGTTGGGTGTGGGGGAGTTGAGGAGGTTGTTTGCCGGATTGGCGCCGAAGCGCCGATGAGCGTCGCACAGCCTCACGCCCACCGTCTCACTTCTACCAGTTGTCAGCTCGTTCAATCACCAACGATGCAATAGTGCAAAACATTCATCTCCTGGGCACAGTCTCAACAATTCGCATCTGTGCGTGCGCTTGTGTCTTTGTAAAAGAGGTGTGAGATTTGTCCAAACAGAGGTGCGTGAAGCTAGCCCCTGCGCGCAGCAGCATAGCGATGCAGCACCCAACTGACGAAGCCGACATCCTTGATGCGGCCAAACCTCACCAGGCGGTGGTGGAGCAGCTCGACATCTAGGAAGGTGAGTGTGGGTGATGGCTTCATCGCGCCCACCTTTTCCGTCTGGTCCTCTCCGATCCCTGAGGAAGCGGAAGTCGAGGGGGAGGCCATCTCCACCAATCCCACCAAGGACTCCTTGGCCACCGGTAGGGGGGACAAATCCACGTCCACCCCTTCGAGCATCGCATCGGTCGCCCTGTCCTTTCGCTGACGGGCGTGTCGTCGGGCGCTGGCGGTCCTCGTCGTCGGCAGGGTAGGTGGGTAGAGGCTAACGAAATGGCGCAGCGCACCGATGGCTTGGTCGAGCGAAGCGTGCTTAGCGTGGAAATGAATGTACGCGCTGTAGCATTTGGTGATTTGACCTGCATCCGGATCTTGCGCTAGAGTGGTGGTGAGTTCGGTGTCACCAGTGGCTGCGGTGTGAGAGCCGAGGTAGGTTTGAAAGCGCACCCACACGTCTTCGACGATGGGTAGGGTGGACCCGTCCGCCTCGCGCAAAGCCTCCAGGATTACCCGGTAGGAGTGCTCGTTCGGCGTCGCACCGAGACGTGCGAACAACCCACGCTCCAAACCTTCACTTTGACCGTCGAGGGGGAGCAGCGTCGAGCGCAACAGCTCGCCCCGCATCCCGACGGGCAGGTGCGCACCCAGCACAGCGAGATAAGCATTCACCAGCCGAACACCAGCTGTGACCGCGCCCAACGGCCCCTCGGTGTGCCCCGACGGCTGGTCAGCGAGCACGCGTGCGAACAGCGAGCGTGTCTCGGCCAGCAGGTCGGACGAAGTCTGCGGGACCAGCGCTGAGAAGATCTGGGCTGCTTCTCCTGGTGTTGTTTCCTCCTCGGCGTCCGCCGGGTCTGAAAGTATAAGTTCGAGGCTCTTCGCAGTGGCAGTGGCGACGATCTCGCTGGACGGTGTTGTGGAGCTGCTTGTGGAGGGATCGTTGTCGCCAGTAGTAGCGGTGGAGTCAGTTCCCTCTGTCGTCTCTGGTGACCCACTCCCCACCGTCACCAACCGCCGCACAGGCGGCACATAACTCGCATACGCATGGAAAACATGACACAGACTCTCCTCGTCCGGCCTCTTCCCCCACATCTCCCTCACCTCCTCTCTGCCCAATTTCTCCCTCACGCCTTGCTCGAACAATGGAGCAGTACAGCGCACCATCTCGGCCAACACCCACCTGGCGCGGGGCAAATCCCGGTTCCGCGCACATCCCTGGAGCAGCACATTGAACGTCCATCGATCCGGCGCAAATCTCAACCCCTCTCCTTCCGACCGGGTGGTTTCCAGCTCCACCATCTCGCGCAATAGCCTAAAAGCTTCGAGATAAAAATCTTTCCGACGGGCGCAGGCGAGGATCAGCGCGTTGTACACCTCGGCGTTGGGGCGGACGGAATAACGCGTCGTCATCTCGCGGAACAGGTCGAGGGCTCGTTCTGCTTCGCTTACCCCGAGTCTGCCGAGGTCGTGCGGTTGAGGAACCCCCCGGGCGCACGCGCGGATCATGAGCGCGTACAGTGGCGCGTCGGGGATCGGATGCGCCGAGAGACGCATGTGGTAGAACGCGTTCCATCCGACCGCTTGGGTGGACGGCGTTGGCGTGGAGAGCAGGCGGCTGATCAGCAGCGTGTAGGTCGCCATTGATGCTGGACGACCTGCCTCCTCCAGGGTGTTGAGCAGCGTGATGGCGGGAAGGTACTGCGAGGACGTAGCGTAGGCTTTGACGAGTGAGTGGTACGTATGGTCGTCCGGGACCAGCCCGAGGGTGTGCATCTGTTCGAGCCACGTCTGACATGCTTCCAGCTGGCCCTGTGTGGCAAACGCATCGAGGACGTTGTTGTACAGCGACAGTGACGGAGGGTATCCGCAATCTTGCATGAGGCCGAGGGTGCGGCTGAGCGTGGACGTGTCGTTAGCTCGGGCAGAGGCAACGGCGAGCGCTGTCCATTCTTCGATTGAGGCAACGCCAAGAGGAATGCGCGAAGACGAGGGGCTTGAGGGCGAGCTGGAGCGAACGAGCTTGGAGATGGAGTCGAGCATGAAGCTGCGTGATTCCGAGGAGGAGAGGTCGTTGACCATCGTCTCTGCGCGCGTGATGAGTTCGTCGCTGGAATCGGTGCTGGAGATGTCCTCGGCTTGCTTAGTATCGATGCTCTCGGTAGGTTCGAGGGTGGGCGCTCTGCCGTCCAAACGGGCAGTCGGAAAGGGACCGAGAGCTGCCGCATCGTTGGAGGTAAGTTCTGCCGGGGATGCCTCGTTGGGAGTCCCCTGCTGCACCGAGGTTTGCAGCTCGTAGTCGTGCTCTTTGAGAATCTTGGCGATGCGGTTGGCGAGATTCGACTTGATCTCCTGCAACGAATCTGTGCCGGTCTCGCTTGAGCTTGCCCAAGCATCCGAGGTGGTGTGTACGAGCGCAAGTCTCGCGAACAGCTGTTGCAGCCGGATCTCCTGTCGCTCTGCATATGGCAAGGCTGCCATTTCCGCCTCGTCCACGACAACCCCTGTTTCTTCCTGTATCGTCTCCTCTATTGCCACCTGTTCGCCTCGCGACGCAGCTGCTGTCGATGGCGGCAACAAGACTCTTCCCTTGTCTCTCGCATCCTTCAGCCTCTGCTTGAGATCCGTCGCCGTCCTCGCCTTTCTCTCCTCGCCTCTCGTCATGGGTAACAATCTTCTCCCTCTCCCATCCTCGATACTCTTCTCCCTCCTTGCTTCCTCCAGCCTCGCCAATCTGCTCTCCTCCGCCGTCGGCGGTGGGGGTAGCATCAGTGCCTGGTACAGCTCTTCCAGCACATTGTCGTCTAGCTCTGGCAGATCAGCCGTTGCCTCATCTGCCTTAGCCTTCTTCTCAAGCGTCTCGAGCTGGGTGCTGAGCCCTCTGAGCTCCTGTTTGAGCAGCCGTTCCTGCTGTGAACGTGTGAGTCGCTCGCCCCGTGGACCCGTCCGAGCCATGTACTCCCGAATGCTACTCTCTACATCTTCCTCTATGGGATCCCGTGGCCGACGGCGCTCCTGCGGAGAGCGAGAGGGAGGAAAGTCCTTTTGTCGAGCCCGAAGCACTCGTTCTTCTGTCCGGGCGTTGCGCAGACGGGCCTTTTCGCGACCGGCTTGCTTGCGATGCGCGCTCACCGAGGCGGTTGAAGTAGATGAGATAGAGCGTGTGTGGTTGAGCTGAGCATGGGATTGTGCTGGTCTAGGCCGAGTCGAGGAGCTTGCCGTAGATGACAGGGTGTGGTAGCTTGTCGAGGCAAAGGGCACGCTTGGCCGTATTGAGCTGCCGGAATGGAGCCGAAGCAGAGCGAGGAGCCCTGCCGCGGCATGCTGACTCCTGGTCGGTATGCGGTCTACCATGCCGAGATCAAGTGTGGCTCGGCGATGGCTGGCCGTAGATGAATTGTAGGAAGGAAAAGACGAAGAAGCTTTCAAAGCAAGGTTGGACCCTGGTTTTCCAGGATCTTCTCACAAATTTTCGCAGCGAAGCCGGAAGTCGGGCTCTGACACTTGCGGCCTCCACAACCTCCTCAACATCAACCCTGTCTATGCGCTCAGTGGAATGTCTCGTTTGGGGACACGATCACAAGGACAAGCTGACCGGGAACGATAGATATGATCTCGAATTACAGCTACGCAGCAGCGACAGGATTCGCTCGCTCCTGGACGGGCGACCCGACCGTCGAATGGTTCCTCGAATGGCTCCTCTCCCTCCTCGCTTCCTTGAGAGCGTCCAACCTCTCCTGCCACCTCGGCACCTGGAGCAACTTCTGCTCCAGCGCCTGCTTCTCCTCCTGCAACGCCAGCCGCTTCTCCGCATCCAGCTCGGTAAACACGTATCCTCCCTGACCGTCGTACTGCAGCACGTAGCTGTGGTACTTCCACAACGAAGGGCGGTGGGAGACGGTGAGCATGGTGATGCCCAGCTCGGTCGCGTGGTCGTACATGATCTTTTCGATCTCGAGCGTCACCGCAGACGTGCACTCGTCGAGGATAGCGTACTTGGGCTTGTGGTAGAACAGACGGGCCATGGCGATACGCTGCTTGTCACCGCCGGACAGAGCATCGCGCCACTCGCGCTGCACGTCCCAGCCGCCCTCGCGCGCCACAATGTGCTCGATCTGCAACACCCGCAGGATGTCCAGCAGGTCCTCGTCCGTCTTGCCCCGCGCACGCATCTCTTGGGCAGTGTGCGGGTAGATGATCTGATCCCTGAGCGTGCCCAGCGACAAATACGGGCGTTGCGGGATGTAGGTGAATTCCGACGTGGGAGGCTTCTTGACCGTTCCACCGTAGACAGGCCACAGACCGCCAAGGATGCGGAAGAGCGAACTCTTACCACACCCGTTGGGACCGATGATGAGCAGATGCTGACCCGGTTGCACGTAGAAGGAAAGTTTGGGCACGAGGATGTCACCGTTGGGACTGACGATGGGGACGTCGCGGAACTCGACACCTGCCGACCTGGAAGGATCCTCCTGGATGGTACCGCGGCCTTGCAGCACCAGCGCGTTCTCCTCGATCGACGCAGAGGACACGAGCTTCTTCTCGAACTTGCCCGCCTTGATGGCGTCCATGGTGTCGAGCAGCTCCGACACTCGTGCCGTGTAACCCGCCAGCTCTGAGATCTCCTTGTACGAGTACATGACTCGGCCGAAGGCGTCCGACGAAGAGAGCAGCAGACGACGGTTGGTGACGAAAGACTCGGTGCGAGAGCCAAAGTCGAGACCCTTGCCGCCACCGGGCAGGCGAACAAAGACGGGCACCGCACAGATGCACAATCCGAGCGCACCCCACGTCCACTTGATGATGCCCTCCTCGGTCATGCCGTGCAGGATACGAATGCGGTAGACGCGGTTGACGTGCTTGATGAGCGAAAAGTAGGCCCGCTCGATCACGTTCTGCTCCGCAGCCTGACCACGGAATAGCGCGACCTCCTCGGCGTTCTCAATGAGACGCGAGTGGTTGAAGCGGAACTCTCCCTCGAGCTGCTGCTCCGTAGCGGCGTATTGACCGAAGGGCGGCGTGAGTTTGCGCAACAAGGTCGCCGAGGCAGAGACCAGGATGTTGATGCCGATCAGCGCTTCCGCACCGACACGACCCATGAGCTGGTAGTTGTAGAGACAGACGTCGAGGATGGGCTTGGCAAAGTTGCTGTAGATCTCGGCGAGCGACTTGCTGAACTTGGCCACGTCGACGGTGATGAGCTGGTCGGCGTTCTTGATACGGTCGTCGAGATTGCCGAGCTTGTAGAAGGTCATGTCGGTGAGGTAGGCGTCGTGAACACGCTTGGTGAGTCGAGTCCGGTATGAAAGGGCGAGCTTGGACTGGAGGAACTCGATCATCGAGTTGGTGTAGGTAGCGGGCAAGGCGACGGCCATCCACCAGAGGATGCCAGTGACGAATTGACGGGTCTGCGAGCGCACGAGCGCCGAGACGATGCGACCGTCGAGATCGGCGACGTAGAGCGACAGCATGGTTCGAAGCACGAGGAAGAGCGTGTGGAGCATGAGCAGACCGGCTTCCTTGGAACGCCAGCCGGGAACGACGATGCGAAGGATGCGCTTCAGTCGCTCGAAGAAGACGGCGTCCACTTCGACTCGGGGACCCTTGCTCTTCTTGCCGCGACGTCCACCGCGCCCACGAGACGAGTCCTCAAAATCTTCAGCCGATTGTGCGCTTGGCTTGGATACAGACTGGGACCCCTCGGCATTCTTCTTTGCGACGACGCCGGCCTTCTCCCGAGGATCTTCTGTCGCAGTCGCTGTGGGCTTTTTAGGCTTCTTCTTGCTGCCGCTGCGCAAGGTGCGTGTGAGGTTGTGGAGAATGAAGAGAATGTAGGTGACACGGAGAACGCGCTGGATCGTTGCGTGATTGCGTCGGTAGGCCATGAAAAAGTTGATGCCGTAGGTCATGCCCTGCATTTTGAGTTCGTCCAGAACATCGCTGAGTCGCTCGTGGACGTCGGCGAACCGAGACTGGACGTGCATATTGGGCGATGTGAGGCTCGCAGCCTAGATGAGGTGAACGAGAGGCGGGCGACGTCGGTTCTGTTGTTTCAATCGACCAATGGCCACGTTTGTAGGATTCGCGACGAGGCTAGTCTCGAGGCTGTATTGTCGAAAAGAGCCGTCGGGCGTAAATGCTGGAACAAGAGTCGCAACGTCGTCTCTTGCTCTGCTTGATCTGGGCGAAGCTGCGAGATCGGAATGGCGATGCTGAGAAGGAAAGATGGGTGAAGAGGATGGTGTAGCAGATGAAAAGATGGTGCCGAGTACTCTTGGATAACGTGCTACCGTTGGACTGTGCTGTCGACTTGCGGAGAGAATTACCGGCAAAGGTGCGCGAGAGTGAGACAGAGGCGTGAAAGAGCCACGATCGGATCGTCAGAAAAGGCTCAGCTCAGTCACCCCTCCCTTCTTACTAGCCCGGAAGCAGTTGCAACCGAGTCTCCGAGCTGTTTACGCTAGAAGCCTTACCACTCTAACAGGGCTCATATTCAGCGAGTCGAATCGGGAGATGACTTTCTTGACGCAGGGACCCTTCTCCATTCACACTCTTGCGCAGACCTGCTCTCCTGCTCACCACTCCGTCAGCCCCTCACCCTTCCGCTCAAGCGCACGATGAGCTACAGGGAGCCAAGCACAATCTACAGCCAGCCGGCCAACACCGGCTCGGGCATCCATGAAAACACCCAGCTCGCTTCCGCCATCGACGCGCTCAAGCACCATGCCAACCCGGTGCGACTCGAAGACTTTGCTCTCTCCCAGGGTCTGCCTGCGCTGCTCAACCCGAACAGCGGGCTCTTTTCCCGGTTCAAGTCGCACGATCGGGTCATGTACGATGGTAAGACGGATCTGTGGATGTACAAGCCGGATTATGATTTGAGGACGCCCGCGGATCTGGTGGCGCTGTTGAAGGAGAGGTTTCTGAATCCCGGTGGGGCAGGAGCACGGAACTCGAGCGCAGCAGGGATGCGACTGGCAGAGTTGAGGGAGAGCTATCCGGCGGCGAGAGACGCCGTGGAGGAGCTGAGCAAGGTCGAGCCGAAGGAAGATAGAGAGGTGCTGGTGTTGAGAGGGCAGCGCGACGGCGCGATCAAGCAGGTCTTCTGGAACCCGCTCAGAGGGAGCGATGCCAAAGGCGTCGATGATGGTAAGTTCCGCAAAGATAGCTTGCACATACCTCAGACCGTATGCTGATCGTATCCTTGAATGTTTGGCGTACGAACAGAGTTCAAAGAGCTCTGGCACGAACTCAAAGTGCCGGACCTGGTCGACCTGCCCAAGGAGCTCGAGCGCGAAGGTCTCTCCACCACCGACATGCTCGATGCGCCCATCTCGGGCACTCAACTCGCCAATGCCAAGAACAAGAAGAAGAAGAAGGGCGCCGGCGCTCGTCGCTTCAAGCTTCAGAATACCCATTTGGAAGGCGTCGACCTTTCGCAGGACTTCGTTCGACCTTCCTAGACACCGGGCCACACCGCAAAGAGCATCATGTCTACGCATCAACAGCGTGATGCAGCCCCCAGCATACGATCCAGAGATCTTACTCGCTCATTTGTATTTGTACCTGTTCATCGCACTCTCGTCCTCGCAAGCATCTTCATCATCATCTGCTCAGTCTCTCTCACACTAGGCTGACGCTACACTCTTCCGGGCTGATGCTTCTGTTCTAGTGATTCGCATTCATGTTCGTAGATGAGCGATCTGAGGCCGGAGGAACACAAAATCCAGCGGGCGGATTCCGCGCTGTTCTTTCCAGCATCCCCCATTTAAGATCGGCCAAGAGCAGCCTGAAGAGCGGTGTAGACCTCGATCTCAATCTCGGCCTCGGCCTTGGCCTCTGCGCTGCTGCCACTGCTGGCGACGCGCTGGGCCTCGCTGAGCGCCGAACGCACTGCCTCGGCAGAGAACTCTTCCAGCGGGTACGCCTCAATGGCGTTGACGACGAGCTTGTTGTTGGGGTGGACAGTGGCAAAGCCACCGGAGACGAACCACTTCTTGGTACCGGACGACTCGACGACTTCGAGCACACCAGGTCGCAGCTCCTCCACAGCGGGAACGTGCGAGGCGAGGATACCCATGTCTCCTGTAGACGAGGCAATGTTCACTTGGGTGACCTCGGACGAGTTGTAAATGGCCTGTGAGGGGAGTGGATGTGAGAATAGGTCAGTGTCCTGCGCTGGAATGGACGAAGATATGGCGATTGTCGCGGTTGGCGGATGAACAGGTGCATCGGGGTCGTGATGTCCGCGGTGTGTCGAGGGTGTTCTGTGTCGACCTGTCCTTCATTACCGCCTCTGGTGCGTCTTGCGCCATTGCATTGTGGCAACCTGATCTTAATCCTGGGCCTGCGCGAGCTCCAACAGCCTCGATAGATCGTGAGACCGCCAGACGATGGTCATACTGCATGATCGACTTCTATCTGTTTTTCTTTCTCCCGTCCCTTCACTGCCTGCACTACCAGCCGAGACAGCCTGGCTCCCTTGCCAGTTGCACCTCGCGGCCATGCAATGGTACGTGAATTGGGCAAAACATCTGTCCAGTCGCATGCCGTTTCGATAGCCCACGAAACCTTGCAAGTCCTCCGCACTTTCATCCGTCTGCAGTCTGTCCGATCCATCCTGTGCTGGCACTATGTCGATCCTGTCCCTGTTCGTCCAGGTCGCCGTTGCTGGTAGCGTGTCGATGTCGGGCGAATGATTCTTACCTCGTGAGGAAGGATGAAGGAGAGCTTGAGCTTGTCGCTGACGGCCTCGGCGTAGCCACGGCGGGCGCCGATCTGCGACAGGGGGGCGGGGGCCCTGGTGGCTCGGAGAGCGGATCGGAAGGCGGCACGAGCAATCATGATGTCGATATGAAGAGATGGTGATGAGAGGGTGGAGGAAGAAGAGTTGCGATGATGTTGAAGGCAGCGATTTGGGATTGCTCTCTCGCACGCTGCAGGCGCTGCTTGGCTTGAGCGACGGATTTCTTCTCGTTGCTCGCTCAACCCTTGCGCCTGGTCCTGCCTCGCTCACAACGTCAAATTTCAAACACTCAGGCGGGAGCATCGATTTTTGTATTCTGCCCTGCAGCACTTTGAATTTCGAGATCGCCCAGCTCGATTTCAACGTCCTGGCCGCGTTCAATTCAGGCATGCTGCGAAATTGCACAGATTCCGATCAACTTTCGCTCTGCCCTGTCCCAGCGAGAAGCTGCCGGAGGCCCCCGGTTCACTGCCGTGTCTTTATCGTGCGAAATTTGCCTCAGCCGGACCATGCCATTTCGCTCGTTCTCAATCGAGACTGCACAAGAGACCCAAGCGCTGACCCTTCTCTTGCTTTCAGATACTTGCTTGATAGTGTTGTACAATGCATTGATGCGTTGAGAGTAGCGTCTAGGGCAACCACCAGCTCTTGGTGTGCGCAGTGCGTTGTTGACCTGCCAACATGCGCAGGATGTTGCTGCTGTCTTCCGCCTTCTGATCGACCATGCTGTGTTCGGACGAAGTTTGCTTGGCTTCCCGTTTCAGGACCGCTGCTTTGATGCGATCGACGAACTCGGTGGTCTCTTCACCATTGCGGCCGAGGTCAACTTTGGCCTCGTCGCGCATCCAGGACGCCACCTCGGCTGCACCAGACACGTCACCAAGGGTTAGGTATGCTTCGATGATGCGCCGGAACAGATCCGCGGGCAGGACGTTCGCTGCTCGCTGCTTCGGCGTCGGTCCCACACCATTGACAGGCGCAGCACCGATTCCATCTGCATGCTCTTCTGCGCCAAAGGTAGATTCGTCGGCGAGTGCGCCGGGTGAGATCGGGGACATGGCGGCGGCTGCGCTCGTCGTCACTCGAATCTGCTGCGCTTCCCGAGCACCGTCAAATGCACGGTCCATCATCTCGCCCAGATCCGCAGAGACGAGCTGGCCGTCGCCAGCGTGACTCAGCTTCCACAGCGGCAAGCTGTTACGATAATCATCGCCAGTGTCGAAGTACTTGGTCCATCGGAGCATATGTACGATCGAGTCCAGACATGCGATCCACTGCAGACGCCTTTGTTCCTGACCTTGCTGTCGTGCAGCTCGGAGAGGTGAGCCAACAGCTTCGACAGTGGTGAGAGTCGTCGTCGAGGCCGATGTCTTCTTGTTGAACAAGCTTGCCGCATCGATGACCGCGTACAATGCACGAGAGACCGTGCGCAGATTAACCACGTTCTTCATCCGAGCGCTGATCCCCGAGAGGGCAACGGCAGCCTGAACGCAATGTAGACGTTCCTTGGGAGACAGCCCCTTTTCGCCGGTCGCGGGCACGGCTCCGTTCCCCTCTGGAGCAGCATCTCTCAGCGAGGCCTTGAGAAGGCGTCGCGCCAACTTTTCGAGGATTGCCGGATCTGCTTCCCATCCTTGCTGCAACGCGCGGTGTGCAGTCTGCACAACCTTGGCAGGAGCCATGTCTGGCAGAAAGATGCTACGAAGCGAGGCCGTATATCCGAGACGCGATGCAATGCCCGCAGCTTGACCGAACTGGTACAGCTTGTCCGCTAGGTCCGTTCGCTTCTGGGCGAGAGCGCGCGTGATGAGCATCGAGGTGAGTCTGGGTGTGGGATCCATCGGTGCCAGCAAGGGCGACCTGTCGACTGGTGCGACACGCTTTTTCGATCTTGCCAACTTCCTTTTGTCTCCAGCGCCACCAATCGTTTGGGGTGCTGTGCAATGTCGGATGAAGAGGTCGACTGCCTTGTCTGCGTCCAGCTCGACAAGTCCGCCCAGCAGGACGGTGATGTCTACCTTGTCGGGAATCTCACGCAGGAAGCTGATCCTGGCGAGGGCGTCAAAGGCTCCAGGCACATCCTTTGCTATGAAACAGGCCTGCGCCAAAGCTGTGAGCTGGTAGTGCGTCCAATCCAACGGCGTGCAGGCATGCCGGAAGACATCGATGACGAATCTTGCCTTGTCGAGTTGAGACGGTGGAACTGTCCACATCGGTGATGCCTCGTTGCTGGACTGCCCGTCAGATGCTGATGTAAGGCTACGGCGACACAGACCTTTGACGAGAGAGAGGAGACAGTCGGCGGAGGTGGCGACATGGCTGGCGGGATCGTGCATCAGGCGGACCTGACGTTCGATGAGGGGGTCCGCTACTTGCGCCCACCCCTTCTTTCGAAGACTGGTGCTGCCAGAGAGTGACCCAGACGGATCCGAATCGGCTTCGTAGCGCCAGTGCGTCCAGTGTTGAAAAAGCTCGAAAGCCTCTTCGGTCAATCCTACCTTCGCCAGGACTGCAACCAGTTGAGATCGGTGTCCTTGAGAGAAGCGCAAATTGAGCTGAACCACCGAGAACTCCGTGAGAGGAAGCAGACGGAGCGCACGAAGAAGCGCGATGACTACGATCTTCTGACCGTTTGCCAGCATCTCCCGCAGAAGAGCTAGAAACAGATCTGCGTCGAGCAGCATGGCGTCGCGAGCCAAGACGTGCTTGTAATCAGCCGGCAGGCCCGAAGTGCAAGAAGGGGACGTCTTGGCCTTGACAACCAGCGCATAGGTCTCAGCAGCTAGATCCATGGCATCCACGCTGCGAGCTGCGTCGCAAAAGTCTTGCAGGTCGGCGCTCGGAAGCATGGCAACGAATCGGTGATCGCTTCTTTGAAGCAGGAAGAGGGCTTGTGCCAAGCAAGATCGGTCGTTCTGGCCGACAAGGTGGAGGAAGGCGCTGCGAATGCTGCGCATGGGCACGTCTAGCAGAGGCTTCATATTGTCGCTTGCTTGAAGGTCGCTGGCGTCAACAAGGTCGAGTCGCAGGCTGGCGCCGAGGTTCTCAAATGCTTTGCGGAACGAGAGGCCACCTCCTGGGCGGATATCCATCAGAATCTTCGTCATGATCAGGCGAAGGGAGACATCTAAGCAGATTTGTTGGAGCTCGTCGTCCGACAATCGAGCCTGTGCGTCATCGGGACCCGACAAGATAGACCTTTGGAGTTGGGCGAGATACTTTTTGCCATCGCGAATGGCGTCATCAACGACTTGCTGTGCTACAGCGTTGGTATCCCTGAGCGCGCGTACCACGTCGAGAGCAGCCCCAAAGTCGCGCAGGCTCGGCTGGAGGTAGTAAGTCATCAAGGGCACTCCTTCGCGAGCGGTTGGAAAGTCGGATGTACTGGCTTCCAAGTGTGCTCGCATGACTTTGAGGATGGGCGCGAGCTCGGGTTTGCCGAGATGCACGATGAGTCGGACGAGGCGCCGTGTTTCGCCGAGAGGGAAGTCGTCCGGGAGTGCGATGATCGTGCCTCGTGCGAGCGACGAGGCCGTGGCCGTTGCTGGCTTCGTCGCTGAACCGCCATCGTGAGTATTCTGAGATTCGATGTCAGACGCAGTCTGACGTGATTGCAGCAGATCGTTCAACATGAGCATGAAGACGTCCAGAGCAGCCTCGTCGTGCAGCAGCGGATCGACGTGATTGCTGCGCACCAAAATCGCGCGGAGCAGTCGATAACGTTCTTCGGTTCCCGCAGATACTTGGAAGCAGCCGGACTTGGTGTTTGGTGTCGCCAGATCTGGTCCGATGATATCCTCGAGGAGCAAAGACAGCACACCGCCCAAGCGATCCTCCACGGCCCTCTTGACCAGGGAGAAGATGTCGAGGTACGAGAGTGCTGAGAGCCGTTGGGGATCTCGCTCTCGCAGCAGAAGATATGCATCGAGGCGGCGGAAACCTGGCGGAAGCTGTGCGACAAGCTGCTGGTAGGTGTGTTTGTCGGATGCAGTAAGAAAGTCGGAGAGGAGGGCTGGTGAGATGCTGACCGTCGATTCGCTTGACGGACGTGTCAATGGCAGAGACTGATCTGGTCGGCGCTGGGGCAATATTGAATCAGGTTGAGGTACCGAAGGCCGGCGTAGGGGCGAACTAGAGTCTGACGAGGCCACGGAGGCCGTTTGCCGATCTCCGTGTATTGGGTGGGCATGAACATCGGAAGGAGGCAAGTGGACCGGTCGAAGGCGCTTCACCTTCTCGTAGGTGGATGGCGATTCATGCAGGATAGACTCGATGCCGTGTTGATCGATCGATACGGCGGCGAGCGGAGAGCTTCCTCGAGATCTTCTTGCAGCGACAGCGATAGAGAAGCAGCGTTTGCCCGGGGGTGCAATGGCTCGAGCTTTGATGACTGGAGGTGAGATGCATGTTTGTGCGGGGCGCCAGATGCGATACGAGCACTCAGCATGAGGTGCTACCTCAGCTGTCGACAGTGAGCGAGCAGCTGCGGATCTGACTGCCGGGCCACCGTGGCCCAGGCATCGAGGGCCCATCATACCATCACCCTTGTATCGATCTGGCCGACGACGTCATGGGTAAGCGGAAGATTGAGAAGCTTACGGCCGAGGGTCGGATGTTGGGATGTTGCTGGCAGCGGGTCGATGCGGTTCGCCAAATTGAGGACCAGGAGGCAGCAATCGGTCGACGTGAGCTTGACTGACCGAGAGCAGCCAGGTTTCGCGAACTGCGGAGAGTGCGCTTTCGAACGGTTGCGATGAACGCTGCTCTGATACGCTTCGCGGGAGATGGCTCCGTCAGCACCTCGAGGATGTTTTGTGAAGCTCTTTGACAGCTCAGTGGCTGTTGCGAGAAGCAGCGTGGTGGAAGCGAAGTTGGTGGATGTCGACCCAAATGAGCGAATCTTGGAAGACTTGCCAAAAAGTCAAAAACGCACATGAGCTTAGCCACGCCACCTGCAATGCCCGTCTGCTGCCTCAAATTTTTAGACTTTTTGGAAGATCTGGTCTGGCCACGCCAAATTGGTCAGCCAGAAGGAGGACCCTTGATCAACCAGAAAACTCCACACGACATGCCGCTCACCACAAAGCGGCCGCTGAGGCATCCCATCAGGATCCTCTGTCCTCACAGACTGTGCTTCGTCGAACGAGTCGGTGACGAACATCGTTGAGGCCGACGTTGAGATACTAGTGGTACACGATTGCCGGTTGGCGTAAAGGGACAACAGCGGACCGAGACTACGCCGCCGCTGACGCCTGTCCTGCACCACGGCCTTGCGCAGACGCACCAGCTTGCTGCTCGGCTCTCGCTTTCTGTAGGGGTTGAAGGCGAAGAGTCGTGTTAGAACCGCGCCATATAGAGCGGCCTGAATGAACATAGAGGTGAGACTTACCATGCGAATCATCTCGACGGTGGTTTGCAAGTTCTCCTGCTGTCGAAGCACGGTTTCTTGCAGCTGCTCGAGGTTCTTCGTGAGAAACTCAACCTTCTCTTGGTACATTTTGGTAGCGTCCGATGTTGACTGGCAGAAAGCAACGCAACGAAGTGTCAGCTAGTTGAATCGCGAGGTCAAGCGAACTCTGGATGCGCTTACCTTCTCAACAAAGTAGCCTGTGCCAACATCGACAATGACGTTGTCCAGATCCGACAGCTTGCCAGGTACGTAGAGTGAGGAAGTTAATGGGATCAATGTCGTCTTGTCTATATGGCCGAAGACGCAGATCAGAGAGCAGGTTTGAATAAGAGTAAGCTGCTGTCAGTATCGACAAGTGACTTGATGACGATTGAGGTGCCAACTTACCTTTGTTCTCGGGCTTGACGCTAGCGACGCTCTCAATGCAGCTCTTGAACTTGGCTTGTGCTGCTTTCAGCTGGCCGAACGAGGATGTGAGGTGCTGCACTTCCGTTTCGAGTTGCTTCTTGACCTCGAGGAGCTGGAGACGACGAGCATTGTTGCGGAAGGAACGATTACCAAGCAAGTCAGCGTTGTGGTACAGACGGCTTGCGAGAAGCTCGCGGTACAAGGCTTACCTGCTGGATGTCCAAGGACATGAGGTCCACTTGCTGTCCCTTCGAACCCATCCTTGCGTTGTTGGGGAAAGCTTGCGCAGCTGGGACGTCGTGGGCTTTTTGCGTTGGTGTTGGTGTGTTGGACCGTCGCGAGTCGCAAGTGTTGGTGTCAGCGAAGCGGATCCGTGCTCGCTGTCTTGACTGGAAGAAACGAGGTTTCGGCCAATTTTGAGCTTTCAGGGTGCAGCATCTTTTTTCGAGTCTCAAGAAACTTAAGCTTGCTCCTCCCCACATCCACAGCTTAGTGGCGTCTCTTACCTCCTCTCGACACACACCAAAGGAAGATCACAATCAGGTCTTTTGCATCCCATCGCATTACTGTATTCGACATGGGCAAATCAAGCAAGTTCTACAAGAAGCCCTCGCTCAAGGAGAAGCAAGCGGTGCAGGGCAAGGTGCGATCTTCAACCTCGTCATCAGCTAGTGCATCAGCTTCCAGTGCGCCAGTGTTCAAGCAGGTCGCAGTCAAGAAGGCAGCTTTGACCGGTAAAGCGCTCGAAAAGCGCCAAGTACTAGAACAAAAGTCACGGCAAAAGGAAGAGGCCACTCGCGCAGCCAAACCTGTCTTCCGTCAAGCTGGGGCATCAGCAACCACAAGTCGCGCATCCATTGCACAAGAGGAGGACGAAGAAGACGAAGGCATGGAGGAGGAAGACGATGATCTGATCAAAAGGCGCCCGCGCAACCGGCAGAGGAAGGATTGGGGTCCCATGCCCAAGGAGATGGGCATCGACTACCTCAAACAATGGGATTCTCGCTCGTGAGCCAGCATTTCAGCCTCGTTTCGCAAGGGCATCAGTCACACTCTGTCGGCTCGTTCCGACTCTATACCCGACTCTGTCACCTTTCGCACGCCACTGCCGGCTCTCAGATCTTCCACCGGCCTTTCCGCCTCATTGGTCAGCGCCTTTGTCATTGTACTAGTACGTTGTTCACATGACAACCATGCTCTCTCACGGATTCAAGGCTTTCAAATGTCTATTTTGAAGTACTTCGAAGTTGCATACAAGATTGCGTGCGATCAGTACACAGAAAGGTGCGAGCTTGCATCGGCTGCTTACTTCTTGGCAGGAGCAGGGTACTCGTAGAAGCCACCCTTCTCGCCGCTCTTCTTGCCCAGCTTGCCTTGCTTGACCAGGTCTTCCAGCAGCTTGGATTCCGAGACAGCCTCAGCCGTGATCTCACCCGTCTTGACGCGAGTCTCCCTCCAGCCCTTGGCAATGTGCGAAAGGGTGTCCAGACCGACGAGGTCAGCCAGCTCGAAGGGACCCATGGGGTAACCAGCACCGAGCTTCATCGCAATGTCGACGTCCTTGGCGGTAGCCTCGCCTCGCTCCACCAGGCGGATTGCCTCGAGCATGTAGGGCACCAGCAATCGGTTGACGATGAAGCCGGGCGAGTCAATGCAGGCCACGGGCGTCTTGCCCATGCGCTTGGCCACCTCGTACAGCGAGTCGAACGTGTCGTTGCTTGTCTTGGTGGTGCGGATCACCTCGACGAGCTTCATCTGAGGGACAGGGTTGAAGGCGTGGAAGCCTCCGAAGCGCTCTTGCCTCTCAGCTGAGACGGCCTCGGCAACGTCGGTGATGGAAAGCGAACTCGTGTTAGAGGCGAATAGAGCATCCCTGGGAGCTTTGCCATCGAGGAAGCCGAACAAGTCCTTCTTGATGCCCACGTTCTCAATGATGGCCTCGATAACCAGGTCCGTGTCCTTGACGGCGGCTGCAGGGTCGGTGGTCACCTTGATCGAGTCGACAACACCCTTGACAAACTTGGCCTGCTCGTCCGCGCTGGCCTCGGCCATCGACTTTTTTGCAATGCGGCCGAGCGACTTGGAGATGATGTTCTGACCGTTGGAGAGCGCCTTGTCCGTGACGTCCGAGAGCGTCACGTTGAACTTGCCCTTGTGAGCCAGCACCTGCGCAATACCAGCTCCCATGAGACCAGCTCCGAAACTATGGAGATGTCAGCGATTCAATGTCGAGGAAGCAGACAGAGAGGTCATCATTGTCAGCGTACATTCAACAAGATCTCCTCGTCGTCGATCCAACTTACACTGTGATGTTCTGAACATCCTTGTTCTGCACCATCGACGTCGAGAAGGCTCGCGTAGCCGATCGGCTCATGGATGCGGCGAAGGCGCCACGCAGCGCAATTCTGGAGGTTTGCAGCATCATCTTGGTCGAATGTGATGTGTTCGGTCGATGAAGCGGGATGGTAGTCGTGGAGTTGCGAGCAGGTTCGAGTTGGTTGGCTTTCTTCTCAAACTGGCTTGCTCCGCAAAGACCAACATCGAGGTGACAGACAGCCCACATAGCGCAACATCGACTTATGCCCGGGCCAGCCGGATCGGCAACTTGAGGCTCAGCGGCTACCCGAGCGTGAAAAGATGCGCAGGGTCCTTTTCCTCGGAAGTGTGAGACCGGCACCATCTCCAAGTTTGATGATATTCGAAACGGCTCTGACCTTGGATGACCACTCCAAAATTTCGAGAGTCCGTCCAGGAAAAAAGTGAGAAAGATGAACATTTTAAACTGAGCTTCGCATCACCTTCGCATTTCAACACGATCTCATCCTCCTCATCCATACACATCGACAACGCCAGCCTCTCTTGCTGAGCATCTTAGAAACACATTGTAGGACCTCGCCAAGCCTGGAAAGCATCGCAAATGTCTAGCGCCGAGGCAAGCACGAGCGCCGACGCTGCTCGTCCGTCCAAGCGCAGCAAGATGAACGCTCCGGACGCCGAGACCATCGCCAACCCTTACCTGGCTCACTGGAACGAGAACGGCGCCTCTTCTTCCAACGCCGCCACTGTCAATGGCTCGATTGCAGATGATCACCCCTTAGCCGGTCTCATTCCACGCAAAGTCACCGGTCCCCAGGCGCGAAAGATTATGGAGGGCGATGTCAACCCCTTCTCCGTGGCGCCCAAGCCATTCTCAGAAGGCTACAAAAAGATCCTGTCCAAGCGAAAGGAGCTGCCGGTCTACGCTCAGATGGACGACTTCTACCAGCTGTTCAACAACAACCAGATCATGGTCATGATCGGTGAAACTGGTTCCGGCAAGACCACGCAGATCCCGCAATTCGTCGCCTATTCGGACCTTCCCAACACACAAAAGTCCAAGGGCTCCGACGGCATCCTCGCACCTCGCATGATCGCGTGTACACAGCCTCGTAGGGTGGCTGCTATGAGCGTTGCCAAGCGTGTGGCAGAGGAGATGGATGTTTCGCTCGGCAAGGAGGTCGGTTACACGATTCGATTCGAGGACGCCACCGACCGAAGGACCACCTTCCTGAAGTACATGACCGACGGTATGCTCTTGCGTGAAGCTATGCACGACCACAACCTCGAACGCTACAGCTGCATCATTCTCGACGAGGCGCATGAACGTACGCTTGCCACCGATATTCTCATGGGTCTGCTCAAGGAGGTGGTGCAAAGGCGATCGGATCTCAAGCTCATCGTCATGTCGGCCACCCTGGACGCGCTCAAGTTCCAAAAGTACTTCAACGATGCTCCTTTGCTCAAGGTGCCCGGTCGCACATTCCCAGTCGAGACCTTCTACACACCCGAGCCCGAGCCAGACTACCTCGAAGCCGCTATTCGTACCGTCATCATGATCCACCAGGCAGAAGACGCCGGTGATATTCTGGTCTTCCTGACGGGTGAGGAAGAGATTGAAGACGCCTGCCGTAAGATCAAGGCCGAAGCGGACGACTTGGCAGCCACCAACCCGGATCTCTGTGGTCCTCTCAAGGTCGTTCCCCTCTACTCGTCGCTGCCACCTGCACAGCAACAGCGCATCTTCGACCCAGCACCGGCACCTCTCACCCCCAACGGCCCTCCTGGACGCAAAGTTGTCGTCAGCACCAACATTGCAGAGACCTCACTGACCATCGACGGCATCGTCTACGTCGTCGACCCGGGTTTCAGCAAGCAAAAGGTGTACAACCCCCGTATTCGTGTCGAGTCGCTGCTGGTGACACCCATCTCCAAGGCCTCGGCGCAGCAGCGAGCAGGTCGTGCCGGTCGTACGCGTCCAGGCAAGTGCTTCAGGCTGTACACCGAGAAGGACTGGGCCAACGAGCTGATCGAGCAGAGCTACCCCGAGATTCTCCGAAGCAACTTGGCCAACACGGTACTCGAACTCAAGAAGCTCGGCATCTCGAACTTGGTCACCTTCGACTACATGGACCCACCTGCGCCCGAGACCATCATGCGTGCGCTTGAGCTGCTCAACTATCTTGCGGCGTTCGACGACGAGGGCAACCTGACACCGCTGGGTGAGATCATGGCCGACTTCCCTTTGGACCCCCAGCTGGCCAAGATGCTCATCGTCAGTCCCGAGTTCAAGTGTTCCAACGAGATCTTGACCATTGCGGCCATGCTGTCGGTGCCCAACGTCTTCGTTCGACCCAACTCGCAGAAGCAACAGGCTGACGCAGCACAGGCTGAGTTCGCTCACCCCGACGGCGACCACTTGACGCTGCTCAATGTCTACCACGCCTACAAGACCAACTGCCGCGACAACAAGACGGCAGCGGACTGGTGCTGGCAGAACTACCTGTCGCACCGTGCTCTGATGCAGGCCGACAACGTTCGCTCGCAGCTACAGCGTCTGATGGAGCGACACAACCTCGGCCTGGTCTCGACGCCATTCGAGGACAAGCGATACTACACCAACATCCAGATGGCCATCGCCTGCGGTTTCTTCATGCAAGTCGCTCACCGCGCAGGAGGCAACAAGAAGGCGTTCCAGACCATCAAAGACAACCAGGTGGTCTCGCCGCACCCGTCTTCGACGCTCGATCACGCCGCCGAGTTTGTCATCTACCACGAATTTGTGCTGACGACGCGCAACTTTATCCGCACCATCACCGAGGTCAAGCCCGAATGGCTATACGACTTTGCGCCCCTCTATTTTGACCCCAACAACATGGACGGCGAGGTGAAGCGCATCATGAGCGCTCTCAAGGCTCGCAAGGAGAAGGGTGGAGCGTCGGCCAAGCGCAGGTAAGGGGAAGCGCCGGAGGGGTGCAGTATGCTGTCCACATGCAATCATTATAGATTCTCGATATAGCTTTAGTTCGAGAGAAGCGGCTTTCACGGCGAGCTGTCAGCCGATTTGGGCTCGATGTGATCTTACAAAGTGAGCAGTGAGTGAACTTTGGGCTCTGATGTGACCACGAAGAAAGCAGGCGCTTTCAGCAGAGATGCTGAAAGTGACACCAGCGCAAACCCGGCACATGCACACACACGCCCACACGCGTTTGGGTGCGCTGATGAAGGCACGGACGCTGCTGTGACCTTTCAATTTTTGTGGAGTTTTGGAGCTTTTACGGCGGCCCTCGCACGCAACAAGGCCGTGAGAGAGAACTCAGAAAGCGTGATGTCGGTCGGTGGGGTGTGATGATCCAAATGGAAAGACCCTTTCAGCGCTTTGATCATTTGACTCAGCTTCGTCTTGAGAGACCAGCGAATACCTTCTTGCACGTCATCCTCGTTCCTCTCTTGCTCTCTTAACGGTCAAGACGCTGCAGCGGTGCGCACCTTCAATTGTCGGCAAGGTCTGTTCGTCGAGCATTCACGCGAGAACCCCGAAGAACAGAGCGCAAGACTTCTAGACCCTTGCCCCCGAAAGTCCACAGCAGTCAAGCTCGTTCCCGCATCGAATGCTGTAGTGACGGTCCCGTCAGTCCTTCCAGTAGCATCAAAACGCCCGGCGCTAAGCTCTTGGTCGGGATCGTTCAAGGCTGCGATCTCCCACAATCTTCGGAAGGCTCAGCGCAGCTGAAACAAAGCACTTCAAAATGCCGGCAGGCTCCAGGACGTCCGGCGGCGTCTTCAGCATGTTCGGCGCCGCTGCGCAGCATCTGAACACCCAAGACCAGTCCAGCAATGCTTTTGCATCCACCTCCGGCGCATCGGTCTGGGACGAGCCAGGTCGCACCATGGACCTCGTCTTCATCATGGACGCAACAGGCTCCATGGGCAGCTACATCAACTCGGCCACCAAAAACATCGAGACCATCTGCGAAAACATCATCCGCTCCGAGCAGCTCAGCGGACCAGGTGCACTGCGCATCGGCCTCATCGCCTACCGCGACCATCCACCGCAGGATCACACGTACGTCGTCAAGAATTTTGGCTTTCACAACAAGGTGGAGAAGGTCAAGGAGGCGCTCAAGACGCTGTATGCCTCGGGCGGCGGTGATGGGCCCGAAGCGGTCACTGCAGCCATGAAAGCTGCGCTGAACCTCGACTGGCGTCCACACGCCACCAAGCTCGCTGTGCTGATCGCTGACGCCCCACCCCACGGCATCGGCGAGTACGGCGACGGCTTCCACGACGGCTCACCGGACGGCGAAGATCCTCTGCGCCTAGCCCGTCAATACGCCAAAGCGGGCATCCCGCTCTTCATGATCGCCTGCGAACCTGCGCTGTCGGGCTACCAGCACGCCGCCGACTTCTTCCAAGGTCTCGTCCAGATCACGGGCGCCATGCTCGTCCCACTCACCACCGCCAGCCTTTTGAGTCATGTCATCCTCGGCATCGCCGGCGAAGCCATGGACCTCGAGCGGCTCCACCGCGAGATCGGCGACGCCATCGCAGAACGCATCCAATCGCTCAGCCTCGAAGGCAACCAGTCCAATCCTATGGACGACGTCGCACGCGAACTCCACGAACGTCTCCTCCTCCGCAACGAAAACACCAAGCAGCTCTACATCGAGAGCATCTACCGCGACACGGACGAGTCTCGGCACAACATCCAAATCTGGGCCACCGCAGCCGATCTCGCATCGGCGAAACCCAACATCAAGCGCGTGGTGGGCTCGAGGTTGAGCGACAAGTACCTGCAGACTCGTCGGGCTACGTCGTCGTACAAGCCGTACGTGCCATTTCCGACGTCGACGGGCGGGGCGACGGGTGCGTTTGGTGGGTCGGCGACGTCGACAAGCCCGCAGCTGGGGTCGAGGAAGGTGGTCACCGAGTTCTCGACGTTCAGTGCGACACCGGCGAGCTTTCAGCAGGCCGGTTCACCGCCCCCTGCCGAGACGGCGACGTTCAGCGGTCCCTCGCCGCGCCTGTCGAATGGTGGGTTTGGGTATAAGAACACCCAAGGGTTTGCGTATCGCGGACGAGACGCGGCGATGATGGATGATGACGATGACGACGATGCGCACCGCGTCGATGGTGGGCGAGTGACAGAGGAGGAGGAGGCCAAGGACTCGACGAGCCTGCCTGTGACGCACGAGGACGGCGTCGTGCGGGTGCAGGGCGAGGACGGACAGACGCTCGCCTACCGCCAGGGCGCGATCTCGCTGGAACAGGTGAGGAGGTTGGCCATGCAGTCGGCGTACAGGGGAGGATTGGCGAGCGATTGAGGCGTACCCAGCCCAAACAGTTCAAAAGTCGGTCATTCTGACAACGCAATGAAGCACCATTCATCTTTCAGCCCGTCTCACCGGTTCGGTGCGTCTTGAGACGCTCCCTCGGCAGCACTTCGATCACAATTCTGAGGAACTTGAGTGGAAGGGTATCGTTCAATCAAGAGAGCCAGCTGTACAAGCCGGCACTAGCTGCCGCCTGGACGGTCCACGCGGCGCCCAGTATCAACGGGGACCACCACCTGCCCCTTCCCGCTTTTCCGCTGGTCGGAAGCACAGTCGCAATGGCAACACCCGCATTCAAACTCGCCAGGAAAGTGCGAATGATCCAGACCATCCAGCTCCTGTCTTCCCCTTGCACGCTCGGCTGGTGGGAGTGAGGGAATTTGGAGCTCCACAGCAACACGAATGACAGCAGCAAGAGTGGGGAGAGTTGCGACAGCAGCAGGGCTTTGCATCCGATCAGCGGGTCGGGTGTCTCTTTCACTGGATGGTCCTTTTCCGTTTTGCTTGTGCTGGACGGTGTGTGGGAGAGGGTGCGGATGGCGTAGCGGGTGAGCAGCCCGACGCAGAGCTGCAGAGCGAGAGTCTCGATCAGGGTGATGAGTAGGACGTTGGCATAGCTCACGAGGGTGGGGAGCATCGCATCCGCCCCCTGCTGCACCGTCTCACCCGCGCTCCAGAGAGGAGTGGCGCTACAGACGGCCTGCACTGCTTTGTCGTTGGTACGCGGAGTGAAGGCTGAGGGAAAGAACAGGCCCGCATGCACCGGCAGGGTTGTTCGCGCCCAGCTTACCAGCCTTCCCGACAACCTGCCGGCTGTGACTGGAGAGGGTGGGGCCGGCGGCTGAACGCACAGATAAAACCACCGGATATACGCATCTACCAACCCCAGAGCCAAGATCCGTTTGAACAGCGCCCACACCTCCCCCTTGCCTCCCGAGCTGTGTGGTGTGACCGAAGGCGAGGGACGCAAGATGCTAGACCGGTTGAAGAGCAGGTGTCGATACGCCGCGGGTTTGGCTAGGATGAGGTCGATGATCACGATCGGAAGGTCGTGTTCCAGATACGAGTCTGCTAGGACCACCGCCGAGGCGGACCCAGAGGCGACTGAAGGAGAAGGCGAGCAGACGGGCGAGGTGCATGGAGTGAGAACGATGTGGTCTCGCCCATAGCGCATGTAGAGCGAGGCGATGGGCGTTGCGCAGTGGATGCACATCGGCATGGTTGGCGATCAATGGCGTGTCGCCGTAGAATGTGTGCGGTCAAGCGCTATACAAAGCGCTTGTCTAGAGCCAATGTCATGTCAGAACGACAGACATGGTCGAGGGAGTCGAGAAGTGGTGAGTGAAGGTGAGAAGGGGAGCGATATTTGACGGCTGAGCATTGGCTCGTGCTCGCTCCACAGCACCCTTTTTTCGGACAACCCACGCTGCACTGTGAAGAACTCAAGGTTCGGAATGCATCAGCAACCTTGACGAGGTAGCTAACTTGTACAGTCTCAGGAGTTCGCTATCCAGCAGCACCAGTCAGCTCGCAAACGGTCTCTTCAGGGTCGTGTGATTGGATCGAGAGGTGCGTGATAAGATTGCAAGTAGAGCACGAGGGCTGATGTGGTTTTGTTTCGCGGCTGAGCTGCATCGACGTTTCGTCTGCTCCCACAGCATCGCCTGAGATGGTCATTAATGTACAATAGGGCAAATGGTTACCTCGCTTAGAATCCAGGAGGACGCAATCCCTGAGGAGCGGGAGCCTGGGCCTGGTACTGACCTGCGCCCTGCTGACCCTGCTGACCCGCTGCACCTGTTGGAGGAGCCAGCATGTGCTGTGCGCCCTGCTGTTGCGCCATCATCTCCTTCTCCTGCGCAACGATCCTCGACTCGTCCTCGACCGCGAGTGCGAATGGCAGGCCGACGAGCAGCGCCGAGGTGGTGACAACCCAAACGAGCTTGCCGGCGAGCAGAGAGCCTGTGAAGGCGTACGATGTGGTGGTGTTGAACGTGGATGCGATCGAACGGCGCGTGCTGGGCGGGATGATATCGCGGAGAGCAGAGATACGCTCCCATACAGACTCCTCGTGAAGAGCAAGACCTCGTTCGGACACTTCAGAGTCGTCCGAGAAATCAGACTGTCAATCGCAAAGGTGCGAACAAAAAAGGGTGGGAGAGTGTTGTCAGTCGTGAGGCGGATGATATATAGTGAGACAGGGAGTGAGAGCTTACCTCGGCATCGGACTCTTCCTCCTCCTCCCAGTCGTCGTCGTCCGCAGCAGCGGCAGCAGCAGACGTTCGCTGCTGTCGGAGGATCTCCTCGTCGGGGACTTCTTCCAAGCGAACCATGGTGAGGTGATGCAGCTATGTCCGTTCGAGCTTGTGTCTGCGAGGTAGGTTGGATAGCGTCGTTGGGTATCGTCAGCTTGGTGATACGCGCGAGACGATGACACAGAATCGAGATGAAGAGAAGAGGATGAACATGCATCGCCTTTGCCAAAGTGGAGAGGGGATGACACGCTGGGAGAATTTCACGCCTTCCGGCTTCCGGACTGCGACTTTTCGAGGCTGCTCCTCAGTCTCTCTCAAAAATTTGTGGTCTCTCGATCAAGCACGAGACTGAGCAAAGCCAACCTTCTCGAAACAGCGATAACTCTAACATGCGGGCTCAAAGCGCAGAAAAAGAAAAGAGAACTGCAGCACCTAGGATTCCCGCGTGGTCCCCCACCGCAGTACTGACTAGGCGATACCTTGCTTAACTTCGCAGATCGGACGGGATGCGGTGCTTTCAAGGTTCTATGGCCGCAGATGTGAAGTGATCACATTGAGCACAATATATACCACACTAAAGCACCTGTGGTCGTGACTTTGCTCGGCGACCGTTCGCAATGAGCCTACCTAGATGTCGATGATTGGCTGCTTTGATCAGTAAGGCCTTCTCTAGCAGTTCAGATATCGTTTCAGGCTCTCAGGGCTTTGAGAAGGCTCTGACGGCGCCAATGTGAGCAATCTAGAAGACCACGTATGGCAGAAGGCAAAGGAAGTTGGCAGACGGAAAGGCCCAAGGGTGGCGTGGCTCCTTCCACGTCTTCCTTGCGGCAGCTCTGCTTCCGGGCCAAACCCCATTTTGTAGAAAATCAAAGCTTGAGGCACACTCTCACTCGACTCAGCGCAGCAGCTCGGCAGCCCCACAGCGCATTGTGCCATTTCTTCTTGACCGACAAAGCTCAATATCGCTCGCGTGTTCCTCTCCGTCCTCTGACCATCATCAACCCTCTCTATCACCCAACCATCCTTCACCCCTCGTGCTTCCGGGCGTGAGCATATTCTATACATCATGAGCGGAGCTATCGGAAACATGGTAAGCATCTCCCGTCCTGCATCTGACGCTTTCGCCATTCAGCATCAGCACGCCTCGCAAGGCCGAATCGACCGCTGACAATCAGGTTACTCTTCGTTCACCTCTCCGCAGGCCTTCATGTTTGGCGCCATGCAAGTCGCCAAGCGCATCCCGTTCGATGACAAGCCCGAGTACATTCAGTACGCTCGTGCCGGATACGTTGCCTTGCAGCTCCTCTGTCTTGCCGTGTACTACTACTGCTCGTTCCGCGTCAAGAAGGCGAACGACCTCACCGTCATCAAGTACGTCAACGCTAAAAACCCCATGTCTCAAGAACCCGGAGAGCTGGTCACCACCACCAACCGCGACTACGACCTCGCCGAAATCTCCAAGTCGACGCGCGGCATCCTCATGGGCTGTGCCATGGTCGGCTTCATGCACCTCTACCTCGGCTACACCAACCCGCTTGTCATCCAGTCGATTCTGCCGTTGAAGAACGCACTCGAGTCCAACATGGCCAAGATCTGGGTTTGGGGCCAGCCCGCACAGGGTGATCTCAAGCGCCCCTTCAAGGCTCCCCCCGGACTGTTCGGCGCCGCTGGCCAGGCCGGCCCCCAGACCGACAAGGCCGCTATCAAGGAGGCTGAGAAGGCTGGTTCCGGCAAGAAGGACGAGTAAGGTTGGGGAAGATTCAGGATGCCGAGCATAGGTCACAATTTTGCTTTGCGTTGCCTCCGTCCTTGCTTACCCTTTTTGCCGCGCAGAGCGCTCACACCGCCGCTACGCTGTCTTTTCTTTACTCATGTACATACCACGCATCCGCTTGATCGTCGGCGTACCGTCGATTCCATCTGTAACATGATCATTCACGAAAGATACCTCTAGAACGAAAGGCTGTCGAGTGAGACTGACACGCTGGCTGTCCTCAAATCCCCAACGGCATCCGGCATCACGAACAATAATTCACGCTGCGATGTCTGCTTCAATGCACACCAATAACCATTGCTACAGGATTGCAGCGACCGCAGACGAAGCAGGGCATCGCTTTGTTTAGACGATGTCGTGGATGGTGATGTGCTGCTTAGCCTCTGCACGAAGCAGCTCGTCGCGGCGGCAGCTCAAGACAAAATCCGATTTCCGTTTCCTGGCAAAAGCTCCATCGCGAGAGGATCACGCAAATTGGCCAACCACTTTTTGGTCCTTATCCTCCATCATCGATCGCTACCTTTGTTTCGCCTACCACCACGGCCGCCAGCTGCCGCCTTCTGCACTCGTTCATCTTCCACCCTCCCTTAGCAAAGCTTTGACAGGAGACCGCGCTCCGCACGTACCACCGACGACTCGGTTTGCCAACAGAAGAGTCGATCGCAGTCGCATTACGCTTCCAGCGCCGAGCTCGTCCGCAGCATCACAGCACACGCACAGTTGATAGCAGAAGAACGAGACTTCACTGCACCGCACGCGCTCGTACACGGAGGCACCACAATCTCCAGCTTCGGCACAAGACACACACACACCTACGCACAATATGAGCTCGGCCGTACGAGACCCGCTCGAGGGCGACATCCCGTACGTCGACGGGGAGCAGATCGAGGAAGACGAGGAGGAGGAAGAGGAGGATGTGCCCATTGGCGCGTACGAGGATGAGATCTATGGTAAGCCCCATCCTCCTTCATTCGCGGCTCCCATAGCGAATCGCTGACATGACCTTGAATGCTTTGTTCCCAACTCGATAGAATCAGAATCGCCCTCGGAAAGTGGCACAGAGTCTCTCACCTGGATCTCGTGGTTCTGCTCCCTGCCGGGTCACGAATACTTTGCCGAGGTAGGCGAAGACTTTATCGAAGACGACTTCAACCTTACGGGACTCAACGCGCTCGTTCCGTTCTACAAAGAAGCCCTGGAAATGATCCTCGATGTGGAACCACCTGAGGAGGACTCACTCAAGATCCCGGACGTCTCGATCGTCGAATCGTCCGCCGAACTGCTCTACGGGCTGATCCACCAACGATACATCCTGACGCGACACGGGATGCAGCAGATGGTGGAAAAGTACGAGGCGGGTCATTTCGGCTACTGTCCTCGCGTCTTTTGCCATTCTCACCCGGTCCTCCCTTGTGGGCGAAGCGATCTACCTGGCTTGGACACGGTGAAACTCTTCTGCCCCAATTGCGTGGACAACTACAGTCCGCCAAGCAGTCGCTTTCACGGCGTAGACGGCGCGTTTTTTGGTACCACCTTCCCCCATCTCCTCTACCAATGCTACCGGGATCTTTTCCCATCCATCATCGCACCCAAACCAACATCCGACGTCGGTGACCACCAGATCACTCTTGGCCCCCAACCCACCCCCAGCACCACAGAAGAGACAGCAACACCAGCAGAGCCAGAGGTGCACAGAACAATCCACCCCGACCAACTCGGCAAACGCGTCCCCTACAGCAGAATCTACACCCCCAAGATTTATGGGTTTAAGGTCAGCGAGTACGCCAAAACAGGCCCGAGGATGAAGTGGATGCGCATGCGACCTACCGCTCTTGACCAGTTGGATCGCGTTTGAATGCAATGGCAAGATTTGATTTTGTTACCGTTCCAAGAGTTTGGCGTGAGATCTGAGCAGATGCCCCCCGAGCCCCGCCGCGGCGTCAGTGTGTGTATCTCATCTGCATCGCATCTCATCGTTCGCGCCGGCATCTCTGCCTCGCACAATCACGCTGAGAGAAGCCAAAAGGGCCGAGCAAAAGCCAAGTTCGCAATTGTAGAAACCACGTCTGAAACTATATACAAGTGAAACGAATGCGAACGAGACCTGAGATGTAAAAATGGAAAAGTGGTGGAGGAGGTATCAACCTTGTTGCGTCTGGGGCGAGGCGCGTGTAGCCAGATGCGGTGAGCCTGCCGTGCCTCCATTAGCGGCGGCGGCGGCAGCGGCAGCGTTCTTGAGCTGCTGCTGCTGAACGGCGTGCAGGTTCATGCTCGCCTGAACCGGAGAAGCGTGGTACGATACGGGCGAGCCCACGGCCATCATCTTTGCGTTGGCCGCATTGGTCGCTGCGGCGATGGCAGCTCGGTTCGCCGCCGAGATCTGCGGCGACGGCGAGTTGGTCGCGTTGGTCGTGGCGGTGCCGTTGTGCACGGGCGAGCTGCCGGCCATGGCGCCGTTGATGCCATTGGCAGCGAAGCGCGGAGAGCCGGCGGTGGAGGCGCGAGACATGGCAGGCGAACCTTGGTTGGAAGCATTGCCGTTGACCTGGGCCTGTTGCGCCTGCTGGGCCTGTTGACCTTGCTGTTGCGCACCAAAGGCAGCCTGAGCAGCCTGCTGCGCGATTTGCAGCGCCCGATTCGGTGGCAAGCGCAGGTTCATGTTGGCGTTTTGCGCAAGAGCAGCCTTCATCGCCATCAGCTGAGCTGCGTTCGCATTGCCCTGTTGACCTTGCAGCATCTGAGCCTGTTGCTGCAACGCCTGGTACTGTTGCAGATTCGCAGCACCGTTCTTCATCTGCGCTGCTGCCAAGCTGAGGTTCAGGTTGAGCGCACCCGCTTGCTGCTGCTGCTGCTGCTGCTGCTGTTGCTGCTGTTGCTGCTGTTGCTGCTGAGGCATTACCATACCCGCTTGCATCACGGGCGAGGGGTTGGTTCGACCACCGTTTTGTCCGTTGGCTGCCGCTGCAGAGACAGGAGACGCTGACGTGCGCCCCATCTGCTGTTGAGGCTGCGAGCTTACCCTAGCGTGTTGCATCGGCGGGCTGCCAGCGTTTCCATTCATGCTGAGGCTGAGGTTCATCCCAAAGGGCTGAGCGGCGTTGGGCACGGTGAAGGCGGCAGATTGCATGGGCGAAGAGTGCGCCATGCCTTGCTGCGGCATCGATCGCGCCAAGTGCTGCTGCGCCTGCTGCATCTGTGCTTGAATGGAAGTGGTGTCGAACGGCATGGACTGGCCAAGCAGGTGCGTCTGACCTTGAGCGGCAGCGGCCGCCATCTGCATCTGCAATTGCATCTGCATTTGGATGGGCATCTGCATCTGCATCTGCACTGGCAAGCCGATCTGCTGCTGTTGAGGCTGCTGCTGCTGCGTTACTCCGCTGAGACGCCTTTGCTGCTCCTGCTGCTGTTGCTGTTGCTGAGCCACTGCTTGCGCTTGCAACTGCTGCTGCGCCGCGGCAAAGGCTGCCAGTTGGGCCTGTTGGGTATTGTTGTGCGACAGCGACATGATCTGGCTGCCAAAGGGCTGCGGCAGCTGTTGCTGGGCGCCCGCTTGCTGCTGTTGTGCCTGCGGCTGCGACGGGACTCCGGCTTGCTGTGGCAATGGCTGTTGTTTTTGATGCTGCTGTTGCTGCTGTTGCTGTTTTTGTTGCTGCTGCAGGAGCGCGGCTTGCTGGGCCTGAGCCTGGGCCGCCGCTTGCGCCTGTGCCTGTGCCTGAGCGGCGGCGACTTGCTGTTGTTGCTGCTGCTGAAGGATGGCCATCTGGAGCTGTTGCTGTTGCGCTTGCAGCTGCTGCGCCTGCAAGGCACTCTGTGAGCCACCTCCGCCTGTCGCTGCCGCAGTGCGAGCTGCCGACGGCATCGGAAGGGTGGCAGCATTTGGGATGCCAGGCAGGACTGCGCTTGCAGCGGCCGCAACGGGCGTAGCCGAGACCTTGGCAGAGGCAGCGACAGCGTTGGCAACCGCCGAAGACGTAGAGGTCACCGGCTGATCCACGTAGCCTGCGGGTTTGGCAGCCGGTGCCTCAGCGGCCGCCTGTGCTTGTTGAAGGTTGGTGAGATCCGTCGACAGCTTCAGCAGATCCGATTCTTCCAGCAGTGTCATTCTGTATCGCATGAACTTCTGGTCAAAGTCGTCCAAGACCGCTTCGTCATCGTCCTCCATGCCTCCAAGCGCCGTGAGACCGAGACCAGCAAAGCGACCAGACTCGTCGTCGTACCGCCATTGCTCTTCCAATCGGGTCCATCGTTGCAACTCCCGTTCAGGATCGGCCACATCGTCTTCCAAATCTTCGCTGTCGGACGCATCCTGCTGGTGCAGCTCGTTCTCGCGTTTGTCGTGCTCCTCGTCCAGGCCAAGCATGTCGATGTCGCCAACTTCGGTGGCCTGAGTGCTGACGACGCCGACTGAGGTGCCGCTGAGACGAGAGCGATCGCTCGAGATCGATGACGTGCTCGAGGTATCAGAGTGCTGCGAGCCTGAGACTTCCTCGTGCGCATTCGAGACAGGCGCGGATGCAAAAGGCCCGCTGCGTGCAAAGGGACCACCGAAGGTGCCATTGTCGTGATGGAGAAGCGACTGCACCGCGGGATGAGCCGTAGAAGCCAGCAGCTGTGGATGAAGATCTGGCGTGAAAGCGAAAGGTCCCGTCAACGCCTTCTTCGTGGAAGGCGGCGAGCTGTGCAAAGTGGAGTCCGACAGCGTCGCGTCGGGCTCGGCGGTCTGCGCATTGCTAGGTTCCTTCTCTTCGATGCCTGGGAGCTTGGACATGGTTCGGCCGTAGCGTGGCCAGTCGGCGAGATTCGTCGGCACAGGACTAGGAACGGGAAGGCGACGATCCAAGAAGACGCGGCCACCACGGCCGACGCGCCTGCGGAACGAGGGCGGTCGACCGGCCCGTGTGGAGAGAGGCGAGAAAGTCAGCGGGTCCTCCGAGGCCTCGGCATGGATAGGCCGGAAGGCTCGCAGGGGCGCCGGCGCAGGGATCGGTTGGAAGGCGGCATCGCTGCCCTCTTCCCAGCCAAGGTCGGTGTCGGCTTTGCGCAGACATTCGCGTTCGATGTACGCCTGCACAGCGTGCACACGTTCGAGAATCGCTGAGCCCATCCCAGACACACCACCGGCCGACGCAGACGCCGCACCGGCAGCGGAGCCATCGGCCTCGCCACCGCGCGACTTGCGTCCCGCCAGCTTGATGGTCGTTGCAGCTTCGTCGGCCTTGCGCTTCTTCTTTGCTTGCCCGGACGCAGACTGTGTCGGATCTCTGCGTTCTCCTGAGATGAGCTCTTCGTCCTCCAAGCCCTGCTGTGGGCCCACGATGCCCCATTGTCGCTTGATGTCCATGAGATCCTTGACGGTCTCCCAGCAATCCCGGCTCTGCCGCAACGAGGCGCGCTTGGTCTTTTCGCGCTGTGCTACAAGCTCGGTCAGTGCCACGGCATGCTCGAGCTCGGCGCGCAGTCGGATCATCTTTTCGATGTGAAGCGCATCGGTCTTTCGCGTCTTGCGGATCTGCTTGACCTCACGTCGACGGAAGCAGACGTAAGGATCACTGTCGTTGGTTTCGTCGAAGTTGAGCGAGGGAGTCACTGGTTGGCCATCGCGATCTTCGCGCCGGCTCTTCCAGTGTGCGTAGACGACGGTGGCCAAGATTTTGAGGTCGGCCAAGTTCTTGTAGGGGTTGATGGGCGACCATTCCGTTGATGAGGGGGGTCGGATTACGGGAGCGCCGGCGTTGGAAGGTCGACGGGAGGAGCCGCCGGCACTGGCACCGACGCTCTTCTCCCAGCTGAGAACGGGCAAGTCGGGCTGGGCGAGGGCAGAGATGGAGGAGGATGGCTCGAAGTAGGCGACGAGCTCTTCTGATGTTGGGATCTTGGTGACGTCCAGATGAAGGAAGGGGACCTGCTCGGTGGTAACCTGCTCGAAGACGGTCATGATCATCTCGAACTGATCTTCGGAGAGTGGGCGATAGCTGCTCTGGTTTTCCGAGATGAGCTTCTCGATGGCGTCCTCGCGTAGCTTCTCCTTGGCTTTGCCCTTGCCTCCGCTTCCAGCGAGAGGGCCTGTCTTGGCGTTGCGAATGGCCGCTGTCAACGCCTCCTGGGCGTTTGCATTTCGTGTCTCGAGCCAGTCCTGGTCATCTTCGTCCATGTTATAGCTCGGCCCCTTGATGCAATCCTCGACCGTATCCGAGAAGCGGATGTAAGTAACCGGATCCGAGTAGACCCCAGAGGGGTAAAGCTGCGAGAACTCGGCATTGGAGAGCGTGCCGTGCGCATCGGGAACGGGAATGCTGTAGGCGGCTTTCGCTGCCTCTGCTGTCGCATTGCCTTCTGCGGTCGCGAGCTGATTTGAGGACAGTGCGGCCTGCAGATGGTGTTCCGAGATTTCGCTGGCGTCGACACCCAGATTAGAGTCCTGAGCGTGGTCCTGGCCTTCGAACTCGGGCTCCGGCCCCGCCACCACCGAAGTGGCGGCGTTGAGCAGATGCGACCCGCGTTGAACGCATACTGTTGTGATCGAGTGCGCGGATCGGATGGCGAGCGTGGTTTGTGAATAGCGATTGTAGAGGAAGATTCGATGATGTCGAATCGAATCGAATCATCATGGCGAAGAGAACGCGGAATGGGGTGTTGGTTGTGTTGTGTAGACAGTGATGAAGTGGTGGGTCAAAGTTGGAAAGGAAAGGAGAAGGTGACGAGCAAGATCCAAGTACCACCATCAGATTGGTCAAATATCAAAACGTGGATGATCGCGACAAGAGCGAAGTTGAATGGTGACGAGGGCGAAATTCGCGTCATTTGTCCGGGTAGAAATGGAAAATCGAGGCAGGAGGATGAGAGAAATTGAAATTGGAAAAAGTCAGTGGATGAACGCGTTGAGAAGGGGTCTGCAGGTGCGCGGGGCCACTTACGCTTCTGCCTATATGAGAGCTTTTTGTTCCTGACTCTGCTGGACGATGTCGCAGCAGGGACAGGAGCCGCGCTTCTCGCCATTCCGGATGGTGACGAGTTACAAGGTAGCCGTCGCGCCCATCCAAGAAGATCAAGAGGGCACTAGAGACGGCAACGACGACGAAACAAGACGGTGCGCGGAGCTAAATCTGGAGGAAGGAAAGTCGATGTCCGCTCCGGAAGGTTGTTGAGAAATGTTGTGGTAGAAGGCTGGCTTCTGACGTTGTCAAGAACGATGTCGAGGACAAGCTTTGAGGATACCGAGAGGTGAAAGGGATCGTGAACGCAGCGCAGAGCAATTGATGGTCGCGGGGGTATGTAGGTCAAAGCAGGACCTTTCTAGTGTACAAGAGACTCAAAAATTGGTGGCTCAAAACGATTCCTGATGGCGACGACGACGAACAACGATGGTAGCGTAGGTGGTGATGAAGGGGGCTGTCGAGAGAAGAAAATGCCAGGTCGAGCAGGTCGTGACGAATATCAGGTTTCCAACTAAGGAACCCGACAAAGAAGGTGGATGATGAACAAGAACGGGCGGATGGAAGGATGGCGAGGGTGTGAAGAGGCGAGGAGGTGGATGCGAGGACGAAAGAGGCGTCCAAGATCTGGATGAGAGAGCGTAAGACCCGGATGGGATGAGGAGTAGGAAAGAGGGATGAGGAGGAGGAAGGCGGGATATTTCGAGCAGATTCAACTGTTGACGGGTTGAAAATCTGGAGAAGAGGATGGAAAAGGCGAAAAGGACGCGCGCAAGTCAGATGCGAAGAGGCGAGGGGGGGCAAAGGGGAAGATGGTAAGAGAAAGTCGAGCCGATACGGCAGCTCACGGCGCAGAGCTGATGGGAGGGGTTCGACGCGTTTTGGGAAGAGATTTGGATTTGGCGAAAAGGGGGATTTCCACAGGAAACAGGCAGAAACGACCAACTCGCGCGAAGACTCAGCCAAAGACGAGTCAGAGAAAGAGATGGGTCAGAGATGAGCAACGGCGAGCAGCAGACCACTGTTGAAAATGCTTGAATATTGGGCAAGAAGCAGCTCGAGATCGGAAATTGCTTGAGAGGGAGGAGGCCTGGCTGAGCCAAAACGTAGGACAGCTTTTCTGCTTGCCTGGTTGCAGACGCGAGTTTCCGACGATTTTCCTTTTTCCAATTTGGCAAGGGCCCTGGTGCTGTGCAGCAAGGCTCTGCTCTTCTGCGACTCGCGATTGGCCGGCTTGCTGGAGCGGCGTGTCGCTGAGAATGCGGGCGTGAGCAATGAATCGGAAGATGTGCAGATCGGTCAAACGGATCGCACGATCGACGCGATCCTCTAAAGACGTCTGCTTCTGGGCATCAAGGCGGCAGATGCTGGACTGAGATTGCTGAGCTTCCTGAGGGACCTGTCCACGACGCTTGATAGCATGATGGATCAGGCGGACGATGAAGGATTCGTATGGCAGGATTGTTTCACGTGCGCTTCTTCTTGGAAGGAGGCTTGCGACGACCATTGTAGTTGGAGCGATGACTAGCTTGCGATTCGGCAAACTTGCGCTTGGCGTACGACGCAGCCTCTGCATCTCGGATGAGTTCCTCGACCACAGTGCGACCCCTCTCCTGACGGGACAGGACAGCCTTGGGTTCGAGCGGCGAGGCGATGATCTTACCGATCTGGGCGAACTTGGGCATGGCCTGGTTCTTGGCCGAACCTCGATAGAAGCGCTTGGGATCGAGCGCATTGCGCAGTCGTAGCGCTTGGACCTCGCGACGCAGTTGCTGAGCAGAGGCGAGACGAGCATCGCCGCCGGTCGTCTTGGCGTGGCCGGAGTCGACGGCTGACTGCTTCTTGAGGGCAGCGAGACGTGATGCGGATGCGCCAAACTCGGGCATGTCGAACCAGCTCGAGCCGGTCGAGGTCTGAACAGTGCGTGCATGCTTCGACTTCTTCCTGTCGGCTTCGATCGGAGCTTGATCAAGATTTTCGATTTGCTTGTCGAGCTTGGCCTGGGAAGAGCTTGGCGCTTTGCTAGGGATCGAATGCGCCTTCGCCATCTGGTGCTTGGCCTTGACTACGAGAGGCATCGGCTTGGCAGAACGCTTCGAGGTTGCTGCGTTATCCGAGACAGCTTCGAATGAAATCACATCCTGATTGTCCTCGAAGCGGCTCTGAGCAGTAGGGGCGGGCGCTCGACTCTTGAAGGCTTGCTGCGATGCCTTCAACAACGCATCCAGATCGGGTGTGGTGTCGTCTTCTTCTTCACCGTCGTCTGAGGACGAGTCCGAGCCTGAGCTGTCATCTGAGTCTGAACCGCTGTCGGAGCTCGAGCTAGAAGAATCCTCGTCGTCGCTAGAGGAGGCTTCCGAAGGTATTGATGCAGGTGCTTCCTCTTCCTCTGACACGGGTGCAAGGCTGGATTCTCGGATGAGACTCTCTTCTTCAGGTAAAGTTGACTGCGGCAGGTCGCCATCAGTATCCAGCTCTTCCGATGCTTCTCGCGTCGAAGCCAGAAGGCTGTCCTCGTCAATAACGGTGAGACTCTCTGGGTCCACCGAGCGTGAACGCGAGCGAGTCGAGCGCCTTAATGGAGGCTGGAGTGAAGACGCTGTCTTCTTCTTCGGTGAAGCGCGCGTCGACTTTGATGGAGAAGAGGCAGCAGATGTCGAAGCCTGAGAGGACTTTTGCGATGCGACGGCGCTTGTGCTTGCGCTTCCAGCGTCGAAGAACGGCGAAGCACTCCGCAAGCGAGCGCCACGCATAGGCTGTACGCGCTTGGACGGGCTGTCCGCCTCTTTGGCTGGGGAGCTCTGTCGACCTCTTCTGGTGGTCGGCATGATTGCGGACCGGTTGGCAAGGATTTAGTATAGTGATGAGCTGGTCGGCAAGGTTTGGTGGGAGGAGGCACGAGCGGAAGGAGTGAGCCACGCAAGTTCTCCTCGTCTTCCTCGGTTGCCAAAATTTCATAGCTCGAGGACCCTGTCCCACTCCCAAGTCTTGCCGTTGCTGAAATTTTGGCTGACAGGTCCACCTGAATGACTAAGAGAGACGTAATACAGCTCAGCCCTTTTCCGAAGATGGCTGCAAGCTGCAGGCTTTGGCCTTGAAATTTTTCAAGCGGAGAGCAAGGGTCCCGCAGACAAGCGGGCGGCATAGCTAATTTCGCTTTCCTCCTCCTCATCACACCAGACCCTCTGTGCGTAGCCATCGACGCTACCTCATACACACAGCATGGCGGGACGTCGGAGCCCGAAAGGTCGCCGCAGTGGCGATCCTTCGCTCAGCCGCTCCGCAGGCTTTGACGACATTCCTAGGGATGACGAGGATCTCTTCGAAGCCAGCCGAGATCAGATTCTTCTGGACGGCCAAGACCGTGGCATCGACTCGGACGACGACATGGACGTCGGGCTCAACGATCGGGAGGTCTTGGGAATCGATGAAGCTCGCTCTGATGAAGACGAGGATGCCGATCTGGACGACGATGAAGATGCCGAGGCTTACGACGAGGACGAGGCATATCCGTCTCAAGGCCGCCGCGGAATTAAAAAGGCCGACATCGTGGTCTCGAGCGACGACGACGATTTAGATGACGACGAGGAGGACGATGAAGATGCAGAGGATGGACAGGAGCTGCACGAGAACGACCGCGGCTGGGGCGCCAACAAGCGCGCCTACTACAACACAAACGACCTGGACGCCATGGACTCCGACTCGGACATCGACGAGGAGCAAGCTCGCGAGCTTGAGCTCAAGGAGGTCAAACGCCTGCAGAAGAAGAGCCGAAGCGCCATGGACGATTCGGACTTCGGTCTCGGCGGCGACGACGTGGACAGCGAACTCGTCAAATCAGCTCAGGACGCTGGCCGGGAGCAGCGAAGGCGCGAGCTCGATGGCGACGACAGCATCACCGCATCCCCTCGCAGCAAGAAAGCTGCTGCCTTTCCGAGCAAGTCCAACGGCGTCACTACACAGGCAAACGACGAGGCGAGTCGTCGGGCACGACTTGCCAAGCTTCAGCAGTCAAGCCCAGAAGCTGTCGCGCTCGCCGGAGAGTACGCCGACATGCTCGAAGACTTTGGACGCGCCGACGCTCTGCTCAAGAAGATGATGGTTGAGCAGCCCAAGAATGCTTCTCTCGAGGTGATGCACGTTCATTACCAGACACTCGCCACCTACATCACCACCATGACCTTCTACTTCCACCTGCGCGCCACTGCCGAATTCGCCAATGATCCTGCCAAGCTTCGAGCGCATCCGGTCATGCAGCGGATGATGTGTCTCAAGCAAGGTCTGAGTGTCATGGAGGATCTCGGTCTTACTTTTGATGGCCAGCGCACGCCAGGCACGAATGGCGGATTGTCGTCGGACGAGATGGACGAGATGAACATGCTCAGCCAGGGCAGCGAGGACGATGACTTGGGCGATCTGGACGAAGACGAGCTGGCCGATCTCATGGCAGACGCCGGCGGAAAAGAAAACGCGGCTCCCGTCAAGGTCGGAAAAAAGAAGAGCAACAAGCAGGAGTACGACGATAAGGACTACGAAGAGGCGACCTCCAAGCCGAAGCCGAAGAAGAAGGCTGCCGCCGACAAGCCCAAGAAGAAAGCGACCAAGGCTAAGAAGCCAGAGCCTGTTGCACCGCTGGCGGCCGGGCTCGCGGACCTCAACGATGAGCCCGTGCTCCAAGTCAAGCTTAAGAAGAAGGGCAGCGCCGGCAGCTCTGCCACGAGCAATCCGTTTGCGGTGTCCGACAACGCCACCAACTTTGACGATGCGACGTTTGGCGAGATGTCGGGACTGTCTTCGATCGATTCGGCGGAGCGAGCGGCGAGGAAGCGCTCGTTGCAGTTCCATGCATCCGCGATCGAGAGCAAGGCACTGCAGCGCTCCAAGGCTGCCAAGGAGCGTCAGTCGGGTGATGCAGACATCCCCTACCGCGATCGCGAACGAAGCCGAGCCGGCGTCGAAGCGACCAAAGCTGCGCGTGAAGCGAAACTGCAGCAGCAGCTCAACGGTGGCATGGGCAAGGACGTCGCTCTGGACGGCCAGGATGGGTGGGGCCAAGCAGACGAGAAGGACTGGCGCGATGTTATGGGTCAGTCCTCCGCCTCTTCTTCACGTCTCAGTGGATCCGCCAACGACGACGATGGCGACGACGACGCTGCCGACTACTACGATCTTGTCACGTCCTCTCGCAAGCGCGCCCGTGCCGAAGCCAAGGAAGAGTACGACGAAGCACGTAACGCCGAGCGCTTCGCACTCATGGAAGACGACGTCTTGGAAGACGGCCAACACCGCGGCATCAACCGCCAGATCGAGAAGAACAAGGGCCTCACACCGCATCGCCCCAAGACGTCGCGCAACCCGCGTGTCAGGAAGAGACTCAAGTACGAGCAGGCCAAAAAGAAGCTCGGCTCGCGCCAGGCCGTGTTCAAGGGCGGTCAGTCGAGCCTCCAGGGTGGATACGGAGGAGAAGCGTCCGGTATCTCGACTCACTTGGTCAAGTCGAGGAAGCTTGGTTGAAGTTGTCCGCAGCCGGCTATCCACATCGCACTTTTTGGAGCCTTCTTTTCCACATCGCTTTTCTGTGCAATCTTACACTTTTTCCAAATTCTGAGTCATTTGGAGCCAGAAGGTGGTGTGGCTTGCTACAAGACTTGAGCGCCGAACTAAGATCGATGCAATTCTTCATTACTACGCCTCTTCTGCATTGCTCATGAACATCCTTCTAAAGCATCGCATCCTCGGAGTAGAGTGAGTGTGATTAGGCATCGGGCGTCTGAATACCTTGATGGGCTGTTCTGACGACCAAGGAAGGTACCACGAGATTCGCACGAGAGAAATTTTCAACCGGGCGAAAAAAGGGTTCAGTCGGCTAAAGCGGCGCCCGGTCAGCTGGTTCGCGCAGCTCTTCTAGCCCGACAGATGACTGCACCCTGGTTACGAAGTCGCTTCTTTCGGCCCGGGGCCCCATATTGCATTGATGTTGAGGTCAGAAGACTCGTACTATTGTGTTCACGAGGTCCGAGGCTCGGGTCGGGAGATTTGGCTGAGAAAAAGGGGCCTCGAGGCGACGCCTGCGAATGTGTCAAGGCTAAGAAGAGTGAGCCGGCTCGGGCGGCAATTTGACAGGCCGGAGGCTCAGTATCCGAGCCCCAAAACGATGCTTCTTCCCCGCATCCCTGCTGCGCAACTAAACTTACAAATACGTCCCACTCACACCACCTCCCTGCCTCTTTCCCACACCCTCACACCATCTTGCAACGACTACTTCTCTCACACGCCCAGCAACGACTATCTCTCTCACACGCTCTCCAAAGACTACCTCTCGCACAAGAAACAAAATGGCTCAACGAATCGGCCAGCTCGCTACGCACCTCGACCCTCGCTCGTGGTCGGGCAAGGGCCTCCACGCTCACATGGCCAAGAACGACTCGGACGTCGTCATCGTCGCTGCTGGTCGCACTCCCTTCACCAAGGCCTACAAGGGCTCTATGAAGGACTCAAAGTTCGACCTTCTCTGCTACGAATTCTTCAAGTCTCTCCTCGCTTCGTCTGCCGTCGACCCTTCTCTCATTCAGGACGTCGTGGTGGGCAACGTGCACAACGATGAGGCGCCGTACTACGTGCGTGCTGCCGCGCTCGCCGCTGGAATCCCCAACACCACGCCTGCGATCGTGGTCAACCGCTTCTGCTCATCGGGTCTCATGGCCATCCGCGCCATCGCCAACGGCATCCAGGCCGGCGAGATCGAGTGCGGTCTCGCCTGCGGTATCGAACACATGTCGACCCAACCCAAGCGACCTACCGTCATCAGCGAGGAGCTGTCCAAGATGAGTCAGGAGGCGGACGATTGCAAGATGCCCATGGGTTGGACGTCGGAGAACGTTGCAGGCGACTTCAACATCTCCCGCGCCAAGATGGACGAGTATGCCGCTCGATCGCACCAGCGAGCCGTCCAGGCTCAGTCCCAGGGCAAGTTTGATGCTGAGATCTTCCCCATCGCTGTCCCCACCGTCTCCAAGGATGGTGCGAAGCAGACCACCGTCATCTCGGCCGACGAGGGCCCGCGACCCGGTACCACCGCCGAATCCCTCGCCAAGATCAAGCCCGCCTTCCCTCAATGGGGTCCCAGCAACACCACCGGTGGCAACGCCTCCCAAATCACCGACGGAGCCGCCGGTGTCATCCTCATGCGTCGCTCCCTCGCCAACAAGTACGGCTTGAAGGTGCTTGGCAAGTACGTCTCGTGTGCGGTCACCGGTCTCGAGCCCAGGATCATGGGCATCGGTCCCTCGTCCGCCATCCCCGCCGTCCTCGCCCAAACCGGCGTCAAGCAGGACGAAGTGGACCTGTTCGAGATCAACGAGGCTTTCGCTAGCATGTACGTCTACTGCGTAGAGAAGCTCGGTCTCGATCCCGAAAAGGTTAACGTCAATGGTGGTGCCTGTGCGCTCGGTCACCCTCTCGGTGCGACTGGAGCGAGGTTGGTGGTCACCGCGCTCAAGGAGCTCGAGAGGAGACAGCAAAAGGTTGCTGTGGTCAGCATGTGTATCGGCTTGGGCATGGGCGCGGCTGGGCTTATCCTGCGCGAGGACTGATTCTTTTCGCATGCTTTGATGTCAATCATGATTCTTTCTGACTTCCTGATCACGCGGAGTGTTTGTGTGTCTGAATGCAATGCGTGATTGAGGAACAAGATGTGATGAAGGAGATCAGTCCGACTTGGAAGTGTCTTTCGCCTCGGCCTTTTCTTCCTCTTCCGGCTCCTCCTCGACTGCCGAGAGCCCTTCTTCCTCGTCGTCCTCCTGCTCGTCGTCATCGGAACCCTCTTCACTCTCCTGCTCGTCATCATCAGAGCCTGCGTCGTCGTCGTCATTGGGCTCCTCAGCATCGCTCTTGCGCACATGAACAGCGCTAGCGTCGATCGTGTTCTCGCCGACATCGCTGTCCACATCGCCGTTGCTGTTATCCTCCTCGCCTTCGAGGTCGTCCTCCTCATCCTCGCTCTCGTAATCCTCGTAGTCGTCTTCATCTTCGTAGTCCTCCTCGTGCTCATCCTGTTCATCGTCGTCTCTCTCCTCACCGTCGTCATCTCCCTCCTCATCATCTTCGTCTTCATACTCCTCCTCGTCTTCCTCGTCCCCATCGTCGTCCTCATCGCTGTCCTTGCGCTGCGCTGCACCCAGCCTCGACAGCAGCGATCCGCTGCTCGTATCACCCTTGTCATCCTTCTTATCGCTCGGCGAGGCAGCTGCAAATGGCGAACCCTTGCTCGCCGACGCGAACGCTCCGAACCCACCACCACTGCTGAAGCTGAACGCAGACTTGGGCGTCTCATCCTTAGACTTTGGGGTGCTGGGCGAAGAGCTGCTACCAAAAGCAGAAGTGCTCCCAAAAGCAGAAGTGCTCCCGAAAGCAGACGTGCTACCGGCAGACGTGCTACCGAACGCCGAAGTGCTCCCAAAAGCCGACGTGCTCCCGAACGCACCCGGCTTGGCGCTAGGCGTGGAGGGGGCAAAGCTGAATGCGTTCACCGCCTTGGCCGGTGAGTCGGCGGGTTTGGAGAACGCACCAAACCCGAAGCCTGGGCTGGACTTGAAGGCGCCGAATGCGGAGGCGGTCGAGGTGGTGGATGGGTTGAGCTTGCTCGGTGCGAAGGAGAACGCGGGCTCGCTAGGTTCGGACTTGGACGGATAGGTGAAGCTGGGCTGGCTGTCCTTCGACTGCGGTTCGACCTTGGGTGGGGACTCGTCCTTCTGAGTGGATGCCGCGGTAGAGGAAGGCGTGGCGGGCTTGGTGGCCCACGCGGACGATGACGAGTCTTGCTTCGGGGGCTGCGGCTCCGTCAGAGGCTCCTTGTTGCGTGGCTCGGTCGGCTTGCAGAAGGTGAAGGTGGACGGGTCGGTCAAGGGTGCATCCTTTGCACTTGGCTCCTTTGTGTCCGTCTGTTTTGCTTCGGCATCCTTGTCCGTCGAGCTCTTCGTATCCGCGTCCTGCGCCTTAGCGTCATCCTCCTTCGAGGCCTTGGCGTCTGCACCTTTGACATTCGCATGCTTCTCATCTGCGTCCTTCTCTTTCGCGTCCTTAGCATTATTTGCTGCCGAATCGTCCGTCTTCTCTTCGGATGGTGGCTCGGCAGCTGCAGCAGACGCGAAGCTGAACTTTGCAGACGCAGTCGTCTTCTCTTGGGCTGACGCTGGTGTCGACGTCTCCGCGGTCTTCTTGCCAAAGTCGCCGAAATTGAAGCTAGCGGTGGCTGGCTTTTCTGGCTGAGAATCGCTCTCGGCAGACAACTTTTTGGCCAGATCACCTAAGTTGAAGCTGGGAGCAGGTGTTTGCTTTGGCTGTTCCTGAGAGGTGGACGCGGCGGCAGCGTTGCCGTTCTCCTTGGCTGGAGCTCCGAAGCTGAAGCCGGTGGCAGCAGGTTTCGACAACGCAGCGGGCGAAGGCGCTGAGGCAGTGGCGGCAGCGTCCGTTTTGCCAAGGGTGCCAAAGCTGAAGCCGCCGCTCGACGAAGCCGGCTTGGCCTCTTCGAGAGCCTTCGATGTAACAGAGGGCGGCTCGATCTCCTTTCCTAGATCGCCGAAGCTGAAGGTCGGCTTTGTGCCCGGGGCGGGGGCAGCAGGCGCGTCCTTGGCAGCACTGGTCGTCGCACTTGTACCAAAGCCACTGAAGCCTGAGAAAGATGGCATCAAAGCTTTCTTTTCCTCCTCCTTGGCCTTCGGCGCCAGGGGCAGGGAGAAGAAATCAGAGGCTGCCTTCGCAGGAGCGCTAGATCCGGCGGCACTTGCATCAGCACTGGCCTGGGTCGAAGCGGGCGGCAGAGCAACGGCGATGCCCTTGAACTTGGGCTTGCCTGTGCCAGAACTGCGGATGCTGCTCGGGCTCGAGCTGGGCACACGTGCTCCGGGCTGGAATGGCGTGTCATCCTTCGTGGGCAGATCAAACATGCCAGCGGGCACGGAACTGAGCTTGCCGAAGTTGAGTGTCGAGAGTGTGCCGCTGCCGAACGGCGAAGCGCTTGGAGCTGTGCTTGGCGCGGCTGCAGGTGCGCCTTTAGAGTCCTTCGGGGCAGGAGACGATGAAGCAGGCGAAGAGCCGAAACCTGAGAATGGCGCAGAAGCTGGCTTGGCCGGCGCTGCAGCAGGCACCTTGAAGCCATCAAAGCTCGAGGGCGTGGATGCCGGAGCAGCGTTGCCTCTGGGCGTTGTTGCAGTCGAAGTAGCCGAGCTCTGGATAGTTGCTTTGCCGAAACCAGCAAAGGGCGATTCGGTAGGCTTCGGCGAAGGAGCATTGGGCGAGCCGAAGCCTCCGAAGCTGAATGGCTTGGAGGCTGCGGCTGGCTGAGGAGCGGGCGCCGATGTTGCAGCGTCGGGTGTGCTGGGCGCGGCAAGGGCCGGCGAAGATTCGAGGCCGGCGAACGGTGCGGATGCAGGCTTCGCTGAGGAAGCAGAAGATCCGAAACCGCCAAAGTTGAGCGGCGTCAATGGTGTTGCTGGCTTTGGAGCAGGGGCGGCTGTGGCGTTGTCCGAGACAGGAGCTCGCGAAGCAGCAAATCCGAACTGCGGTGGTGCGGCGGCAGACGCTGCCGCAGCAACGGATCCCGCCGATGTTGATGACACAGGCGGCTGTGACAGGACAGGGACCGGTGCGCTCTTGCCGCCCTCAGCAAATTGGACTGGTTCGGAATTCCGGGTGGAGTCGCTGACGACGGGCGCAGGAAGCTTAAGAGCTGGCTGGGCAGTCGGCGCTGGCGCTGGAGGCGACACACGTCTGCCGAGGTGGACAGGGCCCTTCGCAAAAGCGATTTGAAGGTCCGGCCCCTGCAATGGCTTGGTGGTCTTCCTGTCGCTCCGTTGCGAGCTAGGGACAGCGCGTTTGTTGAGGAGAGGCTTTTCGCGGGCGTTGAGGAAGACAGAGACACTCTCGCTCTTGACTCGTTCGGCACGCGTGATCTCGTCCGCGGACATGAGCGCGGTAGAAGAAGGCAACGTGCGCGCGAGATTGCTCACGTCGTTCAGCGGCCCATCCTCCTCGGTTCCACTGACGACCGAAATCGAGCGTGACAGGCCACGACTGGGTTCGCGTGGAGCAAGATCCTGGTCGGACGGTCGCATGAGATCCATCTCGAGTGCGAGATTGTCGAGCTCCAGCATTACCGCGGTTGTGCGAGCGGTGATGTTGCGACTAGCTCTGGCAACGGAGTCCAGACTTGGTGCCTTGAGAGCTGTACGACCTGTCTTGGCCTGCTGCAGCTTGTCCTTGAGTGTGGTCAGGTATTCCTCCAGCTCGACGATGCGATCGCGAACGACCTGGCTCGCCTTGCGCAGCTTGTTCTGATTCTCGACGTGCTCTGGTCCAAGCTGCCTGATCCGGATCATCTTGGCGAAGTCTGGATCGCTGCGAGCACGAATGAAGCGCTCAGCTTCGTCGCGCTTGGCTTCCGCCTTAAGCTGCAGACTTTGCAGCTCGGCAAGCTTGCGCTTGTGGGACGTCGCCTCGTCCTCGACCTGCTGAGTCAGCGGTCGAAGCGATTTTGCCAGCGTCAGCATCTTGGGGAGATCACCAAAGGACCACTTCGCGGGGTCGGCAAAGTCATCAACGGATTGTGCGCGGCCGGTAGAGTCGCGAAGGCTGGCAAGAAATCCGGCACACTGCTCGACGTTCGAGTGAAGCACCTCCAGCTCCTGCGTGAGGACAAGGTAGGCTTTGAGGAACTCTCCTTGAATTCCGCTCTCGCTCACCTTGGCGGGCTTCTCGGTAGATGAAGTGGACAACTGAGGAGCACGTGCACCAACGAGAGGGCTTCCCGAGCGCTCATACGCAGGCTTAGCAACAAATGCAGGAGGGGTAGCAGGCGCCGCTTTTTGAGTCGCCGGTGCGGTGGGCGTCGACTTCGGGGCATCGGACGGTGCCTGAGATTTGCTCTGTCCGAATCCGGAAAAGGTGGTCGACCCGGAAGGCGAGGCAGCAGGTGGTTTGGCCGCCGCAGGCGGAGCGCCGAACGAAAGTTTGGTCGCGTCCGACTGGAACGAAAACGGCTTGCCCGTGTTGGCAGCGGTTGCGGACGGTTTCTCGGGAGACCCTTTCGGAGTGTCATCGGATCTGTTGAGGGGGGCAGCAGCAAGAGGCGAGCTGCTCCTCGGGGCGCTTGAGTTGAAACCAAGGAAGGAGCCCGTGTTTGAAGCAGCGGGAGCCGGCGTGACCTTCGCCGGGGCAGCAGGCGTAGAATTTGCCGGGGCAGCACTAGTGGGCGCATCCGGTAATGCTGGCTTGCTCGTGTTCGTGAAAGAGAACGTGGGAGCATCCTTCTTCTGTGAGGCGCTCGAGGTTGTAGTCGAGCCAAATTGACCGAGGCTCCCAAAGCCAGATGGCGTTGTGGTTGATGCCGCTGGAGTCGAGGCAGGGTTGTTACCGAACGAGAAAGGCGAGCTCGATTTCGGCGCTTCGGAAGGGACAGATTTGGTCTGATCGCCGACCGCCTTTGTCTGCAAGCTCGAACCGATTCCCGAGAAAGGTGACGTAGTGGTGGTGTTGGAGGTCGTCGTGGTGGGCGATGCAAACGAGAAAGGTCCAGGCGAAGCCGCTTTGGGTTCCGTCTTGGCGTTGCCAGCCGTTGCAGGAGATTGACTTTCACCCTGAGCGACAGAGAAAGGCGATGACGACGAGCCTGCGGGCTTGGCTGGAGCGTTGGTGAAGCTGAAAGGCGCCTTGGCCGGGCCCGCCTCTTCTTTCTCGGCGTCGGTGCTCGAGCTCGCTGTGTCCGCCTTCTTGGTGTCCACATCGGCCTTCGATGCCTTGTCTGCTTTGACGGATGGTAGATTGGAAGAGGCAGCGGTCGAGGTCGGTGTGGATGTGCTGGTGCTTGCTTTGTTGGTGCCGAATGAGAATGGCTGACTGCCGAACGACGCGCCTGAATTGAGGCCTGGCTGCAAAGAGCCGAATGCTGGTGTTGAAGCGGAAGCTGACGTTGCTCTGGCTGTATCTGCGACTTGGCCTCCACTAGCTTGGTCGGAGACCGAAGTTGCCCCTGAAGAGTTGAAAGAGAATGGCTTCGAAACAGCTTCGCTCTTCGGCGCCTGGACGGGTGTGCTAATAGTTGAAGCTGAAGCTCCCTGAGCCTTCTTGTCCGACTCTGGAGCTGTGTTTGACTGTGTCTGGGAAGACAGAGCAGAATCGTTGCTGCCACCCAGCATGCCTCCAAGCCCACCAAAGGAAAAGCTGCCTGCGCCCGCGTCGCCTTTGAACTGGGAATCGTTCCCTTCTGTGCTCTTCGCCTCCTTGTCTTCTGCCGTCTTGTTTGCGGCAAAGGCGGAGAAGGAGCCTTGACCGAAGGCAGACGTTGATGCGCCGAACGCTGAAGCAGTGCTCGATCCTGCTTTCTGAGCGCTAGAGCCAAATAGCCCCGTCGAAGCGCCATTGCTCTTGCCCTCCAATTTGCCACCGTCTCCGAAGATCGAGCCGGAGGAAGGGCTCGCGGCCGATCCGAATGCACTGCCAGACTTGAAAGCAAAGCCACCGAAAGCAGAGCCCGAGGTCGCTGGTGTGGAAGAGTCTGTCTTTGGAGCGAAGGGCGAAGACGATGTTGGTGTCGAGCCAAAGGCGGATGTGGTGCCGAATGCAGAGCCGGAGCCAAAGGCAGAAGAGGTGCCAAAGGCAGGAGCAGACGTCTGTCCAAAGGCGGAGGACTGGCCGAAAGCAGACTTGGTTGCCGACTGTCCAAACGCAGACTGCGTTGAAGGTGCTGGAGTGGTGTTCGGAGCCAGAGACGATGAGACGAACGCAGAGGCTGCTGGCTTTGCGCCAAAGGCGTTGGCAGCGGAAACAGCCGATGAAGTATCCTTTGCCGCACTATCGGGGCCTTTTCCGTCCTTGTCGGCAGCGGGTGCGGTCCCGAAGCCAAAACCGGTCGAGCCGAACGCGGATGTAGTTTGACCGCTGCCGGCCGCGCCGCTGAATGCCCCAAAGCCGAAACCGCTCGCGGGCTTGAACGCTGTGCCAAATGCGGGAGAAGGAGCCGAGGCGGTCGAGGGGGATCCAAATGCTGAAGATTGCCCAAACGCGGACGAGGCGGACGATCCAAAGGCGGACTTGGAACCGAAGCCAGACGACTGACCGAAAGCAGAGGACTGCCCGAAGGCGGAAGCGGTGCCCGACGCAGGTGCAGCAGTGGCAGGCTGGCTCGGCGCGGATGATGCTACCGCCGCTGCTGGAGCAGGTGTCGAAGATGGCGGCGCGCTTGGCGCCGATGCTGCTGCTTGCGACAGTGGCGCAGCGGAAGAGGTCACCATGCCTTCGAAAGGACCCCGTGTGTTGATGACGTTGTAGGCAAGCAGCACACCGTCCGACGTGTAGACGTAGAGAATGGGGACCGCTGGAAGTTTGGTCTTGCCATCGCCTCTGGCCACAGCATTGGGGTCATCGACCTCGTCTGTCGAGGTCAAGTCGAAGTCCACGGCGACCGGCGCAGTATCTGAGGATTGGTCGACGGAGGAGAACGGGAGGATTGGCTTTGACGTCTCCTCGAGCTCGACGGTGGACCATGCGGCGGCACCTGCTTCACTCGAGGAGCAGGAAAGGAGACCAACGTCTGTGCTGGGACCGCTTGCGACAAAGACGAGATGCTTGGAAGGCTCCCATCCTTTCAGCCATGCAGCAAAGCGGGTGCCGGGTCGAGACGTGTCTCCGTATGGCGGAGCGGGATCCATGGGCATCTTAGCAAAGGTGATCTGGGCGGCCTTGGCATCGCGAAGGATGGTGTATACCTCATAGGAGTGTTCCGGATCGTCATCGGGTGACCCTGAGGACGGAAGATTGTAGGTTGCGACGAAGACGTGGTTCTCAAGCCAACGGAGGTCGGATACGTAGTATGACCCTTCCAAGGACCCTGGCTTTGCTATCCGATCCTTTGCTTCTCCCTCTGGCGTCACTTGGACGATCTCGCCCGTCTCGAGACCCACAGCGATTTGCTTTCCCTTGACGGACCAACACACGGCAGTGGCACGGGAGCCCGTGGCATCGAGTTGAGCACCAAAAGAGCCGCTGTTGAGGTTGACCATGATTGGCATCCCCGACTCGATCCCTGAGTTACTCTCCTGGCGGTAAAGCGCAACGACGAGCTCGGGCCGATCGGAAGGGTTGGGCACGAGATCGACGAGGCACAAGCCAGGTGAAGGAGGCTGAAGAACGAAGAGCGGGTCGAGCTTGTTGCCTTCGATCAGGCCAGAGACTGACCATGCTGCGATGACACCATTCTGGAATCCGACGAGCAGCGCGGAGTGATTGTTGGCAGATGAAATGAAGGCCGGAAGCGATGCGATGAGGCTGAGCGAGGTCGTGTCTATCGAGCGTAACGGCTGATCCAGAGTGGGTATCGAGTTGCGAGCTGCCGATCTGAAGAAGGATCTGAGCTCGGCTAGGCGGATGACAGAGAAGCCCGAGTTGGTGGCAGCAAAGGCGAGACCGTTGGCATTGGATATGGAGAGCAGGTTGGCATGCTGTTTGCTCTCTGCCACCTTGAGTGGTTCCGAGAGACGGACTGTGACATCCTTTGCAACCTGGCGAAGCAAGAGGTGCTTCGCATCAGTCTCTGATGCCTCGGCTTCGTTGTAAGAGAAAGCCGACATGGTGCCGTACTATTGCGCTCGGCGGTAGCTGCAGGAGCGAGAGAGGTCGTTGCTGCGTTGACAAGGCTCCGATGGGTCCGGCAACTGGGGTATGTGATCCGTGTGCAGCACCAAGTAACAGAGGCCTAACTCTCAGCGGCAGCGACGCATAGAGAGATGGAGTGCGAGACCGCTCTGCTGCGTCAGCGTGGTGGAAGATTTTGAGCAAAGCGCAGCAGGATGCGACGAGGTTGTTGTAGAGGAAGAAGAAGCTGAGTCGTTCCGCGAAGATCACGAGTCGATGACAAGCATGTCAGGAAGATCCGAGGCACCTTTCTGTCGGGTCACCCGAGGCAGCCTTCACTTTTTGGACGTGTTGCTGTGTCGTATCGGCAGATATGCAAGTGCATCGGGTGCTCGCTTTTTGTGCTGCGCTTTTTGAAGCTGATTTTGGAAGAAAAGGCCGCCGCCTTCCGAGTCGCTCTCATCAAACCACAGCGCGGGTTGCTCCTGTCACCATTCCACCATTTCCTTCATGGCTCGACAAGATGGTGGCCCAGCGATATACACTTTCTGCCTTGCGCTCGACGCTGTCGGCGGCGTCGAACGCACCTCGCCAGTCGGTCGCGTTGTCCTCGCGCACATTCGTCTCGACTCCCTACAGCAAGTCGGACCGACCTCCTACCGCCACCTTCCCACCTTCCTCGCATCAGCAGAATGACGCCCCCTCGGCCGCGCCAAGCTCATCATCTAGCACATACACTTCATCGAGGCCGACCGCGAGCTTCGCAACAGATGGAGCTGCCCCCGAGAACAAGCAAACACATTTTGGCTTCAAGACAATTGCCGAGGAGGAGAAGGAGTCCATGGTAGCCTCGGTCTTCTCGTCCGTGGCATCTAAGTACGATGTGATGAACGATGCCATGTCCCTGGGTGTACACAGACTTTGGAAGGATCACTTCGTCTCCAAGCTCGACCCGCGCGGCGGCATCAAGGTTCTCGACGTGGCTGGTGGCACGGGTGACATTGCACTACGCATTCTCGACCATGCCAGGACGAAGCACTTTGACCGCGAGACCCACGTGACAGTCCTCGACATCAACCCAAGTATGCTCAAGGAAGGTCAGAAGCGCTTCAAGCAGACCATGTACTGGGGCGGGCCTCAGGTCAGCTTCCAGCTTGGAAACGCAGAACAACTCGACTCGACCATGCCCGTCCCGCCAGAGCCCGTTCGCGGTCCCAACAGCAAGCAGCCCCTCCTGCCACCACTCGAGAGCAAGCCCATCCCTGACGAGTCGATCGACCTGTTCACCATCGCATTCGGTATTCGCAACTGCACCCACATCGACGAGGTCCTTCGACAAGCCTACCGTGTGCTCAAGCCCGGTGGAGTCTTCAGCTGTCTGGAGTTCGGCAAAGTCAACGTCCCCTTCCTGGCCGAGGCGTACAAGCAGTACAGCTTCAACGTTCTGCCTCCACTCGGTCAGATGCTCGCCGGAGACCGCGCCTCGTATCAGTACCTGGTCGAATCGATTGAGCGCTTTCCCACCCAGCCTCAATTTGCCAGAATGATGAAGGACGCCGGTTTCCATCTGCCGGGCTCGCCCACCGCGACAAGCCTTGGCTTCCCCGCGGAGTCTGGAAGTGCTGCTGGAAGCGAAGACGTGAGCGGTGCCTGGGAGGACCTCACGTTTGGCGTCGCCACCATCTGGACTGGTATCAAGCTCTGAGCACACCGCTGTACACTTCCTTTTCCGCTGTCACTGCTAGAATACATTGCTACTTGTAATACCATCACCACTTGCTCGTCCGATCTCCATCGCGCTCGTCTGTGCTCGTCCAACAACCTAGCAGCCGTATCCGTCTGCCTCGTCGTCCAGAATGAAGTTGTTAGACCGGCCTCGTGATGAACTCAAAATGGCCGTTTTTGGTGGGTGAGGTGGAGGCGTGATCGGGTGCCACACAGCTCAGCCGACAAAGGTCTCGGATTTTGGAGAAATGGCGCAGTCAAGCGGCCAAAGCGTAATCAGAATACGGCAGCACACCGCAGTATCGGCCTGCATCTGCACCGATGAAACGCGTTCAGACCAAGCTCATTTCCACATCCCAATCCTCCATTCCTTCTCCAATATCACACTTCATCTTCTCGACTCAGCCGACCGCGAAACCTTCCTTCCGTCACACTCATCGCTTGGAAGCTGGCCTAGTTCGATCACTGCGGTCTCCTCAGCCTCAATACGCACTCGCTGGGACAAAGGGTCGCCACCAAGGACCCCGCCGGACCACAACGCACGACACTAACAGTCTAGCCAACGACACACGAGAAGCAACCGAGCTTTCAAGGACGATCACATCGTGGTGTATGGCTCCGTCTTCCTTTGACGCTCTCTCATAGCTCGCCCTCAACATGTCTGGGCCGGGGTTCACTTCATCAGGGCCCAATCCCGCAGCAGCCGGGAGCAGCCGTCTCCCCGCCGTCCACGATGCCGAGGCAACATGGGGCTTTCTCGAACCGGGCATCGACCTCATGATGACCCGTCTCAAGGAAGGCATGACCTACCCACGCTACATGGAGCTCTACACCGTCGCATACAACCACTTCACCTCCTCCTCCCTCGCCTCCTCAGCCACCGGGCTCGGTCGCTCCAACGGGCCGTTCGGCTCGAAAGGCGGCACAAATCTCGTCGGCGCCGAACTTTACAAGTACCTCAAGAACTACTTTCAGACCCACCTCGAGGAGGTGCGCTCCGGCTCAGACGGTCTGTCGGAAGAGCCATTGCTGCGGTTCTACGCTACCGAATGGGACCGCTACACCACAGGCGCCAACTTTGTCCACCGTCTCTTTGCATATCTCAACCGCCACTGGGTCAAGCGCGAGAAGGATGAGGGTCGCAAACACATCTACACGGTCTACATCTTGGCGCTGGTGCAGTGGAAGGAGCACATGTTCCGCTACGTCCAGCAGAAGGGTCGGCTGGTGCAGGCGCTGCTCAAGCAGATCGAGAAGCAGCGCAACGGCGAAGTCATCGAGGCATCGCTCGTCAAGAAGATGGTCGACTCGCTCGTGTCGCTCGGCCTCGACGAGACGGACACTAACCGCCAGAACCTCGGCGTCTATCGCCACGAATTCGAGAAGCCCTTCATCGACGCTACCGAGGTATACTACACGGCAGAGTCGGATGCATTCGTTTCGCAAAACACCGCCACGGACTACATGAAGAAGGCCGAGACGCGGCTCAAGGAGGAGGAGGACCGCGTCGAGCTCTACCTGCACGCTTCAACCCGCGGCAAGCTGGTGCCCACGTGCGACAATGTGCTGGTTCGACGCCACTCGACCATGCTCTGGGACGAGTTCCAGCAGCTGCTCGACCAAGAGCAGGGCGATGATCTCTTCCGCATCTACACGTTGCTTTCGCGCATAAACGAGGGACTGGAGCCGCTGCGAACCAAGTTTGAACTTCATGTCAAGCGGACCGGTCTGGCTGCGGTGGAGAAGGTGATTGGCGGTTCCGACGCAGGAGCTGCAGCTACCAACGGCGCTGCAGCCGGCTCATCCTCGGCAGCCGCGCCAGCTGCTGCGGCGAGCGACTCCCTCGACCCAGGCGCCTACGTCTCGGCCCTCCTCGACGCGCACCGCACCAACCTCAACACGGTCAACCTCGCCTTCCGCGGCGAAGCGGGCTTCCTCGCCGCCCTCGACAAGGCCTGTCGCGACTTTGTCAACCGCAACAAGGCCACCGGCACCTCCACCTCTCGATCCCCCGAACTGCTCGCCAAGCACACCGACGCCTTGCTCAAAAAATCTAACAAGACCACGGCGGAGAACACCCTCGAAGAAGCACTCAACGACGTGATGATCGTATTCAAGTACATCGAGGACAAGGATGTGTTCCAAAAGTTCTACTCCAAGATGCTCGCCAAGCGGTTGGTCAACTTTGCGTCGGCGAGCGACGATGCGGAGGCGAACATGATTTCGCGGCTCAAAGAGGCGTGTGGGTTCGAGTACACTGCGAAGCTCGCGAGGATGTTTACGGATATGGGATTGAGTAAGGAGTTGAACGACAACTTCAAGGAGACGATGGCGAAGAATCACGACAAGGCCGAGTTAGATATCGATTTCTATGCGTTGGTGTTGGCGAATGGGTTCTGGCCGTTGCAGGGGCCGACGACGGAGTTTTCCATTCCGACCGAACTGCTGCCTACGTACGAGCGATTCCAGCGTCACTATTCCGCCAAGCATTCGGGTCGAAAGCTCACCTGGCTCTGGCAGTTGAGCAAGAACGAGATCCGTGCCAACCACCTTTCTCAAAAAGGCCTTGTCTTTCAAACCTCGACCTTCCAAACGGCGGTGCTGTTGCAGTTCAACACCAACGACAGTCTCACCAAGACCCAACTGCAACAAGCAACGGGTTTGAACGAGACGACCATCAAACCGGTGCTCGCGATGCTGTCCAAAGCGAAAGTGCTCCAACCGTCCTCTGGCGATGACGCCTACGAACTCAATCCCAACTTCAAGTCCAAAAAGCTTCGGGTCAACCTCAACCTTCCGGTCAAGAGCGAGCAGAAGATCGAATCGAACGACGTGCTCAAGACGGTCGACGAGGATCGAAGGTTGTTGCTCCAAGCGACCATTGTGAGGATCATGAAGAGCAGGAAGCAGTTGAAGCACCAGACGCTGATCCAGGAGACGGTGAGCCAGGTCAGTGGGAGGTTCAGTCCCAAGGTGACGGACATCAAGAAGGCCATCGATCAGTTGATCGAGAAGGAGTATCTGGAGCGCGTCGAGGGTCAGAAGGATATGTATAGCTATCTGGCCTAGTCGTGCAGGGGTGCAATTGATGATGGGTCGGTGACAAGACCGTGTACGAGTGAGGCCGATTGTGAAGGTTTCGATAAGAGTGCGGCTCAGACGCTTTGATTGAGCTCACTCGATTCGGTGGTTCACGCCACGATGGGATGAAAGGAAGAGATGCTGCATTGCAACTCTGGCGCACAGCACACATTGTTCGATCGGGGCCACTGATCTCTGAATCTTCGACCAAATCCTGCCTGGGGAGGCGTCGCGCGAGCGTGCCCTCCTCCTTCACCCGGTGAGCTGGTATACCTACCTCTATATCCCTAGCCTGGATTGCGGGGACGAGGAATCTTGCTCTCACTGTTGATGCGCATCAAACTCTGTGTCGATGAGAAGCTATGAAGTTGAGCTGAGGGCCCTCCCGAGACTGGCCTCGCATCGATGACTCACCTCGTGCGTGCCGCTGCGTGCATCTCGCATCCGCACACTCGTCTCCGTCCGCCTCGCGGGGACACCACTTGACCGACGTCCTCTCGTCCGCGCTTCTTGACGATGACGCGACGGAGAAGCCAAGTGAGGGTGGGAGGTATGATCGGACTTTTGAGGTTATCTGCTCTCGCGCCAGCGCAAACCAGAGGAGGAAGAAAAGGGATTGGAAAGGGAAGGTGAGAGGGGAACGACGAAGAGTGAGCGCTGTTGGGATCGCCACGAAGTCAGCAAAGTACACCTACGCTCTGAAACAGACTCGGCACCACGGGTCGGTACCGCGAGACCACGGGTGGGTGCGGTGTGACCTGAGGGTCCGAGATGAGCGAGAAAGGAAGCAAGAGGATATGTAAATGGTTTCGAAGCTGTTTGAGGTCGAGAGCTGTCAGGAAAGCTCACCTTTTCTTGATCGCCGGGCTTGGCCATGATGATGCTTTCGGACGGGGAGCCATTCGATGGCGCGGTACTGACGTGATCCTGCGTCGATGCTGTGGCGACCTCACCCAGTTGTTCGCCTGGCGTGACACCGTTCAAGACCTTCACAGCGGTCGCGTTCTTGCGTTTGCTTGCTAGCGACGCGAGGAGCTCTTCGCGCTTCTTCTGCAGCGCCGCGTCGAGTTTCATTGCGTTGGCACTGCTTTGCTGGACGCTCTTGCGCGGTGTCTCCGCGTCTGCCGACGGCGCAGCCGCTGCAATGACGGTCGCCGGCATGCTGACAGCCTGGACTGTCGCTGTAAGAGGCTGGCCCGGCGGGACTGGAGTCATGTCGGCGGATTGATGATAGCGTGGTGGCATCGGACCTGCTGATGGGGACGCGATCGCCGCAGTTTGCTGCTTTGATTTGCGCTCTTCCATCATCTGAATCTTCCGCATCAATAGCTTGATCTCCAGCTCCTTACGCAACAGCTCCTCGTGCGAAGGCGCCGAAGAACCGGCATCTGCGCTACCATTGGCGGCTAATCCCGCCAGCAGACCTTCTCTCGAGACACTCGTACCGTGTGCCGTGCCGTTCGTACCCTCGACCATTTTCACTCCGTCTTGAAGAGGCGTGAGCGCTCTGCGGACCGGCTGCAGCCCATTCAGCGCACAAAAGTTGTCGTAGTGCTCGTCTGCAGTCTTCTGGCGCAAAAGTGCCACATCGCTCGCGTCAACGTCAAGGCGCGTGTACTTGGACATCTCGAAGACGTTGGGCTCGTCTTCTTCGAGCTCGTCGTCTGACAGATCGACGACCGTATTGAGGCCCGAGGGGACGTCCAAGAACCGATTTGGTCGGAAAAGCGGACGGTACTCTTCGACGTCGAAGTCAGCTGCTACCGGGCGACGACGCGAGGCCGCTTCAGTAAGGAGCGGAGACTTTGCTGCCGACGTTGCCAAGTCCGGAAGGTTGGGGATGGGCGCGGTGAGATCGACTTCTCCAGAGGGAGCCTTGGCCGCACGACTGAAGTTGTCTGCGTACGAAATCCTTTGTCGGCGGCTCGGAAGCGGCGCGGAGGCGTTCTCGTCTCCGGCGAGATCAGCTGTGACCACGTTATCTCCATCGTCCACTGCGTCGACGTCGCGGTAGGCCCGCTTCCGAGAAGACGGCAAAGCTGAGTCGTTGGATGAGTCTTCGACTAGCACGCCTTCTTCCATGGCAACGCCGGCCTCGTATGAAGGTCGAATCAGGCCGCGTATCGATTCGCCAATCTGCGAGAGCAGCGCGTCGGCCTCGCCTGATGTAGCGGTGCGATCGAAGACGTTCGTTGTTGCGGAGGGAGCCGCGCTGACGGCTGCGGCAGGCTCGATTGCGGAATTTGCTGCTGCCGACGCTGCAGCGACCTTCGCCATTCGAGACGCAAGCACCTTCTTTCGCAGCTCCTCGAGCGGCTTTAAAGCAACGCCTTGCTCCTGCGCTGCGTCCTCTGCCAGTGTAGTTACGATCCGCCCCTCTTCTTCGACGCTGTTCGGCTCGGACGCCGCCGGTGGCGGAGATGTCGCTGGAGCTTCGACCTCATGCCGTGCCTCACCCTGTGTAGAAATGCCGAGCTCTTCGCAGCAAGCTTCAATCATACGCAGAGGGACGCCCTTCTCGGTCAGACGCTGTGGAGGCACACCACGCGCATGCAGCTCCTTGACCATAGCCACGGCTTCCGACTTACCATCTTCGACCCAGTCGACGTCTTCCTCGTAGGTGGCATCGCCGACATTCACAGATGAAGAAGCGCCATTGTACGCGTCTAAGTATGCATTGTGAGCGGCGATCTTGGCGGCCAGCTTCAGTTGCTTCTTTTCGCGCTTCCTCTGCTTCCTCTCCTGCTTCTTTTGCTGCTTGAGCAAGTTCTGTGGACGGTGACCGGCCATCTGGAAATGCGGACAGCCTGTCGGATAGGCGCCGTCAAAGGTGCCGGGGTACGAAGGCTGAAAAGAGCTCGATGCTGATGGATACGATGCGTACGAGTGGCCATACAGCTCGGGATTGCGGTAAGCGCCCGAGTCGTAAGGAGCACGGGGATCGTAGGCTGGCTCGTGACCTGGCTGGTAGCTTGGCTCATAGCTCGGAAAAGCCTGGTCGAATCCGGCCGGATAGTCGTCCACTGCCGCAGCGTTGTAGGTGTGATGAACGGAAGATGAGTAATCGAGAACCGGCGGCGCAGGTTCAAACGCCGGAGCGTTGGGGTCGTATGCATAGTGGGCGGACGAAGCGTGCGGTAGATCTGGCGGCGGATAGATGGGCGGTGGCGGGTGATGCAGGTCTGCATGCCCAGGATAGGTCCCACCAGGCAGATTGTCGTACGATGAAAAGTTGTATGCTGGCCTGTCGGGCGAGGAAGGGCCTGCAATGGCCCCTTCCTCAGGGGAGGTGTACGCATTGTCTTCGAAGTGGTCACCCGCGGGAGGTGCTATTGGGCGAATCGGATTGGAAGCCTCGGGTATGGGAAGACTGGCTGGTGGGGCCGTTGCGTCGAAATGATCCGTTTCGTAGGCCAGCAACTTCCGCCCGCGGCTGGCTGTGGGAGCGTCGACTTCATTTCGGCCCAGGTCCTCGCTCGGCACCAAGAAATGCGAGCCGCTTCCGGACGCTTCTGCGCTGCCATAGTCCAGCTCGACGTCGTCCGACGACTGTGGTGGTGGTGCGGGTCGACGCATGGCTTATGCGAGCCAATGGCGGAGTGGTCGAAGTCAAAGCGAGGGGATGTTGGTAGCCATCTGTGCTGGTCGTCGGATAAAGAGTGACGAGAGTCAGCAGCAGGGACGGCAGGGTGGGGATGACGGGAGCCGCGCAAGTGTGATATCTTGTAGAATAGGGGCTGAAGGTGGGAGAGAAGCAACCAAAGCGATCCGAGCGTCGTGCATGCACCTCTTCCAGAAGTCACACACTTTTGAGTTTCTTTCGAAAGATCACGTCAAGCCACATCTCCTACGCAGGCCAAAAATTTCGCCGAAGGTGTTAGGCCCTTCTGACCCCACTCAGGCCTCCTGGCATCAGCGTTCATTCTGCTATCGGCCTCTCAGTATGCTTCAAACGAAGGGTGACACGGAACAGCATCACAAGGTCAGAGATTCGACCATGATGTGATTGAAGAATGCGTAGGAGCAATGCAATGCGAGATGAGAAAGGAACAACAGGAGACACCACGGACGCCGACCCGCACCCCCTCAAACATTGCGGATCCGCTCGCGCTCAATGATGCTCTTCTGATGAACATCCCTGCTGACCCTCCAGTAGTACTCGAGCACATCGTTCTGCCCCAGCAGTGTCAGAAATTCCTCGTCGTGCGTGATCACGATCAGCTGCAACTGGCTGTTCTCCGCGCGCTCTTTGATCAGGTCCGCCAGACTCCTCGCCAGCGCCTCGATGTTGTCCTTGTCCAAGTTCGTCGTGGGCTCGTCGAGCGCCAGGATGCCGCAGTTGCTGCCGAAAGACTCTGCAAGCGCAAGGCGAATGATGATCGAGGCCAACACCTTCTGACCGGCGGAGCAGCGACCACGCATGTCCATCTCGACCATATCCTTGACCATGCACACGCGGTAGTTGTACGACCGGTTGCCTCGCGCGCCCTCATTGTCGGACTTGATTAGGATCGTGTCAATATCGGTGCCCTGGTACGTCTTCTGCCACAGGTAGCGGATGATGTCGTTGATCTCCTCCATCTTGATCGCGTGGTATCGCATGATGGCGTTCTCGAGCGCCTTTGCATACTTTTCCAGATCGTTGTTGGCCATCTCGGATGTCTTGACCTCGATCAGCTTGCGTTTGTAGTTCTGGTGGACGCCTTTGAACTCGTCTCGCAGCTCGAGCTCGCGACCTTTGATCTGCGATCGGAGCGATGCGAGCTCTCCGCTTAAGTGAGACGCCTCTCCGTTGAGCCTGTTCTCCTCTTCTTTGGCTTGGGTATATTTGTCGGCAAAGTGCTTTCGACTGCGCTGCGCCTGTTCGAGGTCCAACGAGTTGATCTCCTCCTCGATTTTGACAACGTCTTTGGCAAGCTGACGGTAGCGCAGATTGTCGAGGATGTTGCGCTCGGTCGCCTGAGATTGATTGACCTCTTTCTGCAGCTCTGCCGTCTTGTCAGTGATCTCCTTGATGTCTCGATGAATGCCTTGAATCTTGTCGACGAGCTCCTGTATGGCCTCAACGCATTCCTCCAAACGCTGGTCGCCTCTCTGCTGGATGTAGGCATTGACCGCGGCATTGAGCTCACGGATCTGCTTTGCCCATCCTTCGAGTTTGTCCGCTCTGCCCTTGAGCTTGCTTTCCGCCTCGCTCGCCTCTGCTTTGAACGTCTCGAGCTCGTCCTTGGCCCGACGAATGGGGCCATTGGCGCTTTCAACCTCGGCGTCGAGGCCCTTGATGCGTTTCTGCTGCTCCTCAAGGTCAGCGCTGACCTCCTGCAGCTGCGTTTCGATCGATGTCTTTTTGGCGTATTCTTGCCTTTTGGTGATCACGGCCACCTCGGCTCGATGAGTGTCGCGCTCCAGGCTGTTGATCAAGGTACGCTTGGTTTCCCGGTCCTGTTGCAGAGCATTCAGCTCGCGCTTGAGCACCTTGATCGTCGCGGCGAGCTGATCAATCTCAGCCTGCACTTGCTCGCCTGTCTGAGTCGAGCCGGTAGACGCGAGGTCACTCTGCAGGTTCTGCACCTCTGCATCCAGATCATTCGCTTCCAAAAGCAATCGTGCGATATCGCTGCCAACGCGACGCAGTACCTGGAGCTCTTTGAGCTCTGCCTGTATCTGGGTCAATTCGGTAGAAGATGCCTCCGCCGCCTCTGCTGCTACCTCGAGCTCAGCTTCCTTGGACGAGATCGTCTTTTGAAGCTCGACGATCTCGACGTCCTGGATGACCTTGCGCTGCGCATCTTTGGCAAGCGCGGTCTGACATTCGGCGTTGCGCTCGGTCCAGCCATCGATGTCGGCCTTCAGCGTCTTTTTCTTCTGGGCAGTGTTGCTCGAGCTGAGCGTGGACGAGACGTGCTTTTCGATCGCCTCATACTCGCTCGGTGTGACGCCTCTGTTGCACGCAAAGCAGTGACCTTTGCCCTTGGCTTCCCGCAGAACTCGACGGAGGAAAGAGTCGAGCGAGTCGATCGACGCATACTCGTCCTTGGCGGCAGCGATTTCTTCGGCACAGACCTTGACCGCTTCCTCCGCGTCTTTGAAGTCGCCAGCAAGAATCGTCTTGATGGCCTGCTGTAGCTCCGCTGCCATCTCCTGCTTGGTCTTGAGCTGCTTGCTGGCGAACGAGATTGCGGACTCGACCTGCTGCAGCTCTCGATTCTTGACCGCGTTCGCCGATTCGAGCTCCTCGAGTCGCTTCTCGTGCTTCGAGAGTGCTCGTGCAACTTCGTTCTCCACGTCGCGCAGCTCCATATTGGGACGCACTCGATCAGCCAGAGCAGCCTTGTGTCGGTCGAACTGCTCCTGAGCTGTGTTCCTGCGTGTGGTCGCCTGCTGCATCTTCAAGCCAAGCGAGGCGCGTAGCTCCGCATGGCGGTTGAGCAGATTGATCTCGGAAGTGCGTTCCTCGCGCAAATCGTCCTTCTCGCGGATGTCCGCATTCTTCTTACGGATCTGCTCCTCGTATTTTGCGTCCTCGAACTCCTTTTGCGCTGCAGCCACTTTGGTGGAGAGGCCGTCTCGATCACGTTCTGCCGCTTCGATGTCGACGCCGCTGAGGGCGTAGCCGTCAAGCTCGTCTTGTGCCCTCTTAATCTTTTCTCGAAGCTTGCGCACGGAATCTGTAAGTTGCTCGCGAGCGTTCAGCTTTGCTCGCAGCTCGGCGCGCAGGTTCTGCCACGTTGTGGTCAGGTCGTCATCCTTCTTCGAGTCGGCTTCGCGCAGACTTGCCAGCTCATCGTCAAGCTTGCGCACCTCCTCCTTGACACGATCCTCGAAGCTTCGGATCTGGGCATCGGTGAGCCCATCACCGCCAAAGCCTTTGATGCCAAGCTCGTTGCCGATCTGCTTGATCGAAACTTCGCGCTTCTCTTTCGCCTGAATGTGTGCTCGCTTTTCGGCATCGAGACCACCCTTCTCTGACAGCTTCTTGCGATGACGCTGCTCGTGTGTTTCCAGCTCGTCCTCCTTCTCAGCCTGACGTCGCTTGAGCGTGTGGATCTTTGACTGGTTTTGATCGAGATGCGACTGGAACTTTTGCTTGCGCTTCTGCAGCTCCTCGTCGGTGTCCTTGATTGGCGTCATAGTCGCTTGCAGAGCCTCCATGTTCTCCTTGTGGAGCCTCTCCTTCTCCTCCAACGTCTCTGCGCGGTTCACAATCTCGCGGAAGCGTGTGGCCTCGTCGTAGAACTTGGAGTTCTGCACGGTCTTGACGCGGATCTCCTCGTTGAGATCTTCGAGCTTGGCTTCCTTCTGCGCAAGGTCGGCCTGCAGGTGTGTGAGCTTGCTTTTGATGGTGTCTGCGCGATCCTTGTCGACTTTTAGACCCTCGAGGGCTGCCTTGTCGACCTTGAGCTGCTGGGTGCGGTCCTTGCGCAAAGACTTGATGTTGTCTAGTGCTTTGGTGTAGCGAGTTGCCTCGAAGATGTCGTCAAATTTCTTTTTCAAGCTAGCTGGCTCTGAGAGGGGCCAATTGCTGTCTTCCTGGTGGCAGAAGATGACGTTCTCGAGGATGGACTTGGACACGCCAAGCAGGCGAGGGATCTCCTCGTCGAGCTCGGAGCATTTCGTGGACAATGTACCGCGCTTTCCCGTCTTGGCATCGTCGTCAGCGATCTGGAGAAGACCTTCGAGCGTCTTCATGGTGAGACCGCCGCCCTTCTTGCGCGAGACTTGGAGGTTGCGAACGCAGTTCATGCGCACCTTGTTGGCCGCATAGAAGCGCAGTCGGACCTGCGCCTTGACTTCGTTGGAGGTGGCCATCTGTGGGTCGTGGACGAAAGCACCGCCTTTGGTGTTGGGAGGCAAGTCGCCCGTGGTAGCATACTTGAGACATTCGATGATGGTGGTCTTGCCGCTGCCATTATAGCCCACAATGACAGTAAGTGGCTGGAAGAATTGGATGATGTTGATGCTTTTGTCGTCGAAGGAGCGCACGCCGCGAATGGCGAGCTTATCGAGGGAGGCCATGGTCGATGTGATGCAAGGCGGGCCTAGCCTTGAGCTGCAGTATGCAGCCTTTGAACCGAGACACCCTTCGTGATGATGGTGGTAGCGCGGTCGACCTTCAAAGATGCGTGCGTGCAGGAGCAAACAAGCTGCAGGGAGCTGAGTCGGAAGGTCTCAAGCCAAAAATCAAAGTGGAGTCCAACACTCAGCAGTGCAGCTCAGCCAGGGTCCTGTCACGCGTCTCGGTCGACTGCGCGGAGGGGCGGTGCTCCCTCACCTTCTCACACCATCACACCACACTCGGCTTCATCACGAGACATGCTGCGGTCAAGCGCATAACCTCTCTTCATACCTCTCAAGCCAGCCGCTCGGCTCGTAGCTACGCAAGATGCCCTTCACCTGCGATCCCAAGAACCCGCACGCATCCGAGTCGCTCAAACGCATATGTCGCAACCTGCGCTGGATCCCGTTCGTCTTCATCGTCGGTCTCATCGCCTTTGCCTATCTCACCGTCACCGTCTCTCTCGCGATCCAATACCGATTTATACGGAAGGGTGAATGGATATCGGCTTTGTTCGAGATCTTGTTCTCGACGACACTGGCGGGAGGAGCGATATGGGGCTTCATCGTGGCGGTGTTCCAACACCCTGGTTCGCCATCTCGACAAGTCAACGACTCGGAAGGATGGGGAGCGACCAGCTCAAGTAGCAATCTGCGTCCTGGTAGCGAGTACGAGATGCATCACGGCGCACCCAACGAGGAATCCCAATCGCTCATGCACCATCGTGACTCAGTGGACGTCTCCTCTTCCGCCCCACTCCTCCCCGCCCCGATCCCTGGTCAGCCATCTTACCCCGCCCGTTCGGGCCGCGAACAGCTCTCCGACCTCGCCCGTCTGTCCACCGGCGCAGTCGTCCAAGAACGCGCCAACATCTGGGTCAAATCTACCGGCGACCCTCGCTGGTGTGCCAAATGCAACGCTCCCAAGCCGGATCGCACCCACCACTGCAGCACGTGCCAAACATGCGTTCTACGGATGGACCACCACTGTCCCTGGCTCGCCAATCGCTGTGTCGGGCTGCGCAACCACAAGGCGTTCTTTCTGTTCATCAGCTACACGGCGTTGTTCTGCGCATACGCATGTCAGGAGACCGCCAGGGCGCTGCTGCGCTATGTGGAAGGAGAGGCGGATGGGTTCGAGAGCAGCCCCATCGCTTGGGCTGTGGTGATGTTTCTGGGCTTCATCTTCGGGGCTAGTCTGGTGCCCTTTGCAGGATACCATGCTTGGTTGATCTGTAGGAACAGGACGACGATTGAGAGTATGGAGGGGTCAGGGCGGGTGAGGTTGCGGGTCAAGAGGGATGAAAACAGGCCTCGGGTGGAGGACCGATTGCGAGGCGTGATGCGCAGCTCCATCGAGCGAAGCGATCGCACCGCTCGCAGTGCATCAAACAGGGAAGAGAGGAGCGAAAGCGGTTGGCGAACAGATGAGCATCTCACACGGGACGAACGACGTGCGCTCAAAAAGGCCTCCAAGCTCAACGTGTACGACGTCGGTGCGGCCAACAACTGGCGGCAGGTCATGGGCGACAAGTGGTATCTCTGGTTCGTGCCTGTGGGCGCACCGAGATCGGATGGGTTTGCGTTCTTGGTGCAGACGCAGACGCTGCAGAAGCTCGAGGAGATCACTGCGTCAATACGGGTCAGGGACGAGCAGACGTTCCGACCGCCCACCCTGCGTCATCCTGACTCTCGGCCCAGCGAGGGTTACGACGATGACGATTCGGTGTACGACCCTTCGCAGCCAGCTTCACGATTTGGGTACCCGGAGGGTGCGGAGAGGAGGCACGAATCGGTGCAAGCGAGGGAGACAGGGTTGGACAGAAGGACGGGACAGAGATTCAATGGGGCGCACGGAGAGATGGAGTGGGGCGACGCACCAAAGAAGTCGTTCGTGCTGTTTGGCGTCGATGATGAGGACTAGCGTGGATGGCTATTGGAGACAAGACAATGCGACGCTGTTGCAACAATACAATCTGATCGGCGACTGTGTGTTTGTGGACCTACTCACCCTCTCCTACTTCCTCTTCCTCCTCCTCAGTCTCGCTATCTGCCTCTTCTTCCGCCTCATGCCTAGCACCATCACCGGTCCTCTGGCCATCCGTTTGACCAATCTTGTCCCGGTGTATCCTCCCCAACTCCCTCCTCATCCTCCTCGCCCTTCCCCTCATGACCGCCTCCACCATCCGCTCCACGACCTCGAGATGAGCCTGAATCCCAAACCCGCTCTCCCAGCCTTTGATCGTCGCATCCGCATTCTCCGCCCTTGGATTCACCAGCTGATTGATGATCGCGTCCATCGCCGTGCTCGCCGTTCTGGGTGTAGCGATGCCGACGAGATGGTTGGCGTGGTGAATGACGCGCGGGTAGAGTTCAGAGTGTGTAAGACCAAGCGGATCGGCGTCACTGCGAGAGGTGCCGGTGAATTGGTGCATTGGATACGAGGCGCCGGCGGGAAGCGAGGTGGTGTGGGTGACGGGCTGCGCCATGTGGCTGCGGTAGAGACTGCGTAGGTCAGCGTCGAGTTGTGTCCACTCATCCGCGTTGGCCTGAGCCGGTTGAGCGGATTGCTGGCGCGTGGGTGAGGGAGCAGAGGGCATGAAGTCGGTGAAGGATGCCCACCTACGCTGCGGCTCGAGTCTGCGCCATTCGTGAAGATCGATCTGGTTCGATAGAATCAGGTGTTCCTCGGCGAATGCGGCGTACGCTTCCACCTGGTCCGAGGTCATGTGCAGCGCCTCTAGCTCGGCAGGATCCATCTCGACCGCTGCGTCGGTCGAATGCAGGTACCGCTCTCGTCGCTTGTCGAGAGCGGCGAGCCACGGCTCGAGTGACGGCGCACATGATATGCCGGCATGTCCCTTCTTGCTGCCTGCTGGATCTGCGGAAGGGGTCGGAAGAAGCTCGACACGCTCGCGACCATCAAGACCATATCGCATCTTGATGACGACAAGCAGCGCTGCCATCAGGACAAACTCCTTCGGCGCGCGCTGCAGCTGCGCCGCTCCTGGCAATGCACCTTGCAAGTCCTCCTCGATCGAGCCGCGCGGTGCTGTGCTCTTCTCCTTCTGAGGTGGACTAGGCATAAGTTGTAGACCAACGCCTCTGCTGACCGTTTCCAGCATTCGCTTTGTCGCGACATAGAACGTCGGTGGCAGCAACATGCCCTCCACCAGCCTCGTCAGCTGAGCCGGCGTGTTGCCCTCGCCAAAATCGATCTCGTATGTGCGTTGCAGCAGGTCGGCCACGCTCAGAGTGTGCAGATGAAGCGTCGTGATGCTGGGAACGACGTCTGTGTCGAGGTGGTGATGGTGAACATTGTCCTTGTTCAAAGATTGCGTCATTGGAAGCGGCAACAAATGGACGACGTTTAGATAAGGTAGCTTGTGCGAAGAGATGAGCTTCACTAGGTCGGCCCAGAGGACGGGAATCTTGAGGAGATGTAGCGATAGGTAGATGATCGAGATTGTGGTCGGCATGATGGCGAGATGGAGGACCTCGGCTTGGGCCTTGGCGACCGAGTGCTTAGAGGCCCAGGCAGGAATGTGACGCCGACTCTTTCGACCATTGCCTTGTCCAGACGGAGGAGTGAGCTCGCGTTGCTGGCCTTCATTGTCGCTGGTCGCCTCAGACATCGCTTGCGAGCGTTGTCGCTGCCTGCGCTCCTCGGCAAAGACGGGATCGAGCTCAGCAAGCTCGTCTTCCGGATCAGCGAGAGACTCGGGCTCGCTGGAGCGTTGGGATCGTGATCGTTCGTGCTCTCCTTGACCGACGATCCAGTCGATGCAGTCCTTTGCGGTAGCTGGATCGTCCGAGTCGGCCAGATCCTCCTCATCCTGCTCTCGCTGCTCATGTGACTGCTCTCGACTACTTGTGGTGCGCTGTCTACGCTCAAGATGGTGGTGATATCCGTTGAAAAGCGTCCTGCGCCTGTGCTGACGGATATCGCTCTCCGGATCGTACGTAGCGTGATTGGGAAAGAGCTCTGTAGCGCGCTCTTGCGATAGGGAGTGACGAGTGTGCCAATCGAAAGTGGCGGCAATGAGCGGTTCGGGTGGATAATGACCAGCGGGCAGAAGAGAGACGAACATGGTCCAAAGATCACGAGCGATTGCTTCGGTCTCTGGTGGCAATTTTTCTCCCCACAGCTCGCGAAGCTTGTTGAGCTGGAGCCGCAAGATGAGTTGCAAGCATTGTAGCAAGGCGAAGCGGCCTTCGTACGCGCCGTATAGGCCGACACCAGAACGCCAGATCCTGCGGATGCCTCGTCTTGAGGCTCGTGCGAACGTGTCTGGTTCCGAGTCGAGACCACTCTCTTCTGCAGCGGAAGAGGCTGCGTAGCTGCGTGCGGACCGAGGATCTCGCTCGAAGAAGCTGTCGGCTCGGATGGAGTAGGGCGGCTCGTCGCCATCGTCGTCTTGTTGACTATCGGAGGCGAGCTGATCCAGCTCGTCTGAATGCGCAGAGTATCTCGACCGTGATCTGGATCTCGAACTCTGCCTTCGAGCCCGCTTGTGAGCGCGTCGCGTCTCTTCTTCGAGCTGGTCCTCTTCGCTGTCCTCTAGCTCGACATCGGTGTCTGGCAGCGAGTAGTGAGGTGTGTGTTGACTCTTGAGCCTGCGAACCTTGTTGACGTTGACAGTGCGTCGTTTCCTCGCAACTCCGTCGCCCAGAAATTCGTCGTCTTCGGCTTGCTCGATGCGAAAGTGCTGCTGTACGTGACCGCGTTTGCAGATGAGCTGGCCTGCTCGAAGGCGCATCTTGCGTGTTCCACATTCCGGGCATCTTGGACGCTGCGAGAACTGAGATGCCTCGCGTTGAGATGCTGATGAAGGACCTGCTTGGCTCGACATGAGCTCGTCAAAGTCGGAAGATGGCGCCATGTTAGGCTGAGAGAAGGAGGCGCCATAACGACTGCCATGCTGCGAGCCGTGCGACTTCATGGCGCCAGAGAGTGCCGAAACCGACTTGGAGTGCTATAAGACATCGGAGCTGGGTAGCTCAACGTCGTCTCCGCTGTTGCAACTCGGAAAGCGTACAGTCGACCCAGTCCGGGGGGCTTGGCTGTCGGTAGAGAAGGTCCACAAGAGGAAGGCCAGAAGAAAGCGTTCGCGAACCGAATCTTTTTCAGGGTCCAGGATCGCGATTTCGGAAGTCGGCGGCAACGTGAATTTAGATCCTAAGATGTTTGGTAGCTAGGGCTAACATCTTTCAGCTCTTCGACAGCCCCACCAAGACGACTTACCCCACAATCGGTAGTCTTGACAGGCAGAGTTGGACACTGCGAAGTCGAAAGTGAGCTTTGGATTGCCAGAAAACCTTACGTTGTGTCTCTCCCAGCGGAAGGAGAAAGGGAGGCCCGATGGCGCCCACCAAGCGCAGGAGGAGGAGAAAGAGGATGCGTGAAAAAAGAAACTTGGCAATTGAAGCTCAGCAAGCTCGCCTAGCAGGCGGCACAAACAAGAACGCCAAACCGCATCCGCATCTGCGACACGACAATGGAGACAGCCCTTCTGAAGAAGGTGTCTGGTCTACTGTATTTTCCCCACATACTTGCATTGCGCTGGTCGAGCGTCAGTGCGGACCTGCGACAGATCTCATATTGATTGCAGAGCCAATAGAGTGGGGTGATGAAGCCCCAAGACGACTTCATGAGTGTCCAAAAGCGCGCTGATGATCGTCGTGTCGAGCTGGTCGGCTATCGAGTCGTCGGGGCAGCAGCAAGAGCGAGAGTGAGCGGGGCTGAGACTTGACACCTCTCAGCTGCTCTTTCGGCGTGTCTGGACGAATAGGATCTGCAGTGGATTTGTAGGCAGGCCTCCAAGGACCGCCAGGACCTCGACCCCTAGGCAGTTGCTGGACCCTCTTTGCGTGTCGAAACGGGGCAAAGCATCGTTGACGAATTTGCAGCTCGGGTAGCATCATGTTGCAGCGAGCAGGCGCAGCTTTCGAGGCCAACCGCTTTCAGAAAAATTCTCCTTTTCGTCGATTTCAGGCTCAGCTGCTGCAACGCCTCTGCCCATGCCTAGCGAGGGCGCTGGATTTTCGCTGATTTCCCCGCAAGCTAACCAGGCGATCAGCAGCCGGCAGCAGCAGCACACAAGCGGCCTTGGACACTCGTGCAGCCGCTCCGCCGTTTCAGTCCAAGTTTAGCAGCAGCAGTAGCAACTCGCCTGATTCGCGCTTCTCATCGCAGCAGTGCCTCTTTCGCCGCTTGCCTGCACTCCAGAATTTGGTCCGCCATCCACACTCTCTTTTGCCCTTCGTCGTCGTCGTTGTCCTCACCATCCCACCACGTCCATCATCTCGACCCGTCCGCTTGATACCCTCTCGACCTTTCCTGCTCTCCACCTTTCGATTCTTTACGAGTGCACCCTCACTTCGGTCTACTACAGCCGTCTTTATTGCTATTTCTGGAACCTGCTATACCTTGGTCCAACTACAATCCACCTTCCAGAGCGCGGTAATCGCAGATCCGCAAGCACCACCCACAATGAGGACAAGCATCGCTGCCGTCGCGGCATTGTCCGCCGCCGCCCTGTTCGCCGCCACCCCGGCGCAAGCACAAGGCATCGCCTCGCTCAACTTTGGCAACGGAGGTGGTAGCAGTCAACAAGCTTCGCCCGCCAGCTCCGCAGCTGCCGCCTCTTCGGTCGCTACCTCGGTCGCATCTGCTGCCTCTTCCGTCCCTGCCACTTCCGCGCCCAGCTCTGCGCCCACAAACGCCGCCATCTCTGGTTCCGACTCTGCAGCGACGAGCACCATTGCCTCGGACCCTATCTCCTCCCCTGCCTATGCTGCCGGCACGGTCACCTACATCCCCCCACCTCTTCCATCCTCGACCGCAATCATCAACGTCTCTGCGCTCCCCTCGTCGCTGCCAGCGCTCAACGCGACCGCTTCGTCCAACTACACCTTGCCATCCGCCACGGCCACCGGTGTCTTCCCCACCCTCCCCTCGCTCCAGGGCCAATCGAACCCGTACCAAATCGTTTTCGCCAACACCGCCGGTTTGCCGACGTACAACTGGAACCTCGCACTCAACTCTTCCTCCGATCAGTCCAAGACCGCCCTGTGCGCCTCGCAGATGCAGTTCTGCGCCAAGGCGGGGTGCAACGATACCGAGGCCAAGCTGACCAACTTTTGCGAGACCAAGTACATGGGTGTCGCCTGTTCGTGCAGCAAGGGCGCGAGTCGATTGGAGCAGTACCAGTGGCCGGTGATGCTGGCTGATTGTCAGGGCAGGAACACCGCTTGTAGGGATGCTTGCGTGAAGCCCGGCCAGAGCGTCGCCGATCAGGACAAGTGTCTGGATACTTGCGCCCAGAACTATGGTAGTACGTGCGGTAAACCGGGACAGTACGCGGCTAATTATGCTGTGGGCAAGGAGGGTAGTAAGCCGAGCTATACCATTGTTCAAGGTGGAACGGCACAGAATGGAGCGCTGGGCAAGAACGCTGGTTTGATGGGTGTGGTTGCTGTTGCTGCGCTCGTTTCGGTCGTTGTAGTCGGATTGTAAGCCGGGATGAAGGAATGGACCTCACCCCGACACTCGCTTCGAGGGCTGGGCCTATCCACTCGACCGGGCCCAGCACACACCACACTCGTTTGCTTCATTTCATCGTTGGATTTTTTTTCACTATCGAATACCTTTCTTGTAATGCCCCTACCTCGGATACACCACACACTCACTTGGCTCGATCTGACTCTGGAATATATCGCCGTTTCATCGTGCTCTCTGCTTGTGACGGACTGTTGTACATTCTTCTGGCTTCTGTCTGGTGTAGCTAATCGACCACTACCGGCGCACTCACCTCGCCGATCCTAGCCACGTTCGCCTGACCCAGCCCGTCCATGCTCAGAAACAACCAGTTGACCACTGGCTCCTCTCGTCCACCGATGCTGTTCAAAATGTCCTGACTCAGCACGCCCCCCAAGATGCTGCCCACGGGGGCGAGCGTGACGCCCATCCCACCTTCTCCTATGATTCGTTGGAAGACCCTATCCACCTCCCGTTCGTCTTTGGCGTAGGCAGCAAAAATTGTGGTGCTCGACAGACCCTTCTCCCTGATCAGCGCTACAGTGCGGGCCTTGAGGGCGTCCGGCGTGATGGATGTATCTGCGCCATGCGGGTGCAGACGATCGCGCAGGTCGGTGAGGGAGAGGAAGACGAACCAGTCCAGCGGCAATCGCGTGCGTCGTTTCTGCCTCTCTGTCAGTCCTGCAAACGTTGTACCCAAAGAGTCGGTCAGGGTGGGGAAGGTCTGACGTCGTTTCACCCGGACCTTTTCGGTCGAGGATGGAATGGGTCGCTCCAGGACGTAATCGTGCTCGATCTGATCTGCGAAATACAGCCCGCCAAGACCGTAGGTTGCGGAAAGGAAGAATTTTGACCCTGCAGACCGGGTGGTGGTGTTGAGGGTGACGAGGGTTTGCATGAGTCCGGTTTGGGTGGGTGTAGGTAGAGGTGTGCCGGCTACGACCACATCCACAGAGCGCTCCGTGAGCCACGCCACCGACGCTTCGCCCCCCGCTAGTAGCGTCGTGTAGTCGGCAACATCGTCGATGCCGGTGACTCTGACGTTCGGGTTGAGTGCCCGGACGCGATCCAATGGGCCCCGACTGCACTTGAGCGAGCCGGCCTCTTCAGCCCGGAAGAAGAAGTTGGAGAGAAGATCCACCCGTGCATCGATGGGGGATGGGTCCAGGATGGTGATGCTACCGACGCCGGAGAGGACGGCGTTCTTGATGATTTCCGTCGCAGGACCGTTCCAGCCGACGATGAGGATGTGCGCCGAGCGCAGACGAGTCTGTGCGGCGAGACCCCAAAGACGGATCTGACGGTCGTACAGCGCCGCTTCATCTTCTGTGACGGAGGTGCCGTTCGAGGTGGCCTGGGAGGGTTGAGAGGGTGGTGCGAGCTGCGACGTGGATGCCTCGCTGGATGCTGTTGCTGCAGACATGTTTGCGAGTGTTGTTGAGCTGGAATGATGGCTGAGGGAGAAGAGGAAAGGAAGGAAGGAAGCATCGAGTGAATCGTTGGAAGATTTGACAGGTGCGGAACTCGGACGATGCGCAGCTGCGCGGAACGCCCAAGGCGCGTCTTCGACTTCGCTGAACGCTTTGTTCTCCACACAAGCTCAGCCAAGACTTCATTTCGCTTCTCTCACGCTTCGAAGACACACTCACCGAATGTGACCCAGGAGAGTGCTCATCAAAAGTTTGCTCAGCACACAACCTTACTGGATCCATGATCATAAGGTGACGAATGAGCAAAGCGACATATCTGGGTGACTCGACATCAAAGCTGACCCAAAGCCGTCTCGAGCTTCTCGAGGAACAAATCGGCGTGTTTCTGCTCGAACACGAGCATTGGCCTCAACCTCACCGCCTTGTCACCGCATCCACCCATGTGAACGCCCAGCTTCCTCATCTCCATGATCAGCTTGTCCCTCACCTCGGGTGTCCTGCCGTCGAAGGCCAGGAAAGTGCCGGCGTTCTCGCCCCTGAGCTTCTCCACCTTGCCCCGACCGGCGCCGTTCTCGATCATGTCAGACAGCTTGCCGTAGATGTAGTTGCCCACCTCGTCCGTCTTTTGGACCAGATCGCGGTCCTGGATGGTGCGGATGATCTGGCGAGCCTGCATGGTGCGCGTCGGGTCGCCCATCCATGTGTTGTAATTGCGGTATGCCATCGAAGGTCGCGTGTCGATGTTGTGGTAGAACCCGGCCGCCTGCATCTTCTTGGAGAAGGTCACAAAGTCGGGTGGGCTAGTGAGGTTCCACTTGTCGTGCGCCCAGAAGGCGCCCGTGGCTCCAACGCCCGTCTGGACCTCGTCGACGATCATGAAGACGCCGTGCTTCTTGGTGACATCGCGCAGGCCCTGGAAGAAGGCGGGGGCAGCATGATTGTCTCCGCCTTCCGACTGGATGGGCTCGACGATGAGAGCGGCAACAGGTCCATAAGAGGAGGTGCCCTTCTTTGCGCTGACGATGGCCTCCTCGACGGCCGCAAGAGCCACCTTCTCCGCTTCGGCATTCTCGCGAGCATGCTGAGAGAGCGGGTACTTGACATCAGGCCACGCTACCACGGGCCACTTGAAGGAAGGGATGTCGAGCTTGTGGATAGCCTTGGATCGAGTCGCCGAGAGAGAGCCGAAGAGACGACCGTGGAAGGCACTGGTGAAGCTGAGGATGGTGAGATCGGGCGAGCCGGGCGATTCGTTCTTCATGCAGCTCGACATCTCCTCGGGGGTGAACTGAGCCTGTTCTCCCCTCTCGCGAGCTCGGTAGGCCATGAACGAGGCCTTGAAGGCGTTCTCGTTGGCACAGCTTCCGCACATGGCGGTGAAGATGTTGTTGAGCCCCTTAGGCTTGACAGTACCGAGACCGGTTTCGACGAGCTCCTGCCAGTTGGTGGGAGGGAAGGATCCGAGAGCAGCACGGTTCATGGTCATGGTGATGAACTCGTCGGTCTTGGCGAGCGCGAGAAGGTCCGGGTTGTTGTATCCGATGGCGATGGAAGCGATCTGAGCGAAGACGTCGAGAAGGACATTGCCGTCAGCGTCGGCGATCCAATTGCCCTGCGATTTGCCATAGTCGACGACGAAGCCGTGCGCGCGGTTCTCCTGGAAGGTTCCGATGTTGTTGCTGAGCTCCTTGGACTTGGGGCCAGGAATTGCCTGGGTGACGAGGTGCGGCGCCGAGGGCTCGCCGGGGAAGAGGGACGAGGAGACAGTAGCAAGCGCTCGTCGCTGGTGTTGCGGCAGCGCTCGAGTACGGGCTGCGCTGCGGACGCATGCCCTCGCTGTTGAGGTTGCCCTTGAAGAGATCATGTTGAGCAGCTGCTGTCTAAGACGTCAGGGGAAGAGGCAGATGATGAACGTGAGCTCAAAGGCGACGCTCGATTCTCTCCTTATGTATGATGAGCTGCACGCAACCTTATCTGCAGACAGAGTCACCACGAGGAGAAGCTTCGGATTTGAGCTCGAAGTGCGGGTCGCGCGGTTAGAATTGGAAAAGAGCGTCGTCCCGTTGGTTGGGCGCCAGGTCGTTCCCTGGGCGCTAGACCTGCTCTTTGCCAGAAATCGGACTTTTGCTCGGCGAATTCGCACTGGACCCTTTTTGAGAAGACCGCTCGTCGGAATTAGGCACCACTCCTCGAAGGGCACACTCTTCCTTCCCAGACTTGCGGTCAAGCCGATCCACTGATGCCGGGTCAATCGTAGCATCGCTGCGTGTCGCCATCAAATCCTCATACAGCCTCACATCGCCGACTTGTCAAAATGACTCGGCGGAGTCAAAGCTGCATATGGCTGCTGCAGGGTCTGTGACTGGCGACTTGACATCGTTACTTCATCCTTGAGAGTCTTGGCAAAGCGCCAATATGACGATTTCGAGAGCATCCGTGCACGTCCTTGACTGCGATGACGGATGGAGATGCAAGTCTTCTGCATTGTCACAACCCTGTGTGATTTTACGAGGGTGGTCAAACTCTAATGTGTCACACAATTCGGAAGGGCAGCCGGATGGTCCCACCGAGGTTCCCACGCTTCAATTTGGAGGCAAGACAAGTACTTCTGAACACTGAACGCCTAACAGCCAGACTGACACAACGTTAGGATCACAGTTGGTTAGCGCGCGGAGTCGCGGCGACAGTCAGAAACGCTTGTCGTTACCGCACCTACTCACGATCACAAGCGTCTGCCGTACGGGCTCACTGTAGTGGCTGCATCAATGCCTCCGTTCCAGAATGGATGAAACTCCCACAATGGTATGCACACGCTGGTGTGATGCCCAAGCTCATCTTCATTTCGCACGCTCCTGCAAGGCATCACCCACTTTGTCGGATGAGATCGCATCCCCCCTTTGTCAACGAAATGAAGTCACGCCGACTTGGGGCTAGATCGTTCAAAACACACCAGGTGCAGGCGTTTCTCGATGGAGCTGTTGCCTCTCTTTCGCCTTGTTCTGCCTTCAGTCTCGACCCTGCCGCTATTCTCGCCTATGCAGCTTCTTTAAGCTTTAGAGGTTGTCTCTGAGGCTTCGAAGCACTGACAGCGCTCATGTCGCATGTCAAGCAGTCTGGGCAGCCAATGGCGAACAAACCCATGGTCAAGGCATCTCAGCTCACCAGCCGAACTGCAAACCTTGACCTGCACTCGACTGATACTGACCGACTCAAGGCAGGTCATGCACAGAAGCACATCCGACCCCTGACGACACGGAACGATGCCGAGCCTATTCGCACTGGCAAAACTCAGCCAAGAGGCGCAGTCTGCAATCCGATCGGAGACTCGACCAGCCTGCTCAAGCGCTCTTTCTCCAAGCTGCGAATCAAGGATGCCATTTCACCCAGTCGGCTCAAGCCGCCTCAAGCGACGCGTCAGCATCTGGCACCTGCGTCGAAGATCCCGCAAGCGACTTCGCCTGCGTCACACACACATATATCATCCAACCGCCGTCCGGACCCTTCCGCCTTCGTCGTCCCCTCCTTCGCATCTCCCGAAACCAAGCTCACCTCTACGACTCAGCACAAAGGCTTGCAGCCATCCACGCCTCGACAGGCAGATCATCCCCACGATCATTATGAAAACGTTCCGCTCCCGACGTCTGTCACTCATCAATCAAGCCCAGCTGCGGATAAGAAGACGACCGAGATCAAGATGAAGGCCATGCAGCTCGGCATTTTCAAAATCAGCGAGGAGGACTTGAAGGAGCGCTACCAGTTCCTCCGTGAGGTTGGTGAGTATCACATCGCTTTTCCCCGTCAATGCCTCCTAAGTGCAACGTGACTCACATTCTCTCCCCTTCTCATCCGCAACGCTCACAGGTGCGGGCGAATGGGGCAGCGTATGGTCCGTCGAGGCACTCAAGCCTCTTGATCACCTTCCCACTTCCGCCTACCGCTCGCTTCGCGTCACCAAACTCACTGGCTCGGGCACCTACACCATCGACAACACCTCCAACTTTCGGCCCCTCGCTGTCAAGCTGTGCAAACGCGAGCGCACCAAATCCGCCGCTGCCATGACCCAGCGTCTCTGGAACGAGTTCAAGATCCTACGCATGCTGGTGGACCAGCTTCCTCGTGCCCAGCAGGTCAGTGGCGACAGTCCCAATCATGGCGTTCGCAACGATCGCACCGGATGGCATCCCAACGTCGTCAACTTCTACGAGTTCCTCCTGACGCCCAAGTTCGCCATGCTCGTCATGCCCAAGTTCGACGAGCCTATGAAGGTGTGTCTTGGCGAGCCGCTGTGCATCACCTTCTTTCAACAGCTCCTCTCGGCTCTGCACTGGCTTCATCAGCACGGAGTTTGCCACAACGACATTAAGGTCGACAATCTCGGCGTCACCTACGACACCTCGGGTCTCGGACGTGATACGGCTACGCTCTTCGACTTTGGCTTTGCCAATCGCTACGAGCCTCAACATAAGGATGCCTTCATGTCCAACGAGATGTGGGGTACGCCCGAGTACCTCTCGCCCGAACGATGCCGTGCAGCTTGGCACGACGAGAGGAAGTCGGATATCTGGGCGCTTGGTATTACCTTCTTTGAGATGCTCACTGGTCGCACTCCCTTCGAACACCACGATGAGAAGTTCGACAGCAAGGAAAAGTTCGAGGTGTACTACACACGTGCCGAACGCGGTGCCTGGGTGGGCGAATGGCACATTTCTCCTGGGTTGGAGGATCTCATTCGCGGCATGCTACTTCACAGCCCGAGCGAGAGGAGCGATGCTGGAGGGGCTCTCCTTCACGCTGTCTTCGATCCTGTCCACAGCACGCAGTGCGACTCGTTCGACGAGCTGCTGAGGTTCTCGCCTGACGAGGAGCTGGTTCAGCAAGCTACGCGGGAAGCGAGTCCAAGCCCGGACGTCTCTTACCTGCAGCAAGAATTGAGTGATAGCGACATCGTCATTCGAGACCTGGTCCAGCGAACTCGACCGCAACGGTCTCGAAAAGACACCGCCTTAGACGAGAAGGAGCCGCTTTGCGCCTCGCCAGGCATCTCCCGAGCAGCCGTTGCGATGCCGCAGTATCACGTTCCAGGATCTCCTTCCCTGTCGCAGGTCGGCATGGATTCTCGCCTCACCGACCTCATGTGCGTCAGTCCACCGTGGCGCAAGGGTCAGCCGCCACGTCAAGGCACGCCTATACTATCTGCCAAGCGAGACCGCATTTGGACCTCCCATCTGCCTGAAGACGACGACAACGACAGCGGACAGAGCGACGCCTCGGAAGACCGACCCTCTCCGGTCAGCATCGTCAGCGCGTCGAAAGCTCAACCTACTAAACAATCGCCCTTCCGACTGCGCTTAGGCCTGCACGCTCAAAGCAGCAACACGACACGTCCTACGCAAGAACGGATGGCTTCGACACCTCTCTCTGCCCCCGCAGCTACCACTCATTCATCGGGTGCACCCGTCATACTTCCTCAGACGAATGGCAACAACATCAAGCCCACCACGACGCGCATCGACACCTCCCGCGTCGCCTCGCTCGCCAAAAAGTTCGACGCTAGCAACTTCCTCTCTCGTCCACCTCCCCACCTCACCTCGCTGACCACCAGTCTCACGGGGCGCGGTCTGACACTCGGCAAGAACGGTCAGGGTCACCGGCGATCCAAGTCGCATACGCTGATGGGCACGCAGTCTGGCGTGGTGCCGTATGCCTCGCGCCGCTCGACTGGATCGTACGTGCCTGGTGGGGAGGATGCGCTGCCTCGGTGTGCGAGGCGACTGTTCGATACCGAGGTCGAGACGAAGCGCGAGATGGATGCTGCTACAGATATCGGGTCTGCTAGGTCGGATACGAATGATGCTGGCGTCCTCCCCGTTGCTACCCATGTCGAGACCACCGCTCGCACACCTGCACCTCCAGCTCCTCAAGCAAGATTCACTGAATCGTCCGTGGCTACTCCTACCGGTGAAGCGCACTTCGCACACCGACTTCAAAAGATGGCCTCCCTCGCCGGGCTGCTGACCAAGATGATCGATGAGACGCGCACCGTGCTCAGTCCGCAGATGCAGACCCCCGTTCGGCGCGGATCCAGTGCAACGGCGAGCACCGAGGCGCTGGACATCTCGCCTGGACTATTGGGCTCTCCTGCGTCGAGCGAAGGGAGAAGAGCCGATGTGTCGATGGTGAGTGCGGCCTTCTCTCTCGATCTCAGCTCGTCCGCCCATCGTAGCGGTACGGAAGACGAGGCGAAGAGAGTGAACCATCCGACGCCGGCCCAGGTGGAGGGCATGTACGAAACTTTCCTTGCCAGTCAGCGGGTCTCGAGGGCCGGAGAAGGATTCATGTCGCCCAAACAGGCTTCGGTGGCCACCACGACGAGTGGCATTCCGAGCGTCAAAAAGGGTCGGAAGCTCGCCAAGCTCTTCTCCCCCTCCAATAGCGCGCCCAATTTCGACCACCTGCGTGAGGAATCGGCTGGCTCGCCGAGGAAGAGCAGGACGGATGGCCAGAGGAGTGTTGGTAAGGGTGGAAGACTGGCCCGGCTGTTCCGCAAGCAGGGGTAGCTGCAATACCCCCTTCCTGCTCCTCTTCCCCTGATATACATCTGGCACGCGCTCTTTGTTCGTATCCACGCTTTGGTTTCCATCTACATTACCCACTCTCCTTTCTGTTCATAGTTCATACCCCTCCTTCTGTCGCTTTTGTCTCACAGCTAGCTTTGCGCTGCCCCACACACATTCCTTTTATTCGGTATATAGATCCATTCATTTCTCTCTCTTCTTGTGGCGATCGGGCTGAAAGGATATGAAAAGCGGTGTTGATTAGTCTAAGTGAATATACTGATGGTGAATTAGCCGTCGAAGCCGAGCTGGTTGGGAGGCATGTCGGCGAGGATGGCCTGCCCAAGGTTGAGTGCCCGCATAGCTTCTTCGGTCAGACTGTAGTTTGGGTCCTGTTCGTACTCCATCTCATCCTCCTCGGCGTAGTCTTCCTCCTCTTCGAATCCATCTTCCTCGGTCTTGACCTCTGGATTTTGAGGCGTAGGTGTCACCGCTCGCGGTCGCTGGTAGTACCTCTTCCCACCCTGATCGCGGGACAGATGCTTGAGCGTCTCCAACATCGACAGCATGTGCAGTGTCAGCGTGATCATGAACGTGTTGTACCCGTACACGTTGGAGTATCGAGGGCGATCGGGGGAGCAAAAGAAATGACAGGCCTTCCACAGTGAGTCGACTGTGTTTTGGGCTGAAGCAGCGGTCAGTTCACCCTCTTCGCCCTCGTCTTCCTCCGCAACTGTCGCGGCGTCGTCATCGCCGGCGTCTAGGCGGATGAATTCGTCTTGTGCAGGGAGCATGGGCGCGGGCGGTGGAGACGGCTGAGATGCGGGGGAGATGGGGTGATCCGGTGCGGTCGGAGTCGCTCGTCTGTCATCATTGTCGTCTGCAGGGGTCTGGAGAGGCAACGGCGTGCCAGACTGAGTACGCTTTTGACCTTCACCGATGTCTTGCGACGCCTTCCTTTTGAGTGCGCTACTTGATGAGCCAGGAACAGGCTGCGCAGCAACGCTCGAGGCGTTGTCAATGACATTTGTGACGGGCCTCAACGCCGATCTTTGACCATCTGGGCGAGGAGTAGTCGAGCGTGCACTATCCACGCCTGAGAGCGACTCCTCATCGCTCGAGTCCACTTCGATAGGAGCTTCCGCAGTTCCAACCCCTGTATAGCGGGCCGAGGTGCTCGAGCCAGCAACTCCTGCAGCAACTCGTTGAGCTCGTCCAGAGCCTCCGCCGCTATCAGCCAGCGATGTCTCTGTCTTGCCACCTGTATCCGGACCGGACCCGCCATGCTCAGCGCTATCGTATGCGCCTTGCTCCGACAATCGGCAGAGTCGTTTGCGCAGGAGCGTGCAGATAGACTGCATACCGTCGAGAAGGTCATTATCCCGGTCGGTACGGGTTCTCTTCGCCACTCTTGCCCACGGAAGACGGCCCGTGAGCAAGTACACCTCGGAAACCAGGTAGACGCCGTTCATTGGGGTTTCAGCATCGCTGGCGTTTCGTCGAAGCTTGTCAGGGTAGGGGTGGTACGACGCGATCTTGCGCGACATTTGGCGGAGTAAGCTCGTGAAGGTTTGGAAGAGCGCTGCGTAGCGATGGCCCTCTGCGGTCACGCTACCGTCGTCTTTCGGTATGCCGTCATCTCCGAGCGCTGGAAGAAAGTATCTGTTCGCCTGATTGATTCTTTGGAGCAACTGAGGGAAAGTGGAGTCCTTGAATTGCCAAGGAGCAGCGTTCGTGGAGTCGGCTGAGCCTGCTGGACCAGTGATCCTTGCAGCCAGGAGGTTTCGCGTTCCAGAATGAGACGAGGTAGGCAGTGCCTGCGTCGCCGAACCATTACCTACTGTCGCACGTGCCGAGCTGATCAGACCCTGAGACTGTTGCTCTGCAAGCCTGTTGAACTCAGCCCCAAATTCGGTTAGCTCGTCGTCGTCCATCTCCGGAGGCTCCTCGTCGATGACTCTTTCGAGCCCGGTTTCGGGATCCGTGTTTTTGTCCAGGCTTGGCGTGTCTGTCATGTCCCACGAGACCGCTCGATACAAGTGTCCCAATACCCTTTTGCTCGCATATGTGAGCTTGCCTTCCCTCTTCTCCTCGGATTGCACCAGGAAATCAGGAATGATGGGATCTTGCATTCTAGGCAGGTCGGTCCTCGCCACAGCGACGCCTGTCTTGCGGAAGTCAGTGGCCTGAGAGTGCAGCCTCGCTAGCTTCTTGCATCTGGGATCTTCCGAGCCCAGCTCGCTGATGTCCGCAATTCGCAGGTGAAGGTGCGAAACCAGCCCGATAAAGTCATTTAGCATGAAGTCGGCAAAGAACTCGGCCAGCTGATGCGGACCGCAGTCTATGTTGAGCGTCAGCTCCTTCACCTTATCGTGGAAGACTCCTGGGGGCTGACGCGTCTGAGGGAAGAGACGTTCATCTTCGTAGATGGTGTATAAGTCGCCATCGAGATCTCCTCCTCCCAGCCTGCGCGGGAGCGGCTGATCACGCGTGCAGGTGTTGAAGACAATGACGTTCCGGAGCTGCAAGAGAGGATGTCCCGGAGGCGGCTTCCGGCATTCGATCATGCAAACGTCGCTCGGGTCAATTGTCGGTGATCGCCCGATCAGCTTTCGCCCCGTCAGTATTCTTCGATTGACTTGTCCAAACTCCACTGTCTCTACCTGTGCAAACGCTTCTCCCTCCTTCAGAAAGCTGAACTCGTCTGCAATACCAAGCAGAGTGACACCTTTGACGGGAATACGAGCCTTGCGCTTCATGTCACCGAATGCGGCAGCTGTCACCGCTTTGGCGAGCACGAGCAAGAAGCTGTCGTCTTCGACTGTTGCAGCCCCGAGGCCGGCCTTGTGGCACTTCTCAAAGAGAGTTCGAAGGTTGCAGCCCGTGCCGAGACTGAACGCTGAGCACAGCTTGGCCGTCTCGTTGAACCTGGTGCGGGCCCGGTCGATTTGCCGCATGGCCTCGTCCTGTATGTCCAGAAACGCGTCCTTGTTGACCCCGCGGTCGTCGAGCGCGTTGATGAGCGGGCGATTGAGCTTGGCCGACAGACAGCGGGATGAAGAGTTGGCGACCTCGAGATCTTGGTGTCCTGAGCTGAACTTGAGCATGCTGGGACGCAGGCACACAACTTTGCCAGTGAGCCCAGGATGCACCGCAAGCATGCCTTTGCTGCCTCCAAGGCGAATCTGAATAGCTGAGGGCGCCGTGGCTTTCAGCAGCTTTCGTTGACGATGTTCGCCGTGCATGGACACATAGCTCTCCCAAACGTCCGCCATCAGGGCCGGCGATATCTGTCCGACGCCATCCGTGTGAGCTTTGCCTTTTTCCGCCTCGATATCTGGTATATGACGCACGTGTTCCTGTGGCACCCTGACTGTACTGGCTGTCGCGCTGAATGCTTGGGAAAGGCGGGCACCGTAGAGTGCGGGCGATCTAATGACATCTCGGAAGTCGCCAAGACTGGCACGGATCACATTGGCATCGACCCGACGCCCTTTTGAGTCCGTGAAAGGGGCCAGGAACCAGACTGTGTGGGTACTCATCGACGAGGAGGACCACGCAAGCAAGTCCCAGTGGCGTCCAGCCACGTTGATTCCGTCTTTGAGTATAGACAGGACGCGCTTCCGGATGAAGGTTTCGCTCTGTGCGAAGCCGTAGTTGGGCGTGATGGTGGTGGCTCCTTCGCGACTCTCGTTAGTGAAGGTGACCCGAGCGAAGTGCTGCCAGTGATCTTTATACGACCTGATCACGCGGTTCGACATGTGCCAGTGCGGACCAGACAGCAAGACGCGGGTGGGAGTGACGTCGATGTGCAAGAATGGGGACAGAAGGCTGTCGCCCGTTGGCAGCGATGGATCCAGGAACGTCAACAGGCCGTTCGAATCGTTTCTGACGGCCTCGTCGCAAGCCTCATCCCATAGACGATTGGTGACCTTGTGAGTCTGCTCCTCAGTGAGGCCTCTTTCTTTGCGAGCCTCCAATTTGGGCACCAAGTTCTTAAGAGCTCGTAAAGCCAACGCCGGCTGTCGGGCCGTGATCATTCGATCGAGGTAAGCGCTAAGATGTACGAGAGCCGAGGTGCCTACGAGCTCATTGCGGATGAGAGACTCGCGGAGAAACGCCAGCTCCATATCGATGTGCGCGCTGCGTCGGAAAAACCTATCCAGAATAGCAGCGGTACTGTCCTGTTCCACTCGGACCGAACGCAGGTTGATTGTATCACCGGCAGGGAAAAGTGTATCGAGGCACGACTTGAGCTTCCCTGCCGCTTTGACGGCTTGGTCGGTCTTGGCAAACGTGACAAGAACGACCCGAGATGGAAGATCGAAGTGATGCTGTGTTGAAAGAGCTGATCGTACGTGTCTTGCAAGGACGGGGTTTTGTCTGAGGTCAAACAAAACCACTGAAGCACCATTGAGTTTGTCGCAAGTGAAGGCTCGCACCTCTCGAGGAAGGAAGGACAGCAGACCGGAGACGGAGATAACCCCCTGCGATTCAATCGTGAGTCGAAGATATGCTTCTTGGTGGCTTGTGGTGTGCATGAAACGGTCCTTCGCCGCCCAGTGCCCAACATGGACCGACTCGATCATGAAATGTTGATCTTGAGTCTCGATAGTGGCTGACGGCTTTTGATTTGCCGCGTTTTCGGCTATGACGTCCGCGAATGCTTTCGAAGGAACTCGATTGCCAACATCGATGCGGAGTTCATGATCATAAACGAAGGAGTGGTTCTGTGCGTGCTGTATGAACCATCTGGCCACGTTGGTCTTTGCGAATGTGACGATGGCGAAGTCAGGTTTATCGAGTTGTTCGATCCTCTTCAGAAAGAAGCCCTTGATGATCTGGATTTCGCAAGTACCTCTGGATGTCGGAGGAGCGGATGCTACGGTCACGGTCGAGGGACAGTCGTCAAGCACATCGAAGATGAAGGCCTCGATGGCAGATGTCTGCAGGTATCCAGGGACACTCCCTACAAACACCTCCATCGCTGTGACCGCTTCAAGACCCCGTCGCGGAGACCAACAAGACGTGCGGAGCAAGTGGGTAGTGGCGATGGAGCGATTGACTGAGGCGCGGAGGAGGAGGAGGAGGGTGAGAAGGTAGAAGCGCCTGAGGATCAGAAGGGTCATCGAACAGCCGTGCATCAGCAGTAAAGATTGTTGGCGATTAGGACAGGAGCGGATGTGCTTGCGATTCCGCCCACCGACCGAGAGAGAGGTGGGCCTTCATTCCGAAGAGTGGGTATCCGCAAGTGGGCTTTGCATTGATGAGGCCGGATGTGTCACGGAAAGACCTTGCTTCGCGCAGGATTGATCAGGTGTTTGGCAGGTCAGCCATGGCCCTCCTGCCGCCGAAGCCCAGCACCATTGTTGCAGTGCAGCTAATCGCAGCATGCGTGTTGCTCGAGCCCGCATCTTGCAGGCTGCCGGCTAGCATTCATATCTTGCAGCCGGAGTCGCATCGCCTACATGAAAGAACGAGTCGAAGATTGGACGGACGACTCGGATTTGCCAGCCTGTGATGGTCGTTCCGCCTTGCCTCTTGGCACGAATCGTCGAAGAAAGACCGGACACCTTGATGGGCTCGAACAAAGATGCATGGACCTTCAGGAAGACAGCGGATCCCAGAGCTCGGTGCCTTCGACCCGGAAGACAAAGGGACTAGGACCTAGCCGAGGCGGACTCGAGCGCTCGTTGCAGTTGTTCTGTGCCCCGTTCATCGCGACAAAGAAGATGCATGCACGCCGCTGCACCTGTCTTGAGCCTTGCAAAAACAAACGAGGGACGCCATCGATGGACTGAGCGAAGTCATGAAGGCCCTCGCAGGATTAGTTCCGTGCCAGGAGACTGTTCCCGATTCGTCAAGACGTTGTCGTTTCGAAGCATGGTGGACGAAGAGAAGAACAAAGGGAAAGGTCAAAGCACCGCTAACTCCAAATTCAGATAAGAAGAGCGGACAAACGCTCTGCTGCTCGCATCCCCTTCGAGTGCCCCAGACTTGTATTGGTGACCAAAGATGGCTAGTAGGAGCGTCCTTTCGCAGATGTCACAAGCCTGACTCATCGGGCTGCACGCCCACATCTTCTCAAGTCTCAATGCGAAGACAAAACGCGACGAGAGAGTCATCGGAACTTCCTTGCGAGCCGTCACGGTGAGTTGGCGTAGCCTGAACTCTGACAGACGGTCACACTGCAAAGTTAGTGCTAGCAGCCGTACTCGTACTGGAAGCGTCACATTGTCATTGCAGCCTAGGACCAGGGTCAGATACAGACAGCACATTCGGCTACGCCACATCCGCTAAAGCCTTGCGCGGTCCGGCAGAGGAGCAGGAGCACCCGAGCCATAGTCAGTGTCGCGGGCGTCGTTGCCTTCACGCTGGTGTTCGACAGCTGCGACCTTGGTCTCGGTGTCAGGCGCGGGAGCGGTAGTGCCGTATATCTTGGAGCGCTCGTGGGAAATCAAGGTGGCAACTCGAAGGGCGCGATCCAGGTCGCCTTTGATCTTAATCTATGAGAGGGAGAGCCGATGAGAGGAGAAGAGATGGTCAGTTGATGTGTCATTAGTAAAGTCACGACCTTCGGCGATGCCGCGTCTGTGCTCGACTGAGGTCTTGGTGATTACTTACCCTTCCTTCGTTGTAGAGACGCTGAGCCTGCACCTTTCCAGTGGCCAGATCGACAAAGTCGCGGTCTCGGCATTCGATCACAACATCGGCCCTGCGCTTTCGGCCGAGCACAGTGGTCGAAGGCTGACCTCGACCAATGACACCCTTGGTCTTCATATCGGCGTACCACAGAGCAGGTCGAAGAGCGCCGCCCGAGGTGGACGCTTTGCCGCTGACAGGCTTGGTGCGAGGGTTGGACGGGTCGATGGCGGCAGAAGGCTGAATGATGAAAAGGTAGACGCTCTTGAGGGATCGCACGAGGCGTTTGCGAGAAGGGAAGCCAGCAGGAGGGTTGGCCAGCAGCTGGGCAGAGAGCGCAAAGACGCGGCTCGATTCGAATCCAGGGCAGTCGAGGTCCTCTTGCGAGTCGAGAGCCTGAACGGCCTCGTCTTTCATTCGGTCTTCGGGCTTGGACATTATGAGTGGCCTCGGTGGAGTGGATGTGGTGGTAGAGTTGTCCGTAGCGTGAGCTGGTCGTCCTAAGATCGAGGATGGTCTGAACGAAGAGAGTCGCTGTAAGTTAAGCAGTAAGACGAAAAGTGCGGGGAAGTTGGTTGGCCAACCGTGCACGCGAGCCGAGACGATCCTGTTTGAGCTCAGAGAGGCGCTGGCTGAATCGGCGGGCTGTCTTGGAGGAGAGTCTAGACGCACGACTGCACAGTGGAGGCATTTCGACCCGATTTGGCCAGCATGAGCCTGCAGGCGAAGGGGTGAAAAGACGAGCGTGAATCCAGAGGGAGGTTTTTTGACCACATTGTTACGCCGAACAAGAATAGGGCCTCATGATTTTTCCGCGTCTGTGATGCGCGCCAAAAAGCAGGGTCCAAGGGATATGGCGCAACTGAGCGTTTTGCTGCAGCTCGAGCCGACTTAGGCGCCGTTCGCCCATATGGCCCGAGCCACCTTCAGCCACCAGAGCAGTCTCTTCAGCTGAGGACGCAAGCTCAGCCAGGGTCCAGCCAGGGTTCTGCGGCGAGGTCGCATGATGCGAGGTTTGTCTGCCCCGCACTTCCTCTCAGCGATAAGCAGCAAGTGAGCTCTGTCTGACAGCGAGCTGAGCTAAGAGGAGCGCTTCGCGTGCTTTCACCTTGTCAGACCGTGCTTCGAACGTCCCGCCCTGACATCGCTATCTGTAGTTGTCAACTTGCGCGCCAAAGCAAGAACATGCCGCACAGGCCAATGCTATCTTCGCTTGCCGTAACTATCTCTCAAGGATTAGGCCCGAGCTCATAGCATATGCAGTAGCCTTCGCCATCTATGCTCCCTCGTCTCGTCTTCCATTGGTTCCTTGTTCAGCCATTCTCCCAACATCCTGGGTCTGGAATCTCTCCACATGCTATTGAGCTACTGCTACATCTTCTCTCACTCTCCTCATCACGCTTGCGACGTCCAATCTTCCCTTCGCCAGACGCGTGACGTCGAGCCTTCGCCTGCGCCGACGAGTCAAGCAGAGTGCGAAAGCTCACTGTTCTCAAGCATCTCGGACTGGTCTGCCGACGTGGCCTCTTCACTTCGGTCCTCGATCCCGCCCTCACTGACCTCGCTGTTTGATCAAGCATCGGCAGAGGACGTCAAGAGCGCCAGATCGTATCCTGGTCCATCACAAGCAAGTGTGCTGCCTGAAAGCCTGACATCTTGGTTCTCATCCGCCTCGGACGACAACTCAACAAGCCGACCAGTATCGGCGCGAGTTTCCGCTTCTTCCACTCCCAGCCAAATCAGGGAGCCGGAGAAAACACCTGCTGTACGGACTACCACCTTCACCTTCTGCCTGTTCGGAGCTGCAACGACCGCAGCTATCTGCGCCCTCGCGCGCAATCGACGAACGATGAATCGTCTTCAAAGCGCCAAAAGCATGGCCTATCGCGACGCTCGTGCCTGGCGTCGCGTCGCTCTTGACTTTGCCAAGATCAACGCCATGGCCGCCAGTCGCGTCCAGAACCTCGTCGCCGCATCGCTCCGAGAGGGTAAAGCTGGCGGTGAGATTGGTCGCCAAATCGAACGCGAGCTCGAAGAAGCCACACGAGCGGTTGCACAGAGACGCAACTTCATCCAGGAGCAAGACCGCAAGGATGCCGAGGCGGCTGCTTCTGGCAGCTCGCAGCGTTCGTTCGGAGACGCTTGGGCCGATGTGCTCGATCCGTTTCATGGCACAGGCTTCTTCTTCGGATCTCGAGAGGGGCGTCGCGGCTCCGACCTGGGCGAATACGGCCGCTGGAAGCCGTCCAAGGTCACTCGTCACGATGACATATCGTCCGCTTCCACCGATGGACTAGCTTTCAAGGCTTCAGAGCCCTGGTCGCGCTGCAAGGCATCTGACTCGGCTCCAAACACTCGAACTGCTCAGCTCAAATGGCAGCGTGTGGTGGGCCCCTCTTGCGCTGCTCCTCCCGGCACGGTTACGGGGACTGCTGTTGGCAAAAGCGCGACGGCAGCTTCATCCGCAAAGGACGCCGATGCACAGACCGAAGCTCGCGAGGATTGGATCGGCGATGTTGACCTCGCCATTCGCGAGCGCGATCGCAAGTCGTCGCTTTCTGCGGGCGCTTCCGATCAGGCTGCTGTCGACGCATTCTCACGCCTCGAGTCCGAAGTGGCTATCGACGCCGAGCAGAGCGTCTTGACGGAGCACAAGACAGGATACAAGACTGTCAGAGACAACGAAGAAGATCATCTCCTCCCCGTCTCGGACCTGTACATTGCCACCAATGGCCAGATTCGAGAAACGCCTGAGGAGCCTATCAAGCGCAGCATGGCTATCTCAAAGCTGAAGAGGACCAGAATTGGTTCCATGCCCACAAAGAAGCTGGCGACGGATGCCGACAAGTACTCGTACCCGATCTCGGACGAGTTCAAGGATCTGCACGATATCTTTATCGCTGCTTGGGACGACAACTTTGCCGGTCTGTCGACCGGAGCAGCTACCGAGACCTGCCCTACTCTTAAGTCGGACGACCCCACGCAGGGCGGCAAAGCCAAGCCGAACCGCGCTCTATTCGAGCAGCTGCGCTCGCAAAGGGCACAGAAAGGCAATGTCAAAGCTGACGCCAAGTCGAGCTCAGAGGCAGACGAGATTGAGTTCATGGCTGAGCTCATGTTCCCGTCTGCTGCGCCTAAGGAGTCGACTGCATCAAACAAGCCCAATCTCGTCGAGACAGCCCCTACGCCCGTCTTCGAGAAGCATGAGCCGGCTAAGCACTTGGACGAGATGGAGGCCGAGTTGGCGAGCTTCAAGTTAAAAGCCAACGACCTGTCGGAGCGCCTCGAGACGATGCGAGAAATGTGCCACGACCTGACGGACGAGGCGTGGAGGCGCGAGAAGACGCATCGCATTCAAGTGGAGCAGCTGGATCACAAAATTGGTCTCTTCACCGTGTGGGCTGAGGAGGTGCAGCGAAGGCTGGGCCTCGAGACGCCGCCTTTCTTTGCTTCGCTTCGCAAGCCTCTCAAGAAGGAATAGGCTCCCGGGTCTTTATGACAGCTCGGCATCGTGATGTATGACTACGCACACCACTCCCATTGATAGTCACACCGGTTATGCGATGGCTGTCGTTCGATTGCAACCTAAGCTGAAGTAGTGACCATGCAGCTGAAAGACATAATAAGAGGAGCCATCTCTATGCCATATTCCCCGCGTCGTCCTCGTCATCTTCCTCGTCATGACGCATGCTGACCGTGACACCGGACTGGTTCGCCTCGTAGTCGTCCTCGTCTTCGTCTTCGTCGTGACTGTTGCTGTAAAGCTGACGACCTTGCATTCCTGCTGAGAGGGCTGGTCTTGTATTCGAGTTGATAGAGCTGGCCATAGGAGTGCTGAACTCGTCTTCGTCGAATCTCGAGTTGCCTGCTGGAGTTGCGAACGCAGACGGGGGACCGCCTATCCTTGGCGTCTTCATCTGGTCCTCTGAGACACTTTCGTCCTCTTCCTCCTGAGCCGAAAGGCCTGGTGGCGCCTTGGGCTGGTCTTGTGGTTTTGGGATGCGATGCAGAAGACCATATCCGACACCGCAGCCTAGTAGTCCTTCTCCGCCCCATTCTCTGTTGGGTACGATGATGACTTCTCTGGTGTGATCGTAGTCCGAGTTGTAGACGTAGAGCCGCAGTGCACGGTCAGTGTGCGCTTCGACCAGCTCGTAGAAGTCTCCCTCTGACGAGAGGACTCCACCGGGCCAACCAATGACAAAGTCGCCGAATGGCACGAGACCGGCCGACTCGGCAGGTGACCCTTCGAGGATCTCGAGGATGTGCCATACGTGGGAAAGTGCCTGCGAAGGGTTGCATAGCCTTAGTGAGAGACCGAGCAAGGAAGGCTGTGATGTCGCTTGGGAGCTGGTTCCGTTGATGGTGCTGCTGGAGGGTTGAGAGGACCACTGCCGCGATGGCACCAGGCTCACTTGGCGCAGCTGCTGTCGTTTTGAGTTCCACACATTGAGGATGACCTGTGTGCCCTCCCGCTCTTCCAAGCTCTTCCAAGCACCTAGGCCAGTTGCATCGCTTCCTCCATCAACGTCCTTGGTCGGATCGAGCGCGACACCGTCGATGCCGACGCAAAAGTCGAAGAATGGCTCGATGCCAGCGAGATGCGCAGGTGAACCGGCTGCAACGCGAACGACGTGATAACCTTGCTTTGGTGCTTCGTTCGAGTCGTCAACCCGAAGCCGTGATTCTGACGCACCCATCCTTGATCCCTACGCCGTACTGTCCAGCTGTCCCTCAACCGCAGTGCGTGACCGAAGATGACGTGGACGTAGTGCGAGCTCGTCCTTGAGTTGCGGCTGTTCCGACTGCGACGATACGCTGAAGGTCAGACGATGACAATGCTTGCGGGTTTGGTGTGTGACTGTAGAAAGGGAGGGCTGAGCCGCACTTCAACACTTGCGGAAGGGTCCTTGTCATGCTCTGCGCTGGAGAAGACTTGGCTCGACCGTCCAACACTTTCTCCCAGTCACGCTCTGCCGCTCTGCTGCCTTGATTTATCAGGATCGTCACGTGAAGGCTGAAAGCGGAAATCCACAATTTGAAGATCCGAGCGTGTCGTATCCGCATCCTTGTTCAATGCTCCCATCCAAGCTTCCAACACCGTCTCAACACTGTAACCTTCCACATCCATCGTCACACGCTCCTTATACCAATTGGGTACGCTGTCAATCCCCACCAATCGTTTGTTGCTGCATGGACACAATCTTTTGACACAAGGAAACTTCAGGCAAGGGAAGGCGCACGCTAATTCACACAGCGGCCACACTCGGCCATGGCAGACCCAAATCCTGTCCCGGATGCGCAGGACATTCAAAGACGCATACTAGCGGCTGCCGACGCTGCTGGAGTCCGTCTTGCCGCCGAACCATCATCAGGCACATCATCGGCCGACGTCACAATGCAGGATTCGACCGCACCACCTACGGTCGAATCGACGGCAACTGAGACACACACCAAGTTGACACCTCTGCAGGTTCAGCTTCCTCCTCATATGTCAACCGATCAACTGACGCTGGCTTTGACAACGCTAAGCGATGCTGAGTCACGTCCGACCATAACGTCCGAGCTCCTTCAGTCTCCGAATGCCGATTTCGTCGTCCACCTGTACGACATTGCGCTCAGAGCGTTGACGTGGAAAGAGCAGGTCTCCACGCTGCAGGAAGCACAGCAAGCTGCTCAACAACAGATTGTGGCAGCCCAAGAGCAGAGCAACCAGCTCGGCCAGGAAGTCGAACAGGAGAGAATCGCTGCTCTCGAGGCGTCACGCCTCAAAGACAGCCTGCAGACCGAAGTCGTCAACCTCCAGAATCAGATCGGCTCCCTGCAGACCTCGCTCGATAACGAAAAGCGAGAGAACGACGCCGCCAAGGAGAGAAGTGCGCAGCTTGCCACAGAGCTCTCCTCGTCCCAGGCAGAGACGGCTGCGCTCAAGGCCGAGGTCGAGACAGAGCGCAGAGCAAAAGAGCTCGTCCAAAGCGAAAAGGACCGACTCTCAGCCGAGCTCGTAGGCATCAGTGCCCAGCTTACCACCCTCAAGAGCTCCACCGAGAGCGGTGTGCGACAGGCTGCCGAGGTCCGCGGCAGGCTCGATCAGGCCGAGCAGGAGAAGCGCGACATCCTTGCCAGCCTCCAGCGCGAGCGCGAAGAAAGCACACGCAAGGCCGAAGAGATCGACGCGCTTCTCACTTCCAACCGTGACGTTCGTCAAGAAATCTCTCGCCTCTCCACTGCTGTTCAAGAATCGCGCAGTCAAGAAAACATCGCCAAGTTCAAGCTGCAAGGCCTAGAGCAGGAGATCCAGCTCACCAAGAACGACGCCGCGTGGGCGCACGAGCAGCTCCTCAAGCTCAACGAGTCCTCGGCCTCCTTCCGCGCAGCCAAGCGTGCTGAGCTCAGTCGCGTCCAGTCCGAGCTCGACGCTGCCGGGCAAGAGGCCGCCGTCGCCCGCTCCAAGGTCGATTCCTTGCAGACGGCCTACAACGAAGCCAGCACCAAGCTCAGTCAGACCGCCGACAATGCGGCGCAGCTTTCGACTCGCCTCGCATCGCAAGAGGATTCCTTCCGTTCCGAAATCAGCAGCCAGAGTCAGCTCGTCAAGCTGCTCGAGAGGAGAGCCGAGCACGCCTCACAGCGAATTGTCGAGCTCGAAGACCAGTGGGAAGAGGTGCTGGAAAGATGCCGTGTTCGGGAGGAGGAGGCCTGGGCAGAGATGGAAAAGGAAGCTGGCCTCCGTCAAGCCCTCCAAAAGGAGAACCAGGAGCTCTCCGAGGCACTGGACCGTCTCGCTGAAGGCGTCGGCATCGGTCAAGGCCAACGCGAAAACGGCGATGCCCTTCTTGATCAGACGCTCGAAACGATGAGCGATGTTGGCGCCGACTTTGACATCCGCAGCACGGCCTCGACCCCTCGACGCGTGGGCCTCATGGGCACAGCTGCTTCCTTCAACAACGCCTTCGGCATCTCACCCACTGCAGAGATCGCCAACCGCATCCGCAAGTCTGGCAAGAGCTTCAGTCAGATCTACATGGAGCTCGCGAAGACACAAGAGGAGCTGCGAAGGGAGAAGCTCGAGACGGGCCGTCTCACCTCGGTCCTCGCTCAGGTCATGGACGAGCTGCAAGACAGGGCTCCTCAGCTGCAGGCGCAACGCGAAGAAACCGAGCGACTTGCTACTGACCTTGATGAGATGGTGGCCCAGGTCGCAACGACCTCGCAGGAGCGAGATGCCGTGCAATCAGAGGCACAGGCCCTCAAGCTCGATCTGGAACGCATCACCCGCGAGAACGGATTCATGTCACAGCAACTCGCCGACTTTGGCCGCCAGGTGCGCGAGCTGACCAAGGCCGTCATTGTGCGTGACGATCCCGACGCCGCCGCACGGCTCGAGGACGACGGCAGCTTCCTCGCCGAGCTGGATGCGATCGCTCCACTTCCCGAGAGCCTGCCTGAATCCGACACTCAAGCTGTCATCACCAGCGAGCTTGTCACTTTCCGCTCCTTGACCGAGCTCTGCAGCCAGAACGCCCGTTTGCTCCAAGTGACGCGTCAACTCGGCGCCAAGATGGAGGAGGAAGAGCGCAACTACAAGGCGCGCCTCGCCGATGAAGAGGACGATGCTGTCAACGAGGCGCGCGAGCTGATCGTACGCCTCGAGGATGAAGTGCGACAGGAGCGTTACAAGATCGAAGAAGTCAGCAAGGAGCGGGACCTCTTCCGTCAGCTCTGTTCGACAGGTGGACGCAGCAGCGATGTCAAGAATGGCGAAGAGGCGACGTCGAGCACCAAAGCCACCGCTGGCACTGGTCTTCCGCTCGCCGAGTACGAGGCACTGCGATCCCGACACGAACGCCTCAAGATCGAGACCGACGCCGAGCTGTCACGCTACCGCGAAGAACTTCGGTCGCTGCAGATGGAGATGAGCAAGACGACGGTGACATCAGCTCGCGAGCAAGCTCTCCGTCAAGCTGCCGACGACAGGCTCAACAACCTTCAAAGGACGTATGAGCTCACCAAAACGGATCTCGACGACACGTCGAGGCGGGCTACGCAGCTTCAAGAGAACCTGACACGCCGAGAGGTATCTGTGCAGATGCTGGAAGAGCAGCTCATCCAGTCGCAATCCAGCCTGGAGCAGCTGCGCACGCAGGTCTCGAACTTGCAGGCCGAGAAGGCGATCTGGAAGTCTTCCGAGTCGAAGCTTCTCGAGGAGATCAGTGCCACACAAGTAGAACGAAACAATCTGCAGGAGCTCGTGCGCACTACGCAAGCCATGCAATCGGAGCTGGAGCAACGTGGCGGTGATGCCAAATCTCGCCTCGAACAAGACGTCAAGAGGCTTGATGAGATCAATCAAGATCTGCGCAACCGACTTGCCGCCGAGCAGGACCTCTACCGCCAACTCAGCCTGCGCCGCGAGATCGAGACCAAGGACCTGCAAAGTCGCATCGACCTGTCCAGCTCAGAGCTCAGCAATGCTCGAGAAGCGCTTGCGATCGCCCGCACCAGCGCGGATCACACACAACTCCGCGTTGAAGACTTGACTCGCCAGCTCGAGTCTACACAGGAGAAGCTCGCCATCTACGAGCGCCGAGACCAGCTTTCGCGTGATCCTATTGCTTTCCGCGCCCAAGCTGACGTCCAGCTGTCGAGGGAAGAGCAGCTGGAGATCGAGTTGGCCGACCTCAAGGCTGGTCGCGCTGCTGCACAGCTGGAGGTGCGCAAGAGCATGCTGGAGGTGGAACAAGCGACAGCCGCGGTTGCCGACAAGGACGCCGCTCTCTCTGCTTTGAGCCAGGAGCACGAACAGCTCAAGGCTAGCACATCTTCGGAGCTGTCCGCCAAGAACGCAGAGATCGAGGCCTTGCAGCAACAGGCGGCAACTACCTCGTCTCAACTGTCTTCCGTTCAGAGTCAGCTGCAAGCATTGCAAGAGCAGCTCGAGACCGAACGCTCTGCCTTCCAGGCGGAGAAGAGGTCACTCGAAGACGCCATCACAGAACTCGGCACAGTCGAGGAGCGTGCTCGCGCCGAGCAAGAGGATGTGAAGGGCGAAGTTCGCAAGCACCTGCAGGCTGCCAAAGCGGCTGAGCAGAAGCTTGAGGAGGTCACCAAGCAGGTTGAGACGCTCACCACCGACCTTGCAGAGGTCCGCGAACAGCTCAAAAAGGCTCGACAGGATGCTGGTACGCTGCGCAGCTCCAAGGATCTGTCGGAAGCGGAGTGGGGACGCGAGAAGGCGAGCTGGGACGCGGTGCGCCAAGCGCTGGAACGCGAGAAGGCTGACCTGCAGCGCAGAATTGACGACCTCACCACGCAGAACCAGATTCTGCACACTCATCTCGAAGCCGTCAACGCACAAGCTGATCAGATGCGTCAGGCCGCAGCAGCGCCGCTGCCCTCGGTTGACGTCAACATGGAGATTGAGCAAGCCAAGGACGCAGCACCTGCATCGAGCGAGACGGCTCCTGCTACGGCGGCAGAGCCTGAGAACTCCAGCGTCAACACGACAGCGCCGGCCGCAGGAGAATTTTTCGAAGCTGCTGCCGAAGGTGTCGCTGCACCTGCGTCAGAAGCAGCAGTCACCGCAGCGACCTCCGCACTCGATCCATCGCAACCCGTGGAAGTCAAGCAAGAGGCACCCGGCACCTCAGGCTCTGAATTGGCGCATTCGCTCATGAAGCGTCGTTTCGACGAGCTACAAGAAGTGGTCAAGTACCTTCGACGCGAGAAGGAGATCGTCGACCTCCAGATCGAGATGAACAAGCAAGAAACGTCACGACTCAAGCAGACCCTAGAGCACGTCAATAAGACTCTCGCCGATACACGTTCCGAGCTCGACACTGAGAGGAGCAAGAACGTTTCGTCCACCAGCAGCGCGACTCAGCACTCTGAGCTGCTCGAGAAGATCAACCAGCTAAATGAGCTGCGCGAAAATCACAGCACGCTGCAAGAGAGCGCCAGCCGCGCCGACGCTCGCATCACTCAACTCGAATCGGAACTGCGCTCTGCCAACGCCGAGCTCGAACCCGTGCGCGAGCAGCTGCGAAACGCCCAGATCGAGCTGGAAGCATCGCAGGCCCAGCTCAACGTTCTCCGTGAGGACAGCAAGCGATGGCAGACTCGAGCTCAGTCGCTTCTTCAAACTCACGGCATCAACGAGGAGATGCAAAAGGTCGAGCAGCAGCGCGCTGAAGCTCAACAGAAGATCAACGAGATGGAGATCAAGCTGAAGGACAGCGAGGCTGCCACCGAAGGCATCAAGGTCGAGCTGGCCACGTCCAAGTCGAACTTTGAGAAGCTGAGGGAACAGGTTCGCGTGAGGATCGGCACGGAGCGAAAGGCGGTTGCGGAGGCCCAGGAAAAGCTGGCAGCTTTGCAGAAGGAGAAGGAGGAGGATGCAGCCAAGTACCAGGAGGCGATCTCGCTGCACGAGGGCAAAGTTGCTCAGCTCACCATCGAGAGGGATATGCTGAAGCAGCAACTCGAGCAGGCTCAGGCTACGGCGTCTGCAGCTTCTGAAACGCCTGTCGAGGGTGGCGAGGCGGCAGTCCCTGCTGCTACGGACGCGGCTGTTGCGCCTGATACCGAGGGCGAAGCTGCAACAACCACAGCATCAGCCGACCAGCAGGCAGCCATCCAAGCCGCCGTTGCCGAAGCGCAAAAGGAATTCGACGAGGTCAAGGCCCAACTCGAGACCGAAAAGCAACAAGCCGAGGCTGCTCGCGACAAGCATCTGCAAAAGGGCCGCGAGTTCCTGCGCGACATGCGCGCGGCTCAAGCCGAAGTCAAGGAGCGCGACGACACCATCGCCCAGCTCAAGAAGGACTTTGCCGAGAACAACGGCGAGGCGATCGAGAAGGCGGTCCAAGAGCGTCTTGCTTCTGGCAACGGTACCGCCGAGACTGGGGGTGCTGAAGCTGATTCGGAGCTCGCGGCGTTGCGTCTGCGGGTCGTAGAGCTCGAAACCAAGCTCCAAGCTGCCGAGACTCGGATTCGCGAGCTCGAGGCTCAACTTGCTGCCAGCGAAGGGGGCCACCCCGACATCGCATCCCTCAAGGCAGCCCACGCCGAAGAGCTATCACAGCTTCGTACATCGCTCGAAGCGCAGTACGCCTTGTCCGCATCCACCGCTCCCTCGGGCGACGTCGAATCGCAAGTGCAAGAACGACTCAAGGCGCTCGAAGACGAACGCGAGTCGGCTATCCAGGAAGCCATCGCCGCCGCCATCGCTGCACGCGAAGCGGAGCTCAAGACGCAGTACGACGAGAGCGCCAAATCGCGCTTCGAGGCGGGCAAGAACGAGGCCAACCTGCGCAACACGCTGATGATCAAGCAGAAGGACAACAAGATCGCCAAGCTTACGGCCGAGATTGCGGCTCTGAAGGGAGAGGAGGTCCCCGCGACTGGTGCGGGTGGTGCGCCGACGGGTGGTGCTCCCGCCGCTGCTGGTGGTGCTGCTAGCAATCTACCAACAAGACCGGGCGTGTTTGGTCGGGGCGCCGCACAAGCTGGTCGTCCCACGCCACGCCCCGGTGTCGCACGACCCATCCCAACGGGGCCGGCTGGCGCGGCTGGCGCTGCAACAAGCCCGACTCCAACCACCGTGGCGTCGATCCGTGGAGCCGCTGCAGCAGGAAGAGGAGGACGCATCGCTGCCGGTGCTGCTCGCGGTGGAAGAGGTGGAGCTGCGACGGCTGGGGCCAAGAGGAAGCTCTCTGCTCAAGGACTGCCTGGTAATGCGGGTGGCAATGCAGGTGATGGTGGACAGGGCGGGGCGAAGAAGCCGCGGGCTGCTGGTGCGCCGATCGCCATCAAACGGCCTGGTCAGGGTGGGCAGGGTGGTGCGTCCAATTGATCGGCACAATTTTCACATCAACATCGTTTCGAGCGCAATGGCAGAATGCTTTCATTGTCCACATTGAGTCATGTTTTCGAAGGAGCCTTCTTCTGCGGTGAGAAGAACGACCGAATGTCCTTACCCGGGCTGGTTGTTGTTGAGACCTTATTCTTCTTCCCGGGCGACCCTCCCGTCTCCTTCCCCTTCCCTCCCTGCGCCTCCGGCCGTGTTCGTGTCGGACTCAAAGCCCTCCATGCGCGCTCCTCGTCCCTCCTCTCGCGCTCCGCTACCTCCCTCTGCTTTGCCAGCATGTCATCTATCGGACCGCGCTCCTTCTTCGGTGGACTCTTCCACGTGTGCGGCGGCGCTTGTGGGAAAGGCTCGTGTGGTTTGCCGCGTGACTTGCCGCGTCGTGCGTTGACGTGGATGCCACCACCAGAGGCAGGGCTGAGACGCCGGCTGTAGCCGCCCTTCGGGCGAGGCGGCGAGAGAGGCGGATTGAAGGGGTCTGGTGAGAAGCGACTGGATGGCTCCGTGGCTAGCTCTGGTGTTGGTGATGTGCGTGCGTGCTTGCTCGGTGCGTGGCTGTGCGTTGGAGCAGCTCGCTTCCTTGTTCTGCTCGATGTTGCATCTTCAGTGTCAGATGCGGCTTCCTCGCCTTCAGGCACGCCAAAGCCATCGCCGACTTCGTCACCTTCGATCGAGTCGTTGTCCTGCGTCTTGACAGCCTCCTGAGACGACAATTCTGAACCTGATGACTCGCCAATGTTGACAATCGACTCACTGCGAGTCATGTCCGCCCCACCCTGCTGTTCTGCAAAGTCGCGCTGCATTTTCTCCGCCAGCATTCGGTCTTGCGCTTCCTGCTCGGCTCGTGCTGTTACTTCGGCAAGGGCTGCTTCTGCCTCCGCTTGCTGTGCTGCTAGCAGTGCCTGTGAGTCGCCGGACGAAGGCATCAGCGAGTCGCTGTCTTGCGTGTGGAAGTCGTCTTCCTGCTTGACCGCGCCAGATGTATCAGATTTGCCGGCGGCTGCAGGCTCGTCGTCAGCGTGCTCCGTCTTCGAATGCTTCTGCTTGTTGAAGAACGCCCTCAAGCCGTCCTTTCTCTCCTCGATCGGCAGGATAAAGCTCGGGTCGCTGTTGCCCACCTTGCCCACCTCCTTGGGCACCTTGTAGCACTCCAACTCGCTCTGCAGCGGCCGCAACAGCTTGGCCACCTCCCAGCTCCAGGTGTCATCCACGTCATCGCCCTTTTTGACATCTGCCTCCGTCTTTGGCTCGGCGTCCAAGCCTAACCACGTCGCAATAGCCTTTTCGTCGGGTAGGATGACGGGCATTCTATCGTGCAGGAACCCGAGCTGGCTGTTGCTTGCGGTCGTAACGATCGTAAATGTGTACAGCGGCTTGTCCTCTCCGTCGAAGCGCACGCGCTCCCAAAGTCCTGCGAGGGGCATGAGCCTCCTTCCCTGCCCACTCTTATCCTCTCGCCCTTGACCCGGTTCTGACATGCCGACGAAATGCGGAATGCGCTCAACCTTCTCGCCTTCGCCCGATCCGCGTTTCTGCCACTCGTAAAAGCCCTGGACGAACACGACACATCTCTGAGCGGGCAGTAGCGTGTGCCACATCGATCTTTGAGGCGACAGGATGGTGTCGTCGCGCGCGTTGATGGTTCGATACGCCTCGCCGTGGCTGGGAGGGGTCTTGTGGAAACGTGGAATGAGACCCCACTTCATCGTCTGGATGATGAGTTGATGTTTGCGGTCTTCAGCGGAGGGGTTCTTGACGGTGCGAAGTCGTCGCTCGCGCTCCCACGAGAGCTCCCGGCGGACGACGGGCGAGCGTGTTTGCGGGGCGACATTGTGTGATGGAGTGTAGTCGTCCGCATCCGGTGCAGGCGTGGGAGGTTGGTAGTCCGGGAGCTCGTCATGCACCGCCGCCCGGTATTGAGGGATGGGTTGGGCGTTTGCGAATCTGCCACACATTGCGAGGGCTATCTTGGTGGCATCGCGACTCGCGCCTACAGGGATGATGGTCGGGAAGGTATGCCTTTGAAAGGCTGAGCCATGGAGGACTCGGCTTCGGTCGCTGACTGTATGCATAAGCGCGAAATCCAGGGTCCTCAGCTGCGCCTTGCTGCAGGCGCCTTTTTTACTCCACATCCAGTCTGGATCGGGGCAACCCTTATCGGGGTGCCAAAAAAGGGTAGAATCACGTGTACTGGCTCGCGGAGAGGTGGGATTCGCGCAGTCTGAGTGTTGGACTGGTGGTCAAGTGTTTTTCTACTATTCTAGGTGCATATTAGGCTTTCATCTTGGGACCAACCCTTGACAACTCCGACCATCATCACATCGCATTCGACCATGACGGACGAAAGCCAACGGATGCTTGGAATAGCATCAAGGCTGGCCGACAGGCATGTCGAGGCTGCGCTGGTGCCGCTACCGGACAGCCCGAATGTGTCGGTATTCGGTCCGACCGAAACAAGCACGGAGGTGACTCCGAGTCTCGCTGTGGCCAACGAGCATGCTCTGTCACCAGTGATCCTCACAGAACGAGATCATATGACGGAGTCGTTGGCAGAGCCGAAAGCGGTACTCAGCTCGATGCTGCAATCGCCAGAGCGCAAACAGCCGAGCAGCACAAAGCCAATGTCGCCAGAAAAAGCAGCGCTGGCAGCCATGTTTGACTCGATCAAGATGCCACCTCCTCCCGCATCACCCTCGAAGTCGCCACGCAAGGCTTCAGGCAGCAGCATCCTCTCATCGCCGTCGAAACAAGTCGCTAAAGATGCAGCACCCGTAGCAGCGTCGCTCTTCCGCTACAGGAGCTCGCCCACCACTTCCCCTTCGAGAATTGCATCCACTGACTCGGCTGTATCGCGACACTTCAGCCGTGACTCGCCCGTACGTCGACCCGTCGTCATCAGCTCTTCCTCTTCGCCTGGTAAGGGTGCGAGCGATGGCAAAAATGCTTCGACCCCGCTCTCGCCCGCTTCGGCCACGGCATCGGCAGGCAGCCGAGCACCTCGCATGCGACCTTCCATGTTCGCGTCGTCCAGCAGCCCCAGCGCAAAGCTCTCAGACCTGACCCTCAACCTGGACACCACTGGCACCCAAGAGCTCATCTTCAAGGAAGATGCAAGCTTCCTCGCCGCAGTCGCTGACGTGACTGTGGACGACAGCTTCGACGTCTCCCGTGCGAAAGCCCGCATCGCCAGCTCCACAACAAGGAAAGGCTCGCCAGCCAAGTTCGGCCGTGCCAAGCCACGATGCAGCGTGGTACCTGAAGATGATGTCGCCGAGATCAAGCCGAGGTCTCCGCGCAAGAGGGGCGATGCTCTGGGTGTTGGCAGGGTGGTGAAGAACGCTGCAGGTGACGACACGATCGAGCTAAATCTGACGGGCAGCTTTATGGGAAATGCGAGCATGATCGGTGGGAATCTCATGGATGAAAGTGCGGAAGCTTCGTTGTTGCTCGGCAATTCCTTCTCACTCTCACAATCTCACCTGCTGAAGAGGGACCTCGCTACGAAGCAAACCACCAACAAGAAGGAAAGAGGCATTGACGGCGAGGAAGACGACGACGAGGAGGGTGAAGATTACGAGCGAGATACACAGAACATGCAAAAGTGGGCCGCGGAAGCTGCTAGGAAGGCGCAGCTAGGGAGGAAAGCTGTTGACAAGACCACCAGCAGAAGCACATTTGCGACCAGATCTGGATCGCCGACTGTCACTCGGCCATCCATCGGCTCAGCAACAGTCACAAAGCCTGTCTCCCGTATCGCTCCACGTCATTCGCTGGTGACGCCCACCGCCACATCGAGACTGCTCAAGCCGCGAGCCTCGGGCATCTCCACTGTCAAGGCGGAGCCTGCAATGTCTCGTTCCGGCAGTGCGTCCAGCGGGTTGTCTTCCAGCTCGACTACCGCAGTCACTTCCTCGACAATTCATCTCGACAGCACCGACACGGCCGAAGCCAAAACACCCATGCGGAGTCGACGCAAGAGCACGTTCACCACCTCGCGACCTCCCGTCTCCGGGCCCGCGCGCCGCCGGGAATCCCTGGCTGCATCTGCCATCATACAATCTCACCCTATCCCGCCGCTCCCTTCTCTCGGCTCAACCAGTCCGGGTCGGGCCAGGGCCGCATCCACATCCACGACGACAGGTTCGTCGCCGAGTATGAAGACGCCCTCTGCGGCGACAAGGACGATCGCCAAACCGCGCACTTCGCTGACCGGTCGAACGGTGATTCCCACTCCTCGGTCGTCTGCTCCCGTTCCCTCTGCTGGTGCTGTGGGGGCCTCTCGCGTGGGCAGTGTCGCTCGACCTCGCACCTCGCTCACGGGAGCTACGCCCACCGCGCGCACCGCAACCGTGCGATCAGCCTCCCTCGTCACGCCCACTGCTCGCACTGCCGCCGCACGCACCGTCGAACCAGTGCAAGGCATGCGAAGGAGCACCTCCCAACCGCACATCGAGGAGGGGAAAACGCCGGTAGCGCGCACAAGGATGTTAGTGCCGCGTGCCAGTCTCAGCACGGCCAGTCGACTGTCGATCGGTGGGCTGCCGAGGACGGCCGTTGCTCCCCGCACGTCGGCGTTCTCAGAAAGGGCTGGAAACAATGCGTCGGTTCAAGCGAGCATGGAAGGTGGGTCGAAGATCGGTACTGTGGGCACTAGGAGGCCTTCCATCACAGGCGGATTCGGGTTCAAGCCTCGCACGTCGGCTGTGTTTGTTGGACGATCTTCCCTGCTCGACAGCGAGGACAAGGAGAACTGAAGCCTCACCCTTCCATCACATTGGCAATGTCATTCGCTCTCGCGCCATCACACGAAAGAGCATGAGAAACTGTAAACTGTGCATTGTGCGTCTGTGTTCGAGTGTCTACTTGTGCTCCTTGACAATGTAGCTAGGCTTTCCAGTCTCAAGCGCGGTCTTCATGGAACCGAACACCTGCACCTCCATCTTCTTCTGCGTTTCGACGGTCTCGGTACCCATGTGGGGCAGCAACACACACTGCTCCATCTTGACCAGCCTTTCGTCGATCTTGGGTTCTGCAGGGTAAACGTCCAGACCGGCGCTGGAGAGTTTGCCGGAGTTGAGGGCGTCGATCAAGGCCTCTTCATCGACGACGCCGCCGCGGGCGGTGTTGACGAGGATGGCGCCGTCCTTCATCTGTGCGAACTGGGTGGCGCCAAACGACTTTTCGGTCTGCTTGTTGAGCGGCAGGTTGAGCGAGACCACGTCTGCCTGGGCGAGCAGCTCCTCTTGGGACGAGATGTAGGTGTACGAGGCATCGGCGTTGGGGTTGGGGTTGCGGTTGTAGTAGATGATCTTCATGTCGAAGGCCGAGGCGCGCTTGGCGAGGGCCGAACCAATGCCGCCCATGCCAATGATGCCGAGGATCTTTCCCTCGGGGTCGTGCGCAGGCTTGAGACCCGACTTCCACTTCCCGGCGCGAGCGTTGAGTTCGGCACGGTAGTATTGACGCAGACTCGAGAGGACGAGGAACATGGCCGTGTCCGCAGTGGCATCGTCGACAGCGGCGGGAGTGTGAGAAACCGTGATTCCTCGTGCCTTGGCAGCGTGCACATCGATCTGGTCGTACCCCGCACCGTTGTGGCAGATCGACTTGAGCGACGAGGGAAGAGCGTTGATCAGCTCGGCGTCGAAGAAGCCAATCTTGTCAACAGAGTCGTTGTGGCGGTAGATGGCCACGATGTTGGCGTACTTGCCCGACGAGCAGGCGTCGAAGAACTCCTTGCGCGAGGGCGTGTCGAGGTGCTGATAACGGTCAAGACCAAGGTGGAGAACAGAAGCGTCAAAGGTCAGCAAAGTGTGCGTGAAGCGAAGAAGAACGCTGGATGATGACATCACTTACGAGGATCTCTGCGACGGAGCCGAGGTCGTTCTTGAGCTCGTCGTGGGCGTGGACGATGGTGCCACAGATGAGGACCTGAGGCTTGGACATGATTGCGATAAGTTTGGGTTGGTGGGAAGGAGGAAATGGTCGAGGATCCAAGGGTGATAGCAAAGGGGGTGGGAAGCAGGGATGACGAGAAGAAAAGTGGAGCAGATATATGGAGAGCGGACCGGACACTGCGCAAGAAGAAAAGCTCGAGCGGGGATGGGATGGTCAGGGCGGGGTCTCAAGTGGGGCAAACCGAGCCTCTGCCAGCCACGCCCAAACTCGGCAACCTCACGCTCAACCTGCCAGCCTTGCTATCCGATAGCTCGCCCTCACGCCGACGTCGCCCACATCACACGAGATCTGCCAGATGCACGGCGAAAGCAACACGGCATTCGCTTCCTTCCAAAGCTTGCCCACACACAAACCCAAACGAGTCTCGACAACCCCCCACCACCAGATTTCAGCTCGCCCCTTTTGGCACAGATATGAATCGGCTTTCGACTCAAGAGCAAGGCTGACCCCGAGCGCAGAGCGTTGGCGGGAGTAGAGTTGGTTGCAAACCGAGAGAAAGAGGTTCGCCCGCGGGGGAGTGGAGAGGAAGCCATGGCGAACGGGCGAAAGGCAAGCTCGCAGCTCGAGCCACAGCTGCACGGCCGGTCCGCACCTCCGGTCCTCGTGGCGACCCTTTGACTCGGGCGAATATCGAATAGCTGCGATCGGGCTTTATGAGAACATAGTAAAACAGATCCTTTTCATATCTACTACAACCTAGCTCTAACAACGCGATCTTTTTCATTGAGCCGCATCGACGCTGATTGGAGCATCGATTGCGTATCGCCCGCGCTTGCAGTCGGTCGGGAGGAGTGACCTGGCCGAGCCTTCCATGCTCTGCGCATTACTCTGCACTGCGAGGCTAGCGCTGTCGTTCAGCTTGTGTGAGGGTTCGAGACCAAAGCGCCAGTTGATGTTTGCACCTCAATGAACAGCGCACAATGGATACTTCATTTGCAAGGCGCTTCGATCAATAGTCAAGCCTGTGCATGCTTATGGCCCTTCGGATGTCTCAGCGCAGAAATTAGACGCGGTGTTGGAGTAGGATTCCTTCCTGCGGAGCGGGAGCTGATCTGCAGTTCTTCTCGCTGTCAATTTTTCATTCCTTTGCTCGGCCCACGCTGCAGAGCTCACAAAGCTTTCTTCTCGTTCGACATCCGGCAGGTCTGTGATTCGCTCCTGCTCGGCTAGGGGAAGAACCACCGCACGCGCCCGCATTTCTTCATCTGTGAGGCTTGAGAAGCTTTCTGTTTCCTAGACCCGTGCGCAGCTGCCCTCCCAATCTTCCAATTCGCTCAGATCACACAATCTGGACACAAGTCGAGTCTGAGCGTCTTCCTTCTTGCCTTCCCCTCCTCCATCCCGTTTCCCCTCCTTCGTTGCAATCGAGCGGCGAACACCATTTCTTCGAGATGACGGACCCGGCTGCGGAAGCTTACGAGCGCCTCACCAAGAACCTCTCCTTCGACTCGCATGGTGTCACCGAGACTGTCGACCAACCCCACAATGGTGGTCTCCCGGCCTCCAACTCGAGCTCCAGGATCGTGGACTCGGCTCCAGCTGCTGCCGTAGCGGTGCCTCATTCCGAGCCTGCCGCTGCTACCGCCGATAGCTCCAGCTTGAAGCTTGGCAACGGTGCTGCCGCTGCTGCTGCCCCAGCCAACGGTGAGGCTGGTGTCAAGTACGCTCCTGGTGGAAAGGTCAAGCTCACCAACTACCCTTCGATCGCCAACGCGACTCTGCCCGCCGAAGGCAACGGAACCTTCAGCAACCTTCACCTCGCCCTCCTCATCTTCTTCACTCCCGCTGTCGTGCTCCGTCTCATCCCCTTCGTCAACCCGCAGTGGTTCGGATGGTTCAGCTACTTCCTTCTCTGCGCCCTCTTTGGCGCTCCCGTGGCCATCGGCTACTGGACCGTCATGTCCACCTACGGCCCTCGCAAGAACCTCAAGGTGACTCTTCCCGGCAAGCCTCTCGAATTCTACATGGACATCAAGGACCCCGAACTCCGCAAGAAGTACCACGGCGACAAGAAGATTCCCTACCAAGTCTTCCACGACGCCTACTTTGCCGCCAAGATTGAGCCCAAGATGCCGCTCAACGAGCTGCTCGAGCTGCGATGGGACTGGTGCTCCATGCAGTTCACCTGGAAGCTCTTCGAATACGTCCTCTTCAACCTCATCCCCGATGTCGTCATGCACACTGCCAAGCAGGACCAGACGCAGATCCAGGACAACTATGACCGTGGCGACGACTTCTACGCCTGGTTCCTTGGCCCGCAGATGATCTACACCTCGGGTATCATCTCGGACCCGCACAAGGCCGAGACGCTCGAGGAGCTGCAGGACAACAAGCTCAACCTTGTCTGCTCCAAGCTCGACCTGCAGAAGGAGGACCGCGTGCTCGACATCGGCTGTGGTTGGGGCACCTTCGCCACTTTCGCTGCAGTCAACTACGGATGTGACGTGACCGGTGTTACACTCGCCAAGACGCAGACGCGATTCGGCAATGACCGCCTCAAGAAGAACGGCATCGACGCCAGCCAGGCGCGCATCTTGAACCTCGACTACCGCGACATCCCCGTGCAACCCGGCCACTACACCAAGATCATCTCGCTCGAGATGGCCGAGCACGTCGGCATCCGACACTATGACAAGTTCCTCTCCGATGTGTACAACCTGCTGGACGACGATGGAGTCTTTGTGTTCCAGGTTGCCGGTCTGCGTCCTACGTGGCAGTTCCACGACCTCAACTGGGGTCTCTTCATGAACAAATACGTCTTCCCTGGCGCCGATGCCTCGTGTTCGCTCGGTTGGGTCGTCAACCACCTCGAAAAGGCCGGCTTCGAAGTTCGATCCGTCGACGTCGCCGGTGTCCACTACTCAGCTACCATCCTGCGATGGGCCCAGAACTGGGAGAGCAACAAGGACAAGGTGGTGGCCAAGTACGGCGACCACATGTACAGGATGTGGAGCTTCTTCCTCTGGTCGAGCGTCATTGTCGCGAGAGAGGGCGGCAGCTCGGTGTTCCAGTTCACGCTGCACAAGAACCTGAACGCCTACCACAGGATCAACGGCGTCAAGTCGCACGGTGGTTTGCTGCCCCGTCCTCCCATCAGCAAGTGGAAGTCGGTGTACAACTGAGCGCTAGCGATCGACAAAGGCTGCCACCAGTTGCGGCGGCGGCGATGCGACGAAAGCCATAAACAATTTGGTCCCGACAAAAGACACTACGATCCTCGTAACGTGCTGCAGCTCCTCTCTGGACGATAGACGGACGAACACGCTTGTACAGCAGTCAATAGAATTTGTCCTATGAAAGGCGTCGTGTGGCTTGATAGATGGCAAGAAGAGGTGTGCGCGGACAGGGTCCAAATTTAGGTGTGTGCGACTTCTCGATCTTTCGAAAAAGGCTGAGCTTGACTCAATTCAGCCTATGCAGGGGCTGTGCGGTTTCGCTGCTTGCTCAGCCGGCAGCCGCGCGCAATCCCGCTAAATCTCCACTTTTCAATCAACGTGCTCAGCCCGCAGCTTAGACCTCTCCGCGCCGTCGGCCACCGTTGCTACCGGACCACCACCATCATCGACCCCTTCCTATCGACACGCAACAATGTCGAGCAGCTATCCCGCCGCACCACCGTCCTATACGGCGCCGAAAGGCTACCAACCCGTGCCTACCCACGACACACCCGCTCCCACATACGGTGCTGCGGACCCAACCGCCCCGCGCAATGTCGAAGAGGAAGGCGATCCGGACGACTTCAAGTTTGGCGTCACCGTCGAGCAGTCTTCGCCCGAGATCCGCGCTATGTTCCTGCGCAAAGTCTACAGCGTGCTGTTCTTCCAGATCCTCGGCACGACCGTCATCGCGGGCGTGATGACCACCCAGGGCATTGCTTCGTGGGTGCAGGCCAACCAATGGGCGTTCATCGTCCCCATGATCGGCAGCCTCGTCACCATGGGCTTCCTCTACTTCAAACGTCACTCTCATCCCACCAACATCATCCTGCTGAGCTTGTTCACCGTGCTGGAGAGCATCAGTCTCGGAACCGTCATCACGTACGTCGACCAGAAGATCGTCCTCCAAGCCATGGTCATCACCGCCTTCACCTTTGGCGGTCTCACCCTGTTCACCCTGCAGAGCAAGTGGGATTTCAGCAGTCTCGGCGGTTGGCTCTTCGGCGGTCTCATGGTGTTGGTCGGTGTCGGGTTCGTAGGCGTGTTTTTGCCATACAACCAGACATTCGACCTCATCATGGCCGGCGCTGGGTGCGTCATCTTCAGTTTGTACATCGTCTACGACACATGGCTGATTCAGAGGAGGCTCAGCGCCGAGGAGTGGGTGCTGGCAAACCTCAGTCTTTATTTGGATATCGTCAATCTGTTCATCAACATCTTGCGCATTCTTAACAACCAGAGCCGCGATTGATGGACGGAGGAGTTCTTGTTCCCGTACCCTGCTTGTAGCAACCCTTCTCTTCTGTTCAGGTTCCACATTTGCAATGCAGCTACGTTCGAGTTCTCAAGCGAGAGCCTGTGTGAGCGTCCGAATGGAAGCGCACGAGGATTGAATGAATGCGAATCGACTTGCGAGTGCGACCAAGATCAAAGTGATACAAAACTTAGATTTGACTCCTAGCTCTTCTCTGTCCCGCTCTTCCCCCTCATCAACTCTGTCGGTGGTGGTCTGTAAATCCCCTTATAATGCACGCCATCCGGAACCAACCCTGCTCGATCCAGCAGTCTCGCCACGGGCTTGCTTGGTTGCGCACCCAATTTGAGCCAATGCCTCACCCTCTCCTCGTTCCATTCCAACCTCTTCTGTTTCACCTCATCCTGCTTCTTCTCCTCCAATCCGGAAGTCATAACGCTCCCATTGCCGGGTGTGGGGCTTGTGCCGACAAAGGGTGTGGGTATGCGCCATGAAGAAGGCGCACGAGGGATGGGATCGAATTCGCCGAGTTTCTCGATCGGCCGCGCATCGCGTGGTTTCGAATCGTTGATCGCTACGACATGGTAGAACGGATTGTTGCGCGTGCCTTGACGGCTGAGGCGGAGACGAACGACCATGATCAGTGTCTGTCGAAATCTGTCAAGCTGGGATGTAGAGGATGTCGACTATTCGTGGCGCTTCGTATGGTCGATGACCTCTGATCGACGGCGTGTCCAATGAAAGCCGGTGTGTGTATCGGAGCTGCGAGATCTCGAGTAGCAATGGGAGCGTGCGTATCGATGCGAGCGATGAGGATGCTCAATGAGTGAGAAGAATGACGGTGACGATCAGATGAGAGAGTCGAAAGTGTGAATCTTTTCCTTCTTGCCTCAAAAGATTGTCTCCGGTTGCCGGGATTTATTTTGGGCTGGTGAGATTATTTGCTGCTGCGTCCTAACACTTTGGGGCATTTTGCTCAACGTCGATGCAGACCACCTCGTCCGTGGATCGTGTGACTACGGAAGGGCTCACTCTTTACGTTCAGCTCAGAGCTGTCTACGCAAGGCTCTGAGAGTGACCATGAGGCCGTCTCACTCTGCGAATCGGCACTTCCAGGTCTCGATAGGTCCGCTGATGCGCTGCTATCAATGGAGAAGGTCGGAGGTTCTGGGTATATATGGTACGCTACAAAGCTCTCTAGCGGCTCGACGAGGAATGCGACAGGACACTCGTTCCTCGGCACCTTCTCTGCTCTCCTTCTTCGATCCTTCCTGACTCGAAATTCGCCTCACGACTTCATCAGCAGATCCAGCGCGGCCGCAGTCTCGTCCACCTGCCGTCTCGTGCGCCTCTTGTCCGCGTTCGACGCTTGACCGTACGAGAAGGGATCTTCCTGCTTCCTCTCCTCGTCCTTGCCGGCTATGCCTCCTTGTGCCAAGAGCGCGGTGGTCTGCGAGTCGAGCGCCTCACGTCGTTCCAGGTCGCGAAATTTGGACGTCTTCTTGGGCTTGCCAGTGTGCTTATATGCCTTCTTCGCGCTTGTTTGCACCAGCGATGGTGTTCGGGATGTGGATTTGGGAGTTGATGTGGATGCAGAGGAGGTGTGTGAGCAGGACTTGGACTTCGTGGATGGCCGTGATGAGGCTCGTTGTGAGTTCGCGACCATGTCTGCTGCTGAAACAACAGTTGACAATTCTTTGAGATGGGTGTTTGTGCGAATGGGTGGGTGCGGCTTGCGAGCGAGGCGGTTTGAGTCCTGCCCGAGAGGCTGTGATCGTCGTCGTGATGAGTGAAGCTTGGTGGAATGTCGTCGTCGGGGCAAGTTAAGGTGGCAGAAGTGTGACCAAGAAAGTTGAAGGTCTTCCTGAACCCTTTGCAAACCTAAAAACTTCGCAGGCAGGAGCCAAGTTGCCGGTTAATCAGCCGTCCTGCATTGGGCTGTGGAGGGCTCGAGCGATAGCAGCTCGAGTCAGACGACATCCTTCCCAACCACCACCTCCTACAGCAACAAACGAAAATGGCCGTCCACACCTCTGAGATCATGGTCAACACCTGCATGGCCGCCACTTGTATGTGACCGCTCGACTCGTCATCTTTTAAAAAGGAGATAGGATGCTGATCCTGTCCATTTGATACGTGCAACCAGGCGACAAGTGCGGCAAGACCACCTGGCGCGGGTGCGGCAAGCACATCGACGCCGTCTTCGCCAACGTACCCGTTGAGCAGCGATGCACTTGCCCGCGATCCTAGATCGCAGCCGTCCTGCTCCTCACAAGACCATCTCCGATATGGGCGGTCGATCAGCAACTTTTCTCTCAGCATCCTCAGTTCGCACCGAATTTGCTTCTGCACAGCAAACCTTCATGGCCTCTCAACTCATTCGAGTACTCCAGTTCAATGCAGATATGTCAATTATCCAAGCGGAGACATGGTATGATGGGCGAACATGAGCGGTGTGTGTAAAGTGTGCGACGATCTAGTTGACGGGCTGATCCTGACTCGCGCCGTCATCCTCCTTGATGACGTCCTTTGGCGGTGTCGCAGCGGAGATCGACTCCTTGCGCTCCATCTCCTCCATCTCCTTGGCCTTCTCGGTCCACGGACCTTCGCCGAATGCATGGTTGAGTGCGCTCCACACATTATTGACATAGTGCACCTCCAGATCGTCCAGCACGACCTTGGGCACGTCCGCCTCGACGTTCGGCTGGTTCTGCGCAGGCAAGATCACCTTTGTGATCCCGGCCCTGTGCGCAGCGAGCAGCTTCTCCTTCAGCCCACCCACAGGTAGGACCATACCGCGCAGCGATACCTCACCCGTCATCGCCAGCGTCGGCGCAACACTTCTGTTCGTCAACAAGGACGTGAGCGATACGGTGAACGCTACACCCGCCGACGGACCTTCCTTGCCAATGGCACCCTCGGGCATGTGCAGATGCACATCCTTGTTCTCGAGCAGGTTGGCATTGGCGTCTTTGACAATGCCGAGCTCGAATGCGTTGGTCTTCATCCAAGATAGCGCGATGGAGGCAGACTCCTTGATAACATCCCCGAGCTTACCCGTGAGCTGCAGCCCGCCCTTGCCAGGCATGATGGTCGTTTCGATCGGCATGAGCGAGCCGGAGCCGTTGCCAAGGTACCCGAGGCCGGTGGAGACACCGGCGGGCATGGTCGAGGTGTAGAGACGGTCCTTGTGGTACACGGGCGGGCCGAGGTACTTGCGCAGACTGTCGATCGTAATGACCACCTCGACGTCTTTGGGCACTTCCATGGGTTGACGCTTCTCGGTCGTCACCTTGGCAGGTGCTTCCGGTGCAGCGTCTTTGCCGGGAACCTTGCCGTCTGACTTTGACTTGGACTCTGGCGCTGATGACGACGAGTCCGCGTCGGTGGTCGAGGCGGATGGCTCGGTGAAGGGCGAGGGGACCTCCTCACCGTCCACCTTGGGCGGAGTCACAGACTGCGTGGTGCTCTCTGCCGAGCCTGCCGTGGTAGCAGGCGAAGACTCGGTCTTGGCGCTGGCAAGCTCGCCCTCCTTGGGCTCGGGGAATACCGACTCGCCGTGCTCCTTGACAATGCCGAACGCAATCTTGCGGTAGACCTTCTCGAGAAGCTTGCGCAGCCCACGAACACCGCTCTCTCGTGCGTGATGCTTGATGAGGAAGTCGATGGTCTCGTCTGGCAGCTGGATGTTGGCGTTCTGCAGACCGGACGCCTCCTTGGCCTGAGGTGCGAGGTAGCCTCGTGCAATGTGTCGCTTTTCGTCGGCAGTGTAGGATGAGACTTCCATGACCTCCATACGGTCGAGCAGGGGCTGCGGGATCGTCTCGAGCGTGTTGGCCGTGCAGACGAAGAGGACGCGCGAAAGGTCTACGGGGACGTCCATGTAATGATCCAGGAAGGAACCGTTCTGTTCGGGGTCGAGCATCTCGAGCAGCGCTGAGGAAGGGTCGCCGTTGTGGCCACGTCCGATCTTGTCGACCTCGTCGATGAGGATGAGCGGGTTCTCGGTGCCGACCTTCTTGAGGGCTTGGATGGCCTTACCTGGCATGGCTCCGACATAGGTCCTTCGGTGACCTTTAATCTCGGCCACGTCGCTGAGACCTCCGACACTGAAGCGGAAGAATTGACGCTCGACAGCGCGAGCAATCGACTTTCCGATAGAAGTCTTACCGACACCTGGCGGACCCACGAGGCAGATGATCTTGCCTTCGACAGTGCCCTTGAGCTTGCCAACCGCCAAGAACTCGAGGATGCGGTCCTTGACGTCCGACAGACCGTAGTGGTCCTCATCGAGCACACCGGTCGCGTTCGAGATCGAGTAGTTCTCGGGCGAGTGGACACCCCACGGAATGCTCGTCAGCCAGTCGAGGTACCCGCGTGTAACATTGAACTCACTAGCAGCCGGCTCGAGCGTCTGGAGCTTGTTGAGCTCCTCGTCAAACACCTTGCGAACGGCCTCGGGCATGTTGAGCTGACCCGCCTTCTCTCGGAACTTTTCGACCATCTTGTCTTTGCCATCGCTCTCAATGCCGAGCTCCTTCTTGATACCCTTGAGCTGCTCCATGAGGTAGTACTCACGCTGTCGCTTCTGGATCTTGGACTCGACATCTTTGCTGATCTTGCTCTGCAGCTGAGCGTTCATGAGCTCCTTCTTGAGCACGACGAGTGCCTTCTGGAGACGCTCGCGAATGTCGAGAGCCTCGAGCACCGCCTGCAGCTCACCCACCTCGCCGGTGGAAACGGCAGCCGCAAAGTCGGCGAGCTTCTCGGGCTCCTCGAAGACGTTGCCTGCACCCTGGGAGATGGAGAAGTTGGCGATCTGGTCGCGGAAGAGCGGGTTGAGCTGTGCGATGTCCTTGAAGACGCTGATGAGCTCGGACATGACAGCACGGATGTACTGGTCGTTGCGCTTGTCGTAAGGGGCGGCGGCAAGGTTGGTGACGTTGACGAGCGAGACGGCGTAGTCTTGGAGGAACGAGGTTTGGAATGGTGCAGAGTGGGAGGGCATGTCTTGACCGTCGACGGAGGCACCTTCACCTTCAGATGCGGACTGACCTTCGGCGGCTGCTGGAGGAGCGGGCGGGGCGTTCTGCTGCATGTGGGCTGCGGAGGCGTCGTTGACTTCGGGCAAGATGCCTTCGTCTCGGGCTTCTTGCTGAATGTCGTGCACCTTGGCCATTGAAGCCGCCTTGACCGCTTCATTGGCGGCTTCATCGCTGATCGGGTTGGCGGGACCAGCGCCCTCTGTGCCCGGAGGAGGCGAGGGGATGGTCTCACCTGTTGGGGTGATCAGTTCGTCGATGCGAATGCGGCGATGCGGGTAGAGCACAGCGGTGATGCCTTCCTCATCATCGGACTTCTCCTCGCCGTCCTTGCCCTTCTTGCCGCTGCCTGTCTGGCCGCCGCCCTGAACGGGGAAGACGCTGGTGACTTGCGCGAAGACGCCGACTTTGTGCACCTTGCTGAGATCAGTGATGACGTCGGCGTCCTCTTCTTCGTCCTTGAGCAAGAAAGCACCGATGTAGGGCTGACCGCGCTTGAGTGACTCTTTAATCGCAGCGCAGACCGCTTGGTTCTTGATGACTACGGCCTTGTAGAATCCAGGGAAGAGAGGACGTCGGGTGATAGGAAGAGCGAGAACTTGAGGGTATACGGATGGAACCGTAGAGCGAGCTACCGAGTTGCCCGATCCTGATCCAGAGCCAGAGCCAGAGCCGCTAGCACCTGATCCTGAGCCTGAGCTGGCACCGGAAGCTGCAGCGCCGCCCGTCGCAGATCGAGCGCCTGAGGAAGAGGATCCGGAAGACTCGGACTTGGACTTGGACTCGTCTGGCTCCTTGCGGGGCTCTCGTTCGTTATCTACCTCGTGCTCATCACCCTCTTCTTCCTCGCCCTCTTTGAGGAGCCTGTCTATCTGCCTGGTTCTTGGGTGAGATCGTGTGGAAGAGGTGAACAAAGATCGAGCGTTGGTCGAGGCGATGGATGTGGCAGCAGCATCGAGCTCATGTGGCAGCGGTATCCTCGTCGACGCGAAGCGAGAGGTGGTGCCTTTGCGTGCTGGCGCCGCAGCGAGGGTCGAGGAGAGGGATGTGAGGCGCCGTGAGCTGGCATTGGCAGCGGTGGAGATGGATGTGCGCCAGCGAGCGGCGCTGCCGGCCGCGTACCTCTGCGAAGGGATCATCGCTGGATTCAGCACAATAGGAAGATCCGCTGAAGCGTTTAAGCTTGTAGCAAAACCGAAGTGCTGACCGTGGGAAATGAGTGGCTGTGATGAGTGTATGTAACAGAAGGTTTGCGAATGGAGTCGAGGATGAACAGGATGGGATCTTCGGAAGGGGTCCGAGAGCCGTGATTCGTGATTGGCGCAGGACTCACTTCGGTACAACCGGTGAGGATTCATTACGCAGCGCTTTGCTCAGCCGTGCGCGGTCTCGGCGAAATGCGTGGCGTCCTTCCTTTGAAATCTGGTTTTGGCTGAGTCGAACGACCTGAGCCAGAGCTCACCACCCTTCCTCCCTTTGTGTCACTGAGAAACAGCTCTCCCCTCAGACCTTCGGTGATGAGTTGCTGCACGGAATGCTCTCCTGTCAATTCTGGGAAGCTTCCAGGAACATGACGGGACCATGTCGAACTGCTCAGAGTTCGATGAAAGGCAGGCATGCTGCTCCAGACCTGGAACCCTTGAGCAGCGAGCGGTGTGACGCTTTCAGATGTGGAGTAACAAGCCTCAAAAAGGGCCACCGATCACCAATTTTCGTAACTTGTTAAAGCAGCGCCAGGAACCCCCGCGTCCGCGTCGCTTCGGCCTAAGCGCAGAAAGGCTGAGCTTCTTGGAGTGGCGGGCTGCTCCTTGCGCTGAGCCGGGGACCCTAGCGTGGTCGGATGAAGCGAAGCGACACTCCCATCGTCGCTGTTCTGCCTTTCCTCTTCCTCTCCTCATCGGCTCCTTTGCCTCCGTCCAGCAGCTCTTGTGTCGCTTTCTGTTTCGATACGTTCGATCCATTCTTTCACACGATCTGCTTCATTCCTTTCGGCTCGTCATCAGTCTTTCAACTTGTTTCCAACAACCACATTTGCTTCTCTCAGACCAGCTCGGACACCTTCATTTCAGGCCCTGTCACTCTTTCTGAAGTCACATTCTCCTGTTTCTTCAAGGCATTCCAGGCTCCTGCTATCTACAGCAGCTCTCACTCACTCTATCGGCCCCCCAGCTCGCTGAGCAACCACCGCAACCATGGGTATCCCCAAGTTCTTCCGCTTCATGTCGGAGCGCTACCCGCTCATCAGTCAACTCATCGAGGAGAACAAGATCCCCGAGTTCGACAACCTCTATCTCGATATGAACGGTATCATCCACAACTGTTCCCATCCCAACGACAATGATGCCTCGTTCCGTATCACAGAGACCCAAATATTTTTAGCCGTCTTTGCGTACATAGAGCATCTCTTCCACAAGATCAAGCCCAAGAAGGTCTTCTTCCTCGCCGTCGATGGTGTCGCCCCTCGAGCCAAGATGAACCAACAGCGTTCCCGTCGTTTCCGTACCGCAAAAGAGGCCAAGGAGATCAAGGAAAAGGCCGAGCGTCGCGGCGAGGTCCTGCCCGAGGAGGAGGCTTTCGACTCCAACTGCATCACGCCAGGCACTCCCTTCATGGCCAAGCTCTCTCAACAGCTCGAGTACTTCATCGCCAAGAAGATCACCGAAGACTCGGACTGGCGCAATGTGCAGGTCATCCTCTCGGGCCACGACGTCCCAGGCGAGGGTGAACACAAGATCATGGAGTACATTCGTCTTTGCAAGGCGCAGCCCGGCTACAACCCCAATGTCCGTCACTGTCTCTACGGTCTCGATGCCGATCTCATCATGCTGGGTCTTCTCAGCCACGACCCACATTTCTGCTTGCTTCGTGAGGAGGTCCAATTCGGCCCTCGTCGCAAGTCCAAGGGCAGCCTCGAATCGCAGAACTTCTTCCTGCTCCACCTCTCCCTCTTCCGAGAGTACCTCGACCTCGAGTTCCAGGACCTTCGCTCCTCCCTTCCCTTCCCTTACGAGTTTGAACGCATCATCGATGATTTCATCCTACTCAACATCTTTGTCGGAAACGATTTCCTTCCCCACTTGCCTGGTCTTCACATCAACGAAGGCGCCATGGATCTCCTCTTCAATATCTACAAGCAGATCCTGCCCGTCGCCGGTGGTTACCTCAACGAGAGCGGTACACTGCGTACTGATCGCCTCGAGCTCGTTCTCTCCGAGCTTTGCAACTTCGAGATGGAGCAGTTCGAACGCGACTACGGCGACACCGCCACTCACAAGGCCAAAGTCTCCAAGAAGAAGAAGGCCATCACCCAGACCAAAGCCAAGGGAGGCCTCGTCCTCACCAAAGCGCAGCGTGAACTCTTCGACAAGGTACACGCTTTCGTCATGGCTCGCAGGCACGACCCTGCGGGAGCTCCCAACGAGCTTCTGGTGCCCGCCGACCTTCCCAACAAGGACAAACGCTTCCTGGAAGACCTCGCTTCCAGCTTGAAGCTGCGCGCTTCCTTCAACAAGGTGGATCCCACTACTCAGCTCCCCGCCATCACTCTGTCCTTCCCTGCCATCGCTGCCGAAGACGACGACAGCGACGACGGCCCTTCCGACGAGGATGGCGACGACTCAGACGAAGAGTCGGACGAAGATGCCATCCGCAATGCGACCGGCGGGAACAAGGCGAATGCTCCCAAGTCGGAGTCCGACGTTGCTGTCGACCGCGTCCTGAGCCGCTATCTCAAGGCCAAAGTCGACGCCGCCAGCGACGACGAGGGCGATCCGGAGAAAGACTACAAGAAGCGCCTCGAAGCCCAGATGAACGCTTGGAAGAAGGACTACTACAAGGAAAAGCTCGAGATCGATTACAATAGCGAGGAGGACATGTCCAAGCTCGCTTTCCGCTACATCGAGGGTCTCCAATGGGTGCTCCACTACTACTACGACGGAGTTGCTTCGTGGGGCTGGTTCTACGACTACCACTATGCTCCCAAGATCTCCGACCTCAAGAACGCTGGTCAGATGAAGTTCGACTACGAGCTCGGCAAGCCTTTCCGTCCTTTCGACCAGCTCATGGGTGTCCTTCCCGCCCTCAGCAACTCGCACATCCCGACTGCCTTCCGCGACTTGATGACCGACCCCAACTCACCCATCATTGACTTCTACCCGCAGAACTTCGAAGCCGATCTCAACGGCAAGAAGCAGGACTGGGAAGCTGTTGTCAAGATTCCCTTCATCGACGAGAAGCGCTTGCTGGAGGCCCTCGACAAGCGCGAAGTCTACCTCGGCATCGAAGAGCGCAAGCGCAATGGCTTCGGCCATAGCCGCGAGTTCACCTACAATGAGAACGATGAGACGTTCTTCCCCTCAAGTCTCCCTGGCACCTTTCCCGATCTCGTCCACTGCCAAGCCACCGCAAAGAACTTTGCCTTGCCCACTCTCGATGGCCTCCACCTCGTCAAGGGCCTCACTAAGGGTGTCGAGCTCGGCGTCCGCGCCCTGGCTGGCTTCCCCTCTCTCAAGACGCTTCCTCACTACGGTCGCCTCGGCCACCATGGCGTCAACATCTTCCAGTCCGAGTCCAAAGGTGTCAGCATGGTCGTCACCATCGAGAATGCCTACGAGGATGCCAAGACCGAGGCCATCGCAGAAGCCATGATCGGCAGCCGTGCTTTCCTCAACTGGCCTTTCCTCACTGAGGGTCTCGTTGTTGCTGTCTCGGACAACCTCTTCCGCTACGAGATGGGCATGGTCGGTGGTCACCAGAAGATCATCTCCCACGCGCACCAAGGCGCCAGCCTGTCCGATTTCCACCGCAAGGCAGAGCGTGCCGAGTACCACTACAGCAAGCGAATGGGCGTGCTCATCGGTGACGTTGACGTACTCGTTCATATCCGCCCGCTGAAGGGTCTCAAGCGCCTCGACGATGGTGCCTTCATCAAGGACTACCAAGAGGACGCCAAGAAGGAGATCGACCAGGCAGTGCAGGTAACCGTGACCAACGTCGTCCACGATGACGCCCGCTTCCTCGAGTCGCCTGCCAAGCCCATCCGCGACGAGTACCCGGACAAGACCAAGGTCTTCTTCCTCGGCGCCAACGCTTACGGCACGCCAGCCCACGTCGTTGGCAGCACCGACGCCTCGCTCGCTATCGAGGTCGCCTTCTTCCCAAACCAGGCCAAGGAGAACGCCTATCTGCGCGACCTTGTCAGCAAGCGCGCTCGCCTCAATTACTACCCATCGTATCAGGTGGCCAAGAAGTGTGGCATCACCGGTCTCGCTCTTGCCAAACTTACCTCGAGCATGATGCTCTCCTGGAAGGACCAAAAGGTCAACGTGGGTCTTCGGCTCAAGTTTGAGGCCAAGGGCGAGAAGGTCCTCGGCTACTCGCGCAAGTCGGCTGCCGGCTGGGAGTTCTCCGAAAAGACGCTCGAGCTGGTCAAGGACTACGTACAGACGTTCCCTGAGATCGCACAGATGCTCAGCCACAAGTCTGGAGTTGACATCACCCGTGCTTCGCAAATTTGGGACGAGTCGGTGGTCGACGCTAAGATGGCCCAGCTCAAGGAGTGGACGAAGTCCAAGGGCATCCGCGACCTCGAGACCGTGCCGCTCTACGCCGAGCAACTCTCCAAGGAGACTGTGCAGAACATCGAAGCGTTCACCTCCCGCCTCGTAGACACACGCACCGCGATCGGTGCTGCCAGTCAGGTTAAGCGCGTCTTCATCAAGGGCATCCCTCGTACTGCCCTTCTCAAGCCCGGTCACGCCCCCTTCCGCCTGCAGGCACAGAGGTTTGAGCTCGGCGACCGCGTCATCATGGTGCAGGACAGTGGTAACGTTCCCCTGTCGGCACGTGGTGTGGTTGTCGGCATCAACAGCGACTCGCTCGAGGTCGTCTTTGACGTGCCCTTCTTGAGCGGCTCCACGCTGGGTGACCGATGTGCCCCTTACAAGGGTGCTACCGTGTCCTTCGTCAGCGTACTCAACCTGACCCAGCCTCAGTTCGTCTGCGCTGGAACCAGCGGTGTCGGCGACACCAGCGCCTCGGTTGGCAGCGCTCTCGAGAGGACGCTCGGCCCCATCGGTGGCACAGGCTCTGCGCAGAGCAACGGCAACGGTGCTCACGGCTATGGAGCTGGCAACGGCGCTTACCGTCCTCCCAACGCCTTCACCCCCAGCGCGGCCGTCCACAACGGCAACGGTACCAGCAGCACGCAGATGCTGCAGCGCCCTCAACAGCGTCACGCCGCTGTATCGCAGGATGTCGCCTTCTCCGGCGTTGCCAGCGGGTCGCACAAGCCCACGCGAGCGGCTGCTTCGACGAACCAGGTGGAAGAGATCAACCCCATCATGGCTGCGCTCGGCATCCGTCCTCCCACCAACGGCAATGGCCATGGTCCTGCTCGAGGCGCCGCACGCGGTGGGGCTCGACCTCCTCGTCCCCAACAGCCTTTCAACCAGCCGCAGGAGTCTAGCGCTCCCGCAGCTGGCGGCTTCAACGGGCCTCGCGGTCGCGGTGGTCGAGGCGGAGGACGTGGTCGTGGTGGCCCAGCCCCTCGTGGCGCTGTTCGTGGCGGCCGTGGCGGTGCTGCTGGGCAGTAAGGATGTTGTGATCTTTCGCTCCCTCGCTTGTATCGCTAGTCTCAATTGGACCGTGCTTGACCAGCAGCCGTCGACGCTGAGCCCAATCGAGGCCTTCCCAAGCTTTCCATGACCTTGTGTGCTCGCGGCCGAGATGCTGTCTGTGCTGCGTTTCATGACGCTTTTCGTGACCATCTTTTTTTTTCGGCGAATTCCCGGTGAGTTCTTTCTGTGGAGGAAGTTGAGCCGAAGACTTCTGTCGGTGAAGTAATCTTGCACCGTGCTCACGGCTATACAGACAAGAGTGCCCTCTATTGGTTGAGATCTGGCTAGCGAACAGCAGGAGCAGACAAGACAATGCATTGTCCATGATTCAGAGCGTCAGCAGAACGAAAGGCTGCAGAGCCGGTTGCTTGACGCTCCGTCAATTCCGAGCCGAGAACACCAAAAGAAACGTCGCTGTGCGGAAAGATCTACCGAGGTTGTCTGCTCTCGCAAAGGGCTTCCATCCTTGCTTCTGAGCCATCACCTACTTCGCAAGCCAAGTCAGGATGTCACTCCCAAAAACGACTCAAGCGTACAAGCTCGCATCTTTCGACAAGTCCCTCGAGGGGCTCGTCTTGGACGAGAAGGTCTCGCTGCCATCGGAGCTGGGCCCTACACAAGTGCTCGTCGAGATCCACGCTGTCTCGCTCAATGCCCGAGACTATCAGAGTACGTAGCTCTCGCACTTTCAATACACTTAGCCGTACGATCTCAGGCTGACACCTTCTCTTTCGTCAACACACAGTCGCCACGGGCACGTACCCAGCGCCCACGTCTCCACCCGTCAACCTGGTCCCTGTCTCGGATGGCGCGGGTTGCGTCCTCGCCGTTGGCTCTTCCGTCAGCACCGTCTCCGTCGATGACCGAGTGGTAACTCATCTCACTGCCGACTGGATTCACGGCGAGATGGGCAACGAGATGCAGGCCAACGCCCTCGGCGGCGGTCGCGACGGTGTTCTCGCACGTCACGTTGTCCTCGACCAATACAACGTGCTGCCCATCCCCTCGCACCTATCTTACCGCGAAGCGGCCTGTCTTCCCGTAGCAGGCCTGACCGCATTCCACTGCCTCTTTGGGCACAACACCAAGACGCTGCAGCCGGGACAGACGTTGTTGGTGGAAGGCACGGGTGGGGTGTCCATCGCCGCGCTGCAGCTGGCCCTCTCCGCGGGCGCGAGACCCATCGTCATCTCCAGCTCGGACGCCAAGTTGGCACTGGTGCAACAGCTCGGTGTGCCCAAGGAGGACTGTGTCAACTACGGCAACGACCAAAAGTGGTGGGAGACAGTTCGCTCCCTCACCCCACGCAACCAAGGGGTCGACCACACAGTCGAAATTGCCGGCGGCACCACCCTCACCCGTGCCCTGCTAGCCGCCAAGGCCGGAGGTGCAGTATGGGTTGTCGGGTATATGGACGACTATTCCCCCACCAAACAGCCCGACGACCTGCCAGACATCGCCAAAGCCATACTCTACTCTCAGGCCCAAGTGACAGGGGTCGTGTGCGGAAGCTATAGGTTGTTCCAGCAGTACCTGGATGCGCATACCGCCGCGCAGGGCAGGGTCGAGACGGGCACGGCAAAGACCAACGTGCTCAAGCCCTTCGTGGTGGATGAACAGGTGTTCGGGTTCGATCAGGCAAAGAAGGCATTCGAGACGCAAGGGTCCGGCAAGTTCGTAGGCAAGATCCTCATCGACGTCGCTTCCAAGTGAAGCGTTGTCCTCCAATATCCTTGATTTCGCTGCCTGTACTCCTCGTTCGTGACCTGCGGCTTGGTTTGAGAAACGTGAGATCGAACTCGAGGCTAATAAGTAGATTAGAAGTCAAAGGATGCATATACAGGGACGATCAAACGGAAAAGGGATCAGAAAAGGGTTCGCATTGCAGTCTTTCGAATCGTGATCCGTATGAGGCTCGTAAGCGACGGCTGGGCCGGGCACTTCCTGTTCGGAGGGGGATATCTTGAGCAACGGTGTCATGAAGGGAGGGGATCAACCGCGCGTCTTGTTCTCGCGCTCGGCCTGTCGGATGCGCTCCTCGAGCGTCTTGCTCTTGTGGAGTTGGGAGGCGGTGAGACGGTCGCGCTCGGCGTTGCCCGTGGCGCGGTCCGAGTAGCGCATGCCATCGGCGACCGAGCCCTGGTAGGACGAGGTGGTGCGGTGCAGCTCCGTGTTGTTCTTAGAGCCCGGGTTGGTATCCGTGCGCTTCATCTTCTTGCCATCGGGACTGGACATGCAGGAACCCTGTAGAGCGAGCGAACGAGGTCCAGAGGAGGGGTTGAAAGTGGGGGCAAGATGGGTGTCAGTACGGATCTTCCAGGAGCAGCAAGGGGGCTTGGACAACGATGGAGCGGCATTATTGGTGCAATCGAATCGTCTGTGGATGGTAGACTATGCGGCTTTGTGCCTCCATCGTCGTTCTGCCTTGTGCCGAACATACCATCTTGAATATAGGATGCTATCGAAGAGCTTCGAATCGGGTATGTGGATGGTGCGTGGTTGGTTGAAACTTGCGAGCAGACGAGAGCAAGTTTGTTCGGGTTGAAGTTGGCGCGGTGCGGATAGATACGTTTCGGCGAGATGGTGGTAGCAGAGAAAGGTGTCGAATAGGTGCAAGGTCGGGCTGTGCGGGGGCAGTGATAAGTCACACACACATTCAACAAGGCTGCATGCCGCTCTGTGCTCTCAGGCCATCTGAGTTTACCCTGAGATTAGAAAGGCAAACTCCACTTTCGACGCTCAGCCGCCTTTCCTTTCTCCCACGGCAGGGGTCCCTGCACTATGACCAGAGGCTAGCAGCTTGTATTCGACGGTCATTAGAAAAAGGACGCGCCAGGACGCAGATTTGAAGCTCGACTTGAAACAATAAGGCTCGATTGCAATTTCCACCTTCTCCTGCGTCGGATGCAAGGTCAGCCGCTCTGCTTTCGACCCTTTCAAAGACACCTCTCTTGCCGGGAAAGCACTGACCCGTACCGACGGTTGGGCCTCAAGCTGCAAGATGATCCCAAGCGAGGCTATGTCAGGGGTGATCCGTGGACCCGTGCCATCTTGCGATCCCGCGCTTCGACGGTCCTCAGCATCACGCCGTCTCAGGTCCTATCGCTCTATAATCCAGTTAGTCGAGAAAGACAGATCTTGCTAGGATACGTGACTATTTGCGGACAGTGACGTGCACCGCCCTGGAAGACATTGCCAAGCGTCTACGGCGCACGACAGGAAACCGCGCAAACGGAACTGGAGATCCGAACACTCGGGCTGGCTCTCGAAGCTTCTACACCAGCGGAAACGACAGGGGGCCAAGCTTGTGCGGCACAGACCCTGGAAAAGATGTCATTGCACACGAGCTTTGTTGCTTGGCGGTCAGCAAATAGGTCGAGGGTATCGGCCGGATATAAAATTCTTATTTTTTGCTTCTACCGGCGATCTCACAAGTTTTGCTTTTTCTACGATCGCCATGTGTCCTCCTCGAACGATGACGAAGACTGTGTTCTGATCGTGAATGCAAACTCGACATCTCTGCTTTCACCGTTCCCAGATCGACTCGTAGCGAGCAGAGCTTCACGAAGATCTCGGTTCGAGTTAAGACGCGGCAGGCATCGCTGCATTTGCGCCAGATGACTCATCCAGAGAGCGTTGTGAAGGCTTCCCACGAAAAGCTCACACTCAACAGCAAGAGGTTACAGCGCCGGCCGGCTCTGGGATTTGGGCCTTCAAAACTCAGCCGCAATTATGTGCCGATACATTGCCGAGTCGAAGACGTTAACTCTGCTCCAGCTGCACGACGTCTGTGATTGCGTGGCAGAGGTCGTGACACCGAAGCCAATGCTAGCACTTTCAGATCACACGTTCTAGCACTTCAGCTAGCACATATGGCTACAGAGTGGGAGCTAGGAGATGCGCGCAGCCGCGTATGACACCTATGTATGCAGAATGGCTCTGCGTTTCGTTATGGACCAAGTAAGGAGCTGTGAGCGCCAACCCTGCAGTGTTGTTCGCATTGCTTGTGGTTCGGAACGAACACCGACTCGACTCGCTCGACTGCGCACACTTGCTCTCCACGGCCTTTCGAGAACTCCCTTGAGCTTCCTGCTTGTGACGCCGCATCGGCGATTCCTGTTGTGTGAAGCGCTGTAGATGCAGGTTGGTCTACGATATCTCCAGATGCCACAGGGTTTGCATTCCTACCGTCGGTCCTCCTTCGTGATCAGCAACCATTTCTCGATCTGACCAGCCGAGTCTCATTGCTGGAAGCAGCTGTCTCCTCACGGGCACGTCGATCGCTTGCAACAGCTAACGATCAATATCGCCCCCGCCCTTCATTGCAACGATGTGAGATCCGCGTACCAATTGGCATTCTCGGGCGACTCTGTTTCACGACACTCGGACCCCGGCTTGAAGAATGTTCGACCAGAGAGAACAGCTTTCACGAACCAAGGCATGTGGAATCTAGCAGTCCTATGGATGGATACGGCCGTTCCGCTCCGACTTGTTGCTCGTTCCAGAAGCAGCAAGACCGTTCTCTGATTCAGCGGCGCCCATCCCTGTTTCTCAAAGACCGGTTTGAGGCACGGGCAGAAGCCGTCCGTATGAGGCCTTACCAGCTGGCAAGCGGTCGGAACCGATCACGCTGCTTCTGACCCCACGCGGAAGTGTCGAAGCTATCGGAGTCAAGCCTGATGCGGTCAGTTCCGAACCCGTTTCGCTTCTTCGTCCGGACAAACAATGACGAATTGCACCGCACAAGACTTCTTCCCGGCCCTGACTCGCCTCTCCTTTCCCCAAGTGCGCCCCTGAATCACACCAGTCTCAATGGCATGGTAGCGAGCCATCCGGTCTCACAGGTTACCACTGCGGGAAGCGATCACCACTGTAGGCTTTACCACGGGGCGCATCGTTGTTTGTGAGACACCACCCTCGGTTAGGGAAGCTCAGGGTCTTCCGCCGGACAAGACGAAATTTTTTTTGACAATCGCAAGGTCTCAGCGTAGGTTTTTCCATTTGGAACCCAGCCCAGGTGCGAGCAGATCGATTCGTCGTCCGCTCTCGACAGCTCGACAGCATTACTCCGTCGCATGCACCGGATGCTCATGCAGACAGAGACATGGGTGCCGCACAATGAACGCTCATAGCGATTCTGACAATGGCAACACCGAGTCGCTCTGACAATGAAGGCCGAGTCGGGTGGTGGTTCGGCAGACGCCTTACCCCAGCGCACCCCTGGTTGCCAATTCGCACGAAAAGCCTTTGTGTTGTGATAAGGCCGGATTTTGCCTGAAAGGCACCCGAGGCAAGAAGTAAGCCGATTCCGACGGCGGCTGAAGAAAGTGGAAAAGTCTCGCATCTCTGAGCGGTTACCACTCGCTTTCTAACGCTCGTTGGATACGAAGAAGCCACACTTTGGCTCGACTCGCTTGCGATAAGGGGTCTTCGACATCGGATTGTCTGGCAAACAAAGATGACCATCCCAAACGTGTCACATTGCGGTATCAGAGCCGACACCGACAGCACGATCGAGGGAGATCAAGTTCTGCACGCCGAGGCAAGAGACTGCCTTTGCAGGAGGTCAGCATGAGACATTCGATCCATCGTCGCAGAAAGAAGAAACGGATGCACAGCGGCAGATCTGAACGAACCATCGACGCTGTCGCGGAATATCCCGGACACGTCATCCTACGCTGGAATGATGAAGGCCATGAAGAGACAGCAAGGCGACAGCGACACTAGCGCTGGGGGCAAGATCGGATGCCGGACGATACACGATGCTGCACGACACTGAAGGGCGAGGCAGGTGAAAAGCCGCGTGGTAAATCTGGCATTGCGATCTCAAAGCCGGTCAGGACTCACAACCTATCTCACAACGGAGACGCCCAGCCGCATCGCGCATCGGTGACGAAGACGAACGTGGGCCATGGTGCAATTGTGCCAAGGAAAGCTCCAACGGGGTATGGTAAGCTGAGAGAGATAGAGTCTCACCGGCGATGCACGCGGTTGGAACCTGCACGAATTGTTTTGCCGAGGTGTCGAGTCTACCGGAGCCGAGCTGCGTGGAAGAGGAGGCGGACCAACGTGGCAAAAAGCCGTAGGGCAACCGCCTCAGAAGAAGAGAAAGGGTTCAGGTCAGGGTTCACAGAAGACGAGAAGGAACATGAAAGTCGGAGCGACGCTTTCTAAGGCTTTGCGAGCGCTGTCTCTCCCAGATGACAGTTTGCTCGATGAGTGATCCTCGAATCGACGGGCGGAGCTGCAAAAAATGGAAATTTGTGGCTTGGGAAGTGAAAATTAACAGGGAAGAGCGTGCAGGACAAGAAGAACCACATGGCTCAACTCAGCCAGCATAATGTCTGCGGGAAAACAGTTTTGTCTACGACGTCGAGGCAAAGCAGGAACCAAGCTCCGACACGATCCCACATCCAGCTTTTGCAAATTTGCTACTCCGTCGATCTTATTCCGAGGGAAACCGATGAGACACGATCACTTCCACGCCGGAATGCCATCCATGCCCCGACACCCCTTCGGTACATCGCTGCGTGAATGCCGAGCCAATGTTCTGTGAAGAGATGAAATCATCAAGGCGGCAATATGCGAGTGGATTCCTAGCTGGTTTCGATCTCCGGCCACATGACCTTCCCAAGTTGAGCTGACGGCTGAGCCAAAGATTCGTCTGCGAGATCTCACCGACGTCGGCTTGGACAGACTTGATGTGTTGAAAGCGAGGCTGTTTGTCGGCGTCCTTGGCAAGCTGGTCGTTTCTGCGCGCGCTGAAGCTTGCTCACTACACCTCGCCACGATCACAGAGCCAAAGGAAATCACGACTCGCGGGCAGTGGCAACGTTTTCCCGCATTCATGCCTCTGAAAGTCGTGATCAGATACGATTGGCTGAGCACATCATACTGGTCCGGCGCGAGAAAAGTGACGGAATCGCGCACAAGCGAACTCTCATGCAGTCATGCTGCGTGGTTTGCAGGATGAGAAACATGAAAGTCCAGGCTGCGAGGTTCGAATGCAAGTGATGCTCGGTCCTGATTGGTCGTACTGAGCGAGAGTGCGTGAAGATCTATAGTGTCATGCCTCGTGGCGATAACGTGGCGAGCAGGAGGGGGATCAGCAAGCAGAGCGTGGCAAATGCACGCGTGGTCATCAATTCGAGGCTAGACCCTTTTCTGCCAAGATTCACAGACCCTGCCCTGTCACGACGACGGGGCCACACCGAGCCGATCCGATACCGCGCCGCGCTGGCTCGTTTCAACTGGCCGTCTGCCACGGTGCTTTGTCTGGCCGGCGTCCGAGCATGTGAGGCTGGACGCCGGGCGATAGCGTGAAAGGCTCTATTTCAAGCTACAACTCCCTGACCGGCTCATCGAGGGCCTCGTTGCTGTAATGAACCCACGTTCCTGGGAATGCGGGCAAGGAGAGGTAGACGAAGTGCTGGGCCTTCAACAATGTCGCTTCCAGGTCCGTGTTTGTTCCAGATTCACGGACGATGGCCTCGACCATGCATGCAAGGACGATGTTCAGTTCCTGGAAACCGTAACAAGAGCAAGCTCTTCATTAGGATCCAGATCCCTGGTGCGCGAAATCTTTCTCACAGGCTTTCCGAAAGGAGATAGAGTTGAGACGGCTTCTGAATGTGGTGCAACTCAGATGGCGGCGCTTGATTCCATTCGACTAGCTTCGATTCGTATGACGAGGTCAGCGGCGGAGACGACGAGCGCGTAGAGATAAGTCTGATAACAGGCAGACTTGTGAAACGATCTGCCTGATCGTCTCGCGCGCCTATGACCTCGCTTTCTCGTGAAGCAATCGAAGCTGCCATAAGCAGATTGTGGAGAATGCCTTTGTGTAGTCTCTCGTCGAGGCTGTCTAGCTCATGCCCCTGGACGAAGCGAGACGACGCCCAGCATGCAACACGCGTTGTTTGTCGGTCGATGGCACGTTCTGGTGACCAGGGTTCGGTGGCAAACTGAGAGATAGCCAAGAGATTCAGGCGCACGGCGACTAGGCTGAGTTTGAAGAGAGAGCGGATCTTGAACTCGAGATGTCCGTCTTCCGGTCTGAAAAGTATGGGAAAATTCAATCTGCTCGCACCACGGATCCGGTACGCTGTAAGCTCTACAAACAAGAACACGGCCGTGTGAGTGGCAGTCATGCGCATCTCGACGCCACAGCTGGCGATGAAGATGGTCTGAGCGGTCCGAGGAACGATCACGATCTACTGTTGTTCGGCTAGAGAGGATTGACAGGGTTCACAGCATCCTGAATGAATTGTTTTGCTTGCGGTTCCGACGGGGATTGCTGCGCACACGCCTGATATTGTCGCCTTACCACCATGGCTCAGTCGTGTTCGAGACACAACAGGGCCATTTTCGAGCAATCACAGGCTGTGCGCGTGGGGCTGCATGTGCGTCTGCCGGATTTCACTCTACGCCATGCACCTCCCGGCCAAGTGCACTACTCTCGGCCCACAGCAGGTGGCGACCTGCATCGTCGTCGCTTGGGCTCTGTACTGTGGGTGTAAAATAAGTTCGAGCTCAGCACAGGGTCCTTAGCTAGGCACAACTCGAACGCCTTTGGACGAAAGCTTGCTCGGCCCTGCCATGGCCGATCCGCCGAGCTCCCTCTGCTCTTTTCGAGATGGCAATTGTCTCAATGTCGACTTGCACACCCATTCTTGCACGATCGAGCATGCATGACCAGGGAAGCCATGATGCCTCGTCAACGACAAAGAATTGACTGATAATGTCAACGTACATCGTACGATACCAGACGGTAGCATGTGTGCACGTCGCTTTTGAAAGGCATGCGAGCTTAGGAAGCGAGCGGTGAAAACAAAGCTCGGCTCCACATCTTTGCAGCCTGCGTGCTAACGGTCAAGCTCGTTCCACGGTAAGGCCTACAGAATCAAGCTTAAGCGAGTGGCGGTCGAGGTACAGTAGAGTCTTTCGTCTCTGGTCGCCTTATTGTGCTCTGAAGCAAGACAAATTCGAGCCCCGATCGCCCATCGCGAGCAGGGACAGGCTTGCAAGCAGGGAGGAGTGCTAATTAAGGGTTAATTAGAGCTCTGTTGGCCGAGGACTGAGCCTTTTCTTCCAGGTGCCCGGCCGCTTCTCGACTTTCATCACTCTCAGACCTGGGGCGCTTCCCATCGAAAGGAGCTGAACGAGCAATTCAGCTCATTGATGTCCATTGTGCTGCGTAGATTGATACGTTGATTGCACTTTGACCCATCATTGTGAGATCGGTGGCCTGGGAACCCAAGAGATAGAGACCCGACCTGGCTCGAAATGCAAGATCGCGACCCGGAGTTCGGCAAGGATTCTCGCGAGGGCGCTATGTGTGGGTTTTGATCAAGAGCAGCTCGGCTATATTTTGAGGCAACCGCATCTAGCTGTAGCGAAGTATAACATGGCCTGATTGTCGACCGTGGCTCGCATGCTGCAAGTGAAGCTTCACATCATACTTATCTGTCAAGATACCAGCTAGTGCCATCTCGGTTGCTGTGGACGAGTAGCGTCGATCTTCACGGCAGTGGACGATGAGATCACGATATGGAACAAGAGCCAAGAGCGCCTCGTTTGGGCGTCCTTGATACTGAACCCCCTTTCGGCACCGAACATGTACCCTGCAGAGAGGCTCGTTGAGCCCCACTGAAGCTGGTCTCGGCTGGCATATGATCTAAGCGTGGCCGCTCGTGAATGACCATACTAGCTGAAAGCAGGTGACCGAGCGTGAACGGATTGCATCATAAGCAAACTCCACGCCGAGTCCGTCACTGAACGTGCAACAGTATCGATCGTCAGGAGGCCGCCTTACCGACCCATGATCAACGCCAGGGTCTAAGTAATGAAATGAAAGAAGCCGACAGGGTGCATCATGGAAGTATCGACCGTAACTATGAGCGAGCGGAGCTCCTCTGGCAGCTCTCTCTGCAAAAATCTGTCAGCGGGCGCTGCCGTACTCGATCCATCGTGACCGCGCCAAATTGATATCAGTGTGTCTGCTAAACGAGATTTGGTGGGTCTCGAGCCATTTTGAGGAGTCACATGCGGAGCTGCGGGTCAAGTTGTAGCGAAGGGCATATCGTCTCTGAACAATGTGATGAGGGATCCAGCCTCGACGCAAGTCTTGCTATTTTGAGAGGGTGGAAATTCGGTAGTGGACCGTGGCCACGCACGCTAGTGCCACATGTGGGCGGTGGCTTTGCAGATCAACAGCGCCTGCTGGGCTATCGACGGTGCCACACTGTTCCTGCACGTGTGATCGCACATCGCTGGACCTCTTCACAGCCGTGTGTCCATCGAATCGCGAGCTTTTGTCCCGCTTTGCTCTGATGTGAGCTATCACACAACATGAACGTGGCTCGTTGCCGTTCCGAGCCGACTGTTGAGTTGGTGCAAGACACAGAACGAGAGGCTAACCGAGCAAAAAGGGCGGATGGACTCCGCCCAGACCCAGATGGTGGAGCGTGAGCACAGGAGGGAAAACCCATCAACGAGCACCAAGCACCCAGATGCAGGCTTTGAGATCGCCTTACCCTGGTGCTGGCAGGCGAATTTGATCAACGCCATCGCTTCTCCTCTCTCTCTCTCTCTTTCGCTCGCTCTCGCTTTCATTTCTACATGAATTAATAATTTTAGGAAATTGGATTTGCAAAGGGTCTTGCCTGTCTTGAGGCATGGGAAGATTCTTCTTGGTCGCCTTGTGCTGCTGCCGCTATCAAGAAGAAGTGGTGTTGGCCGAAACAGAAAGGTCGTCGTCTTATTCGCTTCTCCCTGCCCTCGCTTCAGCCTTCTCGTCTAGTGTATGCTCTGGAGAGCCGACCTACAGTAGATGTGCAAGACCATACCTCGCTTGATCTCGTGTTTCCCTCCTGCGACCAAGCCGCTTTGGGCTTAGATCGGTTCGGCTCTCGTCTTGACCGTCTCGTCTCGTCGTACACCGGCATCGGCCAACCGTGACCAGAGTAAGCTTTGGGTCTAGCGGTAACTTGAACCATATCCCGTTGCGCGAATGCGTCGTACAATGAGGTTTCGAGCACAAGGTTGGCACACATAGGTCAGACATCGATTCTCGAATTACCATGGCTCATGAGACACGCTACGTAAGGCCTGAGCGTGGAGCAAGGGCAGACAGGGACGATAAGCCGCTGCCCTGACGAAAGAAAAAAGAGTGGCGCCTCACTAGCGTGGAAAAAAGCATGAATGCCCCCGTCAGTGTGGCCTGGTGCCGAGCTGAGTTTGGCGGTGCATCCGGGCGACGGCTCTAAGTTTTGCCTTGGCTGTCGGTGCATCCAGGTGCCTGCCAATCGCATAAACGGAGCTTGAAACCGTCGCCCTCTCTCTTTCTCTCTCTCTCACACGCGTCCCTCCTCTGCGCTGTCACACCTGCCAGAGCATCCTGCAGCATGTGACTGTCAACCTTCGCACTTGACCGATTTCACCGCTCTTGGCTGCTGCTGCTGCTGCTTCTGCCGGTGCCGCCTTGTCTCTGTCACCAGAACCGCGTAAAGCGACACTTTTTTCCCATGGCCCTTTTGTCGCTCTATCTCTCCTTTCCTCTCTCTGCACAGACAGACGAGAAGCCCAAAGCCCCCTCCAGACTCAGTTCGGAAAACCCTGAGCGGAGCCTAGGAAAAAGAAGAGCATTGTTCCGTTCCTTCATGATTGATCTTCTCATTCCAGCAGTGCCCAAAGATACCACTCCGAATCACCCCAGGGTCCTCCTGCTTCCTGCCGAATCTTGCGCTGCGAACTTTCCAGACTCAGAGAGGACCGACGAGTTCTATTAGCAATTTGTCGTCGGTGTTCGCTCGCTTGCTCGTCCGCTGTTCTTGATTGCCCCTACTCAGCCGCAGAGATAGGGCTCAATCCGCCCATCATAGCAAGCTTTGTATATAGGCTAGTGCCCTCCGCCAGAAGCCCCGTACACCCAGTCCCTTCTCCACCTTGACTTGTCCCTCCTCCTTGTTGCACATCGCCATCATCCACGTCGTCGACTCAGCACTGCCTTCTCCATCAGCTTCACGTCGTCTGCTACTAGACGCCTCCATTCGTCGCGATCACGACATAGCGCCTCCAACACCAGTCTCAGCAGCTTCGACCGAGCGCATTCAGCCAACCCAAACCCCCTTGGCATGCAATAGCTGCTTCGACATCTTTTCCCCACCTATACCCTTCACCTCGTCTGCTTCCGTCACAATGGTCTCGCCATACGACCCCACCAACCCTTCGCGGCCCGTGCTCGCACGCAAGCGCACCTCCGATAAGACAGCATCCGAGGAGCCCGCCATCGACGCCGACTCGCCCACCGACAGCCTCGATGGCAAGGGCAAGACGCGCGCGCGCATCAACATGGCCTGCATCCACTGTCGTCACAGGTGAGTCCCTTCCCCTTTCGTCACACTTCTTTACATCACAATCTTCCTCTTCAAGCTGAGCCTTCTTACTGACATCTTCACTCGTTCGTTTTTGCAGGAAAATCAAGTGCGATGGAGCGCAACCCTCGTGCGCAACATGCACGCGCCTTCGTCGCGAGTGCGAGTACGAACCCGTGACCGAGTACGAGAACCTCATGTCTCGGGAGCGCAAGCGTCGCAACAAGGAGAAGAAGGCGGTTCGCATGGCCTCGCTGGGCATCTTTGCGGGTCAATCTCCTCTCTCTATGCTGCATCCCTCTACCTCATTGGGGCTACCATCGGCGCCGTTGGCGCACTACGCCGACCCATCGCAACCGCAGCCGCTGTTCGTCTCGATACCCGATGCGTCGGTTGAGTCGCAGTTCGGACCGAGGCGGCGGAGGGGGATCAGCGAGACCGAGGCCGTGGGCATGTCGAGTCGGTTGGGGCCCTTGTCGCCGATGGTGCCGGACGCATTCCAGCAAGCGAGCGTCTCGCAACCCCCGACACCAGCACAGACGTATCGGTTCTACCAGAGCCTCGCATCTTCGCCGGTGATGCCGCTGCACACGGGTCCGACTGGCTTCTTCCCTGCGCCGTTGAGTGCGCCGTTGATGCCACACGCCAACTCGGGTCCTTTCTTTGCGTTCTCACCGCAACAGACGATGATGCAGCCGCAGCTGGTGGATCTCGCTGGGCTGAGCGCGTCCGCTTCGGTCCCCATGCTCCCTACCGGCGGCAGGGCGAGTGCTACGGACGCAGACCTCAACTTGGGCCTTGTGGATATGGCAGACGTGCCTACTGTGGTCCCTACTTCGGCGCACGTGAGGCCGATCGACCTGCCCGCACCGCACGGCCACTTTGATTTCGCCAGCATCCCCTTCCCTACCGCGTCGACGTTTGCGCTTGAGCTGCCGATGGCAAGCCTGCGCAGGCGAAGTTCGATCCACCTGCCGGTGGGCACCGCTGACGCCTTCCGCCGGCCGAGTGTGGCCGAGCTGGCTGCGGCGGGGTTGATGCAGCGCGTCGTGGAGCGACGCGCAGCGGGTGGTATCAAGGAGGCCACCGACGAGCTGACCGAGGACTCGACGGGCATTCTGGCCTGGAACGCACATGTTCAGTCCCAGTTGCCGGCAGGCATGGCGAGCTGGTCTGGCTTCCAGGCTCCTGCTGCGGTAGGCGGAGAGACGCCCAGCTACCCCGGTAGCGCCGACTATGCGTTTACCGTCCCCACCGACAGCCGCAGCAACTCGGATGGAATGTTGACCCTCGGCCCCCTCTCGCCGCCCCCAGCGCTCAAGCTCGAGGCCGACGAAGTGACCACCACCTCCAGCGTTTCCAGCACCGTCGACACCGGCAACGTCAATCTGTCCTACTTCACCGTCACCGAGGACACCAAGCCTACACGGGAGGTCTCGCCGTTCGCCCTCTCCCCCAGCTCCGGCAACAGCAGCAACGGAAACCAGAGCTCGCTGCTCTCCCAGGACGCTTGGGGCCCTGAACCCCCATTGCTTAGTCCCGTCAGCGAACTCAACAGCAATTTTCACAGCTTCGCCGTCTTTCACCCTCAGGATAAGTCGGACGACTTCACAGGGTCGCTCGCTTCCGCGTTCAACTCCACCTTCTAGTATACCTCACGTTTAATTGCCCAAGGCTAGCATATGTATTTTTAGTTTACCGTCATGGGTCAGTGTCAATGGACAGTCCTTCAGAGGCTTCAGAGCGAGTGTGTGGGTGACGAGATCATTGAGAGAGACTGTGGGGTGTTTACATGGGTGACTGTTCGGCAGCGACAGCGTCGATCCATGCGTGGATCAGCTTGGTGAGCATCTCCTGCCAGCCGGCGTCGTGGCGTGCTACTCTGACTGGGTCAAAGTCGATCGTTCGAGAGCTGGACTTTGAGATGTCGGATGAAATGTGGGATTCCGAGGCGACTCTCCGGCCGTGGAGGTTGAGCTTTCCCAGGCCGAGGTTGCCGTAGGTGGGGGCGGCTGCGACAGGTCTGACCGCGGCACGGGTGGCGGTTGTCTGGATGGCGTAGCGTAGCTTCAGGGCGGCTGCCCACACGCGTAGATTCTCGGTCTTGCGGAACGTCCATCCCGGTCGACTGGCACGGTGCTCCCCTTCCTCTGCACCTGTCTGGGGAGTGCCCCCCTTTGAAATTGAAGCACCCTCACTCGGGCTGTTGCGGCTAGCTCGTGTCTGGAACTTGGTCGCTTCGGCCTCTTGGGCTTCTTTTGCCCGAAGAGTCTCCTTTTCGAGCAAAGCAGTTTCCTCTGCCTCCAAGTCGTGCATCTCGCGGGCTGAGATGTAGCCCCATGGCTTGTCGGACCGGCGAACTTCTTCGTTGAAGACCCGACATAGCACGTAGCCGTCGGAGAGTAAGGCAAGAAGCTTCTCTGGATCGCCTGCAGCATCACGGAAACGTTCCAGTCGCTGCAGAGGTTCCAAGCCACAACCTTCGCAGTGGTCGATGAGAAAGCTGGACAAGCGCTCGGCTGATCCGGTCGGTAACGCAGTCCAGCCGTAAGCTGATGGAGACGAACCCAGCGTGTCACTTGGGTTGATAGAGATCTGCGGCCTCGACATCTCTGTCGAAGTCATCTCGTCCTGCGTGCTTCCATTTGCAGTGCTGGGCAGCCGGCGCTGTTCCTGAGCAGAAATCGTCAACGTCGACAAGACCGAATTGACAGTGACCAAATAATCTTGCAGAGTCGTTCGCTCAGCCGCCAAGTCTGACAGCTGCAAGTCGGAGCGATACAAGTATCCGGTTGCTGGTATGGTTTTGACAAGCATTGTGACACTCGACGCATCGGGATCGGCGTTCGGGGCTGCTTCTGAGCCGTCTGGATCCGCTGCTGTGTGTAAAGCCTCGCATTCACCTTCATTGCCGCTGATGCTCTCCGTTCGATATCTGATCTCCATCTCTTTGAGCCCCGAGAGTACCTCGAGCGCTGCTTTGCGAATGGTGCCCAGGTGGTCGGTGTCTAGCTCACCTGATTGGCTCGATGTACGCTTCGGTAAGGGCTGCACGGGCGTGTTCGAGCTCTGTTGGGGCGAACCATGGTGGAGGATCTCGCTCGTTCTTGTCGGAACAGGTGCACCGACTTGACCTGCGCGAGAAACGCCACTGAAGCTGGTCTGTCGGCGGAATAGATCGCGCCCGCTCGGCTCGATAGGCGATGATGTTGGCACTCGCGACCGCTGCGGTAGAGCGAGAATGTAGCTACGCACTGACCGAATCGCCTTTGTCGTGACATCGATCAAAGCGAGAAGGTCGATCGAGGTGGATACAGGTATTTCTTCGAAGGCATTTGTCTTGAAGCCGCTAGAGAGCATTCGTTTCAGAGTAGTCACCGCTGCGTCCTGTGCCAGCCAGGACTCGAGACCCCAGATGTCCATCAAACGAGCAAGGTCGGCGACTAGCAGTTTGCGAAGAGCATCCGCATCTGCCTGCAACGGTTTTGCTAGGTCAAGGTATTTGGGCAAGGTGTAGCTACCCGCCTCCGGGCTAGGAGGCAAGCTCAAATGGTCGTCCTCCTCGGGGTCCTCAGTGAATCGAGAGGAGAGGGACTGATCGCGGGAGGAGGCTTCTGATCTTGTCTCGTCGGACGTACCAGCGCTGGAGGACATCAGTACCTCGCCAGCATGGCCAATCGCTAAGGTCATTGCGCCTTTGGCGAGCGGTCGCTTCCGGCTGGCGATGCCTTGCTTGGTGTAAAGATGCTGAAGGTAGCCTATGCTTCCTAGAGCCATGATGGAGTTTTTCCTCGCGGCGCTGCGAGAAAAAGGCTTCTGATTCGATTGGGCTCTGAGGCTGGCAGAAGGGTAAAACAGAGCTGATCGCTTTGAGCGCAGAACCTTGCCATCGGTGGCAAGTCCATCGCGCTCTTCGTCCGGATCGTCGGATGGAAAGGCACGCGAAGCAGTACCCAGCGATGTCTTTGTCGAAGGTCCTGGAGTCGTAGAAGTACTCGTCGGCGAAAGCCTCGAGCTCGTGGCAGCCTTTCTGATCGGTGCGCGATTCTCTTTGTCGGCTTCTTCTATCTGAGGCATCGTAGCTGGAGCGGCTGACGGTGGCAGCAGATTCAGCAATCTCGAGAGTCCCAGCTGGATGACGATGGTGGTGATGACGTTAGTATGTCAGTGAGGACAAAGAGAGAGATCATCGGCTCCTCTCCCATTGTCACTCGTAGTGCGATGCTGAGGAAGGCCAGCTCCGAGCACACACGGCCCCCCACAGGCTGCATGGCTGACATGCAGCTAATCCCACCCGCAGCTCAACCGCCTTGAGATGAGCCCGTGCGTTGCAAAGGAGACACGGCTTGGGCCCGCACCCTCGCGGCTGAGTTGTGACATTTGAAAGAACTCCGACGATGCTCTTCATCGCCCGACGACGAGCGTGAGAAGGGTCTGTGTGAGCGAGGATAGATCGGCGTAATCATCGTTGTGGCTTGGGCTGATCAAGGGGATGTCCAGAAATGCAAGTGTCGAGCTGACAAGCGTGCGGGCGGACCGCCGCCAAAAAAATCCATGCATGAACTGCAGGAGACCAACACGCACAGGGTCCTGCGTGAGACGCACACACACACGCCAGCCGCCGCTTTCCCCTGCATTGTCGGCTCGTTGGCGAAGCCGATACGCACTCAGCCATCACAATCCGCATCGCTTCTTTCACGGATCCATCCCAGGGAGAAGCAAAGCAGCACAAAGTGTGATTGTGTGATGCTAAAGATACAATCGAAGACCGAGGTTCAAGTCGATGAAGCGTTCTCGCCTGCCGGAACAGCAAGATGGCCTGGCAATCTGATCGGGGGCAGGCACTCAACTGAGATACTGGCAACACCCCACCCACCTGACCCCAGCTTGTCGCCGCCGAGGATGGGTCTTCGGTCGCCGCGTGCTTGCGCTGCATCCTCAATGTACGCAGGTCGTTGGGCGAGCTTGACGAAGCTGGCCTGCGTCGGCTGGGTCAACACGCTGAAGTGAGGAAGATGCGTGTTGGGCTCGTAGACGCCGATCGGCGGACCCTGGCGACGCTGAGCCTCGAGCTTATCCTGCAGCAGATCTTGCCGTTTCTTGCTGTCGTCTTCGAGCTCTGTAGCGGTGGCAGCCGGAAGGTTTTCTCGCTCCCACGGTGGAAGGTCATTGAGTGCCTCCGGGTCGTCCTCGGGCTCTGCTTCCCCATCCGCCACCGCTTCTTTGAGCTGCTCGGCTTTCGCGGCGTCGTCTACGTCCAGGTAGCGGTTGAAGCGCGGGAACGCCGACAGTCGGTCCTTGCGCGTCTCGTTGAGCTCGGAGTTCATGCCGCGTACGCTTCGCGCCATCTCCAGCATCCAATTGTCCTCGGTGATATCGCTCCGTTGCAGAGCTGCCCGACGGGATTGCCAGTTGCCAGCTCGCACGTAAGGCGCCTGGCCTGAGTCACCAAATTGCGTCACAACTGGGTCGCCTTGCGGATCGATGGTGGTGAAGCTGAAGGTGTCGACCTTCTTTTTGGGTCGGTCTCGCTCGCGTTCCAACTCACGACGCTTCTCCTGCTCTTCGTTGGACATGCCTCCCACCGTCTTGCCTTCCTTGACACCTGAAGCGCGCGCTTCGGCTTCGTAGTAGTCGTCGATGATGGCCTTGCCGCCGCTCAGGAAGCGAGCGCCGTGCAGCTTGTACACGTTTCGAGCTGGTACCATGGTGACATTGCGTGTCTTGAGTTGACCGCTCAGTCGTCCGTCGTCAATCAACTTCTCCTTCTCCGCCTGGAAGAGCTCGATCTTGAAGATCTGAGGGTTACGACGGAAGAAGTAGAGCGAGTCACGGTAGCCAGCCGAACGTGCAGCGTCGATGGCGAGCATGTAGACCTTTTCTGGATCCGAGCGTAGGTCCGAGGTGAAGTTGTATGCCTTGTACTGCCTGCCGCCCTGCAATCGTCCCTTGTCGTCCACCTTCTTGTCGCCTTCTGGATCGGACGGCAGAACGACCTCCTCTTCGTCCGCTTCGAGCAGGTACTTTGTGCCTTTGATGGTGACCGTCTTGCGTCCTTCTTCGTCGACCCCTTCCTCATCGTCGTTGTCCCCGTCCCCTTCTCCATCTCCGTCTCCATCTCCGTCACCGTCGGCATCTGCGTCGGCATCTTCCTCAGCGTCCTCGTCCCCGTCTGCTTCCTCTTCAGCATTGTCATCTCCAGCGCCGCCGTCATCGTCCTGCTCTGCATCATCTTCGGGCTGCTCGGAGCGTTCCTCGTCTTCGTCGTCCGCCGCTTTGCCTCGGCCACGGCCGGGGCCTCTTCTGCCGACGACTGCTATCCTCGACTTTCTTGGACTCCTTTGCGATCGAGGCGCAGCCGTTGGAGTTTGTGGAACTGGTGTGGTGGAAGCTTTGACGCGAGTGCGAGCGCTGCGGCTTCGTGGAGTAGAAGATGTGTTGTGTGCTGCTTCGGAATGGTCTGCTTCAGCGTCGTCATCGCCCTCAGTGGCTTCTTGCGCCTGTGGAGAACCCATCTCGACGTCCTGATCGACGCCCTGCTGCTCTGGCTTTGTGGATTGACGGCGCGGTCGGCGTGAGGGAGTAGCTCGTGTGGAAGACGAGGCGGTACCGAAGGCCTCTTCGTGGGACCGTGTTCTGGAGAGTCGCGAGCTTCTTGACCGAGACAGACCAGCGCCTCGTAAGCTCTCGGCCAGCGCCATCTCTTCGTCCTTTGGTTGCGCTTCTGCTGATGGCTCCTCTGCGTCTGTGATCGAATCTATTGGAGCTGCTACAGGATCAGTGCTGGTGGTTGAAACGGCGGATGCATCGTCGGCAGGTCCTTTGCGGACCCGCAGTGTGATGCCTTTGGTCCGTGCCATGTTGGATACGCTTTCGTCGTATCAAGGTTTTGGATCGTTTCGTGGCGAAGATGGTCGAAGGCTGGATGGACGAGGGGATTGACACATCTACAGGTGAGTGATGAGGGGATTGACACGTCCCACTGGTGGGACAGGCTTAAGCTCTCCAAACCCAAAACTGTCATGAAGCGGTTGTTGCAGAGCGAAGAAGCGAACGCTGGTCCAGACACGCGAAGATCCTACGCGTTGAGATCGGCTCCGATTTGCTGCCTCTCTTCTGATTTAAGCAGTCAATTCTTTTTATCCCGTAAAATGATTTTCGTCTTGGACCCTGTCTGTTCAGAACAGAACTGCGCTTGCCTGCGGGCGTGAGGCGGCGGATCTGCTTGCAACACAGGAAGCGCTTGCCCTTGCGTCGCTTGATGTCGCTCTGCAAGAAACGCTGCCACGCTGTTTCTACGTCGTGCTGCATTTCGTCTCGCCGCATCAACAAGGTTCAGCCCACCTTCTTTTGCCACTGATCACATGAAGACTCGACGAAGAATTAGGCAATGATGGCTCGCCCGCTCGCTGCGTCTCAAGCTCAAGATTTGGACCGCTTGCTGACTTGCGACTGAAATCGCTATCAAGCTCCTGTCAAGCACTGAAAAATCACTGTGACAGGACGAAAAGCAAATGGCCATCCGTTCTCACGAGCAGCGGCGTTGTCAGGCAGATCCGCCTCCCTTGCAGGTGTGCAGAGATGCGAGATGGAACTGCCGCCATGCGAACCTGCAGCTCATTTTGACTGACTGACAAAGGGCAGCGCAGGGACGCGGAGAGCGAGCCAGAGGCCCAAGCGTCCGAATCAGAATCCTCGTCAGGCTTCCTGTTGCTCTGTTCGTCCGTTCCCACGCACCCACTCTCCCACGCGGTTTCCGTCACATCATGGAAGCCAGAGCTCAGCTTCATCACGGCTTCTCCCCTGTGGCTGATTCATTTTGAGCTTGTCACGGCCATGCAGCAGACGAGCCTGCTCAGCTCCCACGCAACCAGACGCAACGCATCGAATCACGGAGCGTAGAGTTCCCACGGCACGTTGGCCGTCAAGTCCCTGAGTGGCAAGAACAGGTCGGGTCGGGCTCAGCGCGGCTAGTCGAGGAGCGTTCCGTCCGTGCAGCAGTAGCAGCGCATACAAGGCTATATAACTCTGCCCTCTGCTTCGCCCCTTACCCATTCCTCCATTCAAGTCCCAGATTCCTACTCAACTGAGCTGAAGTCTTTGCGAGACGCGCTCTCGACTCTCGTCACGAACATTGAACGCAGCTTTTCATCGACACTCACACTGACAGAATCTCGATCGATTTAACTAAGAGCGGGACCAACATCATCGCTTCCAGCATCCAATCGGCAGCCCTTCGCCAACAGCAGCACAAGCGACACCTGCAGCACCATCACTACTAGCAGCGCAGTAGACATGGCAGCCGTCGACCCCGCGCATGGCTGGGACGTGCCTGTGGACCGCTTCGAAGGCGTTTGCGACCCTGCCAGCGAATGGGACATCCCGATCTGCAGCGTGTCTCTCCCCGAGGTTCGTGTAAGAGACGACTCTGCGGGTATGCACGACTGCGAGATGGGCACGCCGGAGCTCTCGAGCGGATTTTCGGACGCAGATGACTCAATCGAGGTCGACGAGTACGAGGACGAGATCGTTACCCTGGTGAGCTCGGACGGCGGTGAGGTGACCTGCTCTCGGCAAACAATCCGAGAGCATTCCATCCGGCTGCACGAGCTGATCACGGCACACGACAACTCGGCGTCTCGCATCGTCCTCAACATTCGGTACACCGAGGTCAGGGTTCTCGTCGACACGATGGATGGTTCTCGCCCCATCGACACCACCTACTGGGCCTCATACTACGGCATCGACGATCTCGTTCGCTTTACTGAGCTTTTTGTACTCTACGACTTTCGGCAATCCGAAGATCTCTTGGATGGCATCGAAGTGGCTATCATGGACCGACTCGAGCCCTCTTTCGAAGTATTTGGTGACAGCTCCCGCTTCGACCTTGCCGACTCACGATCCATCACCACACTCCGCTACTTCGCCGAAGGACACGGCATGGACCGGCTCATCAACCGAATTGACCGTGAAGCCATTCTGAACGACGCAAGACTCTCGAACGACATCGTCGGCGAACGACCTCGCAAATGGCGCAAGATCTCGTCCAAGTAAGTGACTGACCGTCGCAGTGAAGTGTTGCAAGCCGTGTGGATGCTGAAAGCTCTTCGTCGATGTCGGCGTTCTTCGGATGCGCCAGCTGTGCGGTTGCCGCTCTTGGATGAGACGGTACCTTTGCGTCGTGTCTTTTTGTTCCGTTCCTGGTTCTTTGAGATTGCCGTCACCGTGCTGTAACATCACCTGTGGACCGATATCTAAGCCCAAAGCCTCGTGACGAACCGATTGCTTCCCTGCCGATGAAGCCAGCCGAGGTCTTGATACTCGTCTAGACATGCCAGCTGCAACAGCCGAAGACGGCTCCGCCTTTCAACGCATTGAATCAGGATTCACCAAGCCCTTTGTCGACCTCTCGCCAAGATGGAAGCTTTTAGTTTGGCATTGGCTGACCGAGTCAAGGTAAGTATAAGATGCGATGACTCTCGAAATTCAAAGCGTCCGTCTATGTCCCACACTCTGCTTCTAGCAGACAAGTTTTAAGCTCGAAGCTCGAAGAAAGATGGCATTCGAAGCATGCTCGACTATAATACACGTTCAAGGCAGGATGGTGGCGACAATCTTGCGCTTGTGCGAGAGCTTGCGGAACTCGCATAGGTAAACCGACTGCCAGGTGCCGAGGTTGAGTCGACCATCGGTGATGGGGATGGTGACCGAGGCGCCGATGAGACTCGTCTTGGTGTGCGAGACCGAGTCGTCCGGGCCCTCGTCGGTGTGCCTCCAGGGCAACGATTCGGGGACGACCTTGTCGAGTGCCTGCAATCGAGTCAAGTCAGCAACGCAAAGTGGGGAACGAGCGTCAGTCAACGGGAACGCCTTGAGCATCGTCCACTTTCATCGCGGTCGCAAACGTACCATGTCCATATCGGTGCGAACGTCCTTATCAAAGTTCTCGTTCAACGTCAGCGCCGCCGAAGTATGCTGGATGAACAGCGTCAGCACGCCCACCTTGACGCCCTTCAACCCCTCCTCGAGATGCGGCATGATCTCATTCTGGATGAGGTGGCAGCCCTTGCTGCGCGAGCTGAGCGTAAACTGCTTCTGCCACGGCATGGTCGGTTTCAATAGTACCTCTCCGGCTGCGTTGACACCTGTGCACTTGCAGCTATCCCTAGCGTTCCTCTTGGAGTAGAGGAATTCGAAGATGCCCGGGATGGGAAGGAACCAGTAGAGCAACGCAAGGGCGAGAACGAGTAAGGTGATGTTCGTCGGATCGCCGTATTGACCGGCCCGATGTTGCGCTTTGAGTTTGCGACGGGCTTCGCGCTTGTCGATGGGCTCGTGCGGCGATGAAGAGTACAGAGTGTCGCGAACAGGAGATGGTGGATATGTAGACGAGTCAGACATCGAGAACGGAGGTCGGGAAGATGGATTGCGTCCTGGAACCATGCCCACGCCGGGGTTCGCGGTGAGGACTTTTTTTCCGAAAGCTGGCTCAAGCGCAGCTGCAGAAGGTCGCGTGACGTCACACAATTTGGCCGACATCAGCGAGGCTCCGAGCTTCGAGCTCATCTTGGCGACACATCCTCAGAAGATATTCGACGATGATCACACGACGGGCGTACAGGGCCGAATCTGGTATCATATTTCTCATATCGGTACAGGGACACAATGTGTATCAGGGAGGTGCGAGAAAGGTATTAGCCAACGACGGTCGACGGCGTTTGGAAGGCGCCGTGCATCTGGTGCTGTTGCTGCTCCTCTCCACCATCGAGGTGCTGCTGATCATACTGATGCTGTCCAGCAGACCCGTTGCGTTCGGCACGGGCGATCGCATGTGCAGCCCACGTCTCGTCGATCGGCTCGTCCGGAATCCCAGACATGTCTTCCTCCAACGCCCGAGGGCTGAGCGTGCGACCTTCGAGACCGAGCAGCTTGTCCATCTGGCTCTCGCGGTACATAGCGCTGTTGCGCTTGTTGCGTCTCGAACCTGCATCGATCGTGCCATCCATATCCGCTGAGCTATCCCCACCCGCCGTCGTCACCTCCTCCTCGATCCGCCTCGGCGCAGGCTCCCCGTTCGCATCCGTCTCGAACACGGTATCAAACTCGGTGAGGAAGAGCGCAAAGATGCCCGCTCCAATGGCGAGCGTCGGGCTGAAGACAATGCCCACATTGCGCATCGTCATCTTGTTGACGTCCGAGTGCTCGATGATCTTGATCAGGTGGCTGCAGAGTGTGCGGAGGAGCGAGTAGTTGGCGAGCGGAAGCTGCGAGACGAGGTAGCCGAGCTCGTTGACGCGCTCGACACGGTCCGGGATCTCGTTGACGCGCATAAAGTCCATGTGCAGCTCGCGGGTGAGCACGCTGGTGGGCAGCTCTCGGAGGAATGTTTTGAGGAGACCGGCGATGGCGTGCGGGTCGTAGAACTCGTTCTCGTCGAGCAGATCGACATCGCCCTCCATGTTGAAGCGGTCCTTGAGCGTCTTGATCACCGCGGAGGAGCCCGAGAGTCGGTAGATGCCTTCCTCCATGAAGGCGTTGCGCTTCTCGAGATACTCGATGCAGCGGTAGACGACCGATGGCAGAGGCAGACCCTCGTGGGAGCTCGAGATGGCAATTGCCTCGAGGAGCGGCACGCCAAACACAGGCCGAGGCTCGCGGTGCTGCTTGTCGTTGCCACCGAAGCCACGGAAGCCTTGCCAGAAGCGCTTCTTGTCGTCCTTCTTGTCCGACGCGCCTTCTTCCTTTCCGCCGAACTTGTAGCCTGCAGGGATGGGCGCCCCGTTGAGCGGACCGCTGATGGCTGCCTTGGGTCGTCCCGTCGAGTCTCTGCGGGGGACAGGCGAGCCGGGCGCGTCTTGCAGGTCAGCGTTCCTCGTCATGGCGGGCGATCGAGGCTCATGGAAGCTGCGGTGCGAGGCGGACTGTGGCAGGGACGTCGCAGCACTCGAGGCGGCTGGCCTGCCAGTCGCCGTCGAGTCTAGGCTGTTGGGGTGAGCAGAATTGTTCCTGCTAGAGTCCTGTCCGAGCGACGATCCTCGTTCCATTTCGTGACCGGCGAATTGGCGCATCGAGTTGTCGACGGAGGGGCTAAAGGGAGCGTCGGGCAGTCGGCTGCTGTATGGACCATCTCGGCTCGGCGTAGACGGATTCTGGGAGAGCGACATCTTGCTCATCATGCGAGTGGGAGACGAGGGCAAGTCGTCGATCGAGTTGCCATCGAGCTCGGCGATGGCGCGCACCAGGACGTCGACCCAGTCGTCGCGCTCCTCGTCGCTTTCGGCGCACAGAACGTGTCGGGCGACGTGGGCAGGCTCGTCCGGGCCGCCATCCTTCTTCTCGAGGATGAGAAAAGCGTGGCGGTAGGCGTTCTCGTCCTGCTCGCTGGAGGCGGCGCTCTTCTGCTGTCGACCGATCTGGGCATCTCGGATGTTGATACTGCCGATCTGGGCTCCGCCGCGCGTCTCAAAGTAGCTGAGGTACGAGTTGCGCAGCACGTAGAAGCGGGTGACCCATCGGCCGAGATTCTGGCCCTTCTTGGTGAGGAAGCCCTCCTTGGTGGTCGCGCTCGGGTCGCTTTTGCGGTTGGGAACCACATCGGTGCAGAGGAAGGTGCAGACCTCGTCCTTGTCCGGCAGCTCGAGCACCATGAGGCTCTGCAGGTAGATCTCGAGCAGCGCCTTGCGTTGATCGACCTTAGCCGGCGCGTGGTCCTTGAAGAGCGTCTTCTCGGGAAGAGGGGCAAGACGCTGAGAGGCCTTCTTGCCGACCTTGCTGCGAAGCTTGGCATCGAGGCCGACAATGTCGCTGTAGCTCTTCTCGATGGTCCACGACGTGGGTGGTGTGGGTTCGGCTGAGGACATGTTGCTGACACCCCAGGAGGCGGGAGGCTGCAGAATGTCGACCGTGATGAAGAACGAGATGGAGTCCTTGCCGCGGTCAGGCGAGCGGTAGTTGGTCCCCTGGATCTTGATGCTGGCGACCCGCAGGAGGGACGAGTCGAGGCGAGGAGCGAGCACGCGCTTCGGTACATCGTCCTTGGATTTGCGTGAGAGGAGACCACGCCCCATCCTGTCATCGGGGAGAACCTTGTTGACGAGAGACCGCGTGCTGGTCGAGGAAGGCACCATGGTAGGGATAGCCTCAGCGCGGTTGCGGTTGGGACCAGATGCCAGCAGCGACCTCTCCGTCTCGGCAGGTCTCTCGACCTGAGGTTGATACGGAGACGTCGGCACAGCGGAGGGCGAAGAGTACGGCTGCTGCTGTTGAACGGGCGTGCGCAATCGCTCCTGAGCAGGAGCCCGTGGCATGCCGCCCATGTTGTGAGAGCCGTCGTCGGTGCCCGAAGCTGAACTGCGGTCGATGGCTTCGAAGTCTTCGTGGCCAGCAGAAGGATCGGTGACATCGTCTGGGGCGTGGTGAGGGCGCGAGCGCGAGATGGACTGGGCCTGCGCCTGCGCGGCCGCTCTCTGCTGCATGATGGACGCCTGCGAGCCATTTTGAGCAGATCTGTCGGCACCATAGTCGACCGGCTGAGGCGTCCGAGATGAGCCCTGATCGACGCTGGTGAGAGGGCTGTCGTAGATGTGGTTGGTGCCGTTGAGCGCGCCGGTGGCGGTATTGGCGGGACCCAGCCGCTGTTCGCGATCCGGTTGTGAATGCTCACGGGTGTGGCGAGGTGGACTGAGGGGACTGCTGGACCTCTCGGCCTCGGTGCTCTGCTGAAGTCGCCTTCGGCTGCCAGCCGCAGGAGAGCCCGGCACCGCGCCCGCCGAGTTGATCGACGAGGATTTGGCAGCGCTCAAGGGAAGGCCATGTGCGCGTTCGAGTTCGGCACATCTAGCTTTGAGGTTTTCGTTCTCCTTGCGGATGCGGCCCATGAGGTTCCAGATGCGCACATTTTCGGAAGAGAGCTTGGCGTTGTCTAGACAGAACTGGTTGCGCTCGGCCAGGACTCGATCCAATGCAGCGACGTGATCGGAGTTGGCACGAGCTAGCACATCGTCGAGAGCGATAGGCGTAGGTGCAGGCGTGCCGGTGGAGCGGGTGCCCGAAGCGGGAGCGTAGCGGCTGGACGAGCCGTGGGAAGCGGTCGAGTGGGCATCGGCTGCGTGGATGTGGTCGTCGACGCCGAAGCGAGGCGGTCTCGCTGGGATGCTCGCCATGATGTTGGAGCGGAGGTCGGCAGCGGGATCGGATGTCGAAGCCAATGCTATGTAAGGTCAACTGTTCAGAGCGAGCGGGTGGCTTGCAAGGACACTAGGCGCTGCCGGCTCCCAAAAAAGTGGCGCTGGCGAGTGGTGGGGACAAAGGATAGGATGCGCAGCGCCACGGATATCTGAGACGCGCAGGCGGGGCAGACGGTGTGGGTTGTGATGACGGATGATAGCGGAAACGATCAAAGGACCGGCGGACGTGGATGGTGGTGGGGATGATCTTCTCGGAGCTGGAGTGTGCGATGGGACGGTCTACGCGCTTCTGCTGGTGAGAGAGGTGATGCATCTGTCCTCTCGAGAACGGAGTCGAGAGAGCAGCTCAGGCAGCGTGCAAATAAAGGTGAGGGAGTCCGAGCCCCGTTGCACGAGAATGCCCCTCGCCCAAAAGGGATAAAAGGAATAAAGCCAATTCCGGTGACTGAGCGCGACCGGCCGCGGCTGGGAGAAGCGTGTCTGTCGGCCTGTCGCCTGCTCGCTTAGGCTCAGCGCCTGTGTTGCTTTGGCTCGTGTCTCAGAACGACAACAGACACACGTCAGCTGCCAGAACCGAAAGGGCACTAACTTGGCTTCCCGATGTCGAAGCTCTGTCTCGTCGTCGTGGAAGCGACTAAGAAGGTCTTACACGTAGTCTTTCGAGCTTGTCGGGCTCGTGAATCATGCTGATGATGGTCGAGGCCAAGTTAAGGATCGACAGGGCAAGCCTGCGAGCAGAGCACGCCACAGTGTAGGAGCTTCAATGGCTGAATGCAAGTCGAAAATGAAAAGGGAAGAGGCTCGCCCATTGACCTGCGATTGGTATTCCACGATTACCACTTTTGTGAAGCGAGCCAGCAGCTTGTTCCCAGCTGAGCTTGAAATCTTGGTGTAAGAGGCTTGATTGCATGAGCAGGCCAGCCTAGCCCACAACCCAAACGCCTGCACTGGCTGCGCCCAACTCATTGACTTTCTAGCTGCACAATTCGCCAAAGTGAGGTTGTCGTGTTCTCGGATCGCTTCCGGCGCTCTTACAGGTCGGCAATGCCCGTCCTTTTGTCCGTCAATCTCAACGATAGGCAAATGCTCTGTGGCTGCAGAGCCTGAACGCCTTCACTGGCTCCCCTGACCATGTTTTCTGCAAAGGCGACTCATCTGCATGCAGATCCCGCACAAACATGGCTCTCCATCATCTGTAGAGGCTCAGAGCAACAATGCGACACCGCGTCACCCTGCCCTTTCAAGGCGCAGAACCGTGGCTTTGCAGATCACGTCCCCATTCTGCCAGCCATGGCTGACATGTGCCCTTCTCAGGTCCACGGAGGATGCTTCCCCCCTCCCCTAAACCTCGGGATGATGTTGGTCGCAGAAGATCATTTCTAGCTGTTAGATCTACAAAGCTGTTCTCTCCCGAAATCGCGTCGCCTGGACCCTGAATTGCAGCTGTCACATTTAAGATTTTGCGCGCGGCGAACCACTCGACAGGCACTTGAACAGTGTCTGTGTGCGCATGCATGCTGCTCCTCCTGCTGCGCCATGGTGGGGCTGCACTGCGCGGCACGGTATCTTGAGCTGAGTCCCTGAGGGCTAGACCAACATCACCTCCGCATCCTTGTCGAGCACCCCGTCTCACCCCGCAACAGACATCTTGGCTTCTCAAGACCCAGCTTCGCCCATCAGGAAGCATGCGAGGCAAGCATCACTCAGAGCCTGTTTGGTCTTGAGGCCACCGTCTCGATTCCGCCATGAGGACTCGCAACGACACCTGTCCACTATATGGCTGGACGTTTCATCAATCCCACGACCAGGCTACCGTTCTCTTCCTCGTCCCGCAAGCTGTGTCGGCCGATGACCTCGACATCCGCATCGCAAGCGATCACATCTCCGCATCTATACCCGGTCACCCACCCATCCTTCAAGCCAAGCTCTACGGCCGCGTCAGCACTGAGACCTCGACATGGAGGATAGCAGATCGAGATCGTGCTCGAAAGCGACGGAGTCGCTCTCTGGTCCGATCCTCTCAGCCGACCGCCTCCACCTCTGCTTCTGGCTCGGGCGACGGCGCGCAAAGCACTCCGCTCAATCCGCATCATGGCCATTCCATAGCGCAATCCCAGACCCTCTCGTCGGGCTCGCACGTCCGCGTCGATTCCTCGCCTGCATCGCAGTCAAGCTTGTCAGCTTCTGTCGTGTCGCTGCAGTCAGGCTCCAGCTATGAGCTCCTCTCGCATTCAACGCCTTCGACGATTCCACTCAACTCTGCCGGTCCATCTACCGAGTGGTCAAGCGGCTCAAGCGATCCGGGTTCCTCCGATTCCGCCGAGGCCAGTCTGAATCAGAGCCTCGTCTTGTCAGACCCAGGTGACCTTGGCCGTCGTTCGAGCGCAGCCGATCCATCAAGTCAGGTGACTGAACAATCCGGTCCAAAAAGGTCTCAGTCCATCTCCGATCTCGCCGCTTCTTCTTCCTCCGCATCTCCCTTGAGGGCAGGGTCGGATCCAGCTGAGAGCATTCAGGCCTCCCCTCGCAGCGGTCCGCCTGAAGTTCGTCTGGTTACCTTGCATCTTGACAAGATTGACGCTGGCATCTGGCCGCTTCTGGTCGTAGGTCCAGCACCGCTGCCAAGCGTGTCGCTTCCCGCCAGATTGACTAGACTTCTCGAGACGGACCTCCCGCGCCACGGCTACCTCACAGAAGCCTTCGTTCATGATCGCATCCAACAGCGTCGAGGTACTCGACATAAGCAGCAGCAGCGTAGTGCTGCCCAGCTGCAACTCAATCAGGCGCTCGAGGAGGCGCTGAGCGCCTTCGAAGGTGGCGATCGTGTCCTCGCTGCGATCCGAAGCGGTGCCGATCCTGCCTCCTACCATCAACTTGCTCGTTCTCGTCTTGATGATGGTTCTAGGAGTAGCATGGACAGCGACGATGATTTCGGTCCGAATACCAGCACGCTCAGCATTAACACCATCGGAAGCGACGAGAGCGCCACAGTCCTAGGCAGTCGAGTCGCCAGCCTCTCGGGGACATCGGCGGATCTGTATCGTGCTCACGCCACTCTTACAAATGCGCAGGAGATTGAAGAGGAACGCGAAGAAGATGACGAGGTCTTGGAAGCTTGGAAGGAGCTCGAAGTGCTCGCAAGGTACAACATGGACCCTACCACGCTGTCCTTGATCGGATTGCAATTCGCCAACGGGTTCAGTACAACCAGAGCTCCGAACCTGGCTTTGCAGCTCACTCGGACTACCTCGTCGGGCATCCCAGATGGCTTTGAGTACTTTGCACGAGCTTGGAGGGCAGCCGATGTCAGTCTCGCCACCGAGCGCCTGGTCCACGACTTTTTGCCGTTGCTACCGTCCACACCGCAGGGTCCTGCCCCGCAAGATCTCAGTGCCCTGTATGCTCGACTGTCTGATACTGTCAAGCTCGCGACAGTGCACACAGCTGCGGCCTTGCCTGCCACCGCGGAGGTCATCGCAGACTTGCTCCGGGAGCTGCTTCATTCGCATTCCTACATGTCGCACCGACAACGACTGGTCGCATCTCTAGGAGGCCCGAAGGCATTGGCGCGTCTCTACGTATCGTATGCACGATTGCATCTTCCCTCGCTAGCTTCGAACCGATCTCCTCTCGCCTTCCCGTACGGCCAATTGACCAGTCCTTTTGTCAGCGGTGGACATACGGGCATGCATCCAGCCAGCTTTCCTCCACGATTGTCAAGCCGCAGGCCGACATCCTCGTCCTCGAGTCGCACGCCCAGCGTGGCCTCTATCCCGTTCGGCGCGGCCGAAGGCGGTGCTGCTTCTCCCGCCAAAAGCACCTCAGCACCGAACTCCCCCACTGTGGCGGATATAGGCAGGATGGTCTCGCCAGATCACGCAGCTGGCCAAGCTGGCACTTCGCGACTCGACTTTTCCGACTTCCTCATGCACACCGATCACACCTCAGTAACCCAACCGCCTGCGTTCTACTTCTTCCGCGAAGCCTTTCTCCTCGACAGCGACGTTGCGCTTCAGATCCACCGCGACGAGTGGGCCGAGGCCATCGTCCTCGCCGTCGAACACGAGGGCGCCCGCCTTGCCGAAGCGGAAGCCCTTGCGCAAGCCGAAGAGATGGGCAGCCTTGCCGGCGACAGCGGCAGTGGCGAGCTCACCTTTGAGAGCGACAGCGAGGCGCAGCGACGTCGTGCGCTGCGACGGTCCAAGCTGCGTGCCTCGAACACCAGCGGCGGCGGTGGCGGTGGGCTGTTCAACCTGGCCTGGCTCAAGAGCGCCGATGCCGCCGAAGCCAGCCGCAAGCGCAGCGGCAGACCGACCCGCAAACGCCGCAAGGAGCGAAGGACGGCCAAGAGCCGGGCGAGCGAGGAGGCCGGCATGATCAACTTTGTCAGCGGCGCGGCATTGTTGGGTGTCGCGCTGGCGGGTAGCGTCGCTGCGCTGGGATGGTGGAGACGCACCAGCGCCGCGCTGAACTCTTCCGCTTAGCCGCTCTTCGACTAATCCCGGCTCTGCTACTCGCCGCAATTACGACCGCTTCCTCGGTTCTTTGAACAACCGCACATTTCTCCTGAACTCACGATCTTACCTTTGACCATCTGTACCCATACCCCTTTTGTCCTTTGTCCTGTCTTGTTCGCACTCGCACGCTCTCGCAATGTTTCACGCACCTTCCCGTCCATGATGTGTTCGCACGTGTGTCGGCTTGCATTGCTTCGTGCCGACCATCACAGGCCAATCCAAGAGCTCCTGCCACCAGGATTGTGCAGTCGGGTCATACCGATTTTGACCCTTGTCTGAGGCTGTCCTGCGATGACACTGTCCCTCGCCCCCGCCGAACCCTCGACTTGATGGTGCGTCAAGCTGACACTCGGGATCCTCGGCGTCTGTGGGGCATTTCCAAAGTTCCCTCCCTCAGCCACCCCGTTCGACCCAACAGACGAGCTCGCATCCAACGAAATCGGTCTCGCACCCCTCCCGTCCAACGTGAGGAACGACTCTGCGGACCACTCGTACCACACCCTCTCGCCATTGGTCAATCTCCACATGTGCACATCCAACTCTGCGCCCGCTGGCAAATACAGCGGTTCGCGGAAGGGAAAGTAGATCGGGAACCAACTCAACATGTCCTTCGACCCCCTAACCGGATCCGGGTGGATCGACAGCACGACGTTATCGTACAGATGCGCCTCGAAGTACCCCGCCAGCCCATGGCAGGTGGACGGCTGCGCGATGTGAAACGTGTGTTTGGCCGAACGAATGTTGTGCCCGTTCGAAGATGGGAGGCCTGTTTCGTCGTAGACCAGCGGTGTGAGGGACGACGGGCGATGTTCGAACGTCCACGATTCTTGGACGGGCTCGGAGTTGGATCGACCACTACCCCGCGAGGCGAGAAGCGAGACGTTCTGGAAGAGCACGACGTAGGGCGTCTCGGCTGCTTTCTGTGCCGTCGAGGCCAGGGCGGCATTCGACCCGTTCAACACCTCTGTGTGGAGCTTCGATGACGATAGTGGCGACAGAAAGGCGGTGTACGAAGCCGGGATCGAGATGCCGTTCGGTTTGAGGAAGCGCATCGCACCATCTAGACACTCGGGGGAGAGCTCGTTGTCTCCGAAACTGCCGAGGAGCTCGCTGACGACGATATCGGGTCGCTCGGCCATGCTGGTCGGTACGGGGTGACGACGCATGTCGCCGTGCTGAACACGTACTTGGTCGCCCCACTCGAGCGTCTGTCGCTCCTGCAGTGTCACCAGCGCGTTCGGGTTCTTCTCGAGCGCTACGAGTCGGATGGCGCGACCGGCTCGATCGGCCGCGTTGAGACACCGGTCCACCAGAGGTCCGCGACCGGCACCGCACACCCAGATCAGCGTGCTCGCTGTGACGGGCCGGTCGAGCAGCGCTTTGTACACTGCCTCCTCGTACAGCGCGTACTTGACCGGGTCGCGCTCGAACACCTCGTATGTCGTGCCCTCGAGATTGTCCATCAGCGGCTGGAGCGGTGCTTGGAGCCAATCGGTGTATCCGCGGGCGAACGAGTCTACCGCTCCGTCGGGTGGTGTTGCCTTTTCCAAGTGACGCACGTACTGCAGATACGCCAGGGGTCCACCTCGCGAATGCGTGGGTGGGGGACTCTGAACGCCGCTTAGCACGACGGTGGGGTTTTTCTTGAACATGGAGCGGAAGAACGCCTGGGACGCCTTCGACAGCACAGGAAAACCCTTGGCGTTGGCGAGGTAGGACGCAGAGGGCACCCAGAGCATGCTCACCGGCTCGGCCATCCAACGGGCCAGAATACTGGGTCCGGGCAAAGGGTGACCGAGGTCCAGGGCAATCTGGAGTCGCGTGTTGTAGGAGCACAGCTGTCGGATCTGCTCCCACGTCTCCCAGGCCCAGTCGTCTTCGGCGCGGAGCATGGCTGCTGACGAAGCAGCGCTGGCGTGCGAGGCTTGCGAGCTCGCCGATGCGGTGCTACCAGCGGTGGTGGAGGCTGTGAGTCCGTTTCGCCCTTGCTGACGGGAAAGGACCTTACTGAGCTGGTGCGGCGACGAGATGGGAAGCTGAATGGTGATGGTCATCCACGATCCGGCGGGAGCCGTCTCTGCACTGCCGCTGGAGAGGCAAGAATTGATCGCACGAGCGTAGTCGGCCAGGAAAGGTCGACGGGCGGGATCGGATGATGGGGGTGGGACGACAACATTGGAGATGCCGAGGTAGGAGGCATAGGCGAGCTCTTGTCGTAGGGCGAGTTCGCAATCGAGACGAACGCCCTCGTCGGGTGAATCCAGCTCGATCCATGGACTGGCAAGCGCAATGACGCCTTCGGTCTCTTCGAGCTTGGTCAGGTTGACTTCGGAGCGCTTGAATGCGGGTGCCTTTCGCCAATCTTCTGCCTCGCGGGCGATGTTTGCGAAGGTTTGACCCGCATTGGTGGTAGTAGGCGACGGCGAATGCCTTCCTCCATTAGCGGAAAAGCTATTGAGACCCTGTCGACTGCTGCTGCGAGCGAGTGAGGCTCCTCCTGCAGGCGTGTTCAGTGTCGGCACGGCAGATGCGGATGTGGAAGGCAGGTCGGCTGGATTGGCAAGGCAGAGTCGCTCCCATCGTTCCTTCCAGCGCCCGTTTGCGAGCTCGAGGACGATCAGATCGTAGCCTTGTGAGCGTGAGAGAGTCAGGGTCTTTTGCGCCGGGCTGAGCCCGTTGAGGGCAGCGGCTGTGGTGGGAGTGAGGTCGGCGGTAAGTCCGAGCGCTGCTGGTGCGGGTCCCGTGGCTGTGTTGAGTGCATTGGCGTGTGACGCTTCGGGGAGCGTGGGAAGTGCCTGGACATTCTGCTGGATGTGTGAGCGCCGATTCGGGTTGCCCGACAGAGGAGCCGTACTGCCTTGGGCTGAGTTGACCTGGTCGACGGCTGAGGTAGGAACGTGCAGAGCGATGGATAGAGGTGGTCTTGAAGTGCTTTCTGTGCCGTTGGTCTGCAAGGTGGCCTCCACCGCTGCCATACTAGAAGACGGCATGGTGAAGGACGGTGTCGGTCGGACGGCAGGGCCGAGGTCAAGACGTGATTGCGGGCGCAGCGGTCGAGGTGATGATGAATAGGCGACGGACGGTTCCGTAACGCCGCGATGAGGTCCAGCGACGAGCCTCCGAGTCCAGGGGTGATATGATGTGATGTCGCAAAGTGATGGATCCTCGGAAGGCTGCTTGAAGGAATGAACAGCGAGACCAACACCTCCAAAAAACATCAAAAAAGCCACATTTCCGAAATTTTCTGTTGCTTTCCGTCACGCGGTGGGGCGCGAAGCCGTGGAATGAAGGCAGCCTGCAGCCGAGACGCAGACAGCTGAGCCCGATTCACGGTTCGAGGCTCGAGACTCGAATGCACCGCAAACATAGCAAACCAACCCAACTTAAGCTGAGGCTTTTCTTCCCCATCCCACCCTGTCCATCCTCCAACACTTCCAAGCTATCTCGTCTGTTGCTCCAGACCTTGCCTCCTCATCAGCAAGGGCAGTGAGCAGGGAGAGCAGCTCTCGCGTTCTCGATGCCGCCAGCACTCGTATGAACGGGTCCGATCTGCCTCCGTGCTTGGGCCACTCATCGGTGTCTTCCGCAGTCGGACTGGGTCGAGCTGCGACCGTGACGGCACCTTTCCGAGCCAGTCATCCATTCTCTCCAGTCGCTCATCATGTCGAGCTACGCCGCTCTCAAGGAGATGGCGCTCAAGAAGAAGGAGGAGGAGCAGGCCACACTGAACCGAGAACGAGAGCAGAAGGAGCGAGAAGCAGCTGTCAAACAGTCCGCACGAGAGGCAGCGGAACGGGAGCAAAAAGAGCGCGAACGCAAAATCCTGGTGCAGCGCCTAGCTCGTCAGAAGGAGGAAGAAGCCCGTGAACGCTCACGAAAGGAATCCGCCGCCAAGCTTCGGCAAGATCAGATGGCAGACGGGAGCAATGCGGACAGGTCAAAGCTGGGTTCATCATCAAAGCAGCGTCTATCTGATCTGGACAGACCCAAGTCCAAGTCCAACAAGGCGTCCGGCTCGACGCAGAAGATCGACTTGTCCGACGTGCTCAAGAAGAGTCCCAGCGACGCAAAGGCAGCTAGGAGGAAGCGAAAGGCCGACGAGGACGACTTTGTCGGCAATCGACTCGACAAGATCAGCGGCAGCAAGAAGGGGTCCCACTCATCTTTGTCGTCCACGAGCGCTCCAAAGCGCAAGGCCGTTCCCATGACACGCGAGGAGAAGCAGGCGATCAAGCGTGCCAGAGAATTCGGATCCCTCCCAAGGTTACCGCCCATCGGCCGTCTGCTTCCAAGCTCCGGGTCCTTGAGATCAAGTCCGAGTACCAGCGCTGGTGAAGAACATCGAAACAATCGACCGTCGGCTCACAAGCCACTTGCTCAGGACAACGGACTGGTGGCACTGGGCACAAAGAAGCGAGACCATCGCTCCATCGACGAGATCGAGCGTGACCTCAAGAGGGTCAAGGAAGCCAAAGGGGAGGGCAGCAGCCAAGGATCGTCGCAGGCTGAGCTCGAGCGGGAAGCTGCTTTGCTGCGGAGACAAAAAGCCATGGAGCAGAAGCGCAAAAGCGACCAAGAGGCTAGAGCAAGGGCGCGGAAAGAGAATGGCGACGATGCCGACTCCAATGATGATCTGTTCGGCTCGGACGATGAAGGAGCCACCGCTCGCAGCTCTCGAAAAGCCTCTCCGACCAAGCCGAGCCAACGCACTGCCGCCACAAATGGCCGTCATATTAGCTCAGCGAAAGTCGGCAGTCCTCTGCCCTCGGCGCACACGAAGGAGCCGAAACCAATTGCTTCGCGAGCATCTGGTGGCATCAATCCTGCCGATTTCCTACCCGGCGCGCCTCTCCGAGCTGAAGCTGCGGCACGACTCACTCAGAAAGCCAAAGCTGCGTCGGGCCCAGCATCGTCCCGCAGATCGCCAGACTCGGACACTCCGTCGAGGGGGAGGCGGACGCAAGCCGACAAAGAATCCTCTCCTGTGCCGCCCAGCGCACCTCCCAAGAGGGAAACAGCGAGGGACCGCTTCATCCGCGAGCAAGAGGAAAAGAAAAAGTCGGCGGTCGGCCGTGCCGGCAATGACGAGCATAGAAAGGGCCGACGAGGCTCCAGCTCGTCCGCAGAGTACGACAGTGATGACGATGACGAGGATGAGTACGAGAGCGACGGCGTGGAAGAAGATGACGATGGTGGCGACGGGGGCAGAGAGAACATTCGGGACGAGATCTGGAAGATGTTTGGCAAAGATCGCAAAAAGTACGCCAGCCGGATTGTGGACAGCGACGACGACATGGAGGCGGACGCAGCTTCGGTGTTGCAAGAAGAGCTCAGAAGCTCCAAGCAGGCACGAGAGGAGGACTTGCGAGAGGAGCAGCTGGAGAAGCAGCGCGAGCGCGAGAAGCTCATGCGCAAGCAGGCCACACAGCGAGGCTCAGGCCGTTGACGGATATCCCTCATTTGTCAAAAGCAGGCTCAAAAAACCATATGTCGCCAATCGTCTTGACGTTCTCTCTTCGACTTGGACAATGCCTTGACTTATGCAATTGTAGTGTACAATGAATCCCAGTGACTTGGGCTGAGGCTGCCGCTGCTGCTGAGGTGAGGGCTGAGAATGGGATGCGGCGTATGCTTCTACTGGAGTCGCAGAACCCAGGCGCTGGCGGGCTGGATCCTTCGGTAGTAGCTCTCTATTGTCTCTGCTACTTTGAAGCCGAACTTCTCGTAAAACACCCTCGCCTCGTCGTTGGAGGTCTGGACATGGAGGTAGATGGAGTCCACCTTGACGGTCTTCTTGACAAGTTCTGCTTTGATCTCCTTGCCATTCTTGTCTTTCTTGGGTTTTGGAACAGGTGTTTCCGGGTCGATGATCTGGATCTCCTTTCCTGGGCTGACATGATCCAGAACGTGCTGCAAGAGAGCTGATGCGATGCCCAGACGTCGATACGGGGCGAGAACGCCGAGGGTCATGATGTAAATGCGAACGACGTCCTTCGAGACATGTTCTAGGCGGCAGCAAATGGTGCCCACGGCTACGTCGTTGAACAAGCCGAGTTTGCAGACCTCGGCTGCATCAGGAAGCAGCACATCCTTGTAGAAGCGTTCAGAGTATTGGACAGGGAAGAGGACGCTGTTGAGCTTTCGGAGCTGACCGAGGTTGTTGGGTGTGAGCTGCGCAACGTCGATCCTCTTTGGCAGGAGTGACCGGACGGGCGCTGCTGGCCGCGGCTCGTAGCTCATCGGTGGAAGCGGCCAGGGAGACGACGAGGAGGAAGCAGCGGCAGCCGACATGCTTGTGGAATGTAGACTGTTGGTTGAGATGAGACGAGCAAAAGTGTTGGAGTGGAGTCGTCGAGATGAGAGGCTGTCGGATTTCTTCGCGTGAGGCTGCTCTCGACCCGCGTCTGGACCGGCCGATAAGTGGAAGAGACTGAGGAAGAGAGTGAGGAGACTTCTCTCTTGCTGCACCGCTTTCAAAAAGCAAGGGTCGCTTCGGTCGGCTTTGCATGCAGCTCAAAGTGTGACGTTGAAGCCATGTGCCTCGCTACCAACGCACGAGCCGTTCGCGGTCACCACTACCCCCTTCATCTACATCCGCTTTCTTCATCCTCTCTCCCAGCATACACCCGCTCCGTCTAGAAGAGCTTGTCGCTGACATACACGACTCGGGTGAGGCACGACACCTTGGACGAAACCACCCAACGATGACGCACTGATGCTCACCAGCCTTTCTTCAGACCGGATTTACCCACGACACGGATTCCTCCGACGCGGCCCTGCCGCACCATCACCACTGACGGTCACCCCGCTTCGAAGGCTATCAGACGAGTCACACCCGTTTGAACACAGTCAGCATGTCGAACCAACACTCGTATGACCAGTACGGCACATCCTATCAGCAGGCATCGCATGATTCATACGCCTATCCCTCTTCCACGCAGACATCCGATCCTTATCACAGCGGCGCACGCACTCAGTATGGGCCGTATGACCCTCGCTTTCCCTACGGCCAGTCCAGCACTGCCTCGCACCCGGACGAGTACGCTCACCACCAAGGCGGCCAGGCTTCCCCTGCACACGCGTATACGCAGCAGTACAACCCTTCTTCATCCTCATCCTACTCGGCAGCTCGATCCGTCCAAGCGAGTACCGATCAAATGAGCAGGATGCAACTTCGGGACGACTCGACTCGAATCTCGACTCCTGACCATCAGCCGCAACACTATGAGACACAGCAGTATTTCTCAGCCGACTCAGCCTACAGCCAGGCATCCAGCGAGCGTCTGCAGTACTCGAGACACGGCGCACATCCCCAAGACTCGCATCCCTACTCGCACACCTCCACCACGTCGCAAGGCGGGAACGCGTCCAACCAAGGCTCCTACTACCCAGACGGCCAACACGATCTCCGATACTATTCAGCACAGACCACTCCCGCCGTGCCGTCGTATGGCGCGTCGAGCACACAGCAGTATGCAACGGATGAAAAGCGCGATGCAGCCGGTCGACCCGTCTCCTCTTCCGCCAGCGGCATCATCAGCTTGTATGCGGACGAGCATGGCACTCCGCTCGTCGATCAGAGCGCGACCTTCCACTCTTCCTCGACCGGCCACCCGGTGTCGAGTGCCGCTACCTCTGTGAGTGGTGCCTCCGACACCACCAAACCAGCGCATCCGCCCTCGCAGCGCGCCAGCCGTCCTCTCCCCATCACTCCCATGGCCAAGCTACCAGAGCAGCCTCCCTCGAGTACTCTGTCCGGAACCGCATCGGCTGCTGGTGCTACCACTGAGTCCCATTCGGGTCCCGTCTCACCTGCTGCTCGTCATCATGACGGCAATTCTGAATCATACGGTCAATATGGCTACTTCAATACTGCGTCTCCGCAGCCCACAGCTTGGTCACCGCCGGTCACGCCTTCCACGAGACAGCACAGCACAGCTCCATCCACATCTTCGACAGGCTATCCTGCGCCGTCCTGGAGTCCAGCCTCCAGCAGCTTTCACACTCAACGTCCCCTCCCTTCCACAGCTGCCGCCCTCGACAGGTCCTTTTCGCCGCCTCCGCACGACGGCACGAATGCTTCGCCGCTCTCCGCCTTCCGAACGCCGTCCTACTCTCAAGGAAATGCAAGGTCGGCGTGGTCGCAGACGTACCATCGGGGCGACGCAGTCCAGCGGGCCACGTCGGCAACGCAGGCGCACACGGCCGATTCGTCGTATGATCCAGACTCGTACGATGCGTCGAGTCCCCACCGAGACGCCATTCGTCAGCGCACGCGCAGTGAGGCATCCGAGCTGTCGCTTCGGCCGACCAAATCGCATCGTCAGCCACTGCCTCCCATTCCTGGCGCGATCCCTTCGACGCAGCAGAACGGCTCGCTCGGCTACGGCTATCCGTCCAAGACTCCCGTGCAGCAGCAAGCGACGCTGGATCGCAATCCGTCACGCGCACCCTCGCAGGCCTCCTTCCAGCGCCAACCGAGCTACACCCAGGCGTCAGTACCTGCTATGCGGCCTCAACCGCAGCAGAACATGTCAAGCTATGAGAAGGACGGCGAGCTCGAGCAGACGCAGAAGTATGGCCACGACCGAATCGATTCGCTGGCTTGGGAACCCGTCAACCAGCCACGCTCCCACGCTGTCAAGCCCAATCAGCAGACTGCTCGCGGCAATCCGCCGCAAGCACTCGAATGGTCCCTCCTCTCCACCGTCGCCCTCCTGCTGCGTGCCAATGTTCCACGCGGTGTACAGATCAAAGGCAGCATTGACTACCCCAACAGCTTCACAGGCAAAGACGTCGTCTCGACCCTGCAAGAGTTGCTCGTCTCGGATGCTGTTGGGTCCCGTCACGCTCTTGTACGATCGGGCGACCCAATCAGCATCCGTTACGTGGCTCTCTCCCTAGCCAAATCGCTCAAGAGCCAACTTTTCTTCAACGAGGTGGACTGGGGCGAAAAGGAGCTGACCGACGATGTGGACGAAGTCTACACTTTCCTCGAGGACAGTCTGGCAGAGATGGGTGGCGCTTCAGAGGATCCCGACGACTGGGCTGCGGGTCTCAACCACGATGCCACGTTTGACTCGAATCTGCAGCTGTCTGTCGGAGGCGCTGGCAGCCATGCGGGTCGACGTCGCAAAGCAGCGCATACGAATGATCTCGACGATCTGCCCAATGGCGTTTTCACGCCCCTCACACAGTGCTACAGCCCGCTCTGCACTCCAGGTCGATCCGCTTCGTGCTACAGTCCCTCGTGTCCCAACTCGGACTCCAGCCCCTTGCGCTTGACGGTCACCGATATGGAGAGCAAAGCGGCCAAGATGGGCGGCATGCTGGATCGTGGTCTGTCGACGGATCAGTCGCAGAAGAAAGCGTGGGCAGAGATCGTGCCTCCCGAGCTGCTCAAGAGCATTCCACAGGCCGAGATCGCGCGACAGAACGCGATTCTCGAGACAATCCAGAAGGAAGAGGAGTTCCTCGCCGATCTCGAGCTGCTCGATACCCTCTTCGTGGATGGTCTGCAGAGGCCGAGTGCCACTGGTGATCCTCCACCGCTTCCGATCGGGCTCGACCGCGACGACTTCATCCGTGAAGTCTTCTGCAATCACCGCGAATTGGCGATGCACATTCGAGCCTTGGTCGAGCGCCTGCATATTCGCCAGAGGGAGGAGAATCCCATCATCCAGACCATTGGCGACTTGTTCTTGAGCGCCGCGCTGGACTGGGGCGACGCCTACACGACCTACCTCGTCAACTATCCACTCGCTATCAGCAGAGTCAAGCGCGAGATGACGGTCAATCCACGCTTCAAAGCCTTCGTCGAGGCCTGCCGACGCCATCCCGCCGCACACAAACATCCGCTAGAGAACTTCCTCTTCCGCCCACCTGCACGCCTGCAGCGTTACCATCTCCACCTGGAGTCGATCCTCAAGAAGACCGAGGAGGGCAACCACGACCGCGAAAGTCTGCAGAATGCCATCGACATCATCAACGATCAGTGCAAGACGGCTCAAGCAGGAGTCGAGTCGGCCGAGCTCAAAGTCAAGATCCGCGAGTATGCCTACAACCTCTCGGCCAAACGAACCAAGTACGCCATCGACATGGATCTACTGAATCCGGCACGCCAACTGATTCACCAAGGCCGCGTGCTCCGAAAGCCGGATGCGTTTGACTTTGATTGGACCGAGCTGCTGGCGATTCTGTTCGACAACTACTTTATCGTCACCAAGCAAAAACGCATCGCCGAGGGCCCCGAAGATGACGGCTCCAACGTCGCGTCTTCTTCCACCTCAGCAGGAGCTCGCTTTGTGCTCGCCAAACGGCCCATTCCAGTGGAGATGATCGAGGTGAGCGGTCTCACCGAATCGTCCATCTCACGATCCATCGGTCTCAGCAACTTCCATATCAGCAGGGAGCGCGAGGCGCGCGACTTCTGGCCTTTCACCATCTCGCACCTGGGCGGCAAGATGGAGCCCATCACGCTCTACGCGCCCTCCAAAGCCGCAAGAGATCAGTGGAAGACCAAGCTGGACGAGGCGATCGGCCTTCGCATGGCCGTGCAGGACAACAGCAAGGTGTTCAATCAGCACATCCTCAGCGACGACATCTTTGCCCTCGCCCCCACCATGAGTTTGGAGCCCGAGAAGCCAGTTTCCGGTGTCGATCCGGGCTCCTTCCATGGCCGGGTCACCTGTGCTGTTCCGTTCGTGACCGCCGATGGCAGGCGACTGGTGGCTGTGGGTTGCGCCGACGGCGTCTGGATTGGACTTCGTAGTGATCCAAAGTCGCTGCGCAAAGTGTTGCATCTCAAGTATGTTACGCAGTGCGCCGTGCTCGAGTCATTCGGCATCTTTGTGGTGCTCGCCGACAAGGTGCTCATCTCGTACAGTCTCGAGGCGTTGGTGCCGACAACTTCGAGCAGTGCAGCGACGCTACGCCCGCCTCAGAAGCTCAGCGGCAACCGCGATGTGCTCTTCTTCAATGTCGGCGTGCTCAAGGACCGCACTCTGCTGATCTACATGAAGAAGAAGGCCAACGAGAGCGTCTTTCGCGCCCTCGAGCCGGTCCTCAACGCACCTCGCAACACCGAGGGCAAATCCGGCTCGAGCTTCTTTGGTAAGTTCGGCAAGGACTCGAAGAATTCGGACTGGTTCCGCATCTATAAGACCTTCTTCATTCCGTCCGAGGCGTACTCGATTCAGTTCCTCAAGTCCAAGCTGTGCATCATCTGCGCCAAGGGCTTCGAGATCATGAACCTCGACAGTCTGCTTCCGGGCACGATCCCCGACTTTGTCCACGCCAACCGCGAGGATGTCCGGGTGCAGGCGCTGGCTAAGCGCGTCGAGACGGCCAAGCCGCTCGGCATGAGCAAAACGCCGGACGGCGACTTCCTGCTCTGCTACGATGCCTTTGCTTGCTTTGTTGATCGGCTCGGGGAGCCGACGCGATTGGACCAGATCATCGAGTGGGAAGGCTTCCCCAAGCAGGTGGCGTTCTCTGGCAACTACGTGCTTGCATTCGATCAGCGCTTCGTCGAGGTGCGCGACGCGATCACAGGCCAGCTGGTGCAGATCATGCGCGGTGTCGACCTCAATTACGTGTCTGGCAACAGCACCGTCACCTCTTCTCTGTCCGAGAGCGCGCAGATGGCCGCCCTCGACGCCGAGTCGAACCCGGTCATCTTTACCAAACGGGAGAGGGTCGCGGGTCGCATTCCGTTTGATTACCAGAAGGTGGTCGAATTGACGCCTACTGGACCGCCCACTTCGCACGTCTATACGCCAGCTTTCCACAGGACGCCGACGATGCTATCGACGGGCAGCAGCTTGAGTGGCCGACCTTCGGGACGACCGTCGATGGCTAGCTCGGGTAACTGGATTTGAGCCCGCACTTGCCTTCCAACCCTCTCTGTATACCAGCCCGAATGACATGCAATGGACTGTCACCATTCACAGACCGCTCTGAGGTCCGTATGCGAGAACATGAAACGTCCGTGATGTTGGGAAGCGCAGTATGAGAAAGGTGCTGTCCCGAACGATTTGGGCTGAGGTGTTGGCTGAGCACGATGGCCTCCACCCTGGAAGAGAGCAACACAGGCAACAGCGCCGCACAAACAGAACACATGCACGCGCCAACCGAGGACCCTGAATTTGGTCAAGCTGCTGGCTTTTGATGCTTTCATCCTGTCTATCAACCTCCATCTTCCATCTTCATCTTCGCCTTGTCCCTGATTCCTCGAGCTGCCGTCAAATGGCAGAGGGGTCTAGAAGCGATAACGACTTTCGCTGTCGGCCTTGACGTCTTTCTCCACCACCAGCTCGTCGACTCGTTACAACTGCAGCATGATCTTCTCACGCCCATGATCTGAGACTGCATCACCAGCAGCAGTGCGATACCTGCGAGTCCGACACACCAGGTGATCAGAAGGAGGCGCCCCCTCTCACCTTCATCTCTTGACCGGAGACAGGCGCTTCATACCCTTTATTGTCCAAGATGGGCAATACACACTCCAACGCGAACGCCAGGATGGCGGGCATCGGCAACCTGGTCGCCGAAGTCGGCAACGACATCCAGTACGATAAGGGCATTGGCAACTCGCGCTTCCTCCGCGCTGTCCGTGCAAGGCACAAGTTCGGTCCCATTGTAGTCAAAACTTTCGTCAAGCCGGATCCCTCCATGAGCCTCAAGAGCCTGGTCAAGCACATCCGCATCGAGCGTGAGGCGCTGGCCGATGTGCCCAACGTCCTCACCTACCAAAAGGTGGTCGAGACCGAGCGCGCCGGCTACCTCATTCGTCAGTGGCTGCACAGCAATCTATACGATCGGATCAGCACGAGACCTTTCCTCAGCGCGGTGGAAAAGAGGTGGATCACGTATCAATTGCTGCATGCCATGCGCGACGCACACGACCGCGGCATCGCGCACGGCGACCTCAAGTGCGAAAACATCCTCGTGACCACATCGCTCATGATCTATGTCACCGACTTTGCCTCGTCTTTCAAACCCACCTTCTTGCCACTAGATGACCCGTCCGACTTCAGCTTCTTCTTCGACACCTCCGGGCGGCGGACATGCTATCTCGCACCCGAACGGTTTTACGAGGCAGGCTCCAAGTACGCTCCTGCAGCAACGAGGTTAGATCCGAACGATGCCGACGCGCTCGACCGTCTCGGCGGGCTCGAAACGGACCTGCTCGGTCTCGGCAGGCAGAGCGGCAAAGTCACCCAAGCAATGGACGTCTTCTCGCTCGGATGCGTCATCGCCGAACTCTGGCGAGAGGGCGCACCCACCTTCACGCTTAGCCAGCTCTTCAAGTACCGTGAGGGGATGTTCGACGTGGACGCGATGCTCGCCGGTATCCCCGACGATGCAGTGCGAGATCTCGTCCGAAGCATGATCGCGCTGGATCCGAAGGAGCGAAAGACATTCGAAGAGTACCTCAAGGACGGTCGTGGCAGTGTTTTCCCGTCTACGATCCCTGACTTTCTCCATGGCTATCTGGTCGAGCTACAGCGCACAAGCCCTGACGGCGTCGGTGGGAGAAACGCAACGGCAGGTACTTCTTCAGTGGAGAGCGTAGCAAGTGGATCTCAGGCATCAGTCACAGCGGCCTCAATGCGATCGGAAGCAGCAGGTCGACAGGCACAGCGAGCGGAGAGCGACGAACGTATCGAGAAGCTGTACGAGGAGTGGTCCGACATTATCCACTTCTTGGACGAGCCGATCGATCGCAGCAGTGCCAACACGCCTTCGACGGGGACAGGCGCAGGCGGCGCATCGGCACGCTCCAACCGTGTGCTCGGCCGCTTTGCTTTCCAGTCGAGCTTCCAGCAGCCATCAGCGGGCGAGATCGCGGAACACGAGCGCTCTACCGCAGATGGACTGGATGACGTCTTCCCAGTCCAACTCTGCATCCCGGGCTTGCCATCGCAAAGGGCAGAGCTCGAGGCTGGCGGGGCCGAGGTCGATGGCACCGCCCAGCTCGTCCTGTCCGTCATCCTCGCCAACCTGCGCAACTGCGTCCGACCTTCATCCAAGTGTCACGCGCTGGAGCTACTTATCCATCTCTCCACCCGCTGGCTCACGGACGAGACCAAACTGGACCGGGTACTGCCCTTCGTCATAACGCTCTTCGACGATCCCTCCTCGCAGGTGAGGATGGCAGCGATCCGCAGCTGCGTGCAGGTGCTGATGCTGGTCCGCATCGTCACCCCCTCCAACGCGTCCATCTTCACCGAATACATCGTGCCCAACATCAAGCAGCTCGGGCTCGATTCGTCGACGCCGGTCCGCTGCACCTTCGCCGCTTCCATCGTCCCCCTCGCAGAAACAGCAGAGCGCTTCCTACAGATGTCACAAGCCATGCGGGCCGAGGGCCTCTTTGCGGTCGAGCAAGACCTCAATGGCGGCTTCCTCGAGGACCAGCCAAGCGAGTCGAACTACGACGAGCAGCTTCGCACCTTTCAGTCCCTACTCCAGGACATCATCGTGACGCTCCTCACAGACCCATCTGCATCGGTCAAACGTGCGCTTTTATCGACCATCGCTCCCCTGTGCCGCTTCTTCGGCATGGCCAAGACCAACGACGTGATGCTCAGTCACATGATCACCTACCTCAACGACCGCAACTGGCTGCTACGCGAGGCGTTTTTCGACATCATCGTTGACGTCGCCGAAGTCTCCGGGAATAGCAGTTTGGAAGAGTACATCCTGCCGCTCATGACGCAGGCGCTGTCGGACCAGGAGGAGAACGTCGTCTATCGCGTGCTCAACGGGCTGCGCACCATGACCGAGCGAAGCTTACTCGATCGCAGCCGCATGCTGACGCTCATGGAGACGACCATCGGGTTTCTGTGCCATCCGAACCTGTGGCTACGACAGGCGAGCGCGGGGTTGATCGCAGCAGCTGCGGAGAGGTTGGACGATGTCGATGTGTGGGCGGTATTGTATCCTTCCTTGCGGCCGTTGTTGCGGGCTGACGTGCAGGATCTGACAGAGACGGCGCTGCTCGATATGGCAAAGACGCCCCTCACAAGATCCGTCTATTCCGCTGCACTCGGCTGGGCTTCCAAAGCATCCAACTCCGCATTCTGGAAGAGTCAAGCGGAAGACAAGGACAAAGCGGGGCTCAAGAATGGCCTCGCCACCGAAGGAGTCGGGTTGTTGCTGGGCAAGAGCGGGCGTGGCTTGATCGCGCCACCGCGAGGCCGCACCGAAGAGGACGATCGGTTCCGCGACCGACTGCGGAGCATGGGAATGGAGGACGAGGACGAAATTAAGCTCGTTGCCCTTCGCAGCATCATTCGACGGCTGTCAAAGCAGGGATCGAAGGGCAACTCTGGACAGATGGAGTGGGACGTTCCCGGGGCAAGTAGTGGCGGCAATGCCAATGATGAAGGGCGCACGCATCCGAAGGCGGTCCTTGAGCCGCAGTCGCTGGACGGCATCACGCCGCAGACGATCTTCTTCAGCACCAAGGTCGAGCAGCGAGCGGCCAACGCTGCATCGGAAAATGCAAGCACGTACACGGGTACGTTTCGGTCGCAGGACGATGCCTCCTTCTCTGCTCAAGTGGCCAAGCGAAGGCTGTTGGGCCATCGCACCTCGAGTGAAAGCTCTTATACCAGTCCGATCGCCGAGCTCAGACGACGAGTCAATGCGGGCACCACCGCGGACACTCAGCCATCTACCTTCTCGTCGCGGCTCTCGAGCCTTGCAGAGGAGCACGCACAGGGCAAGCACAGCGGCATCGCCGCGTCCAACGCTCCCGGTCCACTGTCTCATCAGACGCAGACGAGGCTCGGAGTCGGAAAAGCGAGCGCGGCTGTCGCTTCCACTACTCTCACAGCGACAGGTACAATGACAGAGACCTCAGCCCGCGCTCGCGCAGCGGCAGCGCAGGGCTCGGCCAAGCCAACCCCCTCTGGGTCACGCGCCTCAACAGTGCGAGGTCAAGGCGGTGCCGGTGGCGACCCTTCCAAACCCACACCCGCCGACGGCACAGGCACCAGCTTCACCTCTACCTACGACGGCCACGACCCGTACATCCGCGCGCATCTCGAAGCGGTCTACCTCGACTCGTTCCGGGATCGCGCAGAACTCGGACCAAAGATCCACGCCGGTGTTGCGCGTCGGAAGCCACCCACCGCCCACACTCGCACCACGCTCCCGCGCGCACCCAATTCGACCTCCAAACGTCGACCCGAAGGCCGACTCATCGCGTACTTCACCGAGCACACGTCTGCCATCACATGTCTTGCTCTCTCCCCGGACCATACATACTTTGTCTCCGGCTCGACCGACGGCACGTTGAAAGTCTGGGACACTGCTCGGCTGGAGAAGAACGTGACGTCCAAATCGCGCGCCACCTACTCCGCGCAGAAGGGCGCGATCACGGACGTCATTGCGATCGAGGGGAGTCACTGCGTCGCGTCCACGGCGACCGACGGCAGTTTGCACGTGTGGCGCATCGATCTGGTCCAATCCTCCTCCGTTCCGCGGTATGGGCGTCCCAAGTTGGTGAGCAACTTCCAGCTCAGCACGCCGGACGAGTATGCAACGTGCTTGGCCCAGTGCAACACGGACACCTCGAACCAGCTGATTCTGGGCACGACGCTGAGTCGACTCACGGTGTTGGATATGAGGACGATGCAGGTGCTCCAGACGCTGCGCAACCCGGTCGAGTACGGAGCGATCACGTGTCTCTGCGTGGATCGGAAGAAGACGTGGTTACTGGTGGGCACGTTGACTGGTGTTGTGGTTCTGTGGGATTTGCGGTTCGGGTTGCGGTTGCGGGCGTGGCGGGCGGGCGATGGGGAGGTGGGCGGGCTGTGCAGGGTCAACAGTATCGCTGTACACCCGTCCAAGGGACGGGGGAGGTGGGTGATGGTGGCATGTGAAAAGGCGGGCGTGCCAGAGGTGGTGGTGGAGACATGGGATATCGATCGCGGGACGAGGGTGGAGACGTTTGAGACGCAGGATGGGGCGACGGTGGCGCAGGTGGAGAGGGGGACGAGGTTGAGGCAGATCGTCGAGGAGACGTCCAAGGAGGGGGAATCGATGCTGACCGGCGCAGCTGCGGCGATTGAGAAGCTTCTCCAGCAGCAGCGGCCGACGACGGCGAATATCGACCCATTCACCCCTCCGGCCTCGACGGGGCCGAGCTCCGCGGTCAAAGCCCTATTCGTCAGTCTCGAGGGCTATTCCAGCTCCTCCCCTTCGTCTGGCAAGGGCACCGAAGCGGCGCAAGCAGACGGCGAAGCGGGCTGGCTCGATGTCGGCGCTCTCGATCGTCCCTCTTCCACCGCGCAACACGCCACCGGACCCGCCGGCTGGATGCTCACCTCCGGCTCCGACGCCCGCCTCCGCTTCTGGGACCTGGGCAAACCGGACAGATCGCTCGTCTTTGGCATTGCCCCTCGCACCCGTTCCGCACAGACCGCGACGGAACCGCGCTCCGAATTCTCCACTGTTGCAGGCACCCCGGTGCGAGTGGTGCACATCATGACCGACGACGCAGAGGGGGTCCGGCTCAAGAGTCCGTTGTTGGCAAATCAGTCCGCGCTGTACGCCGGCATGGCTAAGGCGCACAAGGACGCCGTCACCGATGTCGTCGTCATCGAGGCGCCGTTCAGATGTGTCGTGGCGGGCGATCGGAGTGGATGTATTCGCGTCTGGGAATGAGATCTGCAATGGGATGCTGCCTTTTGATCTGTTGAACAGCGGCTGTGACCGAGTCGCAACCCCATCTTGTCGAGCTGATTGTGGTCATCATTATCGATGACATGATGGCGACGCTTCTTTGGGTCGAACGATGGCGTGTATCATGCACGCCTCTGCTGGTCTTGCGCGTTCTTGGCCGCATCGGGTTGTTGAGCTTGTTGCCGTCATCGTGATTGATGACGTGGTCAGGGTGCTCCCACCAAGGGCAGACAAAAGTGCGGAGGGTTGTGTTCTTCCCCGTTGATCTTGGTCGAAGACCTAGTCGTAATTTGTCAAGACGGATCTTCTTGCGGTACAGTTGTCAGTAAATGTCATACGTCGACCTTGACCCACTTGCCGCCGTTGGCTGGGAGCACAGCATCGCCATCCTCGTCGCGGGAAATCTCGACGGCTGCATTTTTAGCAGCTTCCTTCGCCTTCTGGGCCGCATCAGCAGCCCCAATCGCCGCGTCTGCCTTGTCGTCTTCGCTCCAATCTGGATTGGCTCACAACCTTGCCGGAGATAGTGGGATCAATCACCGTTGCCAATGGTCCTGATCAAGTATTCCAGAGGAAGCCTGCCTGAGTTCTATACATTTCCCATCTCACACCGAACAAATCCAATGGGAACAACTTGTCATTGCACATCAAACACTGCCAAACACGCTAAACTTGCGCACGATCGACGGACCGTGCTCCTCATAATCCTGCTTGTTGTAGCAGTAACTATAAAAGTCTGGCAGACTACCCAGCAGACTTCCACCGTACCACACGGCGTAGCGCTGCATCTTGTGGCTGATCACATTGACCTCCAACCCACTGGAGCGCATGAGGCTTCCACTGGCGGTTTCGCTCGCTGCGAGACGCTGGTCGACAATCGCCCTCAGGTCCTTCTTGAGTCTCTGACCAAAATGTTGGAACATGGTGCTGCCACCGGAGAGGACAATGTTCTTGTACAGACCACGTCGAACGTCGATGGGGCTCTGCTGGATGACGCCGTCGACCACTTCGGGGAGAGGCGTGAGGAAGTCGCTGCTAGCAATTTCGGGGTTGAAGAAGATTTCCGGGGCTAGGAAGCGTTCGTAGCCGACATCGACGGAGTACTTGCGTCCCGTAACGGTGTGTTCGCCCTCGAAGCGTTCGAAGTACTTGTACGGATCCTCGTCGTAGCGTCGGAATTCGCGGACAATGTCCTGGCAGACGTACGAGTAGTCTTCCTTGATCTTCTCGGCGACGCGGCGAGAGTCCTCGGGAGGGATGTTGGCCGCCTCCCCTCGCTCGCGAAGAAGCTGCTGAACGAAGTACGTAATGTCCCTACCCGCGATAGGGATGTGCTTGATCGCAGACCCAATGACGTATCCCTCGGCAACCGGGATCACGTGCGTCACACCATCACCACTGTCAATCACCGTACCGGTCAACGTGCGATCCGTCACCTTGTTGCTCGTCCAGCTCGCCGCCAGCGCCAACACCGCCTGCACCGCAATGTACAACCCCTTGATGTTGAAGCTCTCGAACATGATCTCGGCCGTGTTCTCGCGGTTCTCCGGCGGGTTGAGCGGCGGTTCGGTGAGCATAAAGTAGTGATCCTCGGGTTCGGCACGAAGGTACTTGAAGATGCACTGTTCCCAGAAACGTTCCATGTGGTCCCAGTTCTCGATCAGGCCGTGACGGATGGGTTGGTCGACTTGGTAGGTTTTAGCGTTGGCGTAGGCTTCGTCGCCGATGAAGAAGTCGAGGTCCTCGATGCCGCGTTTTGAGGCGAGGGAGGAGGAGGAGGAGAGTCCGCCCGGTTTGCTGGGGACTGAGGGGCGGGAACCGGCCCCGGCAGAGGAGCCAGCGGAGGTGGTGCGGGTCGCGATGGCGGTCGGGAAGACAAAGGATGGGTCCGAGTTGCCTGCGAATCCCATCTTGGTGTAGCCGGTACCATTGTCCAGGACGATGACGTTGGAGCGCGACATGGTGGGCGATCGAGTGTTCTCACGAGGGAGGTCGATGAGGGTAGGAGGTGAATGGGAGCTGGCTCCAGTGCTGATTGAATCGATGCGAAGTAAGCGGTTGCTTTGACGGCCCTGTAGTCGAAGGTGCGGATGGAAGAGAAACCAGCTGTGCACCGGTCGTAAGGTGCGTGTGCGATGCCGTGTATGAGCTCGATCTCTTCGTGACAGGATCGAAGGCGATAAGTGACGGACGACGATGAAAGGTCGGTGAAGATGAGAAGAACGGATGGAGAGGAGCGTGCTCGTGTGTGTGTGGAGTGCACTGGGTGGTGTGTGCGGGTCTTTCTGGCTGTGCTGGGCAATTGGTGCCCGTGCGCGGCACATGAGCAGTCTAGATCGAGCCAAAGGCCCACATGGCTCTTTCTCTCTCGACCTTTTTGATCGGTTCCGCGAGATTTCGCTTCGTTTGATGACATCCTGAGTCTAACATTCTTGAGACTCGCCAAAATCGGCGACGGTGGAGTGACCTCATCTCACCGCGCTTGCCGCGGCTGCTTTTTTCCGGTGGCTTTACGGTTTTGACACCTTCGGAGAGTGCCAAAAAAGCAAAGACGAAACGATGCCTCCATGGAAGAGGCAAAGACGGAACAGTGACACCGAGAACCGCCTTGAGCCGCTTCTATAGGCCATTTCCGACGGACATCAGAGACATCGAACCAAAGAATGTACAGCGGCGAGCAGGATGAAAGCTCGGATCGCGGCCGGTTGTGCTGCACCGAGAGTTCGGTGTGCAGAATCCGAGCTTGACCTGCATGGCGTCGAAGGAACCCACTCGTGACAGCAAACCCGGTGGGCTGTCGCGAGTACCTCTCGGGGCAAGCGGTGATGAGCAAGCTCAGCTGGAAGCAGGTCATGGTCGTGTGATTCGTGCCGATCAGCTCGGACCTCGAGGTCACAATCGCTGTCATGCACGGCTGTGTCGGCAAAACATCTCCGGGAGTGTTCTCGCGCCAAGAACAATCGTCGGTATGACAGGGTCTATTGTGCTTATGCATCGGCACAATCGAAGCGAAGCCTCAGCGTGCGAATGAAGTGAAAGCCGCGGAGAGGTGCAATTTTACTGGCGCTTCATGACGGCTACCCTTTCGATGTCTCAGATGCAACTTGTATAAGAAGCCCATTTCCCTTGCCCCTTCCCTCCATCTCGTCGCACTTGACCGTCTCCACCACAACAAGCCACGAGACAGGGCAACGATGAAGCTCCTCTCCCTCAGCCTGGTCAGCCTGGCGCTGAGCCTGCTCTCCAGCACGCTCGCCCACCCCACCATTCCTTCCGTGCTTACAGCGGAAGAAATCGACCGCATCAGCATGCTCTCCCACTCCGAAAAGGTCGAGTTCGCCTCGCAGATCCTCGCACTTCGAACCGCCTATGAGTCGCACAAACAGCAGCTCGCCCGTCGAGCTAGTCCCTCGGGCTCCTTTTCACCGGCCAACATGCCCTGTCCCAACCGCACCGCGGAGCAAACTGTCGGCTTCATCCGCCCCGCTGGCACGAAGCAGCTGTCTACCGGCGAGAGCGAGTATATATCTCGCCGACGGAGCGGGACTCAGTCCGACTGGGCGACATGGCTGCGCGACTCTGCGAAGCTCGACAGCGCGCTGCCGGGAGGGGTGTCGAACTACACCAGTGACACGTCGCGCTTGCCGCGCCTCGGATTCGCGCTGAGCGGCGGCGGCTTGCGCGCTATGCTGGTCGGCACCGGAACGCTTCAGGGCTTTGACGGGCGAAACGCTACCGCCAACACCCGCGGAACAGGTGGACTGCTGCAGTTGGCCGAATACGTCGCTGGTCTCTCCGGTGGATCGTGGGCCACAGCCTCGCTCGCCATGAACGACTGGCCAACCACCCAATCGCTCAAAGATACCGTCTGGAACCTCCGTTCAAACCTCGTCGTCCCCGCCGACGGCAAGGTCGGCTTCTACGCCAGCATCGTCGCCGCCGTCGCCGGAAAGAGGCATGAGGGCTACCAAACGAGCTTGACCGACTACTTCGGCTTGAGCATCGCCGACAAGATCCTCAATGGCAGTCGAATCGGCAACAAGTTTTCCATCGAATGGTCGGATGTGCGCAACACGTCGAGTTTTACCGATGCCAGCATGCCGTATCCGATCATCATTGCGGATGAGCGCGAGCCAGGCGAGTTGATCATTCCGAGGAATACCACCATTTGGGAGTTCAATCCGTACGAGTTTGGGACGTGGAATCCGAACGTCTCTGCGTTCATCCCCATCGACATCCTCGGTTCCTCGCTCAACAATGGCACCAGCGTGCTTCCCAACGGAGAGTGCGTGGGGGGTTACGAGACGGTTGCCTGGGTCACGGGTACCAGTGCCACCCTCTTCTCCGGTCTCTACCTCTCCCTTCTCACCACTTCGTCCGATAGCATCATCGTCTCTGCGCTGCGACAGATCGCACAAGCCGTGTCGGACGATCAGAACGATGTCTCTTCCGTTCCCAACCCCTTTTTCGGCTACACTTCCGAAATCTCCGATCTGCGCAACATTACGCTTGTCGATGGCGGGTTGGACAACGAGAACATTCCGCTGTGGACGCTTGTCGAGCCCGCCCGTGGGTTGGATGCCATCATCGCCATCGACTCGTCCGCCGACGTCTCGAGTTGGCCCAATGCCAGTGCGATCTATCAGACCTCGCTTCGCGCGACCGACCCGGCGTATGCGCAGTACGCCTTTCCCAAAATCCCCGATACCAACACGGTCATCAATAGGGGGTTGAACACTCGACCGGTGTTTTACGGGTGCAATGCTTCCGAGGCCACCAATGCAGGTAGCAGCTTTAATGGGACCAAGACGCCACTCATCGTGTATCTGCCCAGCTACCCCTACAGCTATCTGGCGAACACGTCGACGTTTAAGCTCGATTACTCCTCCGCCCAGGCCCAAGGGGTCATTGATAACAGTGTGGATGTTGCCTCTCTCGGTGGAGCCGATAGCACCTGGCCGACGTGTCTTGGGTGTGCGTTGTTGCAGCGCGGGTTCGAACGGAGTGCAACGACGGTGCCAGAGGTGTGCACGCAGTGTTTGGAAAAATGGTGCTGGGACGGCGTGACCAACACGACCCAGCCGAGCTGGAGTTATTCGCCAGCGATCGGCGTGCCCGAGTTTGTGAGGAGCAACGGAACGGTGCAGCGCGAGCCGGCGTACACGGGTGGGAATGGAACCAACGGTGGAACGGGAGATGCCAATACGAGTAGCGATATGGCTAGCACGAATGGCGCGGTGAATGGAGCAAGGCGTGCAACAGGGTTGCTGGGATTGGTCGCACTGGTCGCTGTCGGTTTGACCGTCTGATAAGCAGACGGAGCAGTTGTGATTCCAAGAGACAGTCATTTCGCTTTTGCCATGAACAATCTTTGCCGCTTTGGCCAGTTTCATCGCCGGTCTTATGCTTGACAGGTCGGTGAACAGAGAAATGTGAAAGTTTTTGAAAGAGGACTTCGTCTTCGTCCTCACGATCTACGCTGGTTCGTCTCCGAGAACCACATTCAGACCGAGCACTTCTTCCCTTCCGCCTCGATCCCGCCCCAGAGCCCTTCCCTTTTCCTTCCCTTTTCAACCGCCTACTGCCTCTTCTTGGGCGGCTTCAACTTGGTCGGCGGTCTAACGACGAAGCACGCCATGCCCAACTCCTCCGTGATCGTCGTAATCACATTATGACAAAAATGCACGTACAGCACTGCCGCAAACGCCAAACTAGCGTAAATGACCTTGAGCTGGGTCTCGGGATCCGTCTGGAGGTAGCTCGTTGGCAGGTTTGCATCGATAGCGAACACCACGGACCAGAGAATGCCGATGTTCCAATAGGGAAAGGGCGCCTTGGTGACGTGGGCGACGATGAGCAGGCCTACGTTGTAGGCGAAGGTGATGCCCCAGTACGAGAGGAAGGGCAGCAGTGCACGGGGATCGGCGAGGATGAACGAGCGGTTGGCGCGGATCCAGAAGATGTTGGCGGTGATTTGGGCGATCAACGGCGTCAACCCCAGGAGCGGGGTCAATGTGGACTGGTTGCGCGACTTGCGTGCAGCAACGACGTTCGAGTACGACCCGGCGATGTTGAATAGCAACCCTACGCAGGCGAAGGCCAAGAACGCGTCGTTCAACGGCAGATTGAATCGTCCCAAATTGTCCTTTACCGCATCGATCTTTGCGAGACCAGTCACATTGAGTATGCCTCGATCCCAGAACAGCGGTCCGCCCACCAACCCAGTCACCGCATAGATACCCACGATCATCAGAATGCCCTCCACCGGTCCACTGAAGGCGGACAAGAACAGCGTACCCGTGTGAAACTCCTCCCACGTCGTCAAATAGAAATTGGCGAGGGTGGCAACGAGCGAGGCGGGCGCCCAGACTGAGCGACCCAAATTGAGCGCTACACAGCAGAGCACACATTCGAGCGTGGTGTTGATGGCATCGCAGCCGTGGTCGAACATCTCACCGAGGGGACCGGCCATGCCGGTTCGACGCGCTTGCTTGCCGTCAATGGCATCGAGGCTCTGGTATGCGAACAGGCAGAGGGCCCAGGTGTAGAAGACCCATGGTGGGAGACATCGACCCGCCGTGTCTGAGCGGGGGGCGAAATCGATCTTGGCCGCAGCACCGGGGATGCCAAAGTTGGAAAAGAGCGGGTGAACAGGTAGCAGCGACGCATCGGAGGGGAATGCTTTGTTGAGCGCCAGAGTGTGTGCGGTGGACGAAAGCTTGAGCTGCGTAGCGCATTCGAGACCCGGGTCGACATAGGCGAGCGTTGCAAAGTTGATGAATACGAGCAATAGACCGGACAGAGTGATGGTGTTGGGCGCGACCGATTTGGGAAAGAGCTCGACAAGCCAGTTCCAGTAGGGACCGAGGATGTACTTGGAGACGAGCGACTTGTCGGTTCCGCTGTACTTGTAGAGGTGCAGGTTGTTGACCCGCGATTTGGGGATGTAGTCTAGCATGGTTGGCTTGCTCTTCCTGCTAGAGGGCGGCGACAGCTTCTACAAGAACCTTGATGACAGCGGGATGGCGGTCGTAACGATAGACGCAGCGAGCCGGATGGATGGAGGGATGGAGTCGAGGTGCAGCGTGAAAGGCAAGCGAGCAAGAGTCTCTTTTTCATGCTTGGTTTTGCCTCCACAAGACGGCGCTCTTGAAGAAAAGGCGGAACGTGCGTGCGTTGCTGCTCTTCCCTCTGTTTGCTCTCGACGTCACACAGCTGTCAAACTCACCGGTAAATCGCTTGATTCTGCCCGATCCATGCCAGATCCAAAGCTTCCTCGCCAAGCTTGGCAGCTCCGCGGTAAAGCCGACTTGCACTTTATGGAGTCACTTCTTCTCACTAAACCTTCCACTTTCATCATCCCAGCGACACCCTTGGCATTCGCGCAACATGCGCTTCACTCCGCTGCTACGATCCGCGGCCGAGTCCAGCACCTCTTCCTCGGGGCTACCACACAAGGCGCGCATCGCAATCATCGGCGCGGGACCATCGGGCTTCTACGCTGCCTCTCGACTCCTCTCCCGCATCCCCTCGCAACAGCTCCGCATCGACATCTTTGACCGTCTCCCTGTACCCCACGGTCTGGTACGCTATGGCGTAGCACCCGACCACCCAGACGTCAAGAATGTCGAGAACAAGTTTGCCGCTGTCTCCCAGGATCCGCGGTTGCGTTTTGCGGGGAATGCCAACGTCGTCCACTCCGGCTCCTCATCCAGCAGCGCAGCTGGTGAGGCAGTCGAAGTGCCGCTCGAGGAGCTATCACGCTACTACACCCACATCCTCTTCTCCTACGGCGCATCGACAGGTCGCAGCCTCGGCATACCCGGCGAGGTCGAGCTGGACAACATCTACTCCGCCCTCCAGTTCGTCAATTGGTACAACGGCCACCCGTCCTCCCACTCGTCCTCGTCCAAATTCGACCTCTCGAACACGCACCATCTGACCGTGATCGGAGCGGGCAACGTCGCGCTGGACGTAGCGCGCATCGTCCTGCGATGCTCCACGCCCTTCCTCGAATCCTCCCCGCGCGTCACATCCAACAAAGCGCCCGGGCTGGCGGCGTTGGAGGAGACAGACGTGCCCGAACCTGTACTGGCGGAGTTGGGGCGGTGCAAGGTCAACGAGGTGGATGTGTTCGCCCGACGTGGACCGGCCCAGTTGGCGTTTACGAACAAGGAGGTGAGGGAGATGCTCAGTCTCGAGGGGATCGCGTTGCGACCACCGCCTGCAGAACTGCTCGATTCCGCCTTGGCCCAGCTCGAGACGCTGGCAAAGAGCGAAGCAGCTGATCCGGCAAGGGCGCAGGAGATCGCATCGGAAGTGCGCGTCAAGAAGCGACTTCTCAGTCTGCTTGCCAAGGGAAGCAAGACCAAGCCAGGTGGCGAAGGGGTCAAGCAGTGGGGATTGAACTTCTTCCACTCCCCGGCGAGATTCCTTCCGAAAGGCAATAGTAAGGCAGTAGGGCAGGTGGAATGGAACCGGACGACCCTGCAGAGTGGGCGGCCGACGGCGAAGAGTCTGGACGCGACGGATCCGCGCAAAGCCGCATGGAGCGCTGGGTCCACGGACAGCGTCCCGGCTGCTACCGGCCAAACTGTCATCACAGACACGGACATGGTTGTGTCCAGTGTAGGCTATCAGAGCGAGCCCCTGGCCTCCTCCTCGTCATCTTCACAGTCGGAGGTGGTGAGAGAGGGCCGGCTGGTGGCACTGCCCTTCGATGCCAGACGCAAGATCGTTCCCAACCAAGCAGGTCGCGTACTCGATCCAATCACCTCGGCCCCGATTCCGGGCGCATATGTGAGCGGCTGGCTCGCGAGAGGTCCCACCGGCGTCATCGCCACCACTATGATGGACGCCTACTCTGTCGCAGACCTCATCTTGGACGATCTGCACAGCGCTGCGGAGGGTGGGCGAGAAGTGGAAGGAGATCTGTTGGAGAAGCTGCACAGGGAAGGGACGAGGAAGGTCGTCGGGTTTGATGGCTGGAGACGCATCGACGAGGAGGAGAAGAGGAGAGGCCAGAAGCTGGGCAAGATCAGAGAGAAGATTCTGACCGTCAAGGAGATGCTCGATGTTGTCGGCTGAGGGCGCTGCTCACCAGTCACAACGTCAACCTCACATTGTACTCTACACAAGTCACACATCAGTCATCGAAACATTGCATTGCAAAACCCTGGACATATCCCACAACCAACGCCCCTCTTTCAATGACCAAGCTCCTTCACCGCCGCCTCAAAAGCGTCCTTGAAGATGGCGCACGCCTGGCTCAGCTCGTCCTCGCTGATGTTGAGTGGCGGGATGAACCTGAGCACGTCAAACACCGACGTGCTCAGCAGCAGCATGTCGCGCTTCAAGCACTCTGCTACCACCTTTGGTGCGATCTGTTCCACCTTCTTTCCGCTCGCTGCTGCCGCCGATGTGTTTTGGCTGGCTGCATTCGTGGGGGTGTTAGCGAATTGAACGCCGATCATCAGGCCCCGTCCACGGATGTCCTCGATCAGGTGACCGTACTTCGAGTCGTTTTTGAGCGAGGTGAGAAACGAGACAAGCTGGTCGGATCGTTTGGCGACATTGTCGAGGATGTTCTCGTCATTGAAGGCCTGGATGACTGCAGAGGCGGCGGCGCACGAGACGGCGTTTCCGGCGTAGGTGCCGCCCATCGAGCCTGGCTTCTGACGCGACATGAGCTCGTTGGTGGAAGCAATGCCCGAGAGTGGGAAGCCGTTGGCGATGCCCTTGGCAAAGATGAGAACGTCGGGACGCACGCCCGACTCCTCGACGGCGAACATGGTGCCTGTTCGGCCGAAGCCAGACTGCACCTCGTCACAGATGAGCAAGAGGTTGTTCTCGTCGCAGATTTCCCTCAAGCCGTGCAGGAAGGAGGCAGGAGCGGGCACGTAGCCGCCTTCGCCGATGACGGGCTCGATGAGAATGGCAGCGGTGTCCGAGGGAGCCGTCTGCTGCTGAAGTGTCAGGCGCACTTGGTGGAGCGACTGCCTCACCAGCTCTTCCACGTCTGTTTCGACGGGCAGGCCAAAGTGCGCGTAGAAGGGGAAAGAGGTAGCAAAGACGCCTGGCATGAGGGGACCATGGCCTTCACCGTAAATGGTCTTGGAACGTGTCAAAGCGGCGGTGGCAGCAGTGCGACCGTGGTACGAGCCCTGCATGACGATGATGTTCTGCTTCTTGGTCGCAGCACGAGCGAGCTTGACGGCAGCTTCGACGGCCTCGGCGCCCGAGTTCCAGAAGAAGAGGGTGTCGAGCGAAGGGTGTGGCAGGATGGGGAGGAGGTTCCTGATGAGCTCAATCTGCGTTGCTGAGAAGCCGATGTTGACCTGAGCGTGGGTGATCTTGCCGCACTGCTTGGCAGCAGCCTCGGTGACCTTGGGATGGCAGTGGCCCAGGTTGCAGACGCCGATGCCGGCGGTCATGTCGAGCAGCTTGACACCCTTGTCGGTGGTGATCCAGGTGCCCTTGCCATCCTCGAAGACGTGTTTGGAAAGGCGACCGATGCCCTTGGTGATGTGGGTCTCGCCGAAGGCGGCAGCGTCGGAATCAGCAGCTGGCATGGTGGGACGGAATGCTTGTGTACGGTATACGGTGGAGGTGAGGTTGCGGCGGGAGGAACAGGCAAGAGCAGAGGAAGAGGCGGCGAGCGGGCCCCTGGCCAAGACGCTCTTTATAGGCTGAGACGAGAGCACGGCCCGCATGATGGCTGCTGCCTGGCTGCTGAATGTCCAATGTGATATCAGGGAGGAGGAGGGTTTCGCCGTGGATAAGCTTGGCTGAACTGGCCCTCGACTGAGCAAGATAGCGGTGTGAGGACTTGACTTGGCTGTGATGTTGGCAAGAGGAGGACAAGAGACAGTCACAGAACAGAGGCGAGCTGCTTATCAGTTGCGGAGGCAATACATTGTTCGAGCGATGTCAAGTGACGAGGGAGAGCAACATCCGGTAAAGGATGACTGTGGGAAGTTGTGCCGAGGTGGGCCAAGTGGCGCCTTGAACCCTTACTTCTATGGGCTCTCTGGGCTGTGACATCTCTACAGCCCAGAGAGCGAGCTGCAAAACGCATCATCCGGCGGCGCGACTCTGCAGCTCAAACGAGCCCTCATCGAAATTCGCCAGGAATTCAACCGAGAAGCATAGCCGCGACAGCCGCGCTTGCCTCTGCCTCATCCACCGGCCTTCAGGGTCCTCAATGCTCGACGTCCGATTGTGCGGGCCCGCTCGCTTTCCCAACTAGGTCTCAGTGCTCGTAGGACCGACGTCTCAGCCGTCTGAACTTCGTATCAACACGGGAAGCAACACCTGAGAGAGCTCGAGAATGCATGACAATTGCCAGTCTTGATCCTAGAAATACAGTATGAAAAGCGAACAGAGCAGAAGAGGCGACAAGTAGACGGGAACACGTTGGTATCATACAGATGCTGGTGGGGCCGAGAGGTCGAGTGACCGTGACGCGGATGCTGAGAAACAAAAGAGTGAGGAAAGACTGCCATCGCGGCGTACTTGCTCACTGTCCGGCCTGCGAAAAGCCGTGGCTGCCAGTGAAAGCCTGAATGCCGCCAGCGGCCTGGATGCTGTTCCATGCCTGACGCAATGGCGAGGTGGTGATCCCATCGCCGATGCTGCCAAATCCAGAGTAGTGCGAGTCCATACTACCGTGTCCCGACTGCGGGTGGATCTGGTGGTGGTGCACCATCTGCTGGTGCTGATGCTGATGCTGCAAGTTGGCCTGCATCTCGAAGGGATCATCGAGGTACCATCCCTGCTGCTGCATCGTCTGCGGAGCAGCGCCCGCGAGGCTCATGCCCATGATCGGTCCGTTGCTCGCAAACCCACGTCGACCGGGCGACATTCCGCTCGAGAAGCGAAGTGAGCCAGGCGTACGGCCAGGTGTCAGGCCGGATCCCATCCCGAGCCCGGCACCGAAGCCAGCGCCGTTGAAGCCCATCTGCCCGGCGCCACCGCCCATAGCGAGCTGCATCTGCAGGCTGGCGCTCGAGTTGGGAGAGAGCATGCCCGCTGCACCGCTTCGCAGCGGAGAGCTTCGAATGGGCGAGCGAGCCAAGGCTGCGGCCACGCGGGCAGTCGAGGTAGGCGATCGCATCCCGTCGTCCATGTGGCCCTTGTGTCCGCGCATCGATGACATGGGCGAGCTGATCGACCACAGTCGCTTGGGAGAAGTGACTGACGAGTTGTTGGGCGCGTTCTCCCCTTTAGTCTGACGGCGCAGAGGCGAGCCACGCGACGTGTCGGTTTCCATGCCGCTCGGGAAGGCGAAGGCACCACCCAGTCCCCCGCCGCGCATGGCATACAGCGAAGGCGAGAAGCCTGGCCCGTAGCTCAGCTGGCCGTTCCCCTGCCCTGCCATCTTGCGCTTCCTCGCGCTGTGGTTGGCCGTTGCCTGCAACGAGGGCGGCGGCATCAGCGTCATGGGGCTGCTGGGCGGACTGCTCGCGCTGTCGATCAGACCAGGAATCGGCTTGCTGTAGCTGCTGCCGGCAATGCTGCTGCCGTAGATCGACGAGCCAAGGTGAGGGCGCACCGGCGTGATCGAGTCGAGGCCATTGATGGCCATCGGACCTCCTCCGAGCGACATGCCGTTCTGCGGCTGCGTCTCGAGGAGAGGCAGACGGTCGGCCATCATCACGTGTGCTTGTGCTTTGACCTTCTTGGAGGACGAAGGCCGGCTGCTCTCCTTGTCGGACTCGTCGCCGCTCTCGACAGCGTCGTCCATCTGCACCTTTTTGCGCTTGGCCTTGCTGCGCTTCTTGGCGCTGCCGTCCACGCTCTCGCTGCTCTGCGAGCATGGCAGGGCGACAGCGGCGTCCGACACGACCAGTTCACTCTCGACAGCTTCGGGAGAGCTGGCCATCTTGTTGGCCTGATTTTGCTGCTGCTGCTGCTGTCGCGCTTTGGCGGCTTCGAACTTTTGCGGCACGGCATTGTACAGGCCGTTCTGGAATCGGTCTTCGTGGCCAGGCTTGATGCCCCACCAGCCTCCCTTACCAGGCATGTTGGCCTCGCGCTCAATCTTGACAAAGCTCTTGTTCAAACTGAGGTTGTGACGGATCGAGTTCTGCCATCCGCGGTCGCCCTTCTCAAAGAAGGGGTATGTGGAGCTGATCCAGTCGTATACCTCCGACAGCGAGAGGCGCATGTCCGACGATGACTTGATGGCCTGGCCAATGAGACCGGCGTACGAGACTGAGCTCGGCTTGGCTTTCGACTGACCGAAGCCGGGCGGGAGCAGGTAGTAGCGTGCAGGCGGCTCCTCGAGCAATGTGCCAGCATCCAGGGCCGCCTTGAGCTCCTCCGAGACAAGCTTGACCAGGCGACTGCCGTCCGGCTGGTCCCAGCCAATCTCGTCGCCGTTCTGGAACGAGGGATTGGCCTTGGCCATGCGCTCGAAGTCCTGGCAAGGCAGGTCGATCACCTTGGCAGCCGCGGAGGCAGGAGCCGAGCCACCGGCTGACTTTGTCTTTTTCGTCTTTTTCGCCGACGCCGATTGCGATGCGCCCTTGACCTCGGCGTCAACGATAGCGGCAGGCGCTTTAGCACCATTGGCGAACGAGCTCATGGCCGGCTCGGCACTGCCTGCTCGGTGCATCAGGTGGACACCGACGCTAGTCAGCTCAACGGGAGGTTGCATGAGCACGACTTGCTCTGCTTGCGCGAGCTGCTTGCTGGGAGAGGGCGGCGAGTCGCTCTGGACGCGGCGCACCTCTGCGGCCTTCTTTGCCTTCTTGTTGCGGGCGTGTGTCGCATGATCGCTCGCGTCCTGCAGATCGGCCTGAGGTCCGTTGACTGCGTCGCGGACTCCCTTGCTCGGCTCGGGCAGAGGCAACCTTGTCTCGAAGCTGGGAGCGGACGCGGTGCGTGGCAGACTGGAGCCAAAGACGTCGGCGGGGCTGATGGTGTCGATCTTGCGCGAAAGCCCTCGTTTGTGCCGAGTGGCATTGCCCAAAAAGTCCCGAATGTTGCCACTTGGTTGACGGCCGTGGCGGGTCTCGACAGCCGTCGTCGACTCGGAGCGAGTGATGGCGCTGCGAGGACTGGCGAAGGGCAGCTTGCCACCGATCATCTGATCGCCTGCCGTGCCTGCCCGAAGAGAGCGACTGAGACGCATGGGCGACGAGGTGGACATTGCAAACGTCTTGCTGGCCCCCTCGTCGAGGTGGAGGGCTTCAGCGAGCGACGCTGGAGGAGGATCGAGGGCAGTGCCGCCAGGCGCAGAGAAGAGCAATCCGCGTTTCGCATTGAAGCCGGACGGCTTGCCCGCAGCGGTCGCGTCGTCGTGGTGCATGTTGATCTCGTCGTCGGCTTCAAAATCAAGATCGCTGATTCGACTGGCGACGCCAGAGACGAGGCGGCCGGAGAGCGGAGACATGACAACGGCGCCCTGCGACGAGGAGCGCATGAGCGAAGAGTTGGCGGATCCCTGGGCGCTGGCTTGCCTGGCGTGAAAGAAGCTGGCAACCGAAGGACTAACACCGATCAGCTCGGGTCGATGCTCGTCTGCGCCCAGGAGGAAGTGGCTCGCAGGAGTGAAGGCCGAGCTGCCTCGCAAGCTGGAGCGGTTGGCGTCGGTGCCCTTTCGCAAGCTGGTCAACGGCTCAGCATCCCAAGCGTGGAAGGTGATGGGACCGGGCGTCGAGTGGATGTTGCAGAGCGAGTCGAGCGAGTCGTAGCCGGGCTGGCTAGGCGAGATGCCGTGCATGGTAAAGTCGTAATGCTCGCGCGTGGTCATGCGCATGTGCAAGTTGCTGGGGCTGCCGCCGATCGTCGTCCAGCGCAACGCACGAGACGAGGACGATTCGACGGGAGTCGCGCGGACTACGGAGTCAGGCGCCTTGCGCGTCTTGTTGCCACCATTGGGCGTGCTGAGGACGAGCGAAGCATAGTCCGGATTGGCGGCCTTGATCGCATCGGCTGCGGCAGCCGCCTTGACGGCTTCCTCCTGCTCGTACTCGGCGCGAGCAGCCGCCTCGGCCATCTGCTGGACGGCCAACTCTGCCTGGACCTGCTCTTCGACGATCTTGCGCTCGGCTGCCTCCCTTTGCCTGAGCTTCTCGGCCTTGTAGAGGCGCCTTGGGCTGGTCTGCTTGGACATGATCCTGTCGAGGAAGCTGAGGCCGCTCATCTTGGCGTCCAGGCCTTCGAGGTTGGCAGGGGCGGCGGTACCAGTCGAGCTTTCCGAAATGGCTCTTCGGTGGACGGCGCCCCATCCGTCCGCGGCGAGGCCGCCAATTGCGGGCGAACGCGCGTCAGGGATGGCAAAGCATGCGACGGCATCATCGACATCGACGGGAGGGCTGCAAAAGACGGCGTCGTGCTCGACGGGCGATTTGAGCAGACGCAAAGTGCCTCGGGGGCTGACCCAAGCGCGACGACTGAGCTCTTCGAGCGAGTCGCATTCGCGTACTTCATCGCTGACACGAATAACGGGCGAGGCTTCGAAGGAGACGGAGCGAATGCGGGAGCTGCGGCTTGAGAACGCACTCGAGAGCGCCTCAGGCGGGGTGACCGGGTCCGGACTTGAGGTGGAATCGCTTCCGTTGAGATCAAGACCGAGGCCGACGCGTGTGGCTGACTTGGCGCTGCTGCTGCCGGCCTTGCTCGCGTCCGTTCTGGCCGGGGGAGTGCGGAAAGCAGAGCTGGAAGCTGGAGAGAACGGTGCGGCGGTGGAGTTGGGCGTTGCGAGAAGGTGTTGCGAAACCTTGCTGGAACTGGATGCGGCGTTGGCACTGGAGAGAGCACGCTCACGTTCACGTCGCTGACGCAGCTTGAGCTTCTTGAGCTTGAGGCGACGGCGCTCTTCGGCGTTGCCGATCTGGTCGAGGCTAGGGTGAATCTTGGGCGACCCAGGAGAGTCTTGAGGCTCGATGACGGCGGTGAAGAACGACAGACCGGGACTGCTGGTGTTGCGAGACCACGTAGCGCCACCTGGACGCGTCATGGGCGACGGAACAGAGAGACGAGGCTGCGAAGGTCCTGCCTTAAGCTCGTTCGTCTTGGCAGCATCGACGGAGGAGTCGCTCGAAGCGGTCGTTTTGGTAGGCCCCTGTGCAGTCTGACTGCTTGACGAGGGCTTGACATCCGTAGCCTTGGAAGAAGTGGTGGAGGAGGAAGCAGTAGTAGCAGTGGCCGTCGGCGTGAAAGGTCGTCGTTCCGCCTTGAGGAAAGCCGCGACGCCCGCCTTGGTCCTCTCGTAGTCTTCCCTGGTGAGACGAAGACCCATTGCCTGAGCCCTGGCGAAGAAGTCTTCGGCGTCTTTGGACATTTCCGAGCTTGGTGCAGTGGCAGCAGCAGTGGCACCGAGCTTCGAAGCCGACGAGGAAGAGGGAGTCAATTTGGAGCCGGGAGTGGAGGCTGTCGTCGAAGCTGCAAGTCGAGCTCGGACCCCAGGCTTGACAGAGGCACGCGCGTTGAGAGTCGTGGTAGAGGAAGACGCGAACGAGCTAGCACCTTCGCCCTCGTCCTTGACAGACGACGCTGCCGTGTGATCGTCCATGCTGGCGGGCGTGGCAGAGCGAGAGCCGGTGGGAGTAGGACTGGCGTGAATGGCCTGGAGGGGCGAATTGTCGGCAGCGTTGCTAGAGAGCATGGCGAACTTGGCGCGTCGGTTGCCTGGGCCGGAACGCGAGAAGGTGCTGGGAGCGATGCTAGTGGCACGAGTAGCAGGAGTCGCAAAAGGAGTGCTGGTCGAAGTGGGCGAGTAGTCCGAGGAAGAGGATGCTGGAGGGTAGTTGGAGGTGGACGAGCCAAACGAACGTGAATTGGATGGCGTGGTCATTGTGGAAGGCTACGTTCGAGCGCGACGGGCCTAAGGGTGGCCGTGTCGTGCTGGAGTTGAAGCGTGAGTGACTGTAGTGGTAGCAGCCCGTCTAGTGTGATGAAACGCGTGGATGAATGCTGTTGAACAAAGGATGGGTAGGCGCGTGCCGGGAAATGCGAAAAGCTGAGTCGCGTGTCGGTAGTGGTGGTGGTGGTGGTCTGTTCCGAGTTGGATGATGCTCGTCCGCGATCCAAGATGGTGGTCACAAGTCGAAGGCAAAAGCGATCGTGTCGGCTATGGACAAACGGGGAGACGGTGATCAGGAAGATGAAGGAGGAGTGGATTGGTGGGTCTCTGAGGTTGAATGGGCAGATGGCAGCGGGCAGACGATGAGAGCGCAGGAGCAGAAGAGCAGAGGCAGCTGCAGCGGACAAAAGTCAATTTTTGAAACGCGTGACAGAGGCAGAATCAACGCTGAATTTCAGTCTCTGACTTGTCAGCCGCCAAATCGACGTGAGGGAGGGAAAAGGCGAACAGCTTCGGCCTGCTCAGGCTCCGTGGCAAAGTTTCATGATAGAAGCCTATCCTCTCCTTACTGCCTATCTGTCTCCTGCTCGGCGAGCCTTTCTCCTCAAGTGATTGCAGTTCGTCGCTCTGTCACACTTCGAGGATGCATAGCCAGCTTCTCGTTGTCGTCTCTGCGCTCGAAAGATCCTTGAGCGGGTGATCAGGCTCTGGACTACGTGAGGCAGCTAGCAGGGATGCGGCAGGCTTCTTCACCAACGCCAACGATGAGCAGCGACAGCCGCGCAGAGGCAGGCAGGCAGACTGCATACAGGTCCGAACATGACAAATGCAAGCCTCTTGTTGCATGGCGATGCTGCAGCACAGTCGCCATCCCATCGCTCTCAATCCCGCGACCGTAGCCGCGTCCAAGCATAGGGCGGCAATTGATGGTGCATTGCAGCCTTGCACCTGTCAAGTCTTCACAGCATCGAGACAGGTGAACATCTTCTACAGCGGCTGGAGTTGCTCTCCCGCTTTCCCACGCTGATCTGCAAAGGGGATGAGCCTCGGCGTTGAGGTCCAGAGAAATTAAGACGTGAACAGAGGAAAGCTGTGGTAAAGTGCCTTGAAACGGGTCTGGAATTGCAGCCACCGAGGACTGGTCTCCGAGCCGACGACGCAGCCACGCATATCGCATTCTTTGTCGTCAGTCGCCTCGGCTTTGCTCTCCGCTCTCTCTCTCTCTCTCTCTCTCTCTCTCTCT